GATCTCTAGTCTCAAAGGGGCAAGCTGACAGCTGCAGCTTGACCGAAAGACACCGGACAGGGAGGGCCCGATCCTGAGAAGGGAGAGGAGTAGGAGTGGGGAGGGAAGGTGGCGGCCTCAAAAAGCAGTTCCTCTGCAAGGCAATCTGCATGCTGGAACGGCACCGAGTCGGAGATGTTGAGACTAGCAGGGGTTTGCGCTGTAGCGCTCTCGAAGTGGAATAGAGCGAGTCATGCCCTGCAAGATTTTTGGGTGAGACCCAGATGGCGCCGAACTCTTCATCGAGAATGTCAGATCTTCTCTCCTTGCAAGTTAGTACGGATACTTGGTACTTGATACGATTAGTACCATGTTAATGTACGCCCAGACTCCGCTCTGCTGATATTATTCCCGCATGAAAGCCCTATAAGGTGCTCAATTCTTATAACATATGGAATATCTACACCATACGATCAGTGAAATCATAATCACGATACCATGTCTATTGTTCCATACCTCCATCATAAACATGTCAGAGTATACCTCGAATTCGCCACTGTGTATTCCACCAACTGCACGTTCCGACAGCTCAAGCACACACGGGAATACTTTCCTGAACTCCAGCCAAGGGATTTTCGCTCAGGATATTGGTCACTCATTTCCTCTGTGGTTCCGTTCTCGCATTGGATGGAAGAAACACCCACAACAGGGGAAAAATGGAAATGTCAAAACAAAACAAACGGGAAAGCAGCCGGACCGTTCCCAGACCCACCGGTGATAGACCGCCTCGATCGGCGGGGAGTCTCTGTCTTTCCATTTCTCCTCTTCAAGAGCTAGACTCTAGAGTTCCAAGGGCTCATTTCTCTACTTCTCCTGATTCGCCGGAGAGAACTTCAATGTGGGTTGGCCGTTGGAGCTACTCCACTCCATCATGGTCAATGGACCGAGAGGAATGTCTCCCCACTCTGCAGGACAGTTCGGTATGTATCTGCGCAAATCCCGAACTGGAGATTCACCCTGTGGTTCCGTGATCGTCTGGAAAAGAAAAATCTCCGATATACGCAGTAATCTGAATAGAAATGACGGAAACCACCCCCCCCCCCCCCCCCCCCCCCTTTTATAAACAACAATAACAGCACACGGGTTCTACTATTCACCGTCGAAGAAATCAACAATACTTGTACAAAAGTCGCCAGCGACGTCGGCAGCCTTGCCTGCGGGAAAAGAAAGACCTCGGCGTCCACTTGCACACGCGCTAAGCAGGACCAAACGCTCGTGCATAGAATCAAGTAGTCGCCTATACTCCGTATGAAGTGCATAATTCGCCTCTATGATCTTCTCTGATTGCACCGATCGACACGGACATAACAAGCGGAAGCCGAGGACAGCCGAGGTGATTGGATCGCGAGCTTTTTATAAACTCCGCCACGAGAGGAAAATTAGGAAACGGGCTTGTATTAATTAAGATCCGCTGGTGGATGCGCTGGTGGAGCCCACTATTCCTCCGGTTTTTTTCGGGCTCCATTTCTTCCATGACATATCGGCCATAGTGATCGCGGAATATGTCACCTTTTGAGCTGGATGTTGTCGGTATTCTGCCCGTTGGCCTGTGCTGGGGCTTACCAATGCTTATGAGATGCTAATTGGAGTTTGCGGGTCGAGGAGTGGCTGAGGATATTGTGTTTTGATACTCGGAAATTGCTGGCTCGTCTTTGGATCTGGGCTTTGGGATGGTCCCCGGATGGGTGCGCGTGCCACAGTTGGGATATCAACCCCGTCTAATTTGAGCAGATTGCCTTTCTCGTCCCAACGATCCTCTTCCACTAGTCCGATCAGTCGACAGAGATTGGCCTCGCTGGCCGAGAAAACCCGAATGGTCTCTGCCAGTTCTTCGAGCCAAAGCTTACTACGGTACGTACGGATACATATTGCACTGCAAACGAGTGCCAGCATCATTGTGTAACCTAATTAGTGCTCTATTCTCTACATCGGACATATCTACATGTCAATTTGAAACCCTCCATCAAGAAAACACATGTGTTATCTTGAGGGCTCTAACACAAACAGGTATATCCCACCTGTCAAAAGAGCTGCATGCAGCGTACGTTGTAAATCTCATGCACCGGAAGCCCTTCCGATCTCGATTTTCGAGCCGGCTCAGCCGCGTCTCGGTCGAGCTTCACGCAACTTGCTATTGGGTAGAGCGTGTGATTGCCATGGCGTGTACTGTGTACATCGTACTTTCTGTCAACGGCGTGCGGGGTACCAACAAGGATATTGAAAAGTCGAACGCTTCGATCATTCTAGCTGGTTTAGCGCGTGTGCTGTCCGCTTTGTTCTCTGGTGCCCAGGTGTATGTGATACGTTCATTCCGGTCGGCCGTTGGATACATGTGCGAAGGTTCTAGATTAGGCAGGCCAAGATGTCGGGCTTGTGGGCAGGACCTACAACCTTAAGTCTGTTAATCTCGTATATCCAGTTGTTTAAACGTACTTCTGTAATTGCCTGACTCGCGATGCTAGGGATATAGTTTTTATCGGCTAATGCGCGTCTACTGTGAAAGTTTATATTCTAAAGGCGCTAAGCTGTGCCCGCCATCCCAATTTATAAGGACTGAGCTGTACTCCATGTTTCATATCGAGCTACAAGGTATTTATTTGAAATCTTCGAAAACATCCCAGACCAATTACCCGATTGATCATGACTACATGCAAGCAACCTAGCTACAGGGATTAGATCCGTTCAAGAATGAACAGGTGCATAAGGTTGCGCGAGGTATGCACCCAAGACTTTTGACGTATTCATCGGAACCAGTCTGGGCCATTTACATATTTATTTTCCATGAGGGCGAATAGGATGCTCAGATTTACCCAATAGAGTTTCAGTGACACCTGAGTTACCACAAAACGTAAAAAATAGAAGACTCCTGTGGACGCTGATTGGCTACTTCGGATCTGACAGCTGGGAGGTTCCGCTGAATGCCAAAAGTCTTTTTCACCTGCAGTCAGACGGGACAATTCCAAATTCCTTCTTTGTCGCTTCTTTGTCAATTCTGCAGTGAAGATGAATTTGGAATTGAGTCTGGGACTAGACATCTGACTCTCTCTTGTCTTCGGTGCCTTCCAGAATGCCAACCGCAAGTTCGCAACGCCAGCTAAACAAAAGTACCGAGCCCCCCTCTTGAATCTGTCCAATGACACACATGCCATGGGATCCACCCGATCCCTGTCCCTGGATTCACCAGAACGCCTTCGGATATAAGATAAAAAGAGTGCTAACTGAAATTGCATCATTCGCCCTAGTGCTCCCAGGCGATGACAATGCCGGGGCCAAGCCGACCAAACTTTTCGATCATTCTAATTTCCGATTCTCCAGCAGTTCCCCGAAACCAATGACTAGACCGATTCAAATCTATTTTAATCGCACCGAGATTCCAAAGACTGGACAGGTGGACCGGGGAGAAACCTTACGAAATGAGAGAGATCCGGCGACAAGCAACAGCCGAAGGATCGGCAATCTTCAATTAAATGACCCGCGACTATCGACACATGGGCTGGGCCCCCGCAGATCCAAGTCCTGACGGTTCCAAGGGGCAACTGACGTGAGAACGGTTGTGGTTCTGACAGGTTGTTCCAGGGTCTTCACAGTGGAGAGAGGTGGGCCAGTACAAGGAACTTGAACCCACTGTGGCTTAATGATTCCAAGGTTCGCTCTAAACTCCGTAACCGGGCCTCCAATATTTACCACGTTACGATGTACGATGTGGTTCATACGATATGCGATTTAACCAGGAAACATGTACAGAGTACGATGGTACTGTGGACAACATCTACGTTCGCCGGGATCTCGTCCGGATAGAAAGAAAGTCGACAGCTTCATAACAAACCGAGCAGACACGGCCGAGAGTCCCGAGACTCCAGCCTCCAGCCTCTAGCCTGGCTGCCTTATAGAAACACAACCCTCCCTAACCCCAACGCAGCCAGGGCGCCGAGGATATGGATGAGCGGGCAGTCTAGCCGCAAGTGCTGTGCTTACTCCAGTATTTGTCTAGTGCAAATCGAGATTGACACTGCTCCGATGTCATCCCCAGTCAATCGACCAGAGATACATCGCATGCACACATCTTGTGCGCCGACTTCCAAGAACTTCCTCCAATTCCTTCGTCCTATTGAAACCTTACTCAACGCGCTACCAGTGGCCACAAACCTTGGACGTAGAGCGGTAGAATGTCCGCGATCTACCGAGATTAACGAAAACCATGTGCCACCACGCCCATCCCCCCCCCTCCCTCTCACCAATCAGTATCAGACCTGCGTTGATCCATGCGTACTCCGCTGTCGTTCTTTCCTCATCCAACATAGGCTGGTGCCAAATCCCGGCGCTTGGCCACCGGTCCGGTTTGTCGCGCAAAGATACATCATACACTCGTCCAGTCGTACCTTTCGCCTCGCTGACTCTTGAGTCAAACACCGGGAGCACGCTGCTGCGGAGCCACTCGTAGTATAAACTCAATCTTGGGATGGCGGGGGTGTAGAGTGTGGATGAGTATCGTGTCATATTCCTTGGAGTCAAGTTTGCTGGCGAGTTTGTAGCTGCGGTAGCAGGATACCTCGGGCTCGCACTTGCCAAGTCAGAGAAATGAGTAGAGAGACCTCCCTCGATTATGGTGGTCTTTACCCAAGTAGAACATCGAAGTGTGATGTTGCCTCTTTTGCTTTGGCTTCATGCATTCTTCCTACCAAGATTTTTTCCTATATCAAGAATTATTTCATGTACCAATAGATGTCATCTGCTTCAGCACCCAAAGCTAAATCAACTGCACACACTGCCATATCTACCTCCTCTCGATCTCGTAGTTCGTGCGTCTTGTCTCAACCTTGTACGGAACTACGGATGTAAACAAAATCATGTGACCATCTCCATATGACCCATGCTCCAGGCTTGGCAGAAGATCCCCACTTGAGCTTCAGCCCAGCGCCATCCTCGACCCGTCCACGAGGTCCATGCAGCAATCCGCCATCATGCGCCCCTATCTCTCGCTAGCGGAAATCCCAACAGTAAGTCTCCTTTACCGACAAGGCCATCTCCGCCGAGCAAGTTCAACCTTCACGCCCTCCCAAACCCTCAACGACAGCATCTCCGTCATCCAAAATGACATCACCAAGCTCGAAGTCGACTGCATCGTGAACGCAGCAAACAAGTCCCTTCTCGGCGGCGGCGGCGTAGATGGCGCAATCCACGCAGCAGCCGGACCAGGTCTGCTCGAAGAATGCCGCGGTCTGAACGGCTGTGATACGGGCGATGCCAAGATCACTGCCGCTTACGAATTACCATGCAAGCACGTTATCCACACCGTTGGACCAATTTATGACCGCGAGGAAGATCCGGTTGCGCTGCTGCGCTCTTGTTATAGACGGAGTCTGGAAGAGGCGGTTGCGAATAACTTGAGGAGTATTGCGTTTCCGGCTATCAGTACTGGCGTCTATGGGTATCCGAGTCGACTTGCTGCTGATGACGCTGTGAAGGAGGTGAGGGAGTTTCTTACGGGCCCTGGTAGTGGGAAGCTTGAGAGGGTTGTCTTTTGCAATTTTGAGGCGAAGGATGTGAGGGCTTATAGCGTGTCTATACCGTGAGTTTTGACTGTTGCGAGCGTTGGTTTGATTGATTACTCACTGTGCCGTAGGAAGTACTTCCCTCCCACGCCGGAGGACTTGGCCACCGACGAGAGCGATTAAGGCGCTAATGCGAAGTGCATCTTGGCTCCATGCGCGCAGTGAGCAACGCCGCCGGTCATGGCCAGGCAGAAATGAATCATGACATCTACAATGCGAATCCTACGATCAGTCTTTTTGCCTATCAAAGCCTATCAAAAGGCTTTTGGGCCAAATTCAAACCAGAGGTTTTCTGAGAGCCACCGGCTTCTTTATGTTGAGTCCCATTTTGTCTCTGTACGAGTAACATGGATCGTAGATAACAGCGAGACGCACTGGGGAACAGTATGGATGTTAAAAGTGTGAGCATAGGGCCCGGCTGATATGTGCACCGGTCATACAGGAATGCACACAGGATTAGCATGTAACTCAAGATCAAGCTGCTTGTCCAAAGGCAAAATCCAAATAGCGAGATGTGAAATAACTCAACCTCCATATACTTCCCGCGAGGGTTATAGGTCTATCATCATTTCCTCGGGAAACTTGACGGAATGCCCAATGTGGTAACAGCTCCTGTTGAACTATCGCAAGATGGATCTACTGTGCTGCGATTTCTCAGAATGCTATATCTTAGTAGCCTAGGATACTACCCGATATTGCCGCCATATTGACCCGGACATGTCTGCGACATGGGCGAAGAAAGAGATATCAAGCTCATCACAGCATCGTCTGAACAGACAGTAATAGTCTGGCAGCGGCCAGATGCCTAGCTTCATAATCGCAGGGATGTCAAACCTATCTCAACCAACGGGACGACTCGATCTCCGCCGCTGCCTTGAGATTGGATGGAGACCCGCACCGAGCACCAGGTAAGTCACTATGTCACACGAAGCAACTACCCCTTGTAAGACAGTGAGCAGGTTGCAGGAACTCTGACTCAGATGGTTATACGAAGTGTAATGGGCCAAATCGACGGATCGATGGACCGATGGACACTGTAACGGTAACAGCAACGAGCCGAGGAGTGGTGATGGCGATGGTATATGGTACTTGCACGTTGTACTTGGAACCCCAAGTTCGCTTTTCACGGATACCAGCAGGAAACGAGCTAAAAAGAGGTCGAGAAAAAGAGAACAGAACCACAAAGAAGACGAGCTCCAGAAATGACGACTTGAACAGTCGCACGCCTCCTCTAATCCAATTCACAAAAGCAATGTGCTGGCTGTCACCAAGCGCCTCTCACACAGGAGAAGGAACGCACAATGCAGAGGAAACAGCCGCCATAATCGCAGCCACGAAAGGCTTCCTCGCAGCACTGTGCACCAAGTCTCGTGCCGATTTCGAGAAACACTGTGTTCGAGCCGGGGGAATGACGCTCTCACCTCCGTCCCCTATGCCCCTGCGCTTCTGCACGATCGGCTCCTTCGTTGAGCATGTCGCGACGCTCAAAGACGACATCAATGAGCGGATCTGGGACCCCGAGGTGAAGGTGCACGAGGCAGGAAATCTAGCTGCAGTGTGGGCGCCGTTCCGGGCGAAGATTAATGGCGTCGTGGATCATGTTGGCGTGGAGCTTTTTGTTTTGCATAAGCTCGATGGTGAATGGAAGGTGACTGGGTTGGCGGATTCGTGTCGGTTGCCGACTGAGGAGGAAATGCTGTTGGAATGAGTACGGTTTTGGTACGGAAGTTGATACAAGGTAAATGGAAGATATGGGATTCAAATGTTGTGACAGGGAGGGCTGCCTCCGACTGTCATGGAATATTTGCAAATGATTTGAGCTCGCGCTAATATGCTCACCACTTTGGATATCTATTTGTCGATGCCTCTGGATTAGAACTTTCTGCCACGGAGAAGCTCCCATCCGACTGATCCGTCTTTGCCTTCTTTGGTAGTCATTTCTTCAACAGCCTTTACCAGATCGTAGGTAATTTCCTCGGACACAACGCTGTCCTGCTTGTAGCTAGGATGCTTGGCCACGAATTCGCGCATCCAACGAGCCCCAGTCCAGAGAGTCCCGTCGGCTCGCTTCCGAATCAAATCAAGATAGCTAGCCAAGAAACACCTGGTCTCGACGTCCACGTTGACGCTGTTGAGGTAGGATTCCACAAGCGGGACGAGACCCGGGAACGAACCGTCGTCGCATCCGTTCACGATGTCGTTAATAGTCATGAGATCGTACTCTGAGTCCACGGGACCAAGGGGAGGCGAAGGAGGCGGGGTGTTCACAGCCGATGATGTGCCTGATGAGAAGGTGCTGCCGTTTGCCGATTGCTGTGTGCTTCTGGGAACTCTGCGAGGGAAGGGGTCCTTCCTAAACCAGAATTTCCGATCCTGGACAGCGTTGCGAGCGTGTGCTGTCTCCATATTCTCGGTTGTACGCTGGATTGGAATGTAGAAATTGAGGTCGAAGCTCAAAATAGCCCGAGTGATAAGAACGATGAAAATGCTGAATGCTGCGTTCTCGAAATCGGTGATTTGGATCTCCATAGACCGGAACTCTACTCGCCAGCCAATATTATCGTTATCAGGTGGCGGCGGCTTGAAGCGCATGTGCTGCCAATTAGTGGACTGTAAGTTTTCGAAGTGGTCGCTTTTGTTGAGATCCAATTCCTCAAGATCCTCGGAGAAAATAACCAAGGGATCACGGATGAACAGATGCGCAAAGTGCGTCGCAAGCAGCTCATCCATTCCTTCATCCATAAGATGTTTCTTGATATCCTGGTCAACGACCAGATCAGGATCGAAGTATTCTTTACGCAGTCGAGGATCTTGGGAGATATAAGTCGAATTAGAGGCATATCGAGACTTGGGAATTCTCCACCGGTCATTCTTAAGAGGCTGCAAGTTGTCAGATTAGTGAGTCAAAATGTTAGTTCCACCTAACTTACAGCTTCTCCGAGTTCCTCAGGTGTCCTATCATCGACAGCATTGCCAATCTGGTTCCATCGCACATCTGTGTCCACAAGGAACCCCTTATAAATGGGCGTGGCAGCGGTCAGTGCCAGGAGGATGGGTCCCAGGGGACTCAGTTGATCGTAAAGCCTTCTGCCCTCTGTCATATTCTTTGCCTGGAAGGTGATTTGCAGGCAACAGCTGCCCATGCCGAATGCCATGGCGTCCATATAAACATGGTCATCCTTCGCTGCGCCGTTGCGAACATCGTCGTCCTCTGGCCAGTTATGAAGGTCGTAGTTGACCGTGGGGTCCTTGAATGGCCTAGGGGTATTAATGTCGTGGAAGACAGGTACGTTCAATTCGACCTTGCGACCTCTCCGGGATCTGATGTTGGCGGCTAGAGTAGGGAATCGAATATGGGGATTGGCAATCTCATCGGGAACAAACTGCGAGCGTAGAGCAGGTCCAGATGGAGGGTAATATGGCTGGATATAGTCATCCTTCGTTCCCAGCCGAGGGAAGGTTGTTAAAGTGATGGGGACTTCATTCGCAGCCATGTGCGCTTTCGCGACTTCTCGTCTTTGGAAATCATTAGCGCGGTTCAAGTCATGTTTGTGTTGCTCGAGGAACTCACCTCCACTTCATATTAGACTCGACCTTGAGCAGATCTTTGAACCCGATTCCCCACGGTTGTCCAGGAGTAGCCTCCAACATGAATCTTCCGAATTCGGGATGGAAATGAGGCGGCTCTTCTCCGGCACTGCTTGCTGTCAGATATGCAAGTCTTCGCTTCTCATCAAGCCTGACTCACTGGTCCCCAGTTTCACTGCGGTTGCCGCCATTTTTCCACAGCTCCTCGTCTTTGGCCAGTGATTTCAGGATATCCGCCTGGGCTAGAGATAGCCGGGACTTCTTCGCCGCATCGTCGAGTGCTACCACGAGGTATTCAACCTATTTCCGAGGAGAATGGTAAGTTGTCGTGATCGGGAAACAATGGTGGCTAGAACGACATACCTCGTCGCCCCAAAGAAGGGCATCGCGTTCTTTGCCTCGTGCTCTACGCCAATTGGCAAGTAATTGCTAGTCACGTCAGAAACCTGGAGGCTGTGTCTTTGCCAACTTGGACGAATCGAACGCAAGTTGCATACCTCGATACCCCACTGGCGCACCTGATCCGCCTTCTTCTTGGCTTCCGGCCATTCCAGCGCAGTTCCAAGTGCTCTGTTTGGAATTAGAGGAGTGTCCAGTAGTCAATCAAGTCCCATGCCACACGTACAAAAGTCCCATTATGCCAAAATTGTGCCAAAGCCCGCTAAAAGAATGCCCAGGCACAAGTATGGGGTAAACAAGTTGAGGCTCGGAGTTGATTCAAGGGCCGAAGGTCGAATATTAGGGGAAATGAGATTGATCAAAGAGTAAATGTATCCCCGCGCATGACCCCTTTCTAATTGATTCCTCTTACTTCTGCGCAAATTGCATGAGGGGGGTTAGATTTTTCGGTGGCCGGCCGAATTGTTGGCGGGGTGCGGCGATAACGGCGGGAGATTTATTTCGGAAAAGAGAAATTAATTCCGCTTGTATTATTAATCATGATTTGTCACTCGTTCCACCTGAGCAGTGAGCACCTGCTAGCCTAGTAGCCTTCCAAGGTTGTATCTTCAGATCAAGTTTTCTTCGTTTACTCTTAGTACCGAATAAGGCGAGAATGGCGGGCCTTAGTATGGACTTGAGAGGTGGTGGAACGAGACGGCGCGAAGCCAAGGATCATCATGGCTATGTTTATCAGGTCCGAGCGTAGTATGAAGAACACAAAGTTGGAGTCATTCAATGTCAGATGCTTGAGAGCTCAGAGTGTCCTCGAAGCTATGATAGCTATCTGTTTCTCGCTATATTAGAGAGATATGTATACACTAAGTAGGAAACCAGACGGAAGAAACAGCATAATGCATAGGCTATCCTAAGTGGCATGAGCTTGGAAGATGCCTACATCATCCAATATCTTCATGATTATAGATCAGTTAGACCAGGATCACATTATGCTTACAATACTTCAACTGTACTATTACAAGGTGCCCATTCACACCGACGTCTAATGTGTGATTGGTCAAGAGCTTTTGTGTACATATAGGATTTTAGGGCCCAGTACCACTTAGGATCTTCTTGGTACGTCTTTTGACCATGCCTGCTATGACAGCACTAGCTATCACTAGAAATATAGGCAATGCACGTCACAGTCAATGGCGTTTCTAAGGTTACAGCCTGAGCTTATAGCCATCACCGACTACCGGACCTCGGGAGCACATCTACACTATGGCAACATGCTTTGGCTAAACATTGCCCCGAATATCGAGTGGACGAGAGTGGAGAGACGTTCACGGAGTTTTAGATAGCTGTTTGAGCCGCATGTCAAGCGGCTGTCACAAAGCCTAAGCCCTCCGAACAAAGCAGGGTAGCCAGATGCATTAGATGCATTATAACTCCATAGAAAGGCCAGCTTCCCTCATAGCTTGACCACTCCGGTTCGCTAGCAGAGATAGTAGCTTGGGTGCACCTTTGGAAAGCACTTGCGAGTGGAAAATATCCTAGGATAAGCTCCGAGATCTACCCGCAAGCGCTTAAGCTATGCCGAAGTGGGTTGTCCATGGGCACGTTGGTGCGACCAATATGCTGAATGCAAATCTAACCAATGCTAAATGGAGCATCGGATCGCAATGTAATCTCGTGCAGTCGTGCGGCACAAGCGTGCGGTTTGCATGGGAGGTGAAAGATGCGAGTCCCAACGCCGAAGGCAATTCGATAAGCAATTTCGGTGTATCTCCTATGTACATGTCCCGCGGCTTTTACAGCAGCACCGACTGCGTGATTCAATAATCCATAATCTAGTTGCTCCGGGCGCCCTCCTTGGCAGCGCGCAGCTCGTCCATCTTGGCCACGCGCTTCTTGAACTCTTCGTACTGGCATTTCTCGTATGAGTGGCGTTCATCCTAGAAAAAGCAAAGAAGAACAGGTTAGCGAGCTGCCTCTGGAGGGTATTATAACGGGCCAGTTCGAGTATCGAGACCAGGGATTTCGTACCTCGCACTTCCAGGGAAGGTAGTACTCTGCTTGGCGGCACCGGTTCAACGGAATCAGAAGGTGTGCGCACGAGTCTCTGTATTGCATGGGGAGACGCGCCTCCGACATCTCCTGGCGGGTTGCTGGGATCCGGTCAGCTTTCCTGCAAGAGCTTGTGATTGTTGGTCAATGGCATCAACTCTTACCAGAATTCTCTGCGAGACCCACAGCGCTCTTAACGGACTCGAGGACAGTCATTTTATCGAGAATTGCAGTGTGGAAAGGCAAAAAGCGGGGACTTAAGAGGGCAGCGCGGCGTGGTGGGCGATTCCCGTTGGTTTGAGGTTCTACTGGGCCGATGCCAATCACATGACTTTAAGTCACATGACATAAAATCCGGGACGGGACTAGCGCGCACTTTACGCGTCCAGCGCGTACTTTCGATGCCGCCGCACCTCCAGCTCCACCGATTCGTGTCTCTGCGCTGCGGTCCGGATTTTTACTGCATGCGATGCATCTAGCTGCGAAGCATTCTTGAACCGATCATTTTGCGGATCCTCAAGGCATCAGCATTCCGCAATAACGTGCTTGAGTGTCATATCGCTCATCGGGAAGCTACTGAATTCTAGCGTCCGACGGCGACGCACATTTGGCGGGGATGGAGAACGTCTACTCTGCTACTTACAGCAGCGTAAGTTCACTCTGAGACGAATACATCTACATCTCGCGCATTTATTCTTCGATTTGGACGCTGAACTGACACCCTCACTCCCAGGTCCCCGTGTACGAGTTCAAGCTTGAAACTGACAGTGTTATGAGAAGGCGACAAGATGATTGGGTCAATGCAACACACATTCTGAAGGCCGCCGGTTTTGATAAGCCTGCACGCACGCGTATCCTCGAACGAGAGGTGCAGAAGGGAGTACATGAAAAAGTACAGGGAGGCTACGGCAAATACCAGGGTATGTTTCGGGTATCTGGGACCGGGGTGCCGAAGCTCATAGTCAACCCGCTGACCGAATTGCGCACAGGAACATGGATTCCACTCGCGGAAGGCCGCCAGCTTGCGGAGCGGAACAACATCCTTACAAAACTTGCTCCCATCTTCGATTATGTCGCGGGAGATCGCAGTCCTCCACCAGCGCCGAAACACACATCAGCCCCATCAAAACCAAGAGCACCGAGGAAATCAGCCGCCGCAAATCGTGCTGCCGCTGCAGCGGCAGCGGCGACGGCGGCGGCAGCAGCCGAGACCTTGAGAGTTGCTCAGTCTCAGCGCAGCATGGGTCCGCCAACCATCCCGCACGATCACTATGAAATGAACACAGGATTTGACGACAATGAGTCAATTGGGAATGCTACAGTTGAATCATCTTCAATGATGGCGGACGAGGATATGCTTCAAATGTCGCATGGCGGACGGAAGCGAAAGCGTGGAGTGGATGAGTCAATCGCCATGTCCATCAGCGAGCAAGACCACATCATCTACGGCGACCAGCTTCTAGACTACTTCATGACCGTGGGTGATGCACCAGAGGCGACACGAATCCCTCCTCCCGAGCCCCCCGCGAATTTCCAAGTTGATCGACCTATTGATGATTCTGGGAACACGGCACTCCACTGGGCCTGTGCGATGGGTGACTTGGGCATTGTGTCAGACCTTCTACAGAGAGGAGCTAATATGAAAGCGCTTTCTGCTCATGAAGAAACCCCGCTTGTCCGGGCTGTCTTGTTTACCAATAACTACGAGAAGAGAACGTTCCCAGCTCTGTTGGATATGCTCATGGATACCGTCAATTTCCGAGACTGGTTCGGCGCCACGATCTTCCATCACATTGCAGAGAATACCCGAAGCAAGGGAAAGTGGAAGAGTTCACGTTACTATTGCGAAATACTTGTCGATAAGCTGTGCAAGACATGTTCGCAAGAGGAGGTTCAAATGTTGTTGTCATGTCAAGATCAGAACGGAGACACCGCTGTCTTGGTTGCTGCTCGCAATGGCGCATTTCGTCTAGTGGACATACTGCTTGTGCATTGCCACCGAGCTGGCGATCTGATGAATAACAAAGGGGAAACCGCTGCCAATATTATGGAGCGTGCTCATCTTCCTGGCCATGACAACCCTCCAGCCCCATCTTCCGTGACCATGGCAAATGAGCATGTGGACACGGAGGCAGGTGGTCTGGTGGCCACCGATCAAAATCCTGTTCCTCTAGCTTCCAATACCCCTGCGACTTCGGAGCTCCTCTCCAAGATCGGCACGATTATGGCGGAGGCAAACAGAAAGCTGGCAGTGACCTATGGCAACAGCTCAAAGATCAACCAACCAGATTCCAACGATGTCGCCGATCCTGAAGCATTATACGAACAACTGGAGTCAGACCGCCAGAATATCCAGAAGCAGATCTCGGAGTTGTCGGCTAGAGAAGCTGAGCATGAGCGTAATGATGATCAGGCTGGGCGATATGCGAAATTGAGGGCAAGCTACGAATCTCTTCTGGAGCAAGTCCAGCATGCTGGTTTGGCGGAGCAGTTTGCTGTCACAGAGTTACCGAAACCGACTCCAGAATCCTTTGAGCAAGACGAGCTATTGACCCGATACCAACTTGCCCAAGAGCTCTGCTCCGCACAGAAGATCCGTCGCAATGCTATCAAGGATCTAGCTCAGCAAACAGCCGATGCGGGTGTGAGCACCAAGTTCGATATGCACCGCAGGCTAGTAGCTTTGGCGACCGGGCTCAAGGAAGAGGACCTAGATCCTATGGCCGCGGAGTTGGCTGAAACGCTGGAATTCGATCGCATGAACGGCAAGGGCACCCCTCCGGAACCCGGCCATGAACGCTTACCATCCCAGAACGAGTCGACTACCATCCCTGACTCCGGTGTCCCCGTGGATGCCTAGATACATGGTGGTCATTCGTTCTGATCATATTTCACGATTCATTGATTTTTCTTTCGCCTGGCACGCTATCTCAGCAGATACCCCGCATTTCATTATTCTTCGTTTCCAGTATCTTTTATTATTTCTTCTCGTTGGATCATTAACCCATATCTGTGTTTCTGCATTCACACTTCCATTTGATTCGCATGACGATACGCAGGATCGAGAGCCACATCTGTTGGTTCTGCCGGACATTCGAGCACAGGCTGTTGAACTACCTCTCTCGTTCAAGGGTGGGGTTGTACAGATCATTGCCGTGCTTGTACATAAGGGTCGTCGGTTCCGATGGGACTTGGTGCGATATGAGAAGCTAGGAAAGGCCGAGATGCACATGTACGATACATTAGGGTGCCGAAAGGCATGATTCATAGGAGCGTTTATGTGCAATAATCCAACCTTTTGATACTCTGAGTTGTCATGGTTTATCAATCGTAGAAGACTACGGTCATATATAGGATCTGGCATGGGTACAAGGTCCGCCGCTGTACTCCGTAGTGCATGGACTTTAGAGTACCGACATAGTTGTGTAAGAGAGCGTGGAGCGATCTTCACGGTGGATGATCTCCATTGACGCCGTTAGGGAGTTCCCTGGGATCGGCAGATCATCAACTCCCTAGGTTCAAAGGTTGTGTCGTCTACTATCAGCTCCCGCGTACGAAATCCGATACAGATCACCGCGAAGAGCGCAGAAGGTCTGCTTCATCAGTTGGAATCAGCAATGGCATTTCGTTCTGCGCTTTTTGAAGTTACAGTTGGATCTGGCTTTAGGCACCAGTGTCTGTCGGAGAACCATCTGCTCAATAAAGTTGGATCTACATCGGATCATCGTCTCTTGCTCCACAAACCGGGGCCCCTGGTGGACCAGCTCGAATATTCCACATGGAATGCGGTGACGCATTATGTGAGCTGGACGATAAGTGTAATGTTGATGAATCACCCTGAAGATAGCGAAGGGAGCTTCCAAGGTTGTTGATTGATAACGAACAAGTATCGGAGGCTGCTGATGCGTACTTTGCCCTTGATGACGTAGGATCTCAACGATCTGAATGTCTTAGCTGATAAGGGATATGAGACAATGTGATTTTCGTGATTTTCTCGGATATCCTTTCTACGATAGCTCGGGCAGAAGGTTGAGGAGAAGGATGCTGCATATGGCTGGGGCGAGTGATCTCCAAGCGGACCTAGATCTGGGACCCGGTCAGATTGCCTTCGAAATCGAGAAACATTATCAAGGCTATGCACTGAGTATGCAGAATCCGCGGGAAGTATCCGAGCCCATCAAATCGACACGGTTCTCCCATATTTCGGAAGACGATTAATCCGCAAGACATTGGTCCGAGATATCCGCTCAGCCCTGAGGCCTGAACGTTCCGGATTCATGTGTGCAAAGCCCCGGGTTGAAGAATCCTAGCGGGAGGTCCTGTATGATGTATCTGCTGGAGTTCTCCAATTCAAACCTGTACCTAGATCCAAACATACAAAAAGTTTGGGTCCTCTCGCGTGGTTGTGGCGACAGGGAGAATCGTCTTAAACTTGACCCATGCCGCAGCAAACGAGGTCTAGAACTGGGGATCAGGATCCTGATCATCCTGTCCACAGTATGAGCAGAGAACGGAGGAAAACCAAAAACACAGAGAGTGGCGAAGTGTTTCAGGCCCACTGGAGACGGGCATGGGCTCGCTAGTTGGTCGGCCTAGTCGCAGTAGCGTAGACAGAGGAGTCTCTGGTCGATCAAGATCACGAGAAAACCTGGGGAATTCGCATAGAAGATGTCGATGTACGTATATTAAAGAGAAGAAGATAAGTAAATAGAATAGTTCAAGTCTTTCAAACTCCTAAGAATTTCAGACGGTCCGAGTTGTGAAATTTGAGTCTCTCCCCCTCTCGTAAGTCATCTTCCGTCACACCCCCCAAAGTCCTCAACCTCATCTTCTCTTCTCCCTTTCTCACTCCCCTCTCTATCTTACACCCCCCAACAACAAACCCCTCACCATCGTCTATAATTGCCCTATTCTTCCTCGTTATATTAGGAAGATCATCTCTATCTATTCAACCCTCTATCGCCCCCATCGCCCGAGCCGCGAAACGGATTGATCAAACAACAAGGTGGCCCGACAGGGCTGCCAGACCGATAGAAAATGTCTGGTCATATGTCATCAGAGCACTCTCGCTCTAATTCACGATCCTCCCGAACCCCGAGAACCTCCCAGGGGGAGTCGACACCTCGCCACTCCTTCGGTCGCACGTTTTCCAATCCCAATGTCTTCGCCGACGAATACGCATTAGAACCGATTGACTCGGACCACATCGAACGCCCACACAGTCCCTCCTCTATCATATCCTCCGCTACTCTTCGTGAAAACACACAATCAAAGACTGTCAGCACGGCCACAACCGAGAACGAGAATCCTTTCGGGGATGATGCTCGGGTGTCCTTGGATGAACCTCACCGGTCAAGTCTGCCCCAGAAGGGGTACGGGTTTGCCAATAACCACAACCCCACCTCCTCTCTCAGCTCGACTCCGTCTTTGATTCAGCGGAATCAAAGCGTCTCTTCTCGTTTCTCGATTCCCCGCGCTCTCAGCCCCTACACCGGGGCTACCGGACCCAGCCATCCATACGGTATGTATCCCCAGGTGGGTGTCAGCCGGTCGCCTAGTGTCGGTAGTATCTCGACAATACGCCCAGTCGAACGTCCGCTCGAAGACTCGACTGGTCCACAGCACCCTTACGCGATGTACTCGCAGAACGTGGTCGAAGATGGAATGGATGACGAAATCATCCCCGTCGGATTTCCAGGCCATAACCAACCATATCAGCCGTCCGCTGGTCGCCCGGCTGATGATGTGGGCGATATTATTGGACCGGATGGTCACGCAGAGCCCCTACCGCCTTATTCACGCTATCCAGCTGGAGTCATCCCGAAGCCTCCAACGCCGGAGATCATGGCTGACCTCAATACCGCACCGGAGGAACAACGTCTCAACAACGAAAGTCCAAGGCCACCGCCGATTTCAGAAACCTCCTCAAGGGCTTTGGTGCCTGAACAATCGGCCGAGGAAAATAATGAGGGAAACAGAGAGGAACGTGCCGTTGCGACTACCGGCATCATGGCCTTTGAAGAGAAGCTCAAACGCAAGGGGAAAAAGACGGCATGCTGTGGCCTTCCGGTGTGGACCTTGGTTCTCATTGGAACGGTGATGTTGATCGGTGGATGTATTGGAGGTGTCATTGGTGGTGTCTTGGGAACCAAGAAAGCCGCAGAGGCCTCCAAAGCAGATGAAGAAGAGGCTCAGAAGTCTCGCACCCCACCGATTGTGACGGTCACCTCGGCTCCACAGATGGACGCGTCCCTGATCCCCACCCCTACAAACCTCAAGACCATTCCTACCGGCCACTACATGGTTCCTGCTGGTTATCAGAATGGGTCGGGACTTTGCGTGGACGAGTCAAATTACGGAAAAGCCTGGAAGTGTATGCAAGCGCCGGGTGAATTGGACGTCTATGTCGGCGAGACGAAAGGTCACCATTCGATCGTTTTCGACTACGGAGCCCCCACCACGACCTTCACATATGGTGCCCAGGCACCATATTGGCCTGCCGAACCCACGCAAGCATTGCGGATGGCCATTGATACCACCGATGCGGACCTGGGCCCTGCTTTGTTCTTCCTCGCTCCTTTCGACAAACTGGTCATTGTTCCCGAAGACACCTTCTCTAGTTCTCTTTCCCGTCGGTCCTATGTCGACGACGGGTGGTCGCAGGCTGATGCGTACAAGAGCGCCACGCAGAGTGTAGAAGTCGGCGACAAGCCGTGGTTCTGTTGGTGGAATAACACGATGATGGAGTTCTTCATGTACGTCAATCAATCGACGTCTTATTCCGTGGGCAGCACAGCCTCGGTCAACAGCGACATGGCATCCGGCACGGCTGGTGTACATGTCGACAAGCGCGTCGACTCCTCGGTCGACGATTACCCCCGGCGCATCAAAATCGAGGAACGGCGAGACGACCCTACACGTTTGTCTCCATATTGCCAGCAGATGCAAATCCGCAAGAATGGCGGGCTGGCGCTTCTCTCGGGCCAGATCATCAACATCGAGGAGAATGAGCCCACACCCACTACGACCTCGACGGGCTATGTGGGTGGCAGTCCCCAGACGTACACTGCGCAGGCATCCTACGCCAGCCCGTGCTACTGTGTGTCTCTGACTGACTAGTCGGGGGAATCTGCGTATCATTTATTCATTGTGGTCTGGCCGTGGACCTCGGCGTCGGCGTTGGATAGGCCTCATGTGCACATGATTATCTTTCTTGAGTGTGTGATTTTATCTTCCCCGCAAGCTACTGGCCTTGTGGGATGTCTTCGTTTTGCATCCTGTCTTTTTGCTTGCCATTGTGGCATGACATGATTGTCTGGGTTATTTTGATTTTATCAGCTCTTTTGAGGCGTTTATTGGATTGGTAGGGCGGTACTGCGATATGTTTCCATAGTGTTTCATTTACTGTAAGATGTTGTCTTAGCATCTGAGCATTTCATCTCATGAAGATATTCCGTTGTAGCATTCTGTCAAGAGGTCATTAATATTACACAGTATGCTTAGAGACATCGACCCCACCTGTGTACAGATCCCCGCTCTACTCCGCTTCTACATCATCGAGTGTGATTTCAAGCCCTACGCCTGACTTGTCTGATGATCCTGTTTCTTCCATTCAACTTCCATTCGACCTTACAGTATCCAGATTGATCTCAAACTGACCAGACATAAGTCAGGACGTTGTCTATACTTCGAATAAACCACTACCACCACCTTTCTTAACTCCTCCATTAACATATCCAAATACAAAATGGCACCCCCAACCAACCGCAACGAAATCCTCGCCCGTCTCCGCCAAAACATCGAATCCGGAACCCCCATCATCGGCGCCGGAGCAGGTAAGTAGCCCGTATACCATACCTCGTACACATATACCCAACCAGCTCCCAAACTAATTGTCAACAGGAATCGGCCTAACAGCAAAATCCATCGAAAAAGCCAGCGGCGATCTAATAGTAATCTACAACAGCGGCCGCTTCCGGATGGCCGGCCGGGGCAGCCTAGCGGGGCTAATGCCCTACAGCAACGCCAACGACGTCGTGCTCTCAATGGCGAACGAAGTCCTCCCGATAATATCTTCCACGCCCGTGCTAGCCGGCGTCTGCGCAACAGACCCGTTCCGACAAATGCCCCAATTCCTCTCTCAACTGCAAGACCTCGGATTCGCCGGCGTGCAAAACTTCCCCACCGTCGGTCTGATCGACGGCCAATTCCGGGCTAATCTAGAAGAAACCGGAATGGGCTTTTCGGCTGAGGTTGAGATGATTCGCACGGCGGCGAGTATGGGATTGTTGACTACGCCGTATGTGTTTAATGAGGAGGAGGCGGTTGCTATGGTTGAGGCTGGTGCGGATGTGATCGTTGCGCATATGGGACTCACGACGTCTGGGGAGATTGGGGCGAAGACGGGGAAGACGCTTGAGGAGTGTGTTAGCATTGTGCAGGGGATTAGGGATCGGGCGACGGCGGTTAGGGGGGATGTGGTTGTTCTTTGTCATGGGGGCCCGATTGCGAGGCCGGAGGATGCGGGGTTTTTGTTTGAGAGGGTTAGGGGGTTGCATGGTTTTTTTGGGGCGAGTTCGATGGAGAGGTTGCCGGTTGAGAGGGCTATTGGGGATGTTACGAGGGAGTTTAAGGGGTTGAGGATTTTGAAGTAGGTTGGGATTGGGCAGGGTGGTTTGGAATCTGTGGTGATTTCTATGTATGCCAGTTTTTCACCAGCTTTTGATTGGTATTATACAGCCAAAGAGCAAGAGAAAAACGGACTGTTGCGTGGTAGCAATGCAATATCAGTCTCGATGATGTACATCTTCCTCGGAAAAGGTCGGAAGGTTCTTCGGTTTTGACATGGTGAGGTGCCATAAGAGCAAGTTGTAGTAGCAAGTTGTTTGTCCAGCAGACATGTAGCGAAGATAACATGGAGGGAGTATCGTGGCGTGGAGACACACGGCAGTTCGCCTGGATTAGGGCAATGTTACCACATATCCTGACGCCGAAAAGAAAGGATAGATTGGAGGATGGTAACACCATCCTTGCGAAGCCCAGCGAGTAAATATAACGCAGAGCGAGTGTTTTGCTCGGATGGAAGACTGGGAGGAAACCTCAACCAGGACCCATCGAGGATAATGCAGCGAATAGAGGCACAGCCACTCAGTCCCTTAGTCGATTTTCTCTTCATCCTCCCCTTCCTCTTGCTCTCCCTCTCCTTCCCCGTCTTGTTCTTCCTTGCCAGCCACGAGTCTCCCATACTGATTGTAAACCGGATCATCAGGATTATCGTGCTCCTTTGACCAAGGCCCGAAACCATCATCAAAGAGATCTCGTTCTTGGCCCTTGCAAATCTCAGCAAAAGTGATCCAACTCTCATCATCCGTCCAAATACCACCACGGCCGCCACGCACCTCCAACCAGTCCTGCCCGCCCAGCAGCGACGATTGAGCGGCGTCGAACCCGTGCGAGTCACGGACATATTTGCGCAGCAGCGCGCGAGCCCACGGGAAGAACCACATATTTTCCCACCAGACATTGCGAAGCTTAGGGTCATCGTCGAGATGGACGGTAACTGGCACCGTGGCGGAGTGAACGTTCGTCATCAACGAGATATTGAGCCAGGAGTGGTCAGCCGGGCTGGGGAGCTTGTCGAGCGTGGCATTCCATGTTGGCCTCTGTGTTGATTCCTTTGCGAAACGAGACTGAACGAATGGATTCGGGAGAGCGGCAATGTCCTCCGGCAGGAGTAGACGGTGCTCGCGTGGGACGCCGTGTTGCATCTGCAGCGCGGACATTTTGGTGATGTTGGCATACTTGACCCATTCGACATCTTTGCGGGACGAGTTCTGGCTGAAGAATAGCTGAGACTCAAAGTCAACGCCGATACCGTACTCGTAGCGGCGGCCTGCCTCCAGGTGGACACTGATCCCGGTAAGGTTCGTTGCATCGGAAATGCCAACCAAGTAGTACATGAACTCCTTGAAGGTGCTGACTGTCCGCCGCCGCTCCAATTCTCTAACCACCTCTTGCCGTCCGTACATCTGTGTCAGCGCCTTGTGGTCTCCAGACTTGTTCGCGTGCGTATCAACCAGCCGCAAGACCTCATCGTAGATGAGACGCAGATCAGCAGCCTGACCAATGACCGCTCCAGGGTTCAGCCAACGGGGTCGGTTCAATGATCCATCCGGATAGACATCGGTCTTCCAGCCATACACATCCGGAGGCAGTGATGATTCAGGGACAGATACGCAACCGGGGTCATCCAGCAACCCGGGATAGCACAACTTGCTTGCACCGAAGAGCACGCGCTGCGTATACTTCTGTACCAATTCAGACGGAGCATCATCCTTCTCGTCCTGCACTTGTGCGAATCCATACCGCTTCCGAAGCTTCTGGTTGTTCGACCGTACAATACTCTGGAATCGCTCGACCAGGACCTTCGGCGGCAATTGGAAAAAAGTATCCTCGCCGTCTACCATCAAGACAATGTCACGATCATGTACCGTCTTGCTATTTCGGAGGTAGTCGCGCGCACGCGTGATCCGCTCCACCATGCGCTCCGACTCGGTCGCCCCGGGGGACTCGTGTCGGTAACCGACCACCGTCGGCGGTGGATATCCGAGAATCATGGCCGATGTGAGGGTTCGACAGACCCCGCGGGAGCCCCGCGAGGCTGGGACGAGGACATGCAGGCGTGGGTTGGGCTTGTCCAGGCCGCTGGGAAGGGTGGTGTTCACATTGATATCGGCGCGGGGAGGGAGGATGACCTGTGCATCTTCCGGGCGCTCGGGGAAGGGGAATTGGGAGGGAAACCTCGTCCAGAAATCAGGTTCGACTCGCTGTGCGAATTGTTAGCTCTTTCTTGCTCTGCTGCCATCTGTCACCTGTGTCAAGCTCGGCGATCCCGGTATGTCCACGGTGCAGGGAGCGATCAGCGCTCACCTTTGTAGAAGGTTGTAAGAAGTAGAAGAAGAAGAGGAATGTTATCGCAACCAAGCCAATTGCTTTTGTTCGATGTGTTCGCGAACGACGGTGGAGGACCTGCCACAGCACCGTCGGGGATTTAGTTTGAAAGTGCAGAGGCGCGTCCGCCATCATGCAAGAATTGAGTCGGATCAGATATTGAGGAAAGCAAGATTGGACATTGTCAGGAACCAAATGGCACCAACCTTTGAAATTGTCAGGAGATACGCAGTCACCTCGTGTGGATGAGGTGGAGAGGGAGATCGGCGGTCGACGTTACCGGTTCGAAGTTACATCAGTGACAGCACTCAGTTAACTACTGTGTACTGTGTCTACTGTGCAATGTCTACTCCGTACCTCTTACATTGTCTTCTTTACGATCAAGATATCGATCATTACCCCTGGAATACGGAATGTTGGTCTTCTACCTTGCAGTGTAGGACTGCGCAGCACAACGATACGTCATAGACTCATAGCACGTTATCAGGACACGTCTGTCTATCAGGGGTAGTGGTCGGTATCAAGAGTCGACTCTGAAGATACTCCGTAGTCAATGATATGCTTACTTTGTAGGTAGAAAGCTCTATAAAGCTACAATCGCATTGAATCTGTTCTCGGGGTATTCCAGGCCGAGGGACTCGTACGCGAGTCCATACCGGTGATCAGTCGGCAAGCAATCCCGGGGGTATTGGCCACACAGTTTACTATTCTCACTGAATGCAAGATAATGTACAAATAGATTAACGTCTAGATAGAGAGAACCAGCTCCATAGAACACCCCATAATACGTGCCGTAGCATGATTCTCACTCTAAATAGATCTCCTCACGAAGACGCTGCAGATTCCTGAACAGCCCACCAGCCGGCGCACCGCTGTCACTATCCCGCCGACCCTCAGGCCTGGACCTACTCTGTCCACGTTGGCCCTGGTCCGCCACGGTCTGCTGCTGGTCCAGGGAACGCCGACGGTCATCCACAATCTTCGCCAGACTATCCACGAATCGATTGCGAGCTTTCTCCTCGGCCGAGGAATTCCACACAGTTGCCAGCGTCCGTAAAGCTTCGACGCGGCGGTTGGCGGCGTCCAGTCCGGCGCGTCCTCCGCCCTCGCTGTCGAGTAACTCGGTGACCTCTGTCCGCAGCTTCTTCATCATTTCCTGGCCCTTTTCTTCGCGATCTTGACCATCAGGCCCGAGATCGGGCCCTGAGACGGAGATGAAGGAAGAGGAGAATGAGATCTCGGAGGGTGGGAGCGGCCATGCCATTGCGTCGCCGAATGTTTGGACGACGTCTTCGAGACGAGATCGTACTTGGTTCAGTGTGCGGAGATTCGTTATATATTCTGGGTCTGTTGGAGCGGTGGACGCCTTCTTCTCTTCCGTGGTTGAGGGCTCCTCGTCCTCGTTCGTCGGCGCATCCTTTTCTGCTTGTTCGGTCTTGTGTGCATCTTCTGGCGAGGGCTCTGGGACGAAATTTGCTATGTCGTCGCGCAAGACTTCAGTCAGGGTTTCGGATAGTCCGATTGTCTCGCCTCGTAGGACTTCAACCTCGTAGGCGAGTCGTCCACCACTTCGGAGGATCTCATCGGTGAGTTGGGATAAAGTGCTCGAGAGCCGGATGTTTTGGGCGCTGACTTGGGAGAGAAGGGACTGGACTTGTGCGGATAGCTCTGTGAGGGACACAGCGCCGGGTGCCCGCGAGGCATTGGGTTGTGATGATGCCACAGTCAGCGGCGATAGGGATTCATTGAGAAAGTCGGCAGGGTCGAAGTTCGGGTCAGCGAAGTTGGGGGCGGCGGGTTGATTTGAGGGTTTGATGCCAGCTCGAGCTGGCGAGCTATGTGTTTGTGATGCCATTGGACTTGGTTTCGCTCCTGTCTTTTCAGCACAATTGTTTTGGAGAGCGAGCTGGCCTCCGCGGGGACAATCGATATCTCCGCGCCCCACCGCCTTCTGCCTTCCCCATGTATGGCCTCCCCTCATGCTGTTTTTTAGTCTGACTCTTTGTATCTCAGATCTACATAGCGTTAACAAACGAGAGGTTCTGATTTGTCTTGGTTCTCAGTCTCTCAGATTCTTCATTCTGCCTTGCGGGATCCCCCGGGAGTGTGCGACACGCGTACCTGCTATGTTGCCGTTTCATACCACGACTATGATTCTATGACCCGGCGAGATTAGGGTATCCGCGAGCTCGCGTGAGTGGCTACTTTATGAAAGACCAAGTTACGAGGATATGGTAGAGCGTGTTGGAAAATGTCCAGCCAATCTCAAGCCCTATATAACCAACATGCTGGCTACAGTCTACAGATTCATCGAGTTTGATATAGCTCCCTACAAGACTAAACCGTCTAAGGACCGCGCAGTCAGATTATCTTCAAGCTTCATTCCCGTCAAGTCAACAAAGATCGACCCTCATCAACTGAAGGGCATGGGATTGCATGCAGTGGTTCACACTGCTTGACGTAAGAGGCGTCACGCAGAGCCCACGGAAGATAGAATTAAAGTAGAGACCAGATAGCTTCATGGGATCCCTCTGCTCGTGAGTGTAAGTAATAAAGGTGCGTTATTGACTCCCGTCCGTTAGAGCCGGAGAGCATATCGATAGTATCGCGTAAATGCATACTTACACCGACCGATCTATGTAGCAAAGTGACCAATTTGAACCGATGATTCTCTTCTAACCAAGAACGCCTTTACCGTCCTGTCGCCTGTCATCAGTAAATGAAATCATACTCGGAAAGTTTCACGTAAACAAGGTACATCCATATCCAAAATTCCAAAATGGTATCATTTCCATAGCAGAGACATCAGAACCCTCAAGATTGACGGCTTCGAAGGCTCCTTGGGCCAATGTTCAAGGCCCATAAGATGCGATACAGCCAGCTGTGCCACGTACACACCGTAGCTTGTATCCACACAACTCCGCCAGGGAGACTCGACAAAAGGCCCAACTAGGCCGAGATTGGTGACTGATTTCGGGGTAGGGGAAGGGCGACTTTCGAGGGATCTGGCCAAAAGCGCCGAGCTCATCCTCGGCATCGCGCGTGGTATGGTAAGAGAATGCTCTAAAACTTCCGCGGCCATCTCGGGAGGCGGATCCAGATGATGTAGGATCTCGGACATGATCTCTGCACCAGAACACTCAAGCATGCTCTTTTTGACATGCTGTCCTTCCGCTTCGGGAAAGAGTGCAAAGCCCCAGAGGACACGGACGTCGTCAGACTGCTGAGGAAACACGGGTTGGATAGGGAGACAAAGCCTCAAGCCCCAGTTACTGTTGTTCATAATAATCATTGCACCAACCAGAGAAGTGCATCGTGATATGGTATGAAGGAATTCGACAAATTCAATGTGCTCGGTTGTGATAGTGAAGGATTCCAAGATAGACTCAGATTTTCGTGTGCAGAAAGTATAAGGGTTGCCATAATCCGGGAATTTGTTCCCAGCTTCTAGCCATAGTGCCCAGTTTGCGTTGAGGTGATCTCCTACTCCAATTGAGTGAGAAGCTGGCGGCATATCGTTCGTTCCGATCTCGGATCCCGACACAGTCGAGCCCGGCGAAGCAATGACGATGTCGTTATGTCCTATAATAATTTTGGAATCAAGCCCGTTGTGAGAAATAGCAAGCCGACTGATTGACCGACGATCTTGGACGACCGTGGTTTCAAAATGCCGTAATTTGATGCCGAACTGAAAATCGACGCCCTGGCTTTGGAGAAACAGATATAAGGGCAGATGTATTGACTCGTACTGATAATAGCCTGTGAGATCGAGGCAACTCAAAATGCTCAAGCTGTGTAGCCCGGATATGTATTGCCTAATAGCACGCCTGAATTCTATAGCGCTGTGCCAGGGCTGTAAACCGAATCTTGCATAGAGTTAGAACCAGGGAAATAATGCGTCGCGTTGTAGAATTACTCACTGTGTTGACCAGATTGTCCAGAATGTACTCTGAAAGAAACTTCCTCGAAAGAAACTACGGATTTCTTTTCCTTGTAGGCTCTCCTCCTTTTTCATAAGAAGACGTATTAAATGTATTCTGTGGTGGAGCCCCAAATTCAGCGACTTCGTCGGTAGGTGTTCGAAACCTTCATTCTTTTGGGCGATGAAACAGGTGTTTCCTTTTCTGCTCATGGCGGTTTGTTCTTGCTGTTGGATGTCATCGAGATAAGAGCGGCCCTCCGTCACGAGGGATGGAATCATATTGAGAAGCTCTGCCAACTCCAATCCACTAGCCGCAGGGAGACACCCAGCAAATTGATCATATCCGGCGTGCGTATTACCTTGCTGGTGTATCGCTTGCCGCAAGGAAAGGTGTTCATCGAGGATGTGCACAGCAGACGGACGTAAATGAGCCTTCTTTATGAGGTAGACTGCTGACGCTAGGGATGCCGTTCCACTTCCAAGGATCCAGGCCTCGGTTGTTTCTGGCGAGCGTCGGATGTATGTTGAGGTATCCATAGTGCGTATCTGATAGGCGAAGCGGGTTCAAATGCGCTGGACTGCTGCAACACATGTATGATGTCGAACATAGAAAAGCAGGACATCGAGCAGCATGCACCCGTCCCAACGTGAATACTGAAGCCACAAGACGGTGGCAACATGTGACGTTCCAGCCAGTTCAGCTATCGAGTCTAAAGACCGTCTCTTCAAGCTTCAGCCACCGTCGCCAAGATCGACTCATCGGTTTAAACTTTGGGGGGGGGGTGATCATGCCACATGAATGAAGGATCGCGTTCTATTTGAACGGACACGCAACAGCCAACGAAGACTGTTGATCGAAAGTGTTAGTGCTACTTCCTGTTGAGTCAGTTGACAGTTCATGCTTGAGTAGAATAACGTCTTACAAAGTAAATTGATACCCCCCGTCTACCTCTAAGGCTCTAACCTACCTGCCTAGGTGGTCCATGTCGATGACGCCGGCAACGTTACTATGTACCCACACTAAAGTAAGAAAGTCCTAACAATCTCAGGTTCAAGATACGAGACCCTTCACGCATCCGGAGGACCGAACCATGGATGAACCGTACTTTGATTGAGTGGGGAATGGGGATAAAGTGGCAGAATAAGTGACAGGTATGGGGCGGTGTCCGAACTGTGCCTTTCAGCTTACACCCGGTGTCACGTGTGGGTGCGCCAAGGCGAATCTGCCAACCACACTGTCCAGTGTCCACACAGAATCTGCCTTGCCAAATTCCCCCACTACATATTTGGAAGCAATATCTTCGACCAACCATGCCTAAAACCGACCAATCTGCCGAATCTCGTATGGCCGAGGCCTGCGAAGCGGCTAATCGCGAGAAAAGCCGAAAATCAGCAAGATTGCGCGTCAATATGGCATCCCTCGAAAGACCCTATTAACGATTAGGTTGGCTGTACGAGGGTGCACACCCTCATTGATGCGATTGTGGAGGGGTCTTTCGAGGGATGCCATATTGACGCGCAATCTTGCTGATGTTTGGCTTTTTCTCGCGGCTAAGGCAGAAATCAGAAGACAGTTGGTATGTAGGAAGGATAGAAAGAGATCTTGACCGATCCCGCCGAGACTGAGCGAGGCGAAAACATTACCTACTGCGCTTGAGTGTATTGCTGACGATGGTGACAGATGGATCCCCTATTCATATCCAAAAGCGGCGGAGCCCTCATGGAGGCCTGGTTAGACGGTCGTGAAGATCAATGGTTGGAACTTCGCCAAATGGCTGGATCTCTGATATATTAGCCAGCCAATGGCTAGATTATTCTATCGAGGCCACTCACCATCGTACAAAGTGGATGAAAAGCGTATCTTGATCTTCGATGGCCACGGCTCGCACCTCACCTTCGAATTCTTGCGAAGACCGCCATATCCTACCCTGCGGCTTTATACCTCATTCAACACATTTTTGCCAGCCGCTCGATGGCAAGCCATGCCTGAGCTATAAACAACACTTCCGAAACCTAAATAACGATCCATCTTATTGGGCGGGTGAACCGATGGGTAAGGACCGTCAGGCGTAATTTCTACGGGCGATCGGGTTTGTACGATCGAAGGCCTTCAACCAGCGAATCATTCGTGGACCAATCATTTAAAGATCGTGGCATTTACCCAGTTCATGAAGGTCTTAAGCAAGCTATCTAATGGGTGTGACAATATAACTACCCATCTACTAGTCGCACCTGCGGCCTGATCTTCGTTCCTATGGCTCCCGTACACCATCTCTCACTTCCATGACACCCGCACCACGTGAAGCCTACATGTCGGGGCGAGGAGCGCGGTCAACTGTTTATGAACCGGTCCGCAAAGGAGAAGGAGTTGCTTTCTGAGGAGCAGGGTCATGTACATAGCACCCAGCCTTAGTTTAGCACGTCCCCATGCCCCATGCCCCATGCCCCACGGGAGGCCCAAGGCAGCTGTGCTCTCACCGGCGGATGTTAATGAAATGCCAGGCCATACCATACCTACACCATCTCCGCCACCAGCCAACATCTCATCGTCTAGCGTTGAAAATACCCCTCCAAAACCAGCCAGCCGAAGCGCTTCAGAAGAATCAGGCAAGCATCAGGCAAAGCTATCAAAGCAACCGTACTTCTTCTGATAATCCTTGCGAATCGTCTCTCTTCTGCTGCGGCTTCTGTGGCCTTCCCTCCAAAAATCGGCCGAGGCGATGCAGAAGAGAGACGACTCGCAAGAGAGTAGTACTAGTAGTATCAGAAGAAGAGCTCCATACGGGATGATGTTTATCCGAAAGTCCCACCCCCACCTGTGCACGGACAGTCCAATATGCATTCGGATATAGGTATCTCCGAGCTCATGCTCTCCACTATGTACGTCCGTAGTTAGGTCCTGGGTAGAAAGCTTTAACTACGGAGCACACTTTACACTGTACTAGAATCCACCCACTCGAATCCGCCCAGTCGTCGCTTTCTCATTGAAGCTCTTTACCCTGAATCAGTTTGAGTACCTGCAGCTGCAGTAGCTGCTGCAGTTGCAGCTACACCTCAGCATGTCCAACGACGCGAAGGGGATGAAGTTCCCTGACGTCTCAGCAAAGCTGTCCGCGCTTCCCAAGAAATCCCTTTTCGAGCGCCAGAAGGCCGAGTTAGAGGCCAAACGTGCACGCGAAAAAGAAGAGACAGATGCGGTTTATCAGGATTTTGTCAAGTCGTTTGAGGATGAGGCACCGGTTGCACCACGATCGCTTGAGGGAATGAATTCATATGGTCGGGGTGGTCCTCCCAGGCGACACTTCCCAGCTTCCTCGTTGCGCCATAGTGGTCCTGGGACTTTAGGCCCTGCGCCATCATCTCTTTCCCACAAACGTGCCCACACAACCTTCCCTCCCTCTCATCACGACCACTCTAAATTTGCAAATACGCTTACTCCCTCTGAAGGTGACAGAACACTCGAGGAGGAGAGAGCAGCCGCGAAACCCACTTTACTTCTTGCGTCGCTCCCTCCCGGTACCTCCGTGTCTGTGATCAAGGCTTTGATTTCCCCGACCCTGAGCGTGGACAGTGTCAAGATTCTAGGCCAACCCGAGCAAACCGCTACCGAACGCAAGACATCTTCTGCACTCGTTACCCTTGCGAGTGACTCGGCCGCCTCCCAGATTGATGCAACCGTCAGTGCCCTTCAGAAGAAGTACCTTGGCTTCGGGCACTACTTGAGCATCTCTCGCCACCTTTCTTCTGCTGTGCTGCATTCACATATACCTTCCTCGTCGACTGCTTCTCTTCCCTTCGGTGCCAAACCTACCATGCCGAACCCCGGCACTAGTTTGAGTCGGGCCCCACCACCAGGCCAACACCCCGGGGGATTCGCGCCTCCAGCCTCCTATGGACCCCATGTTGGCAGGACTGGCCCAACTACTCAGATCGAGGTCACCCTGCCGTCGGACATAAGAGAACTGAGACTCATTCACAACACGATCGAGCGTATTCTGAAAGAGGGCCTTGAGTTTGAGACACTGTTGATGAGTCGATCAGAGATTCAACAGGATGAGAAGTGGTCTTGGTTGTTTGACGCAAGGTCGCCTGGCGGTGTATACTACAGATGGAAATTGTGGCAAGTCATGACGGATCCTAAGAGACGAAGCATGAACAAGCCGGCCATGATCTTGGAAGACGGTCTTAAGTGGATAGCCCCCAAGAAGGATGTCCTATTTGAGTACGTCACTCGCATGGACGAATTCGTGGAGCATCCCGACTACGACTCATCTGACGAAGAAAACTCGGATGGGGAACCCGACAATGCAGACAACGATGGTCCCAACTACATGACTCCTTTGAAGAAGGCTAAGCTGGTTTGGCTTCTTGCCCGACTTCCCACGACTCACGCAAAGCTTCAGCTAAAGCAGACCGCCGGAATCACACACTTTGCAATCACCCACGCAGGAACAGGCGCAAACGAGGTTGTGGACGTGATCATTCGAAATGTTCTCAACCCTGTAGTTTACTCGGCGGCCATTCCACATCTTGACCTGGAGAATAATATCGCCGATCTCGAGGGGTCAGCCATGGACAATCCAGCCTCTAAGGAGTTATTGGATACCTCCCCTGCGAAACTCGTCGGTCTTTACGTCATCTCTGATATCCTTTCGTCGGCATCAACTAGTGGCGTGCCTAAGGCATGGCGATACCGCCAGTTGTTTGAGAACGCTCTCCGCTCCCGCAAGGTCTTCGAGCACCTCGGACGACTGGAGAAAGACTTCAAATGGGGACGGCTGAAAGCGGAGAAGTGGAAGCGCACCGTTGGATTCCTCCTGGATTTGTGGGAGGGATGGTGTTGCTTTACCCATTCCAGCCAGGTGCATTTCAAGCAAGTGTTTGAAAAGCCGCCCCTGACGGAGGAAGAGCTACGAATACAGGAGGAGACAGAGAAGGCTAATGCAGAGCGCGCTGCTGTTGCGTTTGCCAGAAGCAAGAACCGATGGAAGACCGTCGATGCGGATAAGCGGGATGGAAAGTTTATGAGTGACACCGATGGTGTGCCAATGGAGAATGGCACCCGCGAGGACTGCCATGGTGTCTCAATCGGAGACAACGCCTTGGGGCATATGTCAGGTGCTTCATATGGACACGACAACCCAAATGATGCTGATCATGCAGCAATTGAAGCCAGTGACCTCGACATCGGTGTCGGAAAGCCCATGACCGAGACACTGTTGGGCAATGATGATACCCAAACTCAACAACCACACTCCTCTGACAAACTCAAGCAATTACCTGGGCAGCAAGAGACCGGAACCCGACGACTCAAGCCGCGTCCCAAAGCTGAAGACATGTTTGCATCGGATTCGGAGTGAGATCGGGCAGTATTGTAATTGTACGGATTATGGAGCTTCATCGAACGAATAGTGTTCGATAACCGGAGTTTGAGACTGAAGGCTATGACTGACGGAAGTAACGAACCAACATAGTGTAACGAGTACATAGCAACAATGCATAGTTGAAAGTTCCAGTTCTTTAGGTCAAAGAGGGCGGCTCTTGGGCGATAAGGCAGCCAGGCATCAGCGGCAGAACATTTCCTGCCCCACAACCCCTCATCAACAAATACCTTCATCCTTCGCGCTCAACTTCTTACTTCCAAAGACACTCGCATCACCTTAACCAAACTCCCTCCAAACCACCATAAATCCTTCACAATGGCTGGTATGTCCTCTTCTCCCTTCTAGCCCGGCTATACCTCACTAGGAGGTTAGAGGGATCCAATCCCCTGATTCCGGACGGCAACGTGTGACTTCGTTGCGCAATGCGATGAAATGACTCAAGGGATACATGCAAAACCAAATGGACGAGGACCTGGCTAACGAATCCTACTTTTTATACAGACTTCCAAGCAATCTCTCGTACGTTGTATCCCTACGCACCTCAGACCTCTCTCGATTCAACACGGCGCCAACTCCCGGTCATTTGACTATAAAATGATGCGCCAGATGGGATAGTATACATAGAGGCATCCATTCTGACTGCAATCCTACCTATAGAGCAATTTGTTCAGTTCTACTACCAGACCTTTGACCAAGACCGCGCTGGTCTGGCCGGCCTCTACGTAAGCCCCGCTCTCGGGATACCCTTGCCGACGACTTCTGGAGCAAGCATACTAATTATATATTTTCCAATGAATAGCGTGACCACTCTATGCTCACGTTCGAGACCTCCTCCGTTCAGGGTGTTGCCTCTATCATTGAGAAGCTCGGCGTTCGTCAACCCCCACCCGACTCAAGCGAGTCAATCGACAGAGAAAACCTTCCAATGCTAACTTGTGTCGAATATACAGGCTCTCCCCTTCCAGAAGGTTCAGCACCAGATTGCCACCTTTGACGCCCAGCCCTCCAGCGCAGACGGCATTATCGTGCTGGTCACTGGTGCCCTTCTGGTATGTTGAATAACTATCATTACTGGAATTTTCTCTTGGCTAATGTCAATTTCTTTTCTCTCTAGGTCGACGAGGAGCAGAAGCCCATGAACTACACCCAGTGCTTCAAGTTGCAGCCTGATGGTGCTGGAAGCTACTTCGTTCTCAACGATATCTTCCGTCTGGTCTACAGCGCCTAGTAAATTAGGGGACTCGAAACAAATACCACGATGCAATGAAAGGGGAAACAAAGTTCCGGAGAAGCATGTCTTGTAGGCGACTGTGTTGAACATTCTATATTGGTCCCGGGACATATTCCTTGACTAGTGATATGCCACACGAAAGATATTCTACTTCTGGACGTGCGATCATTCTAGAATGTCAACTATATAGTCTCGTCCTATCAGGCCACAAGATAGCAATATTTCACATCTTCAAGCAAAGCGCATCCGTGAAGCATGAATCACTGACTCTGGAGCAGCGGCGTCTCCTCTGTAGATCGTTCATGTGCAGGCTCTTGCTGAGCGTCTTCAGCATCAGCCAACCCATTGGGCGCACCATTCGCAACAGCAGGCTCCCCGGCCTCACGCTTGTTGGGCCCGAAGTACTCAAAGTAGATCGCCATCATCAACAAGGTACCCTGTAAGCAGGCTGTAACGACCAGCACGCCCCAAATGCTCCAACCACTCCAACCCTTGCGAACAGCCAAACTGGCAGCCCAGACAAGACTCCCCGGTGTCTGGATGCACATCATCGGGATACTCAAGCTCCCGACGCATCGCAGCCGGAAAGTAGTGTAGATCTGTGGGAAGTACTGAATAGATGCCAAGACAGCAGCCAGCACACCCAGGAAGTTCGCCCAGGCCGGGACAGCATCTGGCTGACGCAGCTCGAATGCCAAGGAGAGAGCGACCGTGACAAGCGCATGTAGCAGGCAAATTCCAGTCACAACGAGCGCGGTGCGATATGTCGGTCCGTCGGAGGAAGACGCCGTGCTTACTGGGTCTGTGGGGGAAGTAGCGCGGGGGAAGTAGATCACGAAGAGCAAAAGACTAGATAAACACCGGGTTGTCAGACAAGCTTGAAAGGATGTCGGTCGGGAATAAGAAGGTCGAAGATTGGGAATCGCTCATGGTCATTACTCACATAGAGAAGAAACATAGCCACTGCATGCCCATTTGCAATATACCCAGCAGGCCTGCGAAGCATGCGAACCCGCTGATCTCCTTGCAGCAGGCGACATCTTGCGCGGTGGATGGGAAGACCAGAATATTGGTGAAGGCTGATGTGCCTGATGTTACACCTAGTAGGATAAAGTATGGAGAGATACCGAAGGAGCTTCGTCGAGAGATGATGCGGATGTGTTGGGGGAGGTATGAGAAGAGGATGCCGAACACGATCAGGCTATGGGATCTTGTCAGTGACTAGGGACTGTTGAGCTTAGATGGGGAGCACATACATGGAGAGCACAGTTTGAATTATGCCTGGCGAGGCCAGCTCGCGGCAATACGGTGTTAATGGGTCCATTTGGTGTGTTGTTGGATCCAAGTACGAAGCTCAGATGAGGAGGTCTCGGGGTCTTGGGGCTCGTGATAGCAGGTGATCACCCCAGGGTCAAGTTCGTCACATCGGAGATTCCCTTTTTACTTGATCAAGCTGAGAGAAGAATCATTCAAACTGAGAAAGAGAAACAGTCATGGCATCACATGATGATCTTGTAACTACCTCGTCGGGCATCCATCAGTGCCTTGATTCCTTGATGCCTTAATGCCTTAGTGCCTAGCCGCCTTCATCGCCGTCATTCTTCACGCTAGCGCCATTTGTATACTCCGTGTAGAGCTCGTAGCTATCTATAAAGTCCTAGTGATATATACAATGTTTCTATCGTCATAATAACACTAACAACCTCCCCATTGCTAACAAAGACTATGAATCACGAATCATGAATCATGCACTTCAAGCTCTTTCTTTTTTTCGTGGACCAAGGCAAATTCCCCAACTACGTCACTGCGCTATCATCCCTGCTTGGCCTCTTTCTTGCTTTCGCAGCTTAAAAGCTCGCCGGCTCCTTAATCTTTCCACTTTTCAAACATTTACTCTGTAAGTCAACCCTCAGCCTCTGCTCTGGCAAATCATTCTACGATACTCATACATCATCCAGTTCTTGTTGAGATACCAAATCGCTCTCTATCAATCTTAGAAGCCAATATGAAGTTGAATTTGGCCACAGGCCTCGTCTGCCTGCTCGCTTCCACTGAGGTAGTGGCGGCTAGCAGCTGGTGGAGCAAGGCTGGTATGTCTTACCTGGTCACAAACATCGTCTTTGCAAGCTAATACCATGAACAGTTTACAACAAGTGGCACGAGACAGAGCTTGAGCGATGGCTCTCAGACCATGGTATGTACCACCTCTTGTCTTCTCCGATATCTGTATACTCATACTCCATCCAGACATCCCCTATCCCACTCCTGCCGACCGCCGTGACCTGGAGAACCTCGTCAAGAGCAACTGGGAGTCCAGAGTCCAGAAGCCCCTTGGACAAGCTGCCGACCAGGCCAGCCATGAGCTGCACCACGCCAGAGAATGGATCTTTGATACGTAAGGAGCCTACCATCCCTTCTACTGAAAGCTAAATGGAAGCTAACCGATATAGTTGGTCCGACTCTCAATTAAAGGCATTCCTTGATCGCCACGGCATTCCAGCTCCCCAACCCCGCCAGCGCGACAGCTTGATCAGGGCCGCGCGTGAGAACTACGAGAAGATCGCCACCAAAGCCGGCGAGACTGTCTCATACCCTGGAGACTGGGTGTATGCTCAGTGGGCCGATTCGGATCTCAAGGAATGGCTCGACGAGCGTGGATGGCCGGTGCCCCAGCCCACCACCCGCGACAAGCTCATCGCATCCGTTCGCCGCAACTCTCGCATTGCCAGCTTCCAGTCCAAGAGCATTCTTGCGTCTGCTTCCGCTGAGGCCGAGGCTGCTAAGGAGTCTCTGAGCGAGCAGCTCTTCAGCGCCTGGTCCGACTCGAAGCTGAAGGAATTCCTCGATGAGCACAACGTCAAGGTGCCCCAGGGCTCGAAGCGCAATGAGCTCATTGCTCTTGCCCGTAAGAACCGTCACTACCTTTCCGGCCAGGTCTCAAGCGCATCCTCCGCTGCTTCCTCCGCTGCTTCAGATGCGTTTGGCGCCGCCACCACCAAGGCTGGAAACCAATATGCCCGTGCTACCGATCTGGCGAAGCTGAAGGCCGAGGATGGATTCCAGGCCGCATTGAATGGCTGGTCTGACTCCCGCCTCAAGGCCTTCCTTGATGCTCGCAGCGTCCCCGTGCCACAGAACGGCAAGCGTGATGAGCTCGTCGCTGCTGTCCGCGCCAACGCCCACAAGGCTGCCGGTGGATGGAACCAGTACAACTTCGATACCTGGGATAAGGAACACCTTGTGTAAGTGCACACGCCTGTCCATTTGCTATAATCTCTCACTGACTGACATCATCCAGGAAATACCTCTCTGCTGTGAACAGTAAGGCAGCCAAGAAGGCCGATGCCTCGCGCGAAGAGCTCGTCAAGAACGCCGAGGAATACTACGCCAAGGCTTCCAAGGCCGGCGGCGAGCAGTATGCCTCTGCGACTGCTGCTCTCGCCCAGGCAACCGGAACCGCCAAGGATGCTACCTTCGATCAGTGGTCTGAATCCGAGCTCAAGAAATACTTGGACAACTACGGTATTCCTGTCTACCAGGGCTCGAGCATCAACGAGCTCCGTGCCGCTGCCCGACGTAACGCCCAGTATTTCAAGTACGGCACCACCAACCCTCAGGATACCATCTACGCCAAGGCTGTTGAGACGTTCTACTGGATCGTGGACCAGCTGAAGCTTGGTGCTGCTAGTGGCCGCGCCCAGGGTTCTGAGGCTGCTGAGAAGGTTCAAAAGAAGGTCGTGAATAACGCCGAGAGCCTGCGTGGAGAGCTGTGAAGTACTCTCCAGGGTATCTGACGTTCACATTTCTTTCTCGGTGGTTTCCACTACGAAGTCGGAATGCCCGATTGGTTGTGTGATAATTTCTTAAGTTAACGATGATTATGACATTTGTTGTTCCGGGACAGATATTAGTTGCTTTCGAAGGTCTTTAATTGGTGTTATCAATGACAAGTCTCAAAAATGGAAGGGACGTTACTTTGTAATTGGGTTTGAATATCAGGCGCTGGGCGTATATAAAATGTAGACGCAATTACCCGTTATGCTTTGCAAATCAACTCCAACATTCGATTTGGATGCTTTTGATACGTTATCGAAGAGTAGTCACATCACAAACCCCCTGTTTGTTTTCAAGGTGACGCTCATCTCTAACCGCTGGCTGCTGCCCCACCAATATACTCCCCTCCATTCCTCCCTGCGCAAGGCGCGCGCTTAAGAATCCGGAGCATCAGGCGAACCCTCCGCAACCAACTTGCCAACAACAAGATACTTCTCCAAAAAGCGATCTTCCCACGACTGCAGGTTTTCCAACTGCTCCGCATCCAATCCCTTCAGGTCATCCAAGGGCGCCGACAAATCCTTGGTCAACATCTCCTCATCGAAGCTCTGACAAGCGAGACCGCGCGAAGCATCCCTGCCAGCAAAGTTCTCGTAAGGACCACCCTGTCGATCCGCATTGTCAGCTTCAGCTCTCCAGCAGTGCAACTAACGGCGCAAACATACCGGTCCATAGAAATTCCTGCCAGGGGTAACGTCGAAGACACGGCCGCGGACGGCTAAGTAGACGGGCTTGTCGTTCTGGCCATTGAATTCGATAAGCGTCTTTGGGGTGTAGGTCTTGTAGACTGCCGGTGGCGGGCCGCGGGGGAGGACAATGGGTGCTTTGGGGCGGAAGTGCCAGTAGAGCAGGACACCAAATAGGGAGACTAGGATTAGGTTGATTGGCGTTGCGATGGACATGCTGTTGGGTTTCAGGTTAGTTGGTTGTTGTGTTATCCGCTGGATGTCGCGGTTAGCTTTGGATTGGGGACTAACACTTCGGGCTGTGGGACTGGATTTTCTGCTGTTTCACTATGTTAGTCGTCAGACCATAGAGCTGAGACACGTGGGACATACCCATGATGAAGGTTGTCTAGAGGGAGGTTGGAGAGCGGAAGCTCGGGATGACATATTGTTCCCCGCCTGGTTCCACGTGATAGGGCCGATCTATACTTTTCTACTGTGGACAATCCGAACTGATCTCATGTCTACTTCTACTTCTACTCCTACGTCTGTGTACTTTGTTGGTTTATTATACAAGACTATCTCTACCATGTACATACACCCTGGCATGTGAACTCGCTCTCGGACTGCAATTTAAAATGACCATTTTTTCCCTATTTTCCTTCGGTGTTTCAAGCTCTCCACTTAAAATAGCCCCCGTTTTGATCGGCCCAACTGCCCTTAGCGGGTCATTTCCATGTTCTGGACTCGAATTTCTTCAATTTTTGTCAATCAAGTTTCTCGCAGATTCAACGGTCATATACAGTTGGATCCGTCTCTATATATACACACATTTTGTTGTTCGATTTCCTTAGGTAGAATTCCGCTACCTTCCGCGTTAGGCTGTGCAGTCTCAAAGGCCCCCATCTCGTGTCTCTTTCTTTGTCCTTTTCTTCCCATCCCTAACCTTTTATTCCCCTTTTCATCTATCCCACAGAACGCTTCATCTTCTGCGCTTTCGATTGCGACCAAAATCACCTTTCAGTCCCGTCTGGAGCGCAAGATAATCGTTATGTGGCCCAAACATCCTTTCCATAAGCCTAAGCGGCTCTCCATCAGCAACCCTATCGTCGACCACAATCCCCTCACTGAACTCCCTGTGAACAGTCTCAATCTGCGTGACAAGTATCTGCTTGGGCCAAAGTAAGTATCTTGTATTAATCTATCATTATCTCTTATTTCTTTGAGAATTCTATATCTAACAGTCTCCAGTGATGCGCCTTCATTGCAATCGGGCCCTATCCGGCCGGACAATAAGACCAGGAGATACTCCGAGATCTCAGCTATCTCCCCAGATGTAGAAAGCCACCGACGTGGAAGCCGAAGCAGCTTCTGTGTCTCGCCCATTGACGGGGAACAAATCGCTCCTTACGCAGAGAACCTTCGGCCTTTAACATCTCCCGCTCCTGATCACAAAACAGCAAATCATCAGAACGGACAGAGCCCCCATCAATCTCAATTACAGCCTGTGCAGCCCCCTCCAGAGCGGCAATTCATCTCTGGCAAATCGACTGACTGGGAAGGTGTGTCTCGTGAGCAGGACAAACCCCGCGCCACGTCCTCTCACAAACGCACTGTATCTACTACATCCAATCTCATAAACTGGCGCCAACAGTTCAATCCTAGGAAACAATTTAACGCAGCTCGCAGTCGCATCTCGAGCTTTTCGAAGACCGAAGATCATCAAGGAAACAGAGATAGATCTTCATCACGTGTACACCCAATGGAAGAGCATTCCAGCAAAGACAAACGCGCTCCAGACGCGATCCCCAAGCTCGATCCATTTGGTTTCACTCCCTCGAGTGTGACCACTACCATAACTGCTGGTGGACCGGTGACCCCGCCCCCGAGACCGGCAACAGAGCATGCCCCCAGCCGCGCGCAAGAAAACATGCCGGTGCTCAATTTCGATAACAGCAACATGATGTTCGCCAGCGACGACTACGAGCCGCGGAGCCGCTTCAGCGCAACTACCTACACAGCCACCGAACCCGACAGCCAAAACGCGAGCCGTCGCGAGAGCATGCAGTTCGAAACCCGCTCCACCGACGATGTTTCCACATCCTCGATCATGGACCGTCGCCGCCCGGTCCCCTCCGGCATGGTAATCTCGAAGAAACAACCGTCGACCGCAAAGCCGGTGCGCAAGCCCACTCCGTCCCAGGTCGCAGAGCAAGTGGCGCAGATGCCGGAGGGCTCGTCGACCCCGGAGCCACCACTAGATACCCAGGGCCGCATCAAGGCCATGGAGGCCAAGCGCGACGAACTCTCGCAGCGCAGATTCACACTGGAGACAATCATGGATGAGTTGTACAAGGCCACCCGGCCCGGCGCGGTAGACGCCGCGGCTCGCGCTGAGATGATGAAGGCCCTCGCGAGCATGGATGTGGAGCTCGCTGACATCAGGAAGGAGCAGCACGAGCTGGGCGTCGGACTGACTCGTGCTTACAAGCGCCTGGATGAGAAGCAGAATGCGGGGGATGGTAACAATCTCTGGGTGAAGAGAGTCACCAGTTAAGACTCCTACGAATTGTTTGAGTTCGACGTTACTTGACCCTTGCGCTGAGCTTAGTTTCATTTACGACGGACAGATTTTCCATGTTGTTAGCGTGTATGTAATGAACAGCGAAATGTACGATTTTCAATTCCGAAGTAAACTTCTTAATCTTTGCTTGTTGGTTTCTAATTGGATCTAGTATACGTAGGCTGTATTCGAACCCGTCTGTACTTCGCAGCTTTTTCAAAGGCATGAGACTAACTCCTCTCTTCGGGTGCCATTGGACGTACCGCACATATGCTTTAGGCTTTTTGGAGTTGAACCTGAAGACAACAGATCGTAATCGGAGAACGGTAACTTCGGAAAATGCGATCAAGCGCGAAATAGGTATTGGTGGCTGAAGATATACAAAAGAACCATAGAACCAACTATGGATTTGGTGATGCTGGGGCGATCACATTCCAAGCCACCCATCCTCCGCTGTCTCTTTGAGAACGTGGCTCGTGTAAATCGTGATGTGGACTCAAGGGCACAATCCAGCGCCGAAGCTGGGTGGTTTAGGTGTGGTCGAGAAATAGATTCGCGGAGAAGCAGTTGATGCGCTTATTTCTTGCCAGACTTCTTGATACCCTGCTGACCGGTGTTGAGGGGACCCTTCTTGCCCTTAGCGGCCTCCTGCAGTTCCTTGCGGGCTTTGGCGTCTGGAAAAGAATACATTGATTAGCGCAGGGACTTTAGGCCGTGTGAATTAAAGGCTAGACATACCAGCCTTGATCTTGGCCTGGTGAGCGAGATCATCCTCGTCAAGCTCCTTCTTCTCTTTCTTAGCGGCCTTCAAGGGCTTGACCTTGCCACCTATAAGTCATAGAATGTCAGGAATGAGACTTTTGGTATAAAATATTCCGCAGGTACTAACCTTCTCTGCCTTGACCACCCATTTTGTCTATAAAATAACCGAAAGAAATGGGCTAAAAAGAGGCTGGAGGAAAGTGTAGTGGAGTTGCGACGGCGTTGATAATGGAGAGAGAAAAAAACACTGAGGGGTGCTTATCATAATGTAGCGGGGCGAATTCTTTTGCCCTGGGCTGTCTATATTACGCTAAGGTAACATTTGCTGTATTATTTCCGTCTAATACGCTAGATTAGCGGGGTCTGTCGGAGAACTGGGACAAACTGGTATTTGTAATACATGTAGGCTATTCCAAATCGGGTTAGAGCATTTTTACCTCACGCTGTAACCTCACTTCGAACCTCACTCCACCGCCTACCTGAAACGTAGTAGCGTCGAATCCTCAGATCTCCAAGATGGATCATCGACTGCCATCATGGCTCTTGGACAGATCTCCTGCTGTCATAACATTTCGTTCTCGCGCGTTTATCTGTTCATCAAACCCATAACCTCCACAACCCTAAGCGCTTGGACTTCTAATCGAATTCCCAAGACTTTGGTGTGAAGGCAGGCTTCCTACAGCTGGTTGGACTTTCTCGAACCCTTTTGAGAAGACGAGTTTATCGCTGAAGCTTGTGCTAACTGAGTCTTGTTGTACAACCTCCTTCCAGAGCCAATCGGAGTTATCCCGAAAGGAAAACAGGACGAAGCAAGAGAACCGTTCACAACCCATCTCGAAGCCCTAGGGAATCGCAATCATGTCGCATCCCAGGTCGAGGTCCCCATCGGTCCCCTCTGAGGGTGAGATTGTCGAATCAGGCCCAGAGACGAAGGCAACTGCGTCAGACACTCCTCTAAATGGCACTAGCGTTGACCGTCCCACCAGAGTTAGCCCATCTGCCGCGCCCAGATTTCCCGCGTCATTGAAAAGAAACCAGTCGCCGAGATCCCGTTCTCGTTCCCCGCCCGGAGCCACCAAGTCCCACAAGCGCAGTCGTGACGATATCTACGACAACTATGACAGTGCGCATGATCGGCGCCACCGCGAAGAGCCTTCGCGACGCTACGGGTCCAGATACGATGACAGACGCCGTGACAGACCCGCTCCCAACCGGCGCCCATACTATGACTATGACCGCGAAGAGACCCGCGGAGAACCGCTACGGTACAGTGATGATTATGACCGACGCAAGGATAAGCGGCAGCGCACCCGCAGCCGATCCCCGTACCGTGAGCCGAGGAAGCCCAAGCGGTATGACGAACCTGATTCAAGTATGGTTGAGTCCAAGCCTCCAGTCGATCCCGGAAGGCGCAAGCCCACTGAACAGTCGGTGAGGGAACAAGAGAAGGCTTCGTTTGTCGCTCCAGACTTGAAGCGTGGTGCTGAACGAAACAATCAGGTGCAGGCTTCTTCTAATCTTCAAGCGCAAGTGGCCGATGAGTATGTTTATCCTTTCATTGGCAAGGAAAAGCGCGTGACTAATGCTTGTTCCAGGGATTTGGCTCCTAATCCGGAGATTGCGTCAGCGCCGGAGCCCGTCGAGCCCGTCAACGAACTTGATGCACTTGAAGCTCGCCGCAGACGTCGTGAAGCCATTCGGGCGAAACACCGGAGCCAGGCGACGCCGCTACATCTCAAGTCACTGAGCGTCGGTGAGACTGACACTGATTCGTCGATGACTGGCACCGAGCCAGCCAGCGCCAAGGAATCTACTGGTACGTTGCTCTTGAACAAGATTTGCTTTACATCGGCGAAGTTGACACTAACTATATCAATAGGTTCTCCACAAGCCTCTGCTTTTGAGCAACCCGCGGACTCAACTGGTCTCAATATTGGAAAGGATGAGAACTTCGTTAATGCGAATGCTCCTGTCGTTGCTACTGACAAGGACGAGGCCTCTGCTGCTGATTATGATCCGACTCTTGATACCAAGAAAGAGCAGCTGAAGCATGTTTCGCAGAACGGAAAGGACGAAGTTTCTTCTGCCGCCTACGATGAGACCAAGACCACCAGGCAGGACGTTCTCCTCCCCGATGCCCCCGCGGCTCCACCGAAGACCGATGCGTTCGATATGTTTGCGGAAGACGACGACATGTTTGCAGAGGAGACAGCCGACGCCCACCCTGCACATGCTACGGCCACAGCTGTACCCCAGGGCAAGGAACTGGATGTTAGCATGATGGATAACTGGGACGACTCGGAAGGGTATTACGCTGTTCGTCTGGGAGAGTTGATCAACGGACGCTACCATGTCCGACAGAAACTCGGCAAGGGAATGTTTTCTTCTGTTGTGCGTGCCACCGACACTAAGACGGGGGAGCTGGTTGCCATCAAGATCATTCGACAGAATCCCATAATGCGCAAGGCTGGTATGAAGGAGATCAGCATCCTGGAGCAGCTCCAAGAAGCCGATCCGGAAAACAAGATGCACCTCATCAAGTTCGACCGACAATTTGATCACAAAGGTCACCTGTGCATGGTGTTTGAGAACCTTAGCATGGACTTGCGTGAGGTTTTGAAAAAGTTCGGCAGGGATGTGGGCTTGAACCTGCGTGCAGTTCGAGCCTACGGCCAACAGATCTTCCTCGGATTGAGTCTCCTCCGTCGGTGTAACATCCTGCACGCTGATCTCAAACCGGATAATCTTCTGGTGAATGAGCAACGCAACATGTTGAAAGTTTGTGACCTGGGGTCGGCGTCTCTGGCCTCCGATAACGAGATCACGCCTTACCTTGTTAGTCGCTTCTACCGTGCCCCGGAGATCATCCTAGGTATCCCTTTCGACTACGCCATTGATGTCTGGTCTATTGGCTGCACTCTCTTCGAGCTGTACACGGGTAAAATCCTCTTCACTGGCCGAAACAACAACCAGATGCTCAGGGCGATCATGGAGTGCCGTGGCAAGTACCCGCCGAAGCTTCTTCGCCGCGGAACCTTGGCGCCGCATCACTTTGATGAGAAGCTCAACTTTCACAGTGTGGAGGAAGACAAGATAACTGGTCGCCTGCACACCAAGATTATCGAGTTCAAGAAACCGAAACCGACGCGCGATCTCAAAACCCGCCTCATGGCGCAGGGAACCCGCGGGATGCCCGATTCCGAGGTAAAGGAGCTGGGTCAGTTCCTCGATTTACTTGACCGTTGCCTCAGTCTCAATCCCGAGAAACGTATCACTCCGAACGATGCCTTGAAACACCCATTCCTGGCCCCCAGGATGTAAGTGTTTCATGGAAACGCATTGAGTTTACAGATCGCATCTCCAATCCTTGTGAGTCTATTCATCCTGGTCCAGGATGGCGTATCTCAGCTGAAAGGATGGACTCTCGAGGGATCGGCGTACGGGGGTGTACGGGGTTGTCTCTAATATCTTTATTTTTCTTTTCAATATGCGCAACCATACCAGCAAGTTAGCGAGTATTTCTCAAATGGAAGCATTTTTCACCATTTTCACAAGCCAACTTTCCTCCCCTGTCCGTCGCTTCAGCCTCCGGGCTCCTGCAGCGACCGAACTTGGCCAAGCCGTGAGTTCGTGGCTAACAAAGAACCTCAAAGACGGTGTAATCCGTAGATCTTACCGATCATCCGCTACTCTCAGATCATCAGTTCCTACGAAAAAAGCAAACAAAGCTACGGAGTAGACATCCCCTGTTCGCAGAACCTCGGTAGCGCACGATTAGATCTTGCGCATTCCCTGATCTATTTCATCACCATAACGAAGAAATCCCAATAGCACAAGCCCCTTTTTCAGCCTTAGCCCGTCTATGTCCGGGTTAATACCTCTAATCGGAAATCCCCCTAGCCCTTCCATTTGGTATGAGATCTGTGATCTAGCCCCCAACCATAGCTCTATTCTCCGTACTCTGGACAAAGTACGTACATCGCATCGGAGTCGTAGATCCCAAACAAAGAAACATCAACCCTCTAGTCCAGGCAAGGCAACACCCAGGGAAAAAAAAGCAAAAAATAAAGTTAAGACGATCTGATCTAGGTTGTCTAGGCAAAGTTCCCGTGCTTAGGCCACCAGTAGTTCAGTCCGCGTCCATGGTTCAGAGAAACCAGGAATCGAGAATTGCTAATCTTACCCAGGTCTTGGGGATGAGTTGTGGAGAATAACTTTGTGAACTTTGAAAAGGAGTCAGTACAGTTCTTACTGCGTGCAGTAGGCACACATGTAGGAAGATCTTTTCTAACTAAGTTATCTACCTTGCCTCGATATTCATGTACACAGTAAAAGCATGTTGTACGTTGTATGTTGTATGGATATCCCATCTCGGCCTACATATCCTCGACGAACCTTCTATGTTGTAGTACCAGCCACCCCGATTGGTCCCCAACACTCTAGGTGCGCCTGATTCCGGATCCAATTGCTGGCGGAAAGGGCGGCAAAGGTATTCTCGGATTGCTGTGGCTGTTCATTTAGTCCTGACTCTTCTCGGTGTGGTAGGTTGGGCTGTATGGTTTATTGGTACGGAGTAGATGAATGGTGAGGCTGGGGTCTGGTCCGGGGTCCCGGGTTTGGGGGGACTTCCATTTACTTTTTACTTTTTCCTTCGTTTGGGATTTGCTTTTGGGCTGGGGGCCAGCTGCGAACTAGTGGTGGTTTCGATAGTTCTGGTTCCAGTTACTTGGTTTTAGTTCTTGGAAGCAGAAAAAGCAATTGGATATCTGTTCAGTTCTGGGTGGAAAAAGAAAAAAAACAATGGATGGAGATTTGCTCAGTTGTTTGGTAGCAAATATGGAATGGAATCTGTGCACGTGGTTAGGGTGTGGTTCAGTTGAGTGCGGAGTATACACAGTACGCAGTACCTACCCTCCCATAGCCTAGGCCCTAGACGGTTCCATGGTGTAGACATGGTCCGTGATGACAATCATGATTACCTAGTAGTACATGGGCCGGATGATCACAGGTGGAGTGTTCCAGAAGGCGAGGGCGATCAAGCGGAAGGGAGGGGAAACATATTGCCACTCTGGAAGGATGGGATCAAGTACGCAGTACACATCTGGGCGGTACAACATCCAATGACAGTGGCAAATGATTCCGCGCAATGGGAACGGGCATTTAATCCCCGACCACTTTGTTCAAATTGAGGCTAAGGATGTTCGTGCCAGGGAGTAATCATGATGTCGAGATGTGTTTATATTGTGGGTCCCCGCCACCTGCAGGGCACCGAGTCTGCCTTAGGGGCGGAGGCAACGATAGCCAGGTCTTCCGAGGCTGTTGTTCATTGGGTACTGTAGATTGTCCGTACAGTACTGTAGTGAGGGATACGGATGATCTGTGGCGGTCGGGTTGGGATATGGATCATACTTGCGTTGATATTGAGATGTACCTATTGTATCTTGTAAATTGTAGGAGTCAGGTTACAATCAGGCAACCCATCGATATTGAACGCATACGCAGTACAACGGACGAGCATAGTGGGTACAGAATATAGTTCGTGACAGATCCTGAATCACGTAGCGGTGTAGACAGTCCGAAACCAGGACCTGAAAGCACTATGCCTGGAACACAGCGTGGCGGGAACCATTCAAATAGGGCAAGAAAAAGCAAGGCCAACGGCTCGGAACTGAGCAAGAAAACAACCAACTCGATGATCTTTAGACCAGCCAGCTGCATTGTCAATCCTGGGGTACAGTAGGCAAGGCACGGACGCGAAGGGAGAGTAACTACGCAGTATGAGAAACAGGATAGGCGTCAATCAGTTCATTCGTACATATCACACCGGCAGTCGGATATTCTAGACATTGCTCATAGTTGTACATACATGAAACTAGTTGTACAGCATGCATAGACCACATACTAAGAGTTCGGGTGATGAGAACCGAGAAAATGGATGTGATGGATCGAAAGGTCGTGCTGTCAGGTGATTGGACTGACTGCGGGCTTACATTGTCGATCTTGAAGAAGGTTTGTTGTTGATTCTTGATCTAAGTGCATTTACCTACACCGCAATAGTACCAGTAGAGTTCCCAAGAATGAGTTTCGAGTTTCACATTGGGTACCTAACTATTGTATGTAGGTACCACTTGGGCTACCGGCTACATCGTACACAACACACTTTTCGTGGCCCCGCTGTTGGGGCCAGAATACAGGTTCGAATATCAGTCTGACTCGGATCAGTACATGGCCCTTGCCTGTGTATGACGCAGGTGGTGTGAGATAAACAAAGAAAAGGGAAGCTGGTGAGATTGAAGACTCGGCGAGGCAACTATGTATGTGCAGGGGTTATTCTTTGTCGGAATACTATCAACCTGGAACACTGAACGGAGATATTGCTGAGGGGCCAAATTCCCGCCACCAACAAAACCCAGCACGACAAGGAAAAGGAGAAGAATACGGATATACGAGTAGAAGCAACCGTCACCAATGAGCAGATGAGCTGAAAGTCCCAGATGGTCAAGGTACATTAGCGCCAGGAGAAAAGATGAAAGTCGATGGCCCGTGCAGAAACTAGTCAGCAGGAAATGGCCATTTCTTGCAAAACAATTCGAGCAAATGGTTGGCCAAAGCAGCCCTCCATCATCGCCTCACTCTTAGACCTTTTAGTTTAGCGTGGCCGTCTAGCCCCGGGGTGTGGAGTACGGGATAGAGTTGTGATGTCCGTGCAAAGAACGGTGAGAGTAATCTAATCAGTCGAACTAAGCCCTTCGAGAAGTCGTAATCACTCCATCGATTTCTATTAGAGTGCCGAGGTCTCCATGTTAGAGGAGATCTGGTCAGATGGCAAATATTTCCACGGAACGGACATGGCATAGCCCAAGCTCTGGACCAGTGGTATACTTTTGCGGGGCTGGAAACCGACGGATGTTATTGGCAGAATGTGGGTGCGTTGGCAAGTGTGTCAGGAGGTTTCAAGGCATAAACACCGTTGGGAACAGGGGTTGCGATACGTGGGCATTGCCACACTAGGCCTAGACAGAAGAATAGGGGCAACCGGGCAAGGCTTGGAACTCTGCAAGTTCTAGTCGATCCAAATCATTCCAACTCATGGATCCAATCATCGGTTGTGGCGGCTGCAGGAAAGATTGACTGTAGCGTTATGATTGGAAGAACCACTCTTCGGGCATGCACACCGCTTGGTGCATCCGTACACATGGCCTATTATTATGTGTTATTATTATGTGTTATTATTTATGGAGACGATTAGATAATAAATTGAATTAATTTTCATGGCACTCCATGTATTCTCTACGCATCATTGATTATTTTTTTCTTTTTTAGTTTGGGATTTCCATTCGATCTTTCCCCTTTTGGGGATTATTGGGATTCCTTTTGGCATTAGCGTGCTTTCCTTTTTGTTTTATTTATTGTCTCTCGAACCACGAGGCGACCTTCTTGCCTGATCTCTATATTAATCTTACCTTCGCTCTTTCTACTTCCGCCTCGCATACTACTTTTTTATATATATATATATTTTACATATCCTTTTGTTTATTGTTGCTGTTCTCGTTCTGGTTCTTGTGTTGTCCTACCTGTGCAACAACTTTCCTTCTCGACTCTCTATCAAACACAACCAGACCGGACCCAAACGGACACCTTGATCGGACCATCTTGAAACCCGGATTGGAATGGATGCCTTTTGAATATTCCGTGGATTTAGGCCTCTCTTTCTCATAACCTCCCTGGATCAGCCTCTGCGCCTTCTCTCGCTCTTTCCTCGTCTCTTTCCGGGAGAGGATTTGGATCTCCTCTTTCTATCCGTCTCTCTCTACAATCCAAGGACCAATGTACCCGGCCATGCTACCAACGCCGCCACCATCGCCTATTCCCCGCTGCTATGCTCCCGAGGACCGTCTAGGACTCGTCTTGGCCAACCGGCTGGAACTCACCCGAGTCCTGGGTGTCGGAGCCTATGGCGTTGTTTACACCGCTCAGGATATTCACACCCACGAGGTCTTTGCCGTTAAGGTGCTCAACAAAACTGGCCTGGATCCCCGCCAGCTCAAGTTCCAGCAGCGCGAGATTAGACTTCACCATCTGGCCAGCCAGCACCCCAATGTGGTTTCCCTAAAACGCATTATGGATTCCGTGGATTGTACCTACGTCGTTATGGAATATTGCCCGGAGGGAGACCTGTTCTCTAACATCACCGATAAGGGTAACTTTGTCGGTAATGAGTTCTTGGCCAAGAGTGTATTCCTCCAGATCCTGGACGCTGTACAATATTGCCACTCTCTCGGGATCTATCACCGTGACCTCAAGCCTGAGAATGTCCTGGTCACCAACCGGGGTATGACCGTCAAGCTGGCCGACTTTGGTCTCGCCACGACGGATTATTACACCACCGACTTTGGATGCGGTTCCACCTTCTACATGTCACCTGGTAAGCTATCCGCTCGTATCTTGTTGCACTAGGGCGAAGCTAATTTGTGTCATTGTAGAATGCCACCAATCCAACCCTCGACCTTTGTCTTGTTACATGTCCGCTGCCAATGACGTCTGGAGTCTGGGCGTGATTCTTGTCAATCTAACCTGCGGTCGCAATCCATGGAAACGCGCTTCGATCGAGGATTCCACATTCCAGGCCTACCTGAAGGATCCATTCTTCCTCCAGACCATTCTGCCTCTCTCCACCGAAATGGTCGGGATCTTGAGCCGGGTCTTCGAGGTCGACCCAAGTAAGCGGATCACCATCCCCGAGCTGCGCCAGCTCATTCTGGAGTGCCCCCGCTTCACGGAGAATCCCGTTATCCCAGCCCCCTGGGTGCCGGAGCCGGTCACCTACATTCCCCAGCCCCAGGTGCCATTGTTCATGGCCCCCATGGCCCTGCATGCCCAGCCCTGTGGCTCGTCCCTGCATGCGCAGCCCTCTGGCTCGTCGTCGGACTCTTCGCAGTACTCGGCCTTCTCCCAGTCTGCCGCGTCCGACAGCTCGGCCATCACCGAGGATTACTCGGATCTCAACAGCATGTCGCCCACCGTCTCGGAGCAGGTTGCCAATGGCAAGATGGTATTTCCTTCTGTCTGCGCGGAGCCCTTCTTTCCCGCGGATCCCTTTACCTATGGCCTTGTTCACCCCAACATGCCGAGGTTTGAGATTCCCGTTTGATTGCTCGGATATCTCCGTTTAACGCACCTGCATGACTTGACGATCTTTTTTCCCCTCCACATTGCGCATCTTTGACCGACCTTTACTATTTTGGGTCTTTTTACTCTCTTCTCTCCACTCCGCCATGAGCGGATACCAAAAGCCGAACGACAAAAGTTGATCGCGTTGATCATGATCCACGGACTCGGCCACTCGCTTTCTCTTCCATTTGGACATAATTTTTTTTGCATTTTTCCTTGGACCTCGACACTGCCCTGCGACTGTGGCTTTGCATGGACATTCTGACCCAGTCCTGTGTCTTCTACCCTGCGGGTTATCTTCAACTGTTTTAATATTTACATACATACCGGGAGGACCATTTTGACGTTTCCATTTTCTGGCGTGCGCATACACTGGGATCACGATTTGAAGGAACGCCCCTGGAAGGGCTGATGAATACGGAGGCTCGTTTGTTTTTTTGGGCTTGGTGTACTCTTTTCAAGCGTTCACGACCTGGGTGTTATGTTTTGGCTTGCTTTCCTTTCTTGTTCATCTTTCGGCAAAGGCTTGTTTAACGATCTATGGGTGGTTGGCATTGGTTTCTGCTTTTTCTGTGCATAGACTTTCGCATTTGGCGGGACATCGAGGGATTCTTTATGATCCCTCTTCATTGATTTCACGATATGATACCTCGGCCATCTGGCATTGCCAGATGGTCTCACAACACAATCAACACTAGATTCTCCTACATTACCTTTCTCTACACTGTAACCTTGTTTGCTGCTGCCTCTTTTAATCTCTGCGTGACTGCGTGTAGATCTCACAAAGACCCCCAACCTCTCCCCTGTCCCCTGCTGTGCAACATTGCCTCGGTCCAACAACGGCCAAGACTCAAGAGGGGGTTGGTGTTTCGTGTTTCCGTGTGATGCCAGTACGCCACCATCACCTCATGAAACGGTTAAACCGAGACATATCCATTCCGAGTTAACGGTCGGGTCCGCATGTTATCGTCTCATGTATACAACCGTCAACCACCATATATATCTCCCCACCACCTGAAACTATACACAGGTATCACCACCTCCCACCCAACCTACCTATTCTACAATGGAACCCAAGGTTAATGAAATAAATAAAATCCCCAAACCAATATATTCACCCCCTATACACAGTATACGATTGATATCTACATATTCCGTCCACCAGTAACCCGAATCGTCTCCCCATTAACATACGAAAACCAAGGCGAAGCCACACCAAGGATAGCCCTAGCCGCCTCCTCAGGACTAGCCGGTCTACGCAACGGAATATCCGGATACGCCTCAGCAGCCGCTTTCTCAACATCCCCCTTCTTAGACGCCAACTGCTTCCCGGGGATACCAAGAGCGACCTTTGTGCCGTCTGGAGTGGTGATGAAGGCGCCTTCTTCCTTTGCGCCGGTTAGACGGGTCGTGACGTAGCCGAAGGCGATGGTGTTGGAGCGCACGCCGAAGGCTGGACCCCATTCTTTGGCGATTGTGCGGGTTAGGCCTACGACGCCGGCTTTGGCGACTGCGTAGTTTGTTTGGCCTCTTTTTTTTACATTAGTATCATATCGGATGGATTTAGGAATCATCATAAGGAATGAGAGAGAGAGGGCTAGAGGGGGGCACATACGCGTTACCGTGAATGCCACTCGTACTGCTGATGTTGATAATAACGCGAGGCTCCTTATCTTTGACGCGGAAGTAGGGCGATGCAGCGCGGATAAGCTGGAAGGGAGCGGTGTTGTGCACAGCCAGCATGGTTTCCCATTGCTTGTCGGTCATCTTTATTCATTAGCATTATTTCTTCAGGTTTATTGGTTTAAAAGAGGGAAAAAAGATGTAATCTTACCTTGTGAATCACACCATCCCAGGTAAAGCCCGCATTATTAACAATGATATGAATCTTCCCATTACCGAACTCAGCAGTCTTCTTCACCAGCTCGGTGATGTAGTTGCTATCAGTGACATCGCCGACGACGGCCAGGGCGCGACCAGCCTTGGCGGCGTTAATGGCGTCCGCGACGCTGTTGGCCTTTTCTATTTGATTTGTTAGATAAATGCCAACCGCCGTTCGGAAGAAAGAGATAGGGGAATACGTACTAGCGTCAATATCGGCCACGACGACCTTTGCGCCCTCGTTGGCGAAGAGACGCGCGGCTTCGGCGCCGATACCCTGGCCTGCTCCGGTGATGATGGCTACTTGGCCTGCCAGCAGACCGGCTGGGTAGTTGAGGTGCTCATTGACCTGGTTGAGACGGTCGGAGGGGGCCATTTTGGTTGAGTTAATTAAGTTGGGGAGGGGGAGAATGCGAAGTGTAGATGTGAGGGGATGGGTTCTCTTATAGATCGGGGCTGTAACTGCCGAGGCTCAGTACGGACCGAGATTGTGGGGTATTAGCCTATCAGGACCACTACACAGTAGTTAGGAGTTAGGACTACATGGACATGTCTCTGTGATTATCGCTTTACTAGCATAGTATGACTGTATGATTCTGAATTGCATGTTTCTGATATAGCCGAACTGCGTTTACTGTCCAGCTTTGGGTACAGTGGGAAATACACTTGCTTCCCCGTTCACACGCACATACTCACTCTACAGATTCCCTCATACAGTACAATAGGTAGCGACAGAGAATTGACCGCCCATTATAATTTCAAAGAGATTCGTTATGCATTGCTCGTCCAGATCCACACATACACTCCCCCCACGAAGTCGATTGTAGGAATGCCGACACAGTAGCTTCATAGCCTGCAATGATAGGAAGCAGGCCTTCATTTCTGGTACCACTTGGAATCTCATCCAAGTCCGGGAGTAGACCAACATTCTCCGAAGGAACCCAGTACTGTCCATTCTCATCTGATAGTTTTGGCTCAGCCGGTCCTTCATGGTCTCCCTTGGGATTCTGAACGTCAGCCGCGCTAGCAGTGCTTTTAAGAGCCAGCAATACATCCCGGCATTGTAGCAGCAGACCGCGGAGCAAGAAATTGCGTATCTGTCGATTTTCCTCGTGGCATATTTCATAGTATCCGTAGCGGATATCGACGCCGTGTTCTGGGCGTGCACGAGCCGTCTCGCGCGACACCCAGTACTCGAACAGCTGGAGAGTGAGGTTGAGCACCGAGATGGTCATTAGCAGGTTTGCGCCGTCCTTGGCACATTTCGTACACTGCAGGAACATCTGGCAGGCGCAGAACGTGCATTTGATTGTCTGCAGGCTGTGGTCGAGTCGTAGGGGCATGGAGCCGGCGAGCAGATGGTTTAGTCGGTTCATGTGGAACAGCTCCATGTCTATGCATTCGCATGGCGAAAGAGGATATGGCGAGGCGACGGAGCCTGCCAATGACGGGCTGGCGACTCCGTCGGTCAATTCTCCGGATAAGAATGTTGGCGTCACCGGCGTGTGCGGATACCCTAGGCCGGCCGGTAGAGCCGGACATGGATCTCCGAGGTCCGTAAATGGTGAGAGCTCCGCAGTTGTCAACTGTCCAGGACAGACAGAAGACCCCAGTGTTGTTGTGTTGGCGAAGCTACTGGGACTTTCCCAAAAGCCCGGTTGATTTGATAACAAGCAGACCTGCACGGCGACTTATTAGCAGTGTACCGAGGCAACAAGGATACGCGAAGAGAAAAAAACCAACATCGTCATCAATCACAGAGTCAGGAATATGACCGCTGTAATTATTCCCAACTAGCGGCTCCATGTCGGCTACGGGGGCCACAAGCCGACTACCACGGAAGCCACGCACAGTTGGCTTTTCTTCTTGCAACTGGCCTAGCTTGCGAAGGGTAGCTCGGTTCTTGCTGCCCTTTGGTTTACCGGAGCGGTTTGCGAACCCGTATTGGCACTGTAGACCGTGACGCAGGCAGCGAGTACAGACACTCTTGCCGGACAGATTGCATTTCACCTTGGACTGTCTGCAGTTCTCACACGCAGTTCGGAGCTTAGGTGTATCTCCGCCGGCATATGGACTGCCATTGGAGTCTGCAAGCATTGGTACCTGTTTGACTGTCGGTGGTTGGAGAGGAAAAGGCTGGGATGGATAGAGGAAGCTGCCAATGGGGTCTTCCAATACGATATGCTGCTACCTGGATCCCCAAAGGACTCGGTGATATAGGAGTATCAACACAAAGAAGAGAAGAAAAAAGGGGAGAAAATATGAATAAAACACGAAAAGATCGCAGGTAGAAATCAAGATAGTCAATACTACAGCACAGGTCCAATGAGGCAGACGGTCCAGAACCCCCCACACCCGCCCTGGGATTATATATGAACAAGCTCAAGCTTCAGGGAGAAAGGATGTCACTCTGGCATTCCGAAGCCAGTCCCGATGGCAGCCGCATATAGTGGTCAGCCTCTGTGAAACCCCAATTTGCTTCCATCTGATCAACCTAGCGTGGAAGGCCAACTGGCACCGCCAAAGGCAAAACGGTCGAAAGCACCGCCTTCTCACAAAGCTTACTTCAAAGTCTGGCCCATGCTTTGAGCAATCACTATTTTTGAACACTCCTTGTGGAAGGAGAAAACAGGGTCCTGCCTACCCGCAAGGGAAAACGGTCGAGGGTCCTTTTGTTGGGAGTCGTCACACCTTGATGCAACATCATGAACGCCAATTTCGGGGTTAAGTTTCTGACTTCTTGGAGAACCTGATGAACCTTTAGCAATCAAAGGCTGTTGGCGTTTTGGCCCCCTATGGCCTTGTTCTTCCTCGCCACTGGGACAGAAGTACAATCCCTCGAATGGACAGTGTCAGGGACCATGTGAAATAGAAGCAAAAGAGACTCTTGTCGGCTGACCGGATCCGGATCGGACAAGGGAATCGAGCCCTCGCCCCTTCATTTCTTTCTTCGTCAATGTTGCACATTCATCGTCAGCAGGCGGGGACGTTTGAACCCCTGGGAGAGATTGCCTGAGATTGCCGAACAAGAGTCGCGCCATGTACGCTACAACGTGAACATTTCATTTTCATGCTACCTCTAATAAAAATGCCATGAGCATGTTGTCCAACCTCGAACTTGTGCTGCGCCAATCCCGGACTCAGCCGCGTGGAATCTGACAGGTCTCGGCAACCCCGCTGTGCCGATAGTCGAATGCCTTCAGTAACCCTGTCAGGTGGGCCACCGCTGCGCAGACCACTAGCACGTGGAAGATTTGATGTGAACTTCCTACAATGTCGAATTTCCCGGGCCTGAGTCGCTCAGGTACTCGGGCTGCATAGATCGTGGCCCCAAGGATATATAAGAAGCCCTGCAGAAGAAGCCATTCCAGACCAATCTGGTATCGCATACGGTCATAGCCGAAGATCTGGACCCCATGAAGCACCGGGAAGGCGGCAGACAAGCCCATCCCAACAAACATAGAAGCGCGGAACGGACGCCAGCGAGGCGTGCGGAACCGGGGATTAATGGAGACGATCACGCAGCCTAGCCCAATGGTACAAATCATGGTCCAGTACGTGCGCTGGAGCCCGGGTACACAATAAAATCCGTAGAAGACACTCGGTACAAAGCTTCCTACAATGAGTCCCACGATGCCGATATAGTCGAGTGAATTTCCGATGCGTGCAACCATAGGCGAGTGATTCGATATGGTATGATAGGTTGCGGACATGCCAAGGCAGAAGGCAGCCCCCGCGAAGAAACAAGCAAAAGCCACTATATCAGAATCGGCCGCATCCCGGTACCGCGGAGAAAGCAGGTGATAGAGCCCATAGGCAGCGGGGGCGGCGATCAATGCTGGCAAGAGGTGGGTGTAGATGTTGACCGTCTCATTGTGAACGTAACCCAGTGATTGAAATGAACCTAAAAACGAGGACGAGGCGGGCCGATATCCAGTATGAATGTGATGGTTGTCGCGTTGCCAGTGGGGCAAATCGTCCCAATGAAGAAGTCGTTTTACCACATTCTCAGCCTTTTCCATGGGGGCCGTTATCCCTGTGGGCTGACTGTTTGCCGTCACTTTCTCTTCGATAGGGCGGCGCTGGCGAGACATGTTGACATGTGATAGACAAGTATGGACAATGGTGTACAGCGATTTTTGGAGAGTTGGCCACAACAGAACACGTAAGACAAGTCAGCAGATAAAAGTCCAACTTCAACGAAAGACAGGAAACAAAAGCAGAAGTTCAGGAATAAATATAAGAAACGAAAAGAAAATCCACATGCTGTTGGGCAGTCGGGGCAACCGAGGGAAATCAGTTGGGGAAGCCGTAAACAAACATGACAAACATGGCAAACAAAACAAACAAGACAGACAACGTCATATCTGCGCTGCCCTTGTGCCCGTTTCGATGTCAACACACATGTCAACACATGCCTGGAAAGATGAGCCGCTTACGCCCAGTATCTGACTCGTTGGAAAATCTCGGCTTTGTGTCCAAAGGAGATAAAAAGTATGTTCAACTCGGGCCATGTCCGCGGCCATGTTAACCTTTCGCAGGCTGTTGGACCATAAGACGCAGACCGAGTACTTCGACAAGATTGTCGATCGATATATGCGATTCTGCGCCCGCCACTCTAAAGATCTCGATGCAGCATTGACCTCTCTTCCAACAAGTCGATCGAACGATGCGACCTCCAATCCGCCTGCTTCCCGGCCGATGATCAAATCAAACTCCGCACAGAAAGACGCCCCGCCACCATCAGCGGAGCTATCCACACTCCTTCTCTCCCTCCGGAAGCTGCGCGAGGCCGTGCTGGCAACAGCCAAACACACGCCCCCAGAATTCTCGCAACGAGTGCATAATTTCTCCATTCGCTTATCCATTCTCGCGCACCACCCGCCGTCATACTTCCCTTCACTGCGATATGTTGTGGATAAATTGCACTCGATATCCCACCCACTACCCGACTCTGAAGTCAAAGAAATGCTCACTTACTTAATTCTTGATTACGCCTGTCGGCAAGACGACATGATCTCAGCGTTTGAACTGCGAGCCCGGGCGCGGAAAGAACATGCCTTTAAATCGCAGATCGTGGATAAGGTATTAACGGCCTTGATACACGATAATTGGGTCATGTTCTGGCAGTTACACAACAGTGTGGATTCCCACATCCGGGCAGTTATGAATTGGGCTGCGGACCGAGTTCGCAGACACGCGCTTAAGGCCGTGGGCAGCGCCTATATCAGCGTGCACATTAGTTGGATTTTGGGCGGTTGCACCGGTGACGAACAGACTTGGACATGGGAGAAATTGGTCGAGCAAGAGAAGCTTCGCTGGGAGCGGATAGATGACAAAGTCATCATCAAAAGGCCGAGGCAGAATCCCCCTTCCAAGGCGCAGCCAAGCGCGTCGACTGCTTGAGTACAGTCTGGCTAGACTTTTTCTCTCTTTTTCTCCGAAAGCATTCAAAGGGGTTAAGCATATTGCATGGCGTTAGTTGGAAAGACATCGTATCATTAGCGGATGGCTGTCATTGAACGGGGCGTTGATTACATGTTTAGGTCATTGCAGACAGATTGAATTCAAGGCCCGAGGGCAAAATGAGTCTTCAATTCAAGCCTTATAATTTCAGATCCGAGTTTGGGCGATCTAGATTAGTCTGCCCCAGGACAGGTTGTTTCGATATAGTCTCAGCCAGCCGCCCCTTCATGTGAGGTGCATTGTCGGAACAAAGCTCATAGACAGTCGACAGATTGAAAATCAAACTACCGAAGGAATGGTTGGATGAGACCTGGGCCTCAAGGATTTGACGAGCCTAGGATTGAAAAGTGAGTCAAATGTTCCCATTCGACTCCAAACAGAGTGTGGAGTACAGGGGGGTAGAGAGATCACATACCTCATCCAGCTGTCCGATGTACAGAAGACACACAGCCAAATTCTGGGCTACCAGAGCCCCATCTGTCCTGGTACCATCCTCTGCAAGGACACGCCATTCAGCCACTGCATCGGTATAGCGGCCATCTGACATGCTGATTAGAGGCTTCAGCAAAGCCGCCTCCTTGGCCTCGGAGGCATTACCAAAGACCTGGCTAGCTGCGTCCAAATCACCAATGCGCAGCAGCAAAAGTGCTTTCCTCAACTTTGTAATATCCGTCTCTGGCCCGTCCACCCGAAGGCCATCGAGTGCCCGTCTCGCTGCATCGAGATCGCCCATCTCAACAAGCGCATTCACGCTCCTTATCCCAAGATCTGCCAATCTCTGTCTCCATAGTTCCCGCTCAGCTTCGCTAGCCCCACTTCTCATGACCTCCCGGCGGGCTTCCAGCCCAATCTCATACAGACCTCCAATACTCCTGCGAGGATCACCGAAACCGATGCTCTGGAGTCTCACAGCCAGAACGCGAAGCGGCCAAGGAACAATGTGGCGAGGATATTGGGCGTGAGCAGTTTCATGTTCAGGATCTTTATCGTCATTCGCTGCAGACTCCTCAATATTAAGATCGATATAGTAGAATGCGGAGCTCAAATCTTCCAGGGCTTTCGATTCCTGCGCCGCCAGAACTGTGTTGCCCGACAGCTCCAAGCAAGCGAGGCGCGTGTAGAACAGCGAGAATATCAATTTGGTATCTGTCGGGGATATTAAAGATGAGGTTAAAATGGAAGCCGAAAAATGAGCTGCGACTAGGAATCGGCCCTCGGCTAAAAGCCTTTCCAGAGTGCCCAGAGAAGTTGACAAGGGTTCCCCTGGGTTGAGGATAAGGAATTCGGTGCGCAGCGCTGGAGGGATATCGAGATGAGAGAGTGTATGGAAGACGTTATGCCGGAGAAGAAACGAGAGGTCTTTCCCTAGGATTTCAGGTAGGTCATCTGGCGTGAGCGTATCTAACTCATGGAAAGATGCGCCTGAAAACATATCGCTGGTAGCAATTGATGCGTCTTTGATAGGCGAGGTGGGTAATCCGGAGGCAGCCAGAGGGCTATCATGTTAGAGAAAAAAGAGCGCTGGAAGGCAGAGAAATGCTCACTCATCTGAGGCGTCTAAGGGACCTCTCGTTGCGCTGCGGGGCCGTGAAGCTGCAAGGCAATCAGTAAGGGACGAGTCAGACCAAATATAGGCAATGGAGGAGGCGCTCACATCGGGAGACATTCCGATGGTGCTTGTTTGATACCGAATCCATTTTCAGAGGAGCATTTACTCCATCAATTAGAACAATAAGTAGACTAACCTGGGGTATGTTCCACCTGAAGTCGACCAAAACACCCGATAAGAGCTATCGGATTCTGCCAGGGCGGTAAAGCCGGATCTGGCGACTACGCCGCGATCTGGCGTTGCCGAATGCAACAGGCTGTCAGCCATACGTTCCCTACCTTTTCTTTTCTTTCTTTTTTTTACATGATCTCTCCGATATTCTACCGCTCCTTACTTTATTAATTGACTTACGGAAATCTAAAATGGCTGCGATCAAGAACAAGTACTCGGTCATCCTTCCGACCTACAATGAGCGGAGAAACCTCCCTATCATCGTCTGGTTGATCCAGAGGACCTTCAACGAGGCGTATGCACTTATACTGGCTGGACCTGCAATACACGGAGACTAACGTATGATTACCACTTATAGGAAGCTGGATTGGGAGGTTATCGTTGTTGACGACGGATCCCCTGACGGTACCCTCGAGATTGCCAAGCAGCTTCAAAAGCTCTATGGCCCAGAGCACATCATCCTCAAGCCCCGCCAGGGCAAGCTCGGCCTAGGAACCGCATATGTGCACGGCTTGAAATATGTCACGGGCAACTACGTTGTCATTATGGATGCCGACTTCAGCCACCACCCCAAATTCATCCCCGAGATGATTCGCATCCAAAAAGAAACCGACGCAGACATTGTGACTGGAACCCGATATGCGAGCCGCGGAGATATCAAGGGTGGTGTTTACGGCTGGGATCTGTTCCGCAAGTTCACTTCGCGCACTGCCAACCTGATCGCGGATGTCATGTTGATGCCCGGTGTGAGTGACTTGACTGGTAGCTTTCGGTTGTACAAGAAGGCAGTGCTCGAGAAGGTTATCCTGAACACTGAGAGCAAGGGCTACAGTTTCCAGATGGAGATGATGGTCCGTGCTAAGGCAATGGGTTACAAGGTGTCTGAATGTCCGATTACCTTCGTCGACCGTCTCTACGGCGAGAGCAAGCTGGGTGGCTCTGAGATTGTCGAGTACCTCAAGGGTGTGTTGAGCTTGTGGGTCAAGGTCTAAGTTGGTTCAAAACGAGAGGGAATCTGATCTCCTGATTCTTCGATGCATCTTTGCTGCAAGCCCAACATCATGTCTGGACTGCTTACTACCCGTGCTGTGATATACCCCTTTCCGACCTCTGCTATTCTGGATCTGTGCACTTTCGGGTGGTGTTTGAATGATTTGTCTATTTTGTGTCGTGTATATTCAATGTGCTCCTTGTCTTCTGGTGTCTGAATCCTCAAGTTCCCACGTAAAGTATCTTTAAATTCCACCGCTCAAATGGACTGGAGATAACGTAAAACTCGATCAATGAGGTCCTGCTGACCGTCCCCATGAACATTGTGGCTGGCTCCAGCGATGACTCCGCTGTTTTCATAATCCCACTTGGCGCCACCAGCTTCAGTAGCTCGCTTCCATCTCTGCAACAGCTCCACTTTGTCCACCCAGTCGGGGCAATACTCGTCTTCGCCTGAATACAAGAATAGTATCTTTGACTTGAGAAGGCCCTGCGCTCCCACCGCCCCAAAGGTCTCCTCCAAGCGCTTATCGCTCAAGTCAGAGCTGAAGAGATCATCATCAGATGGATTTCCAGGGCTCTCAGGGCTGACCAGACTCAGAAATCTCCGGGCACTGAGAGGCGTGTCAGCTGGATAAGAGAGTCGTGCAGTCAAGTTCATCGGAAGAATTGCATCGCTGTTCGGTTCTGTATAAGGCTGCTCCTTAGCAAAGGTCACAAGGTCATCGTAAACCTTTTTGAGCTCGTCGGGTTGCAGAGAGGACTCGATGATTGCCTGTAGGCCCTGTCTGTCCGAGGCAGGCGCTTGTAGAATGGCACCATCAAGCTCCGGGCGGACCATGTGCTGCAGGCCGAAATCGAACTCCTTGTGCGGCACGGGGTTGGGAGAGTAAAGGTAGTGGAGCACATCCTGGCTTCCGGTCGAGTGACCCATTATCGCGATCTTCCCAGCTGATGAAGGTGCACCGGGCTGGCGGGATGCCTTGAGATCGCGAATAAAGCGCACACATTGCCCGAGTTCCTCCACATCACGATCGAGGCTTCCGACCCCCCATCCGCCATATGAAGATGAGAGTAGAACGGAGAAGACTGACCAATCAGTGTTTTCCAAAGTTTTAGCTAGCTTGGACACATATGGAACAGTGCAGAATCCATCTGTCAGTCCACCCACGAACAGGAGGCTGTTTGTCTTATTGACGCCTTCTACTGGTGGGGTGAACTCGAAGGCTACTAGCCTTGGAGCCTGCAATTGTTAGCTCGGTACAGAGAATCGCAGGGATATTCTATACATATTCATGAAGCACGCCATTATGCGATGGACCGCGACTCGAAGATGAAGCCATTTCAAGTGTGGTTGTTGAAAGGATGAAAGCTTGTGAGTCCCCGCAGTGGGCGATCAGCCGTTGACGTATCCGATTCTCGTAGACGGTGGGGTCGGTGGCTTTGTTACGTTTACTCTAGTTAACTAGTAGTTAACTACTGTGTATGCACTACACAGTACATGTAGAGAAATAAGAGAATCATGTAACTGAATCTTCTGGGTCCCTGGGATAAGAACAATACCTCCAAATGGTTATCTGAGTTCTGACATCACTCCAAATGGTTTCCCCTTTGTTTTGTTCACATGCAACTTATCTTGCACCACTCCTGGACTTTAGTCACTTGGTCACGGGCTCTCTCAGCTTAACACCAAATATTGTCAATTAGACATGGGGGAGCCTTGATCATTGGGCAAATTCACGAGGTTATGAGGAGATTCCTATGAATATGACTCGACACCAATTCCACCAATTCAAATCCTTGGTGACACGCCTAACAGCATTCTGGATCATTCCAAGTTTCTGGAGTCAATCAAAACGATTGTCGAAGAGGTCGAGAAAACCGTTGCCACTTGCCGCCCATATGTTAAAACTCGCTGGGTTGCTGTGAACAAGTTCCCAGGGCGCCACTCCTACTTCGTGCTCGACGTCAACAATGTCGGATATGACTATGATTCCGCTCACAAATGCCTAAGCGAAGTCCCTGTCTATGTTCTTCGCCTGTCCAGAGCGCCCAAAATCTTCTGATATCGGCCACAGGACCGAAAGCTCGCAGAGAAACTTGCGCGAATGCACAATATGCATGGGCAATCCCCACTACCTTTGTTCGACGACCACACCAAACCTCGTGTATACGGCTCTCTCCGCCATCAGCGCCGTCCAACGGCCTCATGTATCTCAGGTGTTCTCTCTAAATTTCTGCTTGAGATGGCTAGGTTTTGATCGACGAAACATACTGTCTTTCCGAAACCAAGGAGGCATGCTGAAAGCGAGAAAAGCGTAGATGTAAAGGTTAATGACGTATGGAATATAGAACTGTAAGCTTGGAAGGTTTCGAAGCAGTCGTGGGATGTGGGAAAGATGGCAGTTGAGGGTGAAGGGACTGAAGGGTGGGATGGGGAGAGAAAACTGAATCGAAGAGAGGACATAGATGGCAACAACTTCAACCACCAGCAGAACCGTGGCCGGGCTCTACAAGACGAGTGGGTTTTAGGACCCAATCTAACCACGCAAGAAGTCATCTTTCGCTATGCTCCTGTATTTGCTCATCAATTCATCATTGACTGCTCTACCAGTTCATCGCTATGCTCGTATGCCTGGTCTCTCTACATTGGGCTGAGACTACCCACCCGCTGTACAGTGAACCACTTCTTGTTTCATTCTTGATCTTGTTCGAATTGCACCTCCCACACCATGGATGCGAACTCGACGAGTTCTTGTGTCTTAATGATGAGTATCAATATACCAGCGAACACCACGGGATTCTCTAGCCTTCATAGCAGCCTCATGTTCAGCCTCCTCCTGATCCAGCGCTAAGTGAGCCAGCTGTTGCTCCTCCAAAATCTTGGCGTTCCTCTCCCTGATCCGAGCAACCTTCCTAGAATCGGCCTACTCTCTTTTCGAGATGCGCCGCCTAGCTTCAACCGGGCCCAGGGCCAAGGTATTTGCTCCAAGAACCGTACGACGATTTCTTGGAGCGCTAGCTGCCTCCTTGGCTTTGAGAGCCTTCACCAAATCCGCCTCGCACAAAGCTAGCCGTTGGGATAAAAGTGTATTTGCATCCATAGATCGCTGAATATGCCGTTGAACTTGCTGAGATTGATCCCTCAGCTGGCTTAAGTCCTTACTCAGCTTAGCATTGAGTCTGTTCACCCGATCGACCGTGTCTGGGGGTGAATTGGTGGCTGAACTTGAGAGTTCGGGGGTGGTGATGGAGTATCAATCATCCGAATAACTTCACTCTCCCCTTCCATCTCAATTTCCTTCTGACGTAGAGGTCCGAGAATCACCTCCGGATCATAAGGCCAGATACCACGCGACCGAAAAGAAGATCGGATGGTTCGCTGGGTAAAAGAGAGGTTACGGACATCGCGAATCATCCGGAAGAAATCCTTCTTTTTATCCACGCTTCCACCCCCCATTACCACCTCATTGTTCGCTGACCGAAAGTGATGCTCTAGATTTGCGAAGACCTGGCCATCGAGAGGCTGGCAAAAATGTGTAGTATGTGGGATAAACCAGATTGGGAGGATAAAATGTCGTTCGCAAAAGTCGACGAACTCATAGGTAGTATGAGATGGATGATTATCCATCAATAATACCCTTGGCCTTCCCCTCTGAACTCGAGATTTTGTGGCCTCATGAAAACAACAAAGCCAATCGTACGCTGTTTCATCGTCGATCCAGCCATTGGGGGTAGGTTTGATGCGAAAATCGGGGATCGTGATATTGTCGTACCACTCCTCCAAATGCTGGCTACTCTTCGGTAAAAACCAAGGTAGCATCACCCACCCATCGGCGGCGATACATTCGATCCCAGTAAGGGATTCATGATGCCCGCCGGTAGGGTTCTCATACCCGCTTCGAGGGGCTAAGGCATGACGGGCCTTTCCTTCGCCAATCTGGTAGCCGATCTCATCCCAGTTGTAGATCTCGTGAGGTAGGAAATTGTACTCTTCCATGAGTTGGGAGAATCTATTAAACCAAAGGAGCATCGGATCGTACACTTGGCTTTCGATCCGGACCTTCTCTGCTGGTTTAGGCTTGAGGTAGGAGATATCAGGTGGTAGTGATGCGATGAATCTATAGACCCAGTTGTGGCCGACAGATTTCTCAGAGCCCGACCGCAGCAAAATCAGATTTGCTGCCCGCTCCACCAAGGTAGGTGTAGGACAGGTATATGCGCTGTTTAGAGTCCTTATCCACGCAATCAATGCCTTCTCTTGAATTGGATTCAAGGCTTTTCTCTCGCGACCAAGCTCAGTCATACTCCGGCGACCGTGGATTCGGCTCCGCAGGCGTTGGTATGGAACATCAAATTCCCGCGCCAATGGCGCGATTTTCGGGTTATCCCTTTCATGGTAGGCTTGGACGGCATTTGCGATACGGTCATTGATATCAGATGAATCATCAGGCATCTTGGTGGGGAGTAAATAAGGTACGAAATAGGTGGGTTCGTGAAAATTATAAAAGTGTGGGAAATTATCAAAAGTGTGGGAGGCACAACACCGGGAAGCGGTGAGAGTGTCGTAGCACCGGTGCGGCGTCTGCTTCTGCTGACGAGGCCGGCAACCTCTATCACACGCTCCAGGTGTCCATTGGTAGCCTTGTTATGCTCCTCGAGAATATCTGGACCGACCGTGGCCCTGTGAACGGGGCCTTTGGCACCGTTGAACACGAAACGCCGTTACCCCTGCTTGTGCGGTTTGACCCATTCTCAGGCCGCGGAATTAGGTCCGGATCCCCCGCTGTGCCCATTCTTCGCGTCACGCGCGAATTCCTCGTGGGAAACCAACAGTGTACGAGGACCCAGTTCCCCCTGGTCTTCTCATACGCCACATAAATCCCAGGGCATTACCGTGGACAGGGCTGTCAGTCTGTCCTTAATATCAGCGACCGTGCGCACTCCGCGGGCCTACACTATGTCGCACTCTCTCGAGTCCGCATCCTTTCCGGCACCCTCTTGGAGGATACCAACCCGCTCGGCCTACGACACCCATGCTGATGCGTCTGGCTGACCGCCAGCGGCGCCTACCGCAGTATGTGTCGCTGCCGCGCCTAGACTCGCCGTTGCCACCCGGGCGACCGGTTCTTGCAGTTGCAGGTACATTTCACAGAGCGTTGCTTGATATCAGTGCTGCCATTATGACCGATGTCTTCAGTATGCGCATATGAGGGATGTCACCGTTCGGGACGGCCTTTCTATTGCTATTCCTAGCTACGTTCGCCAATCTGAGTAGCCTGAACCGGCCTCGGAAGCCCTTTTTGTAGACTTCCGCATATGCTCGGTTGTAATCTAGGACCTGATACCTGTAAAACCCTTTACGGCTCATCAACACGCCTGGAGCGGTGGGCCGCAGGGCATAAAGAAACCTCCGGCTGCAGGCCATCTCAGTTCAGTCAGCTCGGACACGCGCCGAATTTCCTCCGCTCCGCTCAGCACATTATCACCTGTAACGCCTCCACCCCCGATGGGCGCTTACGAGTTGCTGGTACGATGACATCCTGCTGACCAAATAAATAAGGGTTAACTCCGAGGAAATCACGGGATTTACCATAAGGTTAGCACGGGATAAGAAAGTTAGTAACACCGATATTCAACTTCTTCCTAATTAGCTAGCACTGATGCATAATGGAATAAAACAAGGTTCGGAGCAGATAGTAGAAATAGAATCAACACAATTGATGACAGCGCGCTAACCTGATATGGTAAGACGCGGGTTTAACCGTTTAACCTTACACATATCTGTGAACGTTGATTGGTCTTTTCGAACTATGACCCAAGAACTGCTTGATCTCGGGATCTATCTTTAGTTCCATTATCTCCGATGAGAAGACACATAAAGGGGAAGATGTCGCGTTGTATGAACTGAACATATCAATTGACTCTAAACATATCTTGATTCAACTCTTTGCTCTATCTCGTCAAAACAAGCGCACTCAAGATGACCACCACCAAACAAATCCTCCGCTCCGAGGTCATCATGGAGAAATACGGCAAGAGACTTGCCGGGAAGACAAGTGAGCATGCTCTCTCCCTGCTATATAAACAGAAGCTCGAAAGCTAACATACATCGTCCTGTAGTCCTGATCACAGGAGTCTCCGATGAATCCCTCGCAGGCGAACTTGCCCTCCAAGTCTCCACCGCCAACCCCAAGCTCTTAATCCTGAGTGCCCGAGCCGAATCCAAGGTCTCAGGAATCAGAGCCAAGATTCAAGCTTCTGCCCCGGAAGTGCAAGTCCGCTTTCTAAAGATGGACTTGAGCGACTTCGCCGACGTACGAAAAGCGGCCGGGGACCTGGCAGATGTATCTCAAATCGACCATCTAGTCTGCGTCGCCGGTGTGATGATGCCACCTTATTGCAAGACAAAGGATGGAATCGAGTCCCAGCTGGCAGTCAACTATTTGGCGAACTTCTTGCTTGTCAAGTTGCTTCTGCCGAAGGTTCGTGCTGCGGGACCGGAGTCATCGGTTATTATCGTGGCTAGCGGGGCGGTTAGACTGGGGAAGATGAGCTTTGAGGATTACAATTTTAGTGTTAGTACCCTTCCTTGACTTATGCTCGATGCCCGGTAGTATTGACTCTGGCGTTGTTTGCTACAGAATGGTGAATCCTACGACCCTATGGTTGCGTATGGGCAGTCGAATGCAGCACGCGTCATGTTTGTCAAGAGACTCGGCGAGAAGTTGAAGAGTGAGAAGATTCGTGTGTTCAGTATTGATCCTGGTGGTATGTACTTTTGTGCCCGTCCTTAGGTGGTGTTTGTTGGATTTGGCGCGCTGACATTTATAGCGATGCAAACTGGCTTGCTGCGACACATTTCTTCTGAATTTCTCGAGAAATTCATAGAGTTGAGCAAGACAGGTCAACGTATGTGCACTTTTCTTTGACTATGCTTTGATCATCTGCTAACATGATTCTCCAGTGATGAAAGATCTGGACGGAAAGGAGTTCTCATACCCTCCGATTACGGGTACCTCGGAAGGAGCTGCTACTGTCATTACTGGCATGGTTGATCCGACTATCGCAGGTCAGTTAAGATCCTCACTTAGGTTTTGCATAGGGCTTTTGTTGATCTTGTTTATACACATACAGAGTACAACGGCTCCTATCTCTACCAGAACGCGGTTGCAGATCAGGACCTGCACACTCACGTCAACGACCAAGATAACTGGATCCGGCTCTGGGAGTTGAGCGAGGACCTAACCGGGGAGAAGTTCTCGTTGTAATAGAGCTATATAGCTAGAGCTTGGAAAGTGTTGGTCTCCGGGCAGGCAACCATGGCAATCAGGCATTACCAGGGGACAGAACTAGATAGTTAGATAGTCTTTCGCTCTTGCATTTCCTCTCTCTCTCTCCTTTCGTCCCGACGTCCCATCTCGTCGTTACTAATAGCATACAATTGATTCTCCATCACACTGCATTGCTCTTCTATAAAAAATACACACAGATAAGTTTTTCAGACCGCCCGAACTGGATGAAAATGTCAAAGTTCGAAAAAACTCCTGATGAACAGTATATACAGAGGCGTTCGTGACCCAGACCACCGGCTGATGAAGCGTCCCAATCAGGTTAGCGTGGCAGAATTTCATAAATTCGGCAGAATCAAAGGCGGTGGTCTGAGGTCACTGAGGCAAGGAGCGTATGAGGTGAGCGTACGGAGTAGATGACGGTGGATAACTACCCGCCAAGATTACGGAGTACAGCAGCCCCATGCAAAAGGCGGTGGACTTGGCTATCCACCGCCTGCGCGTCAAAAGTTCGGCAGAACTTTTGAATCATGTGACACATATCGTCTGAGGAAACTGAGGTCAGAACAAGCCGGTGAACTGATAACTGCCAGTCTCTCAAATCAGGTACTGGACTTACCAATATATCAAATTCTTGATCCACTCACTGGTGTTACGGTGTATAATTCGAAATTCATTGAGTTGGGAATCCAGATCACTCGGAAATACTCAGGGCATGCACATCACATTCTCATTGGCCGTCATCGAGACGCGACCTGTCTGAGCAACATGTCTGCCGGCCGCAGGTCTGGACGTCTCAAAGGCCCAAGGGCGGTGTACGTCGATGATCCATTCGAGGCAGCTGGACTCAGTGACAACGAGGAGGAGTCCAATAAACCCAAAGTTTCTTCAAGGCGGAAAGGCAAACGCGCAGAGGCCGAAGATTTATCTTCAGATGATGAATTTGTCGCTGGTTCTGGTGATGAGGTCGACTATGGACTTGACGAAGACGAAGTAGGGACAGACGCTGCAGATGACCCAGAAGGTGAGTTAGGGTCACAAGGCGGTGCCTCTGAGCCCGAAGAAATGTGGATCGGTGCTGCTGAAGGCACTCTGAGGAAAGAGCGTTCGGGATTTCAACAACGTGATACGCACGCCCGGAAGCGAAGAGCAGATGCGGCGGCTCTGCCAAATCCAGACGAGACGCACTCCCGTGGCATAATCGAGCCCAAGGACCACCTCTCGAAGACTGCCTATTATACTCTGACATTCGGTACTGATGATCGAGATCTAATGGCCGCCGTCCACTTCCGTATGCGTTGGAACAAGGCCCTGGACGTTGCTTTTCCCTCTCGCGCTACTTTGGAAGACAGAGAACAGAAGCCTTCATACCTCTACGGGCCGACATTTGGCGTCCACCCAGATGATATGTTGAGAGAAAGCACACGTGGCTGGGACTGGTACTATGACCGGGACACCGGTCCGATTTTTAAGAAAAAGCAGCGCATCCACAATCTGGAAGAGTCCATGATATTTCAGAGATACCTACCTCCACCAGATGCACGAAAACATGGCATTTTGCTGGGACCACACAACAACCAGCAACTGTACAAGCTCGGTTATCATGAGACTTTTGATTTTGGAAAAGCCTGGAGCACCCAACCAGGACAGTCAGAAACCGGGACCAGGAAGATTCGAGAGGGCTGGATTTTGAACATCGGTCACAAGGCACTTTGCATGGCTTGGGCTCCAAACCAGGATGGCCTTACCCAGTACCTCGCTGTGGTCGCACCAATCACAGAAGCACAGAAAGCGCAGTGCACCCCTGAAGGAAGTGAGCCTACTACGCCATTTAGGCCTTCACATCCAACTCCTAGTGCTCTGCAAATCTGGGAGTTCAAAGGGAAAAAGAGCGAGACTCCCACAATCACTCTAGATATGGAAACCAAACCCAGGCTTCGACAAGTCCTGTGTGCCGACTGGGGCGACCTGAGACGCATGTCATGGAATAGCATGCCTAGGGCCAAAAGAGAGGAAGACGAAGAAGAAGCGAGAAAGTCCATTGGATTGCTCGCGACCGTATGGGGAGATGGAAAGGTCAGAGTCTTGGATATCAAGACAGAACGAGGGTCACAAAAAACAGAATATCGTCAGTGTCTCTTCCGAGGAGTTCCAAGTAGCCCCGCTAACGCGCAATATAGTCAAAGTTGAATCGCCCGCCTTTGAGGCAAGACCTCCAGCAACAGTCTGCACATGCGTCACTTGGCTATCTCCCGGTGACCTTGCAGTAGGCTGCGGTAACGGATTTGTAGCAGTCTGGAACATCAAACCTTGCTCTGAGCCTGAACCTCTACCTTATTTTTATCGACCGGTACACGACACCTACATCTTGAGCATCACATCGGCCTATCCAGCCCATCCCCAACTCATCATCACTGTAGCTATGGATGGCGAAACGCGAATGTGGTCAACCATCGATAGCTCGAGTGAAATGGCCTCGACCGTTCGCATGCGAGGTGCCTCTGCCTACATCAGCTATTCTCCTCTTTGCCAGTCTGTGATTGCAGGAGACGAAAATGAGTTCGCTCGCATCATCCCCATTCGAAGATTCATCAGCACCACAGTCATTGCGAGGTTCACAAGCAACATCTCGGCCATGGCACCATCTAGTACCCATCACCCTTGCGCTTTGTTTGGCAGTACTGCCGGTGAAGTTGCAGGAACGAATCCGTTCCGACGGATCCTTTACAATAAGGAACAAGTATGGCAGCAGATGTGGTTCACTCATGAATGGGTCCGGCCTACTTCGGAGACAGACACTCTGGGCATTAGCCGATTCTACGATGGATACCGGGCAGAAAACCAGAAGCTGGCAAAGAACAAAATGTCCGAGTCCAAGCCGATCATGGGGATGGGGACTTCCACCATCTACGAGGAAGGCACCCACGTCACAGCTCTTGGGTGGAACCCCAATCGCCACTGTGCAGGGTGGGCCAGTGCTGCGCTGGGGTGTGGGTTATTAAGAGTGGAAGACCTTGCTATCTAGTGTCTTACCACGGCGCCAATCAAGCCGGCAGTGTAGACTGTGCATAAGATCTACCGATGTTGACGCGTCGATCGGGGTCATCCAAACATCATAGTTGATCTATGAAAAGAATTCCAGGCGACAGTGAAACGTTTGTGCCATCGCAGTTGTGTCTGAGTGGAACCCTAAGAGCCCCAGCCACACCAATTGCTTAGTAACGTCGCCGTGGAAACCCCACAGCGGCATCGTGGTTGGCAGGTGCTCCAAGTGGGGCCATGGTGATCCAAAGTTGACCAATCACATTTGATCAATAGCTCCATAAAAACAAAAAATAATCAAGGCCATGGCTGGATTGCCGCCGACCCAGCCACTGTAGATCCCAGCCGCCTCTTTTTGGACCAATAAAAGATTACCTCGTAGTTTGATAGTAGATCTTCTGCGTATAACTTTTAAAGCTGGACTTGAGACTGCTGTGCTCTTCCTTTCTCAACTTCCCACACTCATCCCTCAAGTCTCTGCATTATCCATATCTCAGTTCTCCTGTTTGCATTTGAGCCCTTCAATACCAAGTTCTTCCAATTGTTTCTGCAATCTTCAATCTTCAATCTTCAAATACTTCGTTTCATCATGCATTTCGCTTCGGTTGCGCTTGTCACCCTATCCTCAATTAGCGTGGCCTACGCAGCGCCTTTTGCCAATTCCGAGGACGATGCTTTCGTTCGCCGTGCCACCTACTCCGTGGTCAATGCCGACGGAGGCACCTCTTCTACTTCTAGCCAGGTTGCCCGTGAAGTCGACACTATTATCGAGACCTCTACAGTCACTGCTTCCGGAGCCAATGCAATGCCCGTTACTGTGACCGTGACTGCTACCCCCTCGAGCGTGGCCCACTCGACTCCTGGCGCCAGCTCTACTCCATGCACTTCATCTTCCTCTTTCATCCGCCGAGGTCTGAGAGCCGCTGGTCAGCCCGCAATCTTTGCGCGCGAGTACTCTAGTTCTTCCTCAGCGTCGATTTATCCCACTTTCTCTGTCACCGAGTCTCTCTATGCCCGTCAGTGGCCTACCTCATCAGCAGCTTCATCTCTCTATGCTCGAGGCTCGTCTGCTTTCGGGACCGCCACACCCTCTATCAGCGCCTCCGCCTCCGCCACTCCCCTTGCCGCTCGTGGCTGGTCATCTTCTGTCTCTGGCACTTCATCGATTGCTAGCTCCACTGCTTCGCCCACTTCCATTGTGGCGCGCGGCTTTAATGACTGGTCCTCGTCTGCTTCCGTCTCCCCCTCGTCCTCCAGCCTGAGCGCCTCCGCTTCCGCCGCTCCCTCGAGCTGGGGCGTGCCTACTTCGGCTGCTCCTCTTGCCGCCCGCGGCCCTTACGGCTGGTACTCTTCCGTCCCCGGAACTTCCTCCGTCGCCCCCTCCGTTGCCACCCCTTCTACCTCGCCTGCCATCGTAGCCCGTGGTTTCACCTCGGCTGCTTCCAGCATCTCTTCGCCTGTCTCCAGCACATTTGCCGCCACATCTACTCCTTTGGCCTACTAAGGCAAATAGGATTGCCAGGAACTATTTTGCTACTAGCAAAGTAGCATGGGAATAGACTTTCATGAGAAAACGACACTTACGGTTCCGAGTTCGAGGAATTGATATGATTGCGATACAATGAGGCGGGATCCGACCTTTCCTTGGTCAAGGACCAGTGATTAAATGACTTGATTTGTTCCCATCACGGCTTTGGGAATGCATACTTGACAGGCGTTTTTACCAGGTGCGATTTTAGAGAAACTACAATTCATCATTTGTATTCTACTGTGGATATGGGATTGGGTTTCGCATGGACCTGACACATAGGCTGGATTTGAACATTTGATGGGCCCGGATTTACATAGAATGGAAGGTTGGGCGGTTTACAGACAATGCATAGTGAAATGAAATACATGAGACTTCCAATTGACTATTTCATCTTGTGGTCTAACAGTATCATTCCCTAACTAACCCTCCAGTAGAGACTTCAAGACATCGGCAGGTGACCGCGTCGGAGCAGCAAGCTCCAGGATCTCCTTGCTAGATGTAGAAACCGAGCATTTGCCTTCCCACCCAGCCTCAAGAGACCGCTTAGCGGAGTAAAGGACGTTTTTCGATTCTTTGGTTCCTGCGTACTGGTACTCGAAAAGCATGTCGACGAAGGAGACGTCTTTATAGCGGACATCCTTCACGGGTGTACCAATGTACTGCTCAATCATTTCGACAATCCTGTTCCCAGTGACATCCTCAGGCCCATTGAGAACATATTTGGCCTTATTGTGCGCGGAAGGATCTTCTTGAGACAGGAGATGGGCAGCAATCACTCCGACCTCGTCAGGGTCGATAATACCGACAGGTGCATCCTCTGCCAGCAGCAGCCGAAGAGTGTCCTGCTCCCCAGTCTTACGGTGCTTCTTGATCAACTCCGCAGCAGAGGACATGGCAAATGTCGAGAAAAGATTAGGCTGGAGAGACGTCCACTGTAGATTGTTGAACTCGGGTGAGCCTAGAAGAGCCTCGATGGCCCAGTGTTGGCGTGGATAATAGGCAGGGCAGTCCGGGCGGACATTTGCAGCTGTGGTTGAGATCCGCACCACATACTGGACGCCGGCGTTGAGGGCATTCACGTGAAATGTTGACTCTTCGGCGAACTGGTTGGGCTCATTGTGGGGTGCAATGAATGCTCTGGTGACTTGGTTTGTGCGGAGCCATTCGGCGGTGATTTCCACCCAGTTCTGCTCTATCACTTCCACTCCGGGAAGTTTGGCTAGTTCCTTGGCTGCTGGACTTGTGGAAGAGCGGGTGAGGGCAATAATACGGTGGTCGGATAGAGTGCTTGATTGAAGCAACTTTGGCAAGGTTTGAGTCACGGCTCGGCCGGTGTTGCCGGTAGCGCCGACGATCAAGATGGAAGGAGACATTGTGTATAGAAGAGATGTAGTTGAAGAGCTCAAGATCAGAGGGTTTGCTCCCAAATTATATCTTTTCCTCTTTCGTGATTTCTAATCTGCGATTGAAACTTACAAAGCCAACATAGTAGTATTTGCAATTCGAGGGTGGTCCAAGGTTGATGTCGCCAAGACTTGCTATACGCAGTGGGTCCCCGCTGCATAACTACCCGACTCCGTGGACATAGATCCACTGCATTATTCTTCTACAATAAATCGGAAGATGTGGGGAGTGGCGGGAGATACGACCGGTGAAACGGGTAAACCAACCGTCCGATTACTAGCCGCGGCGAGAAGGTTGGTCCGCGAACGAATCCAGGGAAGAAACGAAGAAACAGTGCGAAAACGAGACGACCGGCCCACAAAATGTCTGCTGAAAAGACCTTCTAAGAAGGTCCTAGACTGTTAGACATAAGTAACATTTACAAAAACCTGAGGCTGTCGAACCTCCACTGAAGTAATTGCCCTTGCCCTTGGCTTATTTTTCCTAGAAACACATCAAGAGATTCTCAAGATATTTTCATTGCTTCAAGAAGTCACAATTCATGGTATATGAAAATCTTCTCTCTGCGTGAGTACCCATTCCGTGGCGTCTGTTTTCGATGCATGCTCATGATCAAATTGCCACTGCACAAGACCGTCGAGAGCTACCTTAAGAAAAGCACCACTTTGCGTGAGGTTGAAGATGGTCTTCAATTCGCTTCCGTTGAGTATAGGCTTAGCGAGTGATGCGTTTTGCAAGCCCTGATCAAACACATGGTCCATGAACTTTGAATATCCGTCAAGTAGGTCGGCAAAGGTGCCATCGTCCACCACCTGAGAAATGGCGTCGGCTAACAGCGCATACAACACTTGGAGCTTCCACGACCTACCCCAGGACCTGACTGCCATGCCGACAGCGCTTCGGGATATCCCGGCTGAAGCTGTTGCAACCTGTCGGACGGACGCATGGACAGAATCCATGTTCTTGAGGCAATCGCCCAGAATTTTTGATGTTTCGCTTGTTGTCTTGATTGCCCCGGTTGCACTCTTCACAACTTTCTCGATGTCGGTTCTCCGAAGTGATGCGAGCGGCGCCCAGGCCGCCATCAACCAGATGTGCTCCCGTGCTTCAGACTCCCAGAAGAATTCATGTTGCAACAGAAACGCAAGAGTCCTGAATGCGAGGGGCCATGGATTCGGCCATGGGATGTCAGGCCCGCTGCGGGGAAAAGCATGTAGCAGCGCTTGGCTTAGATAACCTGGTGGACCTAGGAAGACCGGGGAATATAGATCGCTTTCATAGAGAAGCTCAAAGGCGGTCAACGGATCTGGGCCCTTGATCATTTTCTCAATCTCAATCCCCACTCGCTCGCGACTGATTACATTGAAAGTCGTTTGAACGAGTGGGTCTTTCATCGCTTGTACTGTTTCTTGATCAATTTGGAAGCCAAGCCGGCTGGCAAATCTGACCAACCTTAGGATCCGAAGAGGGTCATCCGTGAAGGTCTGAGTAGGCTGAAGTGGTGTCCTAATGATGCCGGCTGCCAAGTCTGATAGCCCCATCTGCGTATGATCTTCGACTCTTCTTCTGTTCAGGTTGTAAAAGATGGAGTTGATTGTAGCATCGCGGCGATAAACATCTTCTACCGCAGTACCGAATTCGACTTGAGGATTCCGGCTTTCGTCTGTATAGACTTCCTTTCTCAGGTTGACAAGGTCGAGCGACAACCCAAATATTTCGATAGCTCCTGTCTCTAGGCGCTTCAACTTTTCTGGATTGCTGTTGATTATATGCAGCCCTTTGATGGTTGGGGGCACACCAAGCCTCTGGGCTTCGGCGATGTACTCTGCGGCCGAGCGAGCAAACTGGTCTTCGAGGGCTTTGCCGAACTGAGCCCCAGTCATGGAGCTGAGAGCCACATCGATATCCTGGCTTTCGCCGCCGAGTAGTTTGTCTCGAACCCAGCCCCCAGCGAACCATATATCGAGATTGGTGGAGTCATGGCTGTTGTACACGATGTGATCCCGGCAGTCGAGCAGAAGCTTTCGCAGAAGCTGTTCGGCTGGTGATAAGTCTATTGTAATTTCCGATTGTTTCGCCATGTTCTGCTAACGAGCGACTTGTGATGACGTCTGTGTTGGTGAGCCAGTCAAGCACTTCGTGCTCAAGACAGCCGCCAACTTAGAAACTCGTAGGCCTGCTGGCCTGGCGACCCTGTTTTTGCACCTTGCCCCCCTTCCTGTGTATGTATCAGTATGACGCTATCTTGGGAGATGAGTCACCGTCACGAGTGCACGACTCTTGATCGTGTCGAGCGGCGCGGCCAATAATATAGTCTCTAGGAAACTGATGCATGTACTTCCGGAAGCGCCGCGCGAGTGTTGATGTGCCAACGATACAGACGTTTCTGAAGAGTAGGTAGTCAGTAGTATTGGCAGGTACGGTGCAGGAGGATAACCATCCACTTCTAGAAGGTTGGTCATGTGAGGCCTCCGAGGCTCCGAAGCTGAAACTGTTCAAATAGCTGTAAGCTGGGCGTAATAACCACGTGACTTCATGATTTTGACAATTGACTTCATGTGCGAAATGATAATCCCCGGGCACGGGTTGCCGGGGAATGAAGCTGCCGACGGGAGTGCGAGATGTGGGGAGTTGCAACTTGCGGGAGCTACGACCGGCGACACGGGTAAACCAACCGTCCGATTAGCCGCGGCTAGAAGGTTGGTCGCGAACGAATCCAGGATGGAGGAAACAGTGGGAAAGCGTCAAAGCGTGACGACCGGCCCACAAAACGTCTGCTGAAAAGACCTTCTAAGAAGGTCTTAGACTGTTAGACATTTACAAAAACCTGAGGCTGTCGAACCTCCACTGAAGTCATTGCCCTTGGCTTATTTTTCTATGCAAGATCTCAGATGTTAGTCAATCTGTCCCACATCTCCCCCACATCGCATCTTAGAATGGGAGACGGTCACTCTGGGACAGCTCACCACTTTCTGAGATTCTTTCTTGAACCGTCTTGATTGCTTGTACGGAGTACTCCATATCTCTGTCTCATTCGGCTGAAGTTCTGAACTCTGCCTATGAACTACTCAATCATCTGCTCAAGACCTTATGGCTATTGAGTCTGGGTACTCAAGACTCGGATTGAGTTCGGCTCGTCAAATTTTTAGATCGGCCTTCTTGTGTGACATGGAAGACGGAAGTCATTGGATTGTAAGATTGTAGCTAGAAATCCCCTTATTAGACCTGGTAAGACACCCTTGTCACGGTGTCACGTTGGCCCCAAAAACCTGCTGTAGGGCATGACGCCGTTGCCCCGAGAGACGCGCCCGTAAACAGTTGCATCCCTCCGCTCTTCAACTTCATCACCTTGTGACCTCCAAGGGTCTCTTTTGTTGTGGCAGTTCTTTTTCTTATTATTATTTGACAGTTTTATTTTCTTATTCTTTTCTTCTTTGTACTTCAAATATTCGACATTGCATGCGCACTGAGGCTCGACATCGACAATGCCCGGAACACTGGCAGACGGACCTTCAGTGTCCATGTCTTGTATGTGGTGTTACCATAAATCCTTATACACGCTAACAATTATTCTAGTTGCCAACAACTTTTGGGGCAAAGATGACGCAGGACTTCAACCAATGCTGGACCGTGTCCATTCTTCGAAGATCACAAACGACGAACTGAAGGTTTTCTATAGCAGTGCGTGAGATGCAAGCAGCCGCGGTACTGCCAAATGCTAACTCGTTTACAGTTCGGGCCTCTATCGAAGAAGAATATGCGCGCAAACTCCAAGCTCTATGTCGCAAGCCGTTGGGATCAAATGAGATGGGATCGCTCCGGAGCTCACTCGACGTCGTTCGCGGTGAGACTGAAGCGATCGCCAAGGCACACGCAGCAATTGCCGGACAAATGAAAACAGAGTTAGAGGAACCGCTGGCAGCTTTTGCGAGTGGTATGAAGGAGCGACGAAAGATCATTCAACAGACCATTGAACGCCTACACAAGCTGAAAATGCAACAGACACAGGCTGTCAACAAGGTAAGCAGGGCAATGGTGTTATAGGCGACAAATGGCTTACTTTTTAGACCCGTGATCGTTATGAACAGGATTGTCTTCGCATCAAAGGGTACCTCGCGCAGGGACACATGGTAATGGGGCAAGAAGAGCGCAAGAACAAGGCCAAGTTGGAGAAGACCCAGATCCAGTTGGCATCAAATAGCCAGGAATATGAAGCCGCCGTCAAGACACTCGAAGAAACTACTGGACGCTGGAATAAGGAATGGAAGGCGGCATGCGACAAGTTCCAAGATTTGGAAGAAGAGCGTCTGGATTTCACGAAGAGCAGTCTCTGGACGTATGCGAACATCGCTTCAACCGTTTGTGTCAGCGATGATGCGGTATGTTTCCTCCGTCCATATCCACTTTCATGATGCTAATTCGACGTATAGTCATGCGAGAAAGTTCGCCTCTCTCTGGAGAACTGCGAGGTCGAGAAGGATATTATGTTCTTCATCAAAGAGCGAGGAACCGGCCAGGAAATCCCGGATCCTCCCCGATTCATCAACTTTTGCAAGGATGATGACTCGAGCTCTGAGATAGATGAAGCGGAGGGATACTCGGTGGCTCAATTCCAGCGAACAATGAACCCTGCCTTCCGCACGTCGTCTCCGCAGCCGGCCTTCGATACAAACCATGATCCACAGCCAGACCTTGCAGCTCAAATGGGACATTCCGCTCCCCCGCCTGTCAATAATGCGCCTGCGCCGGCGCCTCAGCAGCCGCCACCCCTACAACAGCCGATTCCCCAACAGCAGCCAATGCCTCAACAGCAACCAATGCCTCAGCAGCAGCCACTCTTGCAGCATCAGCCGCCCATGCAGTCACAACCCCAACAACCCGCGCCACTAGACTTCCGCCGTGGCGGTGCGCCACCTCCCAACTACGATCCGGAACGACATGGGGAAATTGGAGCTGTTCCGCACAATGCATACCCTACCGATGGAATGACCATGTTCTGTCGGACAGGGCCACCGTCGGAGCGAGGCTCGGCGCTCAGTCAATATCGTCCATCCAGTCGCGATTCTCAGAGCGAAGTTTCGAATGTCTCCAACACTTCGAACCCGACCTCTATGTCCAGTATTGAGGCGACTCCGACTAAGAAATCGCTGACGAAGGCAACAAGCAATGCTCCACCTTCAATCTCCGGCGACGAGAAGTCACCCAGGAAGAAGAGTGCCTTCTTCAGCAACAGCCCCTTCCGTCGCAAGAGTCGCCATGACAAGGAAAGGCCAGCCATTTCTCCCCAGCAAGCCAGCTCTTCCCAGCCCGTCAGCTCTTCCCACTCGATGCCTCGCGGTGGCTGGGACTCGCCGACAAAACAAATGAGTCCGACCAAGCAGATGAGCCCGACGAAGCAAATGAGCCCGCCCAAGCAAGTGGTCAACCCACCCAAGCAGACTAGCCCAACCAAACAAGTTAGTCCGGTCAGGCCTTCGGCGCTCCCGCCTAGCCAGAGATCTGGCAGCCCGGAACCTGTCGACCCTCGAGCCAACTTCCAGCTCAATGTCGGCAATAACGTCTTCGATGTTGCGACCCCCGAACAGAACTCACCGAAGAAGGGAGCCCAGTCTGGTCAGGCGCCTGAAGATGAACTGGACCCTATTGCACGAGCCCTGGCGGAGTTGAAGACAAGCGGTAAGCAGTCGGCCTCTCGGGTATCAGCAGATAGATACCACGGCATCTCGACGCCCACTCCGTCGGTATCTTCCTCCGCCTACGAAGGCAGGAATGCTGGTGCTTCCGCCGCTGCTCCGCCGCCAGCCTACAATGATCCTTCGGTCAAGCGGCTAGGCGCACCCCAGCCGGCCTTCACGGCAAAGCAAATGCACAAGACAACCCAGAAATACACTGGCCAGACCCAGAGCATGCTTCGAGGACAAAACAACAGCATGGGGTCCACACATAGCGGTCAAAGCCAAGAAGCCCCTCGAGCTAGATCACCAGCACCGAGACGGAGTGTCAGCCCTCAGGTTCCTTCGCCTCGCGTGGACACTCGTATGAGCCAGAACAGTGGCCGGGGCCCCAGCCCTAGTCCAAGTTCATACCAGTCTAACAGTATGCGGAGCCAATACAGCCAATCGCCCACTCCGCGTCGTACTCAGGAGCCACCATACTCTCCGAATGACTTTGCTCGGAGACCTTCGCCCTCTGTGAGCCACCGTGCAGTATCTCCACAGCCCCAATTCAGGCAGCAGGTTCGTCCTTCTAGTGCTGGCGGCATGGAACTGCAGTTATCTGGAAGCCATGATATGTATGGTAGTCCGGGTGGATATGCTGGCTCGACTCGGGGAAGCAGCCGCCCCTCCTCGACTTACGGTGATGGACCGCCTATTGGGCGATCCAGAAGCCGCACCCTGGCTGTTGCCGATCCTGGACGCAAGTTCAGCCGTGATGGCCGCCCAGTCCTGCATTTCGGTAAGAGGCCCTTCTTCTTTTGACTATGATTGATATCTAACCTCGAATCTTCTTACAGCTCGTGCCATGTATACCTACAATGCCGCCATTCCCGAAGAGCTCGGCTTTGCCAAGGGCGATGTCCTTTCCGTTCTCCGCTTGCAGGATGACGGATGGTGGGAAGCCGAAATTACCAACTCCCGTGGCCATCCTGGTCTCGTCCCCAGCAACTATCTGCAAATCATCTAATACCCCTTCACGACCCGCCATGACCCCCACAATCCTTGTCCTGACGGAGATAATCCTTATGTTTCCACGTAGATACCATGCTTCTCCTCTACCCTCTTTGCACATTGACGATTTTCTTCTGTTCCTGTTTTCTGTCTATTTGATTTCATCATGATGCTACAGTTCTGCCATGGAAATCACTGAGCAGCTTGTCCAACCTTATTACTCTGTTCTTGTGGATGTTTTGGAGACTTTAGCGTGTTCTGGAATTTCTGATCTTGCGCTTCGTGTGAATTTGTTTTATCTCCTACTTTTCTCTTATCAGAGATCTGTTCCACTGAAATTGTATGAGCGATCCCATTCTCGGATGATGAAGATCTTATTCTTTTCTTATTCCCCATTTCTTTCTCACCTACTGTTATCAGTTCACCGTCATACCGGACACTCATTTATGTACGCAGAATATGATTCGTCTGTTCAAATTGATGACCCCTTTTATGCAGCTCATGTTAATATGAATCACCGAAGAAATACACAACTTGATAGGTTGGTATGATACATTACCTACGTGTCATGCATTACTTATTAGGTAGCTGTACAGGTCCAAACCTCAAAGCCCCAGCCCACTCTCCTCAATACCTTTAGTGATTTCCCTTAGTACATAAAGTACATAAAACCTTGAGCTGGATGCCGCCAACCTTCGGATTCCCGCTTTATTTTTGTCACTGCCGCAAATAATTTCTGGCGAGCAAGGACTTGAGCCCCTCGTCTCGAGATTACTTCAAAGCCCCTATATCAGCGCCCCCTACATCAGCAGCCAAGGATGAATCAATCACCCAACGATCCTTTCACGCAGGAAATTCAGCGACTGAGGGCTGATTACGAAGGGAGAAAATCGCGGTCTGACTTGGGTTCTGCTGGTGGCCGACGGTTAATCGACCTCAGTTTGGGATTGATTGACGGTGTGTTCTGCTATACGTATTGGTATGAGCACCAATGCATCCGGCTGGCTGATATTCCCGGCACTATCTCTGGTGATATTCTTCGCTTACGACAAAATCTGCCCGACTCAGTTGACATCGGCGATCATGAAATCATCGGTGACCAAGTACGTCCCCTCGTGAATGGGCCACCGCTTCCAGTGCTACATGATGACTCCGAAGAACTTGATACAATTCTTGCCGCGCTCCCAATTGTTGAAATCGATTCCAGCAAACACTTTGTCAAAAAAAGCAAATATAAGAGTGAAATCAACAATCTGCTCGAATGCCAAGGTGGATCTTGTCCGGGAGTCCCAAAATCATCCCACATCATTCAGTTACTGGGAAAGTCACCAGAGGGGAAGCTGGTATTCGAAAAATTCAAGTCCAGATACGTCTTAGGGTACATTTATCCCCTTTCTGTATACAAAGACTGGCTTTTGCAGATAATCTCAGGAATGAAGAAGCTTCATTCCCTTGGGATTATTCATCGTGACCTTCGCATCGATAACATTGTCTTCTCCGCTGACACATCCCGTGTGCTTATCTGCGATCTCGAGGGACGTTGGGGAAATCGTCTGGCTCCTGAGGTTTCTCGCGAGCCGGTGTTGGACGCTGGCTGGTCTGAGAAATCGGACATCTATGACCTCGGCTATCTTATAAAAGGCATGATATACGGAAACGTACCGATAACGATGGCGGTGGAATGGTCTGTCCCACCTCCTCTTGCTGCTGTTGTGGAAGCTTGCACGCGCAGTAAGCGGGAAGAGCGCCCCAGTTTAGATGATCTATACGCTATGGTTGAGAAGATCGAAATTACCACTTAACAATATATGGTGTTCACGTAATTTCGTGCTGACAGTGTATGGCCGGATTAACTTGTTTACAAATATAGTAATCTTCTGCTCGTTATGAAAGAGTTGTTAGATTAGACTCCTAGATCGGAAAGGTTCAGTTTATATGCTTGGTTGAGTCGATGTTTCTTGGCGGCCTGTCGGTCTGTTCTACAGTAGGCTAGATCTGACCCACTTGACCCACTTGTCTCGTGCGGTGCCTCCCGAGTCCCGAGACGCCGATCCCTTGCACCTCGTGTCCCTTTCACGGGCTCTACTTCTACTTTCCCTCACTTCTTGCCTACCACGCTAACAGCCTTTCAGTTTCTTTACCCAAGACTCTGTTGCAAGTTGCTATGCCCGCTGTCCTGTGTATTGACACACAGTACCTCTTAGGCTCTTACCAATGGGCAATGACGCAATGTTGCACTGACCCTATTACCCTACTAGGTGTCGGGCACCTGAGGCAAAGCACGATGTTTTCCGTTGGATCTGGAAGATACTAGTGGAAAGCTTCAGAGTCTCATTAGACTTTATTCTACCATGGTCTCTTATTTCAGCACTTGAACTTCGGCAGGCTATTGGGTCCGGTCAGTAAATATAATTAACGGCAGCCATACATTGCCTAAAATGGACGCCCGACAGGGAAAGCTCGAACAAGCTCTGGGAGTCACCTTTAGCCTCGTCCAAACTTCGCCCAGTTGAATAAAGACCATGGCTCTGCGGGTTTGATTCTTCCCTACTTAGGCGTCGGAAGCAGACCAGATCAAACATAAAGAGCTCCTGCTGTCTGATCTTCTCCCTTCTTTCTTCCTTCCTCAACTACCAACCTCATCAATCCCGTCACAATGCCAAAACCTCTCTGGAAGTGGCGCTACGAGCAGAAGGAGGATTTCCTCCTTTTCTTGTACCGAGGCCTCAGTCACCTGAGGCCTGGGTACATCTCCAACAAACTCCAGGGATTTGACATTCACCCGATGGACTTCTGGACTGGCGACACCAATCCCTCCTTCATCTCGTACTTTTTCCCAGACACTGAGACCACCTCCAAAATTGCCAACACCAATGTCAATCCCCAGGATCCCGTAGACGACCCGTTCACCTGGGCACGGAGGATGAAGAGCTTCGAAGGCTCTGACTCCGATGAAATGCACCATGCACTCTACGCAGCGTTCGCGAAGTATCTCCGCAAATCCCCCGGCGGCAAGCACCAGTCCGCATGGTGGGATCCAGTTCCGTAAGTCCCCCTCCCTTCTGGCGTAGAGTGAATAAACAAACTCTGACCTTCTGGGATATAGCACGGACGAGGAAAAGTCCCTCTTCAACGGCAATGACCGGCACAGCTTTACCGTTCAAAGTGGAGCAAGGTGTGCTGACGCGAAGTCCTCGCATCAACTGGTTGTTATGAAAAGCAACCAGCTGCACCACGAGACCCTCCCGTCAATTGGAGAGGTTGTGGTCCTGCTGCGGTGGATGCTTGATGCTACCAGAAAGCACAAGCATCTTCTGGGACGCCATAGCCGCCAGGGGCAGAAACAGCATGACTTCCCGGTACGTCTTCTCCCTCCATTAGTTCTCAAGTATGAAAAAGCTTCAATTACTGACTCCTGCTAGACAATGGTCATCTCCTTCCTCCCGGACGCCCGAGTCCGCATCCTGCATGGGTATCTCGACAATAGCGACTGCCTCCAGCTGGCCTATACCCGAGCACTGGACTTTGACACGGAGGATTATGCTGAGAAGATGGATATCCTCCTTCAATGGGCTTGGCCCGAGGTGCAAGGAGACACCACCAAGCCCATTCCTCTCCCACTCGTTGACGAGGAGGAGGATGAGTGGATGAAGAGCGGAAAGATGGAGCTGTTGTCCGCGGAGTACAGCGATGAGGAGAGTGATAGTGGTCTGTTGAGTGATTCCGACGATATATGGACCAGCACTGAGGACGACTACGATTCCTCCAGTGACTGGGAGTCGGTCACAGACGCGAATGAAGTGGATGCGTGCGACCAAGTCCCCATCGGGGGATGTGGGAGGTGATGGAAGTAGGGGGTCCCAAACATGTTGACTTTGATGGAGGGGAGGAAGTTGGGGGAATTACATTTCGAAAGTCGACCTGAGCCTAAAGGCGAGGACTGGGAGGCTGGGTCCGGGAGGCGCCCCCGTGGTCTCGGGCTCTGACTCTCCAGCTTATCCTTGTCCACGCAACGGCGACTATGTTTATATGTAGTGGCAACCCGTCACACAGTTCTGCGTCGCTTTGTTTTGCTCTGAGCTGTTTGTTAGCGTGCATCATGTATCATAGGCAAATGTACTGAGATGAAGAGACCACCATTTGAAGATCTATCCATGTAGTCAAATACTCGTAGACATTGTAGATACCCACGTGCTGTACGTAGATGGAGCCAAGCACGAAGTAAAGCAGAACTGGAATCCCAGTCAGCATTTAATAGGACAAGAGACCTATAGCCCCATGAGCAGCTCGAGATAGTTGTTGAGACCTACGATAAGGAAGTAGGACAGTGGAAGGGTTAAGAGAAACAAGCTCCCCAACTATTGAAGAGGGGAACGCTTGAAGGCTGTTGAATTCCATAATAAAGTCCTAATTCAGGGACGTGTTTAGGGTGAGGTACGTCATTCGCATATGAAATACGTTAAGATTCATGAAGTATTAGCAGACAGGGGTATATGAAATCAAAGACATGCTTCCTCAGGGCTATACATAAATTCCAATACGTGCAAAATGTCAAAGAACAGAGGCTTGGGATTAGGTAGGTAGATATCATATGTTCATTCATCATCAACAAAAGAGTTGGCCAAGTGGCCAAAGATTGGGACTTCGAAGTGGTCCAAGGTATCGACTAGACACGAGGGAGATTAGTATCGAATCTCCATTTATTGCCGGCGCAAGCCATGAGCGACCTTGGAGAAACTCACCATCTTGGTAAGCATGCATGCCAAGGAAGCCAATCAGACCCAGGTCGACGATGAGTAGTGTCCAGGAGAGGAAGCTCGACCAGCTGAAGAGGAGGTGGATGACCTAGGGTTGCGCATGTGAGCACGTGCGACACTGGTGAAGATAGAATGAATACTCACAAACATGGCAGCGAATAGCATGCTCGACTGCCAAGCGTGAAAGCTACCGAGAAAAATTAGTATATTGTACTTTTAAGCAGATATTAATGCAAGGCTCATCACTCACCGCACATAATCGCTCTTGTGTTCAGTTAGTAACAGGAAAACACCTCCTGCCGGAGGCAGAAGCAGATATGCCAGTGCTGCTTCAATGTCCATGCGAATCGGGAGACTTGTTTCAAAGGCCCCTAGGCTAACATGACCACCTTCAAGGTCTCGTCCGTAGCCTGTGTTGCCATGTCCGCCGCCAGCAAAGTGACTGGGGGACGGCAGGTCGGCTGAGGCCCGTGGTGAGCGCAGGTTTGGGGATGTGCGGCGACTGTCGAAAGGGGGAGGGGACAGAGCGCGCTCGAGTTCCGGTGATTGATCCTGATAAGGAGCGAAGTTCATTATGTATAGGTGTCTGGGAAAGTGAATGACGGAATCATCCGGGGATCAGGGGAATTGATCTGCCGGGGTACAGTAGAAGCTCCTTAACCTTATCAGATCGCGACGCGTCTGATAAGATGCCTCAGGCAACAATGCATACAAGTAAGGGTATCATATTTATGAATTTCTTTGATCTTGATAGTCATAGAGGTGACATTAATTGTACATGAACTAGCGCAGTCCTAGACCCTTCCCCGACCGCGGGGAATGCCACCCCCTCGAGCAATCCCACTTGCTGGCCGCTGAGTGGTGGTTGTAGATCCCCCTCGTGTGGCAGTTCGCGATGTGCTGACACTGGGAGTTCTTCCTAAGCCAGTGCTTCGCACTGTACCCCGTGTAGTTCCACGTGTACCTCGCGTTCCCCGAGTAACCTGTGCACGTCGTTTTTCAATCTCCTCGGCTTTTCGCGCCGCCGCTTCTCTTTGTTGTTGAAGTGCCTGTTCCCGCCTTTCGGCTGCCTGCTGCCTTTGGATCGCTTCGTTCTCGATATCAATCACGTCTTGAGTAGCGCCTTGCCAATTGGGATTAAGGATCAGTCGTTGATTATGCTCGGTTTGGGATAGTATGCGTGTCCATGTGTTGAGGAGGGTCGAGGCTGAGGTAACCGTTCGTGATACCGTCTGTTAGTGGTTAGTCTGAGTATCCATGATATACCATGCGAGGGTAGCGATACCTCCATGTTTCCTTTGGCGGAGTCCAGGCTGCTTAAGAGACCTTCGATCACCTCGTTGATATTCCGCACACCTTCTAGTTCAGTCCGTAGGGCATCTTCGCGGGCCTCCTGGTGATCAAAGAGAGGCTCATTGCTATCGTGGGTAGCTCGAGGCTCCGGTGTGATATTCTCTTCGGGTAATTTTGGTTTGAAAGACTTGTGAGCCACTCTCTTCGATGGCGAGTTCCAGAGGTCCTCTGTGTCATCATCGGATAACTGAAGCCTTTCCATTTCTTCCGCTGTGCTGCGAAAAGCCATGGTGTCGGATCTGGGTGACCAAAGTATGTACAAGTAGCGTGGATAGAACGGCGGAACTTAATTCGGAGCTAAGATTGAGTATGTGATGTATATGACGGACAATCGAAGGCTGATAACGGCGTGTGCGTTCAATTCAATTGACGATCAAATTAGGAAGAAAGTCAACATCGTTGCGGGGTTTTCAGCCACCGCATTTATTAGGGCGGTGAGGATATCGGGTGGCTGGGCGACAATCATCCCGTCAACAACTTCACCCTTCTTTCATCTCCAACTTATCGTTTTTGGTCCACGTTGCCTCGGACATTTCGATATTTGCATATTTGCATCTTTACGTTCTATTCTTTTTTTTACTTCTTGCTTCAGCAGTGCATTTGTTAATTCCAAACGGACATCGCACAAGTTCGAAGTGTTACGCCCTTGATTCAGACAACGCCTTTCGTCGACACTTCATCTAGATCGCGAACTTTGGAAAACGCATACGATCACACTTTGACTAGCATAAATCATAAACCCTCAATCTTCAAATTGCAATCCGTTGAGCGGAGGTGCAATCGTTATTCAAGTCAACATGGCGTCAACACCGCCGCCTCCATCGCCGTCTGCACTTCGGGTACCGCGAGCGCCGCGTCACGGACCGAAACATGACAACTATGAACCCTACGCTACGCGTTATTCAGCGAGACTTGCAAGCCAGCGCGCCTCAAGAGCTGATAAAATCACGCCACCTCCAAATCACCCAAGCACATCTGCGAAAACAGGAACCTCTAAAAGAACCCTTTCACCTTCTTCACCTGATGCTGCCATACCCTCGCCTAAAAAGACAACCCGGTCACACACAATTGCTGCCTCTCGCATCTCTCATCCCGAATTGGAGCATGCACTTCCCCGCTCTCCTCAACACACCTCCCGATCCTCTGCAGAACGGGCTTTGCCTACACCTGCCAAAACGCCTTCGAAGAAAAAGGTAGCCACTTCTGCTTCTTCCACATCTCGTTCCTTATTTCCACCAACCTCCACCCCCAAGCGCCGAAAAATGGACGCCACAAACCATTCCATCACACCCTTGGACATCTTCAGTGATGAGTCTGTTCAAGCTGCGACGCAGGGATCGATTCCCATTCACGAAGACTCACGTGATCGCATTCCGGGTCCTCCTGGCCTTGTGAACGACATATTCATTGGCAGGGCTAGGCCTGTCCGGCGACCTGCTACTCGCTCAGCCGCCGGCAACTCCCGTGATGACGGAGCCTGGTTTGTTCAGTAAGTCGAAACATCCGTCACTCATAAATTCAGCTTTTTACTAACATATATTTAGCCGTGGCAAGAAAATCTTCAAGCGCTTTGATGACACGGAAGACCAGGATGATGATGAAGATGACCTTGGGCTTTTCGCCAGTCGCCCTGACCTGTTGGCTAGAAACCCTGATATCCTGAAAAGCGTGAAGCCGCTGAAACGTGCGGATGTCAAACCCCGGGTCCTATTCCCTGCCGCAGGCGACACTGCACATGAAGAGGAGGATGTCACCGATGTTGAGGACTGCGAACCAATGTCTCCCACTCCGGCTTCCTTCCCCAGCACCGTACACTCTGCTCCAGAGTTAGAGTCCAGTCTCCAATTCGGAGCTAGTCCTTTCACGACCACCCGCGACTTTTCACCAGCGTCTGCCACGAACGTCCCTGCAATCAATCTTCAGGAACCCGAAGGTGGGCCCCTCATCCCTGCATCGGGTGAGGAGCCGGGGCCTCAAGCCGAGGCTCTGGGCCAGACTTCCTTCCGGGACAGCCCCGGAAGCAGCCTCCTCAAGTACTGGCCGGTCAGCACGAAGAGAAGAGACGTTCAGGCCCGCGCCGACCGTGCGAAGCGCCCCCTTGAGGCCCCCAGCACCCCTGTCCCACGGACCCGTAAGGCCCACGCTGCAGCTGCGGCCGAGGCTGCGGCCTCCCATGCCCCCGCCCCGGGAGCATCCACGTCGGATGCGTAATGTCTTCCGGCTTTGTCACTTCCGGCTTCCCGATTGCTTCACATTGCGTTCACTTTTCGCTCGTCCCGGTGATATTCCGTTGACCTTCCATTTTGCATATTGTTTCGAGCGATCCGGGGTTTTCTCTCTTTCTTCTCACGCGGGCAAAGCGCTGAACTTGGCGCTGGGTGCATGACAGCCTCTTGTCTCACTTATGCACACCCGATTGCCCTCGCTTTTTCCCAACAGCCCCCCTGGTTGGGGTCTTCTTTTCTCTCTCGGTTCGTTGCGGTGTTTTGTTTCTTTGTTTTGTATACATCTTGCTTTACTGGCGCATGCAAGGTTGGGGATTGCGGGAATGAGATACCTCTTGTCAGGATCATCAGCCATGTAGGTAGGAAAGGAAGGCGTTTTGCGTTTTTGCTTTTTCTGGGTTTGTCATAGCGACAGGAGGAAATTAGGAAAGCGTACCAATCAATTGAATTAACGAAGTCAACTGGATCGATCCTCTTTAGTACACAGTAGATGATTTAACTATATGGTCATAAGGTCATCTGTTCATGTCTACATCTCAATACTCTGACTACCTTAGGTTATTACTCGACTTCTTACCTGTAAGGTAGTACCCAGGCATGGTGTGGACGGCGCTGTGGAGATGCACTACTACACCTTAAAAAAAAACAAGCTTTCGGTAACCGGGCTACAATCTATAGTAGACGCGAGCAACAGACTACAAATACTTCCATGACTGAGACAAGGAGAAACATGCACATTAGTCGTCACATCGACTCACGACAAGAGCTCATATCCAGCTCGACTAGTACTCTAAACTCCGACAAAACCAATGAAAGGACCCACTCAATGCACCCAGCACATGCTTTGTATTCGTAACAGCGTTATGGAAAATTCCCGCTCTCAGGGCTCAGGCGTCGACACATTGGATGCGGAGATCAAAATGCCTCAGATGAATTCCAAATCATCGTCGTCATCATCATCTACCAGTATCCGTCTCCCACTGGGCGTAGTCTCGGCCGGTGCACCGAGGCTTTCCCGACCAGCCTCCCTGATACCCTTGGCAGTGATGAACCGCGTCTTCTTGACCCCGCTACCATGGGGTTTGTTATGAGCACGCTTCATGGGACTGAGGCGGACGTTTTTCGCTTTGCCGAAGGTGGTCATGTCCATGCCGTGGGTTGTCGGAGGAGGACTCTGGGGCCTAGACGGGGTGCAGGGCGTCGTTTCCTTGGATGGAGACTCGTTCGAGGTCCTTGTGCGGAGATACTCTGCGCCCACACCACCGACTCCGCCGGAAACCAGCTTCTGGGTTATGTCACGCTCTCGCTGTTGGGCCGCCAGACGTCTGCGCATTCGCTCCTCTTTGCTCTCCCCGCGGCCCATCATGCCCGTTGAGAAGAAGGGGTCATGTAGTCTATCGAGTGGATTCTCTGCTGAGCCTCGAGGGTTGGAGCCTGGACGGCCAGCCCCGGTATTTCTGGATGGTGCCACGTAAAACACCGATTGGGATTGATAGTCATACCTGGGGCCATCGTGTTTTTTGCCTTGCCAATAGGCAGACGGTCGCCTGGTCCCTGGTTGGTATAACCCGATGCGCGAACCACCACCAAACATGCCCGTGTCACAGTTGACTCCTGCGCGTTGGCCTTGCGTGCGTCGGACCTGGATATCAATGTGGAAGTCGCAGAACTCGGTCTTTCGACCATCAACCCAGGCTTGGCAGGTCTTTCCATCTTTTTTCACAGACTTGCAGAATCCAATATCCCGAGCATGGCCAATCTCGAGAACCGTGTCATCTGATGAAGACAAGGACAAGCTAAATCTGTTGGTATCCAACTTGTGCTTCGGGGGTGGCATGATCGTAGGATTCAGGATTGCAATGAGAGTTCCTTCCGAAACTTTGTAGTAACGAGGGAAGGCAGTGTCGAAGAGGAAGAGGTCAACTGTCCATGTCAAATCGGTCAGAGTGATGGCCATGTATCTTTTTGAATTGTTCAACCCGTCATCGTAAGGGTCTTTTTCTTTTGCAGTTACATTCCCCGAGGCTTTCTTGTCCCTGGGGTCAGACTTAGATGCAACAATACCAAACACCACGAAATCTCCATCAATGTCATCTGGGAGTTCGAATGCAGGTGCCTTGACCATCTTCAGTAAATCGGGAATGCGAAGAACCCTTTTGTCTGCAAGTGTGCGGTTCAAGAAGGAATGCGGAAGAACTCGATTGGACAGATGTAAGGACGAATAAGACTCGAATTTTGAAGAGTCTGGTGTCTTCACCAATGTATCGTTCGTGCGGTCTGGCTTCTGAGCGGATCCAGGTTCTTCATCTGCTGTATGGGTTCGTCTGTGTAGATGAGTGGGCCTCTCGTTTTGGCCACCCTCATCTCGCCGAATGTTCGGGGTTGTATTACTGCGCTGCAGACCAGACGACGGGCGGGTTTGACCCATAGATCGAAGAATATCTTCACGGGTGAAGCTCTCCACAGGCCGCGACGCAGATGGTGGGGGCGATGAAGGCTTTGCATTTGCAGCTGCAATCTTATAAGCCTCCAATTCTGACTTGTCAACTTGAAAAGCCGAAGTGCGGTTGGCCTGGACCCTTTCTGCTCTCTCCAGTCGAGCCTTTTCAGCTGCCCGGCTTTCCGCCATCCTCTCGCTAAAACTCTTGATCCGGTTGATCCCTCCCATTGCAGGGGAAGACTGAGGTCGTGCGGAGAATAAGTCAGAGCGCGGTGTAGCACCATCGCGGAAGCCGACTTGACTGCTCGGACGAGCGTCGGTTCGTGAGCTAGGAGGTCGCTTCAGCGACACATCAGTGGCTTTCCAGCCCTTGTCGATACCCATAATATACCTCCTTGGTGATATGGGATCCGCGGGAGGAGCTTCTCGCCTTGTTGGTGATGCCGGAACCTGAATTTCATCGTTGCTCGGTCTTTGCCGTACTCCCAGGGCGCTTCTTGGTGTTAGACCACGGTCTTCCGTTCGCGAAGCGCTGATTGCGGAAGTTGGTCGAGCATCCTCATCTTCGAGAATTGAGCCACTTCCGCGGGTCTTCTGCTGCTGTAATTTCTTCAATTTCAGGCGCGCTTTGATCTCGGCTAGCTGAAGTTGCAATGTCTCTTCATCCTCTTCTGCCTCATCTTCGTCCACAATCTGACTCGCTTTCGACCGAAAATTGGGGGTTGTGCTTGAGCGCTTTAGTGGGGAAGCCAGATTCTCTCGAGCGCGTTGCATGTCTTGGTACTTGCGTCGGCCTCCTGGCGAACTCAACAGAGCCGCGCGGGGCGATTGGGGCGGCCACGCGGGTTCAACCACTTTGTGGAGGAGAGGGATTAGTTATGGGCCATTCCGAGTGATGGGGACTGGGGGACCTTACTGGTGATAAATGGGTTCCAATGTAATCAGAGACCGAATGTACCTTGACGCGTCACTGCGGCTCATGCCGTTTACCCTGCCTTGCTGTGCAGTATACCGCTTAGGAAGAAAGGATTCAAATCAAGTCAACAACAAATCGAGGGATAATTGTAACAGGGATATCCTTCGGGGCTGAAACTCGCTAATGCACAAAGTGACGGGTCTCGCCGAAGGCTGATTGGGCCGGGAAGTCGCGTTCCTGGGCGCGTCGCGGGTTTTCCATCTTAGCCCCTTCCGTTCTTGAGCCTGGTCCTTGTCACGTTCACTCTTCACCTAATAACACATCCTACAATGAAGACTCGATCAGCTCCAGCCTCAAAATCGGCAAAGAAGTCCGAACCCGAAGAGTCGAAGGTTAAAACCCTCGTTTCAGCAGAGAAACCGAGCAAAACGTTCATTCTTCCATCCACTGCGAGCGACAATGCGCGACTCGTCTCTCTGCCTGATCCCCAGTCGGGAGAAGTAACCCGTTACTTCTTCTGCCCGGACCGCGGTGTATATGAGTTCACTGTCGTTGCGCCGCCAACGCATATGGCGCGGAGCATTCTGTTCACCCCTCGCACGAGCGCAACGAGTCCGTCGGAAGAAGATAAGGAAAACCCGCAGCCATCTGTGCAAGGCTCAATTACGAAGAAGGCAGAGCTGCTGATAGCAACACCGATTGATGTCATATTCTTCATGATACCATTGTTGGCGCCTTCCTCGAAATCCGGCCATTCTCTTTTCCAGCCGTTGGATGATATCATTGACTCGCACGACGATATGCCTAAGCATCTGCGCCAGATCCTTTACGATGATGTTTTCCGGAGCTCCCTCCTCGCACGGGTGGAAGCTATCTGTGACGTGGTGGAGGCTGGCGATGAGAACATGTTCCGGTTCAATGAGACGAAACTTACTAAGGAATTGGTTGCAAAGGCAGAACGTATGGCAGACCATGGACTTCCTATGAGTCTGGAGGAGCGCTTTGTCCGTCAAGCGCTAGCCACTCCCTTGATGGCGGTGAAGCGAGACGATATTGTGATCAGCCAGCCATCAAACGAGAGCGAGGAATCGGCTTCGAAATCTGAGGATCGGCAAGATTCCCCCTCGACTGTCGCCACAACTACGACTTCATCAGTTGCAACACCCGTAGGAGAATCGACACCTGTGCCACAGCCACCAAGCGAAGAGTTCGCGTGTTCAGATCACATCACTCGGCTACTCCGCATTTCCACAGCTCTATCATTCATAAAGGAGTCATATCTGTCTCCTGCCATGGCCACAAAGATAAATGAGATCCTCCCTTCTGCAGAGAGCCCGATCGATTTCAAGCCTTTAACGGACCGTCTCGAGGAGATTGCAAAGCTTCGTGCTCAAGCTCTTGCTTCCCGCGATATGTCCAACTTTACTCGCAAACGAAATCTCGATGACGAAGAAGACGATATTCGAGCTGAAAAGAAACGCCGCAAGGAAGAGGAGACAAAGTCAAAAGCTGCCGAATCCCATGCAGTAAGGAGTCTGAAGAAGGTCAACACGAAAGGGATGCAAAAGATGAGCTCTTTCTTCGCCAAAGCCGCCCCCAAGAAAACCTGAGAAACCCGACAGAATGATGATATCGCTGTATATAACACAGGTGGTTGATCCCTTGCTGACTTCGAAGCAATGCGGCTGGCATGACTGACGAGTGAAGGATGGTCTCGATAGATCTTTATTGCGTCGCTATTCCTGGGACCAGGGCTCCTTTCAAGAAGGGATCACCAGACGCACCTGCCACGGCAGGAAATGAGCACGGAGAGCATCGCACCTTCCACATCTCACGCTACTTCCACTCCAATAAACCTACGCAGTTTTGGAAGGCGCAAATCACAGCGGCTTTCTACAGAGAAAGTACACGTATCGATGCCCAATAGACCATCGAGGCGTCGTACTCGACTCCGCGTCTTCAGACAGTCTCAAAACTCTCAAACCCCTTAAAATACGCTATCTGTTGCACAATCTAGAAGGGGGGTATGTCACTTGTATTCCTCGGATTTTGGATGGCAATAAATAATCAGCCCAAACTATGTGCGCTTTGTTTCCAATACGCGATGCAACATTTAAAGAGGGATCTGGTCAATAGCAGCTCCCGTAACCCTGTAATAATAAGCGTTAGCCATCAGCCCGAGCATCGTAATTTCGCAACAAGATGTGTAACTTACAAGAATGAACCATTGGATGGCTTGCTGATAACCATAGCCTGCTCCAACTTCTCCTTGCTGATATCCGGGAACTTCTTGAGATAATACTCATCCCGGAGCGCAGTAGTAACAGCCTCTACCTTGCCCTGAGGCAACATGTGGACAGTACAACCGCCCCAGCCAGCACCCGTCAACCTACTTCCCCAAGTACCTGCACGACGAGCAATCGCACAGATCTCATCAACCTCCGGTGCACTGCAGTCATACGCCGTAGCACACGATTCCTGGGACTCATTCAGCAGCTGACCAAGATAATGAATGCGCTTCTCATCCAGCTGCGTCGCCTTGCTCAGACAAGCTTTGAAATCCAGGACACGGCGCGCTTCCTTGAAACAGTGCAGCGCGCGCTGACGGAGCTGGAAGCGCTCAGCCTGAACTGGGAACGCGGAGAGATATGTCGATTCCAGCTCGGAGACGGTGATGCCGAGCAGTTGAGCCATCTCTTCGCGGGTGTATCCTTGTTCCTGTGTGAATAGGTCCATGGTTGCTTGGATGACAGAGTCGATTTGGTATTCGAGCGGGTCTTGGAGACGGCCTTCTTTTGCCATGAGTTCGTTGTGGAAGTTGCGCAGGCTATAGCCGAGGGAGCTGTTGTCCTTGGAAAGGGTGACGCCGTGGTGCTTTGCCAGAATCACGGCGGCGAGGGTGCACTCTGCTACGCGCAGGTTGTAGTGGCGTGGGGCGGTGTCGGCTTTGTTAGAAGTGACGAAGCTCTGGGCCATGAGGAAGGTGATCTCGTCGGACGATGTGGGGATGGGAACATGTTGGGCTTTGAATTTTGGGAAGAATTGAGTGTAGAGGAGGTAGCCACGCTTGGAGAAGATGGAGGCTGCTTGATCCATGCTGGATTTCGCCGACTAGTGTTAGCTATTGAATGGTTTGTGTATCTCTTGAGAGCATATTTGACTTACCCGCCGGAGTAGACGCCGACAGCCCGCTCTGAGACCACGGCCAGATCCAATAGATCCTGCTTGGTGACGTTGTGGTTGTTGGCCTTCATCACGGCTAGGGCGCTGGCGCACACGAAGGCAGCACTGCTGGAGATACCACCACCAGGAGGCACATTGCCGTCGACCAGGATCTGCATGCTCGCAGGAGCAAAGGAGCCATCGGGCTTCTCCTTGCGGAGGAACTTCAGGGCACCCGACAGACCAGCGCGGAAGTAGTTCACCCACTCGTGCTTTTTGGGATCAATCTCCACGTCTTTGTTGTGGGGCACGGTGAACTCGCGCGAGGGGAACTTTTCCGGCGAAACATTTGCAATTGTAATGGTGGTATCCTCGCCGCTGGAGGGCACTACCTTGACGGCCATGATCACGTCGACGCTGACGGCGGTAGGCAGGACATCATAGAGCGAGTAGTCAATGTGCTCGCCGATGATGTTCACGCGGCCGGGACTGCGCGCTACGAAGTCCGGGCGGTGGCTATAAGTCTTGTTGAATTGGGTAATGAGGTTAGTCCACCGCTGCTGGTGTTCCGGCGCAACGGAAGTCAGCGATGCATCGTCTGTTGCGTAGACTTCCGCGATGGATTCTGTTTGCGGCACGAGCTCCTGCGGGCTTGACATGGCGGGGTAGTAGTTGGGAGTGGGAGAGGGAGAGGAATAGGAAGAATGGGAGGAAGTGACAAAGACACGGGGATAAGGCAATCGGCAAGAATTTTAGAAAAGAGCAGAAGAGCTAGAATATCTTAGGAAGTGGAGTGATGCATAAGGTACAGTCTGACAGACCCCACGTTTCCTTCGGAGTAAATGCTACCGGTGGGGTTGCACAGGGCCATTTTTGCCTTTTGGGTTGTCTGCGGTGACCGTTTCCAGGTATTTTGCGGGGATGCGGGCGTCGTTTCTTTCTGTCTGCTAACTCCATGCTTGCTGATTGGCTGATTCCTTTTCTTCTCGCGGGGGTTTTCTACCGCATTGGGCTATGACATCATTTATCCTTAGATGTACCTTGAAGCCTATTCCAGAAATGAGCTTTCTTTGTCCTCGATCTCTGCATATCTGAATAGATATAGAACGGATCATAGATGGCTTCAAGTCAATAAACATGTTTGCATCTTTCAAAAACGTGCTCTATAGTCTATTCCTGTTTATTCTGTTACTAGGCCATGATGTTTCTTTTCATTTTCCAAGCCGAGCGTAGCGGGGATGCCGCTCTTGTGGGCCGACATTTCCGCCAAAATCGGCATTCAGCCGGCCCGATAGGACACGGAAAGTGTAAGGTCGGAAAAGATACAGTAGATAGTGCTGTCGGCCTTGATCCGAGGCATCTTTAGAAGCTTCGCCCAAGTCTCCTTCAGATCAGACCCTTGCAAGGCGGGTATCACGGTTTTGTTGATGGAAGTACTCCGTAGTCGTGATATGTACCTTTTGCATGGTGTGCCTAGTAAAAGATACACTTTCATATGGGTGGTCCCTTTCATTTGGGTGGCGGACCCTCGCTGTGCGAGGGTCTGTAATTTTGGTAAAAAATGTACACAATAAGGGCCGGTTACTGTTTAATCCTCCCTGTCTATAAAATTCAAAGGCGGGTAGGTAACAGGCTGAATCAAAAGGCTTGAGGTGATACGTCACATTTAGGGCTGTTTCAAGGTTGGTACAGATGTATCTCGGCCTCAGGACGTCGTCCATGATCCTGAGGCTGAGGCTGGTTAGGTGGGGCCCTGTACCTTATGTTCTGTTATTCGTATTGTTCTGTTGTTCAATTGTTCATATACGTAGGTAGTTCTGTTATTCATAACTACCTATTGTTCTGTTGTTCGTAACTTCCTTCGTATTGTTCTGTTGCCTGTATTGTCCCAAACTTTGTCTTGTGCCTACTACAAATACTCGATCCTTTCCTCTCATCAACTTCTCCTTCTCACCCACTTCTCCTTCTCCCTCCATCCCCCACTTTATCTTCGTCACTGTTTGACTGAGCATCACAAGCGATCAGTCAGCGTGGCATAAAAAATCTCCGATTCCTGAATGGACTCCACTCGTCAGACATCCTTATTCCTTGCTGCAAAGATTGAGGAATAGGAAAATGGTTCCTCATACGTCGCCAACATAAACGCACGAATGGAGGAAGCAAGCATCAAGGCATCCTGACAGATGCAGAATAGAAGAGCCTTGGAAGTTGGAACCCCACATAACCCGCATTCGAGCCACGACATCCACCCTACGTGTTCTCAAACGACAGAAGCATGTCCTAGAAGACGGGCTGAATGACACTCTGGCGGTCCACAAGCGGTCGAGAACAGAACCCCCATCCGACGAAGGGCTGCTCGAGAGAGCGTACAGGGACACGGTTGTGTCTCGAGTTATGAGGTGGATGAGGACCTGGAGGAGCTCCCATCTGACGAACCATTCGTCCGGAAGTCTGTCCACTTCGCGGATGATGTGGACCTCGTTCAGGTGAGAGTGATTCCAGCCCGAAACCTCCCCCCTCTTTGTTGGCGTGAGAGCATCATGCTTGTAGAGGGGGCGGCGGCAGACAAGTGGCGGAAGGACTTGATCAATTACTCGCTGCATCGATCAATCACCAACAATCGTTTCCCCAGCCAGAACTTGAAACCACCGAAACGCCAAAGGCGCAAAGCACGCTCTGCTCGGCCGCACGTGCGACGTCCTGGTAGTTCCGGGCGGAAGGGAAACAGAGGGTCCGGGTTTAAGCAATCCCAATTCAAAAAAGATGTCAACCAGTATTACTCTACTGTTGAGATACGCAAGCCCTTCGGTGTAACTGATGGTCTGCAACGAGTCAATGAGGAAACCGTTAATGCCTCACTTGTTAGTTTTCTGATCGCCATCACTTCGATGCACTCAGCGCTGGTCAAAGTTTGTGACCGACCACGAGTTGGCCTCGCGGGACATACACTATGAAAAGGTGTTACTCGGGGACGAACATGGCCTTCAGGGCCGATTCCAACAGTTGGTGGGGCAGACCATTGGAGCGGCCCTGGACGCTCAAGATATCGGTATAAGTTTCGGTGATTTCAACAAAGGCTCTGGTGTTGCTTACGACAAAGTCCCGGACTGCGCCCTCATTGCCACGAACTAGCCCTTCTGACCTAGGCTTAAAGATATAGGAGAGCTAAAGGCCCCTTGGGTCGAAGAGCACGATCTCTTGGCCTCTTCTTAGAGAGACGATGAGAGGTCAAGAGACAGCTTCGAGAGTTGCAGGACCTTTATACAAGCGATGACTTGGAAGATGATGACGATGATTCTGACGATGATTCTCTACTGAGATGCGTCAATCGTCTCAACAGGGGTACAAAACGCCCACATCCAGGGCCCGATGATGGAGACAATGCCGGACCTCGCGGTAGCGTCCATGGAAACCTAGATGACGGTGAATGCCCTGGTGATCCGCAGACAAGTCCGAAGGATGGGCAGGATTGTTTGGGTGGATCTGCCAAAAGACTCAAGCGCGGCTGTCGCTCCGTGGACGAGACAGCTTTGGCCTGTCGTGATCTGGCCAGTCGTGATCACCTCCTCGCACCGCATCGTACGTTGGCTCGGAGATGGAAATTGGGACCCGATATGACAACCGAAGATGCAATTCGCATCCGCTCGCACTTTATGGCTCCGGCATAAGGAAGTTCTCCACAACAGGAACTGTCCTGGCCCCTTATCTATATTTTCTTTTTGGTCGCATGAGTTCCTTTGGGAGAGTCCACCAGTCACTTTTGCTTACTGACTGGCGCGGGTGACTGTGATCGATCTTGAATCAGATCCTGTGAGACTAGCCAATCGCTTATATTGCTTGGCTTTATAATTATCCTGTATTACTAGGTAGCATTCATCGTCCTGGCTTTACGTATAACTATTGTGTTATTGAGAAACCATTGACCGTTCCTTAATTCCATCCCTACTTTGAAAAATGTTCTTGCTGAGGAACTCGTAGAATTCATAAAGGGTAACTACAGCGTGAGACTTACAGACTTTGGGGTAGGTTGGAACCGCACGAGGTTGACATAGAGTGGTTAGGCTGCTGTCTGGTGTGTTTCCATTGACCTTTGGGCGGTTACTGTAGTAGTAGTAGTATGGCATCTGGTGCACAACAAACTCGGTGATAGAATATCATACCTCCATACCTGGACAAAGACTACAATGTTGAAGGTGGGTTGCTGAACGGAAAAGAAAATGTAGATGAGGTACACGGTTCTATTCTTGCAGGGTTCAGCTTCCTGTGGACGACTATTACTTCTCATTCAGTTGCGCGAGAGCGTCGCATAGCGAGATGCGAGATTCGGGGACCGCCTTGGTTAGAGCATTAGCAATGGATTGGAGTTTTTCACCAATTCCAGAAGTGCCAATCTTTTCTGCCATAGTCGAGAGCAATCTTCCATAAGCCCAACAATCCGTGGAAACCCGTGCCTCAAATGGTGCGTTGGCAGGACTTGATTCACTATTTTGTTGAATGAAAGCCTGCATCTCTGGTGAAAGCCATTCCCACACGTAACCACCGGTTCCGCTAACATCGATGAGTACGGCATTTTCATTGGCATCCAAAACGATATTCGACGGCTTGATGTCAAGATGAGTTCGCCCTCTCTTGTGCAATGATCTTAATGCTGTCCCAATCTGTAAGGCCCATTGTATTGGCAGAGCATCAAATTGAAACTCGTCCTCAAAAATCTGCTCAAGCGAACCTCTAGGATAGTATTCAAGAAGGAATCCTGTGATCACTGCTGGTGAATTGGTTGACGGGCAGGTCTTATACGGGTCCTCCGATACAACTAGGCCAACTAGCTGCGCAATACTCGGAAGTCCGCGGAGTTGTTCAAGCACATTGATCTCGTTTAACACATGTTCCGTGTCTTCAGGCTCATAGATAGGGCGGTCAATCGTTTTGTAAGCAAATATTTGTTCCTTAAACAAAACAGTTCTGACTGTTGGAGCGACAACCTCAACAGTCTGCAAACAACGAGCCTCAAATGCTGGTAAACATTGTTGCCGCTCTAGTGTCGGGTATATGACTCTCCTTGGATCTTCTGCGATGATGCAGCACATTCGATGGGCAACGGCGATGAGGAAATTCGCTGGATTTTGATGCCCATTCCGTATCGTGATCGAGTTTTGGCTCTGCTCGGTCAGACTTAAATTTATGGTTGTCACAGTATCGTCCAATAGCTGCAATTGACCGAAATCAATCGCTTCAACAAATTCTTGAAAGACGAAGCGGCGTTTGAAAGAACCCAGACCCAGTGCTTGTTCTGGCAGTGACCCATCCACGGCAACTTTGATCCACCATGAAGAGCAATTGTTGTGGAATATCAGGGTCTGTGATGGACGGTCACCGTTCCAGTCTTGAAACGACTTGAATTCCAATCCGCATAAGGGATCTGTCTTTTCGGGCATTGTGATCGATTGCAGAAAGTGAGTCTCTTTTTTGCCTCCGTCAAGAAGGAAACATTTACAGAATCTTGGAAAGGGGGAAGGGGTGATATGATGATATCTATGTAGATGAAGACTTCAAAGTCCCCTCAAGAAATAAAGCTGGAACATCAAGTACTTATGTCAGGCTTATTCAGGCGGCCAGACAAAAGACCAGCATTGAGAAGAATGGGCTTGAAGATCGGCATGAAGTAGGGGATCAATAGTATCGCATCTGCTCAAGTCACAACATCCTTGCGTTGTACGGACTCCCGGAGCTTGGCCCAGATGCCCGGGCCGATCGAAGGACGAGACCCACTTGACCGAGAAGTTTGGGGTTCAAAACCAGGCCATAAGGCATTAATGAGTTTATCCAGCGGACCAGCTCGTAGTAGAGGACTGAGTTTTGAATTCCCCTCGTTGTGAAATGGCAAGTGACATGATATAAGCTGAATCTGACTGATGCCGATGGCCACATCACTGCTGCAGGTGAGGATGACATTGATTTTGTACAAATCGGTGGCCGTGTTCGTGCCGAGGACATACGAAAACACTAAGTCAGGTGACTAGCCTCGGCCGAGGTCGGAGGACGCGGAGGGGCGTCGAGCCAATGAGAAGCCCCGAATTGATTGACTCAGAGGGTCAGACCGTTTGGGTTTAAGGCGATTTCTCGGATCCCCAGAGTCTCAGCAATCTTCAGCGGTGAATTGGAACTCTTTTTCCCTTTACTTTTCTCCAACTACTCTCCTCTCAATCTTCCTGGCTGGGCTTTCATACACAATGATGCCTTTAAGACCATCACAAAGCGCCCTGCGCGCTTTCCACCTCCAGAGGCATCTTGCCGGACGTCGGACTTTTTCGACCTCGTTTGTGGCTTTGGCTGCTTCGCCCCACCGCTCTATTCAGAAACGTTGTCAGAGCACGGCTTCAGCTCCAGCTCCGTGAGTTTCTCATACGTTCGACGATGAACTCGTAGCTCGTTACTAATTAAATCAATCGCTAGCGAGTCCAGACCCGTTCCCAGTCCCTCGTTCAACCAGGAACCTCACCGCAATGAGATCTCTCCCTTGCAACATCGCCAGCTCCCCGAGCTTGATGACTCGTATGTTAGCCTGCTCAATGTCGAGATACACCAATACTGACGAGTTGGAAAAGAATGGTTGGGATGAGTGGTGGAGAGATCTTCCACGAGATGATGCTTCGCCAGGGTGTCAAGCACATCTGTAAGTTCTTTACGATTGACGTTGTAGAATTGGCTGATTCTGATACTTGAAATCCAGTCGGTTACCCCGGTGGTGCCATTCTTCCCGTCTTCGATGCCATCTACAACTCGAAGCACTTCGACTTTATCCTTCCTAAGCACGAACAGGGTGCCGGCCATATGGCCGAGGGTTACGCCCGTGCCTCTGGCAAGCCCGGTGTCGTTCTTGTTACCTCTGGCCCCGGTGCTACCAATGTTATTACCCCTATGCAAGATGCTATGTCTGATGGCACCCCGATGGTCGTTTTCTGTGGACAGGTTCCCACCAGCGCTATCGGAACCGATTCTTTCCAGGAAGCCGATGTGATCGGCATCTCTCGTGCCTGCACCAAGTGGAACGTGATGGTCAAGTCCGTCGGTGAGCTGCCTCGCCGCATTCAGGAGGCTTTCGAGATCGCCACCAGCGGCCGCCCTGGTCCCGTCCTGGTCGACCTACCCAAGGATGTCACAGCTGGCATTCTCCGAAATCCCATTCCCATGCACAGCACCATCCCCTCGCTCCCCAGTGCAGCGACCGTTGCTGCTCGTGACATGCGCCAGAAGCAGCTCGAGAGCACTATCGGCCGTGTTGCCAACCTCGTCAACGTTGCCAAGAAGCCCGTCCTTTACGTCGGCCAAGGTCTCCTTGCTCGCCCCGATGGTCCCGAGATTCTGAAGGAGTTTGCCGAAAAGGCATGCATCCCTGTCACCACCACCCTCCAGGGACTTGGTGGGTTTGACGAGTTGGATCCTAAGGCCCTCCACATGCTGGGCATGCACGGCTCTGCTTACGCCAACATGGCCATGCAGGAGGCCGATCTCATCATTGCTGTTGGTGCCCGTTTTGACGACCGTGTAACTCTGAGCATTCCCAAGTTTGCGCCTCAAGCCAAGCTCGCCGCTACTGAGGGTCGTGGTGGTATTGTACACTTCGAGATTATGCCGAAGAACATTAACAAGGTCGTCCAGGCCAACGAAGCCGTGGAGGGTGACTGTGCCGACAACCTCCGTCTCCTTCTGCCCCAGGTCAAGGCTGTCCCCGAACGTCCCGAGTGGTTCGAGCAGATCAACGACTGGAAGAAGCGTTTCCCTCTCTCGCTCTACGACCGCCAGACCGAGAGTGGTCCCATCAAGCCCCAGGCTGTTATCGAGAAGCTCAGCGATCTTACCGCCCACATGAAGGAGAAGACCATCATCACTACTGGTGTCGGACAACATCAGATGTGGACTGCCCAGCACTTCCGCTGGCGTCACCCTCGTACCATGATCACCTCCGGTGGTCTTGGAACAATGGGTTACGGTCTCCCCGCCGCTCTCGGAGCTAAGGTCGCTCGTCCGGACTGCCTCGTCATCGACATTGATGGCGATGCTTCTTTCAACATGACACTCACTGAGCTTTCAACTGCTGCTCAGTTCGGCATTGGTGTCAAGGTTCTCCTGCTCAACAACGAGGAGCAGGGCATGGTCACGCAATGGTACAGTCCCGCCTTGTCACACTATCAGCATTGACCTTTGACTGACTCTTCTCTCCCAGGCAAAACCTTTTCTACGAGGATCGTTACTCCCACACTCACCAGCAGAACCCCGAATTCGTTCCTCTCGCTAAGGCTATGCGTGTCGCCGCCGACCAGTGCTTCAAGCCCTCCGAGCTTGAGGAGAAGCTGAAGTGGCTGATTGAGCACGATGGGCCTGCTCTTCTGGAGATTATCACTGACCGCAAGGTGCCCGTTCTTCCTATGGTGCCTTCCGGCCGTGGACTCCACGAGTTCCTGGTCTACGACGAAGGTATGCAGACTCTTAACAAATATTCCAATGCAAATTACTAACGCATTTATTACAGCCAAGGACCTCGAGCGCAAGGATTTGATGCGCCAGCGTAATGTGGACTTCCATGTCCGGACGGAGTAGGTGGCCAGCCAATGTCACTTCGACTATCATATTTTGTACTTTGATATCCATGGCGTTTCTTGGCCGGTTTACCAAAAGCGATTGGGGCAATATCTGTTGAAACATAACCAACAAATCTCTTCACAAGATTGCTCTTGGGGGCGTCTTCGGCAGGAAAGCTGGTAATTACAGGTTTTCACACCTGATGACGTGTTGCCCTTCACCCAAAAGTCTCCCGGAAACAAGCATGGTGATTCACGTGATTCTCGTGCCCTGATCAGTCGGGTTCTTTCTTGCCAGGCCCAGGTTGTTCCTCTTGTATATAATCATCGATATTCTGGATCCCTCGACGGGGTATGGGGAATTGAGACATTTGAGTTTCATTAAATAGGAGCAGGTAGTCATTGAACGCATTAATGTCTTTGGTATTCCATGGTCTTAGGTAGGCACTTTCGAGTTATTGACCATCCTAGTCACCACGTTCAGTCTTCTGCTGCAGCGTGACATGCGGTCTGGCCTGGGGGGGGGGGGGGGGGGGGGGGGGGTGACATGCGAGATGTGCTAAAAGAAAGTCTACATGACCATCCATGTATTGTCTGACCGACCAAAGTTAAGTACGTAAACAAAAGGTAGTTCTCCTTCTGTACTCAGGATCGTAGGTATTGTAAACTGGTACATGGTCAACACTGCGGCACCTCCTTTGACTATATCTTCAGCTCATCATTTGAGCTCACGCCAATCATATTCCATGACTCGAGCTAGGTAAGCCGCCATGTCATGCCCCGCCAGTTGGCTGACAATATAGCAACTTGCGTCCAAGCCTGAGCTGATCCCTCCAGAAGTAATGAGTCTGACACCGCGTCCCTTCTTCAGCGTACCCCCGTCGACATATCTCTGGTGGGTTACAACCGTAGCAGGCTCATCTGAGCCATTGGAACGAGCACAAATATCACGCAAAGAGTCCAGACCGCGATGGTGGGTTGACACGGTCATTCCGGCGAGTACACCCGCAGCACCGAGGAGATGGGCGCCGGTGCAGACTGAGAACAAGATTCTGTCGCCAGGTAGAGCTGCGAACTTCCGTATCAATTCCAACTCTGGTGCATTGTTCTCAACAAGCAGCTGCAAAGCGGACGGTGGGCCACCTGGGATGACCAGTATATCGAAGTCCGAGATCTTGTCGATGGCGTCTGGCAAGAGAATCTCTGCCTGAACAGTGAGTGCCTGCGCGGCACGAGTTGTATGAGTGCTAGCGATGGTCTTGATCTCGAACATTTTGTCCGGCTCCTCTGGGTTGCGATTGTGCGAGACATGAGACAAGACCTCGATTGGACCTGCAAAGTCGAGGATATCATTTCCGGGAAACAGGAGGACCCCGACCCTGTAGTACTGGTTCGGAGACTCTGATGACATGATTGATTGAATGGTCTCAACTTGGCTTTTGAGATGTATAGTGGCAATTCTGCTTTGGCGGATGCGAGGGAAGTTGAGGGAGTGGGGGATAGTTAGTAGGTAGTTTTATATAAAGCCCTATGGTTCGCAGGTGTAAACTGCGTCCCTGGACCTCCCGAAGGAGTGGGGGGTAGAAATCCTGGAGCCCACTATTAATCTGCTTAGATGGCGTTAGAAAGCCGCGGTGCGTTATACCTCGGAGCAAATATGGTCAGAGATGGCTCATGATGAGTAATCTCATTGAACGGGGCAGTCTGCACGTTCTTGGCTCTTGCTTGGCAGCAGGTGGCTGATATCCCATTGGACGCCTTATAGATCCTGGCTTGCTGATCGAATTTCAACCCACTTTTTGTCACTTGTGCAACGGCTTGGAATGACAGGAATCAGACCTGGCTGTGAACTGCCCACAGGTTCCAACCTTTCCAACCTGAATCTAACCTGAAAGAGGTTCCTTGAGGTTTGGCCTCATCGACCCGCAGAACCTGCATTTGATAACTTTCCTCTTTTGGCGACTTGAAGCCGTTCTGATCAAATCATCAAGACGATTTCCTCAATGACAATCTGTCAATTGAGGTTCTCTTCGAGCCTTCGAGGTTCTATGCGGGTAGATACGGTTCCCTCACAGGGTGATCCGCTAGTGTAGAATCAGGGGTCAAACGGATGCCCCGAGAATATCGCCTACGTACTTGATTCCCTCTGCCACTTCTTGGCGTTCCCTTTCCGTCTTAGTGCTCAGTACATGAGTCAGTAGTACTAGTCCTTGCCGCCTTTTGCTTGCTCACTGACAGGCGGTGGAATGCAGATGCCACCGCCTTTTTTTGGGGGACGGCTGAGGTAACTGAGGTAACACTGAGCGTCGCCTGAGCCCTCTGATTTGCTCACTGAGTAGCCTGATCTTACTCACTGAGCTTGACCTAAGCGCTCTGACTAGATAGCTCACTGAGCACGACCTCCATCGTACAAGTTCCGCCTGAAAGACGTTACCATGCCAACACAGCACCAATCAAAGCTATCTGCCTACATTAACAACAACCTTTATGCGCGCATTACTCGCATTTGGAAAGAACGATCTCGGCTATAGTTCAAAAATAACAAAATTGCCTGAAACAGGGCCAGACTAAAAGAACAGACATCTGCAGCTTCACATTGCTCTACTACATATGAAAACAATTGGAAGACTTGTTACTCTGACCCTATCTTGTTACAGATTAGCACAACCAGGGAGGATGGCTCGAAAAGCAGTGTAAGAGCACATAGATAAAACTTACCTGGAAAGTACTAGGCACCAAACTGGAATGCTCGTGAACTGATACCAAGCCAGATGCGAATCTCCTCTAAGGCATTTAGGTCATTCTCGAAAAGAGAATGCTGTACCTTCTCATCGTACCATTCGTAAGTACGGCCGACATCTTCTAGGCTATCTCCTAACCTCCGGCAAGAACCAAAATCGATGATGATTGCCCGATGATTTTCAATCATTATGTTGCTTGGATTGATGTCGTTATGAACCCACCCAAGCGAATGAAGATGCCTGATCCCGCTCTCGATGTCTGTGAGAACAGAACTATAGTCCTCCGTCGCTTGCCGCGTGCTTCTCAGTTTTCTCTTCATGAGGCCGCGTGGGTTGACCTCTTCCATCAGCGTGTGGGGGTATCTCTCAAGGCAAAGACCCGTGATTGTGCCGTCAGAAACCTGGCAACCGAGATATTTAGCGATATTCGGATGTGGGCGCTGCTTTAAGAGTTCGTAAAATCTTGCTTCCTTGAGGAGGTCCTCTGCAATGGAATCAGGCCGAGGCCCTTGACTGATTCGATCGTAACTGATCAGTTGAGGCTTTTTGACAAAGTAATTGTTGGGCAGGGATTGAGGCGCTGGCGTAAACTCGACAGAAAATTTTGGATTGTAGGCCGAGCTAGGAATTTGGATGATGTTCATAAAATCCTCTGTATTGATATTTGAAGGGGAAGAGTAACGAGCTTTTAGCATTGCGTGGTACAAATTCCCCTTCATCTGATACACGACGAGAGTACCTGCGAAATGGAAGCCTTTATCTGAGTCTTCGTAGACTTCGTTGCTCTCCAGCACCTCCAGTTGCTGGCCAGAATTTGGTCGGGTCGACATCGCGCGAGTAAACTTTGCCGTGTCAATCGTTGAGACACCAAAGAACAGATAGACACCCACCTCGTAGGCGTGCACGGGAGGGGGCCAAATTGCCAATTAGTCTTTGAAGCGGCGGAGGTGGAAAGATAGAAGCAAAACTAGGCGCCCCTTTAGAAGGTGAATAAAACCGCTCCTACTGCCCTGCAAGGATTACTGGTTGCCTAATGGATTGCCTCTGTGCCCAACCAGTACGCCAACATTTGAATTTGATTGGTTTGAAAAGACAATGTCACCTGATGTAGTCGCTCTATATCGAGGACTGTGTTTATTCTAGGCTCGTGAACTTACCGGCTCTATGTAGGTCCAATGGCTCCGAGGGAAATATGGGCTAAGCAGTCAGATGCACAGAGCGAAAGGGGGTGCTTCACATCGCTACGCTCTAAGCTCTTGATATGACCATCAAATCCACGTGGAAGGAACCATGGATCGGAGTGGGTAAACTTATCTCAGGAACAACCCAAAGAGGAAAGAATCACATCTCTATCGTCTAAGCACATGATACCACATGATACGGACTATTTCAGGGAATTTCTCTCCCTCGATTGTTTCTACCTCCCACTACCTACTTCTTTGCTCCATCGATGTTAGATATTCGTTGATGTTAGGTACGCACCTACGTGTCTCAAAATTCACATCATCGATCACAGCAACCTTGGAAGCAAACAAAGCTTAGTGCATTATTGGCAACCATCCTAAACCTCCCTATCTCTTTGTCACATACTTCCCCCTCTCAACTATCTCTTCGATATCGCACAGATCGTTCCTCTCTCGAGTTACCCAACTTCATCAGCCACCTTCAACCATACACGACCATGGATTCTCAAAAGTACGTTCCAGGTCTTTCTTACTATGCCTGTATATACTAATCGATGGGTAATAGAATCTGCCGTGACTTTGCTCGGGGAAAATGCACGTGGAGGAATTGCAAGTTCCCCCATGTGAGCAATGCTCAAAATCGCAACACCGTGACTCCAGCAAATCAGACCCCACGCCCTACCCAACCGCCTGATATCCGGCGAGCACCAGCTGGTGGCTTGCCAAATACAGACAAAGCTATAAGAGAATGGCAGAGAGGCATTCCATGTGGCACAGCGTCCATTCGCCCCTCCTTTTGGAAGACAGCTACTCTCTTCCAGGAAGCGAAGCGATTGATCGAGTCTGATGCGAGTGCGCGACAAGAAGTCATCCGGGTATTGGCCAGTGAAGATGGCCTGCGATTGATTCTGGATGTTGTCAACGGGAACTTTGAAGCTATGGACGAGGAAACAAGGGACATCATATTCAAGACGCAAGTGCTTCCGTGCCTTCAGACCATCTCAAATCCCGAGGTTCTCTCCTCGCTGGTATTGGAGCAGGCAGTGGGCACGATTTACAATGTCCTGTTCGGCATTGACGGAACCAGAGCAGCACGATGGCTCAATTTCGTCTGTGGAGTGCTTGAGACCGACATCACAAACGAAGGCAGTGCAATGTTGCTAGAGGCATCTCTACACACATTCTCCGGCATTGTCGACCTCAACTCCACGGCACCTATTCGCGACTGCCTTCATACCGTGGCAGGAAGGTTTGAAGCCGTTTTCACCTTTATGAATGCTAAGGAGGGCATGGGTTCCAAACTCCATCGGTCTCGGCTGCATCTTGATCGGGTCCTCCGGCGATTGGAGGGTGGGAAGTCACTTCCAGCGGGTAAACCAGAGAAAGAACGGAAGGGGACCGATGCTGCCTTTGCTGCGCCGCGCGAGCGTCCTGGAGACAGACACAACAACGATTTTGACGACATCTGTGCGATCCAGATTATGCCCACCTTCGAAGAGATTTCGAGTCTCAAGTCGGAATATTTGCCTGTCAATGACCCACGCCAATGGCATGTTGGTGGCATCGTCGGTTTGCTGGACCGAAATTTCCGTTTATTGCGAGAGGACACTGTTGGCCAGCTACGAGATGCCATCTATCACGAACTGAACCCGCGTCCCCAGCAGCCTCAGTTGCGAAAGTTCATGTACCCTGGGTCCAAAGTGGTTAACATGGGATTCAATTGGCTATGGGGTCATTACTTCGAAGTTGAATTCCCTCAGCCTGCAGCTGTGAAGGGTCAAACATTTGCAGCCCGCGAGATATGGTGGCAGAACTCCAAGCGACTACAGCCAGGCGCGCTTGTGTGTCTGATCATTCGAAAAAATCTGGTGCTGTTTGCCACTGTGACACGCCGTGACATGTCGCCTAGACGGAATGGACACGCTTCCTTGCCGCCGGAGCTCCTCCCTCCACAAGATAGAACAGTGCTCAAAACCCCATGGAAGAGTCCCAAGACTGGCTCGATTGCTTTGATGCTGGTTGATCCTACGCAGGCCAGCGTCACAGCGCTTCTGGACCTTTATAGTCCCCTGAAAACCCCCGAGGTCTCCCTTGTTGAGTTCCCGGGAGTCATGCTTCCGTCTTTTGAGCCAACTCTTCGAGCACTTCAGACAATGAAGAAGACCCCAAGTCTGCCTTTCGCGGAGCTTTTCGTCCCTTGGGCTGCCAAGCATCCACCCGATATTCTTCCTCCGTCGTATGCAATGAAAGACGGCTTTGCATTTAATCTGCGCTGTCTCATGAACAATAAAACCAACTTCTGGGTTCGCTCTAATGCGCCGGTGGACATGCAATATGTGCAAGACCATACAGAGCTGGACCGTGCACAGGCCGACGCCTTGGTCAATTGTCTGAAGCAAAGGTTTGCATTGATCCAAGGGCCACCTGGTACTGGCAAGAGCTACACGGGTGTGGCGCTTATCAAAGTTCTTCTGGAAAACAATAATGTGGGCGGAACAGGACTGGGGCCCATACTATGTGTCACGTATACCAATCATGCCCTCGACCAGCTTCTCGAGGCTTTACTTGACAACAAAGTCACATCTCAAATCATTCGCATTGGGTCTCAATCGAAGTCTGAGAGGTTGGACAAGTTCAACCTTCAGACGGCTGCAAAAGATTCGCCAAGAACAAAGATGGAACGAAAGGAACGATGGAACACAGCTGAGAGGCTCTCAATGTGTGAGGAAGAATTCCGCGAGCTCAAACTGAAAAGAGAAGTGGGGGTTCCTATTAAGAGTCTCAAGTCTCATATTCAACGGAACTACCCTCACCACCACGATCAGCTGTTCTCCACGTCCCAGGAAGATGGATTCCGGGGAGTGAAGCCCGACAACCCCCAAGGTGTCATCAAGACCTGGCTTAATTCGGGCCCAAAGAACAGTGTGACTGGCCGGTCTTGGGAGCAACTCCAGAACGTCAATCTCTCTGACATGTCCCACACAGAACGCCAGCGTCTCTACAACCACTGGTACCGTGGCTGTCGAACTGAGGTGGAACATAGGCTGATGGGGATCGTTTCGTCGCATAGGAAAGCAAAAATCGCATATGATAACGTGCAGGATGAGACGCATCTTCGCTGCTTGTATACAGCCGATGTCATTGGCGTCACAACCGCGGGACTTGCTCGCAGACTGGATATGTTCCGCAGACTTCCATGCAAGTTCATGCTGTGTGAAGAAGCTGGTGAAGTTCTTGAGTCACACCTCCTTACCGCGTTTCTACCTTCTGTTGAACATGCGGTCCTCATCGGCGATCAGCAACAGCTTCGTCCTCAAGTCCAGAATTACGAGCTTTCCAGCGACAACAATCAGGGTGGCAAAAAGTATTCACTCGATGTCTCTCTCTTCGAAAGATTAGTGAGCAAAAAGACAAGTCCCATGGACTGTGCAATTCCATTCAGCACATTGGAAACCCAGCGCCGAATGCACCCATCTATTGCTCGACTGATCCGTGAGACAAGTTATCCGAAATTGAAGGATGATCCATCCGTGGCAGAGTACCCGGAGGTCAAAGGAGTAAAGAAACGGCTATTCTGGTTGGATCATCGCCACAGAGAGGGAGGATCCTCGGACGACGATCCAATGTCAACCTCACACTGGAACGAATACGAGATCAACATGACTGTTGCACTCGTCAATCATCTCGTTCAGCAGGGCGAATACAATCATGGAGATATTGCGGTCTTGACTCCATACCTGGGCCAACTCTTCCGTCTACGGAAGAGACTCACTCAGTTATGCGCCATCATAATTGGCGATCGCGATAAAAATGACCTTGAGCAGGCTGGTCTCGGGGAGATTGGAAGTGTTCCAAAGCCCAAGGTCAAAGCAACTTTATCGCAGACTCTTCGTGTGGCCACCGTGGACAACTTTCAAGGCGAAGAGGCTAAAGTCGTCGTGATCTCTCTTGTCAGAAGCAACCCGCAGAATAGGTGCGGCTTTCTACGCACTTCGAATCGCATCAATGTCTTGCTGTCCAGAGCACAGCACGGCATGTACATCATCGGCAATTCAGCAACCTCCATCCATGTTCCCATGTGGGCCCGGGTCGTCAGAATGCTGAAGCAAAATGATAACATTGGGAAGGCCCTAGAGCTGCAATGCCCTCGCCACCCAAAGACTCCAATCACGGTCTCAACAGCTGAGGACTTCCCAAAGGTCTCCCCCGAAGGAGGCTGCCGCATGCGCTGTGTGAACCGACTGGCGTGTGGACACGCCTGCTTCCAGAAATGCCATTCTAATCTTCTCCACAACACTGTTGTTTGCCTGGAACCTTGCACTCGATCGCTCAGCGGTTGTGATCATTCATGCCCGAAGCGGTGCGGCGAAACTTGTCCAGAAAAGTGCTTAATCAACGTTTATCAGAAAGAGCGAACACTTCTCTGCGGTCATGCAATGCCAAACCTGCCGTGTTGGCAGAGCCAAGATCTCTCGACAGTCCGCTGCGTGGTACGTGTCGAAAAGAGGATCCCAGGTTGCGATCATGTCGTCCAGCTTCCATGCTTCGTTAATGTGGAATCCAAGGACTATCGTTGCGACGTTCCCTGCCGCAGTCCATTGCCTTGTGGACACGGCTGCAAGAGACTGTGTTACCGCTGCCTCTATGTCACACATGAGGGCATTCAACATGACCATGGAAAGTGCGAGCAACGCTGTGCCCGTCCCCATTCGACTTGCGCGCATGCTTGCAGCGCACCTTGCCATGACGATGACCCGTGTCCCCCTTGCCAAGCTCCATGCGAGGTGTACTGTGGCCACTCCAAGTGCCCACGAAAGTGTTATGAGCCGTGTACTCCATGCGCAGAAGAGAACTGTCTTTCCAAGTGTCCGCACAGTAGCTGTGCCATGCCATGTGCGGCCCCTTGCGACCACGTCCCATGCTCCAAGCGATGCCCAAAGAAACTGGACTGTGGTCACCAATGCCCATCGTTGTGTGGGGAGAAGTGTCCCCCATCGTCATTTTGTCAAACATGTGGAAATAAAGACATCAGGGGCCAAGTGGTTGACTTCATTCTGGGCCAAAACTACGAGGAAGTCAACTTGGATAAGAACCCATGCATCTTTCCCAAATGCGGACATTTCTTGACTGTCGAAAGCATGGATTCGCAAATGGATATGGCGAGTCATTACGTGGTCAATTCTGACAGCAGGCCTGTCTCTCTCAAGGGGTCTTCGACCCCGTTCTCCATCCAAGATATCAAGACATGTGCCACCTGCCGCAGCCCACTGAGAGACATCTCTCGGTATGGCCGCCTGGTTCGCCGAGCTATCCTCGATGAGTCGACAAAAAAACTGATTTTGGTGCTTAATGGGGAATATGTCCCTCTTGCACAGGAACTTCCCAATGCAATTCAAGAGCTGCAGAGAACAGAAAGCCAGAAGAAGTCTGCGTGGCCACCGGTGATTGAGGTGCGTGGCACACGAACCCAACAAATCAACGCTATGATTGACATCATTCGGGACACATATCCCGGCCGTTGGCATAGGATCCTTGCCCTACGCAAGCAGGTTGAAGATTACCGGCGTCGTGTGAAACCTGAAGAGCAGCCATTTGAAAGGGTTCGCAAGATGATTGAAGCCGCCCAAAAGAAAAGAAAGGATCCGGCCACTTACGCTGCTGAGTTCGACGGCGTCCTTCAAACCAAAGGCTTCTTGCAGGGGACGGCCCTCATACTTCGTTTGGACATTGCGTTGTTTGTTGACTTCATGACTCTCGTGTCTCACGTGCAACCCAGCGACGTGGCATTTGACATTGATTTGCTGAAGGCCAAGGATGACTGCCAGGCCCTCATCAACCTAGCTTCGACTCATCATCGCATTGTGCAGCAAGCTGAGGGTCATATCTTCCTCGCCCAGTTTTACGCCCTTGAGGCGGCTGTTTGTTCATCTCCCGCAAAGGCAAATGTTATGAAGCAGAACGGCCGCAGCGCAATCGCCAAAGCCAGGCAACTTTGCAGTCCTAACCGAGCCCAAACAGTTGGATTGGCGAGTGAGATTGACGATGTGGACCAGATGCTGCACAAGGGCACATTCCGCACGGTCATTACCAACGCTGAACGCATGGCAGTTATCTCTGCCATGCGTCGGGAGTTCTTAGGAACAGGCCATTGGTACTACTGTCGCAATGGCCATCCCTTTACAATTGGGGAGTGTGGAGGAGCCACCGAGATGACACACTGTCCGGAGTGTGGTGCCCCAGTGGGGGGCCACGACCACGAATTGGCGGAGGGTGTGACCCGAGCAATGGGTTGGGAGGTGTGAGGACCGCCCCTCTTGAGGGCATTGGCGAGAATAAGAGTGAAGGGCAGTATTGACATAAGATGTTTTAGTATCTAGTCAATTATGTTTTACTGTCTAGCAATATGAGAGATCTTCAGATCAAGGATGTTTGAAAGTAAAGTAAACATACATCTGTCAGCCGCTATCCGCCGCCGTAGTGACGTCTCGGGGAATCTCCCAGCTGTCACGAGCTTATCCTCCAACTCAACCTCCTTCCACACTTCCCCCGCATAATTCCAGCCTTGTCTTCTCCATTGTTTTGCACAACTGCCTCAATAATAGTATTTGCAGTGCATGTCTTCACCCTGCTATTCCTCCCCCTAGCTTCCGCCCCTCACCCCGATTCACGATGGCTAGCTCACCACCCGTCACCGAGGACCAGAACCGCCTCCTCGAGGAGGCATTGGGGGTGGTGAGGCAGCAGTCGAGTCTGATGCGCAAATGTCTAGAGACTCCTGGAAAGCTCATGGATGCGCTCAAATGCGGGTGAGCTCCCCAATGGAATCCCCCCAGGCAGCAACCTCCGAACGTGCGCCATATGCTAACAGCTTGGTGAATTGTACCTTTGCAGATCGACTTTTGTCTCAGAATTACGAACCCCCAGTCTCGGCCCGAAACAGTACTACGAGTTGTATATGGCCGTCTTTGATGCGCTGCGACACCTTTCCGTCTACTTAAAGGAGAACCACCCCGTTAATCACCTCGCCGACCTATACGAGCTCGTCCAGTATGCCGGCAATATCGTCCCCCGCTTGTACCTCATGATCACTGTTGGTACTGTCTACATGTCCGTCGAAGATGCGCCGGTCAAGGAGATCATGAAGGACATGATGGAAATGAGCCGAGGCGTACAGCACCCGATCCGCGGTCTGTTTCTGCGATACTATCTCTCCGGTCAGGCACGAGACTATTTGCCCTTGGGAACTGGCGACGGGCCAGAGGGCAATATGCAGGATTCAATCAACTTTGTTTTGACGAATTTTGTGGAAATGAACAAGCTCTGGGTTCGGCTTCAGCACCAAGGCCCCTCACGGGAGCGAGAGAGGCGGATACAAGAACGTCGCGAACTGGAGCTCCTTGTTGGTAGCAACATTGTGAGACTCAGCCAGCTGGTTGACCTTGAAGGGTACAAATCTGGCATTTTGCAAGCCCTTCTCGAGCAGGTTGTACAATGCCGCGATGTTCTGGCGCAAGAATATCTCTTGGAAGGTGCGAATTTCTTGGTTGTCTTATTTTGCCGCAACATTGTCCTTTTATTCATTTCCTAACTGAGCAGCAGTTATCACAAAGGTCTTCCCAGATGAGTTCCACCTTCACACCCTCGACCTCTTACTATCTGCTATTGCCAGACTTAATCCGCACGTGGACTTGAAGAAAATTGTAATCGGTCTTATGGATCGCTTGTCTTCTTATGCGGCAAGAGAAACAGACTCGGCTGCAGAACCAGAAGCACGGAAACAAAGCGAGGAAGACGCAGTCACCAAGTTGTTGGAAAAGCTGGAACTGGCAAAAGAAGCCAAAGCTAAAGAGGCGAAGTTTGCCAGCACCGATGGGACCTCCGAGGGGAACGGCACCGAGAACGATAAAGAAGAACCAGTTCAAGAGAGCATTGAGCCCACTGAGCCATCAGCGGAAGGGAAGCAAGCCCAGAACGGAGACGATGCGAAGGCTGGTATCCCGACAGAAGTCAAGCTGTATGATATCTTCTATGATCAAGTGGTGAATTTGATCCGGACGCGTGCGTTGCCGATTCAGGACACCATGGCGCTCTTGGTATCACTTGTCAATCTGGCATTGAACACATATCCAGACCGGTTAGAGTATGTCGACCAGGTCCTGGACTTTGCAACGCAAAAGACCGCCGAATATACCGATCATGCCGATTTGCATTCAACGCCAACACAACAACACATCCTTAACCTCCTTGAAGCTCCTCTCAAATCCTACGTCTCAATTTTCACAGCCTTGGCACTGCCACATTACCTGCTCCTTCTGTCCTCACAATCGTACACCACGAGGAGGTCTGTGGCGGCCAATATTATTCGCAGCCTCTTGCGGAACAGAATCTTGATTTCCACGACAGAGAACCTCGACCGTGTGCTTCAGGCGGCGAGGGTGCTGATCAAGGAAGGTCTGCAGCAATCTGCTGGGTATCCAGGAGCACAGACTCAGCGGCGAGGAGGGGAAACCGAGGAGACAGTCGAAGAGCAAGGATGTCTTGCGAGACTTGTGCATTTGATTCAGGGGCCGGACAATGACACCCAGCTAAAGGTAAGATGGATCACCGATAATCTCACAATTAGTCTTTACTAACAGTTTTTTGACAGCTTCTCCAAGCGACACGCAAGGCATTTGCGGATGGCAACGAACGAATCCGCTACACCACTCCTGCTATTATCACAGCGTCGATCCGATTGGCTCGCAAACTAAAGTCGCGTGAGCATTACGACGACAATTGGCAATCACAATCATCGGCTCTGTACCGATTCATGCACCAGAGCATCAACAACCTGTACCAGCGCGTAAATTCCGGATGCGCCGATCTTGCGCTCCGATTGTTTGTCATGTGTGGCGAAGTCGCAGATCAGACAGGATTCGAGGAAGTCAGCTACGAGTTCTTCGCGCAGGCATTTACCATCTACGAAGATGCGATCAGCGACTCGCGCGCCCAGTTCCAGGCCGTCTGCATAATTTCAGGCGCCTTACATGGCAGTCGCGGGTTCTCCAAGGAGAACTACGACACACTCATCACCAAAGCCGCGCTGCATGGAAGCAAGCTCCTCAAGAAGCCCGATCAATGCCGTGCCGTGTACCTCGCAAGTCACCTCTGGTGGGTAGTTGAGAACCCCCAGCGGGGCGAAGAAGATCCCAAGGATGTAAGTCTTAGCCTTGATACCGAATACCTCGGTAATGCCACTAACATCAACAACAGCTCTATCGCGACGGTAAACGTGTTCTCGAATGTCTACAGCGCGCCCTCCGCGTCGCCGACGCCTGCATGGACACCGCCGTCTCCGTTGAGCTCTTCGTGGAGATCCTCAACCGCTACGTCTACTACTTCGACCAGCAAAACGAGACCGTCACCACCAAGTACCTGAACGGTCTCATCGAACTCATCCACTCAAACCTGCAGACCACCGATGAAGAGCCGAACTCCAGCCTCGATGGCCCGAAGCGCCACTTCCAACGTACGCTCGAGTACATTCGCTCCCGCGAGTACGAGGGTATCGTGACGGAACCACCGAAATAATTGCTACCGTGTTGGTGTATCTGACGTGTCACGTGGGGTTTCTGCCTTAGGCTACTTTTCCTTGATGTCTTTTTCTCATCGTCGTGTTCCTGGAAGCCTGTTCTTTTTTCCTGAATTGCAATGCTTTCTTTCCTTTCGCTCCAAGTATATACAAGTGTATCATTGTCTTCGGATAACACCATACCCTTTCAACGTGAATTGTATCTGGTCATGTATTATCAATTCCTCCCGTCCGACCCGTTGAGCGTTAAAACTCGGAAAAGGCGATATATATGGCCGCTTAAGTTTGTGAGGGCGTAGCCTAGCTCTAGGTGACAAATAGGCAGGTAGACAATGTTAGAGTGTAAGCCCAGGTAGACTGGTTGATATTGGTCAGGCTCATGGACAGGAGGGCTCATAACATCTTGGAGGTTTACAGCAGAGGAAAGTATTATGAGAGGTGAATGAAGCGAAAGAAAGTATTGTCGAAGATGAATGGATAGAAGAAGGAAGTTTGATAGAAAAATGTGGAGAGCAAGTGGGTGGAGTCAAGTATAGTTGTCTGATCTGTAGGTTCCTTTCAGCTTTGTGAGGATAGCCTTGACACGAACGGCCCAAATGGTGTAGTTCTCGAAGCCTTTCAGCTTGGAAACTGTGATTGGCTCGGGGAGGCCATAGTTCCGTCAATTTGTCTGATGAAACAGATTCCGAGGCGCAATTATATCGACTAACTATGGCCTCCCCGTGAAAATCGCAGTGCACAAGCTGAAAAGTTCAGAAAACTACACCATTTGGGCCGTTCGTGTCAACGCTATCGCCAAAGGAACACCTCATTTCCGTCCTCACAAATTCTATCTCATCTCAGAGCAAAAACGACAAGGCCCTGTCAATCGTCGAATTGCTGCGCGAAGATGGGTCATTGCTCTATCTCAAGGATCTCTCTGATGCCAAAACGGCATGGAAAAACACCTGAGACTAGAAAGGGCACTCACGTTGCAAACATGAACTTCAGAACCCTCCATCAGTCTTGATCTCGACACATGAGTTCACCCGGCTAAGCCATTGATTGACCACAGATTGACAATCATCCTCGTGACCACTGTCTGAATTGATATCAACGTCGTCGTCATCGGAGCTTTCCATGTCGATCCAGGAATGTCGATATAAAGGCTTTTCATTTTCTGGGTACCCTGTGGATCTGAGCCAACCAAAAATCCCGCGCGTTGCAACCTCCGAAGCTACCTGAGAAAGCAAGGCTGAGTCATTCTGTATCGGGTAGTGGGTTTCCTTGTGTTTCTGTGCTAGAAATTGTCTACCATATCCCATCAGAGATATGCCGGAGTCTTCGAGCGTTTCCCCATTTGCTAGATTTCAGTGCCAGGCTTCGTACTTCAAACAGTGACAGCGGCAGGCGGCATGTTGCTGTACTGCAAGTTCGGTATCAAGAAGCCGAGTTTCTCCAAACGGTTTCCACGGTTGAATGGGGATTCTAGTATATCCATCACAGGCTGTGATAAATAGCAAACGACACTCATCTTCCCTGCGGATCATTTGACCGTCATTGCAACCAGGTTCCATAGTTATGAATGACTGGAGCGTTCCTGTCCAAGCCGCTGCGTTGAGTTCCGTGGCTGTAAGCCCGATCCGGATATTACGTATTGTAGAGTTTGCTAGTCCCACGATAATCGCACCGAGCCAAAGGCTAGCTAATCTGGGCTGCCGATATGCAAGAACTTTGGCGAGCGTAAGAGGCTTCTCGCCCTGGATCAAAGGGGTTGTTACTGCGAAGATAGGATTGAGCCAGGCGCTGGCAAGATTGCATTCAACCTTTGGGTTGAAGAAGGTACTGGAAATTAAAGATCGCATGCCCCACGCATTACAACTTAGCATCATATAACGGGAAAGAGACTTCGAGTATTCCTTCACCAGATTTGATGATTTCTGTGACAGGGATGACGGTCCATGTTGCAAGGCTGATTCCGGGACAGGAAGCGAAATGGAATCTCCGCTGATCAATGGAATGTAAAGCGCAGCAACTAGGGCCACGGAACACTGCCCGTAGAGTCGGTGACGAGAGCAAAACCTGGCCAGATACTCCAAAGCAACATCAGAAGATGGCGGTTCTTCCTTAGAGATAAGATGATCTTCTGCTATTCCCATGTTAGCATTATCTGAGAGCATAACAGACCAGGGTGAGCAGTAAGTTCTTTTGTTGTAATCTGTAGTGATTTCCCAGCCGCCGCCAGACCACAATATAGACCTCCACCAAGCAGCTTCAGCAGCTTCAACATCGTGTCCTACATCAATTTCGATTGCATCATGTTGTCTGGAACCTGTGGGAAGCTGACTGGCCTTGCGCTTGAAGTTGATACTGCATTGATGTCCCGGGGCGTGCTTCAGTGATTCTGCCCATCGCGCAGAAAGGATATAAGCCCACGCAAGGAACAAAATGCTAATGTAATTTCCCTCGTCATGATTTGAGATGCCATCAACACCAGGCCATTCTTGCATGGGGGCAGAATTTGATATTTCCACTGCCAATGGCGTGGGAACGGCCATCAGAATATCCAAAGGTATTGTTTTCGGCTCGAGGCAACATTGCCCATTTGAAGTAGTCCAGGTCGATTGTCCAGAAATTAGGAGACCAAACTGTCCCCTGCTCAATTCCCTTTCTACAAAAGTAAAGGGGAGTTGAGTATCTTTGGGCACCGATCCATATCCAAGGTAAGACGGTGTTCTCTCGAGAAGCGATTTCAGTTCGATGGAAGAAGGTGGTAGACGAGGGCTTTCATGAGCGTTTGTAAGGTGCGACGACCATTCATCATAGCTTTCGGAAAGGATACGGTCGAATTCTTCTTTGCTTGGACGAACGGCATCATCCATGTCGGACTCAGACTATGTAGTTGGTACTGTCCGCTATGAATCCAGTGTGAGCGGAGTACTAGACAGACCAGCTCGAATGGGAGATATTTAGGAATTTCGATGCTTATGAACGTCAGACCATGGATGGATAAATTGTAAATGACGCATAAAGCTAATGATTTGGATGTATTCAAGGAACAAAGATAGCAACAATGGCAGGTTCTGGGGAAGGGATGTTGTGATTGTACTCAGATTGCGGAGATGATAGCCGGTCAGCGTCGGTGTTGGTTGTTTTTCCGTTCCGAAGTAACCTTCAGCCCTACAATGAGACGAAGATATCGGATCCTCTCGATCTGTCTGACTGAAGATTCAGATGGATTGGAAGACCTCGCATAGTCATAATAACCACACAAAAGCAGTTGACTAGCTATCGTACCTACAATGGAAGTAATGCACCCGTAGACAGAATCATAACTCATACATTATTGAATTCTACATGAATGTTTCCAGTCGAAGACAAATCCTTCGATCATGCAATTGGTCAAGAACACGACGGAGCGGTAGACTGCCGAACTCCACGGATATCGCTGCATAATGTAGAAAGGCCAGAAGATACGCATACGGTACATACAACAAGATCCAGATTGTCTACTTCAGAAAGTAGGACAATTCAAGCACATTGTCAAACAAGATAACAAAGCAAATAAACCCATATGGGGTCTGAACTCTCTCGAGCCGAAAGATGTAGACAGATGATGATTTGACGTTAATCCATGACGCTTCAATGAAAGAGGAAAGAAAAAAAGGGATAGAGAGATATGAGGATGGAGGACGAAAAAGGTAGAATAGGAAGGGAGGGGCATTTCAAGGTCGTTCCAGCTGAGGCCGAGGAAGAAAAGATAATTTTCATCTAAAGGCACTAGTTGGGCATCAAGTCATGATCAGGAATCAAGAGCTCCCGCCGAAAAGTCCCGCCTGAGGGGAGGAGTACTGCCGCAGCACGGATGGTCCGCCGAAGGCACTGAAAGGGGCTGGGTGGCTGTTGCTTGGGACTGGGCTGCCGATGTCGCCAGGTACGATGCTACCGCGGTGACCAGGGACGGCGCTGTTTGGATCAGGCTCGAAGAGAACGGATTTTTCATTCGGGGTATCCTTGATCGAGAAAGATCCGCCGCCGTTCTGGGGACTGCCTTCTGTGTCGCAGATATCGAGCAGTTCATCCAATGAGATCGGTGGCTGGCTTGGGCTGCGCAGCTGCTCCACCTGGCTGAGGACGAGGTTCACATCGTGGAAACTCTCAGAACCTTTCGGCGGACTGGTCATCGAATCCAGCTGTTTGCATGCTTGGATGGCCAACAGGCGGATGGTGACGGGTCGCGAGGTGTGCGGGCGGTGATGACCACTCGGTGCTGCGAAGGCGTTGTTGTGAGGCCATCCAGTGCCTGCAGAGGCGGGTCCCCATCCAGAAGGGGTCCCAGGGAAGGCAGAGCCTCCGAATGGTGAACCCCATGTGTGATGGTTGCCCATTGGGGAACCCATCGCGAAGTTAGTCTGCGGGGACCCGAGAGAATCCGTGAACAAGGATGGGCCTTGGAAGCTCGCTCTTGTCGGCCCCGGGAACAGCCCAGGGGCGGGGGCACCAGGCAATGACTGAGACAGGTTTGAGGGGTATGCAGCATCGGTGTCATCAAGAAGCGCACTGCTCCCAAGATGAGCACTCAGGCCATCCACTTCTCGCTGCACTGATACGTTGTCATTGTTCTGCCGATTTTGGGCTGAGCTGGATGGGCGCTTGATAGGGCTTGGGCGGGTGATAGGGAATGGCTGGGTGCCAGTATCCAACGGCGAGCGGTCAAAGGAGGTCGAGGGTTGTCTGGAGTGGGGCTTCGACAGGCCAGTCTGCTGCAATGGAATTGCGCCGGTAACTCCATGGTTGCCGGCGAAGGGGTTACCATGTCCAGGATCAACTGGAAACGCACGGGCTGGTGGGATGGGGCGTACACCGTTCATCCCAGGCGGTGCAGGGATTCCACCAGTTCCATTGAAAGGTCGCATAGGGTTGATCATCCCGGCATTTGACGAATAGAACGATTCTGGAGGAAGAGTCGATCGCGGAGCCATTCCTGAAATGCCAGGAGGGTTGAACGGCAGACCCGTGAAACCCGAGAATGCCGTGGGACGGCCTAACGGTGACAGAGGAGCGGAAGGTTGAGGGTGATGCAGCGGAGGCTGTTGGTAAGCCTGCCTGGTAGCATAGTTCGGGCCTGACTGCGAGTGTCCCATGGAACGGGGAGAAATGGAAGGGTGGTGGGAGGGGTCGGCGCTGCTAGGTTGAGAGTGAGGAGAGGAGGCAGAAGAGCCATGATGAGACTGCTGGCGTGGTCTTCCCGGGGTTGAGGCTTTCGGAAGAACAGGTATCGCCATATGATGATGCGGAGACTGCATTAAACCAGGAGGTTGAGACTGGACATTGTAGGGGATGACGCCTGGCAGAGTGTGCGGCGGTGAGGTTCTGACTTGTTCGCGCTTCCCACTACGATCTCGGATTTCCTGTTCTCGCGCGGCGTCTCGCTCTTTTTTGGCTTGCTCTTCACGCATTTTGCGCTCACGCTCCTCCTTGGCTTTCTTTTCCTGCTCTTCCTTCTCCTTGCGTCTGGCTTCCTCCCGCCTCTTCTTCTCCTCTTTTTGTTCCCGCTGTTTGCGTTCAGCTTCGGCCTGCCGTTCACGTTCTTCCTTCAGTCGGCGTTGCTTCTCAGCTTCCTTGCGAGCACGCTCTTCCTCTTGTGCCTTCCTTTCGGCCTCTCGTTTCTTCCGCTGCTCTTCACGCTTCTGTCGCTGTTCCCGGGCTTTTTGCTCTTGCGCGGCTTTGAGATCCGCCTCTTCAGCCGCCTTCAAGGCCTCCCGGCGGGCTCTCTCCTCTTCCTTCTGTAGCTTTTGCAAACGCTTCCTATCCTTCTTCTTTTGCGCTTCGCGGGCCTTTTTAGCATTGCGCTGCTCGTTTAATGTCTCCTCTTGGAGGAGCTCGTCGATGAGCTGTTTCTGACGCTGTTCGGCGACCTTTTCTCGATATGCCGTCATGACTCGTTGCTCAAACATTCGGGCGGCGAAAATCTGGAACATCCGTCGCCCTTCCTGCATGCGTTGTTCCTCGGTCATGGCGTCCTATTGATCGTCAGCAAATGAACTCGCACACTGATATGTACGCGCATACCATTTCGTCTTCGTCGAACTCTTCCTCCTCCTGACTATCGTAATCCTCATCGTCTTCCTCGTCATCATAGTCCTCATCATCTAGAGGACCATGGTTATGGCCATGGTAAGACTGGTGAGCCGCCATACCGTACTGGGTATCTTCCTCTCTTTGCATTCTTCTCTCTGCTAATTGCTCCATCATATCGATGAAGTGCTTGCCATCATTTTTCAACAGATCGTCTGCAACCGTAAGTATTCCATCTAGATGAGAAGTGTCAGTTAGAACTTGAGCCAAGACCAATTCAACATCTCCGTAGTGATCTTGCCGCATACCTTTTACGGTTAGACTGTTCCCAAATGCGAAGAAATCCGCCCGAGCTGCCCGAGCTTCATCATCCTCCATATCCTCATCGCTGTAAAGCTCCTCCTCATCTTCCTCATCCTCATCCTCGTCGTCTTCTTCGTCATCGTCTTCCTCTTCCTCGTCATACTCTTCTTCTACCTCATCATCATCAGGTAACTCCTGGACTCGGCTCCGTGATGGATGAAACTGGCCCTGCGTCCGAGTATGTTGTCCTGGGGATCGGAGAGGTGGTTGATAAAGTCGAGGAGGAGGTATGATTGGAGCTCCTTCGTCGAAAGCGCCCTGGTTATTGTTCGCATACTGCTCCAGCTCCTCGTAGTATGCATCGTAAAGCACTTCTAACTCTTCTTCAATCGCTGTTCGCTTTCTTCCGCAAACTGTACAGCTGCACGAGTGCTTTTGCTGCTCTTTCATTTTTTTCAAAACAGCATCCTTCTCCACCTTGACAAGCTGGCGCCTCTCTTCTTCGCCGAGTTCAAACCAGAACGTCCTGATGTTTTCACGTTCTTCGAGGGTTGACTGGTTCCAGATGCTGCTATTTTTCATGGGCTTTCCGGTAAAGCGACTGATGTAGGGCAAGGATTGGTGATGGGAGAAGGTAGCGGACGGAGTCGAATGTGGAGTTGAGCTACGGTCAGCAATATGGTGAGAGTTTGACCGAGATTTCCTATTTTTCTTCCTTTTCGATGTCTCGCCTGAGGCATGGTGATCGTCCGCTTCATTTGTCATGGGCAGCCCGCGGGGGTGTTGATGCGGAGATTCATAGCCGTAATGACCGGGAGTCACTGGAGAAATGCGGTCTGAAGGTTCATATTCATGGTCATCGTCGCCGGAGCGCTGTTCATCTGTAGCCAACAAGTCCGCATGCCCGGAGCCGTAAGCGTCATGATGTTCGGCGGCCAGGCGAGCGGCCTGTTTCTCTCGGCGCTTCTGCTTCTTGCGATTCACGGAAGGCGTAGGTGTCGCAGTTGCGTCGGTCGATGTGGTGCCTTGAGAACCCCGCGCGTGGGTCTTGCCGTTGGTTGCTGGCTGCGGAGTCGCTGACATTTGGGTTGCCATGGTGGGGGGTTAAATGAGCAGTAGGGACTGCCTAAGCAGCTCACTAATACCAGCAGAAGAAGCTTAGGTCAGAAACAGCAAGATGACGGAGGGTAGGTTGCAAAGTAAGAAGGAAGAGCGGAGAACGGAAGAGCCAAAGAGCCCTACCAACAAAGCTCCGGCGAATCCACAATTTCGTGTTCACTTACCGGAAATTCTACCCTTGCCGTACACAGGCACAAAGAGTCAATTGCGCTCTTTGTTATTTGTTCAAAAGACACGTCCGTAGTGGCAAACGTGAGGGGTGAGATAGGATAAGGACACGGGAGGAGGGGGTTGAAAGACAATGATCTCGGCGGGTCACGACGTGTCTGCGCTTCGGAAATTGGCCTTGCAGTGCTGAAAGACCGGCGGAGAAAAACAAAACGATAAGGACAAGCCGAAATCAACACGTTTTTCAAGCTCAGTGAACGCCGAGATTGGAGGTACGACAGATCAGACGCCAATTAATTGATGGGTAGTGATGGGCCTTCCAGCCTTCTGGCTGGTTGTCGTGCCGCCGCAACGGGATAGCCGCCGCAAGCGAGCTGATGCCTGAATTGTCAGGTTTCGAGTGGAGTTCTAGCTTCAACGGCAGTGTTCTGGTCGCGAGAAGATATGTAAGTTGTTTACCAGGAATGAAATGAAAATCCAGCAAAGCTTTGTTTTCACGTCTAACGTGGTTCTTTGTTTAGAAGATGTAAACAGAAGAAGATATAAACAGACGATCCTCGACTTGCTTGATTGTTCGATATCACATGGTTTTAGTCACGTGTGGAAGCCATGCCCGCTTCTATGATCTGCCGGCAATATTTTCCCTCTCCCTGACGTCTGTCAGGCGGTGAGATTTTGCAAAGGCATTTCTGCTCCACGTCAAGTGAGACACCGAAAGCGCTAATTAAAAATATCTCCAGCTAAAGGAGAGAGGGAAATTTTACAGGGTCCCATAGGATGTTGAGACGGAGATACCTCTCTACGTATCAAATCCATAGTGTCAATCTCGGCATGCACCTTCAGCCTTAATAAACCTCCGCTTGCCAACTTGGACTGTAAGCGCCTTCTACCCCCGGTCCTTCTTATCTTACTCTTCAGCTTCGACCTCAATATTTTTCTTCTTAAAACTTTCACTCGCTCAATCTCTACCTCTCTCCTTTCTCCTTATATTTAACGTTGCGAGGCCACCTTTCCTCAGGGAGTCTTTCCTCTACATCCAAAAACCCCCCGACCACTCAGCCTCAGCCAGCCGCCCCCAACAACCCTTAGCACGTCAGTACTTGGCTGCATCCTTCAGGCCGCCAGTCTTTTGTCTTCTCTGTCGCTCTCTTTCTCCCGTAATTCTTGAGGCCATTATCTACTCCAAGCTTGACCCACCCCTCTTTACTCCTGACATCCCGACAATATCCAGGGCCATCGCCAATCCTTGTAATCAACTCAACCTAATTCGGAACTCCGCGTCATCTTGAGTGTCGATCCACAATACCCGCCGCTCTCCTTATCACCCTTGGATATCGCGAAAGGTTCTGCAATTATCTCCAATATGTCGCAACAGCAGGATGATAATGTGATGCGAAGGTATGTCCAGCTCTATTTCGCCCAGGTGTCTTATGGCTCCCACGCCGTACGACAGGGAGAGCCTCCGCTTGGGAGTATCATCCCAGCAGATGCGATACCATTGCCAGTGGGATTGAAGCCACGGTGGCACGAACATTTGCTAATTTGGGTCTCCCGGTAGGAAGCTCGTGATTATTGGCGATGGTGCATGTGGAAAGACCAGTTTGCTTAGCGTCTTCACCCTCGGCTACTTCCCAACTGTGAGTATTCCTACCGGAGTCGCCTCTAATGAGAGTCTGTAGCTAACACGTGGATGAATCGCAGCATTATGTCAGTACCCTCGACCTCGCTATATCTCCGAATCACATGTCTGACAGATACCCCCACTAGGTACCAACGGTATTCGAGAACTACGTGACCGATTGCCGTGTCGATGGCCGCTCCGTTCAATTGGCTCTCTGGGATACAGCAGGTCAAGAAGACTATGAGCGCTTGCGACCATTGGCCTACTCGAAAGCCCACGTCCTTCTGATTGGGTTTGCTGTGGATACCCCAGATTCATTGGAGAACGTTAAACACAAGGTCGGTCTCAAATATGGTAGTCATGTGCGCCACAGTACTGATCTGCGGGATAGTGGATCGACGAAGCAAACGAGCGATGCCCCGGTGTGCCGATCCTTTTGGTTGGTCTGAAGAAGGACCTCCGTGAAGACCCATTAGCAATCGAAGAGATGCGCAAAAAGTCACTCAAGTTCGTGACAACAAAAGAAGGCAACGATATCGCCGCGTCGGTCGGGGCTCGCAAATATCTTGAATGCTCCTCGCTGACGGGCGAGGGTGTTGACGATGTATTCGAAGCAGCTACCCGTGCTGCATTGCTCACGTTCGAGAAGCGGAAATCGTCTTGCTGTGTGGTTATCTGATGATGCGATTCGGGATGTGCAAAATGCCGACTCTTTCTCTGCCAGCGTTCTGATTTCCTATTGACTTGGAACTCGATTGATACACGGTCTAACCCTTGATATCAGTCGATCCGTTGTATCATGCATCACTGGAGTTTTGGAGGTTCCTATGCCAGCCCGGTCGATTGACCTGGGTACGATGTTTGCTTTCCAGTTATTTCGGTGTGCCTTCTTTTTGTATTCTTACGGGCACTTTCTTTGTCTTTCCTTTTGCTGTTTATGCACGTGCAATTCCGGATTCCCCTCCTTCTGTTCCGACCCCCGTACATTGCGATTGCTTTCATTGTGTTTCTTCCTGTGTAGTCATTGTGGTCCTTTAGCGTTGACGTTTACATTCCGCTCATGACCTCTTGAGACTATCACACCTGATAATCAACCCATTCCTTTTGCTACTTCACACTTATGCATAGCCTACGTGTACAAAGCCCTACTTATTACCAAAAAGCGTATAAGCCAATACGAAGAGAATACAAGTCCTTCAAAAGAAATCAATATGAATGCATATGATACAAAGCGTGAAAGGTATACACATCCCAAGCCCTCAGGTCAAGGATTCCAACAACACACCAGCCCTAATCCAACATCAGCTGGAAACCCCCTATTTCTGCCCAGGCCTCTTCCATCCATAATTCCACCCATCAGCCGGAGGCGACTCAGTCTGCATACGAGCATACTCAATAGGGAACAAATCAGTGAAGATTCCCTTCTTGTTCATAGAAACCCGGAACAGCTTGCCCCCATCCCCAGCTCCAGTCCGCAGCTCCTCACAAGCATCATGCATACTCTGATACTGACGCATCAACTCAAGCTCGTGCTTGCGGCGCTGCTGCGCCTTGAACAACTGCCAGGCGCGGTGGATAGTCCAGTGGCGGAGGTAGCGATTACGAGAGAAGCGGAGGGGACGAGGGGTAAGAGGGTGGTGGAGGAAGTAGCGGATGAGAGCTGTGAGGACTTGTTAATTTTCTGCTGCAAGTCGCTTTATACGTGTTGTGTTGGGGAATTGGGGGTTGGGTTCGCGCGAGAGCCAAGGCTAAAAGCCTACGAGACAAGGAGACGTACTGATGCGCTTATCGACTGTTGGACCGGTGCGCTTTCTCGCGGCCATTGAGCTGGTCGTCGAGAAGGAGGCTGATTGCAGGGCCGCGGTGACTGGGCCGGGCTGTTGTGTTTGGCGGGTCAGGGTGTCGTGGCAGACGCGGGAAATTGATGGGCGGACGGGCGCCATTGACATGGGAATCTTGAAGACATTCGCGAGAGACGCGAGGGCTGGTGATAAGGACTTCATTGTGATGGGTGCTTATTGGGTGGAGGGAGTGGAAAGGGCTCAATGCAATTGAGTTCCATGGGGAATAATTCCTTGACGGCAGAATCTTTTCCGCCTGTTTAGCCGCGCGCTTGTTGAGATTGACATTCTTAACATTCCCGCTGCGTGCATCCAATCTTGAATTTTTGCACACAACTCTTTTTGCCCAGATTTAATTTTTGTTATATGTCGCCAACCAAGGGCCGCGAGGCTCGAGCCAAATCGGTCTAATGAATTCATCACCATCATCATCATCATCATCATCATCATCATAGTCCGGTATTGAATGGCTATTGTTTGAGCTTTTGTATGTACTGAGGAATCTATGATTGCATACGTGATTGGTTATTTCGCGCTATTCTAGAAACCTGATAATAGATACAGCTGAAGTTTCTCAAAGAGTCAAAGTTCTCGTACTCGTACATGTTTTGAGAAATCATGGAAGCACATTCTCATGTCGAGGGAGCGAAGAGGTGAGTAAAGATTGGGGTCATCAAAGGCATCATATGTAAATTTCCCACCAAAGCCGTCACAAAAAAACAATACCATAGGCGCCGTAAAATGCAGTTGATACGCCGGAAAGAAAATAGAGGAAAGTAGGGCCGTGGTCTGAAATATGACTGATCGTCTGCTCAAAGCTATTCGGAACGCTTGGCACCTAGAGGCTTCTTTTTGGACCGATCGTAATTCAAGACCTTGCGGCGACGGTGTGTTTGTGCAAGCTTCCACCGGCAATAAAGAACCAGTGCATCTTTCAATAAAACAAACATGCATCCGCCGACAACGCTTCGGCCCCAGCGAGTCTGGAGGAGTCCTAAGCGGCCACGCTCCATAATCGAGGGCGGAGAGGTCCATTTCTTAGGCAGAACATACGTCAACAAGCCACCCACGGAGGCTGAGACTGCTGGGAAGAAAAGTGCGCCCAGTACCAGATCGGCGAGATTACTGGTTCCGTTGATAATTTGGTGGCGTGCTCCAATTCCCATTGGATTGTTTTGATCGGCGTTTTGCGCCTGCCCACCAGGGCCACCGCCATTAACATCTTGTCCTTGCTCGGCTGGGAGAGCCAGATCTGGCTCGTCTCCATCGCCGACTCCCATTTGCAACTGAAGATCGATCTCCATGAGGATATTTCCGTCTTCATCATCGAACCCGTTGAGACCCTCCGCCTGATCTTGTTGCTGTGCATCGTCTAGAATTTCCTCTGCTGCACGTGGCTGCACCTCGGCAATCCATTTGCGTTCAAAGCCACCAAATAGCCGATCATAAAGCGCACCGTAGAAGCTACTGATGTATGGCAGAGCCACGAACGTCATGACAGGCGTAGGCGGCCACAGTGTGAAGTCGAGATCTTGTGCCAGATTCCGTGAAGCGAAGAAAAGAACCGGGATGGCTGGAAGGATACCTTCGGCATACCGGGTGCGCAAGAAGATCAAGACAATGGGTATAAGTGGCACACCGATGGACAACTCAGGAGCCCACAAGTCCTCGCCGGGGGCATCCTCAATCATGTGTACGGCGTCCTCGAATCCGAACACCATGTAGACGGACCAAACGCCATGTGCAAAGCATCCAGCCCACAGAGTGCCGGCCACTGTGAACATCATGCCGGGCAGAACCAAACGGCCGGCTACCCGCTCCATCAATCGAAGCATATCCACCACATAGCTCCGTGGGCGAGAGACGACAATCTCGGACTTGCATTGAGGGCACTGCATCACTGCGCGGCCACCAGATTTACGGGTCCGGGGATTTTCCATGTCGGCAAGCCAGTCGAGGAGGCATGCCTCGTGGGCCGTCAAGGCGCAAGGGCACGGTGACCGCCACTCAAGGTTCAGTGGTGAATCCTCCGTCTCGTCTGTATAGCAAATCCAACATTTACGCGGCTCTTCTTCCTCCGGGACATGGGCGGGCTCTGATGGTTGACGGAGAGACGTGCTGGAAGGGGTCCATTCAGGGCGCCGGGTTGGTCGGGCTGGTATATCGTCACCAAAGAAAACAGTTTCGGTATCTGAGAGGGAATCCTCTTGCATCAAAGAGTTGCCACCGGAGTTGGTGGATATGGCGCCCTCGGAGGACCTAGCTCTGCCTACAGCAGAGTATCCTGGGATAGACGCCATTATGGTTGAGGAATGTTTGCCGGTCAAGGCTGATGAGAGATGTCGAGAGACGCTAGCACGGTGTAGTATTGATCTAGACCGGGCTCGATAGGAGGTGAAGAACGGGGTTCAGCATCCTCTGAGTGCGAAGATGAGCAATGCAACCTGATGGAGTAAACAAACGTATCTCCGAATTATGCGCAGGAGTACAAGAAGAGAAGAGCTCCATTGTGGCTAAGTGGAGGTTGGGGGTCTCTTGAGGTGGGCAGCGAGCCGCGGCTGTCCAAAGGCGGTCGGGGGAGGCAATCACGGCAATCACGTCACATTGGCTGCGATCGATCAACGTGACAACGGCCAAGTTAGTAGACATCGAACTACACAATGTAAATTACGATGGTATGCTTTCCAAGTCAGCCCATCTGTTATGGATGTAGGTATATAGGCTAGATAGCTGTCACCTCGGTATTCGTGCACCCGTAAAGGCCCAACTAATGAGGTACAATGCGTTACAGCCGTTACAGCCTACAGAAAAAGCTACAGAAAAGGATAGAGTACACAGTGGGGTTGAACTTGACATATCAATTCATTCATCAAAAGCAGTAAAATAAGAGCTGTGGATTAAACGAGCAGATAAATACCATCCAAAAGTCCGCATGAATGGCACGAGCGCACATCGAGGGGTAGTTAAATCACACACTGAACTACTGTTCAGTGTGAACATTATCGTTGGAGTCTTTCTTGTCCTCTGCTGACAATGCGATCTCCCCAAGGGCGTCATTCAGCTTAGCTGGAGTTGACATAGATTCAGAGATCGCCCCAGGGACAGCTTCCGGTTCTGAGGGTTCTGTCTCGGCCACATTTTCCCTCTCCTCCCGCTCCGGAGATGTCTCCCTGGCGACGGGAGCCGATTCTCCTGATTCTGGGGCTTCTGTTGAAAATTCAACGGGCGCGGCCTCTGCGGTTGTGGGTTTGGGAGGGGTTGTATCCTCAACGACAGGTGATTCGGCAACTGGGTCTACAGATTCTCCAGCGACGTTCTTAGCGAGTGGGGGGGCCATCGGCTTTTCAGCAGGCACAGATGGTTCTTCCACCGCAGCAAGAGGCTTTTCATCTCTATTAGTGGTCCCAACAACCAGGTTGCCATCATGGGCAATTTGCCACACATTGAAAGATTCCGTTATCTTGATTTCCGGAATGGTGGGGAGTTTGGCAGTGACCTTCTCCACGGCCGGCTTTCGCCGCGCGGGGCCACGGGCTCTTCCCTTGCGAGCATCGCTCAGAGATTGCTTCTCGACTGCCTCCTCCTCTTTTTCTTGGGGCTTCGGCTGTTGTGGGCCCTGCTGCAGACGAGAATTCAGATCGGTCAGGAAGCCAGCCTTCAGGGCTGCGATCTTGTTCCCAGCCGGGCGAGCGGGAATTGCAGGCTTGGGCTTGACTGCAGGAGCATCCCTCGAGGCCTCGGCATTGTTTTGTGAAGTCGGACTGAATTTGGCGGGACGGCTAGGGACCTGGGGCTTAGGTCTGTCGGGGATTGATGGTGGCTGGCGCTTTTCGGTTGGCGAGACGGACTGAGCCTGTTTTTGTGGACGCGGGGGAATTCCAGGCCTGGAGGGTACTTCTGGGCTCTTCAACTCTTCTGTCGCGGGTTGCACGGTGGTCACCAGCTGCTGACTATCGGGAGCATCTTCCCAGATGTCTCTACTAGGGAATCGCTGTTTGATTGTGTCTGGCCGCACAGGAGCTTTGTCTCTGGATCTCTCGCCTTCGAGAATATGAGCAGCCACCTGATGTGAGTCGACTTTGGTATTCTGTAATCGGCGCGTGGCCTCTTGCTCGGGTGTCTCAAAGGTTTCGGCAGAGGCACGCTTGGGCAGATCTGGGGTGGTCACTGTGGCATGAAGCTGCAGACTGTTGGGAGTGTCCTCCCAAATATCCTGGCTAGGGAATCTGTGCTGGAGTGAGTCCGGTCTCTTTTTGAAACGATCCGCAGCAGACAGAACTTGTTCTTCCTTAGTATTCTCCTCGGGGAATAGCGGCTCATACTCCTCAACATCTTCGAGGGGCGTGTGTGTATCATCACGCGAGTCATAACGTGTCAGCACGGGGAACTGGCCCTGTGCGCTTGTTGATCGGCTTTGCGAACGACTATGCGTGATACTCGAAGTTCGACTCCGACCATCATCCTCGAAACTGCTCCGGCGATCAAATGTCGGGGACACAGCGGGGTGTAAGTACGCCGATTCAGGGCGTACTTCATCAGCGGCCAAGATTGGTTCTTCTTCTTCCTCGTTCTCGAGTGCCGACTCATTTTCTTCAGGCGCCGGAGTCGGAGCAAATCCATCCGGATGATGCAAAGGATGCATCGGATCATCCACGTGAATCACACCACCCTCGCGGAAACTGTGCGAGCTAGACCTGCGATGACGCAACGAGCTTGCGGTCGGTTGCTTTTCAGAAGCTTCGGAGGGGAAGCTCATTTGTCGAAGTGGCGACTCGATGGATGGCTGAGTTTCGAGTCGAACGTCGGGCGCAGGAGACACTATACGGTGCATGTACTCATCGGACGCTATATAACCGACCTCTTCTTCGGGAGTGCCCACTACGGCTGGGGAAGTACCTGGTCACTATTAGCTTTGAAGCGACAGTCAATACTGCTTTCAATACTCACCAAGGCCGGAACCAGTTTGGGCCGAGCTTCGAACAATCTTGTTCAAATCGTCGCTGCTCATAGCCCAATCAGGGCGCGGTGTGCCCACCCCAGGGCCGTATTGCCCTTCTTCCTTCACAAACTCATCCGGGTGCTTGTCATACCAGGCCTTCTCAAACTTATCGGGATGCTGAACACCGTGTCCATGCAAACCGTAGCTACCGGGGGGCAAGGAAGAGTCACGGGCACTACGGGAGCGGTGATGATTACGGCCCGAACGCTGCGAGCCTTGGTCGAGATACGGGCTGGGAGATGGTGCCTGGACGTCACCGGCGTTGGGGTACATGGGCACTCGGAACCCCTGCTCCTCGCCAAGCTGAGCAGAGTGTCGGCGGTCATTGGAGGCTGTTGACGATTCCGCGCGCGAACCGCTCGCCCGGGAGTGTGGTGAACGACCTGGACGTTCGTGTTCCTCGCGAGCAGGCGAAACGCCCCGGCCCAATCCTGCCGCAGCAGCCTGCCGGGAATCGGTGCGGGTGACGGCCTGCACTTTTGCTTCAGCACTTGATGTCGGCAATGAAGGTCTGGGTGCATGGATCTTGAGGTCACTGCTAACGTTACGAGTCTCCGCGGGTGTTTGATGGTGACTGTCTGACATATTACCAGGGTCGAGGTCAGCATATTCAATGCCCTCCTCGCCGAGAGATGGTATCGTGACGCTAGGCGGGCGTGGGGGCAGTTCATGCGATACGGTACGGCTCAGCGAAGGACCGTTCCATTCATTGAACGGTGAAGGTGCATAGCTCTCACGCATGGGCGAAACCGAACGATCATTGCGACGGTTTGCCGGGCGTGATGGTATCTTGGGCATCTCCACAGATGACGACGGTGGTTTGGGAGATCGAGCCGGTCGAGGGGGAATAGCCGGAGCAGTTTGGGTCGACATGATGTAGTTCTGGGAGCTATGGTTGAGTCAACGGCAGCCCAAACTGAATCCTCATGAATGAGCTTAGATTGGTAACAATTCAAGCATGTTCAACCAGTTTTCATGGGATCAAAGCAATAGAGCAATTAGAAGCAGCTGCTAAGGACATGCATGTAATTGACTCAAAGCTTGAGAGCAGAAGGCCCATGCAACTGATAAGAGTGTTCGAGTGATTTGCTTACCCAGAGATGCTGGAATTTCAAGTTCAATCCAGTTCGACGGTAACAACGCGCAATTAAAACAAAGAGGAAACTGCACAGGCAGTAGATACTGAAGCAATCCCGAAACTGAGTTTTGGGGAAGAGAGATGATGTATGTTCTTTCTGCCACACCTGACGTGCTCTGACCGCAGATAACCCTGGTATTTTATCTATACTGTAATATTACAATGTCTAAGAGCCAACGACAGCGACCCGTTGCAAGTTTAACGCCCCGCCGATGAGATCAGTACATGTACGCAGTACCTTGATTTTCATTGGATTTTTCATTCTTGGCTACCCCTGCAAATGCCTCATATTATTGGGTCCTAAAGTTGGTCGAGATTCGGGTTCAATAATGCCTCATTTCTTTCAATACAATACAATCGCCCTTTATCGGGCTGGACTGCTTTACCAAGGTTAAGGAAGCATTCTTTGGCTGCCTACAATATGTCTAAAAATATAGATAGGCGCAGTAACAGTCTAGACTCTAAAACTTGAGTCTCTCTTTACTGCGTACGCAGTACAATATCCAAGGTTGGCCTTCGGCACTTCTGATAAGACGATTTCCCTGCGGTAGGATTGGCTGGCCAGGCCGAGGCGGTGAAGCGCAACATTGAAAGATTTCTCCGCATTGCATCATCGTGGTCCAAGGGAAGCTAGGTATGCATCTTGAACAAGCTACTCTGGCATGTCCTCAACTCCTTTAGAATACATACTGCATATGGCATCTCAAAGGCTCACAATTCTCAGGTCTCTCTTCTTATCGATATTCTCTCTCTCTCACAAATACAATGATCTGTTGAATGTTGAGACCCACTCACTAGCCGAAACAGCGAGAATACCCGCCACATCATGATCACCAGGGCAAAAAAAGAATTTGCGGGGTAACATGACCTCTGATCAAGGGCCATTCCGCGATGCCACGTTCCTGGGCCCTGCAGTCGACAGAATCTAGAATGGCGACTTGTCTTGTGCGGGTGAGTTGCCTATTCAGATAGCAACTTCCGAGGTTGTCAACGTACGGAGTACAGGAGTACAGTATCGCCTGAAAAAGCTCTACGAGGGAATACACTCATGTGCGGTAACTCTCGCATGTAGTCAATGGCGATCTGCAGGGTCAGTCCTAGTGGAGATGTCCAGTGAACATTCATCTTCACCTGCTCGTTTCTCTTGGTGATGCACTGAGAGCTGGGCGGCCATTGGATACATCCCCCACGTGCACCATCCATAAACTCGGTGTGACTTGAGCAGTTTCTGCTCCAGAGATTATATCTCAACATATACGAGGTAGAGGGTAAGTATAATGGACGTCTGTGAAATTCGATCAGTCCAATTTCCAAGTCAAACATGGTTAATTGAGGAAATCCCTCTAAGACAGCAATAAAAGCACCTCTTCAGACGGACTCGGTCCACAAAAAGAAAGAAAACCAAGGATATATCTGCTGTAAAAACGCTCATCGACTTTGAAAACAAAGACATGCTCAGCTGGAACAAGCCAAACCACACCGAGACATACAAGTACAGAACAATAGAAACATAAACCGGTATCGTAGCGCATCCCAATGCACGTAGCACAAGTGGTATTGGATTATTTGCAGCATTGGCATCGAACATCTCATCATCTCGCCTAGCCTTCCGGCCGCCAAGAGGTATCCAAAGGCGACTCCAGCTGGTGCAGTAAAAGGCAGGAACGCCTCAGCGTAAAAGTCATGCCATCAGACAATCATCTGCGCAACACCCTGGCCGCCCAAAGTTTTGCTACCGACGAAGTCCTGTTTCTTGAGCCCTGCGAGCGCATAGAACACGGCGGTAATGATAAGGAAGACAGCACCGGCGATCAGGCTAGAAGCGCGTTCGGCGAGACTGACCCACTGGATAGCACTCAGGACGGTATACATGGCGGCGCGCATCCAGTTGGTCGTGAAGCGGCGGATGAAGGCATCGAATTTAGGAGAGGTGGGACAGATTCGAAGGAGGAAGGGAACTTCGACGAAGAGGATGACGAATGCCGATGCACTGATATAGATTAGAATTGGCAATCGTCCACTGGAAAATGAGTGTAGCTTACATGGAGAAGCAACCGATGATGATCAGAACCACGTTGAAAGAAAAGATGGCGGCGATGCCAAGTGCAAGGCAAAGGATAATGCACAGCACACCAGTCCTAGTGTTTGTTAGACTAATGCCTCAGAATTGGGAGGTAACTTTGGAGGGAGGAGCCAAAAGGATACTGCGAGAGGTAGCACAAGTGTTCAGTACTCCTCCGTGACAGTATCCAAGCTCTATCAAGCACATAGGAAGGCGACGCGAAGAACTAACCATTGACCATAGATGCCTAGAGAAAACGAGCAAGGTTAGAAGACGGAATTGTGGCATTGCATATGCGGGTACTCACTGAAATTGCGCGACCGGAACTCTTCACCCAACGACATGGTGGGCTAGTAGATGGATATTAAAGAACCAAGAGAGACGAAGATCAACGTTGTAGATGGAGTCCACAGATGATCAGAGGTGTCAGAGAGGGTCCGGCAAAGTACACGCGGCTGATCGAAGGCGGTCAATGGGTTGAACAAACAAACACACAGCAACGATGTCTCCGACGCCCAGTATTCCATATCCCATTTACTCCGTACAATGGGTACCTTTCAATCGACATATATGACTGCGTTGCTACCAGATCATACTAATCTGCCAAAAACCCCATAACTATCGCGTCTACTGGGCAGAAGACAATTGGGCCAGGCTTCATCATGAATCGATGGGGCTTGCCATTGACCTAAGTATGTCAGTCCCACAGAGGGCAGCGGGCTCCAATTGTCAGTGTGTACAGTACCTACCTCTCTAAATAAAACATAAATTATCAACAAAGATCTTCTGTCCAGTTGTCAGTATCCATTCCACTTGTGGGTGTCGCGTTCCAGCGGACCAGACGGGTTCTAGGTAGCGAGCTTCCCGTCAACTGGCAAGCCTCCAGCCAACTGTCATGGAGCCTAACATGGTGACATAGGCATATTATAAGCAGGAGTCGGCTGAAGATCCATGATGTGGCTGACCTGGGATGGCTCTGAGCCTCTGTGGCTTATCAAGTGATTTGCAACTTGGGAAAGAGCGTTCGTCTTAGTGTCGCCTTCCGGTAGATTGTGCCCTTGGCGTATCATTCCCGTTCAGGAAGGTACCTCGACGCAAAGGATATAAATGTGTGTCTCCCATATTCTGCTCATTTTTTTTCTTCCTCCTTCACATCTCTTCCTGCTTCATATCTCATCCTCTTCATAGCTTTGACGGAGCTACACACCTCCAGGTTGATGTGAGCCCTACCTCAAGTTCCGTACTTTATAATAGGCCCATGAACGCTTCTGAGTGGTACACCAGTGAATCCAGTGCACCGCCGTCTGCACGTGTATCTACGCTTCGTGGCTTAAGTGTGGTCATACACATACGGGGAACCACGGCATATCCTTCATGAACAGAAATCAGAATTGTATGTAGGTAATCGCCAACTCAACGCCAAGAGCAGACCAGTTCTAGCTCTATCAAACACAGCGCATCCATCTCTATCATCGAATTGCCAACTCGTGCATCACCTAGAGCATGTACCTGAACAATGGTGACCGGTCACCCAGTGAGTCCGGATTCTCAGGATACTCTGAAGGATCCATAGCATCCCTCTTCTTGTTGATGTGCTGGTACGCCATCCGCAGAACGACAGCCGCGATCATGCCGACGACAACAAACGCGAGCTCAAGGGAGTGTCCCAGGATGTATTCCGGTGCATCCTGTGAACGATAAAAATTTGACGACATAGCTATTGAGCAGGAATGATTAGTATAAGTCCCACACTCCTGGTTGCATGGTACTCACCTCCTGCCAGGTTTCCAAGGCCAATGTAAATGGCCATGCCAGCGGCTCGCTTGTAGTCTCCTGCGATGTTGACACTGAGCCAAGTGACGTTTCCGGGGAAGGCGGGATATATTCCTGGGCTTGCGTTAGTTTGGACGAATAGGCACACTGGGTCTGCAGCTTGGATGAACTTACCGACTACCGCTACAAAGATACCAAAGTACATAACACCTGGTACGTCACGGCCGGCAGAGGCGATGCAGATGATGAAGCCGATACCAATCATGCCCATGAAGAAGAGAATGAATGGTGATCTCTGCTTGCGTCTGTCTGATACGTATGCTGCGATGACTGCCACTATTGCCGCGGTGATATAGATTGGCACCTTATTACCAGTGTCAGATCAAGTTTCAGAGACGATGGAACTCAGATAGCTTACAGTAAGAAGCTGGGCAGTCGATGATGTGTAACCGAGATCTTTGATAATCGATGGTAGGAATAGGGAAATGCCGTATAGCGGACAGGTGATACCCCAGTACACTATTCATGAGTTAACCACCATCAACCGAATGACCTGGAACAGGCAAGACTTACTGAACAGACCCAGCCAAATTTGCCAGTCAAGGAAAGCATCAATGACATAACGCATCTGAAATTTGTCATCTTCTTGGACCATTTCATGGTTATCTGCCGAGTTTTGAATCCGTAAACTGTGGATAACGAATCGACGCTCTGCTTCAGTCAAGAAGGTGGCAGTTTCGGGGGAGTCATGAATCGCAAATGGGGCGATCAATGCCACGAGAACTGTAAGAAGGCCTTCAAGAATAAAGATCCATCTCCAGCCGGCATAACCACCAACACCGTCCATTTTCTAGAAATACCGATAGACGTCAGGGCAAGATCAATGACCGTCAGAACGGAACACCTACCGCGATACCGTATGCGAGAAGCCCGGAGAATGCACCTGCAACACTAGCGGCGCTGAAGAAGAGGGCTTGTCTGAACTGTGCTCGGTGACGGGGATACCAGAGTGTAATATAGTACGCAACACCTGGGTAGAGACCGGCTTCTGTTCGCAGAGTACAATCATTAGTCTCGATGGAAAACCACAGACACTTTGGGAGGGCAGAGATTCACATACCAGCAACACCCAACATTAGACGAGTTGCGAGCAATCCTCCGTAATTATTGACGACTCCCATGAGGGTCTAATCATAACGTCTCGGTTAACACATGGTATATCGACAGTGCTCAATCAATGGTTCCGCTCACCATGACAATCCCCCAAGCAACCATGATCAACGGGAGCCATCTCGATGGCCTCAACTTCTTCAGAAGCAAATTACTCGGCAGTTCGAAGACACAGTACGTGAAGAAGAACACAGTCACTACCACGAACGCATATCAGTTAGCCAACCCCTCAAGCAACCCAATTGGATGAAGAGAAACCATACAAGTCCAATTATACTGCGGACCGGTCATATGCAAGTCATCAATAAGTCCCTCAATCTTAGCATTGCCAATATTTCCGCGATCCAAGAAGGCTAGGAGGTACAGCGCCGACAGCATAGGAATGAGACGAATATCCATCTTCCGAAGGACTGTTTTTTCATCCACCCCCTCAAAGCCGAGACTAACGGCCTCGGCATCTGCAACTATCTTTTTTTCTTTGAGAACGCCATCGTCGAACGAATCCTGGACGGTCGAGTCCTCGAATTGATGTAGGGAGGGCTTCTCCGGATTTTCCTTTGAGTCAACCATGAGGGGCGCGGAGTGCGAGAGAAGTTGAAAGCCGCACACATGAGTCGGACATTGCTCCGTCGGTATTTATATGTTTCTCTGCCCTTTAGAAGGGGCATCTTGCAGAAACCAGGGTAAGTCCGAATTCTGGGGTGATCAACCGGAGAGTCTGGAGAGATCGTCCCTTGGCATGAGGGGTATGTACCCCACGACATGCAGGAGTGCGCTCTAGAATCAGCTGACCTGCGTACAACATGAGCGCGGAGTTCCTTGCGGTCACATGTGACATTGGGATCACTGTAAGTGCCGTCAATTGTCAGCACACATAGTCTAGCGCTATGCTGAACCACTTGGAATTTGGCTCTGCGCCACCAACTGTCGAATTCCGCACCGCCATTGAACTCAATATCGCCAATCGCAGTCATCAGAGCCATTGATAGGCTCAATTACGGTCTTGGCTGGCGGTGGTGGACCGTATAGATGGGCGCCTGTGGCCCGTGGGGGTTCCTGAAGTGCCACCTCGAAGGTTAACCTTGAAACAATGGCCGATTTGAAAGCAATGGAAGGATTTCCAAAGGATCAGTCGACTGTCGTCCCGACAGACCTGAGACCTCAATGATGAGAGAGAGATATTAGAAGTTGGAAAGATCCCGACGCCTAACACCACAGGCATATCTGAAGATATCTACATTTTAACATTTTAACATTTATCTCCCGTATCCCATTCCAAGGTTCTGATCCATACCTTATTTTTCCTTGGCAATTCAACCTTCTTTCCATCCATTGGACCCTCCACCCCAATCTATCCAATTCGAACATTCACCTCGTATCCTGGATATTGAAGCCATAACCTACCATACGATCTCTTGATATTCAGAACTCCGCCATTCAACTCCAATCACTTTTGCCAATTGCCTCATCGTTAGATCACCATGAACGGGATAGACCCGATAGCACTCGGGATTCAATCATCCATGCATCATAGCACCACAGCCTCTCACATAGGCAGATTAGTCCAACAACCCTAATGCTCCCCTCTCACCCCACCGATGCCTATCTCCAGGGCCAAAAGTTCAACACAATGCCATACACACCATGGACCAAACCCGACACAATCGCCCGCCCAATAGCCATCATCGGCGGCGGCGTGATGGGCCGGCGAATAGGCATGATGTGGCTAGCAGCAGGCTACAAAGTCACCCTATGCGAAAAAGACATAACCCACCCCAGCGAAGCAGTAACCTACATCAACGAGAACAAAAACCCACAAGCCAAGAAGCGCGGCACCATCCCCGCAGAGCTAAAAGTAACACCCACCATGAAAGACGCCGTCAGCAACGCATGGATGGTACTCGAAGCCGTCCCGGAAAAGCTAGACCTGAAGATCAATATACTAGCAGAGATTGACAAGCTCGCCCCGGCGGACTGCATAATAGCCAGCAACTCGTCGTCGCTGCGCACCAGCCAGATGATCGTCAAGACGGAGAAGAACTACCGCATCTGCAATGGGCACTACTACATGCCGCCTGAGCAGGTGTTTTTCGAGGTGATGTCGTGCGGCGCGACGGACCCGGATATATTTCCTTTTTTGATGGAGAAGGCTTCGTCGGCTGGGTTTCGGCCTGTGAATGCTAAGGTTGAGTCGACTGGTCTGGTGTTTAATCGGATATGGGCGTCGACTAAGCGGGAGGTTTTGTTGGTGCTTGCTGAGGGGGTGAGTGATGCACGTACCGTTGATGAGATGTTCAAGAGTTTCTTCAATGCTAGCAATGGTCCTTGTCAGATGATGGATACTGTTGGCTTGGATACTGTGTGCAATATTGAGGCTGTGTATACTGAGGCGCGTAATTTAGATACGAGGGCCATGGATTGGCTGAAGAAGAACTATGTTGATCAGGGAAACTTGGGTGCCAAGGGTGGAAAGGGTTTACTTGGATAGAGTCCATTATAGACTGCATATTCGTCTGAAAGTGGAAATACAAGAAGCGTTCTATAATAGGATTCTTTGATGAGGTATGGCCAACTTAACGACTGGACGGGTATCAGGTGGAGTTGCAATGATTATATATGGCCAATTCACGCCATCCTGCGCAATCCGAAATCGACAGGCCTTGAGTTGTAGCGGGTTGCATGTCTTCGGAACAGCCGGTGAATAACAGTAACGACGGCATAAAAGACCGCCAGAGCTAGTCGCCGAAGGTGTACAAAGATATATGGGCAGCGATGAAGGACCAAAAGAGGGTGAATGGTGCACGGGATTGAGTGTCGTCTAGGGAAAACCGGGAAAAGGAACTGACAGTCACCGGAAGTATCAGGTGACCTCCCGCAGACTGAAGGCGGGTAGCTCTTTCCTGCAAAGAGATGAGATATTAGGGAAGGAACGAAGGTGTAGTGATAGGAAAAGGAAGGAAGGTCAAGTAGAAAGAACGGACGCGGTCTCTGAAACCTCGGAAGGAAGGGTATAGAGTGAAAGACATTAGGGGTAGACCGTAGGGTGTGACTTGCAATCATTAGGGTATAGCACATAGCACACCCATAGGGCCAATTATTGAACAGGTAGGGGAATCAATCAAACAAGAGAATAAAACACAATGTAGGATCAAAGGACTAATGTGTCTTCCTGCGACGGTGGACTTTCCATTCCGCCTTGGCAACACGCATGAACAGTTCGGTGTCTTTGATGGGAACCCAACTAGTGAGGACTTTCATGATGTTCTCAAAGTCAGACTCGAGAATGATCTCGCGCATGCCATCAATAAGGGCAGCAGAGGCAGCATGCAACACATCGAGGCCTTGACCGAACGTTCTGGGGTTCTCTTCAGGAACCTCTTTGCTCTTCCCTGAAGAGGTCGGGCGTCGGCCGGTGTCTTCGGCGTCCCCAAGAAGCATGAAGACATCCCACACCCGAAGCTGAGCCGGGAAGGGGATCGTATAATTAAATAGAGTAAGGTACCAGCGGGTGCCATATGCCGTAGGTGGGATTCCAACTTCGGCCTAAAGGAACGAGGTGTTAGCAAACACTCTCTGCGTGTCATGTGAGGTTGACTTACCAGTTTCGTGGCTACTTCACCTCCCGCCAGCCACTCTCGTTCAAAGTCAGCCAAAGCCTCCATTAAACCAGCAAAGCCAGACTTGTATAACGCTTCCAGGCCTCGCAGCTGCCACAATCTGACAAGCATGATAAACGCATGCTCTTCGTCGTAATACGCCAGTAGTGTAGCTGCGAGAGTCGCCATTCCCTGAACGTAGCCAGTGTCAGGGAAATATAACGACATTGCATGAAGCACACGGAACAATAGTCGTTGACCGCCTCGATAACGCCTCCGGAACATGATATGACTAGAAATGGTGCGCGGTACATCGATGTCGATTTGGACATCGTCTGGGGATGAGATGAATTGGAGCTCATGGAAGGCTTCGATGAGCTCGTCCGCAGGCGCACTGCCCTCGTGACGTCTAGCACTGGCTTCAAGGAACGAGTACCACGCCGTTGACCGCCACCGATCGGGGATGCCTTTCCAAGTCCGCTCTATCAACTTTGAGCTCCGAGTATCAAACTCAAAGGTCATGCCACCACCATCCTTGGTCTTCTTGGTCGGCTTGGCCATCTTCGTCCACTTGTCTTCACGCTCCCACTCTTTTCTTCGCATTGCGCGAGTAATCGGTGTATCGTCTTTCTCGCCAGGAACGGCCGAGTTGGGCAGAGTGAGCATGTCAGCCGCCTCATCTTTGGCTTTTCGGTCTCGGTTGTGTGGAAGACGATTGGTCGCTGTACGCAAGCGAGACGTCGAGCGCCGCAATGGCGCACTGTAGTTGCTCTGGGATGAGGACGGGCGGCCGCTCAGGGAGGTTTGAGATATTTTGCGACCTAAAGACGGCGGCGGACCGTTGAAGGAACGATTGCTTGCTGGAGCAGTCGGTGGGCGAATTGAACGTTTCCGCCGGGGTGTTTCGGAAGCAAGCAGAAGGCTAGTTGTGACCCTTTGCAGCGGGTTCATTTCGGAGCCCTTCGAGTTAGTTGCGGCCCGAATGAAGCCATACCGGTCGACTTCTTCTGCGTCGACATTCTGCCAATACTCGACACCACCTGCTAACTCCTGGGTGTCTCTCTTGATTCGAGTACGCTCTACTTCGGCGGATCCTCTTGGCACGGCATCAGCTCCAGACTCATTTGTCGGGTCAGCAGGTGTTTCAGAGGTTTCAGTATCTGCACCCTCTTCCCACAGAACTCCGTGTTCAGAGGCCAGTGCCCTCGCAACTTCAGAGTCGGTTACATTGTCTTCGCCTTTTTCATACATTAGTCGCACACGTCGGGACAACATCTCTTCATCCGCTGAGATTGCTCTGATACAAAGATTTGTCTGCCTCGGGCGAAGAGTACCCGAGGGCTTGACCTGCCGGGGAACCACCTTTGGTGCTCCACTCTCTCCTTCAGGCTGGCTCGTCGCGATGGAAGTGGACAGCGTCACTTCAGACGGCTTGTGGCTCAATTGTTGATCGGGACACTCTGCCGGTTTTTCTTGGGGTGGCTGAGCTAGCTCTTGAGGGTATTCCTCTTCGGACTTTCGTTGGGATGATTCGGTTTGTTGCTCCGGAGCCTCTTCCAGTTTCTCTTGGGGTGTTTTGGGGCGTGGACGCTTCGCATCACTCTTGATCAAACTTCCACGATGCGAGAATTTCATCGGCTTATCCAGATCATCCAAAGACGCGGTTGGTATGTCCAAAGGAATACCAGCAAACGAGTGCTCGATTTGGGGCACAGGCGGGGTCTCTTCCGAGCCAAGTTTCCTCTCCATCTCCATGGACCGTTTCCTCAAACCACCCCACTTCCGTTCTGACCACCGAGACCCTGGCCTCGAGCCCGGCCGTGAACTAGGACGAGAACCTGGTTCGTTCACAACGATGCTGGGGACGCTGCGCAACGAGGGTGCGCCCTCCGACCGAACCGTGCGGGTCTCATCTCCAACCGACAGAGACGGCACGAGCCGTGAGAACATGCGCAAGGATCCCCGATCATCACTCGGACCAGTTGATGCAGCACTGGTGCTCGCAGATCGGCCGTTTGCTGTTATTAGCGCGTCGACTGGGGCGGGCAACGAATCCGACCGGATTGCAAGAGGGGCGTCAACGGCGATAGTATTCTCAAAGGGCACGGCGTGGATTGTCGGATTGGGCTCCGACCGGTCGGGCGATAACGATGCAGAAACCTCATTCACCATTATCCCGGCATGACTTGCGAATCTGCGCGTCGGCTAGAATCGCGAATGGGAAAAGGAGTGCGCGCGAGGGGTGCGAGGCCAAGGGGGGGAAGAAAGATTAAGCGATCTGAGTCAAAATGAGCGACAAGGGGAGGATCACGAGCTTGCATGTTCTTGTCAAAAATCTCCAGGGCTCGAGATTAAAATTGAGAGAAGAATACGGAGACGGTGGAGTAATTTGGGGGGGCTTGGCGATCCAACGAAGTATTTTGGGTCAGTATGAACTAACGACTACATTCCTATCTTCGGTGGCTATAACTATACTGTACTGCACTATCATTGATATCACATTCTGCAATACGCCTGTAGTTCACGAAATCTTTTCAATTATTGCCTGTGCTTCCAATTTACTGTCCTTCTGAAAATAGCTTAGATCAAGGGGTTTGGGGTGTCCCACCTTCATCCATGGGCCGCGTCGCTGTGGAGAGAAGGAGGGTTGTGGAGCACGCTAGTTGTGCTTAGAATAGAAAATAATTAAACTGTCATGGTCCAACACTTTAGAGGGCAATCGAGAATATGTATTCTTTCTTCTGTTTACGCTCGAGGGAGTGGATAGTTACTCACACGACCTACGCAGACAGCTATAACTCGATGCAAAAGGAATTCTCAATTCACACCCATACGCCCGTCCCAATGTTCATAGATACAAAACGCGTGAAACTCCTGTAGCCGAGGCTGTGATGTCCGACAGGCCATCAGCTGTCAATGCAGTCAATGCGATTCGAGAAGGGACACAATCCCAGCTAGAAGAAACAAGAAAAGAAAAAGGTATCATGACGGCGTGAAAGGTCAAGCCAGCGACGCAGTGTTCATTCAAACTCAAGCCATAGCAGCCGTGTTGGCAGACGAAGAGTCGCGAGTTGCTCGAGTGTGGTCCACAGGCTCTTTGGGCAAAATCTCGATCTGGCGGACAAGGAAGCTTTTCTCGTCCGTGAACTGGTCGTCCTCGGTTCGGTCTTCTAGGAATTTGGGCAAGAATCTCAGTAGTCGATCACGGTTATTGATCAGAATCCGCTGCACGGCCACCGACTTGTGTGGATTTGCCACAAACACCTGTTGATAGGTCAGAGCGAACGCTCAGGGTTTGTAAATCATGGGCTTACCTTGAACACATGGAACCCTTCATATTGTACCATCTTGCGATCGTCCCGTAACAGCTTCATGCAGAGTTTTAGGTTCTCTCCGCTGTCCACATATCTCATCATCACAGTGTAGTTTGCACGGTCTAAAAGGATCTCCCCAAGAAGCTTGATACTTTGGCGCTTAGTCACATATGAGTCTGATTGGATCAATATGTTATTGAACCGGCCAAAGAATAGTTCGAAATTGGTTTGTAGGTATGAGCACACGATGGCCTTGTGACGGGTCAAGATCTCCTGTGAAGAATATGTCAGCTATTATCGACAAGACCTCACTATTTCGATCATACCCTGAATGTGGTGAAAGCGTCTGCGCTGATTTCGAAGTTGCTTTTGTCGATCCAATCAAAGAACCTCCAGAACACACCGTCTCCCTTTTGCGGCAGAAGGTGCTTCACCTCTGACAGTCGTATGGTGGGTTCCCCTTCGCTGGATTGATCGTAAAGAACAATCGCCGCAATCACGTCGGATTTCAAAGCTTCCCGGAGAATGACACCACATGGCATTGCACTCTGACTTTGCATGTACCCTCGGCATAACTCGACAATGACCTCTGATCGATTATGGACGAGGTACGAGATAACGGGGGGTTCTTTATCGCTTGGATATCCTACAGGTCGGAATCGAAGGATATGGGAGAATATGGTCTGGGTGTCTTTTCGGGCCTCGAACGGGAGCAAATGGATGCTTTGAGATAGATCATAGAGCAGATCCTCTTGAAGGGTTGCTTGGACAAGTGCATGTACTTGATCCGGCAATGCGCCAACCTCTATTCAAGATTTCAAGGTTAGCTCGCTGTGTCATGCGACTTCCTTGGCTGCGACTTCAAGTTGACTTACCCTGTGTTCCTTGTACCATCACCTTCATATGACTGAGCTGCTTAGCTAGCTCTTCTTTGGCCTGTTACCTTCATTAGTTGAATCCCTCCTGGGACTCACTTTTCACACTGACCTTAGGGGCATTTTGGGAGTCATGGATCCTCAGTAATAAGTCCTTTGTCGAACGGACGACCTCAGCGGGTTGTCGTGACCGGCCGCGGTTGAAAAAGAAAGCCATGACGAGATAAGATGAATATGCGGAAGATTGAAAAAGAAACCGGTGACTCGGTGAGGGAGATTAAAACGACATGGGATAAGTTACAATGTGTACTGAAGGGATAATGAAGTCCGGCAAACAAATGTGATGGCCTCGACTGCAGCCGCGCATAAACAAACTGGGCGGGGCAACGGATATTGACACCTGAGGCATTCATTGATAACGGAAATTTTGTTTTATCGAAATGTTATCTCTGCCCCTCCTCCGCGCTCTTTTTTGGTTTTTTACTTTCTTTTCTTTTATATCAATTCTGTTCCATTGACCTGCATTACTCATGTCAGCTTCCAATATGAACCCGCCCGTGGGTGAGAGCTTTCCTGACTCGCACTCAGTATCTGATTCATCCGATACTAGCAATGAGGAGGGATGGGAAGATGTTGAACCCGATGAGGAGTCGCAGCCTGTGGTTGGATTGTTCACTGACGAGGTCTTCCCTGATGCACGCTCAATGCTGAAGGAGTGCAAGGAAAAGTACAATTTCGACTTCCTAAAGATCCAGAAGGACCTTGGTATGTCCAGCTTAGACTCTTGAAGGGCCCTGTGAAGAAAGCGACGAATGTTTGGAGGCTAACTATTGTGTCTCTCAGATCTGGATTTCCTTGACAACATCAAGTTGGTCAACTACGTCCGTACCGAAGTTAAAAATGGCAACAACAACCCCGATGTTTCGTCGAAGTCAAAGTTCGAGGACGATGTCTACCTCAAGCCCGTTTTGGAGGACGATGCTCTTCTGTATAGCTTGGATGACCTTGCCGAAGAAACAGGCGAGGACGCTGCTCCCGGCACAGAGACCAACCGACAGGTTCTCGAACTTCAGGAACAGTTGGAGCAGTTACAGACGCAATTTTCTGAATACCGCCATGCCGTGCAAAAGTCAATGGATGATCAATTGTCGAAGGAGGATGAGAAGCTCGCTGAAACCACCCCCCAGCCCTCAACCAAGGCCATCGACAGACACCAAGATGCCGAGGATGGGTATTTTGTCTCCTACGCTTACAACGGTTCGACCTCTGGTTCACTCAAGCGCGAATATATTACTAATTTAGTCTCCAGGTATTCACGAGTCTATGCTGAAGGATGCCGTCCGTACCGATTCTTACCGTGATTTCGTCTACGAGAACAAGCATGTGTTCAAGGACAAGGTGGTTCTTGATGTCGGCTGTGGCACTGGTATCTTGTCCATGTTCTGTGCCAAGGCTGGCGCAAAGAAGGTTATTGCTGTGGACAACTCGAACATTATCGACCGAGCCAAGGAAATTGTCCATGACAATGGCCTTGGAGATGTGATCACGTAAGTTTTGCAAACAGCACTTTAGTGCAATAAGAAACAGTACTGACTATATCCCAGGTGCATCCGTGGCAAGATTGAGGAGGTCACCCTTCCTGTTGAGAAAGTTGACATCATTATCTCCGAATGGATGGGTTACGGCCTCCTGTTCGAGGCCATGTTTGATTCCGTCATCTATGCCAGAGATCGTTACCTCGCACCTGGTGGTCTTATGGCTCCTTCGCACGCTACACTGCGCCTTGCTCCTTATGCCGATCCTGATTTCATCGCCTCGCACATCTCATTCTGGCACAATGTCTACGGCTTCAAGATGGACAGCATGCTTCACAAGATTTATGATGAAGCTGTGGTCCGCGGTACCCAGTCCTCGGCTATTGTCGGAGAGTCCCAGATCTTCTTGACACTTCCTCTGCACACCATCACTGTGGAAGAGCTATCGTTCTTGAAGGAATTCCAGGTCACGTTGAACCAAGATATCGATGCATTGGATGGATGGGCTATCTGGTTTGACATCTTCTTCATGCCCTCTCGGGATTCTGTTCTCCCCGAGAACGCCATTCCCTCGGAGATGCAGAAGAAGGGAATCGTCTCATTCACCACCGGGCCTGATGGAACTGAGACCCATTGGCAGCAGACCATCCTTCTCATTGACCATGCCAAGGACCAGGCTAAGGGAGGTTCCCAGGCACTGAAGAAGGGCCAGGTCCTTACTGGCAAAGTTGGTTACGAGAAGACTGAGAAGGGCTCTCGAGGAATTGATATCAGCGTCGAGTGGACGTCCGATGCGAGCGAAAAGGGTGTCCAACTTTGGAGCCTTCAATAGGATTGCGCGGTACTATCTGAATACGCGCTTTGATGAATTCATAGAGATGTGACGACCTACATTTGAAACGGAAACATATTGTTAGTTGGGTTTCATTTTTGTGGCCCAGTGATTATAGAAATGATTTACAGCGAAGAACAAGCAGCGTAACAAATGGGGTATCGTGGTAATGAGTCATGGTCTCGTGGGACCGATCAATAGCTATCAATGATTCATTGCATCAGGCCTTTCCGACCGGCCAGGAGTTGCAGTACGTTCATCGTGACGATGACGATGACTGCGGTGGGAGCTGCTGCGACGAGAACGGTGATGTGAGCGATCTCGGATTCGGTCTCGATGGCGACGATGAGGTCGCTCAGAGCTTCTCTGGCTCTTCTCGTGTGCCCTGTCTGGGGAGTCGAGGTTGAACCCATCGAGGCTGCCTACTGATGTGGATCGCCTACGCCGTCGAGTCGACTGACGCGCCTCCTCGTCTTTCAGAACCTCTATCTCTCTTCGTTTTTCGTCATGCCACCGCTTCCGTTCCTGCTCGGTTGTCCTCAACTGACGGACACCCCGTTTGATGGCTGCAAGTGGGTCATTCGCGCTCATCCGAGCCTGCACTCTCTCTTTGCGCCTTGGGTCCTCGTTGCCCCATACATCTTTCTCAGGCATGGCCCCTGGCGCAGTAGCAGTCTGGTCTCTAGAGGAGTACCACGGGTTTTTGCCAACTGACTCCTTGAAGCCCGCGGCGTTGGAAAATCTCATTGTATATTGATCTTCGTAGCTCCGTTTCTTCCGTGCTGATTCCGCCTCTGCTTCGCGATTTTTCTCGGTTTTAGCACTTGCAGCTGGGAACAGGTTGATGTGGCCAGCCTTGTCTGTGATCGGTGCATCCGTCTTGCGAGAGGCGAGCATCAGCTCCTCCCGTTTGGCAGCTGCTTGTTCTGCATCTTCCCGTGCGTAACGTATATCTCGATCCGTGTCGTTTTCTCCGGTGACCCGCCTTCTTTTGCGGGACCTACCAGCGTCGTCGGACTTTCTATCAGATCGAAGCCCATGCTCAGATGATGGGAGCGAGGGGGGTGGTGGAGGTGTCGGCGGACGCTCGCCACGAAGGATCTTGATTCTGCGCTCGGCATCGGCCTCTTGCATAAGACGTTCATCCTCTTCCTCGCGGGCTTTCGCTTGCGCCTCGTCGCGCCTGACACGTTCGATGTTCTCGGTGTTGTAGATGTTCCATGATTTCTTCCCGAGAAGATGGCTGGAATATCATTAGCAGAGTTTCGCAAACAAATCACCTCAAGACACTTACAGAGGCATGCTGGAGACTGACTGACGTTGAAGTGGATGTAGCTGCCACCCGATAGCAAATAGCCGCTCTTATCGATAATGACGTCCCCACCGCCCGACGCTGTTCCCAAGTGGCCAAAGTGCCCCGTCAACAGCTTCACAACTCCAACTCTCTTCTTTTTCCTGCATAATTGCCTCACTCTGGATATCGAGGTATTCTGTGGTTTTTCGGAACATATAGTCGTCATACTTGACTCCAATTCTCCTGTGTTGCAGAGTCGGCCGACTTACCTGGCTGCCTGCTCGTTTACCAACAACTCCTCCAGTCTCCATTCCGGCACCTGTGATTAGCGACAGAAACGACTCATTATGTTCAATCGCGGCAACCTTCCGAATCCATTCAGCTCCGGCGGACAACCGTCCCCGCAGGGTTACTCCAACCCCAACCAAGCACCCCCACGGTATGATACCGATCGCTTCCCTCCATCCAGCGCAAGCTACCTAGCTTCTGCCCGCGATTACGACGTGCCGATGACTGATGCACGTAATGATTCAAGAGGATACGGAGGTCCTCCTCCACCAGGAGGGAGACCGCCGCCACAGCAGATGCCATCGAGGATGCAATCCGGACAAAGAGGCGCGAGCCCGACTTGGACCCTTCATCCCAGCAAGAGTCCGAACGAGAACTATACATTTGGCAATCTGTAAGTACCGACTGACTGCATTTAGTTCTCGTGGCTAACATATCGCAGCGTCGCTGTCTCGCCACAGGACATTCCACCTTCACGAGATGGCACCGACGTCCTCCTCCTTATCAATGACCTCTTCGTCTTCTCCGCTCGCCCTCTTGAAGGCTTCCCCGCCGGCTATATGAGCATGTCTGACCCTCAGCGCACCTGGGCCAATATTGGATTGAGAGATGCGATCAAGGTGCAGCTGTATGATCCGTTCAGCCAAGGCGGACAGGCCTACCTGGGGTCAGCGGATGTTGAGATTAGTTTCGCATCTACCAAGAAGCGTACCGAGGCTCCTTATGACCAGGATGAATTGGCGCAAGTCGTGATCAGAGTAAGCCGACTCCACTCCGGTCTTAACATATGCTGACAGGCCCAGAACTTCGAGAACCAACTATTTGCGCCTGGTCAACGAATTCTAATGGACAATAAAAGTATCCCACTCTTGTTACAGGTCAAGGCCGTCCAGCGGGTCGATTTGACGTCAGAAAAGCCCGACCTCAGTGTTGGAGAAGTCGAGACCGATCCCACGGCCAGGGGTATCCTCACAAGACACACACAACTCAACTTTTTCAAGGATACCCAGACCGGTATCAATGTGAAGCCATCTAACCGTCGACCAGCGGCCAACTCCATCATTCAGCCCGGCTTCAAGTTCCAGGATATGGGTATCGGTGGTTTGGACGCTGAGTTCAGTACTATTTTCCGTCGTGCTTTCGCCTCTCGTATCTTCCCTCCCGGTCTGGTTGAGAAACTTGGTATCCAGCACGTCAAAGGTCTTCTGCTTTATGGACCTCCTGGAACGGGTAAAACTCTCATTGCTCGTCAAATTGGAAAGATGCTCAATGCCCGGGAGCCCAAGATTATCAACGGTCCGGAAGTCTTGAACAAGTACGTGGGTCAATCGGAAGAGAACATCCGTAAGATGTTCGCGGATGCCGAGAAGGAGTACAAAGAAAAGGGCGATGAGAGTGGTCTCCACATTATCATTTTCGATGAGCTAGACGCAGTGTGCAAGCAGCGTGGCAGCGGAGCTGGCGGTGGTACCGGTGTTGGTGACAGCGTGGTGAACCAGCTCCTTTCGAAGCTCGATGGCGTGGACCAACTGAACAACATCCTGTTGATCGGTATGACCAACCGAATGGACATGATCGATGAGGCTTTGTTGCGCCCCGGTCGTCTGGAAGTGCACATGGAAATCTCGCTGCCCGACGAGCATGGCCGAAGCCAGATCCTGAACATTCACACGGAGAAGATGCGAACCAATAATGTCATGGACACGGATGTTGATCTGGCTGAGCTGGCTCGCTTAACCAAGAACTTTTCCGGTGCCGAGATCGCAGGTCTGGTCAAGTCCGCCTCGTCCTTTGCATTCTCGCGTCATGTCAAAGTTGGTACTATGGCTAGTATCAACGACGACGTAGTGAACATGAAGGTCAACCGTGCCGATTTCTTTCACTCCCTCGAGGAGGTCAAGCCTGCCTTTGGTGTATCTGAGGAGGAGCTGTCTAGCCGTATCCCCTACGGAGTCATCCACTACTCGCCAGTCATCAGCGAAATCCTGCGGGAAGGCGAGCTATTCGTCAAGCAGGTCGGAACGGCCCAGTCAACCCCGCTTTTCTCTGTATTGCTCCACGGCCCTCCTAGCAGCGGCAAGACCGCTCTGGCAGCACGTATCGCCATTGACTCCGGCTTCCCCTTCATCAAGCTGATCAGCCCCGAGGACATGGTTGGATTTAACGAGGCAGCAAAAGTCTCACACATCAGCCGAATCTTCGACAGCGCCTATAAGAGTACCACAAGTATCGTTGTCATCGACAACATCGAGCGAATCATCGACTGGGTGCCGATCGGTCCCCGCTTCAGCAACAGTGTCCTGCAAGCTCTCATGGTCTTCCTACGGAAACAGCCCACCCACGGCCGTCGCCTCTTGGTTCTGGCCACGACGACCGAGCGTGCCTTGATGAAGCAGCTGGACATCTACAACTCCTTCAACTCGGATATCATGGTGCCCAATGTCAGCTCATTCGGCGAACTGCGCTTCGTTATGGAGAAGTCCGGTGCCTTTGATGCCCAGGAGATTGCACAGGCTCTTGATTCGATCGGTGGTCTTGCGGATGATGGCCGTCTGAGCGTCGGTATTAAGAAGGTCTTGCTGGGTATTGAAACTGCTAAGCAGGATTCTGATAAGGTTGGTCGCTTTGTCCGTGTTATCAACCGCGCTATTGAGGAGGAGCGGAGCTTCCAGTAATTATAGAAGTTTGGTTTGAAGGCTTATATCCTGTCATGTAAAATCTACTGCGAGCAATGTGGAGTATTGATGTTTCAGCTATTCATCTGTTCATCTCTTTGCACAGTAGGTTCGTAGGTAAATGATCCAGCACATATTGCGAATCCTGGAAGCTTTCAAGCCGTGGCTAAGATGAATGATACCTTGGTCATCTTCCTAGGAGGTAAAACAAGATGAAGCTTAAAGAATAGGTATACTCGGGTTCAACGGGGGGGTCAAACTCACCTCGTTGCCTCGTTGCCTCTCGGGGCTCACGGCCTTCATCGCCAACAACCAACGCGTAACACAATAACATACGATACAAATCACTTCAGGATCTTTACAAGGACCTACAGGCACATTACAGGACTTACTACGAAGGCCAATAGTCATGAGTACCAGGTCCATACCATAAAAACAGGTAAAACAAGTACCATTCATGGTAACATCTCTACAAAACCTCAAACACAAATTACCAGTCCAGATATACACAGAAAGACAACAAAGACGCGCCAAAGACCCTCCCAAACCCGAGTTACCCCCTAAAAGCCCAATCCAAACCCATCCCATTCCCAAACATCCCAATTTTGTCCAATTCCCACCACATCAAACCAATCACCATATTCCCTCCCCATCACCCGTTCACCCCGAAGAGACAAACCAAGCTAATAGTCATCATAAACATACTTCTTCGCAGACCGTCGATACTCCTCGGGATAAGCCTTCTCAGCCTTATTCTTCAGGACACTAAATCAACGCCACATCAGCCTCGATCCTTCCAGAAGCCGGTGAAACAGGCGCTAACAGCGCACGAACGTAGATCGACGCGCACGTGCCAAGCTCAGGCGGAGCGGAAAGACAAAAACCCAATGCCTCGCCGAGCGGAGCGGAGCGGAACTTGCACGTCCATCGTTTGCGGTTTTCAAGGGAGAAGAAAAAGTGTGGGCTTACCTGACTCGTTTCTGGGTCCATTCGAGGTCGCGTTTTGTTTCTCTGGCTGTGCGGAGGCCTTCTTGGAAATTCGCTCGTACGCCTTTCAGGCGGCGTTGGGCTAGGGCTTGGAGTTCGAGTAGTTCTTGCTGTTTTGCGTTTAGTTGGCCCGATCTGTTGGGATTTTGTTAGCGGATTGATTTTGAGTTTTGGACCTTAGGCCCGTTGCTTCTTTGTAGTTCTGGGCTTATTCATTGGTTATGCGGATTGGAGGGATTTGCCGATGGTGACTTGAATTCATATGCAGGGAAACTTACGTTTGCGCTTGTCGTGCTAGACCTTTGTCCAATGAGGTTGGATCAAATGCTTCCTGCATGCGGTTGTTTAAGACATCCACGACATCGACGCCGGAGTACGATGCCGAGCTGGAGTCGTAGTCGCCAGCGGAGCTGAAGGTAAGTCCGCCGGAAGAACGACTGCCGGCTGTGGTGCTTGCATCGGAATAGTCTGGCAATGAGCCTGCGACTCTGGAGATTGGATAGAGAGCTGCTGATGCCGGTGCCTTGGATGGGGCAGGGTAGTATGGGTAGGCAGCGGGCTGGTAATAGTGACGCTGGGTAGCCATGGTGACGATTGGCAACGACAGCAAGTATGCAGTGGAGCAGAAGAGGTAAGTATGAAGTTCAATGGTCCTCAATGAGGCACGGTAAAGCACGAAGGTATGAGGGTGGTATGGAGGAAAGTGCAAACGGGCCTAACTGGGAGTGATGGGAAAGGAAGAAGAAGGAAGGACAGCCACCCCCGGGCCAGACGAGGGATTTTATAGCCTTCCGCGGGGAGTCTTCTGTCCGGCGGATGCTCTCTCATCCTAGCGAGAACAAGTGTAATGGCAAGGATGCAGAGACCTCGAAGGAGCCATTGGACCACTCGGGACACATTGACTTGCACACCCCCCTCTGTGACTCCCAATGGGGCGAGCTCCATCTGCACAGTCTCCGTATCTGCCCGCCGATTTGCCTCTTGGACCGCCTTGACCCCGCTCAGTGGGAAAAAAAGACTCGATATGTCTGGGCGAGCCATTCCTCCACTAGGGCTTCCGCCGTTCCGCCGCGGCGTTGAGACGAAACCGGTCTCGATCTACGCCCCTCCAATTCTATCATTTGGGGCCAAAGCGCAGACGGGAAGAAACTGGGAATTGGGTAGAAAAAGCAATTGAAAGTGGGTTTGAGAGAGGCAGGAGGAGTGGAGTTGGTGGGAAGGCGAGTGATATATAAATGATAGGCTTTGCCGTTTCTTCCTCCCACTTTTCCCTTGAGATTTCCTTCACCTCTCGATTCCCTTTGCACCTTCGGCCTCGTCGAATTGGAAAATTTCTTCCATTTTCCAAAGTTTCTCCTTCAGAAATTGGGGGGCTGGGGAAAGGATGATCAAGGTCGTGCAGGCCGAGAGATAAGACGAACTACACAAGAACCGGTATGACAAACTATTAATCCTCCATCAACTCTCCGCATCTAACAAGTCGGTTAGTTCATACCGTGTCTATCCTTTGGATCGATGGCGTGTATAGTTGAGTCAATCCAACAATCCGAAGCAAAAGACTGATGTCTCACGGCCTTACATCATCCTGGAGCCTAAGAGCCCAAAAGCGAGGATCGCTGCAGCATCCAAGCGACTCCGGTCACATGGGGGTCAACAAGAATGTTGGACATCACTGCATGAACCAAAGAACCGTGACATTTCGGCAATTCGAAAGGGCCGTTCCTACATCCGAATGGCCCCATGCTTGTCGTTGCAAGAATGATCCCAGGGAGAAACGAGAGGTCGTGCAACCCAATGTGCGAGCAAGTCAAGCCAACCGATGAAAGGAAGAATGACGAAAGGTAAATATCGATGTTGATCCTTGTTCCTCCAAGTCTGGATGCGGCTGTTATGGCTGCGACACCACCAGAAAAAGCGCCCCCTCCCATACAACTCCACCAATAGCCATCAAAGCCTCAAAGCACCAGGGAAGACAGCAGTACTTTATCGACCAGCGACAAGCGCTCTAGACGCCCACGAAAGTGGAATCTAAGTATGCCGCTGCTCCACTCTATGCAGATGTCCGATGACTTGCTTGAGCATAGCTATGGGGCATGTATGAGGATGGGGAAAGACCCTCAATCTGCAAGGCCGACGGAAATATTAGATTTCGAGAAAAATGCCGTGCCACCCAGGTCTCCCCCATCATTGGTCCCAGCTATTTGGCTGACAGAGGAGACCACGGCCCAACTAGGGAAGCAAAGTCTACAAGGGCAGACCCTCCGTGCCTCGGGTATACTTCTGCTGCCTTGCTCTTTCCCTTATCTTCTGCCCGTCGATTCCTCCCTAAAAAGCCCCAGCCATGCATGCCTCGCAGCCTGACGACTCTATCAACCCACACTAAGAGCCCTGTGACACCCTCATTCCTTTTCCGCAAGTCCTCATTTAAGGCACTGAAGAATATCGCAGGGACCTGGAACTTCTTGATTCGCCTCGCTTCAGCGGAAAATGGCCGAGCCCCATCTCTTATTCGGCCAGGCTCGATATCGGGCAGCGCCGCAGCATGTCAACAAATGACGCGCAGACGTGGATGAGTTAAGTCTTTCTCTTGCTCGTCATAGTCTTTCCGCTATCCTCTATTCTGGTCCCGATCCGCCCCTCCTTCACCTCCTAAACAAGGCATCATCCTATTCTACGTTCGAGAACAGACACATCGTCCGAATTTACCAGTGACAACAGCCCGCTGTTTTGGTCCGAATGACGAGAGAGTCCTGGACTCCTGTCTCTACTCTCTCGTGTATATTCTATTCCCTTACTCATGCAAATAATGTGATACAGTGATCGGGGTATCATGATCAGAGTACTCACACCAACACAGCAGACAGTCATTTCGATCGACAATTCCCTTAACTTTCCCTTCCAATGCCAAAAGGTTTACACATTTCAGCTTGAAGTGGGGGGGGGGGGGTTGCGGGGATTTTCTCACCGCCACATGCAGCGCCATGACTGGCCAACTCGCTCTTCCCTTTGGGGACTTGGGATCTTCTTCTTATTCGACAGGTAAACGTGGCCATTACATCGAGAGAAGGTTACTTTGACAGTCAGACAGTGTCTATGCTACAGGCAAAGTTACGAGGTATGTATAATCTACATCCCAATGAAAATTTCCATCTCGTATATTCTTCCTTCCAGAGATCAGGCTTTTGTTGGCAGGTCTACTACCTGCTTGTCTCAGACGAAGGGCAGGTTGTTGCAATTGCTTGCACAGGGATCGGATTCCGATTGCTATGGTGTTTCTTGGTTGTTCTTCTCTGTCTAAGGGGTTCAGGTGGAAGGCTGGGTAGCAGCCTTCTGCCTGACTGCTGACTAAGATACATCACGTGGCCATAGTACAAACAACAGCTTTCCTTTCTCCGATTGGCTTGGAGTTATGAACTACTTCTGCCGGATCATGACTGATAATGAGGATCAGGGGAGTTACTGGTTACTTTAACCATAGCAGTAATACAATAGACCATCGATGTATTGAAACGATCATCCATGAGCATGCAAAGAAAGCACCGATTTTGCAAATAGACAGGTCTATGTACCAACCCGACTCCAAAGACATGCACCCTAGTCAGTGCAAAGGAAATGAAGATATAATTATTAACAAATACAGATCCAGAAGATAGTAGATAGGTGTCATGGGCTCATAGTCTGGTATCACGAGAATGTAAAAATAAGAAGCGACACGGTAAAAAGGGTTCAAAAATCAGAAATCCTGTCTGCTGGTCACAGCTAAACAGGAACCGGAGTACTGACGCCATGATGCACAGGATCGGGGAAGGGGAGATAGAAGGGGAATCTGTACTCGTGAATGGGTAAAAGCAGTCAGATGTAGTAAGTGCTCTCCGGACCCTGTGCAAATGCTGGGGGGAATGGTATCAACAGCGCGAGATCGAATTCAAAAATGCGAATGTTGCGTGAAACAAAAACACCACATGTGAGATCGGCCGCAAAAGCAACGATCAGACTCCCTTGTCTGATAAGATCTCCGTGGCTCCCTATGCAATGCACCGAATCCCAACGCACATTCCCATATGAATCACCAATGTCACTCCATAGGCCGGTGATGTACAGAAAAGGGAGCATAATAAAACAGAAACATGCTAGGTAAGCAGCACAGCAAATTGTGAGTGCAGAGAATTAGGGCAAGGAAAAAAAAAGAAAACCTGAGGCTGTCGCTAGTGGCGAGAGGCAGCAACGACCTGCTGATGCTCGGGGCCAAGTCGGTCTCGCAAAAGCCCGAGTGGTCGGCCAGGCTCGAGAAGTCCCATCAGCATCTTGCCCAGCTCATTGTGTTTGATCGGCTTGGTGACATAGTCGTTGAAACCTGCACGGGCAGCATTCTCAATCTGGTCTGTCATTGCGTTGGCCGAAAGAGCCATGATGGGAATTTGTGGGTAATGGTTCTTCTGCTCCCATTCACGGATATCGCGACAGGTATCGTAACCGTTCTTGACGGGCATTTGAATATCGCACTGCATGCCAACGTTAGTTTCGCGGATCCAAAAGCATGCATAGAAGGACTCACGATAATGAGGGAATAGTATCCGGGCTCTTTGGACAGCACCATGTTAGTGCACTCCAACCCGTTAGATGCAGTTTCTGCCATGAGTTTGATCTTGTCCAAGTATTTCAACATGACCTGGAGATTCATTAGTAAGTCAAGCCATCATAGCCCCCAAATGTCAACTTACATCGCGATTGGTTTCGTCATCCTCGACGAGCAAGACTCGATAGCCCTTGTTGCCCAAAACCTCTTTGACCATCTTCGACACGGTCTTGAAATTGTTGTTGATTTCACGTGCCATGTCTTGGTTGCGATCCTTGCTCAGCTCACGCTGACTCTGCGGATCGAAGATAGTCGAGAAAGCAGAAGGTTTCACAGGCTTTGGGACAATAAAGACTGGCTTTCCAGAAGCAGCTAGATCTTTCACCTGTGTGCTGATTTGTCGCTTTTGGTAAAGATCCGAGATAATGACAACAACAGGCGCGGGGTTTGAACCCGACACAGTCTGAATAACATCGAGAATGTCATCAGTAGGAAGGTTCAGGACAAGATGTGTGTAAGGCTCCGCATCGGGAGCAGACACCAAGTCCTTCCACTCGTCAACGTCAGGCAGCGTTGTGACCTTGAACGGGAGCTCATGAGGCACCACCTGCTCAATGTGCTGCTTGATGGCTTTTCGGGAGTTTTCCAGCGCACACAGAATGATGACGGAGAAATGGCCATGGGAAGGCACAGATACCGGCCCAATTGAGGCATCTGACGACAGAGATTCTCCAGAAAAGGCCTGGTGGGTCAACGTGTCCGGTCTCGTGACGACAGGTTGAATTTCTGTCTTCGAAACTGCATCGGAGATGCCCCCAGAGCCTTCGTTTGATCCAACGGTGGCGGCAGGGGTCCGAGGCCAATCTCCGGGGTTGGAAGCGCAGATGGAAGAGAGAAGGGGTCGGTATCGGACCTCGAAGTGCTCTGGTCCGAGTCCCTGGAAACCAGAGAGCTTCCTTGTTGGTAAGAGGTCGTCCTGGATTTTGCTGGCCTTCTTGAAGCAGTTGAGTTCTGGCGCATCAAGCTAGGCTGCTCAGATGGGGAAGGAGGGGGAGGTGCATCGACCTTAACGTTGAAAGAGAACTTTGCTCCCTGGCCCTCTTTGCTACTGGGCGTGAGCTTGCCACCATGCATTTCGACTAGTTGCTTTGACAAGAAAAGCCCCAGGCCACTGCCTGCATGCTGCTGGGAACCGTTTTCTCCAAGCTGGCTGAATCGCTGCATCAGCCGTTCTGCATCCTCGGAACTGAAGCCCTTTCCAGTGTCGACGACCTCGAAATTCAAGAATGCTTCGGTGCTACCAGGAGCCGAAGAGGGATCACGGTACATGTCACAGCAGATATGGATTTCACCTTGCGCAGTAAACTTGACCGCATTGCCAAGAAGGTTGATCAGGACTTGACGAATTCGGAATCGATCTCCAATGACCATGGATGGCAGGTCTTCTCCGATCAGGTAATTGATCTCGAGTCCCTTGTCAATGGCCCGTGAGGCGATCGTGTCGATTACATCTTCGATCATTGACCGAATATGGAACCACGACTTGACCATTGACATCTTGCCAGCTTCCACGCGGGACACGTCAAGAATGTTGTCCACCAACTCACGAAGATTGGTAGAGCTGTTCTGAATGGTGTCCAGCATTCGTCTCTGGTCGCTGTCAAGTTGGGTATCCAGGATGAATGGAATGGTACCAAGGATGCCGTTGAGCGGGGTTCGGATCTCGTGCGACATGTTGCTGAAGAATTTGGTCTTGGACTCCATCTGGTTGTTCAACTGCTGCATAGCCTTGTTGAGCTCTCTTTCGAGGTTCTTGCGATCGTTGATGTCGGTACATGTTCCGTACCAGGATGCCTCCTCGCTTCCAAAACTGCTAGTCTTGACACGAACCAGCCGCACCAAATGCCACCGGAAATCACCACTTCGAGAACGAAGACGAATTTCAGTGGAGTAGAAAACTCGACCATCTCCATCTTTCTGCAAAGAAGCTACTCCACGCCTCACAAGTTCATCAAGGGCCGACCCGACCATGAACTCGGAAGGCCCGTTGTTAGTTTGATCCGAATTGTCAGCTGTCCTATTGAGAGACAGCCCGCTGCACTTTTCGAGATCGTTGGGGTGGACGTGTTTCGCGAACCCGAGGTCGTGTGCTTCCTCAAGTGTTTGGCCGGTGTACAAATTCCACTGCTCATTGACGAAGATCAATCCGCGATTCTCCGTTGCCTCGAAGACAACCTGTGGGATCGAATTGGAGAATGCGCGATACTTTGCATCAATAGCAAACTTCTCCCTTTCTTTGATAGCCTCAAGCTCAGCAATATGCTGCTCATGAATATCCAGGAAAGATCCAATCCAATATAGAACCTCGCCTGTTGACGATAGCAAAGGATTGGCCCGAAAGATGAACCAGCGGTATGCCGATTCATCGTTGAATCTTCGGACCCTCACTCGTTCGGTGAACTGCGCACCCGTACGCAAGGCATTGGCCCAATTGCTGTGAACGTGCTCCCTTTCGCTGCTGTGGATGTTTTGCCACGGGTCACGCAGCTTCTGCTCATGATGCTGGCTTCTCCGATAAGCATCGAACTTGGAGTTAGTCCAAATCACTTCGCCAGTCTGGGGCTTTGCCAGAAAAAGGTGCAATGGTATAGAGTTGAGCATCAGCTGGGCTATCGTATCAGAGAATGGACGTGGAAGCTCCCGTTGTAGTTGGGCATAGAACGAGCTTGTAGAGGGTTGTCGTGAGGATTGCTGGGTTGGCGATGGAGCGATAGGCGGTCTTATCTCTTGCAACGGCGAGGCGACATGAGACGATTGTTCGTTGGTGTTGAATTCATCGCTATTACCCGATCTTCCGGTGGAAATCGACGCCGATAAATCAAAATTGGCGGCCGTCTTCGACTTATGGAGTCGTGGTCGGTGGGTGCTACTGTCTCGAGCACCTTTGTGTTGCGGAACATTGAAATAGCTATCCGACCCTTCTCTGGCAGATTGTGAAGACGTCCCTGGGGATAGAGTCGCGGAAAGTTGGCCAAAATTAAGTTGAGGGGTACCCAATGCAGAAACAGCAGGACTACACTTGACAGACGAGCGCTCACTTGGGGTTGTGAAGCTGGTGTGCGTTGACATTGGGTTGTTGTTGTCGCCAGCGGAGTAGCTGACATGACCACTTAGACCCGCAACGAGCTCGAGCTCACTGCTTGCATCTGAGAAGGTGCCACCGAGGCCTAACAGATGGCCATAACGAGGAGTCTCGACCTTGGAGGAAAGCTGTCTTTCAAGCTGGCTATATCGCTGAGCCAAGCAGAAAGAAGTGGTCAAATGCGGCATCAGGAATGAAAGTGACTGTCGGAGATTGGGGGGATAAGGAACGATTGTGCACAACATCGATACAATTGCAACGGGAAATCTCAATGTGGAGGAGGAATCGCGTGAAGAGTGACCGCCGTGTACGAGAGGGATGTGAATAACGGTTTTGGAGTGATCAACTCCAATGGCTTCCAGCGGGAGATTATTAGAGTAGTCGTGTGAAGGTGGGTTTTTGGAGAAGGCTCCTTCATCGACTGTGTGACTTGTAAAAAATGGGTTCTGTTCTGCGTTTGTACGAGGAGCAGGCGATGGAGCAGGAGACTGGGACCACGGAGATTGTGGCACTTGCTCGTATTCATCATACTGTCTCAACCCAGCAACACCTAGGCCTTGATGGGCGGGTGCATGTCCGATGTCCCTGGCAGGAGGGGCATCCATATCAGGAGTAACTTGCACCAAGTCGTTTGGACTGCTGGGGGACTCGGCCCAAAGCTGCGAATACTCTGGCGAGCTCTCCGAATATTCGCGGGTTAACACCGTGGGGCGGATACGCCCAAACAATCTGACCACGCCTGTTCGCTTGATGAGAGGATCCGACTCTACCTCCAATGGCCTTGGTATTGGAAAAACAGCCTGTCGCATGTCACCGAGAACTGCATTCATAGTATCATCCGTGGGCTCGAGGGACTCTCCAATCGAATGATCTAAAGAGGATGGCTTCTCCAAAGAAATGGATACTTGCTTTTTCTCCTGTTTGACCTTCGTCTTTGAGACTGGAGGTTGGTTCAGATCAGGCGGAGCGTGACTCTTGTGTTTATCAAAGCCGGCGAATGTGTGTCTGGACGTTAATGAGGGCCGAAGGGCCCCAGGGCTTTTCACCTGCTCGATTGTCTTCTCAGTCTTCTGTGATGTAAGCTTTTTGCGCGAGTGAGAATTCTCTGTCGCTCGCGCATTCTCCAGGTGTCGGGCCTGGACCTCCTCCACTGAAGTATCCACGTTCTGGTTGAAGATAGCTTTTTGGCCCCAGGGGACATTCTCCAGATCGGTCACATCCCCTGGAACAGCGAGCGAGAGGCGCTCGGCGCCATAATGAGTGTGCATTATATCAATGAGATTAGACCACCACGCCTCGAGTCCCGAATCAGCATTCAACTGCAGGGTCAGATCATACAGATCGGGGCTGGAAAAGTTCGGATCTTCCCGAATTTGCTCGTGACGAGGGGGCAAAAACGTCGGACGAGGCTCTGGAGCCTTTGTTTCCGAGGGAAAAGCCTGGGACGCTGGTGTCGGTAGCTGAGATTGTTCAGTTGGAAACTTTAATCTGAACTGCCCACCACGCCCTGTCGGCTCAATGCCCATTTTGGCTGCTTTATGCTGCATTCGTGGGAAGGGATAGGACGGGGTCTGCTGTGGTCTGCGATCCGGGGACGTTTCGACTTCGGTGGGTTTGATAGTCCCCGTTGAACCTGTGGAATCTGCAGAGGGTTGAACGACGGTGACTGGAACTCCGGTTGAACTGTTGTTGGACAAGGTAGTGGACAGACGTCTCTTTCTGGGGGTCTCATCGGAGAGGGCAGACGCGGGCTGAGTCTGGGACGAAACCTGCGGTTGGGTTTGCTGCATCTGTTGATATACAAGCAGGTCTTCCATCTGCCTTCGAAGTTCCTTCAGAGTGTGCGAACTGCGTACTTGCTCGTCATGTCCTTCGGCATCCGATCGGGGGTCTTCGGTGATCGGGGTTAAACCAATAACCTGTTCTGTGGAATCGCCGCGCGACAAATGAGGTGATTGAAGTGATGACCTCTCCAGAGCCTCCACTCTATCCGCAAGTTCGTCGACGAGTTTCTGGGATTGGTGTCCATGTGTGGTGCGGTAGCCAGGTGATCGGAGAGGCTGCGTATGAGATTGCGGTAATACGACGGGCGGAAGAGTCTCTGTGGGCGAGGGGAATGGAGGACTCCTCCTACTATGGACGTCCTCCATTCTCGCTCCTCCGCGATTGGAGGGAAAAGGAAAAGAAGGTCGCAATATTCGCGGAACGAAGTATGGGGTCACAGGAACGGAGTGAGGCGTTGATGGCTTGACCGAGTGGCAGATGGGAGGTGAAAGTGTTGGCGGGGGGGTTCAGGCCAGAAAGAAAACAGATTATGTCAAGGTAGGATATGAGGTGAGAGTTTAGAATCAGGGTAATAGCAAAAATGGAGACGAATAAGGTTCAGGCGGTGTATCAAAATATCCACTAGAGAATATATTGAAACTGGGGGGATGTTCAAGGACAACAACTCGAAATACGAAGTGTGTTGGAAACAGGCATCTGTACCCGCCAGGCCCATTGCTTGGATCGATATGGGAGTGGATGGAAAGAAGGGGAAAAGTGGACTGGGCGTGATGCATCGGCTCCGGGGAGGGGGGGGTATATGACGTACTTAGATCGTCGTGAGAAATACATAAAAACCTGGTGGGTATGGCAACTAAAGGCTTCGAGATATAATTTTGCTTCTTTTTGAGATAAAGTTGTCTTTGAGGATTCTTTATTTTTTGTTAATTTCCTCTTCTTGTTCATTCCTCTCATCGAATGGCTCTCTCTTCGCTCTATTCCGGAAAGGGGATCGCGTGGCGTAGCCCTATACGAATTACTAACTCATCTTGTACCTGGATTACTTGTACAGGATACATGTTCCTACGGTGAACTTTCTGAGGGGTCACGCGTACCTAATACTTTCGCCACGTCCAGATCCAAATTCTCATCCGAGAGGAACGGACAAGGCAACAATCTTGAAATATCGACGCAGTATGAAATATCACACTAATTCATTGTCGGACAGCCGCATTGTAGGTATCCGCGTCAGGGCACATGATCCATACATACTGTATTCATGGGTAACTGCCATACCGCCCCGTACCCAAACAGCCTCAATTACGTATGTCATCTGATGTCAACTCTTCCAATCTTAGCTTTAACTAGTGAAAACCCCTCCATGTCGAAGGAGACAGACAGAGTACATACTTGCGCGGTCTAGACCAGTGAATAAAACGCCCAGAGCTGCGATGAATCGAGATTCTTCGGTGTAAAAGACCAAATGCATGGTGATGCAGAGGCCCAACCCCCTGGGAACGAGGGGGATCGACCCGCCGACGTCAACGGGGCTCCTGTGGCGGAGACTAGTGCATGGCTTGTCAAGGGACCACCCCTATATCAAACCAAGTATTTTTAAGGCGAGCGAAAAGGATTTTCTGGGGTTCGCCGTCGGTGAACACTTTTGAGTACAGATCTTATATAGTGAAAGGGTGATACCTCGAAGCCTCTTCAAAGTTGATGTCTTCTGGAAACCCAGAGCATCCGCTGAGGATCCCTTTGATGTCATCTGGCAGAAATAAGACATTCCTACTGTGCCGACTGGCTGCCCTTGGTGCACAATGTCTGAGCTTTCTTACTAGTCTTGCGAGGCTGGGCCTTGGCATATCCCTTATTCATCTTCGGATCCCAGACGCTTGCTTACCCGACGGACATCGTAGTTGGCTCACTGAGACCCCGGCTCAGTGATATCATTGCGGAATCCGGTTTGTTCCCGCTCGTTCCTCGGTAAGAGGTATCAAGGAACTACTTAACATTAAGCTCAGGAACTTATCATTCGAGGGAGTTTGCATCCGAAAGCTGACTTGTGGGTCCCCGCGACTACGGGGAGTGCTTATGTTGTAGTATTGTACAAGATTGGAAGAGATGCCATGCATTCCAAATACTGTAATCAAACATATGTTCATTTAAACAGTGCTAGAAACGTCCGAGGGTTCTAGCTTCGCGTCCGCTAGCTGTGCGGGCTCTCGGCTATGTAGATCGTCCGTCTGGGACGACCCATTCAAACCGCGACGAGGGTTCAGTTCCTTCTGATAAACCGGCTGCTCATCATTCTTCAAGCCTGACCCCGTGGGGTCTCTCCGAATGAGGAAACCCTGCACCCGCGCATCGTGTGAATTCATCTGTTTCACGGTGCTTTCCTGGCGACTATGTAAAAAGCGGGCCGACTTCTCGTTGACCTCGCGCAAACGGCCTTGGACGCCTGTATTCATCTGCCCGATCCAGGATGCTTGAAGGGCCGTCCCAAATAGCACCAGGAGAATCATAAGCCGAACGAAGGTGCGTTGGTCGACCACATGCTGCTGCGGGCCCTGATGGCGGTTATGCCAATCCTCCCAATCTTCCCATGTAGCATTTGCATATATGTTTGGCCCTTGCGAATCCCATTCTATCTTCATTTCCGGTACTGTGTGGCTCCAGCCAAGGCCATTTCGATCGTAGGCAGCTCGTTTGATGGGGTCAGAAAGAATTTCGTGTGCCTCAACCACGATTCGGTAGCGCTGCAATCGGATTTCCGGGGTCAATTGATGGAAAAGTGGGTGATCAGTGAGAGGTCGGTCGGGATGATAGATCTTGACAAGATCATAGTAATTTCGTTTTGAGTATGTAGCGTCGCGGGGTAGGTTCAAAACATCATAGGGGCTGAAAGATCGAGTGCTCGGCCATGAGTAGTTTTGATGGGGGAACTGCGATGCAGTGGCAAAGCTCCTGTCCTTGCGAGGTGCTTTCAACCCATTGCTTGGACAGAGGTAGATGCTGGACCGAGAGAGTGGTGAGGCTGTCGAATTCAACAGTCGTACGCCTCCGCCACGGAAAATGTTGATCCACTTGAACATGATTACATGGTTTCGTGGAGCACAGCAAACTTCCCGTCGTGCTCTGCTAGCCTGAAATCATCATAAATGTAAATTCCTTTCAAGGTGAACTTGCCTCCCGAGAACCGGCCGCGGAGAACCGGCTGCGGAGTTGGTCACGTGTACTTTATTGTCGGAGCTTGATTCAGATTGACGATCTCTTGCGCAGCGCACTGCCCTTTACAGCGTGTGGCAGCCTGGGATCAGAGATCTATTCACCTATATATCGACCACTAAGTCTTTCAATATATCTCATCTTAGTGGAGTAGAAGATATAAAACACGCTCCTTGTCCCACAATCTCGTCTTGAACGCGACGATGGCTGGATCCTACGACGACCGCCGCCGGCGCTCACCCTCAGATACAACCCGCGAAAGCCGACGACGAGATGCGTCTCATGACGACCATGGTCGGAGCTCGAGACGACGCGACGAATCCCGCCGCAGCTCTCACCGGGATAGCTCTCGACGAAGATCCTCCCGCAGCCCGTCTGAAAGGACAAGCCGCAGAAGTGACCGCGATAGACCGCGCCGCGAGCGCAGAGAACGATCTACAAGCTCACCCCGTGACGACCGGAGACACCGCCATCGCAGCCACCGACACCGGGATAGTCGTCGTGAGGACGAGGGACGATCGTCTCGGAGACATCGTAGTGCCCGATCACGCTCTCGATCACCGCGAAAATCCCGCAGCCCTCCTCCGCAGGCATTGGAAAGGAGAGGCCCGCTCCCCTCGCAATCCGATGCCTTTACCGACGTCGCGCGTCCTGGTGATGAACCAGTGCCAGAAAAGCAGAAACCCAACTTCAACCCCTCTGGTCGGCTCGCAGCCGAAAGTAACACAGTGCAAGTTCAGGGTGGCGCAATTGTCTTGAAATACCATGAGCCTCCGGAGGCACGCAAACCACCGCCCAAGGAAGCCTGGCGCATGTATGTGTTCAAAGGGGAGGACTTGCTTGAAACAGTGGAACTGAGTGAACGGAGCTGCTGGCTGGTTGGCCGCGAGCGCACGGTGGTGGACTTTCCTCTGGACCATCCGAGCTGCTCGAAGCAGCATGCCGTGCTACAATTTCGATTTGTTGAGAAGCGCAATGAATACGGTGATCGCATTGGCAAGGTCAAACCTTACCTCATTGACCTTGAGAGTGCGAATGGCTCAAGTGTCAACGGCGAGGCTATTCCCGGTGGCCGCTACGTGGAAGTCATGGACAAGGATGTAATTCGCTTCGGATTAAGCTCGCGTGAATATGTTCTCATGCTGCCTCCTCCGAGCTGAGGAGAGTTTTCAACTTTGTTGAGAGCAGGACTGGAATGATGGGAAGCTACGTCGCGAATTTGAGGTGAATCAAATGGGCATTGGTATTACATTTTGCAAATACAGATCATGCTGGCTCAAAAACAATATTCGTGGACAAGAATCGAGACCTTTACAGGTTGCTCTTGGCCTCCCTGGCCTTGCCTTCGACCTCACTTGCGGCCTCCTTTGTCTTGCCCTTGGCCTCGCCCAGTACCTCCTCTGCCTTTCCCTTGCCCTTGCCTGCATACTCGGCCGCCTCGCCCTTCACTTGGCCGGCATACTCGGCAGCCTTGCCCTCGACTTCTCCACTCTTCTGCTGTGCTTGCTTGGCACCTGCGCCGACGGTCCCCTTGACCTGCTGGGCAGCTTGCTCTGTTGCCAAATATGTTAGTGTCTGTCTCTGTCGTTTATGTTATGACATCACGCAGGAAAACTTACGGCCCTTGTCGATGCCCTTGACGGCTGCATCAGAAACGGTCCGATCGGCCTTCTTCAAGGTCTCCTTGGCTGCGGCGATAGGACCCTTGTTGTATGAAGCTGTGGCTGAGATGGAGCGAATTGCCTGGTAGGCAGGAGTGGGTGCGGCGACCCGGGTGCGCAGAAGAGGAGCGAAGCGTGTTGCAGACATGATTGTGAGGATGATTGTGGATGTAGGTAGTGCGGTGGTAGAGGAATTCGATGGTTTGAAAGTGGTAATGTGGTTGAGAGATGTTTCTTGAATAATTTCCCCAGGTTAATGCTGAGCACGTCGTTTAAATACTGCGTAGGTGGGAGCTTGGAAGCTTTACCCTGTCCTTGCCGGAGCTGGTTTGGCGACGTCATCATATGATGTAGTCCACTTCTTACGTCGATCGATTGTCAGTCTCGGCCTGATTTCCAAGGTTATGTTCCGCAATCAGGTTAGTCCTCTTTTGTCGGTCACGTGAATACACCAATGGCTTTGAATCAGGTTTTGATCCTTGGTCCTGACTTTGGATGCCTCGGTAGAGAGCTTTGGGTTTATTCAAGACTCTGGCCGGACGGCGGGTCGTCAAATGCACGCGATAGCGGCCAACTGCATATTTTTCGAGCCCCGCCTTGACGACAAAGGAACCCTCAAGAAAACATTGCAATGAACCTTGGACGTACTTCCATGAGAAGAGCGCTACATATTGTACAATGTACGCCAATATGTTTCTATGAATTCCCCACTGGAGGGTCGATAGCCGTAGTGACATCGATACAATTCGCAATTCATCTAGAGTGTTTTAAGGCCAAGAACCTTGCCGCGGCAGGGGCTGCATGAATTTATGGGGACCATCTCATTCAGTCCCGGGTATGCACTATGCACGATGCCGTTCGCTGACTCGCCGAAAAACGACGACCACCTGATTCCATGCGGATACACGATTCAAGATACCTCGCTAATGCTTGAGAGTGATAACTAACCAATACCCATTGAGCCGTTATTGCGCTATCAGTTCGCACCTCCGCTTTACCTAGTGATAACCCTAAAACGCCAGCTAACCCAACAAGTCTTAGCGTGCTATTACGGACAAGCTGCGGAGAACATCGAGTTTCAGATGACTTTCACAATCTTTTAGGGATATACCACTCTTTGTTTAGGGATATACCATTTGAAATGCCAACAAAGCGACGAATTCTATCCTGTCAGCAGTGCCGACGCCTGAAGACACGATGCGAGGTACTTCCCGGCTCGAGACAATGTGCCCGGTGCATCTCCCTAAGGTAAATAAGCAGCCCCATAGAGTTGTATCACGGCTTGACCTCAGGAAAGCGGAGATTGTTGATTGCACACCATAGGATCGAATGCTCTCTTCCCACCACATCAGCTATCACTGCCCCGAGTGCAATATCTGTCGGGCGACCAGAGCTGAGTTCCAATCAGCCCGTCGAATGCCACTGCGCCAACAGGTATCTTTGATCTACTTGTACAAGTCCTATTCCGAAAATTGACTAAGAATAACCAGACTTGATGCCCTTGAAGCATCTCTCTCAGAAATGAAAGATCTACTAAAATCCGTTCTTCTGAACAAGAACCAGTCAATGACAAACGACCCCGCAACTGAAATGCTCGGATCTAGCAGCAGTCTCAAAGATATCAACAATAGCCAAGACACAAGACACGTGCCTTCGGAGGCCGATATATCGGCAGCCACTGACATCCAGCCCGCACCCATCACGGTAGTCCGCCACGTTGGAAGACTAATCACAGAGCCTGTAGTAACGGGTGAAAACGACTCACTACTGGAAACCATGACCGGGATGGGTCTGGACTCCGAGAACTTCGCCAGCGTCTTCCAGCACGGCTTCGATCAGATATCGTCGTGGTATCCATTTCCGAACGAGACTCTGACGGACCTCAAACAGAACAACCCGCTGCTCTTCGCAATGTGTTTGCTCGCAGGAATTCGAGCAACTGCCGGCCTCAACCGCTCTGATTTGCATGTCACTCTATATAATATGGTCAAAACCCATTTGGGTAAGAAAACTCTAGATACGCCTATTGATCTCTCAACCATACACGGCATGCTTATCTTCAGCGCGTGGAGCTTTGGGCCGCTTGTACCGGGTGGTAAATATATCGACAGTTGGTTGATGAGCAGTACAACCATCACCCACTGTCTGTTGAGTTTCCCTCTATCTGAGCTTGTGTCTCGCGCTGGAGTGTACGATGAGACGAGTCGTAACATGTGCAGGATGTGGATTCAGGCGTCGTTGGTTCATCTAAAGTACGTACCCTCCCGAGCCGTGGTGCTAAGAGCGCTGTCTCAACATGGATATCAAAACTCACCTGATCTGAAGATACGCGGTTGGCACTGGTCGTCCATCCCTAATACCATGCGAGCGTCTTCACCTATGGACGGAGGTCGTCAAATATCCCGGCTTTGAGACGTTTGACCAAATCATCGGAGCAGAGCTCAAGCTCTATATCCACCTGTACGAGGCCATCTATCACACTACCAACTCGGTCGATGAGGCATGGGAGAGGCTCAACAGATGGGGGCGTAACTACCTTGCAGGTGAGTATATGCATCCCAAACAAAGTCAGATTGCTTATCCTTCTCTTCTAAAAAAAACAGATGGCAATAGCGCACTGCGATGGGCCCACTCATGCTCATCTCTCATCCTATCACGATGGGAACTAGCAAAACAGAATCAAAGCATATCGCCCGACTCCCTGATCCGCACCGAGCGCATCACCGAGCTAACCGCGGCGGTTATCCGACATGCGCAGCTGGTCCTACAAGAAATCCTCGTTCTCTGCTCCGCAGAAACAGCCTTCGTTCGACCAACATACGACTACCTACTGACCGCATATGCGGGCGTAACTCTGGCAGAGTATTGCGGGAGCATATCGGATATACACGCAACGTATACGCTGATGGAGAACGTCCGGACACAGGCAAGGATTCCCAGGAGCATTGAGGGGGTGTTTAGCTGGGCTACGAATGTGGTGCGGAAGAAGGCGAAGGATATGCTGGATTCGAAATTGCCGATAGTTCCTGATGATACTTTTTACTCGTATCCTGGGTCAGTCGCTGACTGGGCGCCGTTCCGGTTTATTGACTCGATGCCTGCTTCTGACTGGGATATGCAGCAATATTGAGATATATGATCGGCGTTGGTGTCTGTTTGATTGGCGTGCTAAATTGAAATACATACACACCAGATTTTAGGCCGCCCGACATGGCTTTCCATTTCCGCTTTAGTGCTCACCCCTTGCCGCCTTTTGCTCACTGAGTAAAACTGAGCACGTCCCTGAGTATTACATAATCATTAAACTTGCTCACTGAGCATCGCGGGAATTGCTAAGGACACCCCAACTTTTTGCTAACGGCACCCCATTTCTTAACTAATACAACACCTTATGTAACCAAACCTCATCTTATTGGCTCAATTTTCTGCACGACCAAGTGGATATTGCTCAGAGAGCCACACCGCTTGCCCCTTTATCACAATGGGCCTTCGCCGCCTTCCATTTGCCCACCGAATCGCCCGGCTACTAAGGTAAACCAGCCTGTTTCAACGGATATTCATCCATTTTGGAGGCAGAACATATCACCGAATGACACTTTAGAGTATCTACTACTACTCGGACCTTAGCTACCCATATGATGATATATCCAAGGCCCAAAGATCAGGCGATTCAGGTGTTTCACGTCTACAAGGTAACAAGACTACAACTGGGAAGGAAAAGGCGCCGCCTATGTGCTCAAACTGTGGGGAAGTTGGGCACACAATCAGGTCCTGTAAGGTATAATGATTCCAATCAAGTTGTATACTATTTAAGGCATCTTAACCGTATGAAAATCGCGTGTGATCAACTTCAATTGCTGGGGTAAAGTTAGGAAGTTGGGGTGTGATTACTTAAGATGGGGTGTCCCTAGCAAAAAGTTGGGGTGTCCTTAGCAATTCCCGAGCATCGCCTGATCATTACATAAGCCGGATGAACTCCCGTCGCTCACTGAGCGTGACCTGAGCACTCTGATTTGCTCACTGAGGAGCCTGATCCCCCTCACTGAGCGTGACCTGAGTACTCTGACTTGCTCACTGAGCATCGTGGGAATTGATACATCCACAACAAAAAAATTGATAGTTAACTAATCCCAAACAGCTACTAACTACCCAGTACAGTACTATAGTTATGCCAATTATGCCAACAAATTCATGCAGTACTACTAACAACAATAGACTTCCCCACCAGTGACCGAACTAAGGCATAGGGCATTTCCTGAATAGATTTGATACGACCATTTTTAAGGTCATCAAGGGCTAGAAGGATCTTGCCCTCTTGGCTGGCTAATTCCTGCCGAGATTCAGAGCGAATTGGTGGCATGGTAGTTGGTTGAATAGGGTAGGTTCGTAGGAAAACGCGATTTTGGATGGGATGTCCCGGCCGACCGGGTGTCTACGTTAACTTGTAGTGTCGCTAGTAAAACCTGTAGTGTCCCTATCAATTCCCCTTAGGAAAAGCATTTCGCCGTTGAGGTAAGAGATTCGACGGGCAGACAATCTGGTCAATTAGTTCTAGCCCAACATTTATTTCCCACATTACCATTCCACTGGGCCGGCCTGACAGTTTGGTATAAATGGTCATCTTTAAGATCCTTTGGAGTAGAAAACTGTTTACTTCAATCCCTGGTTGAGCAGATTGTTCATTTCGTCGAATCTACACTCGACTCCCTGCCATTAGTTGCCTTTTTATTACTATAGTGCCCCCAGCCATAAATTTAGATGTCCAAATTGCCATCAAATATCGCAAGGTAGGGCTTTGAATTATCCATGATTTAACGTTACTTTGCAATAATATTGTGGAAAGATGCCAGTCCAACAGATCCTGCATCCCGCCGAGCGTCTTTTTCCGAGAAGATATCAAGGTGCGGTGTTCCAATTTGGAATCTCGTTCGACTGAGCTTTTAACCTCAATTCTTGTTCAAATTGCGGATTCAAGTTCATTCGTATGTCTTCGGGATGCAATCTGTGCTTCCAAGACGATGGAGTTAAAGAAGCCCCGAAAAATGTCAATGCAGACCTCAATGGCGGATCGACTCAACATCTTGGATGAATTGAATGGAGAAAGTAATTTCAACGCTTCCTTAGTGCGCTATCACCCCCTGGAGCTTTTCGAAAATTGTGGAGGCCATGAGGGCAGGGAAGACCTGAGGATAATCCCTTACGCTGCAGACAATACGGTATCTCAGCCTGGGAGGAGGGGCAACCTAATCCGCATTGCTCTCGCAGAAGTCACACAAAGAATGATGAGCAAGGCACTCCCAGCCCTTACCCCTAATACCGAGAAGTATAGATTGAAAAAAGCGATAATGAAGCGACACCGATCACTAGCAAGCCGTTTCCAGGCATTTGTGGACAAGTTTGGCCTCGCAATACTCTGCTTCATTCAACCTTATCACGGTCAAAATGGATCAAATGGGGGGCATTTCAGATAACAAGTAGGTTTGCTAATGTTGGTAACACCAGCTAGGTCCTGTGTACACAGTTAAGTGGACAGTTGTGCTTAACGCAATGGTCTTGTATTCTGTATTGATTCATTCATGTATGTCTGTGTGTCTAAGGGGACCTAGGGGGATATGCCCCTGGATCCCGCACGTGACACACCGGCCTTCGGCGGTCACAACGCCGAGCGGCACATACGACTGCAGGCCGCCAAGTCACAAGCGGATATATCCCGACAGCTAAGCACTTCATGGAACCTCATATGCTAAAGAGGATCAGAATCCGAGAAATAAGCGAAGCCAGCTTGAAAACCTTTATTGAGGTTCTGGATCAGTCTCAAGGTGACTATCTAAGAGTAGTGTGTGGAGCCGCCGATCCGTTGTTGCAGTACCTGGTCTATGAAAACTCTACTACAACTGAATTTGCCATAGAGCGTACTGATGCGGTGAATATTCTCCAATTGCCTAAGGACTCCGAGGAGCTGTTACGCCTACTTCAGGGCACTTCAGGGAATGCTTCCATTGCCAAAATTTGCTTGAAGCCATTCGGCGAGATCTAATGCAGTTATAAAGTTTGGGTTGAAATATAAAAATTTAGACCAAGAAGGATCTACAAGGTGACTGGTGGTCGAAGTGGTCGGCCGCCGGTTTGCGCCGAAGAGAGGTCTGGCGAATTGGGATCTCGCCCACCTCTATAACAAAGCGTAACCCTACAGCCACCAAATGCTTGCCCTTCTGGGGGTAAGGGTGACTACGTCGGGGGAGGGGAGGCTTGGATACCGCCCAGTGTATGGGAGAGTTTAGGGGGGTATTGGAGCACAGTTCTCACTCATGCCTCTCCCTCCGCATACTCCATGCTAATGTGGCACTGAATCTTCTATGGTTTTTGAGACTTTTACTTAGGGCCCGTGTTACCCCGGTGGAGCGGTACAGAATTGTGAATAGTGCGATCCCACGCATGAGGAGAGCACCGCCTGTATCTAAGCCGAAGAAAGTTTGCATAGCGCCTAACAAGAGACGTGGGAAGCTAAACCAGACTATAATAGAAACCATCAACCCTGCTCCGACGAATCACCTTTTTTCCTCTCGGAAACCCCCATGATCAAATATAACTGCACGCGGAGTACTCCATACGAAACTAACTCAACAAGCAAGACAAGCAAGACATGCGAGACGAGTGATCAGTTTGAGCCTTGAATCCGATGTTGGGGTCACAATCCCGTATCTGGCTTCTGTCAATGTCAAAAGGACGTATGACGAGCACATGCAGGAAAACGAAGATTCAGATAAATTGTCCCTTACTTCGAATTGTCGCGCTGGAACGATTGAGTTTCAAAGCCAGCCTCGATTGACTACGGAGGCTATTAAGGAGATCAGCTATGGAGATGGCTATGAAGCTCTGTGTCAAAGGAATGGAGACTTTTACCTCATGGGCTAGAGGCTTGAAGAGGATTAAGGTCTCCTGATGAGTATCTCCGGGAAAGCACGCACAGAGATTGAAAGATTGGCATCACAGCGACTCTGACCGTTCTCTTCATATCATCCAGCAGGCACTGACGCAATAAGTTCCGATCCCTCCGCCCTGGCCGGCAGGTGAGACTGATTGGCTATGGTACATGGACAACAAAACATGGCAAAGTTTTAGCGCAGTGGGCGATGGTTTAAAAGAGATAGAGGCCTGGGCCTGCGGGCCTCGGGGGCTCTGCAGCTGCTTTAGACTCACCTCAGCCCAAACTGATACAGTTATGACTAGATGAGAGAACCTTCTTGAACAGGATTTGATTTCTGCCCAAAGGATAAAGCACCCCTGCCATTTCAAAAATTTGCCGGAATGCTTTACGAAATATCGTTCACGGAGTTAGTGGTTAAGTGCGACTACTTGAGACCAAAAAAGTCTGAAGGGGAAGACCTCGGGAGTCAGAGTCATCCACCTCAAACCCATTAAAGCCATTAAAGCCCACACTGCCTTAATTCCGGCAGCATGACATTATAACCAGTCAGATGCCCCTGGATCTGAGGCAGTCTCCAGGGTTCATAGTTTGGTGGCGCAAGATGGGAACGGCACCCCCCGTTCTGTGTCCAGGTGGGTCCATATTAAGTCACACTATCACGAACCAATCACAACGGAGAACGGCACCGTCGAGTCCCATATTCATCCATGTAGTCATACACCCATGATCAACGTTGGAAGTATAGAAAATGAAGAGAGAAACCTATTTATACCCGACATTGAGACGCCTTTTGATTGAATTCTCATCATACTCATTCCCTTCAGCCTCAGCAAAATGCCTTTCTATAACTCTTACCCAGGCTTCCTCTATCGCCAGTTCTTGGTCTGCCCTTCCAAGGCCCCATCCACCACCTCCCTCCGCGGTAAGGCAGGTATCGTGACAGGGTCCAACACTGGCCTGGGATATGAGGCTTCCGCTCAGCTTCTTGGCCTTGGGCTCTCCCATCTGATTTTGGCCGTCCGAAGCATCTTCAAAGGAGAAGCTGCCCGAAAATCCCTTCTCGCCTCGCTTCCCGCCTCTGCCAAACCCCCGGTGGTCGAGGTCTGGGAACTGGACCTAGGAAGCTATGCCAGTATTCTCGCATTTGTCGAGCGCCTCAAGAAGTCCGAGATTCAGGTCGACTTTGCTCTTCTCAACGCCGGTGTTGCCAACTTCAAATTCACCATCAACCAACCCACCTCTCACGAGTCAAGTATTCAGATCAACTGGCTGAGTACAGCTCTCCTGACTCTTCTGTTATTACCCGTGCTTGATCAACAGGCCGCCAACAACCTCACCCGCGCTCGCCCGGTGATTTCCATCGTCGGCAGCGAGACAGCCGCCTGGGCCAAGTTTGCCGAGGCTCAGGTATCTACCAAGCAGGGAATTCCCCTCATTGACGTCTTGGATGATAAAGCCAACTTCGACATGGGAGATCGTTACTACACCTCCAAGCTGCTCTACCAGCTCTTCTTCCTTGAGCTGTTCCGCAACCGATCCAGCGCCCAGCGCTCCTCGGGCGCCATTCTCAACCTGGTCAACCCTGGTTTCTGTTATGGTTCTGAGTTGCACCGCACAGCTGAAGGTGCATTCGGTAAGGTTCTTGGTGGTATGAAAAGAGTTATTGGTCGCTCTGTATCCATGGGCGCTCGTACCCTGGTTCACTCATCGGTGTTGGCTGGTGAACCCTCTAACGGTAAATATCTCAGTGACAACAAGCAGGCTCCATTTGCAGGATATGGAGACAGTGATTCTGGTAGAATCACACAGGCACAGGTGTGGAAGGAGACAATATCCGAGTTGGGCTCTGTGGTTGACATGGACAAGCTGTTGTCGCAGATTTGATTGATCTTTTTGAGTATTTTGTGCTGTATTGCGTTGTTTGCTACCCTTGATCAATTTCTTGTCTTTTGTGCTTACCTAGGTAGTCTCGTATAGTTCTAAATGAGAAATCTGTCGCATTCCACCAACGGACCCGAGCCAGATGCTGACTAACCTATCCAACCCCGCCACATTGTGATTCATTGTCATCTGGAGGCGCACGAAGTTGCCCAGTCATAATCACTGCGCCCCTGAAATGACCTGATGAAGCTTGTTTTGTAGGCAATCATCATCATGCCTTCAGTGTCAGTGGATGGACTCACTCCACCCGAGCTATTACATTATCTGCCTACATATCGGGTATTGATCTGCCGATGTTGCAGCTACGCCATCCAGCCTGGTGCAGTCGCTCGTCATCTCAAAGAAATCCACCATCTTCATCATCTATCGCGTCGAGCATTCATCGACTACGCCTCCCAATTTGAACTGGATCGACCCGCTGATGTTGTCTTGCCTGATGAAACCCAGTTCCCAGTGCCGTTACTGCCCATACAGAATGGGCTAGCCTGTTCCTTTGCCCGCTGCGACCATCTTTGTGTTACAACTAAGCGCATGAAGCAGCACTGGATGACTGTTCACCACATCGCAGCCTCTGATAATGGAGGTTTCTGGGACCCTGTGCCATTGCAGAGCTTTTTCCGAGGAAATGCCTTTCGCTACTTTACTAACCCAGCGTTGTTGATGTCGATGTCATCATCTGCCAGTTCCGATGGGCTGACGAGTACTGTTAGTGAAAATGATGACCACCAGCCACCATACATAAAACTAATTTATCCCCATAGACTATTACAACCGCGGCTTCAAGTGTGAATCACGGAGAACCAAGCCCCTCACAAATGTTGATCACGACCGACGCAGGATTACTCGATCACTACCAGAACTATACCTACAAAACCCTCTCATGCGGCCCGGAGACAGACGATGCATTCCAAACAATTGTTCCCCAGCTAGGAACGCAACTTCCCTTCTTACTTCATGGCATCTTGTCCTGTGCCGCCCTCCACCTTGCTTCTATTGACCCACCCAATCGCGTATATTACACAATCCAGTCAATACGACACCAAGACCAGGCAGCTCCTGCATTCCGATGGGCAACTATGCACGTGGACAGTGATAATAGCCAGGCGGTGCTGGCTTTTTCATTCTTCCTCGTCGTCTACGCCCTAGGCTCTCAATCCACCGACCAAGCCCTGTTCCTTAGCAATGATGATGACCCAGAAGATGCGCCTTCATCAAACTGGATCGAAATACTGCGCAACGGTTGCTCCATGCTCTGTCCTGTCTGGACAGAACTAATTACTGGCCCCTTGGCACCCTTTACGACCCTTTGGCGAGATGATCTCGGCGTCACTACCGACCCCAAGGACCCGCTACTGATTACTCTACTCTCTGTCATACCAGACCATGAATTGGAATCCGCTGAAAGCTTAATATACCGCGATTCGGCTGTTAAATTGGCAAACGCTTTTTCATTTATCAAGAATTGCGGACCGTCGCCGAGTATTTGGGATGCTCTTAATTCATGGCCAATGCGTGTTTCGCCCGATTACCTGACCCTATTGAAACAGAACAACCCTGGTGCTTTACTGCTGTTGTCATACTATGCTATCCTTCTACGGCCACTTAGGGGAGAATGGTTTCTGGAAGGTCGTGTCATGGGATTGGTAGATCAAATCGCGCGACGATTAAGGGGGAATTGCTCGGCACAAATCTGGAAGGTGTTTTCTATGATGCAGGAGGAATATTTCTTATACTGAACTTATATGATTTGAACGGTTTGTTTTGAGTGATGATAAAACGTTTTACAACTACAATATGAAGGTCTATGAAATAGACGTCGAAAAGGCCACTTTGGACGCCCCAAGCAGTCGTCTTTCCACCCGTAACAAATTTATATCCTCTTGTTTTATCCTCAACTATGGGAATTACCTAGGTACTATTTGGGCCTCGTGAAAGAAACGGCAGTGCGACTACGAACAGGACCCGCATTCGCTGTCCCACCAACAATGATACGATGCCGACCAGTGGACGAGAGAGACTGGTCTGGATGGACACCGATGGAAGCGCAAGCCTGGAAAACGGGCGGATGCCTCACGTCTCCCCCGGGGACTTTGGCGAGGAACTGGGAGAGTCGGAAGGCATTCGTCCAAGCACACAGTACTCCCAAGATTGGCCGGCTCCTATGCCCGGAGTACAATCCCACTTGGGGACGAACTACGGCGATCACCGGGCCGAAATAGAAATGTCCCACATGCTTAGCGTGAATGATAAGCCAATCGATTACTCTGCTTATTTTCTTCTATCTTGCAGGGAGATAGCAGTTTCAGCTTGTTTGCTCGGGAGACAAATAGTCAAGAGAGAGAAATGAAGGTTCTTATCTGACCGACGTCAAATAGCCCTAAAACCAAACAACCTTGTCAACAACCTCCTGTTTCCACTCCCCATTTTCCCCTTATGCGCACCCTTGTTTCAGGGTCGAGATCAGCACTCGAAACCCCATTATCCGTTTTCTCCACTTCCACCCCACCTAACATCTCCCTCTGTTGTACATCTACTCCGTACACATCACCATGTCCAAGCTATCGCGGCTCCATCAGCTGCTGATAGTCAAGCGGACCGAACGAGATGGCATCACTCGTCCAGTTGACATGTTAGACAATGACTCCATCCGCCCGACACCAGTACAAGACCGAAAATGGAACCAACTCACCTATATCATGTTCTGGTTCTCGGCCACGGCCAATGTCAGCAATCTCTACACAGCATCCACGGGAATGGCAATGGGATTGACCATGTGGGAAGCAATTGCATGTTCATTTAGTGGACAGATTCTTGCCGGCTCATTAATGGCTCTCAATGGTCGTGCTGGTGCCATGTACCGCATTCCATTCCCGGTCCTGTGTCGGTCTAGCTTCGGGCATTGGGGAGCACTGTGGCCGACTTTTAATCGTGCGGCTATGTCGGTTGTGTGGAATGGTGTGAATACCGTTCAGGGTGCGCAGTGTTTATAGTGAGGTTTTCCTCCTCAAGGTAAAGGAAAAAAGACAGCTTGTTAACCGTTCGTTTCCCAGTGTCTTCCTCCATGCCATATTCCCAAGTATCGAGAATATTCCGGATAAAATGGGGTCTAAATCCGCCCTGACTTCAGCACAAATGATGTGTTTCTTCGTCTACTGGTATACTTCACTCATCTCATACTCCCAATTGCTTACAACCAAGCTAACCACCCAGACAGGATAATCAACTGTGCATTCCTGGTGGTACCCGTACCAAAAATGAGAGCCCTAGTCTATATCAAAGTCGTCATCTACTTTGCCGCGGCCTTCGCCATGGTAGGATGGACCGTATCTCTCGCGGGCGGTTCACTAAAAACCCTCAACAACCCCTCCGAAGTCCAAGGCACAGAAAAAAGCTATCTAATCTTCAAATTCGTCTTCCTGGGCCTCGCAAGCTGTGGAACATTCATCTCCAACGCCTCCGATCTCCAACGATACGCCACAAAGCCGAACGACGTGCTCATCGGCCAAATCGTCAGCTTCCCCCTCTCTAACCTCCTAATTGCCGTTCTGGGTAATCTCATCGCATCCGCCAGCAAAGCTATCTTCGGAGAGGTTTGTCCTTGTAAACCCCTAAGCCCGCTGAACCAAACTGACCAAAAGCAGCTCATCTGGAGCCCCTTGGTCTTCCTGGACAAATTAATGGAAGGCGAACGATACACCTCCGGCAACAGATGTGCCTGCGCATTCATCGCACTAGCATTCGTCTATTCGACCGTCTTCTCGGCCATCTTCGAGAACTCCATTCCGTAAGAGCTCTTTTCACCAATCCCAGCAATCATCTCCATCTAACAAGTCTAGTGCGGGCAACGACATCGCAGCCCTTCTACCAAAATACATCACCATCAAACGCGGTTTCTTCATCTGCGCTGTCCTCTCCTACGCAATCTGCCCCTGGTACCTCCTCTCAACAGCCTCAATCTTCATCACCTTCCTCTCCTCCTACCAAATCTTCCTCTCCGCAATAGCCGGCATTCTAATCTGCGACTACTACCTCATCCGACGCGGTCTCCTCAACATCCCATCCCTCTACGTGTGCCGTCCAAGCCCCTACCGATACTACCACGGCTTCAACCCACGCGCCTTCCTAGCATACATCGTAGCGGTTGCGCCGAACTTCTACGGCTTTCTTTTCCAAATGGGTGTGAAGGCGCCGCTGGGAATACAGCGGTTCTATTATGTGGCTTATCCGACTGGATTGTTTATTGGGTTTGGGGCTTATTGGTTGACTTGTTTGGCTTCGCCGCCGGAGGGGATGAAGGAGGTTTCGGGGTGGATGGAGCCGAAGGATTTTGTGGAGGATCATGATGGGTCTAGCTCTGGGTATACTATTCATGCTGTTGAAGTGGAGAAGGGGGCTGTTGAGGTTAGTAAGGAGGCGTATGATAAGGGGTCGTTTTAGGGTTCTTCAAGGTATTTTTTTTTTGTAATCTCTCTGAATTCAAAAGCAATGGTGAAAATCTATGACCAACACCTTCTGACAAGCCTGTAAATGCTATGATCTTGAACAATAAACTGGACAAAAACTCCAGACTCCGGTAAACACGGTTTGGGGTATCACCAAGCCTCCAATTGGAAGCGTTATGCAAATCAGACCACCAAATAACAGATGCAGGATGATCTATGACAATAAAACAACATGAGCGCACACCGTGTATGCAAATGCAAAGTCCCACAGGAAATAATACAAAGAACAAAAACGGAATAATCACCACCACCACGAACTCGATACACTCGGTAGCTCCGGACCAGCCAAATCAGGACGCGCGGGTGAGCTCCTACCCCGTCGACGTCGACGCCTCCATACTATCGGCGGGGATGGGGAGACATGGACTTGGCCCTCATGTTGGACTAAACCATACCTCCTTTGCCGTGCTTCTCGAACATCAACGCGGTGTCCGCCGAAGTGTATGAATTGCCCGGATCCAGCTGCTGGGGCCCAGCCGCGGTCAATCGTATTCACAATCTCGTCCAATGAGCCGAGTTCTGTCGGGGAGCCAGCTGCTGGGGCCCAGCCGCGGTCAATCGTATTCACAATCTCGTCCAATGAGCCGAGTTCTGTCGGGGAGCCAGCTGCTGGGGCCCAGCCGCGGTCGATCGTATTTACTCGCTCATCCAATGAGCCGTGTTCTGTTGGGGAACCGAGGTACATCGAATCGGGCTGGGTCGCATTAGGCGTTTCCTGTCTCCTGACAGTCCAGATAGTGGGCCCGGTGGTGAGCTGCTGCTGTTGCATCCTTGACACACCGGGGACCGCCTCGGGGGTTCCTTGGAAGCCCGGAGTTGGTGGTGAGAATTGCCCCGGATGTCGCTCCGGCTCTATGCTCCATGATGGCGGGGAGTACCCCGGCGAGTTACGCGCCGACGGCTCAGGAGTTGGTATCGTCTGCTCTTGTGCAGATCCCACTGTCATGTTGGGTTGAAGCGGTCGAGATAACGGTCCTGGCATAATGGCCGATGGATGAGCAGGTGCTGGAGAGGGCCTCAAGGGTCGTGATTGGATGAATGGTGATAGCTGGGCCGATGCTCTGCGACTGGGAGAGGCGACGGGGATTTTCTCATCGTATGAAGAGCGCTGTTGATATGGAATGAGACACGGCACACTTGCAGACATAAGTGATGGAACCTCGAGAGGTGCCAAGGAGCCGCGCCGTGACTCACTCCGGCTTCCAGGTGCAGTGTGAAAGTCAGGACCGCTATAGTATCCATGGAAAGATTCCGGGTCACTGAAGGTCGATCGACCCAGAGACTCGCTCCTCGTTTCGTTGTCTAGCCCATGGGAAGGCGGGGACAAAATGGGGATGAGCACCTCACTGTCGAGAGACTCAGTAGAGAGTTTCACCTGCAAGCCACTTGCTGAGTCCACAGTCCGGATGATAGGAGCAGATGGTGGGCGCATCGGTGCAGACTCTGCCTTGAGTATCTGGCGGGATGCCACATTCGCATATGTTGGCTTGTTTTCTTTATTCGATACAGCCTCTGGAGCTTCAGGGGGCAGTTGAGGGTTACTAGACCGACGCACTGCTGCCAGCGCCTGTTTGGCCTGTGAGGCGAACACCGACGAGTTCCCTATCTCCTTTGCAGATGTGCGACTTGTTGACCCTTTTCCATGAACCGAAGAGAGCCCCACCAATGGCGTGTCCGATTGGCCACATCGGAACGGTCGCAGGCCCTTGTTGCGTTGCTTCTGTTTGTCCTCGTTGCCTGACATTCGCTTGGAATCTCGATCGACCAGATGCCATTCGGACAAACCACTGGCTGGCGGAGAGATCGGCGGGGGAGGTGGTTCATCTGGTTTCTCCGTGGTGTGGCTTATCTGCATTCCGGGCATTCCCTCCGCTATTACTTCTGCATCGGACTCATAGCCCTCTTCTGATTCATCGTCAGTTCCAGCCTGATTGAACACATGGGGTGGGAATAGTTCGATTGCAAAGCGCGGAGCTGGCTGAGCCAGTTGGTCGGACTCGGGGGGTTCCGCTCGAGGTGACCCTGGAGCACTCGAGTCGAATGTGTCCCGGCGCGGCGATACATCTTCTGCTTCCGTCGGAGAACCAGGGGACGATGACGAAGAGCTACTTGAACGGTCAAACACGGACCTTTGCCGTGTGAAATCTTGCGAGGAGCTCGGAGATAGGGACTCTATTTCCCTGCTGATGGTTTTCATTAAATTCCGCAAACCATCTCGTGTCACGCCAACAATGTGTGGGTGTGAATTCATGGCCGGTTTCTTTGGAAACAACTCAAGGAGCCGTGAGGCATGTGTCTCGTACTCACGGTGGTCACGGACAAGGCCGCACGTTTCGTCCTGAGCCATGCGTTCAACGGCGGCTTCATACGAGGTGGTGAGAAAGCGAGTGGCAACAATCAACCAAGCATCGTAACAGCCAGGGTCACTTGGGTTCATGATACCCTTGCTCTCTTCGTCTCTGATGCGCAACTCATCACGGCAGAATCCCTGCACCACGCTGTGGATCTTGACGACATCAACCGCCGATTGATGTTGGTACATCGAGAAAAGCTCTTCTTGGCTGCTCTCCGTGGAAGAGTGGGAGGTTTCAAGTGCCTTCTTTGCTTCTGGGCTCCCATCATCGTCATCACAAGGTTGCACGAAAGACCTCGTCCCGAGAATCCCGCTGGCGGAAGTCCGCTCGATCAGCCCATGGCGGATAAGTGTCCCCAGAGTGGTATCCAGATCAGGTTCATCGCCTAGTTGGGCACTGGTCTGGATCTCCAGGTTCTCGTTGGTCATAGCAACTCGGCCAAGATCCAAAAGACCTACTGGTACCTGGTGGCCGAGAAACGAGAGAAGATTGATCAAATGCAGCGCCTGACTTTTCTGCAATCGAAACAGATCACCCATGATACCCAAAAATGGCTCCGCAAGCTTCTTGTCGGTAAGCTGGGATTTAAACCGATATTTTTCGATTGGTTTACCCGTTGCCTTGAGACGATGTCCAACGGCACGGATCGCCAAAGGCAGACATTCGAAGTATTCCACGATACGGATGGCCTTTCTTTTTTGCCGGGGTGTCGGTATTTTGATTCCCAGATCCTTGAACAGAAGCTTGCAAGCGTCTTCCACATGCAGAGGCGAGATCTCCAGGCCGTAAGGTTCGTACAATCGTGCCTTTTTCCGAAGCGTTTTGTCAACTGAAGTGTAGAGAATACTACATTGCTTGCTCCAAGGCAAGATATCTCTGAACTTGTTGATATCTTCATCGTAATCAAACGTCATACCATCGAAGACCAGGAGCCAATTTTTTCGGGACTGGAGCCAGCTGCGAACCGCGTTCACGTATCTCTGTGTTTCATGATATGCAGGAGAGAGCTTAGGCTCGACCAGTGTGGCTGCTTGCGCAATCTCCCAGAAGCACTTATACAAGGACTCGCGAGACTTCGCGTCGACCCAGAAGATCCCACCAGGGTAGCAGTCGCGCTTAGCGAACACGTACTGGCGCGCTAGATGTGTCTTCCCAGCGCCTGGGACGCCAAAGATTAAAACAGACATTGTATTTTCTAGACGCGCCTTCGCTTTGAACAAGCGAACGTGGAGCACTTCGAGCTCTTTCTTCATTCCGAAGAACGTATCATTGGGATGAAAGCCCGGGGGGGCCACAAAGAGAGGCTGATCTCTGATAGAATGGCGCGAAAGCTGGAGTATTCCACTATTCTCCAAATCTGATACTGGGGAGTTCCTGCCTTCAGTGGCAGGCGCACGCGGCAAAGATGGTAGATATTCGCCTAAGAAGAAGTCAGCCAAAGTGACTCTTAAAATGTCCTGAGACTCATATTGCATGCATGGATAATGTCAGCTAGTTGAGGACATGTGATGAGAGCCAACTCCGAGAGACAAGACCAGCAAGCTAAGTACAAATAAAGAAACCACAGTCTGAGTTGAATCACAAAACAAAAGGCTAAAAGCGAGCGAACTGCAATCGCCTCAAGAATAGCAAATGCCAAATGCTAACGTAATTCATCATAAACGGCCGGGTCCATAACCTCTCGATAAGCAGGCTCCTCAATCTCATAGTCCCTCAACGTGACAATCTCTTCCGGTGCAGGGAGAGCCCTACCTGTTCTGTTCAAGTCGGGCATGCTTCGATTCGGGGGGTCCTCTACCCTTGCTGTAATGTAAATTCAGTATAGGACATATTAAAGAGTAACAGTCATGCAAGACTCACCGTCATAAATCTCTCTCGCTTTATTCTTCTTTTCTTGAACACGAAAGTTCTTCTCTGCCACCCAGCGATCTGCGATAACAGCAGGAGCCTGGGATGAATACCGCAGAACAGCTTCTGCTACAACCTCATAGCCTGGGGCGTTCTCATCGTCAAACTTGCACATATGGCTGTGATCGGCTTCTATTCCCGCACGCTCGACGCCCGCCATGTACGGCGCAGCCGAGTACTCGTCCACGATCACCTCTCGAGTACCACGCACATCAGTGGATCGGGTCTCATGGAAGAAGTAGATGTGGAAGCGGTCCATGATATCGACGAATAGACTGTTGATATGCTGAAGAGTCTCATTGTTTGTCCGCAGGGCCTTGATAAGCTGCGAAGACGATTCCATAATCTTCTTCGGCAGAACAGCGTTGCAGATATTTTGCAGCAACAGGCCCCATTTCGCGATATCAGACCCGTTGTGAGGTGTTCCGAGAAAGAGAATGCCAAAGGTCGATACGTATATTGCACGCAGATGCTCAGTCTTCTCGTTTGAGAGACTCCGGGAGTAGATCAAGGCACGTTTCACAATGAGGCCGCCCAACGAATGGCAGATAAAGATTAGTGGCCGCTCCGAGCAGCCTCGGAGCTATATAACCGGAGCAAGGTTAGTCATTCAGTTTGATACCAGCGGACAGCGAAGAAGAAGGGATAAAAGCATATATAGAAAGCAAGAACAGACCGAAAACAGACCGAAAACAGACCGAAAACAGACGAAAGGCCACACTTACATTCCGGTTTGCCGCCAGACTGGAGGCGAAGGTCTCGGCATGACTGACCACGGTATCCCGCGAGGTGCCATCGGTGAAAGTCACGACATTGGCGTTATAGCCGTACGTGAGGATTCGCGGACGCAGCTTGGCAAGAACGTCAGGAAGCAAGTCGGTTGGCCAAAAGCAACCGGTGGACTTGCTAGTCCACGTATCATGAGGGTGGCCATTCAGACCGTGAACAAAGACAATATCAATCGTAGCATCGTCGTGTGGACCGTAAATCTCCGTCAAGCCCGTGGGCTTGATGGCCTTTGCGTCGGCAATACTGGGCTTGCCCATGGCAATGTTTGTAGGACGACAAAGAAACACAGTTGAGATTGCTTGCCGTAGGCTTGAGATAGAATAGTTGAGAAAGAAAAGATCCTGGATGCAAGGAAATCCCGCTCTTAAGTGAACGCAGCTGACCCTTCTCGGCGTTGCAACTTACGCCTAGTTAGGCGAGTGAACGGGGGCAGTGGTCCTTCCCTCTGACCCAGGTCATCGGACCATGTCAATGCAGACCCGGACCTTTCTGTTCGTGCATCGGCGTTGAGTCCCGAACGACGGGCCGCGTGCAGATTATTCTGGATCTAAACGTTTCTGCGCCTTGCGATGTTTGGCGTCCTGGTCGGATTGCTCATTGGCAGTTGGCCCGTCGGGATCTGGGGTCCTCACACAGCCCTGTCGGATCGGGTAAGTTGCCAGGTACCGCAACACTCAGACCCCTCTAGGCTTCTTCAAGCTATGCCCGGGGTAATCCTAGATTTAATTGCATCATAGGTTGCTGAGTATGCCTTGCGCAGATATGGTGGCCTGTAAGTGAGTCATATACTCGACCATGGGAGATCTGGGGATTATGGGGGAACACAACGCTATTTTGGTCAAAAAAGCATATTGCCTCGACTTGAATGCCCATACTGCCGTACATACCTAACTGATATTGCTAGTTGCATGCTACATGCACGTGGCTTACACAGATAGTCAACGACGTCGAGGTGGCCTTTTCCCTTAGCCTTTACGGTCAGAACTATGGACCTACTAACAACCTAGGAAACTGTTACTCACATCGGCTACCACAGTATCTTGTAGATGCCGAATCTAGGCCAGGCGGAAGCCCTGATAAAATACCAAAAAAGGAATAGCCAAAACAAATCGCAGCTTCAAACCGTGGAAATCGATATTTCTTATTCAGAATAGAGTTGTCACACTTGGCCTACCGTGGAACGTCGATATCGAGATGCCTGTAAAGGATAGCGAGGGCAATCTACTATGACAACTCATTCGGAGTCGCCGAGTAAATGATTTGCATCATTGCATGGAAGCTTTTTGTCTTTGTCTACATTGCCACTTTGAGTGAACAGCCCTCATGATCGGGGTCATATTGCCCACCTGATACATTGGATCACCGGTATGTGGGGTATTAATTTCATCCAACCTTCTGTTTACGGGGTAGAAGTGAGACTGTTCTAAGTATTCGTTTTGAAGAGCATAGAGCATACTGGGTAATTGATGTCATTTCATTTTGATAGCTAACAACTATATCCTTGCCACATAGTTCGTCTAGACCATGTCACCTCTATATAGTCCCATCACCATGTATGCCTCTACTCGAATCACAGACAGATTATCGACCACGGAACGCCGGCTTCCGCTTCTCGACAAAGGCGCGCAGCGCCTCATACCGATCCTCTGTCTCGATGACACCCTCGTAAGCAGCATTCTCAGCCCGCTCACCAAGAGTCCAGGCATCAACAGCCTGCATCGCCATCTTGATAGCAATCGGACCACCTTCACAGATATCCAGCGCCAACTTGATACTCTCGCGGAGCACCCTCTCGCGCGCAACGCCCTCCTGCGCCTCTTCCTCAGGCAGCACCTCCACAAGCCGGTCACAAAGTCCAATAAAGTAGGCCTCAGGACCCGTCACCCGGCGACCGGTGAGAATCATATCGCGGGCGCGGTTGACACCGACAACGGCAGGGAGACGGTATGTGCCTCCAGCACCGGGGATGATGGCAAGACGAGTTTCTGGGAGGCCGACGGCGCTAGACGAGGCGAAGACGCGCATGTGCGTGCACAGCGCGAGCTCCAGGCCGCCGCCCAGTGCCATGGAGGAGACTGCGGAGATGGTGGGGATCTGGAGGGAGGCGAGGTTTTTGAATGTGCTGCGAAGCTTAAGAAGGAAGTCTTCGGTCCTGCCATTGAGGGTTGCATGGTTAGCTATGTTCGTGTATCGGGCACCGGGCAACGGGCATTGCATCGGGTGCAGGGGGCGCTTTCTCACTCAGCCTGGGACATCTTGGCGCGTTCTTTCAGATCTGCGCCGGCGCAGAATGCTGAGTCGGCGCTACTCGCTAGAACCAAGGCGCGGGTAGGTCCGTTGCCACCTTCCGCGGCGATGGCGTCCACATGCTTCGCGAGGGTGTCGAGCAAGTGCTTCGAGATCGCGTTACGGGCTTGGGGTCGGTTCAGCTGTAGTACGCGCACATGCCCTGAGCCTGGGGCTGGGATCTGCTGGGTCTTGATGACGTCTTCATCGGTGCTGGTGCTGTAGCGCGAGATGAAAACCCGGGTAGGCACTGCGGTCACCCGGAGGTGCGCAAGGGGAGCGGAGAGGCGGACGAGGCGCGTTGACATGACGGTTGCCATTGTGTAGGGGTCAATTTAGAGATTGAGTGGTATTATACTCAATCACGTATCAAGAAAGGGGAGAAGATGAGGTTGGCTCATTGAGAAGCTAAAAGTTATCCGGGTGAGGTTGTTCCCGGAGTTCGGGTGTGGGGAAAGCTCGACCTCAAGGCCGGCGATTGCCGAGCAACAGTACTGTGATACACGGGGTTGGTAAATGGGGTATCATGTAAATTTACAATGGACTAAAATACAATATTATATACACAGGACACTCATTGGCAATATTCTGCAACCTCCGCATCACTCGGCCAGTTCCAGCCTGTCCGGCTGACAAGGTCGTATGCCTCTGCGACCAGGTCCGACGGTACCCGCGTGTCGATCCGTGACTGTCGTCGTTCCAAGAACACTCTGATTGCCACAAGAGTCTGGCGCATCATTTTATCTCCATTTGAACGCTCGTCTGCGGCTTCTTTGAGCATATCAACTGACTGGCTCATCCATTGCAGCAGATGTAACAGCCCTTGATCATCCCCCACGGACCCCAAGGCCCGAACAAAGGCATGCAGCGTCGCAGGTGATGGGGTTTGCAGCATCGAGGGGACATTGAGCTGCGCATTAGAGCCATTCCCTGTTGCAAAGACACTTCGCTCTGCGTGCACCGAGGTCTTCGAGGCTGGGAGAACCAGATGATCGAACTGGTTCTTCAAAACATGCAGGCCATGCTGCAGTAAAGCGTCAACATCGTCGTCGCCTTCTTTTATGGCCTTAAGACGACGAATGCGAGCATTATGAATCAGCGAATAACTCTGTTCAGCAGTGCCAGGGTGCTTGAGGGCAGCATCAATGGCTTTTGGGAACGTCACACATAGGACACGGAATCCTTCCTCGCTGAGATTGATATCATGCTGTCGCATCCAACCTAATGCTTCGAGGGCTTGGTGCCATGAGAGTATGCGCGTAAGGCCTCGGCTCCTTGGTCCATGAGCCCTGTTGGGGCGTTCACGAGTTAGGGCAGACAAAATGTGGGTCCAGGTCGGGGTGTAAGGAGCTCGTCGCAATTTAGCCAATTGAATCGCATGCCACAAAGCCCTTGGATAGTGTTGACACCCTGGGTTCTCTTCAAGATATGCGAAAAGGTTTAACTTTGGACCAGTTAAACAATTGGAGGCTATCAGAGCCGGGAAACGCTCAGCTGCGAGAATATTTTGCTTGCCGATCTCAGGGCTGGCGATACCTGAGTGCATGCACAAGAATTTGATGAACGATCCAAACACCACGTCCGGGAATTCCTGGAAAGCATCAAGGTCCACCGTCTGGTAATCGCCAGGCTTAGCCTGTACGGTACAGAGCGCCGCAATTTGCGCGTCTGTCAAGGCACTGCATTGGAGATAATGCAGTCCCGATCGTAGAGAGGTTGCCGATTGAAGAAGCAAGCTCAAAAATCTCCCGGAAGGCCGAAGTCCTTGTGAGCACATATGGTCAAGGAGCTCATCCAAAGTCGGGGGTTCCGTGGCCACATAGATGATATCACGCGCAGAAGCTGGTTCAGGGTGGACCTCGCGGCCATCACCTGGCAAAACGTGACTCATTGAGTCAAAATTGTTTCTCATTGCGTTTCGTCGGTATATTAGCTTTTCGGCCATTGCAGCATAGATAGCACCCTTCGGAGGAAGACCTTGATCTTCGTATGAGAGAAAGCATGCCCAGGCCTCACGGACAGTCCTCGTGGAGCGAATTCGGGCCACCCAGATTTCATGATGGTTGGGGTCGGATCCATTTTTGTCCGGTAAGGCCTGCGGTCGACGCATCATAGCCCTAGTTTGCACCGTCGGACTGCCATCTGTATCCCAGCCAGCCAAAATGGAAGATATATCCTCCCAAAGTCGATGAGAATATCCAGCGTCTTTCATTTGCGAAAGAACCTGCATCGCACGACTGAACATCCCTTCATTCCCGCGCTGCGAGTCAATTCCCAGTTTTTCTTCCTTCCACGGAGGCCATGACGGGGCCTTTAGTTCGGCAGACTGCCGCTCTTCGAATGTTTTCTTGTGAGCCAGTTGGACTGCGACGACTGCACGATATCCTTGTCTTGTGACAGGGAGGACAGGCTCGTGAGTGGCCATAGCTCGGAGGAGTTCGAATTGCGCTTGTTGTTGGATAGACGTTGAGCGATAAGGAGCGATGTTGGCCGGCAAGGAAAGCAACCAGAGACAGTCATTGAACTTGGCGGTCTTGACGCGATCATCATGTCGTCTCGCCAGTGTTGAAATATCTTTCTCATCCCTCACAACTGACAGAAAACGAGCAAATGCACGTGCAATAGTGAGAAGCGCTTGTGGCCACACGCGCCGAGCATGACGAATCAAGCGGACTACCAAAATCATGCAGGTGCCAGAGTCTATTACCGGACGGAAGTCCGCTAGGGACGGCTGATTATCATATTCAAAGCCTTGACCAGGGTCTTCTGTGATATAAAACGGCTGTCCGCTCATGAGATGTAGAGAGTGGATCAACAGCAAACGGAAAGTGTGGGAGTCGAGGTTCTGCTGTCTCAACAGAAAGAGCGGGATGAAAGGCGGAATGTTTGGACTACAAGCCCCGGACTTGGCTCGGTCCATTTCGAATGAGAAAAGCCGCAGCATAGCTTCGTGGGAGTTCCGGCTCTTCATAATCCAGGCCCAAGCAGTCACATCGGTAGCATCATAGCCACGCGACGTTAGATATGCACGGCTCGTCGATCGGAATACTTTTTGGAGTGCAATATCCAATTCTTTTTCCTGCTGATTACTCGAACAGAGTAACGGGTCGACATCTCGTATATACTCCCCAAGTATGACCGGCAGCGATGGCTTTTTTGGTCGACCAACTGTCTTCAACTCGCTGTGCGTCTGAGCTGCATATCTGGAGCCAGCCCGCTGAAGCCCCGCTGATGGACCAATATACCCAAGGGCATGACCACTGTTTCGCAAAGCTTTTGAAAGATATTCGGTAGGCTTCGGTTTCACTCTGATGGTGGTGGCTTTATCGGCAACCTCTTCCCTTTCAATTGAGCGATCCCCCAAAATTTGTGACCTCGTTGAGCATTGCGCGTGCAGTAGCGAATTGGATAGCTTTTCTTCGATTTGATTGTTTTCCGAGGATGGAGGATCAATTGAAATTGGCTCGAGCACATTAAGGAACGCTGTGGACTGGAGCGAACGGAAACTGCCTGGACTCGGGCTGAGGAAGTCGTTGCGCAAATATTGTAGGGACAAGTTGACGCCACAATGATATGTCTAGAATAAATCAAAATCATCAGCACTGTACTCTTGTCAATAGAGTCAAGCAATAAGTACATTCGATAGAGCTCTATTGGGCAGGTATGCTCTTAGCCGCGATACTCCCGAAAGGCTTCGGGCATGCTTGAAAACTGATGACATCCATGAACGTAGTCATGGGTGAAAGTGCCTGAACGCCACAGACCCATTCAAAGCTCAAAGAGTAATCGGTCTGGTGTCACTGTGAGGGATGAGGTAGGGTTAGTTACTGCGTAGGAAAATACGCGTTAACTCCGGCAGAAATTGAGTGCACGTGATGATCGTCAGAATGCGCGCCATCCCGAAAAGCGCAGCCCGTGAACGTCTTTCTCCAGCAAAACAGAAGAACACAACCTCATTCCTTCGAGGCTTATTGCATTGATCATTCTTCTGAATCTTCGATTTATATTGATGATTTTGATCACTTCATATCTACTGCTTTTGTTGTGGTGACGTGAACCTTCTTCTTTTCTGCCCTCGCTCTTCGCGACTCCATCGTCCCTAAGGATTGGGCTTCACGCCCTATCATCGAGACTACTCGAACCCCGATTCCTCCTTGAACCGAGAACCAACCCCAACACTGGATAACCAGTAAATATTCAATTTCTGGTCGCCTTTCCTGGATCTTTCCTTTCAGCTTTCTCATTTGTGGACCCATCCTGTTCCCATTGGAGGGGACCGTGTTAGAATAAGTATCGCCAACCTTGAACCCGCCCGACTTCGCAACAATGAGTGCAGACGAAACTCCAGACGCGACCCCTATGTTCGCCACAAACGGCGAAGGCCTTCCTGACCCTACCGCAACTACTGGAAAACGGAAGCGCTCCACTCAAGAAGACAAACCGAGCACGGATTCCAGTGCCTCTGCCGCACGCGATCGAGTAAATTTACATGAATCTCTTCGCAGCCTCGTTGAGCTTTTGTTGAAGTAAGTTTATTTAGTATTGACGATTCTGGGTCTTCTCGCTAATCATCAACAGACATGACACCGAGCTCCAACTCCTGTCCTGTCCTTTCCCAAGTACAACCACCAAGCCTCGGACGAAGCGCGCAAAGGTTTCCGGTGATTCTGAAACGTCCAATATACGAACACGCGTCAATGCGGACAAATACAATACACTTCAGGAATTCCTGTCCGATATCGAAAGAGCATCAGCTGCTGTAATTGAACGCAATCAAACCCCGCCTCATGGCGCGACAGACGACGGCTCGCCTCTGACGGAGGTGGTCAACCGCATCGCAGCATTCAAAAAGCACATGAACAGCTTAATCGGCCAGTCGTTCATCAACCAGGCCGAGGTCAAGACCGAGGCCGTTGAAGACGATGCCGACGAATCGGCAGAACGTGACGCGATCAACATCTGCCCGCGAGAGGATAAGCCGGCCTTGACACTATTTGGGAATCCAGCGAATCCCAAACAACTGTTCTCGAGTCTTCAAAAATCGGTGAAGGTGCCGTTGCAATCCGAATCGGGGCCTGCGAAGTTTATTGAGGTGCAGGAGGAGCTGCGTGAAGTTGCCTTGCCTAATGGCATCTCAGCCACCAAGGTTATCCCTTACAATCTCGATGCATCGCAACTCCCAAAGCGAACATTTGGGGAAGTGTTCGCACCACGTGAGACATTGCCCAAGCTGGAACCTCCCCGCAAACGACCTCATCCCGCTACTTCGGCCACATGGTTGGATCGATTTGACGCCGCCTTCGATGTCGGCACATTCCTAGGAGACCGCAGCAATTATTGTCTAGCGTCTCTACCCACAACCGACTGGCTTCATTATGGATCGGTCACAGCGTCACCGGCTTTCTGGGACCGTGTAGAAAATCAGAGTGCTGAGGCAGATATTGTTCACAGGCATGGCGATCCTGCGCTTTGGACTGGTCCGGATTCGTCTGCTTTCCAGGGTGTATTCTCGTCATTTGCGCCGACTTACGACAGCTCTAACGCAATTGTTCAGGCTGCTTCAAAGAACATGGTTTGGTGGGGTCGACGAGGTGCGAACCGTCTGAACAAATTGCTGTCGGTCCCTTTGGAAAGCGGCGCGGAAGAAGCCGCTGCGCAGAACGAGACGCAAACTGCCCAGCCTGGGAACATTGGTGAACTTGATGAGAGCATCTTGGATGAAATGGTTGCCTCATTCAATGCCGAAGACTTTGCCAGGAACGTTACCGACCCCGACACGTCTGGCGAGGTCGACCTAGAATCCAAAGATATCAAAGATACCCTTCAAGAAATCTCGGAATTGCTTGACACTCTCAGTTCTTATCAACGAATCCGGAGTTTCAAACTCCCGGCCGACCTCCAACCGCCTGGTCCCCCCATCCCTGAGTTGAATGAACCTCTTGGTCTTGATCTGGGTGACGTGAACACACCCTCTGAGGCTGAGACTCTTGTGTACGAGACGCTCAAGTCCAGCCTCGCTGCAATCATCAGTAACCTGCCACCATATGCAGTTGCTAAATTGGACGGCCACCAACTCGCTGAATTGAACATCAGCCAAAAAATTCTCGTTGACGCTCCGGACTATAATGGTACGATGGAGAAGGATGATTACACTTTATCACAAGAGCGGGCTGCAGCATTGATTGCGGCAGCCAATGCCGCGAATCGGACCTCGACACCCTCTGCTTCACGGCATAGCAGCTTCCAAGGCTCTCACGGTGGCTACAACCAACGTGCCTTTGCTTCCAACGCGCGTGCTCCGCCGCAAACAGGTTTCCAGGTTACACCTCAGCACCCACGACAGCCCTCTGTGCCCGGCACATACACGCATGCATATGGCGCGGGTCGTCCGCCAAGCACGCCCAGTCAGCGTCCAGCTACCGCCACCCAATATGCTCCTATAAACCCTCAATACAGTCAAGGCAGCCCGGCTCCTCCATACCAACGGCCCGCTTCCAACGGATATGCCCAAGTGTCCCCGCAGCCCTACACACCACGGCCCGGGCAGCCAGGAGCATACAACGCCACACCACAGGGACGTACGCCATATGCTACTGCGACCGCTAACCAGCGATCTTCGTTCCCAGGCCAAACCCCCACACAAGGCTATTCCAACTCTGCTGCCAATGCTACATACTCTCGCAGCGCCGCGGAACAGGCGGCACTAATGGATCGGAACAAGGCACAACTGGCAGCCCGCCAGGCCCATCACAGCCCCACGCCTCCCCAGCCTCTGGATGCTCGTGCCTCCCAAGAAGGCAGTTTAACGCCAGGGAAACAGAATGGCACACCTCTTTCGACATAGGTTCCGTCTCTGTTCTTATATTTTCTCGCTCATTCCAGCACGTGGTGTGCAAAGAACAAAAGCGTCTATCTTTGAACTGGAACAACCCTCCGGATTCTTTCTTCCATACTCGACTTGCTACTATATTGGGTATTGCATTTTTCTTCGCTTCTTTTCTTCAATTCACCCCTTCGGGATGTAATACACATCACCGACTTTTTCTTCTTCTTCCCTGTGTTGTTAACGAACGACTTTGTATGAATCTTTGGTTGGTGTGGTGTTGTATTATGGGAGCGATTGGCGTGGATGGTTTTTTATTCTTAAGACGGGTTAGCCTGGGTGTATAGGCTGCCATCGCGATACATGTCTTGCTAAGAGGTTACTGCTTTTTGTTTGGATTTACTGCAAAATCATCCTTATATGCTGCATATCCGACGTAGTCTCACGATCACGTAGGATTTAAGACTCGCTCAAGTGAACCATGTTGCAGCGAAAGCTTGCAACTGGTAAAATCATATCTTACGAACACATTGCACGACCTCAATGTGCAAATGTCCAAACATAGACCAAGGCCTTCAGTACCCCGTAACCCTCGCTACCTTAATCCGCTATCTCAATTCGCATCTCCAATTGCATACCTAGATACCCTTCGACAAGACAAACCACAACCAAGGATGGTATACCGTCTCATCATCCACGGGATCCAAAATAATAGGCAGATATCTCGTAATCCATTCTTCATACAGCACGTCATCAAAAGCGTCCGGATTCACCCTGACGCGATGCGCCTTGCAATACTCCCAGTAAGCAGGATACCAGCCCGCCTGGCCCCAATCAATAACAGCCACTACTTTCGGATTTGGCCCGGACGATAACATGATATTGGGCGGCACGAGGTCGTCATGCGTGAAGACCACGGGCACATCCCCGTCAATCTGGATATAGCAGCCTTCCTGGAATTTCTGCACGGCATCTGCGCCGTGGAATGGGCCGGCTAAGTTGCGGTGAGAGGATAGAAAGACTTCGTTTAGAGGTTAGTTATTCAGGCTACCTACGGTACATTAGCAAAATAGTTTCTCGATGAATTCGAAATCACTTAACCCAAGTAAAGGTCTTGGTAGGGCTGTTCCAAAGATCTTCAGGCCTTGACCATGCCATTGAGCTCTTGACAGACAGCCGCTCTCTCTTCATCGTTCAAAGAACCCCATCTTTGCTCCAAAGTTTCGCCCTTTATCAAAGACATGTAGATAAATACCTGCCCACCGTCTTCGGTCCATCCAAATACCTCAGGAACTGGTACTTTGCCTCTCAATTGCTTGTATACCATATGTTGGGTCTCGGCCTCGACAACGGTTGTGTTGGCTCTATATTTGACAAACAGGCCCAGCGATGGATACTTGATAGGCGGGGGTCGGTTGAACCAGTTACCCCATTCCTTGACTGCCTCCTCGTTGTCGGCTCTCACCTCGGCCGGTGTAGGGAGTGTAGATGTCTGATGCTCTTTGAAAAAGCTGGAGTCGGGAATGGTTGTTATGTTGGGGCTGTCGCCGCTGTCGTCAAGGCCGCCTTCAACACCCGTCATCTTTGAGATAATACAGGTGAAGCAGGGGTCTCGGCGGTTATGCCCTCCTCGTCTATGTGATGATCATGTGACGAGCAAACGATATCTACACAGTAGAGCAAACGACAGAGGAAAGAGCAAGGCAGAAGAACTTACTGTGTAGAACATAGTTAACTAACCACTACCTTAGTTCTTAGGAAACTACCTCTTTGTTCCTTCTGGTAACAATCTATCTGCCCTTTCCCATGAACCAATCGTCCAAACGCCACCTCTGTCCAAATTCCCCGACTAAGCCAAGTACATAGCATTCCGAATCTGAGAACATGACTGCAATCCCAATCAAAGGAAATAGAAAATAGAAACCCATATCACATCACGTAGCCATACATAGCCAACGAACCAAAGAAAAGAAGAAACAAGTCAAGGAAATTCGTCACTCATAAGATAGCTCCAGCATTGAACCCTAAGGAATGAACATAGCGGCCAAAGTCATGAACCCAAAATATCTGCAACAGCGTCAGTAAACCGATCACGCCTTTAGTATACCAAAAGTCAAGAAAACATACATCATAGCACATCTCCACCCATCTTTCGAATCAACCAATCTATCAATACCAGCCGAGTAATTCGCCGCAATAGCCGAAGCAGCACCACCAACAACCGTGACGACAACGAGACGGCCCGAGAACTCGGAAATCATGCTGAAGGCCAGCAGTGGCAGGAGGAGGGCACAGGAGGCGATGATGATGGCGATGTAGACTGGAGCCGTTGTGGTGGAAGGGGCGAGACGGGGTGTTAGAGAGACGAGGTCGGTGTCGTGGATTAGGAAGCGGGTTTCGATGCCGGCTATGGGCTTGTTCTCTCTCATCCAGGTGCGGTAGCTGGTTATGTCGTGGTTTGAGGCGGGGGGAAGGGTTTTTAGGACTTTGCTGTAGGCTATGAGGGCGGTGTCTGGTTTGGTTAGGAGGTTTTGTATTTTCTTGAGAGAGAGAGAGAGTAGAGTGGGAGGGCATACTATATTGCTCTGTCTTCTGGATCAACGCACTCATTAAATCCATGCGGCGGTAATGTAGAGATGAGTAGACCTGGGCCTGGGCATCGCGGCGGCGTGAGGCTGGTAATGGCTTCGTGCCTTCTTGTTCGGCTGTGCCGATTCGATGCAGTTCCTCGTATTCATCTAGAGTATGTAGGTCTTCTTCCATCTGAGAGATTTCGTCTTGGAGGTGGAGGAGGACGCGGTGGTTGACGGTTTCGAAGCGGCGGTAGAGGGGTGGGAAGGCGCCGGTTTCTTCGGAGGCGGATTTTGTCAGCTGCGAGGCTAGGAGCCCATATCCGGATGAGACCTGCGAGGCACTCGAGTCTCTTCTTTTGGTTGGTGTGGTGCGGTGGAGACTATCCTCTGGGCTTCTTGGGGGAGATGGTGGTAGCGGTGGTCTGTGGATACCGTCGTCTCTGGATGGTTCATAGTATGTTTGTGGGCGAGACAGTGCTAGATGGTCTTTTGCTGGAGGGGACATGTCTCCGGTTGAGATTGGGCTTGGCTTTCTGGCAGGCTGTTTCTTGCGGGAGACCAACTGATTGCTTGTAGCAGGTGTGGCCTGGGGCTTTTGCGGTTCTGGATTTTTGGACCCTAGTGGAGAGGATTGCGTAGCTTTCTTTGGGGTATTGCCTCCTGATACCAAAACGCCATGCGGGACGGTGTTTGAACGTGGTTTGGGAGACTGGATCTTCGTGCTGGTCCTTACAGGGCGTGGAGGTTCTGGCTCCTCCTCGGATTCGGACGAGGACTCAGACGAGGACGATGAGTCCGACGAAGATTCATTCTCTTCCAGGAATTCAAAGACATTAGGCACGCTCTTGGCCGGCTCTGCGGGTTTCTGTGGTGGATTCTCAGGAACAGCAGCCGGCTTTAGGGCTTGACTAGATCCGTTGGCCTGTGAAGGTGAACTGTCGACAGTCTTCGAGCTTGCGACGGATCCAGCTGGTGCACCATTATTGCTGGACACCAATGAGAATGTCCTCTTTCTTCCATCCTTCTTAGTCTTTCTAGTGGGCGGCATGGTGATCGGAGAGCTTCAGAATCAACCGGCTCATACCTCAAATACAGATATCAAATAAGGCCATGCCCTAAGGAAGATGAAAGGAAAGGACATGGAAATGAATCACAAAGATACAGTCGCAATGGGATTATGCGCATGGGAACCCGAGGCATGGCCTAGGGGGGGGGTGGAATTCCAGGTCTCAGGTCAAGTTGATTGTCGCGGAATCCAGGGGTACGCTGAGGAAGGATGAACGATAGATAGGATAGTTGTGATATCTCCAATTTCCCCGCGAATTCCTCCAAGCATGTCCAAGATAGGGGGAGTATGGAGCCCTGAGGCCGTCAAATGGTTATTATTATATTCGAACCCGCACGTCAGCACAAGGTTAGAACTGGCGTCAGCTGGGCGCTGAAGACGAGCCCAAGGTTATGCTTGTCAGAATGGAGTCTTGTCATTCGTCACACGAGGCAGTCCGGGTACAATCTGAAGCAAATTGGAAGCGCCGATGGCTTTCAGATCGACAGCCAATGACAATAGTATCGCAAGGAGAACCTTGTATCCCTGTCGAGGGTGTAGTCTGGGGGATTATCCTCTTAAAATCCAGGATCAGAAGATAAAGCGGAAGAGCGTAACCTTTGCCGAAGTGCAGGACAACATTCTGGACACATCAATAGAGTGGGCCAAAGTGGACAAATCAGACCTCGGCCTGCATGAGATGTGGTGTAAGAGAAGTTAGAGGATGCACACAGCATGTACCACCGTAGATTATGCGCTGGTCGATCTTCGCGCCTTGCGTCCAGTGGCCCAGCCATCTGGCGGTCTAGCGAAGTCTACTGCGTACTGTAGTGAGGGGAATGTGATGCGACACTCTCGACTTGACACATTGCCTGCACCCATATTCCATGCATAAAGCAAGCATCTTAGCATAGGGCCTGCTCAAGTGTCATGTATTGGTGTAGAGATGGCGTTCGATGGAATGGAAGTGGGAGATGAGAGAAGTTGGGACAATCAAACACATGAATCAGCAAGTAAATACAACCTTCTAAGCTAAATATACGACCCTTCTCTAGTTATAGACAATCCATGGATCCATGTAATCATGTAACTAACTTAATTCCTCCTGCTAGTTAACTATCCTCCGGGAACTGTTGAGTGTTATCGATGAAGTCACAGATCGCCAAGTCCCCGAGAGGCTGCGGCGAGAGGCAGCTTTCTCCGAGATTGTCCAACCTCCCCACCTACACATCACTGAACTCTCCCAATCTCCCACATGCTCCGGTCGCTCGGCAGCGGTACGCTCCGCTCACTCTGCATTCGACGGAACCGCTCCCTTCCGCGCGCCTTCTCCTCCGCAACCCGCTATCTCGAACCCCCGGCCGCAGATCGTGTACCAGATCGCGTACCCCTCCGTAAACAACTCAAACAAGAAGCCAAAGCGCTTCGGTCGCATAAAAGACAACGCAAGGAGACTGCGGAAGCATCGAAGGAAGAATGGGAATTGACAGTTGGTGTGGAGATCCACGCGCAATTGGACACTGAGACCAAATTATTTTCCCGTACGCCCGCACATACCCTACGCTTCATGCTCGAGACTACGAAGCATTTTCTCACAAATGAATAGGAGCGTCTACTTCGACTAGCGATGTCCCCAATTCCAACCTTGCATTGTTTGATCTGGCGTTTCCGGGAAGCCAACCGGTTGGTGTCTATGGTTGACATGAGATAGTTCGAGGCTGATATAGGCTGATAAACAGGTGTTCCAAGCCGCCATCCTCTTACCGGCCATTCGGGCTGCCCTCGCGTTAAATTGTGAGATACAGCCCGTTAGTCGGTTTGATCGGAAGCATTACTTCTACCAAGATCAGCCGTCTGGGTATCAGATTACACAATATTATGGTAAGCCATTGCCTTGGTCTTACACCTTGAATGATATTAACTCCCTCTAGAACCATTTGCACGGAACGGCTATGTCGACCTATATGATTACGACGGTATTGCGCCGGAGGACGGTGAACGGGTCCGCATCAACATTAAACAAGTTCAACTGGAGCAGGACACGGCCAAATCCCAAGAGTATTCACCCACGACACAACTTCTCGACTTCAACCGTGTCTCCCACCCTCTGATTGAGATCATCACCATGCCACAAATTCACACTCCCGAAACGGCGGCAGCATGCGTTCGGAAACTACAAGCTATTGTCTTATCGTGCGGTGCCGTGACGACGGGAATGGAGCTGGGCGGTCTTCGTGCAGACGTCAACGTTTCGGTCCGACGCCGGGGTGAAGCACCTGGGGAACATCAGTACGATGGGATCAGCGGGCTGGGCCAGCGTACTGAGATCAAGAACCTCAGCAGCTTCAAAGCGGTGGAGGACGCCATCATTGCCGAGAAGAACCGTCAAATCGAGGTGCTCGAGAGCGGCGGTGTTATCGAAGGCGAGACGCGCGGATGGGCCATTGGCAGCTCTGAAACCCGCCGACTACGCGGTAAAGAAGGCTCAGTCGACTACCGCTACATGCCGGATCCTGATATTCCACCGTTGATCATTGGCGAGGACCTGCTCTCCAGCCTCAAGGACACGCTGCCCACAGCGCCCGACGCACTTCTTACCCTGCTCGTCGGATCCGAGTTCAATCTGCCCATCGAGGATGCCAAACCCCTCATCGAGCTAGACAATGGAGCTCGCCTCGAGTACTATCACGATGTGGTGGACATTCTCCGCAGTCTGCAGGTTGACCAAGACGACAAAACGCGCGCCAGTCTCCTACGGGTGGCCAGCAACTGGGTGTTACACGAGCTCGGAGGTCTCGTGGCCAAGCATGATCGGGCATGGGATACAGAGATTGTTCCAGCCCGGTCCTTGGCCCATCTCATTGACCAGCTGCAGCGGAATCTGATTACTGGCCCGACAGCCAAATTGGTGCTGGCCACCATCTTCGACGGGGACCGTCGACCGGTGCCGCAACTTCTGGAAGAAGAGAATCTCCTGCTGCGGCCGTTGTCGCGAGAGGAATATGTGGCGCTGGCAGAGTCGGTCATTGCCATGAATCCGCAGATGGTCGAACAGATCCGCAGTAAGAACCAATTGGGGAAGTTGGGCTGGTTCGTGGGACAGATGATGCGCACTGGTGAAAAGGGTCGGGTGGAGGCGCCCAAGGCAGAACAAATCCTCCGAGAGTTGATCTTATCTTAGCGGTCTTAGTATACGACCTTATGTACTTATAGAGTCAATGATACCCTTGACTGGACTTGGCGATCCCCATAGTGTTGCGTATTATCCCCCTACTAGTACTACTGCGTAAATACCACCTCATGCGCCCCAAATTCCAAAACCAGCTCGGAAATGAATGTGAGCGAATTCCCCTCCACTCGCTGAGTAGAACGGTCAAAGCAAAGTGGGACAAATGGCCCTAAGGAGGGTAGGTAGGGGGTCGCTCTCCTGGACCTGTACTTAAGGGAAGTGATGGAGATCCAGCGGAGTCACTTTGATCGCTAAAAGCAGTTTTTAGCGACTTCGACAACCACGCCAGGAATGAAAGCGCGGCCCCGGTTGAACTCGGGGGAATTGATCTCAGACATTCGAAACATTTAAGAAACAATCTTTCTCCTGAATTCTTCTTCTTTCATCAAGTTGAGAGAAAAAGAAAAGAGAAAAGATTTGCATCGATCTTATCAAGCCCACCTTTTATCTTATCTATCGCATCCCATCAGTTGAACAGATCCCTCACTCTCCTACTTGACATACACAATGACGTCTCCTTCAACCATCAAGTCCCGCTTCCTCTCACACCCAAACCAACTCGGCGTCGTCGCCGTCGGTTTCAATGGCGGCCAGGTACATCCAACCCCCGAATCCAGTCATAGAATGAAAAAAACTAACGCCTCGCAGTGCAAGAAAGGCGTCGAAGCCGCCCCAATGGCCCTGATTGAATCAGGCCTCCTAACCCAACTCCGCGAGGACCTAGACTACGAAGTCCATCACGACGACACAGTCCACTACTACGAGCGCGACATCCCCGCCTCCGACCCCGACCACCGCGGCATGAAGAAGCCTCGCGCCGTCAGCGCCGTGACCGAGAAGCTCAGTTCGCAGGTCTACGACTACGCCAAGGAGGGCAAGTTCGTGCTGACTCTGGGCGGCGACCACTCGATCGCCATCGGCACCGTCTCGGGTACCGCCAAGGCCATCCGCGAGCGTCTGGGCCGTGAAATGGCTGTGATTTGGGTCGATGCTCACGCCGATATCAATATCCCCGAGACGAGCGGAAGTGGCAATATCCACGGTATGCCGATGGCGTTCTTGACTCGGTTGGCGAGGGAGGAGAAGAAGGATATCTTTGGTTGGTTGCAGGATGAGCATATTGTCAACACGCAGAAGCTTGTTTACATTGGTTTGCGCGATGTCGATCGTGGGGAGAAGAAGCTCCTAAGGGAGAATGGTATCAAGGCGTTTAGCATGCACGATATCGACCGGTATGTCTTCGTTTTCACCTGGTGTGGTTTGCAATCGCTAATGTGTCTTTTGCTTTTGACAGACACGGAATCGGTCGCGTCGTCGAAATGGCCCTCGCTCACATCGGAAATGACACTCCCATCCACCTGTCCTTCGATGTCGATGCCCTGGACCCCCAGTGGGCCCCCAGCACCGGCACACCCGTCCGTGGTGGACTGACACTGCGCGAGGGAGACTTCATCTGTGAAGCTGTGCACGAGACGGGCAATCTGATTGCCATGGACTTGGTCGAGGTGAACCCCAGCCTGGAGGAGAAGGGAGCATCGGAGACCATCCGCGCGGGGTGTTCGTTGGTGCGCAGTGCATTGGGTGATACTCTTCTTTGATGTTCTTGTACTCTTTAAAAGGGGAGATGAAAAGGAGGAGATAATAAAGAGTAGATGCGAATTAATATGAGTGGGTGACCGAGTAAATACTAAAAAAGAGCACTAAATCCCCTGCCACCTCAATTTCGCAACCCCTCCTGCAACCTTTGATTTCCTTTTCTTTTTATTCTTTCTTCGTAAATATTTCTCTAATTCCCCGCGACTTGCACCTTTGTACATATATCCACGTCGCACCACCAGGACTCAGTGCGCCCAGTGCGCCCAATGCGCTGTTCACTACCACACGCCTCACCACAATCCCGCTCGGATTGGGACTCACCATTCCACCAAGCACACAATTACGGGCATCCAGACCTGCATCGGGCCTCAAGTACCGGAGTATCCAAGACCAAAGCTAGCTATAAAGCGCAGCCCATCTCGCAACGAAGCCTCTCTTTACTACAGCAACAACCACAACAACACAACAACAGCAACACAACTCTCTCTACAACAACACAATATCACCAGCACATCCAAACTCCCAAACCCGAACCCGATACTGATACCCACAACAAACACAATGGCAGTCAGCAAGCGCCAACCACCACCGCGCTACTACCACTGGCCAGAACTCCAACTGAACATCTGGATCATGATCGTTCTCTCATGCAACGCGACTTGTCTAGGGATATTTGCCTGGTTTATGGATATACAAGCGCAAATGCATCTCGGGACGCCTTGGTAAGTACTTTTCTTCGCATTCATTCCCGGTCCGAACTATACACCTGTATACACTATACAGATTCCACAAGATACAGTATACTAAGAGAAGAATAGGCTCTTCCCCTACATGGTAACAACCAGCGCCCTAGGGGTAATCTTCATATTCCTCATGATAACGCTCTCAATACGGAAATTCCTCTTACCAGGCGTGATAATCATTGGCAGTTTCATCCTGTGTGTGCTGTGGTTAACAGGTCTGATTGAGACGTCCTTGCAGCTGTACGGCGTTGTCGGGAATGTGAATGATAATTGTCGGAATTATGTGGAGGATAATCAGGCTTGGGGGAATAATATTAATACTCTTGCTTGGTTGACGCAGAGTACTATTTGTGAGTTCCGTTCTTTTTCCTTGCTGCGACTCTGATATGGATCATATGGGATGTGAACTGATGGTGTGGCTAGGCAATTGCTGGAAGTCGGCGTTTGCGCTGGAGCTCGTTAATACTATCTTTTATCTTTGGATGATGATTATGTCGTGGCAGGTTAATCGGGATGTTTGGGATTGAGGATTTGGTCTTTTGGTTTGCATCTTGAGGCGTTGGTAGATAGCATTTGGTTTTGAACTACAGGTTGATACTTCACATCTCGAATTCCTACAAGCTCAAGGACCTTGTACGTAGATAGAATCCTGTCAGTAACATTTACTAAGATATGTAACATAATAAGCCATAACGCCGTCGCTAGATGCCAACGCATTGCAACCGCACACATAAAACATAGAATCCAAGTGACTACCCATTCTCGGCAGCAGTTTCCGCCTCCGCCTGAGAATCATAGCCACCGCCCTCAAAAGCCGCAAGCATTTCCCGCTCTAATTCATCGTCATCGTCATCCGGATCTTCAGGATATGAGTTCGGCACGCTGCTAGTCCCTGCAGTTTCAGAGTCAGACTCTTCATCGAGACCAGCAGGCTGTAGAAGATCCTGGGCCTTGTCGACGCCAGCAGCAGGAGCGGATGTGATTTCCCGTAGCTTGGTGTTACGCTCGTAAGAGCGTTTAATGCGTTGGGAGAGACGGGAGCCGGGTTTGTCGTGGTCGTCGTCTCCGGACTCTCCGGACTCTTCTTCGTCCCCGCCGCTATCCGTTCCATCGCCACGTTTGCGCTTCTTGGCTCCTGTCGATGACTCGTCTAGTAATGACTCGGTGTCGCTTTCGCTCTCGTCGTCGCTGCCCAGGAAGTCTTTCAGTTCGTCGTGCACGGCGGCTTGCTCGTCGGCGTCATACCCGACGGGTGACGTCTCGTCTAGACCAGACGCTTGGAAGATGTCCTCGGCGTCATCCTCTTGCGTCCACTGGGATCCGGTGACGTCCTCGTCCGTCGATGAAAGCAGGGAGGTCTCGAGCTCCAGCTCGGCTGGGGTGAGGGGTGCGCCTCGGTCGTCGGGGTGCAGATAAAGGAGGTAGGGCTCCTCGTCCAACTGTCTCCATTGGACCAGCGAGTCGACAAGCCATTGCGTTGTCACAATCTTCACGTTGGGGTAGCGGGTGGCTTCTCGTACTTTGGCGGTGCGGTTGCGGCCAGCCACGAGATGAGTTGTGCGGGCGTTGACTCTTGAAGAGATCGTCGCACCGAAACTCTTAGCCCAGAGAGAAATGTCGGCGTTTTGGAAGTCCATCCCAAGAGGGAGAACTCCCGAGAATACCAAAACGACTCCCCCAAGAATGCGCCGTTTGATCTGCGGCATGATGTCCTTGACATCCGGAACAAGCTTGAGATCCACATCTTTGTCTTTCGAGTGGACTTTTTCGCCCCTCAAGGCAGCAACCCGACCACCAAGAGCCAGAGTCCGCTTCTTGTCGTACTCTTCATAGAACTGTGAATGCACTTGTTCCAATCGGTTTTGCAGCTGGTAGAGCTCTTGATCGTGGTCCTCGAGTAAGTGATGTCGGTGTTTCGGATGTTCCTGGGCTTCATCAACGCTGGACGATGCTTCACTACTTTCGGCAATGTGATCCTCTGCGTCCAGTTCTTTTTGTTTTTGTAACAAAGGTCGATCCTCCACTTGGTGGAGAATTGTCTCCTCCTGTGCATCGGTCTGCTCCTGGAGGCTATCTCCACCTCCCATGGTCACAAGCTGTTCTAATGCCGAAACCCCCGTAGTCTCTTGGGTTTTACCATTGACATGATGCTCTTTCGTCTTTTCTGGAGCCTTGGCCTCGACAAGAGACTTGTCTGCTCCAATGTCTTGCTTCTTTGGAAGGAAACTCGAATTAATATCACCGATTCCAACGAAAAAGTCATACGGCGAGACCTTAATCAGATTGGGGCTCCAGCGCCAGATGTCACCACGGTCGTCGATAATCACCACCATCTTTGTGTCCACCGGGAACAACCGCTGGAGATCCTTGACGGTCAAACTTCCACTCTCGTCGCGACTAAGAATCCTGTCGCCGAAGAGCTTGCGAGTAGGATCGATGATGTCCACAATGTGCTGTGCATAAGCACGAGTACCCATGGTGTAGATGTGCAGCTCGTAGATCTCGGCCACGTTCTGCAGGAACTCTTCCAAACCTGGACGTAGCTTGATGTAGTACCAACATCCACGCATCCCGGGTCCATCGTCAATCAATTGGAACTGTCGCACATCCTTCACAGCTTCGTAGTTGGGGTTATTCTTATCCTCCCTCCATTCTCCGACTGTGGGATCAACAGTGGCGTGAATAATGGTTTGATCAAGATCCACCACCAAGGTCAAACGTCTCGATGAGAGTAGCCGACGCTTGGCGTCTTCTTCCACCCGGGTCGCTTCCCGTTCACTGACGGTAAGTGTGGTGTTATCATGCGTCATAGAAATCGGGGCGCGCATGGAATCCGTTGTCTCAGTGTTGTACGTGGATCTATTCACGAGCAAAAAGTCAGCGAGGCTCAAATCCCCGTTGTATAGGATATACATACGCAGTCATGTCCTTCCCGCACTCCGCGCAAAGTCCTCCGAACTGAATCTCGTGCGCGCAAGGTTCGTCGACGTCAACAACATTGACCCTATCACACAGTTAGATGACGGTTGTCAATGCAAAACATGAGGGGAAGGATAATCTCACGGGTCATCTAAAACATCTCCCTTTTGGATATGCCATTGCACGATCTCTCCATCAACAGTCGACTCAAATCTGGCCGGGAATTTGCGGAGCACCTCAACCTTATTCCCCAGACCGTCACCCTCGGTGACTTTCGTCTCGTAGGAATACCAGAAGATAGCCTCATCCTTCTCGACCGTGTCGCCAGGCTCTTTGAGCAACTTCGTCACGGTAATCGGGTAATGCAGGCTAGTGGGGAGACGGAGAAGCATCGTTGCTCTCGGTTCGCCCCCAGGCAGTGTATTGCAGTAATGCTCGGTTTTTTTCGCAGGTGTCCCACAAGACCCGTTTGTTTGTACTTTGTTGGCGCGTCAGAGGCGGACGTGTGTGGGTCGGAGTGATCGCGTGCGATTCCGGCTACGAAGCCATCACCGACACGCAACGCGTGTAGAGCAGGGTGGAATAGAGGTCTAGAGGTAGTAGCCTGGCCAATGACTCAGTGGGCCAGACGAATTCAAGAAAGGATTGGTTTAAGAAGCGATTTCCGCAGCGCGATGGGAGTCGCCACTACAAGGCGCGATTGATGAAAGAAACCCTTGCGCCTGGCACAACCTGGCGCGGAGGTAAGAGACAGGTCACACCCCAGGCGGGGATATCCGCATAAGTCTCGGAAGGGTGAAAGCTTTGAATGAAGAAGGCAGGCTTTGATCAAAGAAATGAGAAGCTCATTGAAGTTGTGCGGGGACTGGCTCGATCCGGGTCAGGAGCTACTTCGGCTTATGTCATACCGGTAGGTCCAGAAAACAGGTAACCAATTGCTCAGACAACGCTGATTGGCTGAAATATGATCACGTGGTTTACCTAGCCCAGTAACAGTCACTGTCAGCCAAAATATTTGGTCTGAGCAAGATTGGGCCCTACCTGGTGGAAATATCGCTCCAAAACAACGAAACGAGCTTCTCTCCTGAATCAAAATATCTCGACCACCACATCGATTTTCATCTCAAGTCTTGGTCTACAGCGTCTTTTTCTTCACATCCATCACGATCATACTATGCCTGAGTCAAATTCGTCGAGATCAAAGCGTCCGCGGTTAACCGAAGTTGGCGAGGAAGACACAACCGATGACCGTCCACATTGCCGCAACCGCGTACATGAAAGGGTCTCCCATGTCGCTAAATTGCTCCAAAAATGGAGTTGGACCTTTCCTCAGCTCGTCAAACACTGGAGCAATCACAACAATGGCGCCAGGGGAAAGCAACGTGCCAGAAAAATAGTGGATATCCTACGAGTGTTCTTTACGGACGACAAGGAAGCCACAATCAAAGATCTAAGAAATGATCCTATCACGATTGATGTTATAGACGTTGCGACAACTTATTTAGTCCAGGGAATACGCGCAGAATTCGATGAGCTACGACGGTCGTCCACATTCGGCCGGTGGAAGGCAGATGAGGATTTCAAAGACATAGACATGTCAATGGTGGCAAAGGAGCTCTCGGAGCGTGCGCCACTGTTCATGAACCTGATGACCGAACTAGCCTCCAATACCATTGCCAAAAGTAACGGCTTCATACGCAAGGAAGAGGAGAGCTATCTTGTGATGCTGGCATCGATCTTGCTGCTGAAATCATCCAAGGACACCGCAAACCACTTTGCACGTATGCTGGGACTATATCTTCAACACATGGGCGCTGATCGACGCACCATAGAGGTGCTTGACGGTCTGGGAGTCACGGAATGTGCTATCACACATTAAGAAACTCGAAGAAGGCGCCATGTACTCAGATGGAGGTGTCTGTATGGTAGGTATCTATATACGTGACGGGTTTCGTTGTCATGTACAGTGTCATTTCTGTAATAACATTCGACGCAAGGCGCGTCCATGATCCACCGATGCCACAGTTTGATATCATCTCATGCATTCGAACTGAGCATGTCACTATGGTTCCATATTGGAGGATGAAGCCACAGTGACCGGAAGCTATAGGGTAACAGAGAACATGTTTCTGAAGCAGCCAGACCTCGATGAACAGCCCGCTTTTCAAGAGCGACTACATCCCGTATACGGTGATTTAGAAAACATGGAATCCTATCCGGCTAGGTATGCCCCAGACAGAGGTTGGAGAGTTCAGAGACATATCACCGGCTGCAATGGCTTCTTCCTGTCATCGGCTTCTGGCATCTCCATCTTAATACCAGAAAGTGATCATGAAAGCCTTTTATGGTGGCAGGAAGTTTTCTGATCGGTATACAATGCTCTTTAACGCAGATGAACCATTCCAATCAACGCAACGTGTCTCAATCGTCGCAACTTGGGGATGAGTATGAGGACGACATTGAAGGTGCGTTGGAGATGGGTGTTATGGTAGTGGGGTTTGGGATGTTGAGAAGGTGAGGGTGAAGGTGAGGGTGAAGGTGAGGGTGAAGGAGCTCTTACCTTGGGTATATGTATGACGAAGGCAAAACTTTCCTTTTTATTACGGGCAGGTGGTGCGGCTGCCGATGATTGTTTCAGCATAAGCTCCAACCAATTGGTTGTCACCCAGATGGGAAGTTTATTTGCCGAGCGATTGAATTGACGCAGGTGAAAGGACTTTAGGAGAATTGTCTTTAAAAAGTTCATAAAATGCAATTACTAGATCTTAGCCAATAAAGATATCAATTTGCAGTACCAATGAGCGACAAGCCTCGAGATGAGGCTGTGCCAGCAAAGACAAACACACAGCTCAATCAACATGCCGCTTGTAGCAATTGGTGAATGGAGTGTGCTATGGGACCATAAGTTCAATCCACGTAAACCGCGAGTATATACGAAGCGATCTCATGGTGTCACCTAGTTCTTTGATATTCACAACTCACGAGACCATCAGGCATGAGGCACTTATTTGGCCTTGGCCAGACCAACGGCGTTGTTGCCAACGTCATAGACACTGTACCAGCGACGCAGGAAGGCATCTCCCAGAATCGCCAGGGGACCCACGGGCTCGGGGAAGTCCATGCCCATGAAGCTGCTGATGCAGGATCCTTGGACCTCCAAAATGTAGTCGTAAGGACCAATAGCAAACTTGTGGCCAGCCAGAGTGAAGGTGAGCTCGGGAAGTGAGTCACGCTTGGCGCAGTCAACGCTGTACTGGCCAGTGAAGCCCTTGGTAGCACCAATCTCCTTGTTCCTATGTAATGGGTTAGCAGAAGGTCATCGGAGAACAAGTCAAGGACCAACTTACAGGAGCTCAGCCATAGTGGAAGGCAGGGCAATGAGAGAGGTACCAGTGTCCAGAATGACACCGGTGTTCTCCAGCTCGGCAACGTTGTCACCGAGGGCAATGGAGTCGAGCTCGACCTCCCAGTACGCCTTGCGACGGAGGGGAATCTTGATCAGCTCGCCGGTGTAGTGGCTCTCGTCAATACCACCGAAAGTGGCTTCGGAGTTGTCACCCTCCTTGTTGGCATCACCAAGGTAGAAAGCAAACACGGGCTCATCAACGAGTTTCTGGTTGATCATGTTGTAGAAAGGAGGGACCATCTTGTTCACAGAGATGGTGTCATAGCCGAGGCCGAGAATACCATCAAAGCGGCCAAAGGCAAAGGCCAGACCAGGCTCGTTCGTAGCCTCAGCAAAGTCCTGGCCCTTGACTTTCAAGTCACCGATCTGGAGAGTGTCCCTGGACACAAAGCCGCTCAGGCTGCCAGATCCGTAGCGGATCTCAAACTCGGTGCCATTCTTCTCATAAGTGCTCGAAGAGGACGAGTCATACTTGCTGTGAAGGAAGCAGGCAATAGAGCTGCACGACGATGAGGGGACCCACAGGTTGGAGGAACCGGTGTCAAGGACAACCTTGAAGGTTTGGGGAGGAGTACCGATCTGAATCTCAGAGAAGTCTAGAAATGTCAGTGCCAGTGCCCAGAAGATTGAAGTGTGCTAGGAATTATTCATACACTGAGCATTCAGGAAGTTGTCAACCAGCACGTCATGGCCAGCAGCAGGCTTCAGAGAAGTGTCGTGAAACAAGTCCTGGTGCTTCTCAGGGCGAATACCCATGTATTTCTGACCTAGATTGGCGACATGAGCATCGATGTTGTGGGTGCTCTGTCAATCAGTTAGTATCCGGATGTTGACAATTGTGTTGATGATAAGTCTTACCAGTTGCTCGGACAGAGGGACCTTGTTGAGCTTGAGCTTGTGAACCTCGGCGGCAGCACTGCCCAACAACGCCGAAGCTGTTAGGAGAGTGAATGACTTCATCATTCAAGATGATGATAAAGAAAGTTGTATTGGTTGTATGCAGAGAGAGAGAATGGGATGTTGTGAGGATGGAGAAGAGAGAGGAGATAAGGGCCAGATGGGGGGAGGAGTGGAGAGGCTGGAGAGACGATGACGGAAGCGGGAGGGTCACACTAACTACTTTGGGTGATCCCCATGACATGCTCGCAGGCTACCGAAATCCAGACTTCAATTCCCTGATTATCAGAGATCGGGCTATTTCCTCCATGCATTTTAAGATATTTCTTCTTATTTACCTATCCTAATCTCTTTCAGTTATGCAATATAAGATCTGAGCAGGGGATGTGCTTTGGGCTGGTGCCTGGCGGTGGTTAGCGCCATTGACGGAATGATCAGACTGGTCGGCAGACACCCCCTCCCGCTGTACCTGGCAGCTGCAAGATACCTGATGTGGCGAAAAGCCGTGCTCATGATGTGGCCGTTCTACAAAGGAGACAGCGTGCCCTGCTGTGCCACTCTACAGGTTGCTCATATGTGTGTCGATATGGACTTTACGCATGTGAATTTGCAGGCGTCCATCGACTAGCCTGGAGATCGGCGTGGAAGAGATACCCGCTCTTGGATCAAGGGATCAGCCGAGGTGTCTAATACCGCTCGGGCTACGCGGGCAAAATCATCTTAGATGGATGTTGTACCTGCTCCCGTCGGTATGACAACAAGGTTCTTTTCCAAATCAGGAGTCTGGAGGACTTATTCCACCTGCAATGGTCTGGTCATTAGATTCGCAATTCAGATTCCAACCTTGGAATCTCTGTGCTTAGGTAGGTACATCCAATGGTCCCGTCAACATCTGTAACCTAAGCGAGTATGGACCTACACACTGGTATATATATATCGTGATCGCCATAGGTACCTACCTACCTACCTTCAAACCTAGCCCCTACCAACCTAGTTCCATCCATGATACCTAAGGCCGTCAACTTACACATGTTCAAGCTTCTGCTCTGATCATGGAGCAAACGTGAGGAACAGTGAGGTTGTAACGGGAATCTACAGCTTACAAGCTCAAGAGTCGGGTCGAATGCACATTAATGAATCAAGTTATCCAGACATTGTGACACATGGCGCCTGCATATTATATGGTAATACAACGGGTGAGGAAGTCCAAGCTTTTGCCACTGATAACCACCCAACAAGATACTCGAGGATTTACCGATAGAAGTCAGGGCTGTGAGGAGCGAGTTAGCAATAGGAAAAGACCCAAAAAGCAAGCAAAATACATACCGGTCATCGTCCTGTCCAGTCTTGACTTGCACAGCGTAAGCATCTTCAAGATCGGACTGGATGATATTGTAGCGGTTTTTGCGGACAGCCCGCAGACCGGCCTCCTGCATGATTGCCGCAATGACGGCACCAGACAGCGGGTCATTACGCACGATCAGTGCATCGAGATCGACCTCGGGGGACAGTGACATCTTGGATGCAATGGTTGTGAAGATCAAGCGGCGCTCACGGCGATCACGCAGATTCGGGAACTCGATCTTTCGGTCTAGACGACCAGGACGCAACAAAGCGGGATCCAAAGTATCGGCTCGGTTGGTGGCCATGATAACCTTGACATTGCTACTTTGTTCGAAACCATCCATTTGGTTCAGCAACTCCAGAAGGATACGCTGGACTTCACGATCGGCACCGGTCTGGGCGTCGAAACGCTTCGTGGCGATTGCGTCAATCTCGTCAATGAAGATGATGGATGGCGAGTTCTCACGAGCCATTCGGAACACATCGCGGACCATACGAGGTCCCTCTCCCAAGTACTTCTGTACGAACTCTGATCCGTTGACACGAATGAAGCTGGCAGTTGTGCTGTTGGCCACGGCCTTGACTAGCATGGTCTTTCCTGTTCCAGGAGGGCCATAGAGCAACACACCACGGGGAGGATCAATACCTGCAGTTCGTTAGCAGGGCGATCATCCGCAATGTATCCACCAATACCCACCGATTTGCTTGTAAAGTTCGAAATGCGTCAAAGGCAGCTCGACAGCTTCCCGAATCTCCTGCTTCTGCATATCCAAACCACCGACGTCTGCGTATGTCACATCGGGCTTCTCGTTTTCACCCAGCATCGCGATCGACGAATCGGCCTCGGGAGGAAGAATATCGACAAGGGCATTGGAGTGACGGTGAAGGGCAACCGAGGATGAAGGCTTCAGCTTCTCGCGGTCGAGAGTAGAGAGAATACGGACGACGTAGTTGGAACCGGTCGAACTTTGCACAATCCCGGTGCTTTATATACCAGATTAGCAAGCATTTCATCTATCAGTCAAGTAGTGATGTGCATACTTCTGATCGATAGCCTCCATAAACTGTCCGATGACCAACGGGACACTCTGTATCCGCTTGATCTCTTCTTGTGCGCGCACCAGCTCTCTCTTCAAGCTCCTGTAAATAGCGGAGCAATTAGACACTGATTCGAATCTCCTGGATTTCAAAAATTCATACCTCTGCTCATCCTTGATGTATTCCTCCTGCAGTTGGATATACCTGGGTTCGACGTCAGCCCCGACCTTTTATCCAACAGACGCGATCACACATACTCTAGATGTCTCTGTAGCCTCTTTAGGGTTGCATATTCATCATTTTCATCAGCACCCGTGCCATCAAGTGAGTCCAAGTTGGCGAGGGCGTCAAGTGCGCCTGGCTTGGTGAGAGGCGTGACGTTCACCGGGTTCTCCACGGCAACGTCTCCCATGATGAATAATTTGGACGGCGAGATGAATATGCGAGAAGAGTGTGTATATCAGCTGGCAGTGGATAGAGAATGTGCTTTGAAGATGGTGGTTGGTGAATGACGCGCTGTGTGAAGGGTTTCAGAGGCCAGCCATCTGGAGCTTTCGATGCTATGGCCCGGGAAGCTAATTCATCACGTGATCTCCACGGGCCTTGTCCATCAACCTCTAAGTTAACTATTTGTAAGTTTTGCTAGATTTGTTTGGATATATTGAGGGCGGCAGGGCCACAAATGATAATATATCATGAGGGTCCAGGGACAACTCGGTTGGTTATGCTTTAGCTGGCAGGTTTCATCAATCATTCTTGGAGATTGTGGCAATTGACGATACGGTAACTCGCAAGCGCCCTTCAACTCCCAACCATGGCCATGGATCTCAGCGAAATTGAGTTATGAGGATACATTACGCAACTTCCTAAAAACTTCTTTTATCGCCCCCATAATCGTGTAATCATATGCGGACCAGGTACTCCGAACTATGTAGTGTCCAGTACATTTATCTGTTCGAGTTGAGTGTATCAATCCGCATCTATCGTCAGACGCTAGCGGCTGCTGCAGACCCAACGAGACCGACCACAGCCAATGACGATGATTTTGCTCTCTTTTGTCTGTATTTGTTTCATCCAGTGAGGTTCAAGGGGATGACGCACCTAGCACATCGCCAATTCGGGGGAACAGCTGATCCAGTTCATCACTCGGGAGAAATATCAGATTGGACCATCATGCGCAAAGGCCTTCGAGACAGTTACGAGCATCACTGCCATTGGGAAGCCACAGCCTCAACCCGTTCTCAAGCCCTACAGAAGTGAAATGAACAAAATTGATCCAATCATCTCTTGCGGTGGAGTAGACCGGCACACGGTAGGTGGGACAGGCACCAGAGCCATCATCCATTTTCCCATGCGGATCTAGTCGGATCCTTGCACGAGGGGTTCACTCGGGAACCCTCTTGTTGACTTCGACTGGTGACTTTCGGAGGATTGGGCGCACATCAACATGAAAATCAGACGCTAGTCCGAGCTTTATATAAGGAGAGCCGCCCACTGGTCACCGTCATAGCTCGTGAATCATTTTTTTCTTCTCTTTGCAATATTTCCCCTCCTTCTTTCCCCTCAGAACTTGTAACCCTCTCAAATGTCATTATGTCTTCAATATCTATGGCTATCTGCCTCTCGAAATTTATCACGGGGGGTGGCTGATAGCCTCAGATCACGGGCCTGGGGAGTATATGATCTAACCTGACTGGGCCAGACCGTTGGAATGGATCATCGTTTAGATGGTTTACAACACCCGAGGGGACAAGATGGAGGTTTTTTTTTCTTTCTTTTCTTTTATTCTTCTTTTACTCAAGAGCTTCCTCCTTTATATTCCGTTCCCCCTACTCCATGTCATATTTTTCCTTTTCCTTATTCTCTTTCTATGGTCAGTCTCTTATGCAGGTTGAGGCTGGCCACACGGTACACCCGGCAGACTAGCGGGGAATACCAAAATCAATGGAAACCCCAAGACAAAACCAAACAGAAACAGAAAAATGCAAAAAGCGACATGAAAAGAAAAAAAGGATGAAGCAAAAAAGAACTAACAGAACAGAGAACAGAAAATAACGAAAGTGAACAGAATTCTAACACAACAGTAACACAAACAGTAACCGGGAACAGGTAGGGGAAGGTTTCGCCGGTACCCTCCTCTGACCTGTCAGTAATTTTCCCTCATTCTCCTCTCTCCACTCCCCCTTTCATCCCTAACTGAACGGACTCTGGTGAACTGGTAGGTACGCCCATTGTTACTGTTTAAATCGATTATTTTCGGTCTTCCCCTCCCCCATTATTTGCGCTATTCTACTATTATTTTGGTTGTGGCCACGCACCCCCTCAATACTTCCCAGATTACACCCCCCTTCCATTGCCCTTGTCCTGTAGCCCTCATTTGTCTATGGTTTCTGAGGGAGCTGTCATTATTATCTTGGCTTTGTTAGATCATCAGTGACGCTTCTTATTCGCAATTTACTGACGTTCAGCCACTATCTCCAGCCTCTTCCCACCTTCCCCCCTTCCTTCATATCGCACCTTCCCCTTTCCTCCCGTTTTCCGTGGTTTGTTGCCTTAGGCCACAACACACTTCTTACACGTGACCTCCATCCGTCCAACCTCTTGTCTCCTTCATATCCCCATCTGTGCCAGCTGATTTCGGGACCCGGCTTCAGTCATCCGTCCAAAAAGCGGATTTAAGTCACTCCAGCCTTCTCGGTATGTACCTTAATTCCCATTCCCCTCATTCCCCTCATTTTATCTTTATCTCGATGGAGGGTCGTTCTTTCCTCACCACCCTCTTGCCTTTCCTGTGCCGTGTGTCGCGACCGGGTCTACACGCGACTCCATCCAAACATCAACGCGTCTTCCTGATCATTCCATACTTTCTCTCTTGACATGATGCTGCTATACATCTTTTGTGATGGCGCGTATATAGATGTGATGCTGACTCGCCCCAGGTGGATGGGCTGGCAAAACCGCTCGACATGAATGCCTGGCTTGCCGATGCCTCGAATATTCCTGGCCAGGATAATGGCGCCTTTCATCAATCCACAATAGATCCGTCTACTGCTTTCCTGCGTGGATCTCCTACCCCCCAGGATCCATCTCAATTCCAGCGCATGTTCAACAATGGCGTGCCGCGAAACGCCTCCCCAGGCTTCCATAACCCAAACCAAGTCATTCCGTCCAAGCGAGCACGGCCAGAAGATGGCATGCCCATGTCACCCAGGCCAGCACCCGGTGGTATAACGGGGCCGCGCTCCCAGACCCCTCACCAGGTGCCCTATCCGGGTTATCAAGGACCCCCGAATGGCAACACGCAATTCCAACAACACCCTACGCCTTACCAACATCTTCAACAAGGAGCATCGCCCAATGTAACCCAGTCACCCATCATGCAGGACTTCGATCAGCAAAGCGCCCGCATGGGAACGGCATCTCCGAGTCCTTTCTCGCCCGCTGGCCCGCACCCTGGACCCCATATGTCCCCGTCGCAGTCGGATCACGGCAGTCGCGTGAACACGCCGCAGAACGCCAACTTTATGCAGGCGCAGCAGTTCGGTGGTATGCCGCAAGGCCCCGGCATGACCTCGGGGGGCCCTCAACCTTCGATGCAGGCGCAGCAGTTCGGCGGCATGCCGCAATTGCCCCATAATTATCATCAGGCTTTAGCGAATCAGCAGCAGCGGCTGCAAGCCATGCAGCAGCAGGCACGCTTGAATCCCAACGCTGCCATGGCTGGACGGCCTGGGGCCATCAATCAGATACCGACTCAGCAGCAGGCCGTGGGGCGAATGGGTCAGATGCCGCAAAACATGCAGTCAAATATGGCGAAGTCCAACAATCCGGAAACCTTCCTTCGAAACCTGCAAAAATTCATGATGAGCCAAAACCTGCCCTTGGATCTAAATCCCATGGTAGCTGGTCGTCATATCAACCTCTTTCATCTCTACGCAACAGTGATGAAGATGGGAGGATCGAAAAAGGTCACAGGAGGAAACATGTGGCCGGTAGTTGCCCATCAGCTCTCATTTCCCCAGATGCAGTACCCCACGGCCGCCCAAGAGGTGCAAGGTCACTACTCACGAAACTTGGCGCCTTACGAGCAAGCTTACCTCATCAATTCGCATCAAAAGCAGATGGACATGCAGCAACAACAGCCAGGCGGGTTGCCGCGGCAGCCTAGTCAATTTCAGTCTCCTTCTTTGAAGTCGACCCAAGGCTTTGAGCAAGCTCAAGCCATCGCACAGTCTCCCCACAATAGCACACCAGTACATCATAATACCCCAGGGAATGCAATGAATGGGTTTGCGACGCCGACACACGCAAGAAGCCAGAGCAGGCCAGCCCAGGCCGGGCATCGGCCAAGCGTTTCCAGGACATCGCAACCACCGGTCCAACCGACTGATGCCGCTACTGGACAGTTTGTCGCTCCATCCCCCTCGCAATCCGGGAAGGGATCTACGCCAGTTGCTAGCCAACAGCAGCCAGTACACCAAGAGCAAAAACCGGAACAGCTAGTGAAACGACCTATTGGGGAGACCTTTAAGCCAATGGTTATGACAGGAAGTCGCCTGCATGGGCCCATTATTGTTGATGAGATGTACCAGCTTGGCGACGATATCTCGCGGCTAAAGCCAGGCGTGCCGACTTTTGCGGAACTGGGACTTGTTGATCTCCACGCGCTGACAATGGCTCTGAAATCCGGGATTACCGCCGAGGTCCGAGTTGCACTTGATACCCTTACCACACTCTCCGGGGAACCATCCCTTCAACTATCATTGGAGAGCTGTGATGACCTGGTAGAGAGCCTGGTTGACTGCGCTGAGGATCAGGTCGACTTTTTAGCGGAACACACCACCGAAGACTCCGATACTGTGCAATTACGTTCCTATGCAGAAGTCATTCGAGACTGCCAGTCCGAAAACACATCAATTGCAGAGGTTCCTGAGTTTGGAAGTATCGAGTACGAACTGGACCGGGCCGTTGACCGGCTCATCTGTGTTACCACCATTCTGCGCAACTTCTCGTTCAGCGAAACGAATTTCTCACCTCTTGGTATTCCTCCAGTCGCACAGCTGTTTTCCGACGTTTTCCGCTACATGGGAACCCGCAAGATGTTCCTGCGGACGAGCCGCAACACATTGGATATGATGAAGGATGGAGTTATTCTGCTGAGTAACCTGGCGCATGCTGTTCAAATACCCGGCAAGGAGGAAGCTTTGAATCTTTTGACGTTCCTGCTGGCATTCTCCCCCGAACCCACCTCGTCGCCCTCCGGCAAAGTGATGTTCACGGCATTCAACTCCTCGGTTGACCGATACACCCCGGCTGCGGTTGATGGACTTGCCAAAATGCTGGCTAGAGATGACCCGAACCGAACCTACTTCAAGGCCATCTTCTCTGGTGATGGGTCTGCACCTGCGCAGCCGGAGTTGTTAACCCGCGCCTTTGGTCTTGCCATCTCTTGCGTTCCTGACAAGAAGCCCATGGCCGTGGTGGATGCGCGCAAAGTGTTCTTGATGCAGGGCCTTTTATCGGCGGATGTCCTCACCACCTTCGCCGATGGCACCCTTGCCAAAGCATGGCTTGAGTCGGTCGATGGCTTTGCGGTCCATCTTCTCCGACTTTCCTGCGCTCTGTGCACAGAGCGTATTCCCCAAATAAACGTGCGACAACGGGGCCAGGCCGAGGCTGACGCATACGCTTTCAGCTCGATTGTCAACCGCGGATTAGGCATCCTGCGCCGACTCGCTGAAAAATCAAAGCAACTCGACAACTCCCTCCCCCTCAACATTCCCTCTGGAATTCTCCCCCGAAAAGAGAGCCTACTAGGCGCACTCCTCCTCCCCAACATTGACGGTGGTGTCGTTCGCCAGCTGCTCACATATGCTCGGTTGGCGGAGTAAATGATGTTTACATGAAACCTGTAACGGGTTTGTTCGTGCCCATTATGTCTGGGAGGATGTCGGCGTATTCCTCTCACGTAGCATCTACGACCATCTTCATTTTCTCTCATGTCATTTGTACTCATGTCGCCTGTCTCTCTCTCTTATTACTGTCTTCTAGGTGCTGGTGGTGAAAGGGGTTTTCATGTTTTATTGACTGGTGAGATAGCGTTCTGCTCTGCTTCAGTGTACAATTCTCAACCTACCCTCGATAGAAATCGAGAGATACTGATATTGCATCAAGTCCAATTGGCCTTTCAATAGCTTCGTGATCTTGTATCAGATCACATCGCATCGGTCTACTGTTGGGTCATACTTTGACTCGGCCACCCACGTTGAATGAGCATGCATGTAGCGGAATGAAAGGCCACCTGTGTCATGTGCTCTTGCTTCGTCGCATACTTTTGACTATAATATCTGTAATAATGGGACCTGTGATTTACTGCATCCGGTTAGTTTTGCCGTTCCCGGCCTAGCGCCCTAATACACCGTCTTGTCACCTCTCCCTCCGTCGCCTCGACATAAAAGACACGACCTCGCCCTCTCGCTCTCCTTTCTCCTTCTTCTCCCTCCCTTCAACTCCTCTATCTTGCACTCATCGCCGCCCCCTTTCTTTCACCCTGGCGCCCACCGACCACTGTGCCTTGGCTTTCAGCCCGACGCACTGCCCCTTTCATTTTACCAGAGATGCCGCTCGATCCAACGCCCGGCTCGTTCTCGCCCCTGGAATGAGCAGTCACCCAGGAGCAGAATCGCTGGGATGATCTAGCTCGCAGCCGCGTTGGTGTGATTTCGTGTCGATGCTCCTACTTCTTCCCAAACCATCATGCTACGGAGCTCTCTAGGTCTTCCTCCACCACTGTGCCTTGTTCGTCTTTGATTGCGCCGGCTTGCTTCGCATTTGCAAAGTGCCAGTATACCCTCGACGCCCTATGCCCCGCTCCGTCCGCCCCATCTGAGGTTACATTGCACAGCGCCTGGCGTCACAGAACGGCTCTCGTTTGCCTGGTCCGGAATACCGTGGCGCCCAGTTGTCGTCATTATCGGTCTCTCCGGTTCCTCTACACCCCGTCGACGAATCTTCGAAAGCACGGCCCGGCGATATAGGCCAATAGCGAAAATACCGCATACGCCCCCTGACCTCGGTCGATGCTGCATCTTCTGGCACGCGCCGGGACTGCGACTGCGAAAACCATGCCATAATCCCACCGTCACCTATCGAATGGCGAACGGGCTGATAACGGGCTGATGACTAGTGTGGGCATGCATCACAAGGGTCATCAGCGAGGGTGGCAGGAATTGTTGCCGATAAACTAAAGCTCGTGATTGTGGATTGTGAAATCAGCGTGATCGCGTTCTGGGATACAGTGGTCTGGGTTGCAGGAGCTGCCCTCCCGGGCGACAATCATCTATAAAGGAGACTCCAATTCCACGCAAATGGCAAAGCTGGAATCAAATCCCTTCAAATTCTCGTCTTCCCCTATCCCCGGTTCCGTGTTCTATGAGTGCCGACAAACACCATATCCCGAAGACCTTTTCAGGCGTTTCTTTGTCAAAAACGACTTGACATCGAGGGTATATTTACCTAGTCTAGCGATCGAACGTCCCTCTGATTAGCACCTTTCACTTGTCGCGAGTAGATACATGAAACCACAATAATTACGTGATCTTCAACTCGGCCTTTTCTTGCGGAAATCACGCCTTCTGTGCACAGACGCGGAGTGTAATACCGATCATATTCAAGTCTCAGTAAAGAAAGGCCACATGGCCTTCGCCTCCTTCGCAGATCTCTCTCCGGCCACCTTTTCAATATACAAAGCCATAAGCTCCTCGTTCTGCCTTCTCTTCTCGTTGATATCCAATTGCGGCGCAATCCACCCTTCTGCATCGGTATCAAGGCACTCTTCAGCAAGCATTCGAACCTCATACCAAGCCTGATATTCAGCGAACTGTCGTTCATGCTCGTCAAGTTCTGCTTGGCTGAATGAATAAGGGCACTCCCCAGAGAAACCAAGGTTTGCCCAATTTTGACATATTTCTATCAAGCATGCACGAAGCGGAACGATGCCCACTTCAGAAACTTCCCCGCATCGGATGAACAGTTCTCGGAAGACACGAGGTACGCTCATGGCATCATGCGCTACCCTGTCTTCAAGATAGGTTGACACCTCATAAGCCTTCGCCAATTTTACTTGGGACCATTCACGCAGAGCAATAATTCTGCTCTCTTCATCAAGCTTGTCAAAATCTTCCGGCAGCTGTGGTTGAAATATTCCCCTCACGTAATCGTAATTCTGTGGAGGCCGTAGAAATATCGGCCACTGGGCTTGGAGAAATGCGGGAAGCACAGTCGTTGACTGGAAATCAATGAGGGAAACTATTTTTGAACACTCGTCTGGCTTGACAAAAATATTTCCCATATGAAGATCAGTGTGCCACAGAGTAGGCTGGGAAGCTTTCTTCAATAATTCGTTTGCGTCTAAGAGCTTCATAACGGCCATGGTGACTTCCAAGAGCTGGCTTTGTTGCTCAAAAGTTCCTCTGTAATAGTTTGACTGACTTTGTTGGCCTCCTCTTGATATTAGAAACAATTCTCGCTCGGCAATTGATATTCCCAGGTCTGAAACCGAATTCCCTATGTAAAGTTCAGCATGCGGAGTATCAAGTGGTGGTGGTAACGTACAAGGCCCTTGGTTAAATTCCAGCGTCATATCGGTATTGTAAGCCCGGTCGCAAGAAGGTCCAATGGAAAAAGACTGGGATGGATCAATATCACCATCAAGGGGCCTGTTTGACCTGCTCGTATCTGTCCGAAGGTACAGTCCTCCGTAGAAGGGGAATTTAATCGTCGCCAACTGAGCCTCAAGCTTGGTCAAATTCTTGATCAGCTGCAGCTTTTCAAAATTCCGTCATAGTGCCCCAAACTTGAAACAGAGGAATCCCAGGAGCTTTCTCCATGACGATATATTCGGCACCCACGGGGTTTGAGCGATCAGACGACCAAGAAAGGACACGAGGCACAGGAATGGCAGTGTGTCTCTTGACTGGGTTGTACAATCTTAGTGAACCGAGTCCCCGCAGCTGGACATCACACACCATATTCTAAAACTCCCACTTCACCAGCCGTTGTTAATGACGACGGGCCAGCAATGCGGCACGGAATTTTGGCAATCACATCCGTTCCATTTGCCCTTTTTATCAGGAAAGCCTTGCTGAACCCCCCTTCCATTTTATCAATAGCAGTCACGCGGCTGGAATCTCCTCCGACCAGGGCAGCCGTACTGCAAAGCGCGTCTAAGTCGAACCGGACATATCGTCGGCTAAACTGATGTTCTTCATCGACAAGGAAATGGCCATTGGTGTAAGCGAAAAGATCCTCACGCGTGACCGGCATGCCTGCTTGAATCTTCAGTGACTATCTTCAAAACAAAGTTGCCCTCTTACCTCGACAAGTTATCGATAGAGGTGTTTCCAGCTGGCCATAACACGATTTTGAGAATTTTCTAATGAGAGAAAGCATTTCGCACAACCAGCTTAGAACGTCGTCCAATGCCAGCCTTGCAGAAAGCAAAGACATGTGGTGTCTCAAATGGGGCTCTTCTAAATCAGATCAGGTGGTAAGCTCCCCTGTGTTGCCTGCCAAGTCAGCTTGAGCGCCCATCGTCGGACCGATGTTACTCCGAGGAACGCTAACCCATAACCGGCGAAGAAGTATTATTCATACCCGGCCACCAGGGTCCTGATAGAGAGGCACCACCCCTTTTATAATATCTAAATCGCCGAGAATTTGTATCACTTTCACTTGCCTAGCATTTCATTGAAGGAAGGAATAAGCGTAGAAGTACTATGGCTATCTCGGGTTAATTTTGAATACAATAGTCCGTAAAGTAGGCAAAAAGGTAAAGCCCAGTAACAGTGCGTATTGGCTGGCAAGACTACGGTAGAGAAGTACAGAATGAGTCTCCTTCGATATCCCCCTTGCAGAGTTGCACCCACGGTCGCGTGTATTTGATATTGCCCAGTATTCGTTGCACATGTGTATAGGTAGTCCAAACGTTCAGCGGGTGGGCGACGCCTATCCTCCCTGGATGGTTGTAGGCAGTCCCTACTTATGCATACTTCCAGTGCCCGATGACAAGGCGCACGTCTGTCCAAGTCAGTTTTCAATATTTTTTTCAGGAAGCAACGAAGAAACGAACTTCTTTAAAGGTTTGCCTTTGCCTGCCTCTCCATTTCCTCCCACCATTTCCTGGCAACTTCTTCCTGGGATTCCGGTGGTGTATTCTCGTCGATTTGACCAGATGCCAAGTTCGCATCAGTTCCCTTTTTCTTTCGGAACTTTACCAGAGCTCAGTCATCACCGTCATCCATTATCTCAACCATCCCAAAGTGCATCCTCACTTGATCAACACTGCGAACGAAGTACGCGCCGAGCTTGGTTTAGCCGATCAGGAATGGATCTCACAGGGTAATCACAACCCTCGAGGCCAGGATTGGTGGGATCAATGGATTCGAGAACTTTTCAGGCGAATTGGAGCGGAGAGCAGGAATTGGGTCAGTAACTGGGTGACTAGGATGAGAAATATCTGGGCCGTGAGGACAGGAGACGATGCTGTGTTTGTTCTCGAGGCCCTGGCGAGGTACAAGAGTCTTGCATCAGACATGGACATTGATTTGGAAGGTTTGGATTGATGTCGTGGTACTGTAGTTGAGACCAGTGGGATACAATGTGTGGCCTGGGCAAACTTTGTACCTGAGTACTCCACCATTTTCTATAAATTCTATTACCCTCAAAATGACTTGGTGATGTAGACTTTGTAGACATGAAAATGACCCCGTAGATGTAATATCGTGAATATAGGATATTCCATTAATTGTCCCGAGACGATTGCACACGGAAGTCAATACGTGAACTGCGACAGCCCCAACATCTTCTCCCAACCGCTAAGACTTTTTCTTCGGTCATGTGGTGACCTAGAATAAACAACAGCAACTCTGTCCCTGAAGTAGAAGACCCAGAAACGAAGCTCAGTAAACGTCACGGTATTCAGAAACGAGCGCATAGCTCTTCCGCATGTAATCACCATCCTGCATATTCCGCCAAATATCCCAAAGCCCCTGCAAAGAACACTTCATCCAGCCCGGAAAGGGGGGCTCTAGCTCTTGCCACGCCTCGACAAGCTTCACATAGTGTCCCACCCGGTGCTGCATGTCTAGCGGACATTCTTCGGGAATTGGAGTGCCTTGCAAGGACTGAAAACTCTCCTCATCAATCAGGATAAACATTCGGTAATCAGGAAACAAGTCAGCCATGCCCCGCTCATTCACCCAGGCTTCGTAGTGAGACCGGACCTGATCAATCGATGCGGCCTTGAACTGGGTAGCATCTTGAAAGACATGTGGTTCGTACTTGGACCACATTTCATCAAATATAGCTCCGTCAACCTCATTTGCCCTGGGACCTTTGAGCAGAGATTGGTGTTCTTTGTAAAATCCGGCCTTGACGTACGCCGTGATCAGGTCGACGATCGCGGGGAAAGCGGCGTCGGATTGCGGGCTATAGGTTGTCCGATATATGGTGAAACCCCAGGTTGGTTCGGTCGACTTGAGCCAGTGACGAAGATTGTCCAGATGATAGGGAAGCCATGGATAGGAGTCTGGCATGATGAAGACGGTGAGATGGTAGATGACGAGCGGCAGAGTAGTTTTGTGTAGTGTTGTCAATAGCAGGCATCAGAACAGGAGAACAATCACGGAAACAGAGCGCCCCTCTGCCAAGAGCTTCCGCCAGGGAGCTTGTTTTTCGCAGCCTGGCACTTGCACCCATCACCAGCACGCCAAGATAACCGGCCCCTTACAATATTACTTAAGATACAGTGGCGCGCCATAAGTCTGTGACTCCTTGTTGACCGTCTTGGTCTCCGATTTCCTATAATGGACTAGTATTTACCTTAAGTAGTATAGTGTTGTCTACCACTTCTAATTTAGGCGACCACTAGTCTATCTTAAGAAGGCGGTCAGTAGGGGGTCACAGACTTATGGCGCGCCGCTGTATCTTAAGTAATACTACCTTACGGGATGTGGCTTCTATCCATATACATGTAGTTGCCCTATGCTCTTCCATACACATTCCAACCCACTCCTACGTTCAAGTCAGATGTAATATGAAGAAGTTTCGATGTTATGGCAATGTGAGTGGTCATTCAGTAGAAAAGCAGAACGAGCCATGGAGTCGTCGAAAATGTACATAGGAAGTGTTACAGGGAGCAAAAGACAAACCCAGGGCAAAAAAGCAGGTGCACGCCAGAGCCACGACCGGACAGATGAAACAAACACCAAAGGAAATGAAAAGAAAAGGAAGAAACACCACCCGCGAGATTAAGGTATGCACCGAGGGAAGAGGAGAAAATAATAGATATTACCCATCGACATCAGGGACCACCATGAACGTTCATTTCTTTCTTTCCCCTCCCTTGTTTTCGACGTGGATATTTGCTCTATCCGATAATGCCCTAGCATACCCCTCGCAATAGGGGTATGAAGTTGCTTTTGAATGTGAATCTTGAGCCACGAGAAGGGTTCTGATGGATCTTCAATCGCGGTGCGCGAGATAGGTATGAGGTATTGGTAAAGAAAGCATTCAGAATTTCCGCTCCTGGAGGAAGTTCACGATCTCAGGTTTCCGCCAGCCCTATTCCGAGATATCAGTAATTGTCGCGGTACAATCGCACCATGGAAGCAGACATACCTTGACAATGATGTGGCCGGTGAGTCGGTTCAAAGTAACGTCGGGATTGGGCTTGTTGCCGTCGACAACACCCAAGGCACAAGCCAGGTCGTTGCGCAGCGCGTCCAAATCGCCTTCGGTCTTCTGAATCTTGGTCAGTTGCTTGGTACCGCCGGCCTTTGTGACGAGATAGACAGGCAGCTGGTTGGAGGCAGTGCGGCGGACGAAGTAGGGGAGGTTGGTGAGCTGCAGAGTTGGTGTCGTTTTCTTGGCTGGTTTGCCTGGGGTTGGGGGTGCCGATGGAGCCGCTGATTGTTCTTTCAGGGCTTGGGCTCGACGGCCGATGTGGGCGAAGAATGTACGGCTTTGGCGGGTGGGGAGAGTAGGGAGGAATGATTGAGGGCGATCTGGAGCGGAGGGTTAGCATTGCACTTCTTTCTGCATTGACACGAAATCAAGATAGCATAAATGCATTTTTTTTCTTCCGATGCCCATGTCTGTTGGTTACAAGCTATCGCAAGCCTAGAAAGCTTGTAATTTGCACTTGTAGGTCCGTGGACATCAAGAGGAAACCGAGCAAGAGGTGACTTACGTGAAGATTGCAACCTTGCCTGAGGGCATAATGTGGAAAATGAACTACATGTCTGAACGGAAGCCACGGAGTTGACGCGAAGGGGAATGGCCGAGGCCTGCTTTCGCATGGCTGATGCCGGGCCCGAGTGCAAGATAGACGCCATTGTAAACGTTCTAGAGGACCGAAGAAAGAAACACCCGGTTGAAGGTGATGAGGATATATCGGCAGAGGCTGGGAAGATCGCAGAGCGACATCTGATGCTCCTCTGCTCAGATTTTCTGCCACCGCTTCCCAACACCCACTTCCAAAAAGGGTTTAGGGCCACCGACGCCCGCACAATCTGCAAATTCTCCATTGATCGTGGTTGGCCTTTGTTATCCCCCTCTAGACCCTTCAACCCCCTTCTGCCATCTTTGAAGATCCATCATGGCAGACAACGCCCCCCTACCGCGGAGACTTTGCTCAGCGGCGCTGCTGCTCACCCGCCCAAGGCCGCCGAGGATATCGCTTCCCAGCATGATTTGCTGCCCCGACTCATCCCGTACCTCGACCGTCACCTGGTTTTCCCTTTGCTCGAATTCAGCGCTACCGGCGATGAGGAGGACAATGATATTACCCGGGCAAAGTACGAGCTGCTCAAGCACACCAACATGACCGACTACGTCGCCAACCTGTGGCAGGAGATCAACAATTCCGATACCATTCCCGACGAGTTTGTGAAGAAGCGCGAGGAGGTTTTGGCCAAGCTACAGGACTACCAGGAGAAGAGTGAGAAGATTACCGAGTTGTTGCAGGATGAGGAGGTCGTGGGCAATCTGCGAAGCGACAAGGCCGCCAACTTGCGGTTCCTGGAGGAACAGCACGGTGTCACCAACGAAATGGTCAACTCCCTTCACGACTACGGACGCTTCCAATACAGCTGCGGCAGCTATGGAAATGCCGCCGAGCTGCTTTACCAGTTCCGTGTTCTTTCCACCGACAACGACAGAGTCGCCTCCGCCACGTGGGGTAAGCTCGCATCTGAGATTTTGACCACCAACTGGGAAGGTGCGATGGAGGAGGTTCAGAAGGTTAAGGACTCAATCGAGACTCGCCTGTTCAACAACCCCATGGGCCAGCTTACCAACCGCTCTTGGCTCATTCACTGGTCGCTGTTCCCTTTCTTCAACCACGACCCCGCCCGCGACGTCCTTACCGACCTCTTCTTCTCTCCCGCATACATCAACACCATTCAGACCAGCTGCCCTTGGGTTTTGCGGTACCTTGCCGCCGCTGTCATCACCAACCGCAGCCGCCCTCACAAGCACTCCGGTGTCTACCAGAAGCAATTGAAGGATCTCATCCGCGTTGTGCGCCAGGAGGACTACGAGTACACCGACCCGATCACCGATTTTATCAAGGCCCTTTACGTCGATTTCGATTTCGAAGAGGCACAGAAGAAGCTTGGCGAGGCAGAGGATGTGCTCCGCAGCGATTTCTTCCTTGTGTCGGCCGCCGACGCTTTCGTCGACGCTGCCCGCCACCTCATCTCTGAGAGCTACTGCAAGATTCACCAGCGTATTGACATCAAGTAAGTCTTACATGCGAAGCATTGGCTACCGGAACAGCAAATTAACTGATATCTTTTCTTTTAGCGACCTTTCCGCTCGTCTCGGTCTTAACCAGGATGAGGGTGAGAAGTGGATTGTCAACCTGATCCGCGACACCCGAGTTGATGCTAAGATTGACTACAAGGAGGGCACCGTCATCATGAACCACCCTCCTCAGTCCGTCTACCAGCAAGTCATCGAGAAGACCAAGGGTGCCTTCTTCCGCACACAAGTCTTGAGCTCGGCTGTCGCAAAATAAGCATCTGCATGACCTGATGTCGAAAACTGAACTTTTCTTTATGTTTCACCTTGTTTCTGCCCCATTTTTAGTGATCTCCCCGTGTAGGTCACAACACGGTTGTTTGAGGGATGGGACTCCATGCAGAGTGGCATCCGGCTGGCGTTTTATTTGGGGGTCCACACACTTATTCCTTTACCTCTTTAGTCTTGCAGTTCTTATGCACAACTCTCTTCCCCAGATTTTCACTTCCTTTGTCAGATCTATTGCTTTGACCTCTTTATGTATTGGCCATTTCTGACCCTGGAGGTTTGGAGGGAGGGGTCTTCGAAGCAGCCATGAGATCAACATGGCGCCCCCTCCGTCAGAAGAGTATTGTTTGGGGGGTACAAAAAGAAGGAGAGGAGAGATCGAGATATGATGCAGTAGACTCTTTGATCTGGGGTCTGATTTATCTATGCTGTTACGAATGGTCTATAGAGATGAGTGAAAGATGATGTCTTTTGACAATACCTTTGCCAGGATGTATCACTCGTAGCTCTTGTGTACGCTTCCCATCCTTCTAAGACACTTATAGTGATGCTTATACGAGACTAGGTAGTAGGTTGTAGCACATCTCACCAGGTATTCTTTTAACCGAGCCCTAAAGTACATGACTGGATGTACTTGATTTGCCCATTCCCGTCTGACATTCCCAGAGCAATACTCAACCTTAAGGATCAGGTCCACCTTCCACCTGCCTAGAGAAGATAAAGAAGATATAGAGAACCCCTGAAGCCAAAGATGCGATGTATGCAATGTATGCAATAACTGATCGGAACGACACGAAGCGTTCAGATTACAGTAAGAGAAAGAGTATATCCGAAATGAAATATCTAAGGGACGACGATTTCATCGTACGCACAGGCCAGATCGGGGCAGTTCAGTGACATTGCTGGCCGCAATTCAGACACCTTAGAAGTTGCTGGAAAAAGAAGACCCAGTCCACTGGATGGAAGAAAGGCACCAAACCCAGCCTCAACGACCACCTCGTGAGGAGTCTGGCTCCGCACGTCTCCGTGCAGGTTGATTAAGATTAAGAAAGATAATCTCGTTGATATAAGTCTCATTCGATGTATCATTGACGGTAGTCGAAGCTGAGGCCGCGCTGGCGTTATGCACCATTCGAGTAGCCTCCTGCCGTTCATACTCCCGGGACATGACCATGAGGTCGTCTATTTGGTCCTTTTAGAGGTTAGCCATCTCCCATCCTTTCGATTTGGTTGCAACGGGAGAAAGAAGGGAGAGTGTGTCTAACGAACCCGCGTAAGAGGTACGCCGTTAATCAGGTAGCCTTCGCGTCCCTGTAATGGTATGTGCCGTTAGAGAAGCTCGATTGCGCACGGGACGATCTTTCACATACCTGGTAGCTGTACGGTCTGACTGTTGCACTGGGTCCAAGGAAGTAATGGATATGGCCCAAGACGATGTGTCGGGACAGTCCGTAGCCTGGGAGGAAATATTGCTGGACTGGAGCCATCTCTGTGGCAGAGAGCTAGAAGCGTGAAGACAGGACAGAGGAATGCCGTAGTTAAGAAGGGTTCGATGTCAGTCGACACGCACAGAGCCTGCCCGTAGCTGGATGGGTTTCGTATGATTTTGATAGGTATTTATGCCTGCTGATACTGTGTTGACCAAACGATCTTCGCAGAAACGAGACGAATAAGATAAGATCTCACCCAAAAAGCACAATTTACCAACCTGTTGGTTCAAAGGATCTGAAATTCTCCCAGTAAACGGACAAGGGGACCGCGTAACCCCTTCGTCGAACAAGAGCACGATCCACAGACGGCGCTGCATAAGACCACCAAGAAAACCCACGAACCCGGAATCTCTCTCTCTCTCGCTAGCCTCGACGCAGAGCGGCAAGAAGCACAAGTGGATATCACCCGGACCAACCCAGATCCGGCATAGAAGGTTCATATCGGAACATTCGGGGCGGGCTGAGGAGGAGAGAAATCTCCCGCCTCACTTTATCAATCAACCAGATCCAACCCTTTTCTTAACCAATTTCCCTGCAATCTCAAATTGGAGCCCTTCTGACCATCGCATAACCGCTGATCTACCCACTTTCCCACCGCTAGCTATCAACCGGGTCTGGCGAATGTGATGCTTGCAGGGGAAAGCATCGGTTCTCGACGTAATCGGCAGGGCGCGGGGAGTTGGAGTATTTCCTGAATTTCCTAAAAGGGGTGACAGTGCACCTGTGTACTTCCATAGTTGTTTGAATGTGGTGCCAGATGAATTGACGCTTCTCACCGCAACCTCCCCGAGGTATGTTGTGTATGCAGCGCCAAATTGGCTCTTTTCTGCGGTGATGTCGTGGCACCATGGATTGGCGGTTTGGGGATCGTGGGGCCACTGAGCTGCAGCGAGGACAGCTGCAGCTCTCGCTTTTGGGAATGGTTTTGGTCATCTCTGCCAAGGGGATATAGTATGAATTTCATTTTGTGAACACATGGCGGATGGAGATGAGTTTGGAGACATTGCTTCCATGAGATCTATTGAGTGAGTTAATTCTCATTTGGCCAAGGAGTGTGTTGCGTTGTATTTTCGTCTATCGAGGTCGAGATGAGCAAGGGTTCTATGCCCATGTGATCAGGTGGTCATCGTAGGGTTAGTCAGGATTGACCAGGGCATGTTCTCAGGGTCTTGATACTCTACAGTTTCACGACACACTTCAGGGAATATTCTCTCTAGTATTTTCATAATTCGTTCGAGAGCGAAAACAAAAGTATAGCACAATCCTCTACTGGGGAGGCACATATGGGGTCACCAACATCTCACTGAACTTCTCCAACTTCTCCTTTCCGCGCACTTCCTCAACAAGCATGGGCATGCGGACCACATTGAAATCCTCATAGAGCTCCTCGATTTGATCGAGGTACTTCTTCTGCATCTTCCTCCGAGCGGTGCACTGGTCGCATTGGCTTTCCGCCTTAGGGAACAGCAGCTGGTTGACAACGATGGAGTGGGTGTCGATGTTGTAGCTGGTCAATTCCTGGATCATACGTTCCGTCTCGTAGAGCGACAAGAACTCCGCAATGCATACACACACGAAAGTGGTCATATCCGGGTTCTTGAACTGCGTGTTGACTTCGCTAATAGTCTCCCGCAACGACTCCATCTTCTGCAGCAACTCATCCATATTCTGGCCACCAGGCAGACCACCCCGAGCGCCTAAAATCGAGTTGAGCATCGGGCCGAACTGGCTGGACAGCTGGGAGAGCTTGGCCAGCGCCTTCTCGAGCACGGTGGGGAACTGGAGGAAGCGGAGGGTGTGGCCGGTGGGCGCGGTATCAAACACGATGACTTCGTAGGAAAGCGACTTGACCTGCTTCAGGACTTCGGCGAAGGACATGGCTTCGTCAACACCGGGAATCTGAGGGCGCGCAAGTTAGCTTGAACACGTAGTGGAAAGCGCAACGTCAGTAAGGCACTTACGCTGAAGGCGAGGTCTTGCATCATGTTTCCCATGCCCAATCCTGCCATGGGGTCGTCTCCCTGGTCGCCGGTGGCGAGCAAATCCTGGATGCTCCCATTGGGGTCGATCTCCATCGCGCTCAAGTTTGAGTAGCCATCAATTAGTCGGGCCTCCTTTCCGAACTTCTGGCCGAATGCGTCGCTCAGGTTGTGTGCGGGGTCGGTCGAGATAAGGAGAACGGACTTGCGGACTTTAGCCAGCTGGATGGCCAGCGAGCACGAGGTGGTGGTCTTACCCACACCTCCTTTTCCTCCGACGAAGATCCAGCGGAGAGTGTTTTGGTTGAGAATCGACTGGAGCGTGGGCTCCATGTCGAGGTCATCCCCATGTACCACGGCGGAGGACATTGTGTGATTGTTGTGAGGTGGAAAGTTGAAGTTCAACGAAGTTCAGAACACTTTGGTTGCCCCGCAAATCGAAGATTCCGGAAGACGGTCTGGCTACGCCCTTGAACTTGAGCTTTCATTGCTGCTACTCACTTTTATATCTTTTCAGCTTGCTTCTCTCTCTGTCGGGTACTTAAGAGTCATTGCTTTCTTTAAACAATTTGGGCATCCAACATTATTCACGACGCTCGGCTTTGACCTCGAAATCGCAGGAAAATTCACACTCGTCGAATAACATAGAAAACTCACAGTTCTAGATCGGTTTGATTAATCGCAGCTAACGAAAGGGGTAACTGCGATATACATACTGTGTATGCGAGTCGCCGAACCCTACTGATAGCTGTTGATGGCACTCTCCGCATCCATCGGTGCTCTCCGATGAGCATTCGAGACCAGAAATACAGAGCTCACTTTTCCACCCTTCTCTTCTTTCCTTTCCTCAATCCCCAATATCCCTCCTCTCTCTGTATGAATGGCCTCTCAAAGAGTTCCTCAATCCGATCGCACCGCCAACCGCCTCGCACAATACCAACAACAAATCTCCCCCGCCCCGCACTCCAAACCCTCCCCTCAACCCGCAAAACCACCCACCATGGCCACCCGCGATCCCATCACCTGCCATTGCCTCAACACACTATCCGGAACACCGGCAGCCAATCTGCCCGTGACGCTGACCCTCCTCTCTACCGGGTCAGCCAGCAGCGGTGCCACATTCCGCGCAACCACGAACGCCGACGGCCGTGTCGCCAACTGGTCCCCAGTCGGGACGGCTTCGGAGTCCGTCCCGGCCATCTTGGCTGCCTTGCCTGCTGCAGATAGCAAGACCAATTGGTCTGTCCGCTTTGAGGTTGGGCCCTGGTACGAGGCTCAGGGTATTGAGAGCTTCTGGCCGGAGGTTGAAGTCAAGTTTACGGTTAAGGGACGGGGACGTGAGGGGGAGGAGGGCTGGCGCCATTATCATGTGCCTGTTCTTTTGGGTCCGTGGAATTATTCGACGTATCGGGGTTCGTGAGGGTTCATGTCTTTGAAGGGTGGGAGCTGTATATATTTGGTTGTTTCGGACTTCTGAATAGACACGATGTGGATGTCAATGGATCTGCTATTTCCCCGGGGAAGATTTATTCTACGAAATAGAGATAAGAATAATTTTCGTAGTTTATTCTTTCAGCACAAGGCAAATATTCGAGCTGGATAGCGCTGGCTTGGTGTTTATCGTCGGCGAAATGCTTAAGCGGGAGGTGAAAGCTGTGGGACCGACTCGATCGATGTGGCCGTAAAAAAGGGGAAAGGGGAACAAAGCCTCGATCGCACACGCTGAACTCACGGAGCCATCATAGGCGTTCAATTCGCAGCGAGAACGATTTCAGATCTCGGCTCTTTTTCGTGTATCCAGGGACGCCATTGTTGTGGGATTGAGTCCGACTGACTTCATGTTCGATGTTAATATCAGAGAGATTTAGCTCTAAAGAGCAAGCACTTTGCATTGAACGCAACGCCGAGGGGATGCTGAAAATCAGTATCTCTGCCTTTGCGGATATGGAAGGCAATAACGGTCTATTCTCTTGGCACAGTCGCGACTTCAAAATGTTTAAGCATGCAGTGCGCAGGAGCAGGAGGCCAAGACTGTGGGGAAACGGCTCTCCACCCTAGAACGTGAGCGGGAGCAGCCCTATCTTCACGACAAGTTTCGCCCCAAATGGCGTAGTCGCGTAGTTAGTGCACCGAAGTACAGCTGCACAGCATACAAGTACATTGGTCCAGAACACCACATACAACATAGAATTTAGAATACTCTCGACTGTCATCTACGTGGACTATCTAGTATTGTACAAGACTCTTGAATTCTCGGCTTATTCGACGCGACACCATATCGAAGTCCAAACAATGTCATTTGCGTACTGCCTAACAAGATTATGCAGGAGGCGATCTGAATCTTGTCCATTGTACGGAGTAGTACGGAGTATGCATGCGCGACGCGTCTATCAAATCCATGCCCACGGGCGGCTGCATTGGGGCTGATTAAATACATGTCGGCCTCGACCGTAACAGGTCGTACAAGCTTGACGGTAACCGTTACTAGTGTCCTTGCTTTGGTATCTTCTTGCAAGCAAGGTTTAGGCCAGTACAATCAGCTTGTGTTTTCCATACTGCCATTTCTTTTATTTACTGTGTAAATTATTGATTTACATAGAAGATATTTGTTATCTCGTCTCATCCCAGCCTAGAATGCCAGTGGCGAGAAAAGGAAACCTTCAATATCACGTGTCTGTAATTGCGTCATCGTTTTCACCGCATTCTTCGGCTTCCGCGAAATCCCACGCCTTGGTAATGTGGTTTCCTGCCGTATTAGTGGTCCAGGGGGCCCCTGAGATCCACAGCGGGAGGGATTCCTGTCGTCACCGTGACATAATGGATATCTTGTTTTGTTGTGTCTGGGATGGCCAATCCCCCTCTGTATCAGGGATGCAAGCATCGAATCTCTGTTTGGTAGGGTATCCACTGATTTTTGATTGGACACTTCTTTTCGGGTCTTTCTTTCGGAGCCAGTGATAGTGAACCAGATGACTCCGCTGTAAATCATCGACAAATGAAGATTGACTTGTTCGACCGAGTCTCCACCAATGGTCAGACGAGATCCAGGTAAGGGTGTCTCCCTTCGTAGAATTGTCAGTGAGAGCATTGATAACACAGTATGGTCAAATAGACATGAGAGTGAGTAGAGTTAATTGCATAACCGGTTTGACAATATGTAGTATTCATCTGTACAATTATGTAGCATTAGACATGAATAAATCAAGCAAAGTGACTTGGGTGGAACCCGATTCGGAATAATACCGGGTCTGGATATAAAATTCATCGATACGGTACCTTGTGGTAACGTGGTATTTTTCATTAGCCAAAATCCCAAAATCCCTAAATTTCATCATATCCCTCTTCCCCCTACGTCACTCTCTTCTCTTCTCTTTCCTCACTCTTGAACCACTTTTGTTTGGCTTTGCAGAATTTCTATTGATTTTATACGATTAAGGTGATGTCTGCTGCGGTCGCCCCAGCCGTATCGACTCTTCAATCGAATATGTCTTCATCCCCTATGGACTCGAAGAAGATAGAGAAAGAAGGTTTGTGTCACGCTTTGCCTTCATTTTCTACCCGCATTGCTAGTACTTTTGCTTTGAAATCACCTTTGGATATATTCATCGAATGTTTTTATTTCTTTTCGCGTGTTCTGCATTATACTTCGAAAGTCGGCCCCTGTTGGTTGGGTAATACGCCACTACCCCCGAACCCTTAAAATTCCCCAAACCCTTTGCCGTCGCGATGACTTCACTCACTGGCGTCATTGATTTCCTCCCCACCATTTGCATCTTCCACACACAATGAAGCCCCCGACAAGATCGCAGAACCGCAGTGGTACCTATTTGTGAATCGCATTATATTTTGGCGCGTCATAGCTAACTCTCGACCTCCCGCCAGACTCGCAGGCCGCGTCTTCGCAGAAAGATCAGAAATCTAATACAGAGACTCAGACTTCGTTGGCGCCCCCTCCACGACCGGGTGCGCCTACGGCAACTGATACTCCGGACTACTTCAGTTCTATGCACAATCCGTTCTCCCTCGAGCCGAATCCATTTGAACAATCATTTGGAGGGAACCCGGCGGAGACCCCAGGCAAATCACTCCTGCCCTCTGTCGCCGCTCTCACCTCGCCGGCCCTGCCTGGAACAAGCTCTGCGAGTGGTTACAATTGGTCCAACTCGCTTCGCTCAGGACCTCTTAGTCCGGCTATGCTCCCAGGGCCGACCGGCCCCAATGACTACTTCGACAGCATCGGTCGCGGCTTCCCTACCCCGAACGAGTCCTCCATGCGCACGGGACTGACCCCTGGTGGTGGAGGTTCTATGTTCCCGGCTCCTAGTCCCAACTCGCAGGCTCTCTTGCAACAACTCCAAAACGGTGGCGCTACTCCTTCCACCATTGATTTCCATCGCACCGCACTCGCAGCAAAGAAGAACAACGCGAATGCTCCTACCTCTAACCCCAACGAGCAAGAACAAGCTGCCGCTAAGATGGACACGAAACCAGCTCCACCTGCTGACTTCACCCAACATGACGCGGCGGACGCCGCGAATGGACTTTTCATGTTGGCAAAGGGTGGTCAGACAAACAACGCACCCATGAACCACGCACCGATGCAACCCGATACTCGCTCTGCTAACCGACGTGTCTCTCAGCACACCAATGGCACCAGTGCTGAGGATGGATCGGACCACGAACCTCCCAAACCCGCCAAGGGCAAGGGCAAGAAGAACGGCAAGGGTGCTGCCAATAATCGTCGCAAGGCCGAGGATGGCCCCAAGGGTTCCAACAAGAGGGCTAAAACCAACACGGCGTCGCCTTCGGATATGGATGATGAGGAGGAGGATGATGATATGAAGCAGTTCCCTATGGATACCAAGAAGATGACGGATGAGGAGAAGAGACGCAATTTCCTAGAGCGCAATCGGTATGATTATCACACTGGCTTACACTAGCTTGCAAAGGGGTGAGATGCTAACGTGCTGATAACAGTGTCGCGGCTTTGAAATGTCGCCAACGGAAGAAGCAATGGCTTGCTAATCTTCAAGCCAAGGTCGAGCTCTTTACCACGGAGAATGACGCTCTTACCACGACAGTGACTCAGCTGCGCGAGGAGATCGTCAACCTGAAGACTCTCTTGCTGGCACACAAGGATTGTCCAGTCGCTCAAGCCCAGGGCCTTGGTCCTCTCATGATGAACAGTCTGTCGACTGGATACGATCCCCACGGATATAACATGCCTTCCAACATGGGCATGCAGCCCGGTGCCATCCCCACGCAGGGCATGCGTCGGGCATAAGAGTGAGAAACTCTGCTTGGTTTCTCATCTCAAGATATCTATCTTATTTCGCCTCATGCACAGAATACGGTTCTCTGCTTAGACTCGGCGGTTGCGCTCTTCTGGGAGTTTATCATCTCTCACTATATCTTGCGGCGGCTAAGGCCCCGCCGAATGTTTTTTTGGCATGGCCAGGTGTTAATGATCCCCACGACTCAAAAACGGACTAACTAACTCGGTGGTCTGGAATGGCTTTTTCTTTTGAGGGCGTGGCAATCCGGCGTACGAAATGCTTTCTTAGGGCTGCTTTTGAGGTTGTTCTTCTACGTTTCTCTCGTTCCCCCTGTTGTATTTTTTACCTTATTCTGTTACTCGTCCTTCAGTGATCCTCTCAGTGGATCAGGGGATTTTTTACCTTTCGCTTGTCTAATACTTGTGGGCACACGGGGTGCATTATTTGTTGCCCCAAATCTGGGTTGCTTGTGTCGTATACATGATTCCTGGGCGGCGTATGGATGGCTTTGTGATTTTTGATGTGTTTGACTAGTTTCCTTGAACCCGATGGTTGGGCAAATGAAGGGCAATCACTTCTATCTGTTGTGGTATATATCCTGTAGGGGTTTGACTAGTATAATAGATTGACTACGGACACTCTTCCTTCCATTTTGATGGCAAGGGGTCAGCTGTTGGACCTTCTCATCTCAAGTCCAGAACCTCCATTCATATCTGTTGAATGCGGCTGGTGTCGAGTTTCCAATACTAAGATCGTCAATCGCCTGAGTAGTCTCTGGATAGATGACTTATTGCCATACTGATGCTTGATATGGAACAATGTGCGTCGATAGGCAAGGGCTGGTTGAGAATAGGGAGCAAAAGCACAATATGTCACGTTACTGGGATGGATAGAAGGTACCTTCCTTGGTATAGAAGGCGCCTTCCCTTTAGGGCTGTCACTCAACCCCCATACTAAGGTTGCATAGATATCTCCCTTCTCCTTCCAAGCATTATGTATCTTCTGAACATTCAAGATGGTGTATATCGTTCATTCGTATGAGTTTTCATCGTCAAGTCATGTACGCATCTATATTCCCTCAAAAAATCCTGGTCAAACTCGGCTTCATCCATCTGGGTTCTTCACAAGTGTTGTTCTCGCGCCATTTCCGTATCTTGTCGTTATCCCACCCAGCCGTGAACTGATCAGCGATCTCCAGCTTACTCGGCGACCCAAGTCGTAAAGTCCGGACAAAGACACAAGCACCAGCGGTATCATAAGTGTACGCCATACACCAATCCCGGTCATGGCATGCCTGACGACAGGCCTCTAGTGACTCATGCTGGGGCAGAGTCTCAGGTTGTTCAATAATGCCACCCCAGGCCCCGTTATCCCATCCGCGACGTTCTGGCAACTCTCCCAAGCGGTGATAATCAACCAGGTCTGCGTACAATAATGGTTTCTACATCCCGAGTTAGCAAATCTAGCCACACCGTTCTTCGACAAAAGTAAAGTCATACCGTTCGATCACGCTCATTCTCCCAGTCTGTCAGCCCCGTCATATCATCCAATTGCGACTTGTGCATGCTGATAGCAGGCTGACACCAGTGATGCTCGTCCCCGAAGGGAATCGAGTGTAGCGGGTGCGCATTGAACATCGGCCACATGCCCGACAACAAGATACCCTTCTCATATAGAGCAAACCCGAGCACCGAGTCACCGCAACAGTCATCTTTCACGGCCTGCATGTACTGCTCACTGAGCGACGGCCCAACAAACTGCCCGTAACGACCAACCTCCCGCGCCGTCAATGTATCGACCGCAGCCCTGGAGAGCACAAAGCCTGCACCACCATAGGCAAACCAATTGACCTTTCCATCCCCAAGTCCGCGGCCCGGCGCAGGTGAGCCCATATAGAGAGGTACAGAGTGATCGAACTGCTCGAGCAGACGGAACAGATTATCCCACACAAAGTATGTATCAGTCTCGAGGAAGACGTACCACTCTGCATCGGGATTGGTTTTCTTCGCTCGTTCCACCATCGGCAGGAACTTGAACCGGTCGAGCTGCCAGCCCGCTGAACCACTGATATTGGTATCCCCGCGTTGCAGGGCATCATACGCCTCGAACTCCGGAATCTGCTTCCGGGCCGAGAGGGGCAGATCCGCTAGAACGTCGTGCACATGGTGGCCATTAAGTTCGGTTTCTTTGTCGGATATAACTAGTAAATTGGAAATACAGCGTGTCACAGAGGCCATGTGCGTGTCGACTCGGTTTTGGGGTTCGGTTGCGCTGGTCTTTAGGATAATCTGGATACGCGAGAGGATGTTTGATGGGAAATTGTCGCAGGCATTTGTCGAGCTTGCATTATCGATGCTATTATTGCTGTACAAGGGTTTTCGAAACTGGGTGCTCGTTTCCCATGTCCAGTAGTCCTTCTCATTTGCGGTCTTGTCTTCTGCGCGCCGCGAAACGGTGTCTGATATCCCGCTTGAGTATAATGTGAGCAGGAGGATGGTCGAGATTGATAGGAATACAGCGAGTAATTTGAGCTTTGCATTGCCTAGGATTATGAAGATTGGTCGCGCGGTCGCGGAGGTAGATGTGCCTCTGCCCATAGTGGGAGATTGCACAGTTCGTATATCAAATTAGGCACATGGAAAGGCAAGAAGGAATAATATGGAGATCGGGAAGGATTACGGGAATAGAAAGTCGACAGGATTTTCATCATGGACGTTGGGGCTTTTTAACCGTACATATCCTGATTGCTGCATTAGAGGACTCGCGGACGTCACTCCGGCGGGTCTGTCCCCAAATCGAACCAAAGCAGGGAGGCAGGGGTATATGCGACCCCGTTATATGCGACCTTGGGTTAGGTCGAGGCCTGATATAGCTGGGAGATTAGAACTCAATGATTCAAGATTGCTGCATCTTCATGATTGGATTGGTGATGTCCATATCCCGATTTCGATGTACATCTGCAACACTGTTGTACATAGACTTGGGCTCATGGACAGGATTCTCCCTAGTCAGGGACATCACCGGCTGTATAAGACGGAAGAGAACGTGCAATCTGCGTGGTAAACGGGAAGAACATTCATTCACTGCAGCTTCGGACTTCCGACTCAAACGTTGAGAGTTTTATATCCGTCAACTGCGGGATGATGTCGTCAAAAACTCAGATAGCGATAGAAGATAAGATATAGCTGCCTGAGGAACATGGCATCAAAGACACGCCAAACATCGCAAACACAAACATTCAGGCTTCAAGCTTGAGCCCGCGATACTCTCTTAGAGAGACGCAATTCAAACCGTCCGTCTAAACGAGTATCGGAACTGGACATACTAGTGTCAGGAGTGATCCGCGATCCTCACCCACACCCGCTGCCAGTCCGCGGTCACTTCGTGCCCAAACAATCCCTCCACCGACAAAGCATCCACAACATACACGGGCAAAGCAGACACAAAGCCCCGATCAATTCGCCCACTAGGGCAACCGGGCAGACAATGTCAAATCCAGCCCGCAACCCAGCGCGTGCACGCCGCTTAGACGACGCTCTTTCCCAGCTAGTCGACGGTCTGACCCCCGCGCTCCCCGTCTCCGCCATTCAACACGAAGACTACGCCGACCAAGAAGAAGCTTTAGCCGCAGCCGAAAGCCAACGACACCATGCACTCATGGAGCGCGCCTGGCGCATCCTCGACACACACGCCAGCACCAGCGGCCCAGACCCCGGGTCACCAGCGGGGTTAGGTGGACGCCGCGGCAGCCTCGCGGGAGCGGAGAACGTCAACAACGCGCCGGATCTGATAAAGCGCAAGCTGCGGCGCGAGAACGTCAGCCCGGATAAGGCTGTGCGGTTCTCTAATTTGTACTCGCGGCTTCTGACGCAGCCGGTGCTGTCGCAGAAATGGGGGATTCTCTTCTTGCTTTATAAGTTGTCGGCTTCGGAGGAGCCTATGGAGGAGGGGAGAGAAGTAGGAGTCCGTTGATGGAGGAGGTGAATCTGCAGAATATGCTTGGGAAGAATGGTGCACGACCTAGACGGAACACGGCGATCGACTCGGATGATGAGGGGCCGGCTGTTAGCTCCTCGGCTTCGCAGCAGCATCACCGAGTACCGGTAGCGAAGCTGGAACGGCAGAGCTCGCTGCGGCATGATATTAATCGAGACGGGGCGGAGTATGCTGGGCGCAATGCAGCGGAAAGACCGATCAGTCGTGTTGAGACCGGAACGAATGACCGTCCTAGCGATGAGAATATTCGCGCTTCCTCGCCCCGGCCTTCGAGTGCTCATGCTTCAGACCCGGCGAAATTGTCTGGGTCTGTTGAGTACAGGCTGCTGCGAGACCTGCCGTTCAATCTGCAAGGATTGTCTTCCTCGAACTTGCAGTTCAGTTCGTCGTCGAGCTTGAAGTTGCCTTCGAATCTGTCTGCGCCTATAACATCACTTCTTAATACGCTGGCGGAGCCTTGCTTGCTTTATAAAGGGCTGTCTCTCTTTGTGGAGGGTTCGGATGGGGGGCTGGTGAATCAGAGCTTGCGATCAGCCATTGCCGTTGAGCTGCGAGCATACCTCAGCCTGGTGGCTACACTAGAGGCGGAAATTCGACAGGCGCTGGCCGCGATCGGGGACGGAACCGAGCCTCAGGGTGTACGAAAGGGTGGTGTTACTTTGAAGCGATGCGTGGTTTGGACGAGAGATGCTACGATGGCGCTTCGCCTAATGAGCTTGATCGTAGAAGAGGCCCAAAGTAAGTTAGCGTCAGATGGCCGCAACTTCGTTTTACTGATGCATGTTACAGGCAAGAGAGGTGGCCAGTTGATATCGCTGATCCACGGCTTCTCAACATCCCATGGGGATCCTTTCGTGTGCGCGTTCGCTGAGAAGCTTCTCGCGCATGTCACTCGTCCCTTCTACGACATGCTCCGGCTTTGGATTTATGATGGCGAATTATCAGATCCATACAAGGAATTCTTCGTCGCTGACCCGGAGTTTCGACCGAAGACTGACCCCCGGCGGATTGCAACAAGCGTCTGGGAAGACAAATACAAGCTTGATGATGACTTGGTGCCTTCCATAATCACACAGGAGTTTGCAAAGAAGATCTTCCTTATTGGGAAATCCTTGAACTTCATTCGCCATGGCTGCGGGGATTCTGCCTGGGTAGAGGCCTACTCCAGGAAAGCCTCCAAGGAGCTACGATACGGAGACACGGCCACTCTTGAGATCTCCATTGACGAGGCATATAAGACGACAATGGCTCGACTGATCTCCCTCATGAATGGGAAGTTCAATCTCTTCGATCACCTCAAAGCTCTGAAGAGCTACCTCCTGCTCGGCCAAGGAGACTTCATAGCTCTGCTCATGGAGTCACTTGCCACCAATCTGGATCGTCCAGCAAACTCACAATACCGACATACCCTCACCGCACAGCTGGAGCATGCCATCCGTGCCTCCAACGCACAATACGATACCCCAGAAGTGCTGCGACGGCTTGATGCCCGCATGCTCGAGCTGAGCCACGGTGAAATCGGATGGGACTGCTTCACATTGGAATACAAAATCGACGCACCAGTGGACGTAGTCATCACACCCTGGGCATCAACCCAATACCTGAAAGTCTTCAACTTCCTCTGGCGCATCAAGCGCGTCGAATTCGCACTCAACAGCACCTGGCGCCGTTGCATGACCGGCGCCCGAGGCGTCCTCGGCAACGTAGAAGACCAAGTCGGAGCAGACTGGAAGCGGGCACGCTGCGTTATCGCAGAGATGATCCACTTCGTCAACCAGCTCCAATACTACATTCTCTTCGAAGTCATCGAGTCCAGCTGGGAACAACTCCTCGATGCAATCCGAAAGCCCGACTGTACACTGGACGACCTAATCGAAGCCCACACCAAATACCTCAACTCCATCACGCACAAAGGCCTACTCGGCTCCGCATCCTCCTCCCGCCATGGCTCCTCAACCTCAACCTCAGCTAAACAACCCGAAGAAAGCTTCCTCAGCCAGCTCCACCAGATCCTCAAGTTCATGCTCGCCTACAAAGACTCCGTAGACGGGCTTTACTCCTTCTCCGTCGCGGAATTCACCCGTCGCCAGGAACTCAACGCTAAAATCGAGACCCGCGGCGCCGGCCAATGGGGCGTCCGGTCCAACAGTCGCGGCGGAGCATCAAGCGCCTCGACACCAGATATCAGACCCGATAGTGCCAGCGTCGACGGCGTCAATACGCCACTCTCACTGTCAGGTCCCAACTTCGCCGCTGACGACAACATGCTTTCCTCGCTGCGCGTGCGTCTCCGTGAACTCTCCTCTGAGTTCCGGTCTCGTCTGACGGTCCTGCTGGGTGATTTGTCGTACCAGCCGGACGTGGATATGCGGTTCTTGGGCGTTGTTATGAACTTCAATGATGTGTATGAGATTCCTAAGCGGAGAAAGGCGGCTAGTGCAACTGCCAGAGATAAGGAGAAGGAGAGGGAGAAGGAGAAGGAACGGGAGAGGGAGAAGGCGAAGCGGAGAGCTGCTGCTTCTTCTGCGGCGACTGGGTCCGGGGCTGAGAGCTTTGTGCAGAAGGAGGGAAGGAGGGAGAGGAGAGATACTGGGGCAATTGATCCTGGGTTTACTTCTGGGAATGGGTAGATAGGTCGCGGGTCGAGTGTAAGGGTATCTTTAATGCGATTGACGAGGCTTACGATACATTTCCCGAGACTGCGTCCATGTATATGTGGAATTGGCTGGGCCCATATGTGCAATTCATGATTCCCTCGTAAACACTAAACAGCGATATGCTATGGAGTACTCCGTACGGACTACGGAGTATGTAGAGGAAAGTCTCTGATTGGCGGGCGCAGTTTGATCGGCAGAAAAAAAGTTATCTCCGCCCAACCATCTCAGCACCACAGTTCGAGGTCAAGTCGGCAGCAGCTGAACCTCGTATTTCAGTTTATTCCTCGAGTTTCAGGATTCTCTTTATATTCTGGTGTTGTTGACTTTGTCGCAACTTGCACATACCAACAATGGCGCACCAATCAGACGCGCAGTCCCCGGCCTCGAAAAAGTCCGGGTCGAAGCTCAAGAAGTCAAACGATTCTGCAGGAGGTGCAGATACACAGCAGGAGTCCAATTCTACCGGAAAAGATACCCAGTCCGACAAGAAAGACAAGAAGAAGCGCAAAAAGACTGCTTCCGAGGATGCTGCACTCGAGACAGACGGCGAAATGAAGAAAAAGAAGCGCCGCCACGCCGAAGATGACAAGGATGAATCACGCAAGAAGAAGCGCGTCTCATTTGGCCCGGGGACAAAGGAACACGACGCCGACTCCGACAGCGACTCAGACAATGCCCTCGGCAACGACGCTAGCGCTGCCGACGGAGCGGAAGCCGACACCGAAGACATCGTCGACAAGCAGCTCGAAGAGACGAAGAAGCTCAAGCGCGAGAAGAAGAAGAAGCAAAAGAAAGACGGCACCGCTTCGACCGGGACACCAGTCCACGAGACGCCTATTCTCTCATACCTGAGCCACTACCACCGAGCACGCGCGACCTGGAAGTTCCAAAAGAACAAGGAGACACACCTATTCAAGCACCTGTATTCTCTTGAGCAAGTCCCATCCCAGTACAACACGTCGCTGCTGGCATACATGCAGGGACTGAAGGGTGATGCGGCGAAGCAGCGCATGAGCGATGCCGCTCGGGACGTGATCAAGGCCGATATGGAGCTCGACAAGCCGAAGGATGATGAAGAGAATCAGGAACCCGCAGCGCCCGAGTACCAGGAAGCCGTTGATGCATTCCGCGAATGCTTGCCTACCGCAGGCGAGGATCTGGACAAGGTCGATTTCGGCGAGAAGCTGGAGGGAGACGCTAAGAAGCGTTTGCCAAAGAGGCAGCGGGCAGAGCTGGTCTTTTTCGCTGTTGCCGGCAAGCTTTTCAGCGCTGAGGATTTGAAGACGAAGAAACCTAAGGTCTCTGAGCCTGCTGTGCCGAAGAAGCGGAAGAACAGAACCATGGTTGTGGAGATCAGCAGCAGTGAGGACAGTGATGATGATGCTCCAGTGAAGAAGACTGCTGGGAAATCTGCGGAGACCAGTGACGATGAGACTTCGTCGAGTGGTAGTAGCAGTGATAGCGACAGTGACAGCAGCAGCGATGACGCTGCTCCTCCGGCTAAGGTTAAAGCCACTGCTGCCAGCACACCTTCAGCACCTTCATCGTCCGGGGCTGCTGCTACGATGTCGAACAAGGAGAAGAAAGCTGCGCAGAAAAAGCAGAAGTTTGTTCCTGTGAAAGAAGCGAAGGCTAAGCCTGATGTGCCGAAGAAGGTCCAGAAGCGAAAACTCCGAACTGCACAGATCGAGATCTCGAGCAGTGAAAGTGATAGCGAGTAGTTCTCGGGTCTTTGGATCGCTACTTGGGGTTTGGATGTGTATATATCTCTACCATAGCATTTGGGTCGGTGTATGTTTTATGTTCAAAAGTCCATTCCATCGCATCTATCAATGTTCGCAGTATGTAGTCACTATGTACTCCGTATTATGCCTATACCTCTACCCAGGGTTGCATAGTAGTTGGATATGGTTCGCCTCCGACCTTTGGCAAAGACGGATGAAACAAAACACAAGAACCCCTTGTATGGGGACTCTCGAATTCCGAAATAATTGTTGACATGAAGTTCAAGCGCTGCGCCGCTGAACTGATAAAGTGCTGGAAGGCGGTGAGGCCGACCTCAAGCTTGAGCTCAGGCAGCTCTGGCACGCGTCACTGATCAACCCCCCATCTTCTCATCGTCTTAGACCCTTTCTCATTTCTTTCCTTGCTTGTTTAACCCTCTATAAAAGACTACATCCGCCATCATGTCTGGTAAGCACCCTACTCGACGACACCCCAACGCAGCTCCATGACTTCATCCCCGACTAACATTCGATTCTCTCCGCAGGAAGCGCCTACGACAGACATATCACTATCTTCTCTGACCAGGGTCGATTGTACCAAGTCGGTATGTATTTCCCAGTCGATAATCCCGCCTCATTCTGAGCGGCCATAATCCGCCCGCTGTCATCATGGCCGCTGACCGACATCCCCCAGAATATGCATTCAAGGCCATCACCGCGGCCAACATCACTTCCATCGGAGTGAGGGGCAAGGATTGTGCTGTAGTTCTTTCGCAGAAGAAAGTCGCTGTAAGACGAGATTCTTTAGCAGTCTGTGGGATGCGTTGCTAATCCCATTGCCAAGGACAAATTGATCGACCCATCCTCCGTTTCACATGTTTTCCGGATCTCGCCTTCCGTAGGCGCCGTGATGACTGGTTCCATAGCAGATGCTCGCGCATCCATTGATCGGGCACGTGGTGAGGCAGCTGAGTTCCGGTACAAGTTCGGATACGAGATGCCGTGCGATGTCCTGGCAAAGCGACTGGCAAATATCAACCAGGTCTACACACAGCGGGTGAGTTCTTCAGTGATGGTGTTGGTATACTCTCTGCCGGTACAACAACTGACATGGTCGAAACTCAGGCTTACATGCGACCACTCGGCGTGGCCACGACTCTGATCTCCGTCGACGACGAGAGCGGCCCGCAGCTCTACAAGTGTGATCCGGCCGGCTACTTTGTCGGATACAAGGCGACCGCCTCCGGCCCGAAACAGCAGGAGGCGTTGAACTACTTGGAGAAGAAGCTGAAGAACAAGGATGCGGCTCCTGGTAACTGGGAGGAGGTTGTGGAGCTGGGCATCACGGCTCTGAGCAATGTGCTAAGCGTTGACTTCAAGAAGCATGAGATTGAGATTGGTATTGTTGGTGGGCCGCGGACCGATGGCCAGGAGGGTACTACTACAGAGTTCCGCGCTCTGACAGAAGAGGAGATTGATGAACGGCTGCAGGCCATAGCCGAGAAGGACTGAGGGAGACCTGCTAGCCGTTGGAGAAAGTAAGCGACCAGGAATGGACACCAGTGTTGCATCTTAGAAACAGACTATGTGTGAATGATAACTTCGATTTTCCCTGTACGAGATCTACGTTGATTACCAGGTCCAGTCAGAGCTATCAAGATACCAATCCAGCCTGTCAGATGGCTTTGCCAATCCTCATAACGCGTAAGGTAGGTCTCGTCTGAGAACGGCTCAGTATCCATTGCACGAGCTCCTCGGAATCCGGAAATGTGTCTAGAAGTAATTAGCTGATCGCCATCGGCATAGATTGGTCAGATGTTGCCTGGTAAAGGAATCGAATCTCCCTTTTCGTAGCCCTTCTTCTTCACAGTGAATGAAATGCCTACATAACCTTGTTGACATCATCATAAATGAGCTTGTTCGGGCGTGTAAGTCCAGGTTACCAAGAATACCTACTGAGTTCTCTTCATTGTACTAGTATAGGTACTCCATAGTTCTTTAAGGGATAGACGCATGGGTAATGATCTTACTCATAGGCTGCACGAAACGCGGAACGAACTCGCCCGCGATATTCTAACTTCTAAGTCTCGTTCCCAGAAAGCCGTAGTCCAATGGCTTACCAGCCTCCAGGTACGTACCCGCTCCCACGCAACGTAGTTGATATAGCCGCCAGGCCCTAAATCATCAGTACCTTGCAACCTTTCCGCATGGCCAAGCAATCTTGGTACTGCGGTACAGTTTTCGGCATCGAGAGGCGCAAGCGCTTGGAGCTCTGTATGGGTGCGCTGGCTGATGGCCTGCTGGGCTCGGACTTCTGGAGAGCTAGAGATGGTACCCATCAATAGGGATCTGTGAGTAGATATGCATGAAGCCCTGTTGACTAGGGTCTAGAAGGCTGTGACAGGAGAATTTAATACTGGCAACCGGGCAAACGGGCTGCTAAGACTTGATCATAGCTCTGCTGGGTTGTTGTTTGGTAGTCTGAGGATAGGTAGCTTTTCGTCTAGGACGAATGTAACAGCCTAACAGGGCATGGTTGGTCGAGTGTGATGTTGGTACCGCATAGGTGGCTGAAGTCAGGAAACTGGGACATCATGATGAGGAATTGAGGATGGATTGATGGAATGAGTGAATGGTTAGCAAGCTCCAGGATTCGGGAGAAATGCCCGGTCCTGGAGTCTCCGGGCAGTTGAAGTTGATAGACAGGTGAATCCACTTCAATATTGAATACTCATCTTTACCGCTACAGAATATATTGCCGATACCATATCCGGGCATATACAGCGAGGGCAACAATGACGAGAATATTCACGGCTCGATTGACACAAAATTAGCTTTAGGGTCGTAACTCGTACGAACTGAAAAAAGTATGTTGTACTATTGTGCGCCACGTGTGGCTCAGCAGTGGCCGTTCCCAAGTGCATCCAATCATTTTCTTTCTTTTCTTATTTTCTTCCACCTGCATGGGGATGATTGTGGCTAGTGACAGGACTAGTGTGGCTAGAGTTCCACTAAGAATAAGTGTGGCGAGAGACCAGCTGAACAAACCCTAACTGGGGATCCACTCGTTCAGGTCCGAGGTCAGATCCGAATATGTCCAGATCTCAATTGAGGTGATGTATCTTTTTTTGTGCAGGATGCATTCTGCTGGACTAGGATATCTGTAGTACATGCAGCACCAGAGGAAGAAGAGGAAGACCACCAAGAGAGACAATTCGGAGTACGCGTAGAAGAAGAAAAAACAAATAGAATAAAGGAGCCCCACCCAGTTCGCACAAGTCTCTCCAATCAAAGTGACTAGAAGGCTAAAAGCCAATCGACCAGGAACCTAATCTCGCGTCGTACTCCGTATGCAGACTAAATTCTTCTCCACTTGATTCCCAGCTACGATCGCATACCTCGGATCGAATCATAGCTAACCAGCTGGGTAAATTCGGTACCTACCATTGGGGAGATCTATATCTCCCTCTCCACTTCTGATGTCTCTTTCGGACGAGAAAAGGATTGCTCCCGATCAACCCGTAAACGGTTATTCGAAAGCTTATGGATCTCCCACCTCCAGCTGTGTCTGACCAGCTCCTGATCTTGGGATCTTCAGCTTACCCCATTGGTCCTTGTCTTCCTCGGCAATGATTGTTCTGACGTCGGTATTTTATTTCTTTGCTACCTATCATGGAATAATTTTCCTTTCTTTTTCTTCCTTAGCCCCACTGACTGTCGTCCATCGTTAGCTGTCATGTACGGGGTAGAGAGAACGACAGTTTCCAACTGAAGACTTACATATATCTTCTCTTCCCATCGGATGCCACAACATTCTTGACTCCATGGACCAAAGTTTCTCTAGCCATTGTCTCTCCTTGATATTACTGGTTGCCTTCATTCCTTCCCTCATTACCTTCCACACCGTCGAGCATCTGATCTAGAACCCACTTGTTCTCTATACATAATACACCGGACCCCAGAATGGCAGACGGACGTAAGCTCCCCAAAACCAAGCATCCAAAACAACCCACTGACAGCAAACAGTAAACCAAGCCCGCGCAATGCGCGTCGCAGAGATAATAAACGACTACCGCACCCTCCTCCTCCACATCTCCCAACAACACGTCGAACCCTCCCAATCAGACTACTGGGACGAAGGCTTCGTCGTCCTCCGCGAATCTCTAGCTTCCGCTCAAACCCTAATGTCAGCCAACTACCAACCCTGTCCCGTAACCGGACAAGGGAATGTGGAGACCGAAAAAGCCGAATTACAAAGGTACATCACCATCATTCACCCTTACCTACCGGACTTCATTTACATCCTCTTCTGAGAAACAATCTAACAATTTCACCCAGAGTCATACTAGACAGCAGCGCCCGCCGCTTCCAAGCACACAAGATTTACCTCCGCGCCGCGGCAGCCCGCCGCTGGACCATGACGCGTGCCGGTGCGCCGAAGAATGCGACAGCCGCGCTGCACGAGGAGCTCTCGCGCATCACGGACCAGCATGTTCTTGCTGATTTGCGGGCTGCGGATCTCCGGGCTGGACATTGGGTTGAGGATGATCCTTCTTTGGAGGCTATTCGGGCTTGGATTGCGGGGTGTTGAGTGTGTTTATGGGATATACGAATGAGACGATATGCGATGGAGTGAGGAATGAATGCATGTGGGGTGTGATTACCGCGCTGGTCGTGGGTGCTGTTATAAAAGAGGATGGGGTTTGGGTTTGCATTTGCGATATCCCTCTTGTTTCCTTTTTTTCGGGTTTTACTATATGTTATACACTGGTCGAGATATCAATTGAGTCGTATCTGATAGACTGTTCTTTCTGTGTACAACGTGCGAAATGTATAGACATCTAACCCTAATACTCCTGTTATACGAGAATATCTTCGATTCCCGCCGCGGAGAAACAGAACAGTAACAGCAATGGAATATTTGAAAACAATTGAAAATTCAGTAACATCCACTCTACCCGCATATCATTGACATCAACACACAGACAGAACCAGACACCTGGGGCGCCGAGGCAGAGACACCAGCTGAAATCCCCACAGGCCTGAGGTATCCGATGCAAAGAAGTGGAGTCTCCTGCCACGAGTCAGGGGGGGTTCCGGATTCAGGGTACGGGAAACGGTGGATCAACGTGGATCAGCGGAATGACCTCAGGTTCGGTATTTGATGAGATGTTGATTGTTATTTGGCTGAAATTTTCATCTCTGGCCATCTGCATTGCATCACAAAAGGGTGGAGCCGAAACTAAGAATATTAGCGGGTTTTGCTTTTATCCAATCAGGATGGTGAACGTCCATCTTACGGGTTGGGTTCAGCTTGACTGGACACTGGACTGGATTTTCAGGCCGTTGAGTCGATATTTCGGAATTAGTCTCCATATTCTTCTATGGAAGCCAGGCCGTTCTTCTAATTAAACTTATGCTTAACGGTGGGGTTATTCCGGATGACTTCCTGGCCTATCTCTCCTTTCTCACTTGAGTCACTTCACAACCTTACATGCAACAGATTTGGCGATCGGTGACTTGGATATTGCATGTTACTCGGTGGGATCCGTTTATCCAACTACTATTGATAAGTCCATCTGTTTCATCTCTGACCCCTGTTCTTCGGGAATTCCGATGTCTATCACAAATCTCCCTAGTGGGGTAATCTAGATTCTAGACTACCACCTGGCCATGTGCTTAGGATCAGCAGCAAATGACCCTTCCAAATCAATGGAATTCGTCACAAAAACTTCAGGTGGACTTGATCGTTAACGGTTAATGGGCATACACAGTTACACCACTACTTCAGTTGAAACAGGGCATATTTCCAGATCCCCGCGTTCGACATTGGTCACTTGCCACATATGCAGGGTTCATGCCCATGTGTACATTCCTCTCCCATATGGATTCCATGTGTAAGGGAGGTCACTCGTCGTCTGATCAAACCCTTCATAGAAGGGATGACATAGATCCGGACCATGGCTTGAACAAAGCAACCTTGGAAGGTAACTCTCGGAAGGTACCTCGCGGAAGGGCCGACCCAGGGTCCCCGGGGTATATCCGATATCGTGGCGGTGCGAATTAACCCAACCTTGGAACATGAGGTCGTCGACACTTCAAAGTTCCGCAGCGTGCAAGCCTACAATGGAACAATAATCTATTTAGTTCTCATGACCAGCGTGATTCCAAATTGGATCGATAGATTGCCCCTTCCTGACTTGGTCTCATTCTTGCCTGAAGTTACATTTCCCCTCCATCACGAGTGTTTCCAAGGTTTATACTTTCCGCTTTCCACTTCCGCCAAACCCTAAGATGTCAGGAACCAAAGCAAGACGCCATCACCGGGAAGTTAACGTGCACCAAGTGGCAAGGCATCATGACTGTAGTCCAGGCTAGACACGGAGAGTCGGAGACCCTGAGGCAGGCGGAGGTGTCACGCACACGTTGTGTCTGGTCTGTGTAGACATAAATATCAGGTTCTCCCGTCTCTTCGGTTTTTTGTTCATCACCACGATCTGAATACCAGTTTCTGTCTGATACTTCCAAACCACTGTGTAGATACACAAACCAGCCACTTGTTGCCTCGTTGCCTGAATAGTGAGTTGTACACCGCCACATTCGATACCTGGCCAATAAGCTGTCGTCCTCGATATTTGCCCCGAAACGCCCAGGTACAGAAGTCCACTAACAATTAGGCTGCGACATAAAGTACCCATTGAAATACTTGCTATTTGCCGTGAGTTCTCCTTTTGACTTTCTATCAAAACACTCAGATAAACTTCTGCCATCTGGACCCAAATTGTGGCTTACAAACTAAAACCAATTGCCTTGTTTACTAGCTTGGTGCTATTCGCTATCTTCGTGCAATACTTCAACCATACTCGTACTACGCAATCTGCAACTGCAACCATGTCTGGAATGAAATCTGTCGCTTATTTTGTCAACTGGGTACGTTGATTCGCCAATCCCAACTGCACCACCAGCTTATGCATAACACCAAAACGGGCAATACTAACATACTTCAGGCAATCTACGGCCGCAACTACAACCCCCAAGATCTCCCTGCGGAGAAATTGACCCATGTCCTGTACTCGTTCGCCAATGTCCGCCCGGAAAGCGGCGAGGTGTAAGTTCTTGGTCCCTTGCAGAGTACAGTACATACAGATTAGATCCTAACTTACTGCAGCTATCTGACCGACTCTTGGTCCGACGTGGAAAAGCATTATCCCACGGACTCGTGGAATGACGTCGGCAACAACGTCTACGGCTGTGCCAAGCAGCTAGGCCTGCTCAAGAAGCAGAACCGCAAGCTGAAAGTCCTGCTGTCAATTGGTGGATGGACTTACTCGGCCAATTTCCCGCAACCCGCGAGTTCGGACGCAGGACGGACCAAGTTTGCCGAGTCGGCCACGAAGCTGGTTCTTGACCTTGGATTTGATGGTCTTGATATTGATTGGGAATATCCCCAGAATGATACCGAGGCGGAGAACATGGTTCTCTTACTGCAGAAGTGTCGTGAAGTCCTCGACAACGCAGCCGGATCTGACCGCAAGTTCTACTTGACGATCGCCTGTCCAGCCGGCGCAAGCAACTACACCAAACTCCGCTTCCAGGAAATGACCCCCGTTCTGGACTTCTACAACCTAATGGCCTACGACTACGCCGGCAGCTGGGACACCAACGCCGGCCACCAAGCCAACATTTCCCCCTCCACCAGCAACCCTGCAAGCACCCCCTTCTCGACCGATGCCGCCCTGGACTACTACATCAACACCGGCGGCGTCCCAGCCTCCAAGATCGTCCTCGGCATGCCTCTATACGGCCGCGCCTTCACGAACACCGACGGGCCGGGTGCGCCCTTCTCGGGCGTCGGCGAAGGCAGCTGGGAGAATGGCGTGTGGGATTACAAGGCTCTGCCGAGAGCCGGCGCACAGGAACAGTTTGATGCGGAGGCTGGTGCATCGTGGAGCTATGATGGTGCGGCGAGGACGATGATTTCGTATGATAATCCGCAGATGGCGCAGGTCAAGGCGGATTATATTAAGCAGCGGGGGCTTGGGGGTGGCATGTGGTGGGAGAGTAGTGGGGACAAGGGCGGAAAGGATGCGAATCCGGACGACGGGAGCTTGATTGGGATTTTTGTTGATGGGGTTGGTGGTGTTGATGGGTTGGATCAGGCTCCGAATGCGCTGAGTTTCCCGGAGAGTCAGTATGACAATGTCAAGAGTGGATTTGAGGGTGAGGGGCAGTAGATAGGGCTGGGCGGTTGGCCTGTCAGGTGTATTTACGAGTGTGTGCATGTGTATTTACGATTGCAGGAGAGATGTGAATGAGATGAGCTGCGTCTACGAGAATCAATTTCCCTTGCTGTTTACTGGAAGATAAATTCGGCAAAGCCTAGGTTTTGTTCATTTCAAGTGACTAACACATGGGTATTCCAAGTATCCATCATCTAACATCAACCCATGATATACCCTTCATCCGCCCAGCCTGGCGAGACCAGCCCGAGCAGCGTGACAGCACACCATAGTCCGACTTAGACCATTTATTTGGCCTCGTCGAAGACGTAGGTGAGGTGGCACTTACCGCAGTACTGGCGGTTGTGCATGGCAGCCATGAAGACACCGGCACCACACTATGAAAAGAATTAGTGTCTCCGACTTAAACGCGGGGAATTGTCGCATGACAATTTCTTCAGAACAAAACTTACCTCAGGGGCGGGGCACTCGCGGCGGAGACGCTCGATCTTGCCATCACCGTCGACCTTGTAGTACTTGAGGATAGCAAGCTTGGTCTTCTTGTGCTTGTGCTTGATCTTCTTGGGGGTGGTGTAGACCTTCTTCTTGCGCTTCTTACCACCACCACGCAGACGAAGGACGAGGTGAAGGGTGGACTCCTTCTGGATGTTGTAGTCAGAAAGAGTGCGGCCATCCTCGAGCTGCTTGCCGGCGAAGATCAGGCGCTGTTGGTCAGGGGGAATGCCCTCCTTGTCTGATGGTTGTTAGAACGTGTTCGCTTGTGGTTTTTCTTTTTGTGCGCTGGTCGGCTTACCCTGGATCTTGGACTTGACATTGTCAATGGTATCGGAGGACTCCACCTCAAGGGTGATAGTCTTACCCGTAAGGGTCTTGACGAAGATCTGCATCTTGATGAAGGCCTGCGATAGATGCGTTAGTGGGATGGCGACGAAAGAAATTTGAATTCGCAAGCCAGAGTGAAGAATGAAACAGAAGGCTTGTTGCGCTTGCTCTTCACATTCTTTTCTGCTTGACTGGAAGCCAAACTCACCTCGACAGCTGTGTCTTCCTTAACCTTGCAAGATTAAGAAAAATCGTTGTGCGCGGAGCCGGCTGATGGTTAAAATCGTTGTGCGGTCACGTGTGTGTGGGTCCTTGTGCCGAAATGGGTCTAGTGCTGCGCTAGCCACTTGCTGACTTATTTATTGTCACGTGCTAAGTGACTTGAGATGGATGCCTCAGGACATGACGTGGAACAGGTCGAATATCAAACATCAAGATGACGCCATGGAACCATAGCCCCATCGATCAGAGATGGTCCGGATGGAGTCCAAGCTTTGTTATTGTGTAGATCAATTTGGTTTACTTGTTTTCCCTACTTATTTATTATGAATCCCCTGGGAGACGGGGGGCGAGGAGGTTCAATTGCTGTATAGCTGTAGGTAGGAAGAGTAAAAACATGTCTCTCCTCGCAGAAACCCTTGCAGAAGATAGTCTTTAGAAGGAGAGATAATTGCAAGCAAGGCGATTGTACAGTCAAGTGGGCCAAAATCGAGTCCCTTTGGTTTCCCCGACGCCCGAGGCTGAGTGGTTGCCATGACAACGGCCCCAATTGTTGATGGAACCGCGGGTCACATAGTTAGCTTAGATCTCCAGGGCTCCAGAACCAAACCTTCATACATTCGTGTTTCTGCTCTCAAGTTCAGTTCACAATTCTTGAACTGTGTGACCTAAGGGCTTTCTTAAGGGCTTTCTCCTATCCTGTGACTTCACTGTAGCTTGAGCTTCTAGAGACTCTAGCGAATTCCCACTTTCCCACTTTTTATTTGAACGTCCATTGCGCTTGCTTATTCCCATACTGACACCTATCCAGGACAACCCCGTCAATCGGCGCCAAAGCCATGAATTCGTCCACTTCGAACGTGCTGGGAAACGGTCGCCATCGCCGTCAAATTTCCACCCCAGCTGCCCCATTCGACGCGCCATTCATGGGCAATATGCAACCCCGTCGGTCACATCGTCGCGGCCAGACTATGGACTACAGCTCCTTCAGTCACCAGGCCACTATGGACCGCCACCAGCCGAAGACGGTCTCGCAGCTGCGAGACTACTTTAACGAAAAAGCAGGTTTCCACTCCCAGAGAGAGGTACAGCAGTATCAATCTTATGCCCAACAGCCCGAGCAGTCATTTTTCCCATCAGGCATACAGGTTCAACAACCTTGCCAATATCAGAACCAGCCCTCGCTCGGGTCTGATTGCCAGGCTTTCAACCAAGAACAATTGCAAGCGATCCACACCACCACTGGCAGTCCTGCGCCCTCTTCCGTCGGCGCCCCAGCGCTATCTCGATCCTCCAGTGAAAGCTCTGACAACACGCCATTGAAACTTGCGCTCCAGCGCATGCAGCAGGAGCAATTCTCAAATCAGCAACACCAACAATTTGCTGGCAATGCCGACTGGGAATTGTTCCCTCAGCCCAATATGCAAATGGTCCAGAATGAGCAGGTGACGGCCTATGCCGGATCCATGCATCCAGTCTCTGTTCAACCAAAGGCTCCATCTGCGAAGATTTTGTCGCAGATCTCTACTGCTTGTACGGACCTTTCGTCTTCCTTGGCATATGGCTGGGCTAACGAGATCGCAGACAACTCCCCATTGACCCCCGATGCTACCCCATTGAAAAGATCCATTGATTATTCCATGTACAGCAATGACCCCACCCCAACCAAGTCCCACAGTTTCTCATTCCCTCATCACCCCGTTGCTTCCGATATGCAAAGATCTCAGTCCCTGCAAGGAGCGCCTTATGTCCAGTCTATGCAAATGAAGCACCACATGCCCTCGCCTGTCAATTCCCCGGTTACCTCGTCGTTCACCGAAGTTGCGGATATGCCATCCCCAAATGGCTATGAAGTGACTCCGCAAAAGACCACCGCTTCGATCACGCCCTCCACCGGCCGTTCCAAGAAGCGCGGCTTGTCTACTGCGTCTTCTTCTCCCATGCCACCTGCCTTCGACAGCGACCTCGACGCTCGAGTCAAGGCCTCGGTTCAGCAGACCGGCGTTTCGATTGACGAGATTGCCAAGTACATCTCCGGCCCCGATCCTAAAGATGGAAAGTGGGTCTGTCTCTTTTCAGGCTGCCTCTGCCGCTTTGGTCGCAAGGAGAACATCAAGTCCCACGTCCAGACCCACCTCGGAGACCGTCAATTCAAGTGCGACATCTGTGAAAAGCACTTTGTGCGCGGCCACGATCTCAAGCGTCACCTCAAAACCCACAGCGGAAACAAGCCCTTTGCCTGTGCCTGCGGTGCCAGCTTCGCCCGACAGGATGCGCTCACCCGTCACCGCCAGCGGGATATGTGCGTTGGAGGATTTACTGGAGTCGTCCCGAAGACCACCAAGCGCGGCCGCCCCCCAAAGAAGAAGACCAGCCGACCGGATATCGACACTCGCCAGGCCAAGTCCAACCGTACTCGTCAGCGCGCCGCTGAGAAGTCCGCCTCTATCGCCCCCGTCAATAGCCATGCCACTCTGCAAGAAGCCCCTGTGTTTAACTCGCCAAACTATGCCCCGTCCACACTCGTCTCATCATTTACTCCGCCCACCTCGCCCGGGGACACCTACAACCCCGTCTCCTCACCATGCCAGACCTACAGCTCCCTGGACGTCAAGTTCGAAGATGACATGCTGCCACTGTCACCACCGCAGCTCGCGCACGCCAGATACGAGCAAGCAATGGCTCAGTACGGCTCAAACCTCAGTTCGCAGACCTACTCGCAGAAATCTCTCTACAGCGACTCGGCGCTCTCCCCGCGCGAGATGTCCTCCCCGCGCACAGCGCCCACACTCGCCGAGTCCTCTGTCGGCTCCGAGATTGACATCTTCATGACACAAGACCCCTCCGACGACCTGCGCGAGGAATTTGGCCATCTAGCCCACTCAGGACTCTCCACATTCCCGAGCTACCAGTTCATTGACACAAATGACTTCGCGGCATCTTCCTACTACCCCGAGAAGACCTTCCCCGGCCTTCCCATGGATGACAACCTGACAGATCCCATCGACTGTCTGTCAAGCGAGTTCCTGGTCGACCCCTGAACAAATTGGTTACAAATATGGCGAAACGAACAAAAAAACAGCATGACTACATACGGCGCGACTAATTTACATTTCGGCGAGATTTGCAACGATACGGACGAGATGACCTTGTACACTTTGTACACTTAATGAACACACGACCAAAAACGGGCGTTATCCTTCTTGCACATTCGGATTTGACGCTTTGCGGGACTTGGTGTTACCGGGCTTTGCTTTGCCCTTGCCTTCCCTGTATTTCCCTTTCTTGTTGTTGTTTTTCTCTTTTTCTTTGTCTTTCCCATGATAACCTTCTGATCTGTTTGCCTTCATCGATCTACTTCGATGTCTGGCAACAGAGATCGCGTTTACTCTTCTATGTTCCCCTTTTCACGATGCAATATGTATTTCATGTCTTCACTGTCAATGGATCTCTTTTCTGTACCTATGCCGTCGGCAAGATGGTCTACGGATTTATCTCGACTGATGCTTTCGGGCATAGCTTGTACTTCTATTATTTCATCTTATCGTAAGCTTGCATGTACTATCCATCCCATACTTCGTAAACACTTCTGGAGCAATTCTTGAGGCACGAACATTCATAGATACCCATACCCAGAGAACGATGAGAGCATAACCACAGTCTAGCAAGGGTATTTCTATGTTGTATTCAATAATCTAACAATAACACGTCAGTATCAACAAGCAGCCCAGTCCCAATGATCAATCTGTGCACGCAAACTCCAATAACACCGACATGCCTGCAACTTAGGCATCAAAGCAGCACAATAAAACAAATTACTTCCCAGTCCAAGTAATCTCCACCTCGATAGACCGTTGTCCCTGCGAAGCATACACAGTACTCTGCGTCCGCTTCGAAGGGACATGATCCGCAAAGAAGATATTGCGATCATTATAAGTCAGTTTATCGCCCTTGGCCTGGTATAACGGTAAGCATTTCCACCACACAGTAGATATCTAGTCAATAGCCCGGCAGATATGATATACGTACAGTGAATTCGCTTGGTGCGGTGATCTGAGGTCCGCAAGTAAGGGCGTCACCCTGGAAAGCGCAGGGCCCCTTGCTAGATTTCAGGGTGAATTTGTCATCTGTGAGATATGAATTCATGTTAACTATCGGGTCATAGTACATAGTAGATGCATTATGCAAAGTACGAACCTGATAGCTTCTCCGCTCGGAAAGTAGCACAGGTCCCTGAGGTGAACCAGGTTCCGTAGCTGATTATACAACCATACTTCCGGTTCAATGTTGAGACGATTAGATTGCCTCGGCCTGCGAAGGGGGTCCCCGGTGCTATGGGCTCGGGGTGGCCTGGGGTTGGTTCGTGCTTGGGATGCTTTAGCGGGTACTTGATGCCTTTGGATGGGCAGTTGGATTTCTGGCCATCTGTGTTTCTGTCAGCTGCAGCTCGATTGGTAAAATATGTTTGGTTCTGATGTCTGACTGACCTGGACCTGCAGTGATGAATTTCCCTGTTTGCAGACTTCCTGCAATGTTGAAGTAGTACCAGATCTCGTTGAGGGCGCCGTTTCGGCAACGCACTGTAACGGGGTTTCCATGGGCAAGCTCCAGTGCGGCTTCGATGTCTGCGAGAGCGTATGTCTTTGTTTGGGATGGTATGATGCCAGCATTGGCGAGGAACTTATATAGATTGGAGTTAGGGTCTGATGTATTACATTGCGTTATCGACATAGATAGGGTCGCACTTACCTCATGAGAGGGCAACTCCTTGTATACCTCAACAGTCTTGTCGAAATAATCCACCACTTCCTGTTGCGGCAAGTAATCCGTGTAGCAATGTGTTTCGAGTGTGCTGACGCAAGTGCCATGCTTATTCCACTCATGTTGCCAAAGGTTGGAATCATCGCCCCGGAAATCCTTCCAGTACTCACTCATATAATCGAGCAAATCTCCACGTCCCGCATCAACGAGAATCAGCGAGATATTACTGTACTCGCGTTTGGAGTCGCAGAATTGGTCGAAGCCGCCGCCGCAGTGATCGGGCCTGACGAGTTAGTTTGATATTCACGCTCAGTCTGGATCAAGCTTACCAAAGCCCATGTATAGTCCATGCATCTGCAGGGCCGAGAGCAGGATCCACGTCCCAGAATTGAGTTTGCAGCATTTGACCACCGGGGTAGTTGAAGCAGCAGGTGTCTTGGCCGTGGTACTGGGCTTGACAACTGATTTCTGATCCGGGACATGAGGATGAGGATCCAGGGGTTGTAAGCTCATTGGGGGTCTGCGAAAGCCATATGGAGCTGATTGTTTTGAGGATCTTTTGGGGTCCGGGGATTCCCATGAACTGTTGTGATGATCCCCGCATCATCGTCGGTGGCTGGATTGGTGCTCTAAGTTCGAAGAAACGGTCGTCAATCTGATATAGAAAATAACGATAAGTATATGGAGAGAGGACAATGCTAGTAAAGTCGTAGTCACAATAGGAGATGTATACAGGAGGCTACAAGCTATCGTAGAACTGCAGTAGGGTTCGTGCGGAGTCTCACATGACTAAGTGCGGAGATTCAGATCACTGATAAGGTCAGCTGATAAGGTCAGCTGGACAAGTCACAAAAGAGGAAGAATTCAGCTCTGATAAGATTGGTTTTGCTATTTTTGGACGTTTTCTCGATTATCTCAGTATTCCCCACTCAAAGCTTCGAACTAGATATCTTTGGGGCATAACGTTGTCCCTCCATCTCATATCTCCTTAGGACTCTCCTTTCTCATGACTCTCATGGCATGTACCGTGTATGGGACAGCGTGTCGGTGATTTAGCACAAATCAATTATCATCCATCGTCCTCAGCATTGGAGTCACTGTCAGAGCCGGAGCTCTCAACGTAGTCCGAATCGTGCTCATCTGTATGAATCTATCAGCCATCAGATACTTGACCCAATCCCAACAGTTGAGGCATATCCACTTACGGTGCACGATAGTAAAGTAAACAATCATGTTGACAGGACACCCAGACGCGATACTGAACGAGTTCGAGCTAGCATCCCCCATTATTAACAGCGCATCCACCCAGCTCCGGAAGTCATGAACAACGGAGTAGTTATCAGTCAGAGGCCGAGAGAAAGTATCACGATGGGCATTTGGCGCACTCATATGACGAGTGGGCTCCCATGCAATCTCATCAAAGCGCCGGTCGTAGCCGAAGTGCTCGATCAAATCTTCTTCGAACCAGTTGTAGTTTAAACGGTCGTGGTCGATTCTGGAGTATGCAATTCCAGGGGCACGGGGCGCCCAGGGTTCGTTTAGGTATTGTCTCAGCCAAAACAGGCTCGTTTCTGTGTCATATTGATCCCTGACTTGAATGAGACAGTCCGTCAACCACAGTAGATTGAGATCCAGCGGAGGGCTCCATCGGGCCTCCTCCGCCATGGTGGGATGAAGGCAGCTTCGAGTAACGTCTGATATCAGGTAGCTTGGATGGAGATCAAAGAGAGATGAGTTTGGGTAAGATATTGAGATCGGATGTGGTATGGGTGGAGGGAGGTGACAGGAGTTGAAGTAGTGGGGAGTGGGAAGTAAGACGCTACGAGAAACCCACGATGTAAAAGCTCTGAAAACTGCACTTGCAATAACAATTTGTCTAAAGTCAACGCTCCTTCCGAATATGAATCACCTAAACCGAGCTACTGTTCCCTTCGCACTTTCCAACCTATCTCGCGCCTGAAACCGTCTCCTACTCCCCGTCCTGAGACTTGCTCTTCCTTAGTCGACTTCGAAGCTCGAGCCTTTTGATATAGCTCTGCACGTATCAAAGTCAGTATGAGATATCAGCTTCATGAGCGTCACAGCGTGTCACATACCATACTCAATGTAGTTCACAATGTGAAAGTGGAAAATGACCTCTTCTCCCAGAGATCTCTGAGTCTGCATGGCAATCAGAGCAGTCACCCAGGCATTCTGACCCCTGACCACATGCTGGCAGTCTAGGGCGTTGACGAAGCCTCTCGGGTCCCAGACAATCGAGTGCTGCTGCACATTGTACCCAAAGTGCCTTTCCAAATCCTCGATGAATGTAGTATAATCAAGGCCTTCAGCGTTGAACTGAGCTTCGTAATCGTCGGAGGGAGCATCCAGATAGTGACGCAACCAAAAGACGGCAGTGACCTCGCCAGCCATGTGGACTTTTATAAAGCCATTCTTCAGGCGAGGACTGGGCACTACCACGTGTGGGCTTTGGCTTTGTGGAGGTGCAGTTGATTGTTCTGTGGAGGCAGATGAGGAGCTTGCAAGGCTCTCTCTGCGAATGTCTTGAACGGCCATTAGCATAGTGAAGATGAAGATCTTGATGCAACAAGAGTCAGCCTAGGGGCTGGCAAGGAGATGGGGTAATGGGTAATTGTGTTGGTTGAAGGTGAGGGAAGCTGTGATATATATGGCCATCTATGTTTGTCGCTGCTCTATGTGCGCAATCCACAATGAAAGAAACTGCATGATACAAGGGCATTGTATGAGTAACAGGCTAAATATTGCACAAACCTTGTACAACAAAGGACCTCAGCCATAGAGCCACTCTTTTTGCAAGTGAATCAGCGGTTTCAGCACCGTCTAACAATAACTCCCCACCTCACACAAGAAATAGTAAGTGCTAAGAACATGTAGACAGACACAGTCGGGTTGTGGGTCAGAGAGAAGCTTGGCTGCTTGGCTGTTGAGTGAATGAGCGAGCTAGAGACTCTACGTAACCTCGCATAATTCGGGATCTCATACAAATGTCCTGAGAGCATAAACCCGAGCATAAACTCGAACAGTTGGCATAGAGAATCTGAAGTAGCACAAGTCAAGCCTCCATAGCTACCCCTGTCTGACTTACCACCTCCTCGAGGGTTGTATACAAGTGGATGTGTCGGTACAAAAGAGATCTGTGACACTATTATCACTATATACTATCTACCTATAGCGAGCAGATACTTGAGAGGAATCTTCATTCAGAAATGAAGCGAGTCAAAGCAAGAACCCGGAAATCAATCACAACCTGGAAGCGATCGATACTGTATACATTTTTGCAGATCTCACTACGGAGTACTAATTAAAGCTTCAAGCAGATCACCACCTTTCCAATCCATATATATCCCTCTAGTCCCGAGAAACCATCATATCACGGGTCTTTACCAAGCCTCCTTGCATCAGGAACATTCCAGAGCATGCGTATTCGGAGCTTTCCAGTATGCAACATACCCCATACAGGAAGGACACCGCAGATCACCAGTCCAAGAGCCCACGACAAGAGCACTTTTACGGAGTATTTCTCCCAGTGGCAGTCATGAGCTCACCCCTTCCTTCAAGGGTATTGTATCATGAGGGCAGTCCGGGGAGAGGAGAGAGGGGGGTTGGATGTATGTGTTGCTTCTAGATACCGACGGATCAACAACAGCGCGAAGCTCCTGTCCCCACATATAATATCCCAGGAGCTAGCTTGAGCTCTGATATTCTCCACCGACGCATGATCTACGATCCCGCAAGCTTGTTCCTTGTCTGGCGATACCACAGTGATGCAATAGCAGGCTGGGGCTTGAACAAGCTACTCGGGGAGCGCTCGCGCCTTGATTGCTGAGGAATGCGTGCCCCGGCTTTAGCCCTGTCGTTACACGGCCTGGTGAGTAGACGGGGCAATGCTGGCGCTCGTAATAGCTTTTAGCAATGGTGCACTGGCCCGGAGGCGTTTTCTCCTTATATCTACCATGCCGTAACTCCTCCCTCTCATATTGAGGGCTTATTCTTTCTCTCTTCTTGTTTAGTGTCTGGATAGCTGCCGGGATTTACAACATCAAGTATATATAAAACACGACTTGAGGATACCCGATAATGATTCCCCAAGATGTCGAAAAAGCCCACGATTGGCCTTTAGACAGCGCCAGCCAACTCCAGCTCGATAAAAGCGCGTCGAATAGTTCATCCAACGCCACAGATCTCGTGAAGCCAGATCCCATACCACAGTCAAGATGGAGGCGCTGGATGACAGGGTTGATGGTGGAAACCCGTGGAGTCGGTCCCATTCCCATCGAAGAGCGAGAGCAGATCACCAAGTCAACAACCCTTCACATGATACTTATGTGGTTCAGCATGACATTGGCGACAAACAACATCGTCGTCGGATCAATCGGTACACTGGTGCTAGGACTCAGCTTTCGGGATGCAGCTCTTTGCGCTGTTTTCGGATGTCTGGCGGGCAATTGCACTGTTGGGTTTATGAGTATATGGGGACCGAAAAGTGGGAATCGAACTTTGGTATGTGTTACATCCTGCTCCATTGGCGCTATTGTGCAACGAATGAGAGAAAATGACCCCGAGAAGACCGAGTACTCATGGGGATGCAGATCGTGGCACGGTACTTCATGGGCTACTACCCAAGCAAAGTCTGCATTGTGCTCAACCTCTTCACGAATCTGGGATATAGCATGGTGAACAGCGTGGTTGGCGGACAAATTCTCTCCGCCGTCTCTGGCGGCCATCTCTCTGTGATAGTGGGCATTGTCATCGTTGCCGTGATTAGCTGGGCAATGGCTTCATTTGGCATGAAGATCTTCCAGCTCTACGAGCGGTAATGCATCGACACCAATCCCCGACCAAGTGCAACACTAACTCTCAATCAGAGTCGCCTGGTTACCACAGCTCCTAGTAATATGCGTGATGCTCGGCTCCGTCGGTCCCGAGTTCAAGTTCGACTACCAAACCCCAATGACACCCGAACATAAAATCGCCAAACGCATGACCTTCTTCTCGTTAGGCCTCTCCATCGCCCTCGCCTGGTCCCCGCTCGCAGCCGACTACTACGTCTACTTACCGCCGCACATCAAGAGCTCACGCACTTTCTTCATAACCCTCTTCGGCGCCACACTGGGAATGTCCATTGTACTGCTTATGGGCGTGGGCCTCGGTACCGTGATTGCCAGCTCGGTGCATTACGCCGCAAAGTATGGCAGCAGCCCCGGAGGCGTGTTGATGACGGCGTACGACAGGCTCGGCGGGTTCGGCAAGTTCTGCGCGGTCATTAATGTGCTGGCATTGGTGGCAAATAACACTCCTGGAGCTTATTCCATGGGCATGAATATCCAGATGATAGGAGGGAGGTTTGGAAAGGTTCCGAAGCCGGTCTTTACAACTGTGGCTACCGTTATTTATGCTGCTTCTGCGATGGGAGGTCGGAATCAACTGTATGATGTGTTCAAGTCTTTCCTGCCGTTGATCGGATACTGGGTGATGATCTTTGTTGTGATTGTGTTTGAGGAGGATATGATTTTCCGCCGGAATAGAGGGTACGACTGGTCTCAGTGGAACTGTCGCGAGAAACTGCCTATGGGTATTGCGGCGGCAGTGGCTTTCCTGATTGGATGGGCTGGTGCGATTGTTGGCATGGTAAGTTGTTGTTCCTCTGAAGAAAGCAGCCCCGTTTAGTTGCATCTGCTGACATCAGATGTACTCCGTAGTCTCAAGCCTATTATATCGGGCCTATTGCGCAGATGGCTGGCGACGCTGATTTGGGTCTGTGGTTGGCTGCGGGCTTCACAGCGGTGTTTTTCCCACCATTACGGGCTTTGGAGCTCCTCTTCATTGGTCGTTAGGGTTGGTCCACTCATCATTTGAGGGGCTGGGAAGGATGAAGTGATAAGATCGTCACATTCCCCGCAAACCGCGAGTACATAGTGAAGACTGTAAAGAGTTAAAAGATAAGGGTGTCGGCTACTGTCGGGCCTGTAATTGTGAAAATAAGATAGAAATTCATAATTCAATCAAATAATGAAATGCCATCAGCTTGAGCTGGGTGCTGACGATTTCTCAGGCCTTTTCGAAGGAAGAATAAAGCTTCACAACGGCGCTGAGGTGTGCCATGTCGCGATCCCGAGCCACCTCTTCGCCCTGAGAAGGTTTACGAGATGAGCCCTAACATGAGATGTGACAATCTCCTCCCGAGGCTCGGTATTTCGGTAACCCGTATGGAGATCGAGTCACACTGTCACACCCTTAGAAATGATGGAGTCTGACTGTCTGACACGCCGGCGTTAAGCCTTTAAGCCGATTAGATCACGCCAACGGAGACCTTTCATTGGTAAATGCGAAAAGTCAAAAGAGTAAGAAAGCGGGTACAAGCGGGGACCGGAGGTAGACCGGAGGGTGGAGTCCGGGGATAGTAAGCCATGGTAAGCCATCACTCCAAGATATGGCAGGGAGTAAACATAAATAGTGAACATAATTACATAAATTACAAATTTATGAATCTTTCCCAGTCTCTCACCGTTTTATTTAAACTTCTCGGGACCCTATGTACTAGGCTACTACTGTTCAGCTCCCCCTCAGATTCCCCAGATTCCTCACCATGGCTGACTCCTGGGTATCATCATCCCTGGCCACCCTGGCCGAACTGGCCCCACTGGCCCCAGAAAAAGCCATGACAGCCATGTCAAAAGTGACAACCATGACAGCTTCAGAGCTAGCCCCCTACGCCGCCGGGCTCTTGCTCGCATGGCCAGTACTGGCCATGTCCCTGCGCTATCGTCGGATGCGCAAACTCCAAAAGAAATACAAGTACCCCACACGGGAGTCGCTGTCGAAGATGACAGACCAAGAAGCCTACGAGATCCAAAAGGAGGTCGCCCAACTCGAATTCCCATTCATGTTTGTCAAGGCCTTGCAGTTCGCTCTATTCCGAGTATGTTTACCCTTTCCCCCCGCATCTCCTCACATCCCCCCAATCTGGAGTTACATACTAACAAAACAACAGACCTACGGAATCCCCACAATCTCAGGCCTCCTCACAAAAACCAGCCAATTCTCCAACCCCGGGACCTCCCTAAAACGCTACACCGACACATCCGTGCTAGTCCAAGAAATGGTCGGCAACAACCCAGCCTCCGCACGCTCATTAGTCGGTCTCGCACGCACCCGCTACCTGCACAGCGGCTACCGCTCCTCGGGCAAGATCCTCGAAGACGACATGCTCTTCACGCTGGCGCTGTTCGCCCTCGAACCGATCAAGTTCATCGAGAAATACGAGTGGCGCTCGCTGACTGACCTGGAGCGCTGTGCCATCGGGACATTCTGGAAGTCTGTCGGGGACGGGCTGGAGATTAGCTATGAGAAGCTACCATCTGGGAAAACGGGGTTCAAGGATGGAATTCAGTGGCTGGAGGAGATTAATACTTGGAGTCAGAAGTATGAGGAGGAGACTATGGTTCCGTTTAAAAAGAATCGGGAGACGGCCGATCAGACTACTGCCGTGCTTCTGTACATGTTGCCGAAGTTTTTGCATCCGGCTGGGTTGCAGTTTGTTTCGTATATGATGGATGAGAGGTTGCGGAAGGCTATGTAGTAAGTTTTTCCTTTCTTTTCTTTGCTGGTGATCTGTCGAAATTGACTTTGAACAGCTACGACCCTCCCAATGCCTTCTCCTCGGCGTTCTTCTCGACAGTCCTCGCGACTCGCAGGTTCTTCTTGCGCCATCTGGCTCTGCCTCGACCGTACTTCATGCGCTATGCGTCGGTTACGGAAGGCGAGGACGCGAACCAGCGCCATTTCGTTACCACGTGGGATGCTGCGCCGTACTATGTCAAGCCTACATTCTGGAACCGATGGGGTCCCACGGCTTGGGTGACTTGGGCGCTTGGACGGCCTGTGCCTGGTGATGGAGGGGATAAGTATTATCCTAATGGGTATAAGATTTCGGATGTTGGACCCAAGTACTTTGAGGGTAAGGGGCAGAAGCAGTTGGCTGAGACTTTGGAGGAGTTGAAGGAGTATCGGACGGGCAAGTGTCCTTTCCATTGAGTATAGAAGGCAGCCTCGGAATTGCGAGGAGAGTGATGATAGACGGTAGATAGGTTGATGTGGACAGCCATGGCTAGACTTTGTGTATTCACCTGGTCTGTTACAGGCTAACTTACAGCCGTGGGACATTCCTTTACGCAGTACTACATAATGATATTTCGGCATTCTGAAGGAGATTCGATTAGGGCATGCCATGATTACAAGACTGAAGAATTCACTACATGAACAACCTTAGTAGCCAAAAGTCATACTTGTTTTCCATTATGTGCTATTCTGGAGGGGTCGATCACCCAAGCCGAGCAGGAAAATAGACAAAAAAGGGTGTAAATTAGGAGCGCTCAAACAAATTTGGTTCGGAGCAGGCGCCCCAACAGCCGGTCCGAATGGTAGAGAATGTAGGCTTGACAAGGGTATTAACTTCGAACAAATCTCAAAGGAGATTTATCTAAACCTCCTCATCAACAATGTCCTCAGCGAGGCTAAAAATAAGGAAAAGAAGTCGTTAGTCGTTGTATTCGTAATCCGGGAAATGTGGGGAATCCTTACTACTCCTCCTCCTCGCCCTCGGAGACGGAGGCCTCCTGGTACTGCTGGTACTCGGAGACAAGATCGTTCATGTTGCTCTCGGCCTCAGTGAACTCCATCTCGTCCATACCCTCGCCAGTGTACCAGTGCAAGAAAGCCTTGCGACGGAACATGGCGCTGAACTGATCACCGACACGCTTGAAGAGCTCCTGGATGGAGGTGGAGTTACCAACGAAGGTGGAAGACATCTTGAGGCCACGGGGGGGGAACGGAGCACAGAGCGGTCTGGACGTTGTTGGGGATCCACTCAACGAAGTAGCTCTGGTTCTTGTTCTGGATGTTGCGCATCTGATCCTCGACCTCCTTCATGGAGACCTTACCGCGGAAGAGAGCGGAGCAGGTGAGGTAGCGGCCGTTGCGGAAGTCGGAAGCAGCCATCATGTTCTTGGGGTCGAACATCTGCTGGGTCAACTCGGGCACGCTGACCTGGCGGTAAGAGTGACCGCCACGGCTGGTCAGGGGAGCGAAGCCGACCATGAAGAAGTGCAGACGGGGGAAGGGAACCATGTTGACGGCAAGCTTGCGCAGATCGGAGTTGAGCTGACCGGGGAAACGGAGGGAGGTGGTAACACCAGACATGACGGCAGAGACCAGGTGGTTCAGGTCACCGTACGAGGGCTGGGAGAGCTTGAGGGTACGCATGCAGATGTCGTACAGAGCCTAGCGTTGTCAGTACTCTTCCCGTCAGTGTTTCTTCACGCATATCATACCTCGTTATCGATACAGAAAGTCTCATCGGAGTGCTCAACAAGCTGGTGAACGGAGAGAGTGGCGTTGTAGGGCTCAACAACGGTGTCGGAAACCTTGGGAGAGGGAACGACGGAGAAGGTGGCCATCATACGGTCGGGGAACTCCTCACGGATCTTGGAGATCAGGAGTGTACCCATACCGGCACCGGTACCACCACCCAGGGAGTGGGTGATCTGGAAACCCTGGAGGCAGTCGCAAGCCTCGGCCTCACGACGGACGACATCGATAACCTGGTCGACGAGCTCGGCACCCTCGGTGTAGTGACCCTTAGCCCAGTTGTTACCGGCACCGGACTGACCGAAGACGAAGTTATCGGGGCGGAAGAGCTTGCCGAAAGGACCGGAGCGGACGGCGTCCATGGTACCGGGCTCCAAATCGACGAGAACGGCACGAGGAACGTACTTGTCACCGCTGGCCTAGATTGCAAAAGAAAAAGATCTGGTTAGAGAAGTGCACGAGAAGCGTGTTGCCAAGCCATTGTACTCACATGGTTGAAGTAGACGTTCATACGCTCGAGCTGGAGGTCGGAGGTACCATTGTACCTAGAAACATGTCAGACGGCCAATCCACCGTGGTAAAATCCATCACATTGAACTTACTGTCCATCACCATCGAGACCGTGCTCGCCAGAGATGGTTTGCCTATATGCCAATTAGTATTTTGTTGTCAATTGATACCTGACGCGAAAAGTTTCGTCGGGACGCTACACGTACCAGAAAGCGGCACCAATTTGGTTACCCTGTAATTCGAGCACAATTTAGTCCCACAAACCGAAGAATGGATCCAAGAATGTTCCATTGTCATCGAGGGCGAACTTACACACTGGCCGGTTTGGAGGTGAACCTATAAAAGCATTAGCAAAAGATCTGTTTACAGCGGGGTCTTTGATTCAGGGGGGTTGTCTGAAAACACAAGACGCGTCGGGAGGCAAGGGTATACGTACGATCTCACGCATTTTGAAGGGAGGGGGATACCGTAGAAAATAAAAGGAAGAGAAAAAGAAGATATAGACCGGTAACAGTCAGGAGGATGGGGGAAAAGAAGAGAAAGCGAGAAGACAGTTGAGCGGTGTGTGTGGGATCAACAAGTCAACAATTGAACTTCAGGGGGAGAGACCTGATTGGGTATAGCCGCACATCACGGGACTCGGGGAAGGTACGAACCACATTTTGGGATTCTTTGGGTACAACACTACAGTACTTACTGTACAGCTACAGGCAATTTACATACATTCAATATTCCTTAGTCTGACACATTTAATGATTTAATTTCGCTGGATAATTCAATAATCGTACATTGGGTATCTGTTCAATTGCTCCTTCCGTAGCAAGCCGCGTTCCGTTCACCTCGGCAGTTCTCGCTGGAACATTGAAGTCACATATTCACTTGTGTTGTCTGGTCCTTGAGAAGGGCCGAAGGCTAGTTCTTGCCATTCTCGTTGTTGTTACAATGATGTTGTCGTTTCTTGGCTGAGCTAGTCCTTGCCGCCCTCCTGGTCGTTCTCGCGATTTTCCGGGGTAGCGTCCTCCGTCTTGTTCTGCGGCTGGGTCTTGTCGCTCTCCAGCCAGGCTCCGAACTTCTCAAGTCTTTTGATCTCGGCTTCGTCGTTCTCCCCAGAGTCCATAGCTGCGGTTTTCTCATACTCGGCGCGACGGGCGTTGTACTTGCGGAACTTCTCTTTCCCATCCCAGATGTATGCCACAACAGGGCTTCCACTGAATTTGCGGCCATTCATAGCCTAGATTACGATTAGTAGACGCTATCAATTTTATCAGCCGTTGGAGAGACCTACCTTGGCACAACGGACTGCAGCGGCTGGATCGGTGAATCGGACTTTGACAATGCCCTCGGGTTCCTCGTCGTAAAGCACCACCTTAGTCACCTCACCAATCTTGGAGGCCTCCTCGCGAATATCCTCTTCAATGTCAAGTCTGGCAGTGGGGTCGTCCTATGTGCATGTCAGCCGGGGGTCCGGGCCCGCATAGCAAGAAGTGAGAGCATCGAACCTCCAGTTCTTTCAGTGTGAACATGTGTTTCAAAACCATGTGCTTATCAGACTCTGTTGGCTTTCTCTTCACATCCGCATACTGTTCATCATCACTCCATTCAGCGAGACGCCTGAATTAGTCAAGTCAGCGTATGCTCCTTCTTCCGTCACCACGAACCCATGATCGACACTCACCTCTCCATCTTCTCACGCAATTCCTGGATCTTCTTTTTTTCCTGGCGAGACATCTTTGTCGGCGCAGTTTGTTCACGCTTGTAGGCGAAATCGGCCTCCTGAACCTGCATCTTCTTCCCAGAGGGATCAGGGATACCCATTCGGAAATCGGTGTCATCGAGCATGTTGATAGCAAGGTTAACCGACTCGGGGCGGTAATACACGACCAGGGCGTCCCCCTTGAAGTTTCCGTCATCATCGTTGTACATCTTGATCCGCGGCTTTCCGGTATCAAGCTCCTCGGCCAGCATTCCATATTTCGCAAAGGTCGCGTGGATTTCATCCAGAGTGGCGTCGAGCGGAATCGACGTGACCCAGACAGCGGTGTTGGCGCGTTGTTTCTTAGCCTTGGGCTGCTCCTCGGCCTAGAAATTGAGAAGGAGCAATGTGTCAGCCTGCAATGCCCTCAAGCTCCAATGAGTAATTATCCAACACTCACCTGTTCCTGCATCTCCTTGCGCTTCTTCTGCTTGCGCTCACGCGGGTGAGTGGCCTCGGTCTCGGTCACACCCTTGAACTGGTACGTCTGCTGCTGCTGGCGGATAAGGTCCTCGTCGATCTAGAGACATACTCCAGTTAGCTCCGGAACTGATGAGAAGTCCACCGGCGCAAGGCCTCCGGTGGGCTAAGGACAGGGTCACGTACGTTCTCGACCCATCGCTTGAGAGCCGTATCATACTGAAACTCTCGGTCGTCTGTTTCAAGTATCCAGCAATTGTCGGCCTTGGACCAGCTGATGCGGTCATCCTGTTCAAACGTTGCTGGGTCGGTTGGGAACCCCATTTTGGGCGGATCACTGTCGCTGGAAGGATCTGAAAGGATTTCAGATGAAGAATTAATGAGACAAAAGAAATAAACTGCCGCTTCCACGGTAAAATAGTGTACAGAGAGGGGTTGCGATGATTTGCGATGTGCTGTCGCGTCAATTTCACGATCTTCCCTCGGCGGGGCGGGATTCCGGCAGGTGCTGAGCTACGGGTGGGTCCCGCTGTATCGGTACAGCAGCCTCGCTGCCTTACTCCGTACACTACGAAGATGTCAAGACGTTGCGCAGACCAGGAATCTACCGACGTTGCGATTGTTCTACATGTGGGATGCATTATTCCGATGGTTCATGGATCTGTTCAAGGCTGTGACAAGGCAGTGAATACATACGTGGCAGTCTTTCTGGATAGTCTTGCTTGCGCAGCTCTACGTCAATTTCTTACTCCATCCGCGGGATTGGCTTTGAAGACTGTCATGCAACTTATATTCGGGTATCTGAAGTATGCTACGAGACTCAGAATCAATTGGTCTCCAGCTTAGGAGCATACTCCCGAATTGCAGTACTGAGAACCCAAAGCACCCATATACACCCCTCCGCCAGGGAAAAGCAGGCAAGGAAATGAAGTATTAATATTAAATAAAGAAAAAAACAGGAATCACATCAATCGAATCTATGCCTTCGTCTCAACGTCCTCGCCCGTGGGGGTGACGGTGCGCCTAGAGCCAGTCTCTGAGCCTTCCACCCCGTTGACGATATCACGAGTGATCTCGACATAGTCATACTAAAAGAACGGTCAGGAAATTTTTTGTGGCTGGATGTGGAATGGTCACTTACAGCAAACTCGCCAATCTCAGCATCATCAATACCCATGATTTCATCTTCCTCTGGGGCGCGAAGGGTGAGACCGGGGATGAGGTTCATGATGAAAAGGATGATGCAGGTTCCGAAGAAAGCATAGGCCATTCCGCTCACCGAGTCAGCAAGCTGGTATCCTAATTGGATATAGTTCTTGTTGATCCAGCCGCCATCAATCTCGGTGACACCGTCAAGGTGCGCGATGTAATCGCTGTGGTCTCCAGTCAGGTTCCAGTCAAATATAAAGGGTGGAAGATGGTTTACTTACGCGGCAAAGAGGCCAGTGAGCAGGTTTCCAACCAGACCACCAATACCGTGGACGGCAAAGATATCCAGAGCATCATCCACGCCAATAAGGTACTTGAGCTTAGTCGCATAGTTGCATGAGATAGCACCAACGAGACCGAAGATGAAAGCAGCCCAGGGAGTGACGAAGCCAGAGCCGGGGGTAATGGCAACGAGACCAGCAATCACACCAGAGCAGAAGCCGACGGTAGACCACTTGCGCTCAAGTCGGTAGTCCATCAAACACCAGGTCACACCTCCAACGGCGGCGGCCAGGTTAGTGACAACGGCAGCCATGACAGCGCGGAGGTTGGCAGAGAGAGCGGAGCCAGCATTGAATCCGAACCAGCCAACCCATAGGAAGACGGTGCCAATGACGACGTGGGTCACATTGTGAGGGCGGTAGTTGAGCTCGTGAGTACCGTGGCCACGACGCTTGCCCAACATCACAGAGTAGGCAAGGGCTGCGGCTCCAGAGGCAATGTGAACGGGAGTACCACCCGCAAAGTCCAGTCCACCGAGGTTGAACACCCAGCCGGAAGAGTTCCATGTCCAGCAGGCAATGGGGTCGTAGATAATAGTAGTCCAGACGAACATGAAGACAATGCAGGGGAGCATGCGACCACGCTCAGCAACGGCGCCAACTGCGAGAGCAACCCTAATTGGAAGATAGATTGTCAGTTGCTGGTTGATACGGCTTTCCGACTATGGACTATGTTCATGACTCACGTAATTGCGGCGAACATGCCCTGGAAGACAGCGAACAGAAGATCAGGGACCTTATCACTGCCCACAGATGGTGCAGCCAGGACACCCTTGAAACCAAAGTTGTCGAGGTTGCCAATGTACTTGCCGCCTGTATGAGAGAAGGCTAGTGAGTAGCCCCAGAAGAACCACTGGAACGAGACCACTCCGACCGACATAATAGACAGCCATATCAACGAGAGGGCCGACTTTCGGCGAGCTAGACCGGAGTAGAAGAATCTATCAACGAGGTGTCAGCCATGGGCCCTAGAATAGTCGGGAAGTGTGCGGTCAATTCATACCCAACTCCAGGAATCATAAGCAATACTAGGGCCGTTGAAATAATGACCCATGAGATATCACCAGACTTGTTCAACGATTAGCCAACATGATCATCGGTTCGAGTCCACAGCATTGTCACACAACATACACTGTAGAAGATATTCAGGTCATCGTGAAGGGAGTCACCACCAGTAGCGATGGTACCATTGTATGGCACCGGAGATTCCGCCATGGTGAAACCTCAGCCGGACCAATGATGTCTCAAGCAGATAGTGAAGCAGGTCAAAAGCCCCAATGGAGTGATACAGATACCTCAAGACTCTCTGATACACAGAAGGCTAGAGGAAAGACGGAGCACAAAAGGCTTACAAGCACCAGGCTATGAAAGGAGGTGAAAGTGATATGTCTAACCTGTAGGGACAAACCCCGATAATAAATAGCTGGGACTGTTTGAAATGTACTCCACCTCGTCAAACGCTAGAAGGCTTACCAGACCATCGAGCTTAGCCCCGATAGTGGAAATTGCCCAGATGGTCATTTTGATTTCTGATGTTATTCATCTGATATGGCTGATAGCAGTGGCCAAGCCAGCCACGCCGGGTACTAGGCGGACGGGGGGGATATACTTCATGAACCAAAATATCGGAGAATAACGGGACCATACTTTCATTGCTTTGTGTTTTGTATGTAGGTTTCAACTTTGGTGATTTGGATCAGATCTAGAGGTGTCTGCATACGTAATGTATGAAGTATCCGATATTCAATCGCTTCCTCTGTATGACTATCATCCGTGCATTTCCCTGGCCCTTTCTCTGAGAAACTGTGAGAACTGTTTGAGGCAAGCTCCCGTCATGCATTGGCCCCCGGTGATAAGCAGGGGAAATGACTTGTGATAGATAGATTGGGTCATTCCAGTGACAGCAAAAATAAATTGAAAATAATCGAATCTCACTCCATAGATGGAGGTAGATATCATGTTGAATGTAGCCAATCAGAGGCTTTCCCTTTATCATTTTGGCTGTCATGGCCCATGCATCCGGGCTGGTCCCGTTATTTGTCGCTTATATCTATCTTTTAATACGTTAAACCCTCGCTTCTGTATTCATGATGCATAAACTGAACCTATTGCCTTAAGACGAATATATTAAGTTATGTTCAAAGTACTATTCGAAGAGATATTCGTATCGCCCTGTGAAGGTGACGTTGTTGACCAAAAGGATATCGGATCTCTTATCTATCATCTTGGCTCGATCTCGTGTCGAGCCAGCCAATCAGCGGCCAATTTCCCCTTATCATGTCTTTCCGATTCTCACATCCAACACGCGCGACTATTACCTCTATTGAACAATGCGAGGGATGGTCAAAACTATAGTCAGCCCTATTCCGCCACGGACGATACGATGTCATTGAGCTTGAAGTTGTCGGGGTTTCTCACTAGTTATATCAGGTCCCAATATCTAGTTATCCACCAGGGCATCTCCTAGCCTTATGTATCAAGTTTCTAGCTCTACGGAGTATTCTCTCCGCATCATGATATCATCTCTTAGTGGCCCCAATCTTCCGAAGATGACGCATGGGGCCCCACACGATAGAGCATTAAGAACCGCATGGGGCGGGAAGACTAACTAACCCTTTGCCACGCGCCTGGGGGTTTCCGCTAGGTCAAGATAAGGACCCAATTCTTTATTGGCGGGATTGGTGGGAAATTGACTCGGCATCCCGACTTGAACCTTGGCACTGTTGTTCATAAAACTCTACTCGGGCAGGAGAATCTTACACTGGACTTTGTATATCGCGGATATATGCAGCCGTCTGGCATTATTGGTGCTTTGAGCTCAGCCATTTTGTCCTTCTAGCGATAGCACTGGCACAGCAGGGTTCGATCAGAGTCCAGACTGTAGATAGGGTTAGCAATACAGCTCAAGTCATGATTCATGATGAGTGCAGCTCAAAGTAGCCTGTGTCCGCTGCGGTTTTAATTCTCAGTTCTGGCAGATTGGCCCTGGATCTCCAGCCTAGTGTTAATGATCCCCGATCACCCGGGTCCACTGATCGACAGCATACAAAATCTTCAAGGATCGAATTCTTACAGTATTTTAGGTCTAGTCAGGGGCATGTTCTGCATGATCTGAAAGTAGGTGCATTGTACTTTGTAGAGTACTTCAAAGTCAGCGTATGACGGGATTCGACTCGCTTTAAGATGTACTTTACGCGCTTTGGGTCATCGAGTAATTCATGTGATCAGGTTGCTTTGATTCGTCAGTATTCATTGAACTTACATATCTTTGACGCGATGATTTGATATTGGCCAAATGAGAATCATGCCTGGTGCTCTCTCTTCCGTTCAACAATTTGTTTGTGTATCTGTTCGAAATCTGACAGCTGCTGTATGCCATCAACTACCCCTAGGATTGATCTGGTTCTTTCACCTCCACTTCTTGCATGCACATATTTTCAATCAAGACAGAAATGCCAATCACATCCTGTACTTGTTCTTAACCGAAACCAAAAGTCAATACTACATGCCCAGCCAGACCAGAAACCCAAATGTTAGCGTTTTCAAAGATTATCTACATAGCAACAGACCCTAAATAACCGCTAGGATTTGGGAATTAGATGAATGAGCACGAACACTGTAGGCAGCATTCATTCTAACATGCGAGTAGTCTCCAAAAGTTTCAAAAGTGATGTCAAGGGGCAAAACGGTGAGCCTTGGCGGAGTATGGAGATGATCTGAGTTTTCACATGGAATAATGAGTACAGCAGGGCACCTGACTTTCAGACCCGGACGCGACGCGTGTACCAGACCGGGATTTAATATGAATACAGATCAAGACTGACGCCACGTAGTGACTGAGAATTAAACAGGAAAGATTCTCAGCAGATCAGACACTGGATCGTAGACTACAAACCGTTAATGGGTGGGGAGGCTCCCGGACATCCGGGGGCGCCATCCGGTTAGCCACACAGCACCGCCACGCCATCCGCCTCCTATCACCTTGGTCCGACATCAGTAAAGGTTCTCCGGACCATCGCATTGTATAACCACCATGCAGCATCCGGAACTCCCCAGTCCCGACTCAGATGGCTCAGGCTCTTCTGATGAGTTTCCCCAATACCCTGTGAGGACCAACTCAGGGTTTGAGACCGGCGACGCCCACGCGCAAACGCCTGCCACCACCGTCACATCTTCCCCTCCCTCCCATTCACCGAGTCTTGCCTCATGGGCTAGTCCTCTAATGACACGACCTCGTGGAGCTAGCGTCGGCACTGCCGCTCTTCTTGACAAACCCGATGGTATTGGCATGCCTACCGACTCTCGACTTCAGCGCCCCTCCGCGCCGGCACGAACCCCGTCGAATACCTATGCTCCACAACGGCGGCCACCACAATACATCAGCCTTCAGGAAAACCGCCAAAGGTCATCTTCGGCGAAACGAGGATCCCGACGCGATCCAAATGCACAATATCGAGCCCAAGAAAAAGCCTACGTACAACGGATTCGAGCGAACCCACAAGCCTGGTATCATCACTTTAAAGACGCCCAAAGCAACAGCATGATAGATGGGGACGCCGATTTGGAAGACCCCTCCCCCTCATCCGAAGTGGCTTTTGAAGATGATTCCTATGATCCTGATACCCAGCTCTTTCTTCCGGACGACAACCTGCCAACTACGGAGGAACTCAAGCACCCCAAGAACCAGGAGCGGCTTGAGTGGCATTCCATGCTGGCCTCAGTCCTCAAGGGAGATGTCGTGAAACAAGAGAAACAGCGACTCATAGGCACGGCGGAATCAAAGCGCTCGGCCGCTCAGAGCTATGCACTCTGGATCGGAGTTCGGGCAAGGACGTGCGGTCGGAGTATCCCTTTGCAGCAGAAAATGATTGCGGACGCACGGTCGCGTCTTGGTCCTATCATTGAGGATATCATCGGATTCCAGATTAAAGGCGAGACTGAAATCGGGAAACCGCCAAGACAACAGGTTGAGGACATCGTTGAGAAGATTGAGCGATGTGAGGTCCTCTACTCTTCGAATAAGGAAATGGAAGCTGGGCTCCCACGCGTGGCCTCGGAGGAATTCACCTCTAGCCGTGCAGCCATCTTTTCTTGGCACAACATCACCGCGCTCATCAACACCGAACTGGCTGTGCTGCAGAGTTGGGTGGGAAATGAAGCCCTGGATTTCAGCAAGCCTAGGGTCAAGTCTGCTAAGAATGATCTTTCGGATGGGTCGTCCTTCCTCGATCGTATCATGAAAGAAGATGGCCTGAAGACGCTGCAGGACAAGGACGGCATGCTTCTACGGATCCTTGCCGTAATTCAGAAAGCGAAGAGCACCCTCATTGAGAACTCAGAAGCGTTCGCTGCGCGCCATCTGCCACCCTACATCGAGGAACTGCTAACATTGATCAACTTCCCCTCCCGATTGATCCAGGAGATCATTCGAGTCCGTCTTTCTTATGCCAAGAATATGAAAGATCCGGCTCAACAAGCCCCCATTCTGATTGATCAGATGATCTCTCAATTTCAAATCCTGATGAAGGTGGCAGTCGACATCAAGTTCCGCTACCTTGACGTCTCGAAGCCAGAACCTGGCTGGGATTTGCCGCCATGCGTTGACGAAAACTTTGACAATTCGGTTCTTGATGCCATGAAATATTACTTCCGACTACTTAATTGGAAACTGAACGCCAACAAGAACACATTCAAAGAAGCCGAAATTTTGGAACAGGAATGGGGTTACTCCTATGACATTGGCCGGCGGCTTGATGGTGGAGATATCGAGGTGGCCGAGCAATTTAGGTAAGATCATCGCCTTTCATATCACTGCAAAAGCTAACGAAACAACAGTGCCTTGACTGCCAGATCACTGCAGCGTCTCATGATTCATTTCGAACGTGAACTCGTCCCTAGACCCAAAGAAACCGTGCAGGATATGGACAAGCGATACAAAAGCATTTTGGATTCAACGCGCATTCGTCAGCGCAAGCTCTATCGATTCTCCAAGTTTTTGTGCCAATTATTCGAGAACGCGACCGAATACAACATCACTACCGACATTGCCTACGATTTCTTCGAGGCACTGTTGATCTCCGACCACTTCCTTGTCACCTGCACTACTTCTGTTGGGCAGAAAGGAGTTTATTTGATCGCGCATCATGCACTATGGGACCGTCCCGCCGATATCCAGGCTATTCTATCCACGTCCTTCAAAGAAGATGACGCGACTCCAGATGCTCACATTCCTTATGTCTTAGCTATCCGACCCGAAAGGCCTCTGGCTTGGGCAGGAAAGGAGATGCAATTGGATTCCTTGGAACATCCCACGGATGTGCGGCTAGGCAAGCTACGTATAGTGGTGGAAGGCATGCAAGAGCGGCTGCAGAATGCTCGTATGGAGCTCGCACGACTCACAGGCATCCAACTTGATATGGTTATCGAACAGCGTGCCAACCTTGGTCGCGTGAACGTGGAGTTGAACAAGATCAAGAAGATCTCTTTCAAATTGTCCATGACCATCATGGACAGCGTGTCTATCATCAAAAATCAACTCCGTGAGAGAGAGTGGGAGAACAATGACCTGATACAGGCATGCTATGCATTTGCAACAGAGTTTGGCAAGCGATCTTCAAACTATGTCGATGCCAACAGGCGTGCTATGAATAGCGCCCGGTTGGTGGAGTTGTCTCTTGACTGGGTTGCGTTCATTTGTGACGAGTGTGACGCGGCGGACCGAAAGACCTTCAAGTGGGCTGTGGCGGCTCTCGAGTTTGCGATGGCGATCACGTCCAGCCGCCATCTCCTGTCTATGGATCACGACCAGTTCAGTGATTTCAGACTGAAAGTTGCCGGTTGCATGTCTCTGCTCATCTCTCATTTCGATATCATGGGTGCGCGATCCTCTCTTGCGGCGAAGAATGAGAAACGCATGGAAGAACGCAATGCAGCCCGTCAGGTTGGCAGCAGCCGAATCATCAGCGATGAGGAAGCGTCCAAACTTGTGCGCGAAACATGGTACGCGCGAATTGTGGAGATCGAAGATAGGAGAATTGAGGAGGATGCCAAGCGTCAAGCACTAGGAAAGGTGCTGGAAGGATCTGATGAGGCTGATCGATCCCTCACTGTGCTATCGTCGTCCGCCACCAATGTTACTTTGCGGTGGCAGCAAGGCCAGTTTATCGGTGGCGGTACCTTTGGGTCTGTCTATGTGGCTATCAACCTGGACAGCAATTATTTGATGGCTGTGAAGGAGATTCGTCTGCAAGACCCCCAACTCATACCCAAGATCGCCCAGCAGATTCGGGACGAGATGGGCGTGCTTGAAGTCCTCGACCATCCGAACATCGTCTCCTACCACGGAATTGAGGTACACCGCGACAAGGTCTACATCTTCATGGAGTACTGCTCGGGTGGTTCTCTTGCTGCCTTGCTAGAACACGGGCGTATCGAGGATGAAACAGTCATCCAGGTGTATGCCCTTCAGCTCCTAGAGGGTCTAGCTTATCTCCATGAAGCCCATATCGTTCACCGCGATATCAAGCCCGAGAACATTCTGCTCGATCACAACGGTGTCATCAAATACGTCGATTTCGGCGCAGCCAAGATTATCGCTCGCACCGGCCGCACAATCGCCCCAATGGACAACCCCCAAGCTCCCGGGTTCAAAGAGGCGGTGGGCAAAGAACCCGGCAACCAGCGCAAGAACCAAAAGACCACCACAGGAACTCCGATGTACATGTCACCCGAGGTGATTCGCGGCGATGTCGCAAGCCTCGACAACCGCCAAGGTGCCGTAGACATCTGGTCTCTCGGCTGTGTGGTTCTCGAGATGGCGACTGGCCGCCGGCCATGGTCCACGCTGGACAATGAATGGGCAATCATGTACAACATCGCCCAAGGCAAGACGCCAGCGCTTCCATCTCCCGACCAACTCAGCGAGCTGGGTATTGACTTCGTGCGCCGCTGCTTCGAATGTGAGCCTGCTCGTCGCGCTACCGCGGCCGAACTTCTCCAGCACGAATGGATCGTCTCCATCCGTCAACAGGTTGTCATGGAGCCTCCCACGCCCGGTAGCGATTACAGCACCAGCTCCAACGGCTCAGCCACAGCCACACGCCAGAACTCGACGTATATGTGATTTCCTTCTCGCGTCATTCCGGTACAATCGCTTCGATCTCGCCATCCCGGGACGGCATCGCATGTGATACCCCTCTTTCGTCTCTTTCATTGCTTCATGTCTTTTGCTCGCCCCATATCATAGCGTTGCCTCACTTCACCGCCATCCTCTTTCCAATTCTTCATTCACGCCCCGGAACTCTAGACATGTACCGTGGGCTTGCTGGTTTCAACCTATTCTGTCTGTCCCGCAAGTTGCCATGTTTGGCGAGTTGCTTTTTGATATCATGTTCTCACCATATAACTAACACTCGGATGTAAACGAACTCGGTGTTGGTCTGTTCTAGTATGTACGCTTCGGTCATTGTTCGTTTCTAGCACATATCTTTATCTCATCGTTGAACAATCATCTTGATCTCCAAAGCCTTTCCGAACTGTGACTCACGCTCACGCTGTGCCTTCAAAATCACCGTCTATTACACTACTACTCAAGAAAAAGATCTAAATGTCCGTGCCCACCTCGTATGTGTCTCGGCGGCTAAATTGCTTGATATTCATGCACGATGTTTGTATTTTGTATCAAGGAGATTTGACCGTGATTGTTGGAGAAAATTCCGGCAAATTGATGTTTAACAATTTATCACTTGATTCACTACCTACCATTGACGCAGTGGCATCTCGCCAACCCCATGGGGTCGATGAAATGAGCCTGTTTTATGCTTTTATGGCAAATATCAAGACTTCAAGATCTTGGCATTCACCACTCTGTCCTATCTCGATTCGGTACAGCTGTTTACTCAGGCTATAGGGTAGAGGTATCCTGGACGGCGTTTGTCCAGACGTGAAGCTCCACCACAGACGAAGATCACCTTGTACATCCAATCACTAATTCAGTATAGAGGACTTATCTACTGAACGACTAAACGAAACTATTACCGGAAAAGCAACCAGGCCGGGACTAGAGAAAGAAGCCGAGGCGCAGGTATATACCCAATTCTACGGAAAATTCAAGGGTCTACTATGCCTAGTATCTTCCATACGATCGAGCCAAAATTTAGTTTCTTCAGGCTAGTGAGAATCGCCACATCCTTGTTATTGGCTGGGAAGGTCATAACGGTGGAGCTGAAGCCGAGAGAATCGTCACGAGATCGAAATAAAGGGGCCCAGGGGGATTCTTCAGGAAGATGGCTAATCAAAAGTTATATTAACCTCATCTAGTTAGCCTAACTAGTAGTCGAGACCATGTTACATTGAATTGCCGGCCTTCAAGCAATTGGGACCGCACCATGTCGGACAGTCGGATAGCCTCACCAGACGGAAAGCGTTTACGTATTATGTGAACGATCAACGAGGATGTGTTCCAAGGTTCATTCGGTCGATCAGGTATACAGTTCATTGTCGATCAGCGAGTATAACTAGTGGTATAAGTGAATAACTACTATGTGCCTGGCAGCCCGACTTCCCCGGCAAAAATCTGTGGGGAACCCGCTGAAGAATCCCCGCTTCCCCACACATTTTACCCAACTGTTACCCAACTGCAGTTCTATTAGCCATCTGCAGTCATTTTAGCCAACTGCAACCCTTTTAGCCAACTGCAGTATTGAGCCGGTAAGCTGGGAAACTCCAGGACTTGTAGTGTTGTCTCTGGAAACAGGCTCCAGCTCCACCCTTTCAACCACCCCAAGGATTACTGGACAAACTACACGGATCTGAATCGCTTCGACGTACAGGGGTAAAGGATAAATCCTCATTTCCTCAGAATATAAATAGAGGTAGAACGGCCTCGCAGAATGGACCAACTCAGGCTTTCCTTCCAGTTCCACCCATCCCGTTCACCCACATTCAACTCTCGTCAATCATCATGAAGTTTACTGCAGCTTTCGCCAGCCTCTTGGCCACGGCACTCGCCGCCCCTGCCGCCGAACCTGCTCTGGTGGAGCGTGCTACTGGCATCAACTACGTCCAGAACTACAACGGCAACCTCGGTGCCTTCAGCGCCAACCAGGGTGCCGGACAATTCTCCATGTACTGGGAGCAGGGAGTCAGCAACGACTTCGTTGTTGGTTTGGGCTGGACCACCGGTGCCGCCAGGTGGGTGCACTATATCCTTCAAAACATAAGTCAAGGAATATACTAACATGTATGCCAGATCTATTTCCTACTCTGCCAACTACAACGCCGCCAACTCGGGCTCTTACCTCGCTGTGTACGGCTGGGTCAACTCCCCTCAGGCTGAATACTACATCGTCGAGAGCTACGGCAATTACAACCCCTGCAGCTCGGGCTCGGCCACTGGCCTTGGTACCGTGTCCTCTGATGGAGGCACCTACCAAGTCTGCTCCGACCTTCGGGTCAACCAGCCTTCCATCACGGGAACTAGCACGTTCACCCAGTACTTCTCCGTTCGTCAGAGCAAGCGCACCTCTGGAACGGTGACTGTTGGTAACCACTTCAACTTCTGGGCTCAGCATGGGTTCGGCAACAGCAACTTCAACTACCAGGTCATGGCCGTCGAGGCTTGGAGTGGTTCTGGCAGCGCCGAGGTCACTATCAACTAAGCTATCTCTTAAGAGCTGAGAGAGGCTTAGTGGTCGAAGGGGTTTGAAAGCCGAGCTCTCTTTTCGGGTGGTGTGAGATGATCGAACTGGGGGTTTGGCATTTTCCAATGTCGAGAGTCGAGACCGTATATGGTGTGGCGGGGGTGGAGCTGGCGGCTGCTGCGTTTTCAACTCGCACAGACAATATTCTATGGGCCTAACCTTCAAAGCCCGACCTATCCCATAGCCCACTAGTGAAGGCCCGTAAGGCCGCCAATAAAGCCCATTTTCATGCAGAACTACTGTGTTGGCGTTCATAAACCTACTGATCGATGCCTGTCTTTTGAGCATCCCTAAGCATCATCTGACTGCTAACTAAGTACAATTCGGTGGTCACTGAGTGACCACCCTGTGCTGTGAGACACTCAGCGAGCGAGACTTAAGCTGACGTATGTGTTCCATTATGTGGAGACCTTGAAAGAGGCGCGAGGTACTTATACTGATATGGCATAGAAGTAGCTATAAGAGACACGTTTTGGAAGACGGAAATAAACTCGATTTGGACAACTGGCCAGCCCGATAGCTCAAATAGGAGGTAACGACAAGTAATACTTTAACAAGAGATAAGTGGAAAATAGGGAAACACGAAGAAGAGATGAAATTACTCCAAATAGAGGGGCGCAGAAACCAGCCAGGCCGCCGTAGCTCGAGAGGAAACGCCGTTTCGTAGATTGCAAAGTCGTGAGGCATGAGTTAGGTGATGTGGGTATAGGCAAGCTTTGCCTGAGGACGGAGGCGGTCTTGGGGGTATTTGGTTTGCATGTGTGTGCAGTCCAAATGTTCATCAAGACAGTGGTAGGTTCAAGGGAAGCGGAAGGCGGAAGAGAAAGATTAGAAGGCGAACGAAACAGATTTTGAGAATACCAAAAGTCTCTCGATGGCATAGTGATCAGGAAGCACTGCGCAGCCATAAGGCACCGGACACAAAGGGATGAAAGATATGGGAGGTGTAAGAGGTAAAGAGCCATGCGGAAATTCACCAATGAAGGCACCAGCAAGCGAGCTCGGCAGAATCTAGCGGAACTCGACTGCTGGTGCACATCCACGATCTTCGACATGCTTGAGTTCAAGTTGTTGGAACCTGTGCTATAGTTAGCATTGACACATCGGGCATTGTCGAACACAGTATGGTTACTTACCGCTCGCTCTTTGCATGGAAGTAGACCCCACTGACGGTTCCTTCAATCTGGTTGAAGCAAATGTAATAGAATCCCTCAAAACTGGCACCCGAAATAGTCCGGACCCGGTGATCGGGTACCAGGAACGACTCCTTCCATCTCATAAATATGTGCTCACGCTGGGTAAAGTTGCGGTATGTGAAGTCGGCTCGTTTGGCCTGTTTAGCCAAGGGACGCCAGGCAGGAAACCGAGACCAATGGTGTAGGTCGGTCTTTTCCGATGCGCCCCAAGCCTCATTACGAGTCTGGAAAGTGTGTTTGGTACCAATAATCTCTCCTTCGAAAAAGGTGGTCAAAGTAGGGTGGTCTTCTGTAAGGCCTGTGGGGAACAGCATTAGCTGGGCTAGATCCCATGCACGTCCCCGATGCGCACGAATCACATACCTTGAATGCGGAGATAACCGCAGAGGTAGGACTCAGCCATATCCACATGCTTAATCTCGACATCGACATTGTAAACCTGACGGTCCGATTGCTGTGTTCCAACGAACTTGCTGCCGGAACGAAGAAATGAAGTATGGTTCGGTGTAAGCTGCGACGATTAGCAGGTGACAGGAGATACTCCGAACAACTGAGGACCAATACTTACACGAACGTTAGAAAATTCCCAACTTAGAAGTGAGGACCCGGAGGAAGTTTCTAGCGACTGATTGGAAGGGCAGGTTGACTCGGCGGGTGAGGTAGCCCGGACGGGCTCATCCTCTTCGACACTCGTCACCTTCCCCTCCACCTTCAGCGGCTCGGGAGTACCGCCGGTATCAGATCGACTCGGGACAGAGGGCGCAATTGGAATCTCAGGTGATAATCCCTCAAGAGGGTCCCCGTTTGATGCGCTATCCGGTGTGTCGCGCCAGGTCGGAGTCCTGTCGGGCTCGGGTGGACATGTCGTGCGGGCGGCGATCGCCTCGGCGATCGAATCACTCGGTGTCGGCATTGCAGATCAGGGAAAGAGAGGGGACATCGAATCGAAGCAAGATGCTCCAAACCAAAATGAGAGCAAGAAGAGAAAAAAAATAGTAAGAGAGCAAGAGGGATGAATCATTCAAGATCAGCGAACTAAGTCCTTTAAGGCCTCAACGAGCAATGCGGGGACAAGCAGGTGGGTCAGCTGTTTCTGCGCCTGGCGCGGCGCCACTTCAATTGTTTAGGTAATGTAAATGCCTGAGGCAACGACTCGGATCGCGACTTCCATCTAGACTCTCACTCCACTGCAACACACCTCTCAGCCTCTCTGACCAAGTGAATCTTGCAAGCTCCCACAGGAATTCAGATCTGTCTAGAACCTCTTTGCAACGTACACGCCTCTTAAGACCACTTATCTCCAGCCTGCATGATCTGATCACCGTCCAATAGCTGATTCGCGAGGAGCTCACTACTTCTGCCGAGGCTGAGAGATATTCGAATGTGTGTTTGAGAGAATTATGGATTGAGCAGTTTCAAGCGCAAAGGCCATTGAGGGACTCAACTGGCACGAAACCTCAACCCAATGAAGCCGCGATCCCAAAATACTTCCCGATCTCGGTGAGAAAAACAGTGTCTCGATGACCGCCATTCCTGTGTCTGAGAGAAACCTTAAAGTATGCTGCCATGCAATGTTGGGAATGGCCTTTGGGTACAGCAGATGCACACACTCTGTGTGATTGGAAGCTGAATCACACTCAAGCAGAACAATGCTAGGTATCTTCTTTACAGATTTCTATTAGCCAACCTCGGAAGCGCTAGCACTCATGAAGACTGGAGCATCAATAATACAAGTCCAATGAATTCCAGACGAGATCAAACAGGCTAGTAAGGTGTCAAGTGCATGGCTGAGTGGTATAATTTATTCGTTTGGTGCTGTAGCTGAGTTCGCATCCCAAGAAACCCTCAATGAACGCCTAATGAGTATCTCAAATCAAAACCTCCCGTATCATCTTCATTTCAGTTGTGCGCTTGACGCTTAGATGGGCTTGATCTGTAAAGCGGCGAATGGTCAAACGATGCCCAAAAGGTGGGGAGCTAGGACTGATAACGGTACCTTGAAGTGGAGGGAGATGAGTGAAAAGACAAGAGCCTTTAGGTCCTGCACAAGGTAGTAGAAGACTCGAAGTCCTTCGGGATCGTCTGATTCGGTCACGTCGACTAGCGAGCCGATTTTGGCGGTCTATACGTTTAGAATTAGATTTGATCGCTGTGCGCATGAGGTATTCCGGCTACATACCTCAAAGGAGATGTGCTCGTTTCCAAGGCGAATCTCCAGCTCCTGACGTCCGTCTTTATTCTTCTGAGGCCACTTCGAGTCGTCCTCCCTAGACCGGGTTAGCGCCTGTATTCTTTCCGTTGGGTTATGGTTGCACACTTGAGGATTTCACTTTGCTTGATAATGCGCTTCACTTCCTCGACCATCGCATCGCTCACACACACTGGTCTCTATCAGCTTAAGTCCGCTTCGCCTTTGGGCGTGTAAGTCGCTGCTCACTTTCTTTGCGGATGAGGGAATCATTGCGGTAGTTCGAGTTGTTCGCATATCGTACGGCGGCACTGCTACCTTCGGAAATGGTGCGTAGATCAAACTCTGCGCGCAAGTTAGCAGCTGAATCCAAGGGCAACCACCTTCGTGCACTTACCTAGGAACTCATGTCCAAATCGCCCAGAGTGACCTGAGCTGTGAGGACCGTCAGCAGCTGAGGAAACCTGGGCTCACTCATGACATCCTTACTAGTATCTGACGTAGAAATTCTCATTCGACATCTTGGCGAAGCTCAATGGTAACAAGTCGTGAAATGCAAGATAGAGAGCAGTCGACGTCAAAGTGGCAGTTGAAAAGCGGCGGGTTGCTTAGTCATCCACACAGACGGGGCCAGATTAAGGGACAAGTTGATTGTCCCTCCCCATTGCGCATCATATAACCCTCTAATGATTTCAAGGCTGGCGAGGGGTGCTGTTTTACACTAATTGCTTGTTCTCGACATTTGGCGCAAACTCCTGTTTCTGGGAGAATTACCCCCTAGTGTATGTGTTGACTCCTACATGCTGATGTGTCCCCAAAACAACCCCGGAACTGACAACTTGCAGCTCTCTTTCGTTCCGATTCCCCCTACTCCACCACCATGGCGTCGTTTCTTGAGAATACCTACAGTCTGCTCCACGTGGACAACACTGCCGACCAACCGACAGTGCAGGAGTTGAAGCTGCAGCTGGAAAAAGGCAACGATGAGACCAAGTTGGAAACAATGCGGACAATTGTCTCCATCATGCTGAATGGAGACCCCATGCCGCAAATCCTCATGCACATCATTCGGTTTGTGATGCCATCGAAAAGCAAGCCATTGAAGAAGCTGCTTTATTTCTTCTATGAGATCTGCCCCAAGCACGATGCTAGCGGCAAGCTTAAGCAGGAGATGATTCTAGTCTGGTAAGGGCACCCCTGGCCATTGTCGCCTCTCCTCTTATGTCTAACACCGTTCTTTCCACAGCAATGGCATTCGCAACGATCTTCAACACCCCAACGAATACATTCGAGGCAATACCCTCCGATTCCTCACCAAACTACGCGAACCAGAGCTTATTGAACCCCTCCTTTCCTCCGCACGTTTGTGTCTGGAACACCGTCACGCTTATGTCCGCAAAAATGCAGTTTGGGCTGTGTCCTCTATTTTCCTGCACTCCGAATCCCTCATCCCCGACGCGCCGGAGCTGCTTCAGACCTTCCTCGAGTCGGAGACCGACAGCACCTGCAAGCGCAATGCATTTGCAGCACTGATGTCTATTAGCCATCAGAAGGCACTCGAGTATCTGCGCACGACATTCGACACGATTCCCAACACAGATGAGTTGCTGCAACTAGCAGAATTGGAATTCCTCCGGAAGGATGCAGTACAGAACACTCAAAATAAGGTGGGTTTGGGTGGCTAACCATCATTGTGTCGTCCTCACTAACGAGAACTAGTCGAAATACTTAAAACTCATGCTCGAGCTCCTCGATGCCTCCACAAGCACCGTCGTTTACGAAGCCGCAACGTCTCTTACCGCCCTCACAAGCAACCCTGTTGCCGTCAAAGCCGCTGCGGGCAAGCTGATTGAACTCGCGATTCGGGAGGCTGATAACAATGTCAAGCTCATTTGTTTGGAACGCGTGGACCAGCTCAGGATTCGCAATGAGGGTGTTTTGGATGATTTAACCATGGAGGCTCTGCGGGTTCTTAGCAGCCCTGACATTGATGTCCGGAGAAAGGCTCTCAACCTTGCTATGGAGATGGTTTCAAGCAAGAATGTGGAGGAGATCATCATGCTGCTTAAGAAGGAGCTTGCAAAGACGGTCGACGGAAATTATGATCAGGTATGCCGTACAGTCACTATGCACCAATCAAGCGATGCTAACGAACCGGACAGAATTGCGAGTATCGCCAGGCGTTGGTGCAGTCAATACACTCCTGCGCCATCAAGTTCTCCGAGATTGCTGCCAGCGTTGTTGATCTCCTGATGGATTTCATTGCCGATTTCAATAGCAACTCTGCCGTCGAAGTGATTTCGTTCGTCAAAGAGGTTGTGGAGAAGTTCCCTGACCTGCGTGGGTCGATCGTTGCCCGCTTGGTTTCGACTTTAAGCGAGGTTCGGGCTGGTAAGGTCTATCGCGGAGTTCTTTGGGTTGTTGGTGAATACTCCCTGGAGGAGAAGGATATTCGGGATGCTTGGAAGACGATCAGAGCCAGCCTGGGTGAGATTCCCATCTTGGCATCCGAACAACGGCTTCTGGATGAGGTCCCGGATGACAACGCCTTGCTTATGGAGCAGGCCAACGGCCAATCCAAGGCCGCGCCCACTGGATCGCGAAAGGTGCTTGCAGATGGTACCTACGCCACCGAAAGTGCTCTCACCAGCCAGTCCGCGGCAGCCGCTCGCCTGGAGGCCGTCAAAGCTGCGCAAAAGCCTCCCCTGCGCCAGCTGATCCTGGACGGCGACTACTACCTGGCAACCGTGCTCTCTTCGACTTTGACCAAGTTGGTTATGCGCCATTCCGAGGTTTCTCAAGATACAGCCCGCACCAATGCTCTCCGCGCCGAGGCTATGCTTATCATGATCTCCATCATGCGTGTTGGCCAATCTCACTTCGTCAAGGCCCCTATTGATGAGGACTCAGTCGATCGTATCTTGACCTGTCTGCGCTCGCTCGCCGAATTCTCCGAGAAGAAGGAGCTCGAGGCTACTTTCTTGCAGGACACGCGGAAGGCATTCCGCGCCATGGTGCAGGTTGAAGATAAGAAGAGAGCTGCCAAGGAGGCAGTGGAGAAGGCGAAGACTGCCGTGCAGATTGACGACGCCATCCCCATTCGCCAATTCACCAAGAAGAACGCTGTCGAGGGCGGCGAAGAGATCGAAATGGACCTTGTCAAGGCTACCGGCGGTGATTCGACTGTGGAGGATGTATCTTCAAAACTCAGCCGGGTGGTGCAACTGACCGGTTTCTCCGACCCGGTCTACGCCGAAGCCTATGTCACTGTCCACCAATTCGATATTATTCTTGATGTATTGTTGGTTAACCAAACCACGGAGACTCTGCAGAATCTGTCTGTGGAGTTCGCAACCCTCGGTGACCTCAAGGTCGTTGAGCGACCATCCACCAACAACCTCGGCCCGCGTGACTTCCTGAACGTGCAGGCTACAGTCAAGGTTTCATCGACCGACACCGGCGTTATCTTTGGTAACATTGTGTACGATGGCGCCAGCTCTACCGAGACTCACGTCGTCATCCTCAACGACATCCATGCCGACATCATGGACTATATCCAGCCTGCTCACTGCACCGAAACTCAGTTCCGGACCATGTGGACTGAGTTCGAATGGGAGAACAAGGTCAACATCAACTCCAAGGCCAAGACTCTGCGTGACTTCCTTAAGCAGCTGATGGATAGCACCAATATGGCCTGCCTGACGCCTGAGGCTTCTCTCCAGGGCGATTGCCGCTTCCTGAGCGCGAACCTCTATGCTCGCAGTGTATTTGGTATGTACCCCCCTGACAGCTTCCCTTCTATGAGAAATGATTACTGACTATATCACTAGGCGAGGATGCCTTGGCAAACCTGAGTATCGAGAAGGAAGGAGACGATGGGCCGATTACAGGATTTGTGCGCATAAGAAGTCGCTCACAGGGTCTAGCACTGAGCTTGGGCTCTCTGAAGGGCCTCAAGGCAGCGGCTGCATAAGTCAATGTTTTTCCAGCGGTTTGCGGTCTATATCATGCTTTTTTCCCCTCTTTCTCGTGTTCTATTCTCTTCATTTTCGAGACGAATTTGGTTACTTATATGTCTCTTTATGTGTAGATGGGATGGATGTCTCATCGGGAGTAGTGGATAGAAAACAATGTTTTAAATCTTTCAAGCGTATAATAAGCGTATGGTTAGTAGTGTCTACAGTCTACTACGATATCTACATTACACCCCTTGTCCTACATGTAGATACTGCAGTAGTCGGACTTGTGCCTGTGGAATGTTGTCATAGAGATCGATGCAGGGACCACTTACCACGGGCCCACCGGAACTCCGCGGCGGCGCGGCCTATGCGCATCTCTTTGTCTTATCCTTAGCCTCCATTCGGAGTCCTCCGCTTTATCAATAATGTCCTGAGATTCCATCCTTATTCAACATGACATCCCTAGACGAATCGCAGGAGCCGCACGACATGACTCTCATTGTTGACCAATCTGTTTCGTTAACCGTCAGCGCGGACTCGCTCTTCATTCGCGGTATGCACTGTTCCATCCCCGGCACGCTGGCAAATGCTTACCTATACTGTAGATGACCGCTCGACTCACAAGAAAGATCGTCGCTGCTGCGGATTGCTCCATTCTAGTAAGTTTGTCCAGCCCATCTCTGCGTTATGTCGCGCAATGCTGTTCAATGGAATCAGTCTGACCGAGCTATTGCGCGCACTTGTAGAACCAGAGACGAACCATGCTATTTCGCTGTACAACATCCTCGGCGCCGAAGTCACTGCTTCCAATCTTGTCATCGCGTACGCACAGCCCGCTGCCAAGGACAATGTTTCCGTAACAACCGTCCAATACCAAATCTCCGAAAAAGAAAAGAAGGCCGTCGAGACATGGGTTACGAGGCTTCTTTCTCTGGCGTATGGCAAGGCGATCCGTGGCAAGCGGTTGAAGGTGTTGGTCAATCCATTTGGTGGGAAGGGGACAGCTGCGAGCTTGTACCAGCGATATGCGGCGCCAGTTTTCGCCGCGGCGAAATGCCAGGTCGATGTACAGCAGACCGAATACAGGGGCCATGCTATTGAGATTGCGGAAAAGCTCGATCTTGACGCCTACGATGCAGTCGTTTGCTGCTCCGGCGACGGTTTGCCCTATGAGGTTTTCAATGGACTGGGCAAGCGGCCGGATGCTCGGAAGGCGCTGGCCCAGATCGCCGTTACGCTGCTCCCATGTGGCTCTGGGAATGGGTTGACATGGAATTCCTTTGGGACTGGTAGCGTCTCCATTGCGGCGTTGGGCATTGTTAAAGGGCTGAGAACACCCTTGGACTTGATCTCGATCACGCAGAAGGATTCGCGCACACTCTCTTTCCTCTCTCAGTCATTTGGCATCGTTGCCGAGTGTGATTTGGGCACGGAGAATATTCGCTGGATGGGCGCTCAGCGGTTCACATACGGTTTCCTAGTCCGCTTGTTGCGGCAGACGATTTGGCCTTGTGACATAGCCATCAAGGTGGAAATTGGCGACAAGGAGGCGATTAAAGCGCACTACGCTGCATGGTCTACTCGCCCAGAGCAGCCGGATGCTGACAGCAAACGCTTCGAGATCGCAGCTGAGTCCCCGGGTTTACCAGAGCTGAAGTACGGCACAGTGACAGATGAGCTGCCGTCGGGATGGGAAGCTGTCTCCGGCGAAACGATGGGGAATTTCTACGCTGGAAATATGGCTATTATGTCGAAAGACACAAACATGTTCCCTGCGACATTGCCGGACGACGGCCTCATGGACGTGATCACCATTGACGGTAAAATCAGCCGTGGCACAGCACTTAGCATGATGAATGAAGTCCCCACGGGTCGCTTCTTCGATATGCCAGACATGCACCTCCGCAAGGCGTCCGCATTCCGTCTAACTCCTCGCCAGAAAGATGGCTACCTCAGCATTGACGGTGAACGAATGCCGTTCGAGGCATTCCAGGCTGAGGTTCACCAGGGTCTGGGTACTATTCTCACCAAATCGGGTCGTTCCTACGAGGCACCAGGTCCCCTGATGAGCTGAGCTTTGAATCACCTAGAACGCAAGCCGCCGTTGGCTATCGACCTATCATTCCGTGGAGTCGGCTTTTTCCTTATATATCCAGTGCTTTGCCCAGTTCTTGCATTCACCTTTGATACCCTAGCGCAGAAGAATTGGCGCTTTGTCAATATGTCTTAAGAGACACTCGAAACTCTGTGACCAGACTGTACAGTTACAGCGAATGAAACAGAGCCATGCGAATACAGTCTTGTGGCCGATAGCTTTTACATTGTATCTTTTAATTTTGCTCCAGCTGTTCCCAAACAAGAGAACCAGCGATGGACTCAATCGCTAGCACGCTGTACAATCAATTCAATTTGTTTATACAAATCCATAGGAGTAAATCACTCAAAACCACCCCATTCCTCCTCATCCTCGTCCTCCTCCTCAACCTCCCTCGTCCTCACTCCCCACTCAAACAACCGCTCATCCTGCAAAGCCTCCGCAGCCCTCGTCCGAACAGGCTTGTAAGCACTCTCAGCGCGCAGCTTCTCCAACGGCCTCAGAATAAGCTCCATAGGCACATCACCCTTAATCTTCCGTTTCGTCTCCTCACCTTCGGTCTCCACCTCCTCAAACTCCAGAACCTTCTCCAACTCATCAATCCAAATATCAATAAGATGGTACCGCAGTCCATCCGGACCATGCGGCATAGGAACATAATTCGGATCCCCCTCCTCCGTATCCTGATCCTCATCATAGTTCAAAGGACAAAGCGGACCCTCCTCAATGATAGCAATATAAGCCGCCAGATCAGGGTATTTAGCCTCAAGATCGTCTCCCTCTTCCTCTTCCTTCTCATCCGCAGCTTCAGTCTCATCCTCATCCTGCTTCTTCAACTTCTTCCCACGACCCTTAGCAGCATCGTCCCTCTTGCGCTTTTTCCCGTCGCTCTTTGCCGACTCGTTCTTCAGCAGGACCTCAAATGCAACACCGACATAGAAACGGATCAGCATCAGGTACTTGTCCAGACGGATGCGGTCTAGTGCGTGGAAGTCGCGGCCGATGGTGATCCAGAAGGCGCGCAGGAATCGGTGCAGGGTTTGGTGAGGCAGGGAGGGGACGAGGGTGTAAGAGAGCGCGCGGGCGAGGGCTTGTTGTGTTAGGGGTCGGTCGGAGTGGTAGAAGCCTGGTAAAGAGGATTAGTTTCTGCTGGATTTTTGAATTTTAAGGGGGAAATGGGGCTCGTACAGTAGAACAGGCCTTTCCACAATTTGAGGAGGTCGACGAGGGTCAGATCGGTGCGGGAGCGCACGAATTGGGTTAAGGAATTGAGGGCCTTGTCGCGGACTTTGCGTTCTGTATTTGGGATATAGATATTAGTCTTCGTCTTCTTCCTGTGATAGGATCGTATATAGGTATGTCCACATACCACTTGAACCGAGCTCCCTGACAAAGGGAGTTTTTTGGCCGTCCATTTTGTATGGTTTCTTTTTTTCTATCTCAATTGGTAGGAGGAATTGGAAATGCTCGTTGGATATCGGGGTATCGTTGGAGGTGGTGAGGTGGTCTCAAGGTAGATAGAGACTACCTTTGGAGATATACTGTCAATCAGGTTCGGTTTGCAACTCGAGACTATCGAAATGCTGTCTTTATTCAGGATCCAACTTGAAGATTGCGATAAATTACTTTTTTTTTCTTGCGATAAAGTGTTTGCATTGTTTGTTGGGGAGCTCCGGATTTGATTAGCTAATGGATGTTGCCTGAGGCTACTAGTGGCCTGAGGCAGAATGCTTGTTTTTACCGGAGTACATCTCCGTTAGGAAGCTTGAGCATGTTCAGGTTGTTAGTTGGACATAGGTTAGTCGTCTCTGTGTTGCTCAGATTGACTTGCTGACTGCTAGTCTGCTCAGTGAGAGTCTTTGCTCTATGCGCAAGAGATATCAGTAGCTCACATCTGTCAGTATAACAAGGACTCACCCATAGTCTTTCCAGAGCTGTCAATGCTTCTAGTTGCCATTGAGCGACTACGCAGTAGTACGGAGTACTCAGCATAGAGTTGGCCCAGACACCAAGAGCTGTAAGCTGCAAAGATAGTCAAAAGTAACACAAGCTTCGTGTACAATTAACCGTTACTTAGTGATGTAAAACGCCCTTGAAACCATACAGGCACAATAGACATACCTAGTGCAAATGAAAATATTGCCATCCATCCATCCAATCCAAAAATGTATCCGAACTGCAGCTGAAACAAGGCGCAGCAAAGGGAATCACATACGCGAGAAGAAATGAGAGAAAAAAATGAGAGAAAACACCGTAAGAAATGAGAATCATCCAACCCGTGGATGTGGTCGAGCCAGCCTGCATGTAATGCCCGGAACGACCTCGCAAAATATCGCCAATGATTTTTAGTTCAAATGTTTTCTGTCCCAGTCATCAATGAGCCTTGATACCGCCTTGAAAGAGACAGGCTTCGTAAGGAACACGTCCACTCCCGAGTCCAATGCTTTGGTCTCATCGCGTGAACTGCTGAGTCCAGTAAATGCAATGATAGTTGCTGGGACACAGCCCTCCCGTTCTTTTTCAATCGCTCGGATGGCGCGCGTCGCTTCAAATCCATCCATGACCGGCATCGACAGGTCCATGAAGATAAGGTCGTAGCCTCGCAGCATCCGTTCGACTGCATCGACGGCTGCTCGGCCGTTTTCTGCTTTGTCGAGGACCACGAGTCTTCGTCTGTCCAGGAATGTCACCAGCAGGTGGAGGTTGATACTGTTGTCATCGACCACCAAGACTCGAGGTCTGGTTCTCCCGGGTGATTTGCCAGAATAGCCTGGGCCGGTAGAAAGAAGAGTCGACGAAGAAGACAACGAGTGACCGGGCATCTCTGGGCGGGAACTGGCAGCAGGATTATGCCCTGCGGGATCCATGGAGTCGCAGGGCTTTCCTGTGGGGTCTGAGGGGTCGACAGCTGGGCGTGCAGCAGCTAATCGTTCTGGGAGGACGCTCTCGTCTGTGAGGTCCTGCGGTTGCGGGACAGGTGACGCTGGCTTCGGGTTAAGACAATTCAAAATGGCCCTGCCCAGTTTCTGTGGACCGCAGGGTCGATGGAGGATTGTCAAAGGGCTAGTAAGATATGCCCATTTCTCTCTAGGGTCACAGTAGCTGCTTGAGTCGCCGCAAAAGACGAGCAAGTTTGGTAATCCAGTGGGGAAATTGCGCATGTCTTTTGAAGACAGATCCCTCTCATCGGCAAACAGTATATCAACGTCTTGGTTGTCGGACAAAGAAACCAGCTGCAACCCATACCAATCTGTCATATACCGGGCTATGGAAGCCCAGAAAGGATACTGACCGAGATCTGAAGGATCAACTCCCCAGATCGCGGCGCGTTTGTCTGTTAGCTTACCCCGAAGCACCTGAGAGGATGTCTTGGGTATCTCTCGGTCCGGGCTTCCCTCGTGGAACGTTGGTTCTGAGCTTTTTTCTTCCGTTGAACGCTCGAGCGGAAGAGACACTTTGACAGTAGTGCCTTTGCCCTGTCTGCTTCGGATCTTGATTTTTCCGTTGAGAGTTTTCACAATGCCGCGAACAATTGACAGACCAAGGCCGGTACCTACTGACAGTGTATCCTCCTGTGCGAATGGAGTGAACAAGTGCTTCCGGAGGTATTCTTTTGAGATTCCCTTGCCCGTGTCTGAGACGGTCAATGTCACCATATCCTCGAGTCCCTGGTGTCGCGAGCGAGTCTTATTGCGTTCAGTGGTCTCGATAGAAATGCAGACTTGGCCCTTACTTGTGTATTTTAAGGAGTTTCCAAGAATATTCATGACCAGACGTCTCAGCGATCCTGGCTGGACTTTGTACATCCAGGCATTGTCTGGAATATCAACAACCACATCCACTTCCGGAATGGGTTCAATTTCGTCGTCCTTCGGTCTCAAGTGGGAATGTGAATCTGACGAGACAACTGCATGGGGGCTGGTCCGGGTGGATGAGATCGTTGAGTGGGAATGACCTAAACACACACTTTCCACAACATCCTCTATCAAGAGAGACACATCAGTCGAGACCAATGGATCCAAGCGCGTCACATGGTCCTCCGGGGGTTTCGATTTCCAAGGATCTTTTCCACGCTTGAAGATCTTTTTGTGTCTCTCCAATGACATGATTTTGCTGAAGTCAAGAACTTGGTTCATCGTATCCAAGAGTGTGCGGCCGCATGCATTTATCGTATCAAGAAGGGTGTCCTGGTACTGGTCCAGGTTCGTGCTGCTCATGAACTCGGCGCCAGCTAAGACACCATGTAGAGGACTTCGTAATTCGTGAGAGATGCTGCTAATAAAATCGCCCTTTTGGCGGTCTGCGATGACTGATTCAACGCGACTGTATTCGGTCATGATAGAAGACCCGAAGGCAAAGATTGAGCTCAGATCAACGGCCTGACTGAAAACTCGCGTTGGCTGGGGAGTCCAACAGAAACACCCGGCGAACCACTGGGAGTCTGTGGCATTCCATAAAGGTACAAACATGACCTGACTTGCTTCAGGAAAGAAGTCATTCAGTTTGCTGGTCTCTGAGGGCCGAGACTTCTTCCTTTGTTTTTGAGATTCGTTGGCGGACTGTTCTTCTGCAGTGGAAAAGGTCCCATCGCGATGGAAAGACCAGAGTCTCCCTTTGGGATAACGCCGCGTCAATTGCTTCAAGAAGTCATTGTCCAAATTGACAGCTGGGTCAGACAATGTCGAGCTTGCCTGGTATGAGAATGGGTCATTTCGGGTGGAAAATGCGAGGATTGGAGCGTGATCTGCGGGTTCAGAGGAGTCGTGGCCATCTGCGACGTATTCGGAGGTATTGTCGTTGACCCCCAGGAACATCACCCCGCCAGCACCATCCAAGTCCAGACTCTGTCGTAAGAGATTTGCGGCTCGTTGAAAAAGCCAATGATTGCTGCCCGATGACTCCCCCGAAATACTGTTGCTTCGTTGGGAGTCCTGGATCGAATCCGCTGCGCTTGTAGGGGCACTTATTTCACTTTGATTGGGCTCTGGACTCAAAGACGGTATGCGATCTTGGGAGGTCACTTCCCCACCTTCAGATCGTGTTGGTCGCCCCGAGTCGCTGGGTTCAGACCGTGCGGATCGTCTTCCCCTTGGATGAGAGCATCTGGATAGCAAGCCAGGTGATACGCTCCGTCCTGAGCTGATCGACGGACTGGACATGCGAGCATTGCTGGCAAAACTGGAGTTGCCATCGACAAAGAGATGGAGACCACGCGACAGCCGCGAGGCACGTCGTCCTTCTATCGCCTGACGGCTCACGAGTAGATAGTCCATGACCATCTCCGCCACTCTCCCTAGTGTACCCTTCTCGATATCCGACAACCCGTCGCGGGGTTCTGAGTCGAGTACGAACAGGCATCCCAAATTGATCCCGCTGTCACTCGTTAGGGGCGTCCCGGCATAGAAACGAGAGTGCGGCGCTTGCTTCACGAAGGGCAATTCACTGAAGCTTCCTTCTTCTTGGAGGTCGTTGACGATCAGGAAAGGATATACCCCATCTTGGGAATCAATGGCCACTGTTTGCTGGTCGAGTGAACGTGTTAGTCCGTTATGCTCTTGAGCTGGTAGGATTCAGGGCCTTAGGTACCTGACATATATTCCAGGCACTTGATAATGTCGATGTCCCAGTGAGGAGCTCATCCTCTTCCCCTTGGGGCGAGGTTGAGCTCCCAATATTCGTGTTTCTTGTAGCTTCGGCCAATATGAATTGAGAGTCGGTATTCAATATACTTTTGTTGTCGAGACAGATCTGATCAGAATGTGTTCTATGCAAGTTTAGAAGGGAAAGATGTACGTAATAAAGGCCCGCTGTGCATTCAAGCGAAGCGCAGCTAGTTGTGCGAAAGAAGTCAAAGTTGTATTTGGACTAGATGGAGCGCTAGCTTCGGTGGAATTGGTTTCTGAAGAAGAGGCATCAGGTACACCAGGAATCGGAACTCTTGACAGGTCCGCTGTAGAGGCCACATGCTCATCAAATTCAGATGTGGCATTCAGTACCGCTGGGTTTCCCGGCTGGAAATAACGATATACCTCGCGAGTCTGACGATCTGCTTGATAGTCACACAACTGTCTATCTGAATCATTCATAATCCAAAGAGCACGAGTAGGGGGGAGGCGGGGATGTAAATTATATCTTCGATGGCATGAGAGTACGGGAGTGACAGCGGATTGTTTCTCAAAAGGGGAAAAGTCAGCTATAGACACCACCTGTTTTTGGCCCTACGTCATATGGCACGTGACCAGCCAGTCTTTGTGTCATTGGTAGGAAAATTCGCTAAATGGCGCGTGAGGGGTATGATGAACATGGCAATATACCTGTTGTGCCTTAGTTTTTGTCATGGATCGACATAAGCCTTCAGTGCTAATCGAGCTTAGATGGTTACTCCGGGGTTTTTTTCCATCCTCCCAGCCCACCCCGGAGCCGAAAGTTGGGGGGCAGAGGGTCTGGATTCTAGGTCCATTCCCAGGGCTACGGGTTATATCGTGAAGAAAGATTCAGTTGTGAGATTTGAGCCGCAGATGGCCGTCAGCAGGTTATTGTGAGATGGCTTACGTATCACCAGAATGGTGGCGTTGAGGGCAATCTCCTACCCCTGGACATCACGTGTTTGAATTTTGCCTAAAATGGAAAGCAACGTCATATGTTTGTGAGGCGATTCTTAAGCCAAACAAATCAAACACATCGCTTTTAGTATCGAAGAGCATCCTCGGTGAGCATGGGAATTCATAGTAGCCATCCGCCGAAGAATTAACTATGGAGCATTGTGCCAAGTAAAATAAGTCATAAAGTGCTTGATTTGGATAAGAAAGAGCCTACAGATTACAGGCAAACGAGTATTAACTATCCGTACATTGAGAGACTACCAAAATCCAAACAATAATAGGAGGGAACATAGCGTGAAATGAAGACTCAAGAGTAGGAAATCGACTGGGGGTATTATGCGAAAAAAAAAAAAAATCAGATGATAAGAACCGCCAGAACGCTGAGAGAGAAAAGGACAGAGACTGTGGCTCGCAGGACTGTGTAGGGCGCAAAGGATAAGGTGATAAGCCACCCTTAATCCTCATGATCTTGAGCCTCATCAGCAGGGACCACGACCAAAGCAGTGATAACATGGCCAGTCTGCCAGCCCTGGTCAAGGAGCGGTTTCTGCTCATTCAGCAGGCGACCCAGATAAGCGATTCGTACGCGCGCATTATTCTTGAGCTAAGCCGCAAGATCAGCACAAATCCACATATCGGAACAATGGACGATGGAACGTAGAGAGAGGAAACCAACCTTAGCTTTCTGATGCACCTTCCTTGCCAGAAAGCCGACGCTCTGGCTCTTTCCAGTAGAAATCAAGATATCCCGACCTTCACGATCACTCAAACGAGCAAGAACACTGATCAAGTCCCGCTCACTGGTCTTCCCTTTCTCGTCACGACAACGCTCAATATCCTGGGATAACAACTCATCCCCAGAACCATCATCTGTGGCGAGCTTATCATCCGAAAGCGCAACGGCCCCATCCTCACCATAAACAGCACCACTTTCGTCCTCACTCCCAGAAGAAGTGACCATATTTTCCGGATCATTAACCACGCACTGCGGAAGCCTGTAAAGCACACCGTGCTCATCATAGCAACCCTGGCACAGATCCCCGGTGGGGAGCGTAATCCCCGCAGCATCGATTATGCTCTGCGCGAGGACCAAGTCGCCGCTGCGAACCAGCGTAACCACCGTCGAGAGGGCAGCCCAGATCTCGGGTCTACCGGTAACACGCGTCTCGAAGAATTCGATCCTCTCGCGATCCAGCTGCTCACGCGTCCACGTCCGTCGCTTACTTCGCCATACACGCGACCGAATGGGCTGATTGTAGTGCTCGTTCAGAGGGACGTCTGGGAAGCGCGGTGTTCGTCGCCTTGGCGCCCTAGTGGTCTCTTCGGCATGTTGATTTGGTGTTGGTTGTGAGATGTGCTCCTGTTGGTCGGAGGGTCGGTTGGTGACATTGCGCGACAGCACGGAGGCGACGCAGCCCTACGTTGGAAGGAGTTGAGGGTTAGTTATGTTTTTATGGGTCCTTTGTGGAGTATGGGATGGGAGAGACGGGCTGGGCACGGAGTCGTGTGTGACATGCGATCAGCAGCCGCCAAGACATGCGCCCGGTCTGTCTTGAGATGATATTGTATGGGCTCTGGGAATCAGGGTCGGGTTCTTACCATCTTGCTCGCAAACTAGCTCCCCCATATGAGGAGGGGAAAGTAGCGGGGAGAGGGGGCGACGGCGCGGAGCAATGGCGGTCTCCACGTTCTAAGGCGACTAGATCCTCGAGGCTGCGGAGCACAGACCTTCTCCGTATGGAAGAAGCGGGAATGAAGGCAAAATATGGAGGCAGCTGTGAACGAAACAGCAATGGAAATGTGATAAAGGACAAAGGAAAAGAGAGAGGCACAGAAGTACATTCCGGAACGCTGGTGATGTCAACACGATTCGTTTCGTTGATCTTGGACCGGCAGGTCTCCCGACGGTGACACGGCGATCAACATTGTACAGACTACAATTGCTTAATTCAGTACATGCAGGGCTACATAACTACTGTGTAGTATTAATATTTAAAATACAAAGAGATATTTCTCATTGAAGGATGTGGACGAACTCAAAACTCGTCATCCTCGTCATCACTACCAAAGATAGCTTTAAAAATAGCATCGCCAGGCCGCTCTGCCTCCAGGGCTTCATTGCGCTCTGGTTCAATAGCGGGTGGCGGCGCTCTAGCAGAGAGGCCATTTGCAGACGGATCGGATCCGTCGGCCCCTGGTATATAGCCTAATGAGTCCATGAGAAGTTGGTTCATGACTTCCTGGGACACTAATTCCTTGGGACCGGTGTCAGCTTGGAATCCAGCGGACTCGAACCGCGTACCCGGTCCGGCGCTGGAAGCCGCAGGTCGTTCTGTGGGGTCAAGCTGCACATTGTTTGGTGGCTTGACGTTGAAGCGCTTGCATAATAAACGGGATGGGTAGAATTCTATGGTGCTTCGGGTCATTTGACCGAACATGCCGATTTTGGCAGCTGCCACTGCGGGATCATCTGGTTTCTCGGCAGGTTTGCTCAGCACAGATTCTGCAGAGTCGGGCGCGTCAGAGACAATCTTAGGTGCAGAAGAGGACGATGTAAATCGGGATGCCATGGCCCCGGACATGGGTTTGAAGACCTCTGCAGCTCGGCAGAACTCCTGCATCTCTATTACCCAGTTATCGGTGCTGGCCCCATCCGCCCGTTCTGGAAGGGTAGCACGAGTCCCAGCACTAATCTCGAGAAACGCCCGGTAGCGTGCACGTTTGCTCTCATCTTCCTGATAAGGCATCCATCCGCTCACGGCCCGGGCTAGAGCTAGGGCGGCGGTCTGCTTGTCGAGTTTCGGAACGAGGTCCCAAAGATCCTTCCGTTTTTGCGCTTCGGGAAGTTCGTATCCTTTAGGTGCCTTTTCTCCTAAAGCCGGGGGCAAATTGGTTTTGCCGGTGAGTCTGGCAATCTTCTCTCGTGCTTCGGGTGTCATCCAATCGAATATAGACTTGCCAGGCAGTTGAGCCTCACCCAGAAGTGCTGCTCTTGAGGCGGGATCGAGCGCCGAGGCTTTTGCAGCATCGGCTGTTGAGACATAGTTCTGTCGGTCTCGTTTTTCTGCCGAGACTTGCTTGGTCGATTTCCAATCCTCGGGTATGACAGGTGCGTCATATTTCTTCTCTGAGATCGATAGGGTTGAAATGGCATCCGCAAGAACGAATCCATCTAGGGGCAGACGTCCGTCACGGCACTTCCTGAATCCCCCAGACCCTCGTGAAGCTGCTACCTTCTTCGATATGAACACGGGCTTCGATTTCAAGAGTGGATTGGCTGACGCAATTGTTGGTTCTGGTTTGACCTTCTTCTTTTTCTTCTTGTCCCCTCCGATAGTCTTGTTGTATGAGATCTGTGGGCCTAAAGAATAAGGGTCCTCATCGTCCGACCCAGTGTCATTGAGAGGGCCAACGCCTAATCCCCCAGAACGCGCTACCTTTGGTTTTGGTTGATGGGATTTCCCCTGTATGGCCAAACGGCCCCCGAAGAATGAGTCGGATTCCTCGGCGGGAGCAGGTCCTATAGCGTGAGACTCCAGCCGCGATTCACCTTCAAACCCAAGGCCTTTGCGGTCGGTCTTGCGAATGAAAGCAACCAGGGGTGGGTTTTCAGGCGCAAAGAGGTACGTCTCCTGGGCATCGGCGGCTGGGGCAGAGGTATCGCCCAAATCAGCTCTACGCCGCACTTTTGGACCGATGCCCTGGCCTTCGCGCCAACCCATCTTTTTCAGTAGTTTCACTCCCATAGTTTCTCCGCCGGTTTTCAATATGTCCATCAGACCTGCTCTTCGTGTGGCATCATGCTCGGTTCCGAAGCCAGCGAACTCATCGGCGGTCTGTAACTGTCTGGCTTCTTCTTGCTCTCGCAGGTCTTCCGCGTCCATGAAATCCTCGGGTCGTTTCATTTCCTCCTTCTTGGCGCGGTTCTGGCGTGATGATACAAAGGTTGCGGGCGTCCATCCTTCTTTTGAGCCGACAGAGTTGAAGTACCTGTAAAGTATCAGTGGTTATTCTTCCAAAACCTGTTATTCTCCGGGTCGCTCACCCCGCGCTGAATCCACCGGTGAAAGCACCGTGGAGACGTTTGTTCCCATGTTCATCTTTCACTTCCTGCTTCCATACTGGTACGAAGGAACCATCATCGCGTACTCCCTCGTCCAGTGGGGGTAATGGGGTTCCGTAGAAGGCGTATGGGGATTGCTCCGCTTGGAGGTCGGCCTCAAGCGCTGCGCGAGTACGTTTCAGGGCCATAGTTTTGAAATGGGATAGTCGCCCATGAGGTGGAATTGGTCACGTCATTGGCATATCAGAACAGCCTGCTGTGGGAGAATTCAAGGTCAAAGAGTTGGGGTTGCAGCATCAATTGCAGCATCAAGGGCTCTTTACTGCGGGTTTACACCTGAGGCCCAAATCATGTGACTTATGTAGCTCTGTATGAGTCAGCAGTTCTCGTCCGACCCGGGCGGTCCCGCTTTTAGCGTGGTTAGCGCAGTTAGCGCGGTTTGCTAGTGTATTCTTCATACAGTATGCATGATTAGGTATTGGCTAGCCGCGGTACCATTTCTCGAACTAGCTAGCATCTTCGGAGTATGGGATTTATTTCGACATGACCCTTGCACATACGCAGTAGGCTGCATGCAATGAATAGTATGGAGACACGCGTTAAGACCACCACGTGCTGAAGACCTCGCAACTAGTGGAGCGTTTCTCCAAATAGATCGGTGTATTTTAATATTCGATTGATTGGCTGATATAATACGCGAATGTAATCGCGCTAAAACCAGTGAGTTCCAGGTTTCCAAAACAACCCTAATCCTTAATCAACACGACCTTAGCCCCTGTAGATCAATCTAGAGCTACTGAAGGGTACAAGTTCCGAACTATGTACACAGTAATAGGTAGTTGACGAAATAAACAAACGATAAAGACGTCGTGTCAAATTAGATACGCCTCAAATCTCAATTGGTGAGACATCATGTGAAGCACACGTGTTTTGTGTCAAATACAGGGCTTTCTTGTATCCAAATAAAATTTGATTCCGTATCAACTCGGGTTTAGCGGCCCAGAGTTCAGATTGGCACGCCGCTCGGCCCGGCCACGAGGGTTCCTTCGACCTTCTTTGATCGTCGCATGCAGCTCCCCTTTGAGGTAATCAGATATGCTATGGATACCATGTGTACATAGAGAGCGACACAATTGGTTCTCTTTAGCTTCCATAGTTCCCCTCAGTGGGTAGAATCATAGAATGTATCGTTGGCCACAACCAGCTCAGCCAAGAAACCGTATTATGGAGTTTGCTCCCTAACCCTTGGCGTCGAGGACTGGGCTCTGGGAATGGGATGCTTTAGGGGGGGGTTGTTAGATTATGGCTTTTTCTTCTTTTCCCTCCACTCGGCTTTCAATTTTGTGAAAATCATGTTCCTTTTCGCTTCCTTTTCATGACCTCAGTGGTTCGGCTTCTGCCTCTACAATAATCCCTGAAAGATCGTCCGAAATTTAGTGCGGGACTAGAAGCTACCCGACCCGGGGACCCGTTCCCAATGCTCGGCTTTTCCCTTCGAAATCGCAGGTCTTTCTACCTCTTATTAGCCTGCGCAGCGATCTCGATATGCTGTCTCAACCTCCTCTACCTCACAGACGCTGTCGACGATTCCATCATCAGACTCCCTAATTTCGACCTTTTCACTGCAACTACGAGCCCCGTGATCGGCCAATTTGCGAACGATGAACACCCTATCGCCGACCTCATGGGAGAGGCCAACCAGAAATGGTTGGCATATGACAGTGATCGGTCGATGAGTTTCCGCCAGACGGTCGCTAAATACCGTGAAACCCACGGGCGACACCCACCTCCCGGCTTCAAGGAATGGTACATCTTTGCACGCAAAAAGAATGTACGCAACGTGGACGACTTCCAGCAGATCACAGGCGATTTGCGGCCTTTCTGGGCGGTTCCTCCGGCGGAAATTCGACAAATGGCAGCTAAGCTACAGACCAGCGACGGCATTGCAGGATTGCAAATTCGCAACAAGAAGGTTGTCTACTCTCCGATCGAAGGTTGGAGAATCGAGACGCTGAGGAAGTCAATGAAACGGATTGCCCGGTATCTGCCGGACATGGACATTGCGCTCAACATCATGGACCAGCCACGAGTCATGGTGTCATTTGAAGACAACCAGGAATATCTCCGCACCGAAGCCATCACCAGAAGCTTGCCCATCGATGCCAAGGATCAATTTACCTCGGGCATGGAGCATCTCTATGAAGCGGATTCTACTGTCGCCGATAGCGTTGACCCATCTTGGTTCTCGATCGCTGGGAAGCCCTATATGGACTACGCCAAAGAGTCCTGTGACCCTAGCTCTCCCGCTCGCAGTGACAATTTTACTGCAGACGATGCCAACCGACTATACAAGTCGTCATCCGGTGGATTCATATCTAATTTCACCGCTGCCTCCGACCTATGCACCGTCGGCCCCGTCCTCGGGGACAAACACGGGTTCTTGTTTTCAGCATCCAGCAATCTCATCACAAGGAAACTGATCCCAGTTTTCAGCGAGTGCAAGGTCAGCGTGAACAACGACATCCTTTTCCCTGCCAATATGTATTTCCTGTTCGACAAGCGATACACGTACAACTCGCGACATGACTACGAGTGGGACGACAAGGCAGATTCTCTCCTCTGGCGCGGCGTCACTTCCGGCGGTGTCCAGCTTGCAGATAACTGGCAGCAGATGCACCGCCAACGATTCGTGCACATTACAAACAGTACAGAGATGAGATCAGAGACGGTCTCCATTCTCTCGGAAACGAGCATGGGCCGTTATCGGAACTACTCCAATTTCTACCCTGACAAATTCTCTTCGGACCACTTCGATGTTGGCTTCACCGAGGCTTTGGGCTGTATACCGAACTGTTCCTTCTACGACAACATCCTGACGTTCAAACCGGCCGAGGCGTTCAGCCGGCAATTCAAAACGAAATACCTCGTCGACATCGACGGACACAGTTTCTCCGGTCGCTGGCGTGCCTTTTTGCTTAGCAAATCCCTAGGGATCAAAGCTACTATTTTCCGAGAATGGCACGATTCACGGCTCTTCGCCTGGCGCCACTTTGTTCCTATGGATAATCGATATGATGATCTGTACGGGTTGATGACTTACTTCCTTGGTGTGGATCCGCAAACATCACCCGATGATGCATTCACGATCAGCGAGCCTTATATCCAGAGTCATGACTTTGAGGCCAAGGTGCTTGCATCACAGGGCCGGGAGTGGGCCCAGCATGCGCTGCGCAGCGAAGATCTGGATATCTACCTCTATCTTCTGCTTCTCGAGTACGGGCGAATCATTGATGATAACCGCGATAGCATTGGGTATAGTGGCGATGGAAGTGAGCTGGACCAGTTCGATGAGGTATACCCTTTTCCTCCGGCTATAGTTGATCTGGTCAATCCTCCTCTGGGCATGAATCAGCAATGACCCTCTCTTGCGTTTTCCTTGCATTTTCGTTGCATGGTGTTGGTGTTGTAGTGTTGCATTTTCCTGTATTTATTTCATATCTTTGATCAATACGTGCCAGCGGGTTCTGTCGTGTATACAAAACTGAGGTTCTGATCGTACAGTAGTAAAAAGTAAATGCCCTGTCATGAGAAGGATTGCATTGCCTTCACCTGCATCAGTATAACTTCACACATGATTCCATTTCAATCAACGAGCAACGAGAAACTCCAATCCCGTCCTATCAACAGGGATTACCCCCCGGTCATCCGGGTGACCTACTAACCAGGTTGAATTCTTTTTCTTTTCCCATTCGCTGGGCTCGCTTCCATTCCTAAACCCTCCGCAGCGAGCATTGATATTGAGAATCCCACATGATATCTTCTTCTACCTTTTTAGAATTCTCGGGCAGTGTATAAGTCAGTATTCGGGACTTAGGTTTGGTAGAGGTGAGTTGGTGGACTCAAGTTGGACTAAATATATATCGAAATTTTGGTGGCAGCATTGAATGTTTCCCGTGTGTCCAGACTCCTTCACTGCCTCAGACTAAGAGGCCCGAGCCCAAAAAGTGGTCAATGGAATCAAATTTCATGACAAGCCCGGGAGATTAAGGCGTTAAACATGCACCGTTGAATCCGTCTTGCTGCATAGCTCGGCTAAATCGCCCGCTTATGTTGCCAACATCCGAGTCCGCACACATGAACTAGCATCATTGGTCTAGTGGTAGAATTCGTCGTTGCCATCGACGAGGCCCGTGTTCGATTCACGGATGATGCACATTTCTTTTTCTTTGCCCTTCATGGAAATTCATGCTTTCTTTTTCTTTTTGAGCCTCGTAGCTACTCCAAACACAAGTCAACTTCCCCCTTCCCAACCACTGAACCAGTTCCGGCGTTCCTTTCCCTCCCGACAGCCGCGAGACCATGCTACACAGACTCTAGGGCATACGTTGGCATCACCCGAGCATATCAGAATAATTTCCGATACTTGGCCTCTATCGTTATGCGCTGCTGTGGATGAGTCTCGGCATGATTGGCAAGAGGGGCCCCGTGTCATTGCCCCGGGAGGGAGTGCTGAGGTAGCGCCTGCCATTTGTGTCTGTTTACCGCGTGTAAACTCTCTAAGTAGGAAGGTTCGGTCGCAGACTCGAAGGGAAAGAGCAAAGGAATGTCTGTTTCGCATGGAATCTATGTACATCCACGAACAGTAATAGTCCAAAATCAAAATTGACGCATCTATTTACCAAGACCGAAGCACCAATGAAATCATACAAGGTTTATACACACACATGCCAAACACAACCACCTAGAACTGGACCAGACCAGCAATAACCGAGACCAAAGCAATGACAACAGCAGAGACAGCGCGAATAGAAGAAGCCGCAGATTCAGCCGACGGAGAAGGCGAAGCCGAGTGAGAAACCGAAGCCGAGCCTTCCGGAGACGAAGCAGACCTCCTCGCGGTGGTACTCGAGCTCGAATCATCGGACTTCGAGTCACCAGACTTGGAATCATCAGACTTCGAATCATCAGAACTCAAGTTCGTCGCCATCGAAGCATTGGTAGCCTTGATGCTCTTATAAGAACCCGTCATATCGGTGTACTCGTACGCAGCCGCCGGGTTATAGTTGACGATATCCACCGACTCAATGTACATGGAGAACGGACCGCTGCTGTAATCCGTGGTTCCGCCAGCCCACTCGATGGTACCCTCCTCATTATCTGGGTCACCTCCGGCCCAGATACCGAGGCGGACGCGCATGGGTGTCTGTGGGTAGTTCTGACCACCCACTGCATCGGCATACTTGAGTGTGCGCTCGACTTTGCCGTCGAGTGACCACTCGATGCGTTCGGAGGTCCAATCGATCGAGTAGGTGTGGAAGGTATCCTCTGGTTTGGAGACGGCTACGGTTCCTTCGCGATCGTAGGAGGTTGTGTTTCCCTTGCCGAAGTAGTCGGTTTGGATTTTTGAGTCGTAGGTGCTGATTTGCTCCTGCGTTAGGTGTTAGTCGGTTTTATCTGATGGTGTTCATGTATGAAGGCTGCTGGGTGGCTTACCCAGTCGATCTCGTCGAGATCATCGGATTCGAGGATCCATGTGCTGATGATGCCGGTGCCGCTGGCGGTCCTCATCCTCACATCGACATGGCCGAAGAAGATGTAGAACTCGCTTTCGAGTGTTGGGGCGTCCCCTTGCTTCGCAACGGTGAATTTGGCGCCGAGGTCGTCGCTGTCTACTTTTCCGGCCGTGGTTTTCCAGTGGTCAAGGGAGCCAGAGGTCAAGTCGGCGTTGAAATGGTACTTATTGAGACCGGTATTTGCTGGGCAGCTCTCTGGAGATCGATTGTTAGATCCGTTTCGTGGTAAGTTGTAGCAGATATTACATACTCTTCATAGGATTGCAGGTAGTGCTAGTCTGTGCAGTAGCAGTCCCAGCCAGGGCGACAGCAGCCCATTGATAGTAAGACTTGAGAACCATAGTGATGCTGATAGAGCAACGGAGTGTCACTGAATGAAGTACGATAAGCAAGACAATGGCAGACAAAGCCAGACCGAATTGGTAGAAAATTGTAGGCAAGGTCAATGGAGAAATTTCATCTGGGTCGTGGATGTGCTGCGTTAATCAAGTGCTCGAATCCCAGGGACGTCATCTCCACCAGCGAAGATGCAGCAAGGGAGATTGATGATTGGCTCTAGGGACAGAAACATCGTGGAGCAGGACCAAAAGATGTGTGTATAAATGATTCTTAGTCGCGGATATGCTGAAGATCAATCGAAGCCCCACTTAAAAACCTTCCATGGTTGCATGACTGGAGCAGCTTGCGTGTTGAGGCCCCAGGGCTATGCACTTCCCCTGAGAATCGGTGCACTAAGGAGATCAGAGGGGCCCGGGGGCTGGGCGATCGTCATGTCTGAGTAACTTCAAGGAATCGAGATGGACCGATCGCTCTCCTTTTTCTGTTTCGCCCTTATCTGCAAGTTTCCAAGATCCAGGGGTGGGGCTTTCCTTGTCAATTGCATCAATTGCACATGTTCGTGTTTCGTGTTTCGTGCTCGTTTCACCTCAGTCTCACTGTATGCTTATTGGTCGGTTCTATTGACGCCCCCCGTGACAACTGTTTCTCTTGCAGTTGTTAGGTCCATGGTTCGTAATGCTTTCCTTAAAGAAATAAAAAATAGTTAATTCAAGTCGGAACGGGTATGAAACTCCTATACATATATGATTGATAGTGGCCCCAAACAACAAATGATTACATGTATTGTACTTTTGTGCACAATGTTCAAAACAAGAGATTGATGTCAACTTAGACACCCCTCCACTAATTGGCTGGTCCATCACGAAGCCGCAAGAAAGCCTCATACTGCTTCCGAGTCATCTTCCGGCACTGCTTGCCCCAGTATATCATCGGGACAGTGGTCATCAGGAAGAAGAAGCTCAAGACGCCAAGCGCAATGAAGACCTGCGCCAGACTCTGCGCATCCAACCACTTCTGAGCCGTGAACGTGAAAAGACAGCCGATAGTGTTATTGATGACGGAGACTCCGACCATGCCTTCGAGCACCATTTCTGGGTATGCATCCATGAGATACGCCATGCTGAGGTCACCTGCACAGCCGAAGCCGAAGCCGACAAATCCCAATCCAAGATACGGCATGTGCCAATCCCAGCCTTTGTCGGAACCAATTCCAAACAGCATCAGACCAGCAGGGCCGATAAATGCAACAGGCAACAGGAGCCAGAGACGCTGCTCGGCCTCGAAGATGCCCTTGTTGCGTCTGGTCATCCACACAACGAAGAAATCGGAGAACCATCCACCGTAAATGCAGCCTATGACTGCCCCGATGAGAGTCGGCACGCACATGATACCGACTGCGGTGTTGCTGTAGTTCCAGGGTTCTCCGTACCAGTTATCTTCTTCGACGGTGAGATAGAAGGTCAACCAGGCATCTTGGGCTCCCCATTGAAGGCCCGAGTAGAGGACTGCTGGGAAGGTGAAGACACGCAGTGTGTGTAGTAGGCGGCGGCAGTACTGCTTGAAACCTGTTCCGACCAAGGTTGGCGATGGGGTGATCAGAGCAATGCGCTGGAAATAAGTCTTCCTCTTCTCCTTTCCGCCGCATTCTTCGTCGACTTCACGGTCGGAGGACATCGGTTGCACCTTTGCAACGGTTTTCTCCTTTTCTTCCGAAGGGACATCGTTGGACGCCGGCTCGGTCTTGGACGTAGCATGTCCATGAAGAGGATTGTTCCGATCAAAGGAAGTTTCCTCCAACGTGAAGTAGAAGATGAAGATTAGACCTCCAGAGATGATCGCAGCAAGCCACCCGGTCCATCTCCACCCCAGGTATGAGTCGGTGATGAAGCTGGATATCAACGGTCCCATAAAAGTACCAATACTAGTGGCGAGGATGTACAAGCCCAGGACAAGACCTCTTTGATGCTGATAGAACAGATCGGAAAGAGACAGCTGGGCGAGAGCCTCCGCGCAAGATTCGGAGGCACCCACGAAGAGCTGGTTCCAAATATTGTCCTGCACAGTCTGCACGCGGGCAAACCAGATGGAACCGATGACGGAGAACATCAGACAAATCAAGTACGAGATACGTCTCCCATACAAAAAGGGCGCCGGGCCAAGCAGCAGGGTGGTATAGCCAATACCGACAAACAAAACACCAGCAGCGATATTGATGTCGTCCCACGTGATGCCCAATTCGGCGTTCATGCCATTCCCGGCGGTGCCGGCAGAGTTGGAAGTTGCCGCGGTCAGGGCAACGAAAAACAAAACCATAAATGCATGCCAGTACCGCCTGAAGGCGCTCCAGTTCAGAGGGTCATTTGGAGAGTTGGTTGGCTCGGGAATCAGCGTCACCTCCCCGTCGATGCACATGCGCTCCGTGCCATTGAGGCCCAGATCGTCGTACATTTTTCAAAATCGGTATCTGATTTGAAAACCCGACCTGTTTAACACGTCAGGGAGACATTGTGTATGCAAATCAAACAAATTTAGCCTCTATGCGAGTAAAGATGGGAGAAGTTGGAAGAAGAAATGTTCGGCAAGAAATTTCGGTTTCCACGTGGGGCAAACAAGCAAACGCTAAGCATTCTGCTAGCACTCGGGCCCTTCGTATTCGGGCCCAACTCCCGCCCAACTTCAAACCTATCTCTCACTTTATATTTGCAGGCAGTCGGCTCAGATTATGCGGACAAGCTTGATAATAGAAAAATGCAGCGAGGCGCATGGAGAGGCAGAGGCCTGAATGGCTCGCCTGTTCTAGATGCTCGTGTTCCCGTTGTTTATCTCAACCCTTACCCCTGACATGACTCATGAGCATAAACCCTCCCCAACTTCTAATGATAACGCTGTTTGTTTGAAATATTCAAGCCTAAATGTCGACATGTCAGCTCAAAATGTCTCAATCCTTCCATGTCACCTGTCGCGTATCGGGCAGTGACTCCGCAGACACAAGGAATTGTTACTCCGGCCTGGTTGCACCTTTTGAAGCGGCAACGTCTGCGGCGAAGGATATATGCAGCAAGGCCGGAGCGCAAGAAGGTGATTGCGGTGGGCGCTGGGATTTCCGGTCTACATGCTGCAACTGTCTTACACCGTCACGGCTGTGAAGTGCACCGTCATCTCTCTAGAATAGATGTCAATAGGCCCTGTCCCATCCCTTGACCTTCGCTATCTCGTGCCTCGCCGTCGCTTGGTGTACCCTTCCTACTCCGTGTATCGCCCTTGCTACTTAGCGAATATCGATTTCGCCCTTCTCTTGCTGAGTCCCTTGCAGCCGAGAAAAGAGCTCAAGCTCCATCCGCTCGACCGAACACGGCCCCTGGAGTATCTCCTTCATCACATCCGTGCCCGGGGGGAAGTCATGTTCGAAGATGGGTTCGCCAGCCCCTTTCATATTAGCTAGCACAGACTGACGGAAGTGCCAACGGAGCAAGTTATCTGCGACACGGTTGGGGTCGTTTGGGGCTCGGCATACAGGATCCAATACTCGGCCGTCGACACCCCAGCCGTCACCGCCAAAGTGAGTGATTTTGTAGCCATCCTAAAGGTATATTAGTAAAACATTAAGAGCTTGCCAAGGTGTTGGCAAAATTACTTACATCGGGGTTCACGGAGACCAGAAAGTTATCGAACGGGCCGTGCATGTGTGCCCCGACCAGTATGCCATTTTGAACGGAGTCGATAGTCGCGCTATGGCGTCCCATGGTATTCGTGATCCAGCGGCCGAAATTATGCTGCTTCCAAAGCGCCTCCTTCTCCATAGGAAAGATATGTGCTGCTTCGTATCCGCTCCAGTCACCCCAACTAGCGGCGGGGTTGATCACTCCAGTCAAGACACATTTTCCGTCTCGCGCCCGCACGTCTTCTCGAAAGGAGCTCTCTCGACCACTGTTACTATGAGAAATAACCCGTCGCACGCACAAACCGTCGGTAAGTTCGATATTGCCTAGCAAAGTAAGCCAGATCCGTCGCCGTTTTTGTTGCAATTATTATAGAACTTACCCCGGGCGCAAAAGATGTCGTAGTCGCCCACTTCTAATGGTTCGGTGTTCAATGGGATTTGCTGCCCAGTGGCTCTCGACTTAATTGTAATCATTGCTTCGACGGCAAGTAAGATGTCCATAAGCATATGAAAAAAGTTGCTTTTGGTGATTGACCCGTTTTGTCGAACACCACCTAGGTGGGCACCTGTCGAACCATCGAAAAAGTTCACGTTCCGCGAACTTGAGCGAGACATCTTGCTAGGAAGACCTGAGGCTCGGTCACATCACAGCGTCACCCATTCTCCAACAAAAGTTCCGCCACGGCGATTGCTTATGGTAGAAATATTGCAACCTAAAGGCCGGTACTTCGTTATGGTGACAGGTAATAATAAATCAGAACGAGGAGAGTAAGCCTTGAGGAGTAGGGAAGAGGAGAGAGGAGGTTACGAGGAAACGGTTAAGGAAAACACGCGGAGGACGGACTTGGTATCTCGGTCCAGGAGCCCTTATTACCCCAACTGAGAGGCCCTTTCACCGCTCACACCGGATATGGTAATTTTATGGTTGCTCGCCTCGAAAAGGTGCGGGAAGCCAAAAGGCACAGATATCTCATGAGGTCTTGATTCATCTAAACGGTCAGGGTAGGGTTGATTGTTAGCATATGTGGCGGTGCTGTGGCAGTGCAATGATGTGGTGGCAGACGCGGGGATGCCAAGCCGGTGATATCATCACAAGGGAAAGAGTGCGCATGTGAGCAAAAAGAAGTTTCCTTTGGAATGAAGTTACGTAGCAGGATATTCAGCTGGCTGCAACACCTGCTGATCTTTGTATTCTATGTCAAATCTATGATTTTATTTGATATATCATTTACTAGCCGCTGGGAAAACTGATCTATCACCAATACGCATAGCGCGCGCATCCCCCTGCCTTCAGCACGCGCCTCTTGTTTCAACGTTTATCTGTTTTTTCGTCTATATCCGCCGACATTTCATCGACGGACTTCGAAACTCCAGCCCGAACTACTCTTAATAACTTATCAGTTCCTTCTTCAACATGGCTTTACAATATCTCAACCAAATGAAGAACCGGCGACGTTCGTCCCAGATGATCAGTGCGCCTAAGCCTGTCTTAACGCCCGAAGATGAAGCCTACCTGCGCGAAGTCACCGCCAACCCAGAATCTGTGCCCGGTTCAACAGAGCATAATGAACAATCTTCAGCTGGGAGTCCTGCTGGGGCGCCTCTGCAACCTGCGATAAGTCAACAAGCTGAGAATATCCCACTACCTAACTCGCCGGCGGAAGAGTTTGGGAAAGAACTTGGTGAGGAGGGTAGGCAAGAAAGGAAAAACTCTCAACCAACTCCGAGTGATTCAGAGGCACTACAACTGGAAGCTTCAAAGGCGCCACAGAAGAAGAAAAGATGGAGTGCAATGTTTTGGAAGAAGAATACGGAGAAGAAGGTAGGTCAATCATCCAACGATAGCCGTTTCAACTCCCAAGTATACTTTTATTCGAACTTTATTCATTGTGGGAACTTCACTAAGACACGGGTATGTGCAACAGGACCAAGACGCCAATGCCACAAACAAGCCTCAGACCGAAACGACTTCTCGTACCGCCTCGGATGCGTCGACCGACGATAAAGATACACAAAAGGATAAAGATGCGGAGGATATGACGGACATTCTGGAGCGCTTGAATTTAGCAGCAGATAACAACCGCGTGTTTTCTATCAGCGAGGAAACTCAGGAGCTTCTGCGAAAGTTCAAGCTCATCTTCAAGGACCTGGTCAATGGAGTTCCGACTGCCTATGGAGACCTGGAGATGCTCTTGACGAACGGAAATCGTCAACTGCAAGAAACCTATACGAAGCTTCCCAGTCCCATGCAGAAGCTTATCGAGAAACTTCCCGAGCGGTGGACCGAGAGTCTGGCCCCGGAGATGCTTGCGGTTGCGGCCGAGCGCGCCGGAAGTAGTGGCATCAACATGGAGAACGCGGGCAAGGCCGCTGCAGCTGCAGAGAAAATGGGAATCAACATGCCAAGTCTGAAGGAACTTGTGTCAAAACCAGCTGCCCTTGTAGGTATGCTGCGCTCCATTATGGCGTTCTTGAAGGCTCGATTCCCTGCTGTCATGGGTATGAATGTGCTGTGGTCATTGGCTTTATTCAGTAAGTTGAGAGTCATTTGTCACCAAATGAGTGTGGTCGCTAAATATAATGTTCGCTAGTACTACTCTTTGTCTTGTGGTACTGCCACAAGCGTGGGCGTGAAGTTCGTCTGGAGAACGAGCGCCTGGTGACGGAAGAAGAGATTAGCAAGCTGAATGAAGATACGTCCGAGGGTCTAATCCGGCCCACTCAGACGTTGACAACAACTGCGCCTCAGGGCGCCTCGTCTGAGGAAATACGTGAAGGCGTGAGGAAGGTAGAGGAGGCTCGGGCTGCTCCTATCGCATCTACTCCCACCGAGGTAGAGCCCGAGGTCCAGAACGTTACCCGGCCGACGCCAGCTCCTACCCGATCGAAATCACGTCTGTCTATGTTTGGTCGGGCAAAGACAGAGTCTTCACCTAGTGTTGCTCCTTATCCTGGCACTTGACTTACCATTTCACCCAAATTCTGCGATACTCTGTCTTGTGACTCTTGTCTCGACAGGACCCACCCACCTACCTCTGGTGGCGATTGATCAATTGAGGAGTCTTGAATCCAAGTTGCTGACCCAAAGGGTCCTTAATCATATGGACCTACTCATTGTGTTTTCGATTACCATTTTGTTTAAGGCTAGGTACTCCGTAGCTTCAATCTAATAATGTCAATGAACGCTCGAAATGCCAAGAATAGAGTGGATACTTGATCTTCGTTCCGCCTTCCGAAAATGTAAATAAGCTAAGAAAGCTAAACTCAATTAGGTCGAAGTCAGGCAAGACGAGCATTGTTGGCGATTTGCGATACCCATGCGAGAACTGAACTCACACTGGGGAGTTGCGAGCCAAATGCGTGAAAGCTGGTATTTACTGCCATGCCAGCTCCACGCATGACATGATCGTACCTCGTTTCCAGAGCTTTGGCCGTTGCCGTTTACCGTGCTAAATTGGGGCTGAGGAACTGGTGACATGTCAGCTCCATTCCGGGCATTCTAAATTTTTTTGACAGCTTTGGGTCCTTTCTACTGACCACCCGCGCGCGCCTACGCAACAGGCGCTGTCGGTGGTTAAAGACGGGGAGGTCGGTTGACCCGGCTGCCGGCATAGAAGATCGTTTCGGCTTTTCACGTGCCGGATAAACGATAAATCGTGTGATCTGTCCGAGACATTCATCAGCTTATTGTATTTTGCGGGGCCATACCAGAGATTAACGGTCGTGGGCTGATGCCACCCTGTTCGTAACGAAATTCATTCTTGCGTGTACGGTGAGCCTTCAAATTCGCTTTCAAGGTCTCTTCACGGTATTTGCTTGCTAAATTATCCAAGTCGGTGCTGTAAAAATGCCAATGCAGGGGCCCTGACCTCGATTGTACCCGGCTCGTATCGATATCCGACACGGGTGCAAACGTGTTGCCTGCAAATATGGAAGAAGTGGGGAAGGCTACAAGCTAGAAGACGATCGAAGTGGCCAAGTGGAGGATTATTATTGACAACCACGTTGCAAGGTGGTCTTCAGTGAAAGAACGCTAGTGCTGTGAACGTTGTTTTCCTGAGGAATTTGATTGGCGTTGGGGGCACTAGAGAAATTTCCCTCGCAGCCACTGCGGGGCAAAGAGATGATCTTGCATTGCTTCCGAACTTCAGGTTGCAGGGGCAAGAATGGACACAAAAAAGAACCGGAGTGATCTTCCGTTCCAGGCCTAATGGTTGACCCGCTATGGTAGTCATGAGCACATTACAGTGTCTCCGTACCTCTGTCGGCACTCTGTACGGAGTATACAAGAATCTCAATATGTTATCATACCGATAGGAGAGAGATATCAAAGTAGATCTATCTCATGCAAGCCAAACGCCATCATGCAGCGGACATGTTGTCCAAGTTCTTTACCGCCTGTTGTGGTTGGGCAGTCAAATGTTAGGATTGGGGCAAAAGAGGAGGCGGGGCGGGCAGAATTGCCATGGCGGAATGGAGTCGAGCTCTGTTTGCCACTCATCAGTGGCCCGGATCTATTGCTCGGGCCAATGATAGAACCCATATGAGTGAAAATTTCTGTTTATACGCAGTGGCATTGTCAAGTCCAAACAATATGATTCATCTCGGGATGTGTCATAGACAAGGGAAAATTTCCGCCATCTGAGGATGAATCCGATGAATCATCAGTGCCTATGTCCACGGGTGGTGCACAGGTCAGCCGCTGCACCGTGAGCGTTCTATTGATATTCAGTGCAGGAGACGATGATCTGCCAACTTGACGGAGGATTCAAGCTTGGGCCAATTCGCTGTAACTTGCATAGAAAAGGCTGCGTATACGGAGAACACACAGAGTCTGAGAGTCATGATAGATTTGCCATAGAGAGACTGCAGATTATCCCATGACGTTTTCGGTTTGTTTTGTTCGGACTGGACTCGGCCGGGTTTTATTCCTTCAAAAGGCAAAACCTATCATTGAATGGAATTGATGCAAATCAGATGTAATTGGCAATATTTCCAACCCAGCATGACATTCCAATGCAACACCTAAGACCAAAAGAACCAAAAGAACTAAACTACAAGAAACATTCAAATCATCAATCTCCCGTTGCGACTTTCGGCTGTCGCTGATTGGCCAGAAAGAGTCGGTGAGCGGCGCCAACTAATGGGCGGTCGTAGAAGGTAGCCAATCATGAGTCTCCCCCACTTCATTAGGGAAAAAAGTCGACCCCATCGCCCTCCCAAGGCTTCTCTTCTTCTTCCCTTTCTCTCCCATCTTGATCTACCTTGGACTTTTCCTGATTCTATTTTTTGAAACTACTACACCCAAATTCATTACTTACCACATTTACATATCGTCAAAGAACCAGCCAAATGGCCTTCGTTGAGCTGTAAATGCCTCGCTGGGGAGCCTGTCCCTGCCGGCTCCCCAGTCCTGCAGCTCCGATCTTCAATCTTTCTTGACGATATTTGATCCTCTTTCGACGCCTCCAGTAAAGGCGTTGGAATTGCCCCTCAAAACACTCCCAACAGGAGCACTACAGCGTCCGCAACGGACTGCGGGTGCTTTCCATCGCGAAGAAAAATATCTTTGAGACTTCTCCCCTCCGCTCCGCTTCTCCTCCGATCTCCTCCACCTCCACTCCGTTCCACCATTCTCGACTCAACCCCCCTTTGTGGATCTCTATTTCGGGTCCAACTACACCAGTTCCTTTTGCCACCAAGGAAGAACTACCCCTCTTCCTTGACCACTTCATTGGATCATTTTGGAACGCACCGGATCTTTTGAACAACGAAACGCAAGGACCAAAATAGTCCTTATCAACAAAACAAACACTGCTTCTCAATACCTCGCACACTTGAAATGCCGCAGAGTGCTTACTCGTCTAAACGGGCTCCCAAGAGCTCTGCCAAGGGCGGCCATCCCCGTCCCTCGACTCCCGAGTCGAATATCGTGCGAAATCTCGAAATGTCTCCCGCTAATCAGTCTAGAAAGGCATCCAATGCCAGGCCAGTTGATAGAAAGCGGAGGGCTTCATCCTCATCCGTCTCCAGTGTCTCTTCGGTCTCGTCCCTTGAAGACTTGAGCGAGGAGGCAGATAGCTCGGAAGATGATGCAGATGACGAGGAAGAACCGGCAGTCCGAGCCCCGTCTTATGGTCGTCGACGAAACAATAAGGCGGGGCGTCAACCTGCAAAGACCAAGCGAAGACGTGTCATGAGTGACGACGATAGCAGTGACAGCAGTGATGCCAATGAATCTGATGACAGCTCAGATGACATTTATGCCGCTGTAGACTACATCACCGACGCCGAAGATGAGGACCAAGATGTAGAGAAGATGGAAGAGATGATGATCGTGGAGTCAGAGAGAACCCACCGCCCCCTATCCAGCACTAGCTTTGCGGATGACCAGTGGGCTATCACTTCTTTCGACGACCACATGTTCCTCCCAGCTGCATCGTTCTTCGATGAAGAGAACCTTTACAGTGTTATGGAAACTTTTGGAGAGCCTGAGGTGACCAGTGAAGCCGTTGATACGCCGGCTGCCCGGCGAGTTCACTTCGAGGAGCGATCCGACTCCTCATCTGATAGTGATTCGCACAGCGATGATGAAATCATTGGCGACTTCTTGCAACAGGACAGCTTGGACCCCCAGCTGCGGCGCATGATTGAAAACGATAATGGTGGTTACCAGACGAGTCACCGCCGTCATTCAGAAGAAGTGTTTGGAGATGCTGACTACGGTCATGGAAGTATCTACCACGTGGAGTCCGACGGCGGGTCCTCCGAAGGTAGCTTGAGTGGCTACGAGAGTACGAAAATCGGTCCTTTATGTTGCGTTCGAGTTTTGCTAACCCTTCAAAAGGCGATGATGGTGATACCACAGATGAGGATCTTCCCCCACCAGCGACAATCACCCACCCTCGATCCCTCCTCCGCCGGGACTCTTCCGATTCTTTGGCTCCCGTTGATGAGAAGAACGACTGTCTTCCTCGCCGCCGAGGACCTATCATGGGCACCTTCGTGGCCGACCCCCACAAACCAGTGGCTTTGGTCGACTGCACTGGCAAGCATCTCGTTATCATTCCCGCATACGCCTCTTCTCGCCACGACTGGCTGGACTCAGCCGCCAACAGCATGCCGGGGACTGCCAACACCAGCCCTCGCCAGACTACCCTCCACTTGATTGACGAGAGCGACACCGATGCACTTGCATCGCCCAATCAGACCGACTTCAGTCCAATGTTGGCTTCTAGTGCCAATCTCATGATGACCGCTCTCGGCAATGATCTCACACCAGGAGGCCAGGTCATGGGGCCCCCTGAGGCGTTCTATCCTTCTCAGGATTTCACCATCGACAGCTCGTTTGAAGAAGACGAGGAAGACGATCCAGAGGCTGCTCTTAACGTCGATGACTTCATCGACTTCGGCAACGGTTCCTCCGACGAAGACGATGACATGGGTCAGAATTATGATGATGATTCCCATATGTCCCCGATGTCCGCTCCCTCCAAACCCGTGGGCACACCTACTCCCACCCGCAAGTCCGAACCTGCCAACAACGAAGAGCGGTTCCTCAACCACCTTGACCAGGGCATCGTCACCGCTTTCCGTCGTAACCACAACCGCTACCAGGCGCTCCTCCGCCTTCCGCAGCACCGCGAGTTCATGCCCGCAAACTCTCCCGCGCGTCCTGCCAGTGTCTTCCGGCACGCCAAGAACAATGACCAGCGCACCCCCACCCGCAAGCGCAAATCAAGCAGCATTGTCGGTGGCGAGGCTGTGCGACGCAAGCTGATGGATGCTCAGCAACGTCGCTCTCAGCTTCCTCTATGAGCGTCTCTCACTTCTCACGACTACACGACTTTTGGATCCCGCCAAAACCAACGATAAACGGCCACAAATTTGTTATGTCTGTTTCTAGTCTCTGGCAGACTTGACCGTAGGGTCATTAATACGTTTGACCCTTTCGACCTATAGTTGAGCCACATGCTTTTCGCTCTGGTCTCATTGCATCATGCTATCTTTATCGTGACTACCCCTCACCACGAGGTAGGCCTGTTACACATTGTTAGCCTGCGAAAGATCGATGTTGGTTCTGATAACCTAAAAGTGGTCTCTTTATGTCCTTGCATTTACTATTCCATATTTCTGTTGCCCTCTGATTTTGGAACTTCTTACATTCTCATGTCATACTATGTATTGACTGGTGATTTTTCTTTACTCGCCTGTTGCGGGAGCTGGTGATACCTTGGATTTATGGAGTTGAAAAATTGCGGTTTCGCGTTCTAACGAGTGATGGCTTGTTCAAGTTGCTGTTTACATTTACATTATCAATCACAAAAACATTCGAAATATCTATCACTTTCGCTGGTGGCGTAGCTAGTAAAAGTTTGAGGTCTTCGCTGCAAAGTTGGTCCCTGGTATCATTAGATTCCGATGTGTCCTCTAAGGTGATTAAACTGACAGTATTCTTTCTTCCCAGGTGGGCAGTGCTCGAACTCACTCTGCACCACCGTCCACCGCAGAAATTGTCAGAGGGCGCGTTACCTCAACCTCAGAATCTTCCCAAGGTTCAATCCGGGATCCCCCACTAACCCCGGATCCACCCAAAGCTTATTGAACTAGGTGACAGGCCCATATCTATGGATATCTTGGAATCGTCTAATCGTCTTCTCCTTTCTCTAAACGTCTTCTCTCCCCTTGACTTGCTTTAAATGAGGTCCAAATTATAGGTATCATCGCATGGGTACATAAAGTAACCAACATACTGTCGTACCTACCATCCAGCATAACCAGACTCAGCTTCGTCGTCCCCAACACGAGAAATCCAGTCCTCAATTCCTCCAGCTCGACAAGAGGATGGCTGGCTTGCAAAAGAATCTGCTGTTTGTAGTGCTGCATATAAAGCTGCTGTGAATGGGGTGTATATGGTGGAAGAGGGCTGGTCGCGGACAAGAGATGCAGGGCATGTTTTACACGCTTTGCTATATCAATGAAGCCCATTGAGAGAGACCATGATAGAAATAATAAGTCTTTCTCGGCTTGTACTATATGGAATATAAAGTTTCCAGCGCTGGTGTCTAGGTGACTGCTGAGTCTCCGAGACCAAGAATAGGTCGTCATATTGGGATGGCCTCATGCTAACCTAGCAGACTGGAGACGCAACAGTTTCGACGGACACACGCCTACAGATGGAGCTGGTAAAAGGCAGTTAAGAACCATGTATCGAGGAGGTTGAACCCATTGAGGACTTCGTGGAGATGATTAATGCTACCTATGGGGTTTGGCCGAGATGGATGTTGGTTCGGGTTCGGGCTCGGGCCGAGAATTGATTCATCCATGGATGCAGACGTGGGACGACCATGGTATGATCAGCCATTTGTGGCCAACCTCTGAAGCTTCTTCCACATGGACAAAGAATCTACAGGAAGGACCAGGAATGTTATTTGTCGCAGAAGACCTTCAAATAAACACTGCGTGAACAATAGGTAAGACATTAATAAGAATGAAACCTGGTGAATCTCGCGTTCCACTTGCACAGCAGGCTTAATATTTTCTCCGGTACGCCCAGAAGCCGGCAGGTTTGTGACTCGGTGAATTTACACAGTAGGAAAATACCATGACCGCGTCTAGACCCTGATAGTTCAAGGGAGTACAATGATGTACTCCGCACAGGGTAGCATTTCCATGTGGCGCTACTGTGATTGGCGGATATTTTTAGGCGAGCATTTTGCGTTTCATGTTCAACTGGGTGAGTCTGCAGACAAAGCCATCGTGTGTAGCGCCAACTAAGCAAGGAACGACTTGCATTTCTGCAATTCGAAAACTTTAATAAAGTACAGAAATTGGACGAGATTCAGAACATCAAGATAATGAATTATCCTTGCCCTGCTCAGATGCCAGGGCCAGGGGTATGTCGGTTCTTTGTTCTGTGTTGGGATTAAATATGATACTAGTGCAGTCAATGAGTTGAGGCTAAAATGGACGTAGCTTAGCACACTAGATAGGCTTTTGCCGGAGACCTAATACTAGGTCTCTCAGAGAATATGAGCAAGCTCGAGACTAGAGCAGTTCGACGCCACTGGCGACAGCCACCCATGACTTGTCTGCTGTAGGGGGTAACTCCGTACTCCGTACTCCGGTCGGCGCTTCTCAACTGCTCCACTTTGCCTAAACCAAGAGTCAAAATGAGACGGAGAGCGTTCACTTTCAGGTACCCCGACGCCACTGGAACAAATCAACCCCGTGGCACCATGTCATGCAGCCACTGTTCGAACCACCAGGGGTTGACCCCTGGAAACAAAGAGAAAGTAAAAAAAGAGAATTTAGAGAAATGGGCTGATTTTGTGCGACACGCAAGCAGCTGTACCGTTGGCCCCAAAAGTGGCAGATTATCATTTGTCCACCCCGGCGCTTCGAGGACGTTGTTATTTGAATATAACGTGCATTAAAGAGCTTGTCTTTGATTTGGGAAATGATCAGCGATGATCATGACACAAACAAACAATGCAGTCACACTGCAGACAAGATGGCATGAGGGCAAAAAAAGTGGGGGATCTCCGTTTCAAAGGCGAGACGCCCAAAGGATCTCGGCTTTTTGTTTTGATTATGGTCACATTGGGTCCGTGACATCCGATCGAACTGCTAGAATAATTCCTTAATAGTTCCTTAGCTTCGAACGGTTTTGATTCTCGGTACAGGGGTCAAGCCTTTGGTGATCTGGGGCGGGGGAGAGGAAAGACCTCAGCCCCAAGAAATCCGGGAATCAGTCACAGTTAGCATTAAGCATTATCTGATGGAATCGCTATTCCTCTGCATAGAGTTCAACGCTGCAGAGCTTCTTCTCATCCTCGATCGGCAATATGCAAGTCTCCGTGTCGATCAAGCGCTATCCGATTCCCAATGATAATAGGCTATTTATACTCCCAACCCCTGCTGATTGGCTCGTCGTTTAATATGAATGCTGACTCTGGTCTCTGTCACATCCCCCGAATGAACTGCAATGCTGAAAGGGGATTGGACTCTCTCCATCCCCGCGCAGGCGCCCTGATTAGCGGCTCCAGTCGGCAGCTTCTGACTGGCTCTTCTCCAGCCTCTTCAGACGGTTCCTGCACTAAGCGGCGTCGAGCTCTAGATGGATCCCAAGCTGTGTGTTCTTTCGGCCACTACCGTTTCATCTGGACCTTCTGATACTTGCCGATTGGAGGGATGTTCCTCTGGCTCTAACGAGATGTCTTACTTGACTCTCTAACGTCAGGATACTCGGGGCTATCAAGCGAAAATGCTTCCTAAGCTGCAGCCCTTTGTCTGCAGGAGTTGGGGTCGGTTGTTTAAAAAGGGCTACACTTCCCAGATCTAGGGCATTCGTTTCATTCCATTGTTCTATTTTTCTTTTGGCTTTTTGGCCTTCTTGGTTCGTCTCCAACCAAAGACGCTCGTTCAGGGATTTTCATTTCCTTGTCCCACCCTCTTTCGTTTGATATTGGCTCAGTTTCATTGAGGCCTTTTGGTTGTCGCCCATCGACAATCCTAATAAAATTTGCCTGCTTCTTTGCCTTCTCTTTCCAGTTGCTTATATCGCAACCTACATTGCGGTCTCTTTTTGTATAACGCAGCCTATCCTGCCGGGACCCTTATAACATTACCTGCTGTCTCTTTCAGTCTTTTTCATCTTTCGTTCTATCATTATCTCATACCCTTTTTTTCCGCTCTTCGTTACCGATATCCTTCCAAGATGAAGGTCACTTCGGCTATTACGTTCTTCTCTCTTCTGGCCTCTGGCCAGGCCACCGGATCGGTACGCCTCAACAGATCTAGCTGTCTTTGACTTGTCTACTCACACTGCCCTTTCTATAGTACTGGGGCTCTGAGAAGTGCTATTCCAGCCCGGGTAGATCCCCCAACAAGTGCAATGACCATCAGCAAAAGGGTTTCAGCTGGTCTGATCTCTCTCCTGGGTCCTTTTCCAACTACGGTGGCTTCTCCTTCTCTGGTTTTACTTGCGGCAATGGCTTCGGCTCCAGCCTTGGCAAGCGTGGCGTAAGTAATGGCTTGTTTACCTGCCATTAACACATGCTGACCACGACCCAGACCCAGAAATGTATCTCCGGTACTGTCTCCAGAGGTAGCTCGTCTGGCTCCAGCCATGGCTCCGGTTCCTCTGCTCCCTCCTTCGCCTGTGGCGCGGACGAGAGTGGCTTCTCTGTGACCGACTTCCACATTGCTACTGACAAGGATACCGAATTGCACGTTATCTACAGCATGCCTGATGGATCCACTTGCAAGAACACCGCCTCCTGCAACTCTGGCGGCACAAAGATCCACAACGATCAGTGTGGTGGTGCTACATCCGTTCACTTCGAGCTGCCCGATGATAGCGAGCATGAGAGCTGCGGGCTCGGCATCTACAGCGTTGGCTTTGACTGCACTCCTGGTTCGACAGCCACTGCGCCTGTCCCTGGTACCACTGTTGCTGCTACGTCAGTCCCCCAGGCATCCGAGACTGGTAGCTCCAGCTCTGTTGTTGTTGTCTTCCCTTCTGGGTCTGTTCCCGGATCCTCTGTCGCCCCGGTCAAGACTCCGGCAGTGAGCACGCCCGTTCGCATGACCACTTCGACTGTCTACACAACTAGCGAGATCACTATCACCAGCTGCGCTCCTAGTGTTACTAATTGCCCAGCTGGCTCGGGCTCAACCATTGTTGTGACTTCGACTATCGCGGTCTCCACTACAGTCTGCCCTGTCACCGAGACTGCTCCGGCAGCAACGGGCTCGCCGTCTCTGCCTCCCGTGCCTACCCCGACCGGCGTTCTCCCTGTCGGCTCATCAGCAGCGCCTCCTCCCAGTGGCACCGGTGTCCCATCGTCTTCAGTCGAGCCACCCTCCGAGGGCGAGGCTCCTACAGAGACTCCCAGCCCTTCGTCTCCAGTTGTCACCAGCCCGGTTCGCTTGACCACTTCAACTGTGTACGCCACCAGCGAGGTTACAATCACCCGCTGCGCTGCTAGTGTTACTGATTGCCCTGCCGGCTCGGGCTCAACCACTGTTGTCACGTCGACCATCGCTGTCTCGACTACTGTGTGCCCTGTTACGGAGACCGCGCCTGCTGCCACTGCCACTGCCACTGTCTCGCCCTCTCTACCAGCAGTCCCAACTCAAACCGGCGTCTTGCCTGTCGGCTCCTCAGCGCCCCCCGGTTCTACTTCAGGGGGCCCAGCGCCGATCAGCACCCCCTGGTTCCTGGCGTGACTTCCGGTGTCTCGACCTCTGCAGTCTCGTCTCCTGTTGTCACTCCGCCCGCACCTGGAGATCTTACCACCACCATCGTCACTTGGGAGACTGTGACTACGTGCCCGGTCACCAACACAGTTACGTCTGGCTCTTCCACGTTCGTTACTACCTCACAGACTGTTTCCACCGTTACTTTGACATCTACGTCCACAATCTGCAACAAGTGCACAGCCACCTCAACTGCCGTCCCCAGTGTCTCTGAAACCCCCTCAGGATCAAGCCCAGTTGAGGCCACCAGCCCCGTCCCTACAGGACCAGGCGTCACCGGCCCCACTGAATCAAGCCCTGGCCCCCAGCCTACATCCACTGTTCCGGAGGGTGTCACGACCACAATCGTTACCTACGTGACCGAGACCACCTGCCCAGTGACCAACACCGTCACCTCCGGCTCATCCACCTACGTGACGACCTCCAACACGATTTCCACAATCACCGTCACCTCAGTCTCGACGCTCCCCTGCACCAAATGCACAGCAACGGCAACGGCAAGCCCCTCATCTCCAAACACCACCCCAGCCGGACCCAGCGACGTCTCCCCAGTTCCCAGCCCATCCCCCTCATCCCCATGCCCAAACACCGTCCCCCAATGCATCAACACCTGGCTGGAGCTAGCCCCGAAATGCAACTCCAACAGCGACGCCTCCTGCTTCTGCCCCAACAGCGAGTTCACCAGCAAAGTAATCTCCTGCATCCAAGCCTGGGGCGCCTCAAAAGCCGAAATCCAATCCGCCCTCTCCTACTTCACCGGCATCTGCGCAACCTGGATTCCCCAAAACCCAGGCATCGTCACCCAAATCCCCACTACCATCACCCTGGTCCCAACAGTCGCTCCCACACCCTCCGGCGTCGACGCTGTCACCGGTAGCCTCCCCGTCACCTCCGCACCGGAACTCCCCTGCACTACTATCACGTACTCTACCTACACTGTGACCGTCCCGCAGGTCAGCTTCGTGACGAGCACGGGCTCCGAGGCTGGCGCGGCCCCGACTGTCGGTCTCGTGCCTGCCGGTCCCAGTGGCACTTCCCCGGCTAATACTGGTAATGTGCCTGCTCCGGCTTCGGCGACTTTCGTCACGGCTTCGAGTGGTTACCCGTCTGCCACTGTCGGTGTTTCGCCTAGTTCTTCGCCGATCTTTAATGCGGCTTCGAGTGTGTCGGTTGCGTCTAGCTTGATGTTTGCTTCTGTTGCTGCTTTGTTTGGCTTGATCATGTAGACGGATTGTCTTTTTCTTTCTTTGTCCGACTGGACTGACTCGTGCTTGTGACTTGAGCTTTCCTTTTATCCCTCTTGCTTTCTGTGCATAGTGCGCATTTTGATATTTGTGTTTTGCCCTGCGCTGTCCGCAAGAGACTTGTTTGTATTCTAGTTATCTACTAATTGAATGCGATAGACTTCGCTGTCTTTTTGAGGATCTTTTTCTTCCGTAGAGTCAAGCTAACTTGGTGTTCTTCTAATGGTATCATCACTGCGTGCCTCGACCTTAGATGTGCCATGTATCATATGTCTATAAAATCTGCTGTGACCTACTGGAGGGAAGTAGAAGGTGAATGGGAAAGAATTGTATTGAGAAAAGGAGGAGCGAGCTCCTAAGCTATTATATGACGAGAAAGGCACCATCGCTATCGGTGAACAAAGTAGTCGGAAGGTCTTGATACCTTCTCGTCCGTGCCATGACTTTGTGTAGTCACAACGGACGGCTCCCACACCGCAGCATCAAATGCCAGTGTTTTCGGAGACATACTGTTCCTTTCGGACCATCCACAGCAAAGTCTGCTACAACTCCACAATCCACATCGAAACCCTTTCCCATAAGAGGCTTTACCATCGGGATATGCTTCATGGTAAAGCGAGTTCACAACCCCCGGCCCGGGGTCCAATGGTCAGCCGCGACTGGTCATGCTATCGAGATCGAGAAAGCGAGTATAAACGAAGTTCCTCTTCAGCCTCGCTTGTACCTAACGGGTACGTTTCTGGCATAACAGGAGCGAGTTGGCAGCGCGAGAGAGATAGTGTCGTTCCTAACAAGAACGTTGAACCATGTTAGCGCGGCAGTTACATTGAAGTATCCTCAATGAAAATAGGACAAAACTCACTCTGTGGCCAAGTTCACTGCTTTCCACGAAAACAGGAGCGCTCAGTACCTGTAGGTACGCTCCCAGGAAAACACCGATGGCAATGCAGATAATAATATAGCCATTCAAGTACAAGGCCAATAGCATGATCATGTAGGCGACCACAATTTGGAACAAATGGAGGAGAGACCGGATGAGTGTGAAGTGAGGAGCAAAGCGGCGCGACATTATCTAGATCAGGTTCCTCGTTTTCATAAGGTTGTCGAGACTGGCTTGCAGTCCTGCATACCAAACTTCTTCAGTATGTCTCGTATCATGTCGCATGTGCGATTCCTGAGATAGCCAGATGCCATCTGATCATTGTGAGACCGATCGTTTGTCCGTCATGTCGAAATGCTGCTGCAGTTATTGTCTGGATGTGTTGACTGTGTTATCATGACATCGAAGTCGTAGAAGATGGTGTGTTGCAGAACGGATTAACCGGCATGCTCTGGTTGGTTAGACCAGGAATGCTCAGCTGGAGTCTTGTTCGGTATGAGATTCGAGAGTCTTGTCCAGAAGACTCCACACGCCGATAAAAAACGAGAATTTGAAGCTTGTAACGATACAGGGGCTTCGAAGCTCGGGACTCTTGACCTGAGAGGGGATCTACCATGCAAATGTAGGATCCCCTGGAAAGGTCATGAGACGCCCGAAGAACAGAAGTTATCTATATGGGAGACTAGTTAGCTTATGTCTGATGGAGCAAATAGGTCACCTAACCTGTCAACCGCTCCACTTGTTCCGGAGTCCGTCGTCCGCGGAAGACAATGGGTGCGGATGGACTGAGATCCGAGATGATACTGCAGTGCATCTCGGGATAAGACTTCTCGCAGACCAAGAGGGTCAGTCTGCCTCCCATCCGCCTCCAAGCGGGACAGCAACGCATACCGTCCAGGATCCTTCCCGGACATGGTCGCATGAAGTTGCTCGCCACGTCGGGGAGGATGGCATATCATGTCTTGGATATGACATGCCAGTTCTTTGAAGAAAGAGTGCCTTTAAACCAGAACAACAAGTATGACGAGGAAAGAAGAAGAGAAGAAGAGAAAGGAAGCAGGCAAGAAGCTTATAAGCTCCCTTCTTGTCACAAGACTTGAGCTCAACAACCGTCAGTTATCAGCCCAACCCAACCACATGACCAGCCCAACGCCGTCGCTCAACTCTTTTCACAGACGTCTGATCGTCACACTGGGTGCCACCTCGACATAGAGTGCTTGGCCACACTATGCGGTATCGTAGACCACAACAAAAACGTAGGTTTCTGTTTATGGCCTAGGAGGCCTTCTCCTGGTCTGACAATGAGGATCAAGAGACAAGTCATGGTCAGTTTGGGGCGTGGTCTTGAGGTTCAATTCTTTAACCATTTTTCGAAGACTGATACTGTGTCTACGAGAATGTATGGCGATCTCAAGTGATTTCTCGAAGATGACGAAGCTGAGAGGTAGTATTTGACTTGGCAAGACTATCAACTACTCGATTGATATTTAGGGAAGCTGAAAACAGTGTTTCATTGGCTTATGTGAACTGTAGCTACGCAAGAGAGTACTCCGTTCCGGGACTTAAGACACTGAAAAGAAAAAGGGCTGGTAGCTGGTTCGTTTTTCGTGATTATGGATTGACGATGATATTACTCTTAACTATGTTTCTCTGTCATCCTCATAGACAGATGAAGGAGGCCACTTAGGATACCTCAGAGTGGCCGCAAATGAGAGATTGTCGCAAGAAATAAATGATATCCCCGAAGCTTCAGCATCGTATGTGTATTTTCGAAGTACAGGATCATAACCCCGTCGATAGAGGGGACCATTTTGATAGGCATGAGCATCGAGGAAATTCCCAGCAGAAGATCATTGGTCAGACTGGGCGGGCCGGCCAGGCTGATCGTTTTCGTCAAGCCAGTTGAGGTAATCCTCGATGCCTTCCTTGATGCCCCGGAAACGCAGTACAGAGCCAGAACGACGAAGCTTAGAGATGTCAGCGCAGGTGTAGCTCTGGTATCTTATCCTTAGATGGACAGGGAGGGGAATGTTCTTGATGTGGCCTTCGGACTTGCCGAAATGCTTTGCGACGATGGTGGCAACATCATGGAAGCTGCTGGCAACACCGGTACCGACATTGTAGATACCCTGGATCTCTGGATGCTCGAGGAACCAACAGTTAAGGCGAGCGACATCTTCGACGTGGACGAAGTCACGTTTCTGTTGTCCGGCTGCGACTCCAGCGATTTCACCGAAGAGCTCAATGGCCTTGAAGGCCTTGAGACTCTGGTAGAACTGGTAAACAGTGCTAGGCGAAGCTGTCTTGTATTGTTCACCCGGTCCGTAGACGTTGAAGAGACGCAGTCCGGCAACCTGGGGAGAGCGAACGTCGGTGTTTCTGATAACATACTGGTCGAACAGCATCTTCGAGTATCCATAAACGTTCAGTGGGGCTTCCTGGGCTTCACTTTCGCTGAAGACAGGACCATCTCCATAGACAGCAGCCGAAGAGCCATAGATGAAGCGCACGCCTTTTTCCTTGCACCAGGTGAGGAGTTCTTTGGAGTAGGTGAAGTAAGCATCGAGGACCCTCTTGCCATCGGTCTCGGCAGGGGAAGTGTTAGTAGCATAGTGGAAAATGGCACGGGGACGGTGGTGAATCGACCTGGTTCGAATATTCTCGCGGAAGGTAGCGTCGTCGATGTAATCAGCGATTTTGCAGTCGACCAGATTACGGAACTTGGATCCATCAGTCATGTCATCGACAACGATGATGTTGGTGATGCCACGGTTGTTCAACTCTTTCACAATGTTCGAACCGACGAAGCTGGCCCCGCCGGTGATGATGATCATGTTGGGAGTAAGAGGGGAGTGGAAGAGAGATGAGATAAGGGCGGGCAACTTCGCTTCGATGAGGGGGGAAGTCGACAGAGATATACGTTGGTATCTTCAAAGAGAAGAGAGATGAGAAGTCGGGGCTGTGCGGTCAAGGTTCCAGTTTGGGCAGGAGCAAGCCAGAGTTGCGATCAACGTCAAGGTCTGCAAACATCGCTCAAAGAAAATCATTAATCATCGACCTCGTCGCGACATCATGCATCTATACAATTGTTTGCTACCTGTCTGAGTCCTGCCATAAATACTTTCCCCTTCCTACTCTACGAACTCCATCTTACCGCGATTCGAAACATCATCATCCACACCTTGCAACATGTCTGACAACATGTCTGACAACCGGCAAACCTCAGTCCTGGTCCTAGGCGACATCATGGTGACCCGCGAGATTCGCGGCACAGCTTCTCTTCATCACCTAAGAGCCTTCCCAGTCCTCGACGTAAAGGATACCATCGATGCCCCTGGGGGTGCAGCAAAAACTGCTGTCAACCTCGCAGCGCTCGGCACATATGTGACCCTTGCCGGACTCATTGGCCCGGACGATGAGGGCATACTCATCAAAACAAAGATGACTGAGTCCGGTGTCGACACCAAGGGAGTTATCTTCACTCACGACCGGCCTACTGCGAGAATGACCCACATAGTCGACAGCAATAAGAGCAACCAGCCCCTCCTACGAATCGATCGAGACAACACAGCCCCGGTGTCAGTTCGCGCGGAGAGGGACTTGCTCCAGGTCGTTGTGCCGCTTTTGGGCGCCGTCGACAGTATCGTATTGGTGGATTGTGGACAAGGATTTTTTGCATCGACTGTGGCAAAGAAAATCATCGAGCTCGCAAATGCAGATAACAAGCCTGTCATCATCTCACCCAAGAGATGTGGAAGTTTTCACCAGTATTCCGGGGCGACGGCTATCGTGCCAAACTTGCTGTCAATGGAAACAGCTCTCGGAGTCCACACTCCATTCACACGCTTGCCCGATTGGGAGATCTACCTGGATCACAGGGCACGCACCATTCGCGATGGAATCCAGGTGGGTGCACTCGTGGTGCCTTGTGGACTTAGAGGAGTGCGGATCTACGAAGACAGGGGAAAAACCGTGATCAAACCAACGCCCCTGGCTGCCATCGACCTCAACGGCGCCGAGAATAGTTTCCTGGCCGCATTCGTCTGGGTGTTATCAAAAGGCGAAAGCATTGCGGAAGCGGCGCAGAAAGGAAACCTAGCGCACGGCATCGCCTGCTCAAAGCCTGGGTGTCAGATCATCCGCCTCGAGGACATGGTTCTCGGCTCTGAACGAGTAAAAGAGTGGAACGAGGAACATAATACAAACACATCAAGCAAGATCCTCAGCCCAGAAGTCCTGCGCCGCAAGATCTGGTGCGCCAAAGCAGCGAAGCAGCGCCTCGTGCTCGCGACCGGAATTTTCGATCTTCTCCACGGAGGCCACATTGACTTTCTTCAGAAAGCCAAAGCACTCGGCGACCGGCTTGTGATCGGCCTCCGCTCCGACGCCTCAGCTCAACGCCTGGAGGGCCCCGGCCGACCTGTCGTCCCGGAAACCCAGCGTGCGCAAGTGCTCTCCGCGCTGGCATGTGTTGACTACGTGGTGTTGTTTGACATGCCTACCCCGCAGGTGATCGAATTGATCCGTCCCCACGTTCTGGTCTCGGGCGAGAATCCCGCCGAGGTTGTGGGCTGCGATACGGTACGGGCTCACGGAGGTCGTGTGGAGATGATCCCGAGGACTGCAGGAATATCTACCACCACACTGGTCGAGTCCATTGTCCAGCGACATTCAATTTGATGACGACTCCATACTCCATTGCAGGGTTGAAGGGGTTGATGCTCTTGGCTGGTTGTAATTGATGCTAGGTGATTGTGGGAGATATGGTGGACTAGCGGAGAACTTCCGTAACAGCTGCTCGCATGAACGGCGACGCGATGTTGATTGAGGCGGCCACTACCTAGTGGAAATACAATTGACCTCTTGTGATATCTTGAACTAAGTGCTCCGTAGTGAATACATATGACAGTGGACTTTGTCTGTAAGATTTGTTATCAGCAAGGATGGATTGATATGAGCCGCTGAGGAGCCTGGTCATTATTGCCAGACGAATGTATGCGAGACACATCAAGCAGGCTAGCTTACACTCAGCATCGCCCCATGGCCGCATGGTTCAATCAAAGGGAAAGTATCATTTAGATGACACCATAGAGACCACCGATTGTCACGCAGTGAACTCATTCAGTTGTAACCCCCCAAGAGAATCCTCCAGTTCGCTGAATAGGGATGGGAGGGAGGAGTCATAGCATGCGTGTTCGTCGTCGTCGTCGTCCCACCATTCTGGCGATTTGAATGCCTTTACCGTCCGCACAAGACAATTGCAATTTAAATCCAGGAAAGGAGTTTCAGGCTTCGGCGAAAGCAGGTTGTTTGACTGCATCTGTATAGAAAGAGCCCCGTACATGATTGAGCGGCATTCGAAACTACAGCCTATGGTACCATGTAAAAAGGCATCGCGTGTTTCATAGAGGCGGGCAATTACGTTGCTGATGGCCTTCTCTCTACGTTCGTTCATCGAATCTGGAGCCATGTTAGATTTCTAGCCTTTGAGATAATCAGTTTACTCTCACCTATGACCTTGTCGGAGATCGGAAGTCCCAAACTATCAATCCAACCGTTGCTTCCTGACATTGCAATCGAAGTTGATGATTTGAATTGGGAAGGAAGTTGGAAAAACCAGGAAATCCATAGCCATAAAATCAAATCCCGATTGACCGTGGCAGGAATATTCTCCTTCAGGTTCTTGATCCACACATCTGTCAGGAGACACAGAGTTTCCTTGCATCCATAGTAGTCTGTTATAACAGCAACTTTGGCGAGCATCTCAAGGGTCAGCTCTCGGGGTACAAGGTGGTATTGGCCATGAATAGCCCGAAGTAGAATCAAGAGTGCTTCGACATCCCAGCTTTCTGCAGTGACCTCAACTGAGCCTTTTTGAGCGTAAAGGATGCTTTCCTTCCAACCACCAGTCAGCATTCTTTTAAAGACCGGGGAGGCAAACATCAAATGCTTCGCAGACACCTGAATACGTAAGCAATCCAGGTCTGGTGATGCAGCAAGGTCTTCTTCGGCAGCAGGCTCTTCATTTGGCGAAGTGGACTCAGGAGCGGTTAAATTCGCGTCGAGCTTCCCTTTCTTTAGGGTCTTTTCCTCGAGACTCTGTAATTGGGCCTTACTCAATTCAACAGGACTTTGAGCTTCACCATCCAACCCCTGGTCAGAGTCCCCACTAGTAGGTGTTTCAGCCGGCTGTGCAAAAGGACAGTCTGCATTGCGCAATATTATGATCACTTCGCCGTCTGGATCTATGATATGAGTCGGTGTGTTCATGGTGATTCACAGATGGATTCAAAATTGAAGTATCCACTTGAGATGGATGAAGGTAAAATGCTCTGAGATGGACACACTCCAATGGACAAAAGCACAACTTGAGTCTCAGTCGCTGTGGGAGATAGTCGGACCGGCCCAACACACCTTCCGCGTGTTTAACGCGTGTTGGTACGCCCCACTCATGGATATTTTTTTCCTTTCTGTAACAACTTTCAACAGCTTTCATGCTACACCTACGATGTCGGAGTAAAATAGAATCATAGAGATCCGAATTTCAAAGGCCCGTCGTGCCTATCGTCGACAAAAAGGTTGGCGCGTGAATTCGAAGTTCCACATGCTGGAGCACCATCACTTTCTGGTGAACACCTGTAATTTGAAAATATCTTAACTAACGCGTTTTTTCGTGTTTTTTGACGTGATATAGAGAGACAAGTAGTAACCGATTCTAGATCATTCGATATAACACAATATTACCTTAGAGATAATGGATAGAAACAGAGGGAAAACGAAGGTAATTCAATCCATATCAACAAAGACAGGTCGATCGCTTGGCGTCCATCAGTACTCCAAATGGTGCGCCAGAAGTCAGAGACGAAAGGACCACCGTCTTCCAAGAGGTCCTGGAAACATTCGCTCTCCCCAATTTTCCCAATAACAGAAACTACATAGCGTGTCACTAGATCCCTCATGGGGTCTATCTGATTGCCATAAGTTGGCGGTGTGTTCGAGTAGACAAATTGAACAAACTCAATGATACCAGTGATCCCCGTATCATATAGCTTGAAGCTCTTTAGCGTTTGATGCAGCTTGGAAAGGATCAGTTGGCACAACGAGTCTATGCCATACTTGTCAGCCAGGATATAAAGTCTAGCCTGTTCGACAAATACAGGTGTGAAGTCTTCCCACGGACTGGTGTTCTTGGGTGGTGTGAAATTGTAATCCAAGTTGCCGCTTTGCATGCTCGAAATGGTCAGGTCTTTAGTGAATGCATCGCGCAATTGTCCAGTCCAGATGCTTCGTTCCGTGTATGGAATTTCGGGTTCATTGCAGGTGGTGTCCTTCGACGAAGGCGACTGATCAACAGGTGCCGCCTCCGGCTCAGGCTCCGGCTCAGGCTCAGACTCCGGCTCAGGCACCGGCGCCTTTGGAAGCTTTGTGGCTTCCGCAGGAGACCGGCCATCGACCAGGCGAAATGTAGGGGGAGTGTAGTTTCGGAAATAGGCAAATTCGCATAACCGAACGAATGTGTCCTCATCGACTTCTGACCAGTCAACGTGTCTCGTTTTTGCTTCGAGCATTTGACCGTTTATTAGAGCATTCAGACTTGGAGAAAGTCCGGCCAAAGCAGAAGAATGCACGGTTATTTCCTTCTTATTGGCACCAACCGTGAAGGTGAATAAAGGCGAAGAAAGAGATCTTTAATGCGTTAGGCCCAGATAATGACACGACCACGTTAGAACACATACCTTCCAAAAGCTGTCTCCATTTGGATCAATGATATGATGATGACAGGAGTGAAATCGAAGCGACCTTCGCTGTTAGATGCCTCACCGTTAGATGAGCGATGATATTGTGAAGGCGAAGGTTCATAAAAAAGATCGACTTCCTTAAGCAGAAGACAACCTACTAGACTGATGACAAAAGAAAAGAGAAGAGTGAAAAGGAAAAAGAAAGAAAACTAGGTACTAACTAGTATATACAGCCACAATTACTCCTGCCACGCGACAAGCCGTTTTCCTCTCTCAGTCCCAATGGCAATACCTATCTACGCAGTATGTGATTGTCATGAATGAATGTCACGGGCGCTGACAGGTATTGCAGCCTGTCATATGGTTGATAAATATTTCCATAACCTCACAAGTCACAAATGAAAGAGCTGTGATATTATTCCAATTTGAACTATTGTCCTGATCGTGCTGCCTTGCTGAATGACATAACAGTTTTGTTTAATTTCAACGTGACAATTTGGTCTTAGGCATCTTGAGAGACATGATCGTCCTTCCTCTCCTCATGCGGGGGTTCATCGTTCATATCTGTTCTGTGAAGGAGAGGACTCTTTTCGGGACTGGAACTCTTCCTATATGAATCCTGGTTGGCATCCTTGTTAACGTTACTAGAGGCTGGGATAGAGGCATAAGGGTGCGAGATGCTGTCCCGATAAGGATGCGCTCGGCCGGTTTGGATAGCCCCGTTGTCAGTCTCGCGGTGAGCAGCAGAAAGAGCGAAATCGCCAGAGTCAAAGTACATCCGTTGCTGCTGATTGTTAGTTAGTGCGTGTCATAGCGTTAAATAATAGACTATAGCCTAGGTACCTTGGAATGTTGAGCAAGTAAACTTCCACGCGGCAGCTTTCCGTACTTAGTGAGGAGACGTTCGTCGGCTTTAGCCAAAGACTGAGAGGATGTTATTAACGTCATTGCTTCCAAGAAGGGACTGTGAAAGATTTACTTCGGGGTCTGGACCTCCTGTCTGCATATTGAGAGACTAGTCTTTGATTCAGGATGGTTTTTCAAGCCTGTAATAGGAACTGCATCAAAGCAGGAACTCTCTGAACTTCTGAAGTATTCACAGGAAGCGGGTCAGCGATGATGTTGAGTGGGGCCGCAGCCGCTGCACTCCGTAGGAAGATATATTTTCCGGTTTGGTCGATTGGTCAAGCTAAATACTAACTTCTTGGCAACATCCACCTCTTCAATCCCCACCCCCCACAGACCCACCCAGTATTGTCGGCCTGAAATGCACAAACGAACCCCTGGACCGGGGCCCTGGCCCAGGTGATGAGCTCGAAATAAATTACCTTCGATAACCACTGTCCCTCTTTACTGACGGAGTCTCGGAGACAGTGTTCAACTGACAAATTAAGTTTTTGATATATTTCTGTATTAGTTGACACAGTGAGCTGGCCCATCTTGAATAGGTAATCAAGGTCCGTATTCACCGCAACTGTTTGTTATATGCTCGTATTCACAGGCAGCTCATGAGCCATTGTACTAGGACTGCCGGATAGCTCCGCCCTGACAGGATTATTATCAAGCTCCGCTCTATATCCACCTTTGAAATCCTCCGCCGGTGTGCTCGCGTTGGGACTCGTCAGCGCATTGGGACTCGTCAGAGACGCGACCTTCTTCTTTCGACGCCGCATCATGAACCAAACCAGTGCAGTTATGAGTACAACTCCAGCACAGCCACCAACAACACCACCGGCGATAGCACCAACATTGCTAGAAGACGAGGAATTTGACTCGGACTCTGTCGGTGACGGGATATCTGGGTTCGTTTCGGATGGCGTTGGCGAGGCGGATCCAGTGCCTTGATAACGAGGGTATGACTGTTAGCTCTCCATTCTTGCCACTTAAACACGGCTGTAAATCATTTTATAACCCGGAGCTTACCCGTTGCGATAACCTGCAGTAAACTTTGGGATGCATTATCCAGTTCCCCGTCAGCACACCCAATGCCATCTCCACGATTCCCAGGGAACTTTTCCACAAAGCCTTGCTTCCCATTCAGACAGCAGAAGTAAGAACCACCGTTGTAGTATAAATCCCAGGTGGCATTGTTTGCGCAGTGCGGATCTTCCTTGACGACCGCCGAACACCCCGACTTGGTCTGGCAACAGATCATTCGGTCGTCGGAGCAATAAGAGCCCTCCGGGCAACAGTTATACCAAGGACCCCAGGGGTGGTCGCATGTCTTCTCGGTCGCGGTACAGGTGCCGTTTCTCCGGAGGACATAGCCAGCAGGCGGGCTGCTGTAATCACTCATTTCATATAGCGTGGGAGTATCAAGGACGTATGTCAGTAGCGCTGCTCAGGCCCTGTTGAGAATCGGAGGTAGGACGGTAGACAGTATATTGCAGAAGGAAGGTTGGCGAAATAGGAGAGTTTGACCTGGGGAGGACACAATGCTGACAGGAGCCATGGCGATCTCAGACTGATTCAGCCTCGTACTTGCGAAGAAAACTCGGCTGACTCAAGCCCCTGGCCCCCCAGGATATGTGCCCGGTGTGGGGTAACCAACAGCAAGCAACAGGCCTGAGTGGCTGTGGAAAGAACCCTTGTCTAGCAGAGCCTCGTAGCGCACGATCATTGCCCAATGAGATTCAATCTCGGGAAATCATAGAGTGAGGAGTTGTATTAATGTATCGTTTGCAGTACGAGGAAGTAGCAAGGCAGTAGCGTCAAATGGAACAAGCAGAAGGATCCAGGTATGTGTCGCTTTACTCTTGCCATTTTTGTCAATCTGATCAGACCAGACGCGTTTTTACCTTAGCAAGAGCCAATTAGCCATATTCATGGTCACATGCGTGAGGCAAATCGTTTCGCTTTGAAAATACCGTAAACTTCAAATGGAAGTATTTATTATTTCGCTCGCGTGATTAGTTCGAGCCCTCTCTCCCTCTCCATCTTCCCCTTTCTCACTCGACCCCCATCAACCTTCACCCCCGGGGCCCCGGACGAATCAATATACCTGGCATAACGAGGTTCCTGATTGGTCCCGCTGATGTGCGGTTGCCTCTACCCGCTACGAATACGATTCCGGCATGACACAGGCAATAGGTCCGTGGTCGTGCGCGCCGTTATGGACAGAAACGACCAGTTCATGTGACCATCTGCTCATCGACTTCGTCAAGAACACCTATGGTATCACCGTGTCTCTGTCTACCAGAGCGATCGGTCGATGAGGCGCCTCATGAGGTCCGAGTAGAAAATCAAGGACCCCAAGCGAGTCCTCCCCTCGGCTGCCTCGAGGGGGGCTTGACCCCTCGTCTCTACTCTCTTTTGGTAAGGATCCCACCATCCTTTTCATCTCTTTCCTTCTTTTGACAGTGTCGTAGACAAAACTGCCTTGCGCAGACGACTCCGTGCTTGAGAGGCTCAACAGTGTTTTGGAACCTGCGAGGTCGATTCTGTTCGCGGTCACTTCATTAGCATCATACGAATACTGCCGCTGGCGACGAAACAGGGAATTGAGGCACATCTTTGCCTCTTCCTTCAATCAAATCGTTCCCTTTGTGAACAATACGGAGTAAGTTCTGCGTTGATCTTCTCTGAGATCACAGATCGTCGATTTTTTAAAGTCTGCGGATCATCCCCATGGCGAAAGTTGGTACTGACGACCGCAGACGACACGGAGACTGAGGAGGCATACTAGTTTCCTTTCGGACGATCCACGAGGAACGGAGCTCGCTTTACATCTCTGTGGCCATTAGAATTCATTGAATATGTGAAAAGAGTGGCCCCATGCTGTCTGGTTGTCGAGGGAGATTCACATTATGTCGGCAGTGTACCTCTAACGACTGCGTGATCTCTGCGCAGTACATCGCCAAATGGTGGTGTCATGACCGAGTTCAGAGGTATGTCGGGCCCATTACCAGCGATGTCTACATACTAATATTTATATTCACAATTAGGGCACTGAGCGATTACTGTGAGTACGAGACTCATGCAAGTCTCTGCCAGCGCCAGCCAAATGGGCGTGGCTTCTTCACTCGACCCGCATTCTTCGTTCGGGGGTCTGCGCAATTCGAACCATGCGGTCAATTCCGATACGGCTTCTAGACGCGAGAAAGCACGACACCCCCCCTGATCGCGTAACGGGGAGATGACACTCCATGACTTCGAGTTAGTTGTGGGCCTGACCCAAGCGCGCAATACACGTCGCTTCAACCCGAAATTGATGCAGCAATGCATGGTATAGAATCGCAGAGAGCTTGCGGCCTTGCGCAAGCATTCTTGATTCCTTCCCATTTCAAGCCTTGGTGTAAGGAGGACGCTCTACAGCAGTGATTTTGGTGAAGTGAGATCGCTCCTTGCCCAGGCAGGTTATGTGATCAGGCCTGCTCCATGACCATCCATACGGCGGGCCGCGGAACGGCATCAGAATGTTCCGAAGAGACTGTGTAACTAGATGAAAGAAATCTCCATAGCTGTGATACTAGTTGAAATTCAAGACAAGCAATCCAACACACTAGATAGTAGATACTAGTTTCAGCAGCGATCTGCCACCAGTCCCATGAAAAGGACAGAATACCCGTGACATCAATGCAGCATGCTCGGACGAATCAAGTCAGCCGATAAATGCCGACATCATCACTAACAATACGACTCCCAACCGCTCGATGCGGCCTTAGATCGGCAGAGCTGGAATCAACGGCAACCGTGGCCAGGCTGGGAGCTATGCTACCCAGGTGGTAACGACAGAATTGACCTGTAGTTATCATTCGCAGTAAGAAGTAGCGTCAAATGGAACCAACAGATGCCGCTCTATAGCCTGGCAAGTTGACGGATTGCTTGCCAGTTGGCGGAGGCTTGGCATTTAGTGGGAGGCTTGGCAGTTGACTGGACCTGAGCCTTGACCAGTTGGCGGGAAGGGTTGACAACGGGACAGAAGATTTTTGTTGATATTTCGTTCGAAAGGTACTGTACACATCCATGTCCTGTTGACTTATTGTATATAGGTGATAACAGGTACACGCTTAGAGTGTTGGGTGATTTAGCCGGGAGTTGGGTCCTGTGGAAGATAAATTCGAACCATGCTCATAATCAGTAGTAGGCCATTTGAAGGGATTTCCGATGGCAGGCCGGACAAATACTTCTAAAAGTCAGGGTGGACATGTGTCGTACCTACCAAATGCAATCAGTGGAAACGGAATGTCGCTGGTTATCGTCTTCACGGTAGAGCGCACTTGCTATATGAATAAAGGATGAAACGATGGGGAACGCCATGGCGTTGGTAAGACTATCCCTGCCAGCAGTGCTTTCCCGCTGTATCCCAGGGGTCATCCTAGACTCAGTGGATAACGTCCATGTTGCTTATGTCGCTGAGTGAAATAAGTTCAAGTTCTCCGGTCTCGTCCGAAGGCTTCGGGATGGGGCGCGGGTGGTGCTTACTGTGTAGTAGGTTGAAATGATTTATTGGCAACAGACATTCACATGGGAATAGCATAATTCAGTATCATTCTTAACAATAGTTAAAACAGTCTACATATGACATAGGGGGGTACTAGTACCAAGGACGCACAGGACACTATCAAGTCCAAACTATTGATTTGGCTGCCCGTCCCTTGCGGAGATCATGATAAGCATCTTGTCAACCAGTCAACGACTCTGAAATCCACTCAATCCAATTGATATGCTTTTTCTCCGGAGTCCGGGTGGAGACAATACCTTTGATAACCGCTACTAGCGCATTGTTCTAGATATCTGTGCTTACTACGTGATATTGAAAATGCCCACTCTCTCCAAATCCATTATCCCCAGCTCTCTCTCCAGACCATGTCAGTATGTCCCATGTTCAAGAATACACCTCACTATGGTGGCCAGAAGAGCGCATCAAAGCCACTCTCAACGCAAAATACATCGTCAGCCGTCTGCGACAAGAAAATATCCCGCGATTGTTCGAATTGCCCGACTGGGGCGAAGGCCTGACGAGCGAAACATACATGGAATGGATCCTCACCAAGGCCGGACGTGTCTTCTTGATTCTCGATGCTATCGGTATCCCCGATCGGATCTTTGCGCTAGTCGATCAATCCTGCGACGATGACGATCTACCGATCGCCGAGCACAGCGTGGATCTATTGTGTCTTTCCCCGGATGGGGAGGAGGACATCGCCCTCGACACGCGCTTCTTCCACATGCAATGGCGGTTTCTGGTCCGTGGCATTGGCGAGGGAGAACACGTCGTCTACACCGAGAACGAAGGTGTCCCCGTCGAGGTAGTGCGAAGCAGCACCAGCGGCGGACTCCACGGCCGAGACGAGACAGTCGATAAAGTGATTCTCGCCGGTTCAGTCTGTCGAGTCTACATGCGCACGCAAGTCAAAGTTGGCGGCGCGCCACATTTCTTCTCTTCTGACGAGGTCCTCACTGAAATCCGTCAGCTGAGAAGGCTATCCCACGAACATATCGTCTCCGTCTACGCCTCGTATCTGAAAGACGACAACGTCGCCGTGCTCTTCACCGGAGCAGCAGCAGATCGCAACCTGCACAGTTTCCTAACCGACGAACCGATCTCCTTCAAACGACTTGCCAAAGAGCACCGTCGCCAAATCCTGATTACCTGGCCACACTGTCTCGCATCCGCAGTCTCCTGGCTGCACTCGCGCGGCTATGCCCACGGTGCAATCCGCCCATCTAACATCTTCATCGATGCAACCTTCCACATCTGTCTCGGTCAGTTCCAAGCTCTCGACTCACTCCTGACACCGCCACACGTCAACGACCTCGAGGCATACAACTACTCTGCGCCAGAGCGCTGGACCCGTCTCTTACCGCAAACCGTCCAGCCAAAACCACAGCAGCCAGTGCAAGTGCAGACACTCCTCCCCTCAGGAGGTCGTACAAAGCGCAGACAAAGACCGGGACATATAGCGCTGGCGCCGGTAAACGAAAGCCCACTTTCATCTCCGAGACCAGACTCAGCCAGCTCAAAGGGAACAGTCATCCGCGTCGGTCTCCCAAATTCCCCCTCACGCTTCTCCTTCGCCTGCTCCTCTTCATCTTCATCTTCCGGTGCCTCGTCAGCTGCATCATCCATATACCAACACCCAACAAACACAACCACAAATACACCAACCCAGAAGCAACACCGTCTCTCGACGCTCTGGGCCCGAAGCACGAAAAGAACCCCATCAATAATGTCGTCCACCTCATCAACCTCCTTACAACCCCATATACCCCAATCAAAATCCCCCTCTCCCTCACCAACAACAAACAAAACCACCTTCCCCTCCGACATCTTCTCCCTAGCCGCAATAACCCTCGACATCCTGACAACCCTGCACAAAAGAACCCTAACATCCTTCAGCGCCCACCGCAGCGCCCGGAACCGCTCCGCCGGCCGCGGCGGCGGGATAGCAGATGCATCCTTCCATCTCGCGCGGAATTCAGTGCAAGTGCAATCATGGATTGCGCTGTTGGAGGGGGATGCGCTGAAGCGGTGTCGACGGGATCGAAGGTCTGAGTGGGCTTTCTGGGCTGTGCCGCGGATATTGATCGTTGTGCGGGCTATGTTGGATGGGGAGGTGGGGAAGAGGCCGGGCGCTAGGAGGGTGAGGAGGTTGTTTGGGGAGGCGATTTTGAGGGGGGAGGGTGGGGGTGGAGGTGAAGGGTTGTTGCATTGTGGGGTGGTGGAGGAGATGATGATGGAGGGGAAGGGGATGGATGGGGAGATGGAGAGGGCTGAGGTGAGGGCTGTTCCGGTTGTTCCGTCGGAGTCTGCTTCGGAGTTTGATTTTGGGTTTCCGGATGCGAGTAGTGAGAGCGATGTTGAGGAGGAAGAAGATGAAGGTTCGGAGTTTGAATATCACCCTGAGATACGGGTTGAGCAGGTTTCGCCTCAGCTGTATTTGCCAGACTTGGATATGAACATTGGGATGGAAGGGCTGACACTTAATAAGTAGAAGTTTAGAACTATACGATAATGATCTAATGCCGCAGTCTGCGTGATTAATGAATGATTTATTTCTTGTGTACACCTTGTTTTTGAAAGACAGACTTAGGGTAACATAACCTGTATGCAGACACAGCACGCCGACTCCAACATATGATGCAGTAATGCAGTGATTCAGTCGAACTGGTCTATCCTAATCTGTATGCATATTAATACAATTCTCAGGCTGGAAACTTCCGAGGTCTGGTCCGTCTGGATGTTGCAGAAATGCTATCACAGCCAGAAAGCGACGACACCGACGAGACCAGACAACACCAATGATCCGGCAAGCAGACGCTCGGTGACAGGCGAGCCCACGGTCACGGCATAAGCAGCACCCTCGGTAGCTGAAGCAGACGCAGTTCCAGTGGCAGTCGGCTTGCCGTCCTTGCCGGTGGCGGACGCGGTGTTGGAGTTCTTCTTGTACGTCTGGCCCAAAGTAGGGAGCGGCGAGCTGGGGTCAATGGCCCAGCCACCAGAGGTGGATGAAGGGCACTCGATGGCGGTGACGAGAGAAATGCCTTTGGTATAGGCGGAGAGGGCGACGCCAGTGGGGTGTAGGGTAGCCCACTGAGACTTTAGGTTCTGGAAATCGGGTGAGACAGGGGTCGGTGTGCCCTTGCGCGTGAAGCCGTCCTCGATGGCGCTGGCTGTCGCGGTGGCGGGGTCGACAGAAGCTCCATAGCTGATCAAACCGTAGTTATTTGTCTCCTCGATCCATTCATAGATGATGGATCCGGACCACGTGTCGGCCATGTTCTTACCGAAGATGGCGCTCTGATCCTCAAAGGTGCGGGGCTTAGGAGTGTTGCAGCCCGTTTCAGAAAAGAAGATGGGAATGGGGTAGTCCGTAGCGTTCTTCTGCAGAATATTGTATCCCGATTGGGTATAGCTGGACGAACCGCACCACTCATATGCGTTAAGGGAGTAGAAGTCCAAGCGCTCAGATTCATTCTTCGAACAGGCCATGTAGTTCTGCAGCATGGGCCGTTGTTCGGGGATATCAGCCGCGGAGTAACCGACGGGAATCTTGCGATACTTCTTCTTGTCACGGTACGCCTTGACGTCGCGAGCGGCGGCGAGAACGTAGGGGGCAGCGGCCGAACCCTCGGCGGTGGTCAGAACCTCATTTCCGACAAAGACACCAGCAGTGTTGTCGAACTTTTGGAACTCGTCCAGGACCTTTGTGAAGGCATGGAACTGCGTCTCATTCCAGTGTGGGCCAGTCTGGGGATCGTTAGTAGATGATCAGCGTGGGGAAAGAAAAGTGGACCTGCCTGTTCAATCTGCGTATTGAAAGTGTCCAAATCGACGAACAGATAGATTCCTAAACTGTGAATCAGCATTGACACGTCAAGATGAACAATTGGATGAACCATACCTGCATCGGCCAGGGCGGACATACAACCCTTGTGATCAGCCTCGGGATCGACGTGGTACACACGGATCGCGTTGGTGCCCAGTTCGGCCATGCGCGCGACATCGCGTTTACATTGGGCAGTGTCAACAAGTGGGTCGCTTGGGGTAAGCTGATAAGCAATGCCTATGGATGTTAGTCAAGACTCTCAGAGTAGGCAACGATCAGTAGGAATTACCCTTGATATAGTACTGGGTGCCGTTCTCGTAGAAGAACTTGGAGCCGACCGCTGAAATGGTGGGAACGGCGCCTACCGCGGTGGCTTGTAGGCCAGCGAGCAGCAACGGCAGTGCGGACAGTGCCAAGGAGGACAACATGATTAAGTGACAATAACAGAGTACGATAGAGGATTTGCGGAATAGCAATGGATCTGAGAGATGAGAAGATCCCTGGTATGTGAGATAGATATAAGTGACAGTCGTTCTTGCCAAAAGCGAGTGAGGGCAAGTGCGAACGGAGAGTTCCAATGCCAACAAGAAAGACAGAAAAAAACAAGAAAGTCAGAGAAGAAGACCAAATGAAAGAAATTAAAGCTGGTTCCTTGATTTGGCACTGTAGCAACCAAATTTTCTGCAGGGTAAAACATCCCAACTAGCGTGCTTCATTCCTCAATTTCCTCCCATTTGGCGCATGCCAGGGGATGTTTGATTAGCATATTGCTGGAGTATAATGTTACTATAATCAGTATAATCAGAGGCTATAATCTTAATTCAACGAGCTATGAACAGGTTTGTCTTTGTGTACATTGAATTGTTTGTACAAGATGTTTGGTTGCCAGGAGTGTTGTTTGTTGTTAATTGTTTGGACTGTTTGGATTGTTTGAATGTCCCATGGGGAATCTTGGAACGGGCGTCGGGGCCCAACCCTAGTCTCCAATCAGGTCGCAGAGATACCACCCACATGGACTTCTAGAAGACATCGACATTGACTATTCTGTATGAGATATACGTGGTACAATGATAGAACGGTGTATATCACAAGTACAGGTACAAATAGTTCTACTACTCAAGAGATCCTATTGACTGTTATTGATCTGGCACATTCTCCCACATCACCCGACTCCCACCGTATTCCCCTGAACTCTGCCCGGACTCTACCGAGACTCCGAGAGTTCCACTCCCTTTATTGTACTCCGCAGTCCTACTATTATTGCTGCTACCACCACTCTATTATTGTTTGAGGCTTGAGACATATCCTTAATATAGTTGTGTACAATGTCAAGATACTAACCTCGAATCCCTTTTCCCAGCAACACTGTCCATCATGCCAGACAAGCAAAACATCGCAATCTCCTCATCTTAAAATCCGTCAATCACTGCTGTTCTGGATCTAGATACCACCTTTATCCACTTTCACTGGGCGAGGAAAGATAGTCCTACCCTCCAACCTGGCACCCGCAGGATCGATCGGCAGGTTATCTGAAAATTTACTCCGTAGATTGTTGGAATTTTCTACGAGCGAGATAGTCAACCCTGGACCCCCGCATGCGTCTGTTCACGAGGTCTACACGAGATGCGTTGGGCAGCTACCAGATAGCTTTATTAAAGAAAACAAGGTTGACAGAACCCATAAACCTGCATATCATTAAGTCCTATCAACGCTAGCGACGCCATGCGATCAACTCTTTTAGAATTCGCCCACGAGACAGCCATGGGACCCCACCGGGCGGTTTTCCACGGTGGCCATGGAGGGCTAGAACGGGGCCCTTGCGAGATAGGAGGTTAGTTTGTTTGGGGGGATATGATCATAGAACAGTGTTTTGAGAGGGATTTTTGGAATGTAAGTAGAGTAGAAATACAGTGGTCAACGACCTTCTTATAATCTGATATCCAACAGTCAGGTCAAATACCAACAAATGTTCCAAGGTCTACGGAGTAAACATCTTCATTTTTCGCGGGAGAGTGCAACAGTCCAGACGTTCCATCCAATCTCCACTCCTCCACCCCATTCCGGTCAGTGCACCAATGAAAATCATCATTCGCAGAAGTGTTCGTCAGCTAGTGGATCCCTCCATTAGGATCGTCTGGGCTCTACCCTTGACTGCCACCCAAACTACCTGACCCAGGGGGGTCATGACGTTTCCGCAAAGGGGGGGGGGGAAGAGCACGTATATTATCTAGCCCGCATCCGGCGATAGCTCTGGCTTTTCCCCCCAACGGACCCTTCAAGCTTCTACATATTCAATGAACTTCAACCTTGCCTCAAACCTGTGAATTGGGTATATCTTCGACTGTTCGAAATGGTGCTTTAGGCCATATACTCCGTATACTATCAGATCGGATTGCATCGATCCACAGCCCTCGCCACAAAACCAATACAATATAAACACACATATTTCAAAATGGCCTCCCCGTTTCACATCTCTCAGTTCGAACTGGTCGAGCTGGAGCGCAATGAAGCCTTTCGGCTAATGCGCGAACAATTACGCCGCCAGGAATGTGGTATGGAGCGACCGAGTTTCTGCGCCGGCCACCGACACGCCTGCACCCCCTCTGAACAAGAGACATTCCGTCTGCATCGCGACATCATCCACACCCTCCTCGTCCCTCTCTTCCTCATCAACCACCAAGCCGAGCGAATTGCCGCCCGCACCCTCCCCAGTCAAAAAGGCGCCGAGCCCGAACGCGCCTTCCGCGGCGAAGCTCGCAGCGCCTTCGCCTGGCTCAACTGCATCCTCACCGAAGAACACGACTGGTACCTCACCGCCCGCTGTCCAGCCTGCATCGTCGAGCACGTGCTACACTCCGAGCCGACGATCCGATTCGTCACCGTCGCCGCGCAGCTCGCAGGTCCGCACTCTGGTTTCCAGTGCTGGTTGCACGCCATCGAAACAGCCGTGTGTGAAGATCCCTTCTGGGGCGATGCGTTCTGGCCGGAGATCGAGGAGCGCGCGTCCCGCCTAACGGAGGGCGTGCAAGAGCTCGTTCGCCAGTGCTGCGAGCTCAGCGCTACACTTGATAACGCGGGCCGGGTCAATCAGTCACATGCCAAGGCTTCGATGCCTGCGTACGCTAATCGCTCCGCTTCCTGCACGATCCCGCTCAAGCCGTCTAGCTTCGCACGGAAACAGGTGCGACTTACGCGGGAGGAGCAGAAATATCGCGCCTCACTTGCGTGGAACTGCTCGGAGCCGCTTGCCGGTTGCACTACTGCGACCAAGTCGCGACGCCGGTCGCTGACTTCATGAGTGATTGTAATGGCTATGGTGTCAAAAGCTGCCATATGCATTTTCTCCCTCTTCCCACCGGATACTTATTCCACTCCTCCGACCGGGACATTTTTGCCAAATTGGCAATTCTGTATCGAAGCAACCGCTCGAGATCTCAGACAAGCTGTCTTTGGATCTTTTTGAATGGGCATTGGGCCCGTCACCCTACCGGATCTGCGGATGTCAATTCCCGTCATTTGGACACATGGCATCCCTGCGCCTCTCCACGCGATCGAGACCAGCTTCTCGATATGCAAGGGTCTTCTGATCGCTGTCAGCTGTCATGATGCAATCCGACAGAACCATGGATCAAACAAGATCAGAGGAAAATCCTCGGATGGAATGTGATTTATGTGATTTATGCTAGGATTTATGCTAGTACATAAGGAGTACGGAGTACTCCGCACTATAAAATTTTAATCTTAATACTTCTGGATCGAACATTTTATCTGTGACATCAACAATCTCCATATCATGGTTGAGGACTGTGCGTATATTAAGCGATATCGAAGTAAGCTACAATATCCACTCTCACACTGTAGTCTCATCGATTCGTGGCAACACTCTAGATGATACGGTGGAGTAACCCCATGGAACAAGGAAGGGAACCAGATCTCAGTGCACGGTGGAAATTAAAAACGGTTCCAACAGTGATCGGGCTGGATCTGAATATCAACTGACTCTTTATGGTTGTCAAATCCATTCCAGTCCAGGGCCGAAATGCGAACTGCTGCGAACCCTACATGGCATCATCTCAAATCCATAGCCCTTGGGCCCTACAACAGACGATGCGTTGGCAAATATCAGATTTTCGGGCCCAACCCCTCTCAGTGGCAATGACCGGAAACGGATTGAAGAAATATTCGTACTCAGTACCTTGTCCAGGCCCAGGCTCCACCTATATTCTATGGTACTGGTGACTTGTGTGAAACGACTTGAACCACGCACAAGAATACTGTGTAGTATGACTATTAAGATAAGACTCTTCTTTCTCTAACTAGATGGTTTGGTAATGAAAGCTTCATCTTAAGTACATGTACCGTTGATGTGGTGTCGGACTCATCCAAAAGCAGGACGATCATCTTCGTTGGAGCCAAGACGAAGCCACCGGTCGCTCTAGACTGTTCACTTTTAGCTCCTTCAACACGACACATTTCCCTTATACACTGTCTAATGTATGGATTTAATCTGAAATTGTTGCAATTCAAAGATCTCATCTAAAGAGATCAGTTTTAATATATGCAAAGTAGTCCAGACTCTCTATATATCCCTTACAGCAAAATAAAAAACTGCGGAACCCGATGACTCCATGACTTGAAGGTCTAGACTCGACCGAGCTGAAGAGTCTGGCCCCAACCCTTGCCCCAGTTGGTACCCAGTACCTACCTTAATACTAGTCCACCCATATTAAAGAAAAGTACCAAGTACCCTGTCCCTTTCCATCCGTCAATTTCCATTCGATTCACGCCCTCTTTTGCTTCTTCTATCCCTTCTTCTTCCCCCTCTCCCCCAAATATCGTGGTCTTCCTCTGTGAACACTTTCCTTCCGCCTCACCGTTCACCTCACCCGCCACGATATCCTACACCCCTCTTCCCGGACCTCACCCTCCCCCCCCGCTTGGACCTTAACCCCAGGATCGTCACTATTTCGGAACGGACAATATATGACTTATGCCGACCGTCATCTCTCTCCCACTGGATCACAGAAACTAGATGAATTCCCCATGCAATGGACAGTGCCGGCCCATGACTCCCGTTTCTAACGACCGCGTCATGCATGTCCCATCAACAATCCAACTCGATTCTACAAATCTTCCTGAGAACAACTCCGATACACAAGAAACACTGAACCCCGCCAGACTTCGCCGACGAGCCTCACAGGGGTCCCTGCGAACAAGGCCATCCCCGGTGTCTCGCTTTCTATCCAAGAGCAGCGTTGCCGTACACTTTCCTTCTTGGGATCAACGCGCTTCGCCCTCACCATACCGACTGGACTCACGCACCCGGTCTGCCGACTCTCGTCTTCGTCTTTCTACTACCGTGTCTCGCGGGCCGAGACCTCTATCTGCTTCTCCTGCTTGGAGCTCTCCTCATTCATCCGATTACCCCGCTACTTTACCCCCGACACCGCCAGAGGAAGACTTCCCCGTTGCGTGGAACCCCAAGTCCGAGATGTTGTTATTCGATGCCCACTCCCACCCGGGGCCGATGGCCATGATGGACCACACCCCGAGTGTCGACAACTCTTCCGCGGCTGGAACTTCTGATACATTCAGCAATCCGTCAGATGGGTTATCTCATAGGTCGTCGAGCTCAGGTGGCAGCCCTGGGCCCCGCGATGAAATGGACTGTCAGCAGGATATGGGCTCATGGCTGGAACAGGGCATCAACTTGACTGGTAAGTTCTGTTGGTTTGTTGACTCGAGATTCAACTTGCTGACTTGGGGTCTCAGTATCATCACTTGCTCTGTGCAAACCACGAGGCGAGGCTGTTAAAATCGTCTCCCAATCTCTTCCATATCCCAGGACATCCGATCAGGCTGTATCAGTACCGAAGACCGACAGTATCTTCAGCTCTATCGTCCAGGCCGTTCACAACCACTTGCAGCCCGGGCAATCACCATACATCAATGTCACCCACGCAGTACCGGAGCAATTCAGTCTCTCGAATTTGCCCCATTCTCCCCCTAGCACCCCTCGATCTCCCACCGCTGCCGAGGCGTACTTCAATGCAACGGTCTTCTCCAGTGCAGCGGTTGTGAGTGCTTACCATGATTACCGAGGACCCCTTCAACGGCAAATGTCCCACGCCCCGATCCCCATTGTCCCCCCTCACAGCGTTCACATCTCGGTTCTCGAGCGGTACCTCCCCCCACCCTCCGCACAAGAGTACCGTGATCTGTTCTGCCGCACCCGTCCATCCTTCCTCGTCGACCGCTTGAGTGAACTCTCACCGAACGGCGGCTCTCTCCTCTTCGTGTACCCCACCAAGAATGGTGCATCAACCTTCAAGTCCCAGTATCTGGGCCCGATCCTCGACCCTCTTCTGCGCCAACTCGTCGTGGTGAACGAGCTGTCCGCGGATGTCGGCCGCTACCTCGGCAAACTCTCCGCCGTCTCCCAAATGGATGATTTCGCCACCATGAAGGCCAACATTGCGGCACTGTGCGAATCCATGAGCGACAACGACTCCTCCCAATTCGAAATCGCCGACGCAGGCCGCGGCAGCACCCATCTCGACCGCAGTCTCTGGGCCGAGTGGTTCATCCAACAAGAGCGACCGCGCATGAAGGAGATTCTCAGTCTATACTGGCAGAACGGCCGCCGGACGACCAAGAACCTGGGCTCTGGCATGATGGGCAACAAGGAAGTTACATCTTCCGGCCTGCTGAGTGAGATCTGCGACGGCATCCGCAAACGACGCTATGGCGACGATAACGAGCCCCGTGATGGCATCGAGCTTGGAGTCTTTGTGATTCGTCGAACGAAATAGATCGCTCCTCTTCTCCCTACCTCTCCACCACTTTTCTCTTCTACGACCCCTCTTCTGACATAGCATATTTTAAACGACACAAAAGATGACATGGGGCCGGTGTTTTGGTTGCTATTATTACCTGTGGGAGTTTCTCACATGCATGACTTGCTAGTCCTTAGGGCTGGCGAACTTTTCGATGAACTATGAATAATACCCCTGGGCGATTGGGGTTATGAATTGTATTGTTATATAGAATACACTGGGAATACCTACCATTAAGAAAATCAATCTTCGTAAACTCGTAATAGCGTAGCTATATCTCAAGAAGCAACAAACCCAGCCAACTGCCCCGTAACATCCCCCTCCAAATCAACCTGCACATCCCCCCCAATAACCCCCCAAATAATACGACAAATCCCTCCCATCGAACTCCCTCGCATCAAACCCATCCCCCAGGAACTCAAACATATTCCCCTCATTCAAATACCGCAACTCGTAATGCTCGTACCTCGGCTTCGAAAGCAGATTCAGATACATCAACCGACTCCCGGGAAACATCGGCAACGGCCCATCCACCCGTCCCTGCTTGAACCAGCTACTGCAGCCAGATACCCACGCAGTTCTCTGTAAGAAGAGTTCTGCGTGCTCGATGAACTGCGCGATGGCTTCGGGTTTGGGTGTTAGGGACTTTATGCGGTCTGTTTGCATTTTTTGCAGAATTTGCATTATGTACCGTGACAGCGTTTCGATTAAAGGGAGGAAGGAGCCGTGCCCGAGGGGTCCGTAGGGGCCGCACATTGTGTAGTAGTTTGGCACTGATTTATTAATAGGGGATACTATGGGGAAAGAGTGAAGGAGTACATACTGTGTGGAGCTGCTACGGAGATGTATGAGGTTGGTCTTTCGCGCCAGAGATCGGCGAGAGTGTGGCCGTTTGCTCGGATTGGGAAGCGGGGGATCCAGGATGTGTCGAAGCTGGATTTGATTAGTTTGTAATGCATGGATATAGATGGAGGAGTGGTTTACCCTGTTGCGCAGATGATGATATCTACTTCATGTTCTTGTCCTTCGTGATCGATGAAGCCGGTTGGCGTTATGGACTTCATCAGCTGAGTGAAGACCGTTACGTTCTCCTGGGATAAGGCTTCTAGGAAACCGTTTCCGGGCTGCGAGGGTGCCAATTGCGTAAGATACGGAGTAGTAAGAGTGGATTGGAGTACGAACGGTTGGTCTTCGACATCCTACGTTGAAGTCTTTGGGGATGATTGCGTTCATTAACTCTTTATTGTTGGAGAGCTTTCGAGTCATTTCTTGTTGTGCGTACTGTCTTTGGTTAGTATTTTTGACTTGACTTGTGAGAGGACAGTCACCTCTTTAGCGGCTGTAGACTCAGGCGTATTCTTCAGAATAAACTTGAATCTCTGATTCAGCTCCGACTCAATCATCTTAGAATACTTGAGGTAGAGTTCCGGGTTCTCCTTGAAGATCTGTTTCTGCTCCGCAGAATCTGGACAGTATCAGCACTGTGCCACGGGTAGTGCAACGGAAGCAACAAGAGTAATCTTACAGTCGAAATTCCCACCCTCTTTAGACGCAAACCTCTGCGCAAACCCAGCTGTAATCCACGTAGGCGATCGAACCCAAGTATACAACTGCCCGACCTCGGACGCAATCTTCGCAATGATCTGAATCCCACTGCTGCCCGTGCCAATCACAGCAACCTTCTTACCCTTGAGCTCCAATCCCTCGGTGAAGTTGGCACTATGCTGAAGAATACCCTTGAACGAATGCAGACCAGGGATATCCGGCCACTTCCAATTACTGCCGGTTCATTAGAATTGCGCAACGCATATCCCCCGCGGGATGAATGGAAGAGAGAGGGAAAGGGGAAAAAGAACATACTTCAAAACACCACCACCGTTCACCAGCACATGACAAGTATCCGTAAACTCAACACCAGTCTCTTCATCCCGGATCCGAACATGCCAGATACCTTCCTTTGCATCCCAGTCCGCAGCAACGACACTATGTCTCAATTTGACATATTTCATCAGATCGTGTCTGTCGACCACGTCTTTGAAATACTTCCATATTTCCGGTGCTTCGGAGTAATATCGTGACCAATTAGGGTTCCGGTCCCAGGTGAACTGGTAACAGGCTGAAGGGATGTCGCAAGCGCAGCCGGGATACCTACAAGCGGCATTAGTTGCCATTGGATTAGGAGGTGATGCTGGGAAAGAGACGAAGAAAAGAGACAGAACAGACCTATTCTCAAGCCAGGTTCCGCCGATATCATGGTTTTTCTCGTAGACCTGTACCTCGATGTTTTGCAGCTCGTCCTTGGCGAACTTCGAAAAGCAGATACCTGATGCGCCGGCGCCGATGTGGATTACGCGTAGGGGGCGCAGAGTTCCGAAGTGCTCTTCTAGGATGCGGTAGCCTCTGTCGTTTTCCACTTGCCAGCCTTTGCTGTTGTATTTGGGGTCTGGGGCTGGGCGATTGGTGTTTGCTGGGAAGCCTTCGTTGGGTACCCCTGGAGACATGTTTGCAATGTTGTTGATTCAATGTTAATTGTGATATGTTATGGGTTATAGGTTTCTCTTGTGAGTAGGGCACGGTCGACAAATATAGGTTGTGCTTATAAATTCAGTAAGACTGTAGAGTTCAATGGATATGCGCAACCTAGGCACTGGGGTAGGAAGCTCAGTAATCCATTAGTACCATTACCCGGTGATGGGTAAGTTGAAGCGAAAGTCCCTAGAGCTAAGAAATGCGGGGAAGAGTGCCGCGGTTGGAAAGTGACCGAAGTCAAGAATATGTACTTCTGAGAAGATGTACAGAATTTCTACTAGTATCACTGTTGAGATCTGAGATTAAGACGCTCAGGATACCTGATCAGGACTTCACTGTACCTGCTCTACTCGAGAAGTTGAGCTGGTGTCCTATACCTACGGACTGGAAGTAGTCTACGGAATGGAATTAGTTGACATTGGTAGTTACCAGGTATCTTCATTGAGGATGTATGGTACCTTCTACTGAAGTCATTCTACGGAGTATAGCCGAGGGCATGGGAGTGACTCCAAGTGAGGGGAAAGATGAACTTAGGCCAACGCCAGTTCAGCGCTTTCAGCCGGTGACCCGAGCAAATAGAGACCAGCGAATGTTATGAGTACTGTCGGGGCATTATTATTTTCATGGAGATATTCGACTTTCGAGATACTATTGGAAGGGGAGTATATATGATTCATATCCCGCTGGGGAACTTTTGCATATCTTTTGCAGGCAGCAGGACAGAACCACATACAATTCTCCAATAACTTCCACCAAACTGAACAATATGTCAACCAAATACATTGATCGAGGTCCGATTGACTGCACCATTGCGGTGGACAGGAGTCGAGTCAAGGGAAAGACTGTTGTCATTACCGGTGGTAAGTTTGCACTGACACGCTCTTGGAATCACACCCATCCCTGATACTAAACGCGATATCTATCCCAGGAGCAAATGGCATCGGTGCAGAATATGTCAAGGCAATGGCAGAAGCCGGGTAATTGTTGGTCCAACAGCCAACGAGAGCAGAAAGGCTAATTTACATCTCAGAGCATACGTCGTAATTGGAGACCTCGATGAAACTCGCGCAGCAAAGCTAGCAGCGTCATATCCAGGGTATGAGTATCTGCCTGCATCTGGATCGAGCATCACACTAACAGACTATCCTTTGCCTATCTAGAAACGTTTGGTTCTCAAAATGCAACGTTACAAGCTGGGAAGAACAACTCGAGTTGTTCGAAAGCGCCATTAGAAAGTCGCCCACCCACAGAATCGATATTGTCGTGGCCAATGCAGGCATCAGTGGGCCAGACCCTGTCTTTCTGGACGATTGTAAGTGAATGTTTCCCACCTTATAGTCATGGCATCGTCAGCCATAGATGGTGACACGGACTGATTTGGAAATGCAGCGTCAGAGGAAAAGCCTCAGAAACCGGACCTCAAGATCCTCGATGTCAATTTCACTGGAGTAATGTACACCATCAGATTGGCACTGCATTACTTCAGAAAACAGTACAACGCTGCTGTCAATGAGGGAGTTGAAGCATCCAAGGATGAGCTTGACACATGTCTCGTACTCCAAGGAAGTCTTGCTGGCTTCATCGATCAGCCTGGTTCACCTCAGTATAATGGTTCAAAATTCGGCCTTCGGGGAGTTATGAGAAGTCTACGGAGGACTGTCTTGCAGCATGGCACGCGGATCAATTACATTGCCCCTTGGTATGTTGTCAACAAGTCTCACCCTCTAGTGAACTCTTGTTCACTAATCCTGGTGCTTCACTGGAGATGCCAGTGCTGATACTGTGCCACAGGTATATCAAAACAGACATTATTAGTGACTCGGTCTCCGAACGTTTGGTATCGAAGGGTGTCCAGTATGCAGAGATAGAAGATGCGGCCGAGTCTCTGATGAGGATTGCGTGTGACACGAGTGTCTGTGGTGGGTTTTTCTAGAACTTCCCGGGCGTTATGCAGTAACTTCGAGTGCTAACTGTCTTCAACTAGGCCGAGCGCTGGCAGTTGTACCACGCGTATGGGCGCCACAGGGATACTTGGACGTGGACCACGATGATTATCGAGGTGATGATATGTTTGTGGAGTGGCAGGAATTGGTGCTCAGGGCTAGCCATAGGCTTACAGGCCCACCGGTTAATGAATGAGACTTGGACAGTTGGATCTCAGATTTTCAATCAATCAATCAAAGTTCTACTAACTTTTTGGAGCCTAACGAGTATCATAATGACTATGCAGGCGCTTCTTCTCAGATTGTCTTTAGTCAACTGGACACTGCATTATCTCCAAATATGCTACATAAGTCTTGTGTACCAACAGTCCTAGTGGTAACCGTATAAATTCATCTCCTTTGCTTATCTCTTGACGTCTTCTCGAAGGTGTACAAATGCCTTTACCTCCGACTTCTGCGGGTACCCAGCCAGCTCGAACTAACAACCGATTAGCTCACTGCGACAACAGAAAAAGAGATTATGCATATAACATACCTTGAAGTGACTCACTAAGGAGGCAATCACCTTGAACATCTCCAATGCAACAACACTCTTCCCGATACAGGATCGAGAGCCTTGACCAAACGACAATTCAGCTCGATCCATCGCCCGTCTTCTCTCAGAATACTCATCACTGTTCTCATTCGGACCCTGCAACCACCTTTCTGGGTTATACTCATATGCATCTGGACCGAAGATAGTCGTGTCTCTATTGATCGTAGCAGACGGACAACCCACATATGCCGACCCAGGCAGACTGCAACCATTCGGAAGGACAAGGCCGTCTGGGTTCGTCACTCTCTGGAACGTCCCGGAAGTGGAGCTATGCAATCGATATGCTTCTCTGATAACGCCCTCCAAGTATGGCAGATTCTTGAGCTCGTCAAAAGTAGTGGGGCTTCCAGCTTGCTGTACTTCCGCGAACAACCTGTCCTGTGAGTTTGGATGGGTGACCAGGTAATAGCACAATTCGTTGAGAGTAGCAGCTGGACTGAACCCGCCGGCAATGAAATTCCCAGATGCGAAGATCATCACTTGCTGCTCGGTCATGGTCTCAGGATGTTGAAAGTGGGATGCGAGTAAGTGGGATAGGAAGTCTGGTCTCTCCTTGTCTTCCTCTTTGAACTCTTGCATGCGACCGCGGATGCGATCTCTAACTAAATCCATGAAGGCAGAGCGTTTGCGACTCCTAAGAAGAAAATTGTCACTGAAGATCTTATGCAACCATGGCATCTGGGAGACGAGGGTGGTGTAGTCTCTGAAATATTTGATCCTTTGGATCAGACCTAGTGAATCTTTTCCTTCAAGAAAGCCGAGAGAATACCCGAACGTGAGGATTGAGATCACATCGAAACAGTCTATGGATGGATCAACACATGCCGCAGCGTTAATGACTTCGCTGTGAACTTACAGTAATGACACCATACACTGAAATTGATCGGCTCTTTGCGTTCAGCATGTTCTCGACACACTTCCACAAATCGAGCCACCGTCTGATCCACATACGGCTCGTACCCTTTGATTGAGCTCATGGAGTAGGCATTCGAGACGAGCTTTCGGTACTTGGCATGTACGTGTTCCTCCGGTATACTGAGCAGACTGGTGGTCACGTTGGGTTGGCGGAAGGGAATATAAGATGGACTCTACTCGCAGACAGGCATTTAGCACGTCCCGACCCCAACTGCTTCAAATTGTCTGCGTACCTTGGCAAGATGGGACCGAACGCCATATATTGTTGGCACAGCGGATGGGTCCAGGACAGTGACGGAATTGGGACCTGTCCGTATAACGCTGCCGTACTTTGCTTGAAGCTTGCGATAGGAGGAAGGGCCGGTCCCGTTGTGGAGTGTTGACCAGGCGAGCCATAAGTTCCATGCGTCTGTATAGCGTGCGAGGAAGGGGCCGGGGATATGAGAGAGGCCTGATTTTCTGCTATTGTAGATGGTAACTGCGAGCAGGAGGATGCAAACGAATAGGGAAATGATTGTCCATTGAAACCAAGACATTGCGGTGGGAGGATTCAGGTATGATTGTCGTTTTTCTTCTTATATAGTTCGTTGACAGTTTTCCTCTTGCTTATTACAGATGGATGGACAAAGTCAGGAATACAACCATTTATATCCAAGACAGCCTCCATGGTAATGAAAAGAGGGGGCGAATCGTTTTGACTGCCAGGCTAATATTCAAACCGAGGCGAGTACGCAAAGTCTCTACAGAAGATCTATAGCTCAGATACGCGATGACCGGTCTAGGATGGAATTCATTCCGGCGTGAACGTGGTCTGCTACACACAGAGCGCCAAAGCTGTACGAGAATGGCCAAAGTATTCGGACACTTTCCGCTATATCGGTCTATATAGAGCATTGATTCGACTGAATACGCTTGGGCCTTTCATTTACTGAAACTCAGTATTCCCCCGCAAAAGCCGAGGGTAGTCACTCTTCTATTCGGGATGACTGCCCAGAAGTGGGCAGTGCATCCTCTATTGGCTTTAGACAATGGAGGATTATAAGCAGATGGCTTCGTAGCTACCCAAGGACAATAGGAAGAGCACTCAGAGCGGTTTGATTCCGTGCCTGAATCATTGGATCCCTGCATATGAAGTCACGAGGTCTTCTATATTGAGAGCTGGATCCTCAGGTTGCTGATTGAAGTGATATTGTGCTTCTACAATGGGTATAAGCCATGTCATAAAGGGAATGTAGCATATAGGGGTTGTGTTTACCGAGATGTAGGTCAAGCTGCGAATGAATGCACACCCAGAGTATAGGCTCCACCATGGTCTCGAATCCATAGCAGCAGGCAATAGACTCATAGAGGACGCGTCAATAGGATTCATTGATCATTGTTCTATTGTTCTATTCATCTTGTTCCCCTATTCAAGTCACATGTCTGTTGAGGTTTTCTGTCTAACACTGGTGTTAGTGGTGTACCATATTTGCCTCTGCTCTGGCCTATAAAAGACGTACCTGTTTTCATCAGACAGTTTTCCTCTCTTCACCCGTCTTACGGCGTCTTTCTCGACAAATCAATATTCCGTTTTCGAAGCTCCTTGCTATTCTCAAAGTCAACGTGCAAGTACTCTGTAGTCTGTACGCAGAAATGGCAGGATTCCCCTTCTTGGCTACGACCCGGTCAAACTTTCTTCCGTCATCTACCGTGACCCACCCCTCTGTCTCTCTTCATCACCAACCCACGCAATCTACCATTATCGAACAACACTCACCACGCACAATGTCGTATGCGAACCCGCCCCTAAGCCCCAGCGGCGGGCCTGGTGGCGCACCCTCAAAACGCGACAAGCGACGCACCGCGCTCCAGGAGCGACTACAGGAACTGACAGGGCAGTTCAGCAACAACCGGGACATCCAGTTCCGACAGCAGTTACATGCACTCCAATGTGATATGACCCTGATCAACAATGCCGATCCTTATACCACGGGCCCGCTGCCGGATAGCGCGGGAGAGCATCGCTGCGCTGATCGAGGAGACGGTCGGTGGCGGCAGCAAGTTCGCAAAGGAAATGGCCGGCCTTGCTGGCACCTGGTATTCCAGGTTTGTGCAGCAGATCAATGAGATCAAGGAGAACCGAGATGCGGAGTTGGTCTCAACCATGGTAAGTTGGCTCATCTTCGCGCGTGTCTGGAGCTTCCGCTAACCAGTTGTCTTCTCATGCAGAATCGCTACAACAACACCATGGAACGGAACCGGCGAGACCGGAATTTCCGGGTCCACCAGGCACAAGAAGAGTTCAAGCATCTATCCAGCACCCTCCGAGAGCGATTGATGCAGGTTATCTCAGGCAAGCGCGCTCGCCTGATGCGCGAAAAGGAGCAGCTCGACATCGCCGATACCAATGCTTTGCTCCTCCACCCTAACCAGTTCAGTATCACAAACCCTGCCAGCCCCGGCGGAATTCACAGCAACCGCAAGACCAGACATACTCGGCATCGCGTTGAACTCGAAGACCTGGGCAACGGCGTGGTCACGGAGCTCAAGCGCAAGCGTAAAGCTCCCGAGGAGGACACTGGATCTCCCGCGCGGGACGCGGGAGATGCCACTCCTGCCAAGCGCCAAAAGGACCCTCTCAAGGAGCAGATGGCCCCCACATACACAATCCATTCCCTGTTCACCGACAAAGAGCTCCAGGCGCACGCTAACCAGGCGCACATTGCGACTGTCCACTTCTTTTCTACCTCCAAGCGTCCGGACCATGGATCTGGCGCTGTCACCAATGGCAACAATACCGACGCCGATGATACTCCGGAGGGCACGGCCCGCGAAGACAACGGCACCCCGAGTGCAACCGACATGATGCGCACCGCCAGCCACAACTTCCACGCCACCCGTTCTACCCGCACCACCGCCGCGCACAGTGCTCTAAGCGCCCTTGCGGACCTGGCTGATAAGCCTGCCACCCGCCCTATAGTCCCATACCATGTCCTCACAAACCACCACGCGCGACCCAACGGCAGCGCACCCCCACTGACATCATTGATGAACGAGGAAGTTGATGACGACTTGGCTCGCATCGCACGTCTTGCCAGCGCCAAACCGCGGGGTTGGATCGATAGATCTCTTATTGAACTCGTGGTTACGCCGTTTCCTTATCCCGCGGAGACGCCCGAGGGCAAGCCGGCTAATCCTGACATTTTCAGCCAGCTCCACCCCGACTTCCCCCCTCACATGGGCATTCACTGGACTCCTACCGTTCCCAACCCTGGGTTCGAGATGTTCCAGCCAGAGGCCTTGGCGCTGGAGCGGGACCGGAGTCGCAGACGTGCCCGCAACCACTAAGGGATCATGAGGACTCGGATGTACGTTTACATGGGATTGGCACGGTGTTGGCCTGCGAGGTCACCTGGAGTACCCTTTTTTTGTCATATTAGCTGAGCTATGGGGGATGGATAAGGTGTTATGGTCTTTTTTTTGTTCTTTTTTATCTTTACTTGTTTCATGTTCTCCCAGCCTGTTCGGCGTTGGGAACATACATACTACTAGTACTTTGCTTAACTCTCTCAATAGCTGTTTATCTTTATCTTCAAGGACAATTACATCGATACTTTCTTTACAGTATGATGCTACTTCGTGGTGAATTACTCAAAAGGGTTTAGCGTGCCGTTTCAGGTTTAGCGCTCTCCATGCGCGTTACTATCGCTGCGCGTGTTTCAATAGTCCCTTCGACGCCGACGCCGCTTCAACTTCGAACTGCTTTTCGCCCCTCGGCTTTTCCAAACATCTAGGGTGAGGGTGTTGGCAGTCATGGACATGATTGATGGTGACCGCATCCTCTAGCAACCGAGGAAGACGGCATCGGACTCGTCCGCGTACATGAACGGCCAGCCGCCAGACTGTCTCAGCCGCTAGTGAATAGCTTGCAGATAGCAGCTAGGTTCTAGGCATATACCTATAGCTACACGTCAACAAAGCGCCAACTCCAGCAGTATTGCCCTTGGAGCGAGGGTAGCTGGACTGCTAATCTGGAGAATGGTAGTTCCGTTTCGAATCAGTCCATTCGAATCAGTCCGCCAAATTGCTATAATTCCTTTCCACTGGCACAATTTTGCGCTCTCGGTGGGAGTGATTGGGGACACTCCCCAAATATCCTGCAATGAAGTTGTTTCGCCAGAATCTCAGTAAATCTCTCCGGTTTCTGAGTTTGAAATCCAGCAGGTCATTATCTTCTCCTGCTGCGACCCGCACTTCCCCTATGGAGGAGGAACTGGGCCAAGGTTACGACCCTGGAAAATATTATCCAGCCCGGATAGGAGAGACTATTGACAAATATCTTGTCATTTCTAAACTCGGATGGGGCGCTAATTCTACCGCTTGGCTGGCAAAAGATACATCTCGGTACGGATAAGTTGAGTAACTCCGTTCACGAAGCATTCCTTAACACCGCCAAGCTGGGCCCGGCAGTCGACCAGATATGTGACCCTGAAAATCACGAACTCCGGTGACGCGGCCAACAAAGCCGCGGAAGACGAACTAGAAATATCGAACCATATTTCTGGGCTGGGGTCGGAACACCAAGGTCTTCGATATATCAGGCTGGTCAAAGAGTCATTTCGAATGCGAGGAATGTCTGGAGACCATATCTGTTTGGTTTTCGAGCCTTTAAGGGAGCCGCTTTGGCTCCTAGGAAGACACCTTGGGAGCGCTGGTGTACCTCCAAAGGTTCTCAAGGCTTTCTTGAAGATTTTACTGCTAGGCCTAGATTTCCTGCATTCTGAGTGTCATGTCATACACACAGGTAAGCTATTGTTCCTTTGTTTAGCTAAAGTGTCTTTATCCTCTAACTGAATCGCAGACTTGAAAGCCGATAACTTTCTTATCGTCTTCGAAGATGCTGTTGTCCTTAAAAGTTACGTCAACCAGCAAGAGCGTGACCCTGCTCCACATGTGTTTCGGAATGGACGCCCTGTGTTTGAGTCTAGGCCTGACTTTGGTCCACTACGAAGAGGAGTTGGCTCGCTGAGGATTTGTGACTTCAGTGCTGCTGTCTTCGACACGTGCCATCACTGCATAACCATGAGATCCAACCCCAACCATTCTGCGCCCCTGAAGTCCTTCTAAGGGCTGGTTGGACGTATAGTGCAAATATATGGAACCTTGGGACTATGGTAAGTCGCATATGATTTCTATTATGTGTCATCCATACTCAAACTACCTACAGCTTTGGGAACTTCTCGCTGAGACAACTCTTTTTGACGGCATATGCCCTGATAGCGCACTTTATTCCCGTGAGGCGCATATAGCCCAGATGATAAGGCTTTTGGGTCCACCGCCTCCACAGCTTCTGTCCAAATGTGACCCAGGTATACATGACAACTTATTCTCATCTCAAGGTACGTCTCATATATCGAAAAGGTACACGAGACGCTAACCTTGACGCGTCTAGGCACCTTCAAGTTCCCTCACTTGGTTCCATCTGAGGATTACAATCTTTCAAATTTGACGCCCTTCCTAGACGGAGAAGATAAACGACTGTTCATTGAATTTGTCCTTAGAATGCTTCAATGGGAACCGGAGCGTCGATCAAGTGCAAAGCAGCTCTTCGATGATCCTTGGCTTAGTTACAACTATCCTTAACAAAAAGGACTTCCCGAATGAGTTACAAAGTCATGCATGTGTTATCATACTGTTCGGACGATGTTCATGTACCCCCTGGTCTGTGAAAGTCAGGACTTTTGACGCGATTACTGGCGTATTGAAATAGCACGTTCTTATTGGCTAGGCGCGGTAATGTTACTGAAAAGTCCTGACTTTAACGACCTCAGCAACTACCAGCTAGTCCCAATTAGGCAATAGAACCATAAAAATGGGGCATCCGACCTTTGGCCGTGCCCTTCGTACCGGGTAAGTGTTTGACGTTGGGAACATGCAAATTGTACTTTATTTAGCTCTCTCAAATGCTTGTTTAGCTTTACCTTCAAGGGTAATCTGCTAGATGCTTCCTTTAGTGTGACGTTGAGAATCCTACTTTGATTATCAATCTACGAAGATAATAAGCTCGGCCCGTACTCGGCCCGGAGATAACGCGGCACGGCACTGCGAGCACGTCATACCTACCATCAGCACTTGCATGCTATGGATGCTACTCGTATAGCTTCGTGTAATTGCTAATCCTCCAGATGACAAATCTACTAATGACGGGTTCAGGTCTATGCCTGCTCACTAATCGAGTTAAGCATCGAGCTAAGCATCGAGTCAAGCATCTATAAGAACCGCCCTGTGCTCACTGTTCTACCTCCATCTACAACAACATCAAGACATCAACAGAGCATCGAGCATATCGAACGTATCAATCGCAAACATGACTACCACCATTGCAACTACCAGCGAAGATACTTCTTCACCAAGCTACATCCCCCGGGGCACAGCTACCGCCAAACTCACCTTCTACGCCCCGCCTCCGGACAACTCTGCACCATACAACTACGTCGACCCGCAGCCCGGCATTGCGCAACGCAACTACCTCGAGCCCGAGCAGACCGTCCAAATCACGGACATCCGCAACAAGGAAGACAACTTCAACCTCGACAAAGACGCTTTCCAAGTCCTCCAACGCGTCCCCACAAAGACAACCTACACAACCTTCGAGTCTGACGCCTCCGTCCGAAAAATCTATTACCCAGAAGTCGAGTCCCTCCTTCTCTCCGCCCTTCCAGGCGCCCAGAAGGTCATCCTCTTCGACCACACCATCCGGCGCCAAAAGGACGGCGCCCCACGCCAGCCGGTCAACCGCGCCCACGTCGACCAAACGCGCCGCGCAGCAATCGCCCGCGTCCGCAAACATGTCTCCGACCCTGCTGAAGCAGAGGAGCTGCTGAAAGGCCGGTACCGGATTGTGAATGTGTGGCGCCCACTGAAGGGACCGGTGCAGTCTATGCCGTTGGCGTTTGCGTCGGCGACGTCCGTGGATGATAAGGATCTGGTGCCTATTGAGCATCGGTATCCTGATCGCAATGGGGAGACGATGGGGGTGCAGTTCAACGAGGGTCAGAAGTGGCATTATTGGTCTGGCATGATGGAGGATGAGAGGATCTTGCTTAAGTGCTCTGATTCCGAGGCTTCTGGCACGTCTGGCAATGGACTTGCGCAGTGGGTGCCGCATACGGCGTTTTGGGATCCCAGAACACCTGCTGGGGCGAAGGGTAGGGAGAGTATTGAGGTGAGGGCTCTGGTTTTTGGCTGATTGGGTTTTGAAAGACCGATGAGAGTTGCAGGTGGATTGGGGATGTTCGAGTTAGGGCTAGCTTTGCATCATTATGACAGTTCCGGAATTAATAACCGTTTTGCTTTTATTACGTGCAGATCTCACATAGGGATATCTTCAAATGACAAACTAGCGTAAATGATATACTCATACCTATACTTCGACACGAGCATCAACCCATTCTCCAGCTTCATGCTCCGGCGCGCCCACGCCATCCACTCCATCCATCATCCCACCCACCTCCCTAGCGCACACCAACACCCAATGACAACAACCCCTCGACCAAAGACCCAATGCCCCAACCACTTCCTAGGAGGCAACATTCACCCATCCCTCCAAACCTTCACCTCATCCGCCGCAACCCCAATAGCCCATAGCCGCATCCTCCCCGCCATAAAACACGACCACCTAGAACTGGAAGCCCACAGCCAAAAGATCCTGCACTCCACCAACAAAGACGAAAAGACTCGCTACAGAAACCAATTCACCTGGGAACTAGCCCGCCACCTCATCGGCGAAGAACTAGTCGTCTACTCAGCCCTGGTCTCCGCCCTCGCCGACGGACAACAGATCGCAGACCGCAACCGTATCGAGCACCAGGGCATCAAGCAGCAGCTGAAGACGTTCCAGGATCTGTCGTCGACGGATCCGCAGTTCTTGCCGACTTTGAGGGGGCTGATGCGGGATTTGGGGGATCATGTTAGACATGAGGAGGATGTGGAGTTGCCGAGGTTGGAGGAGGTGTTGAGTAAAGAGGAGAGTGTTGAGTTGACGAGACATTTGGATCGAATGAAGATTTTTGTGCCTTCGAGGTCGCATCCGTTGGCGCCGACGGAGCCTTTCTTTGAGACGGCTGTCGGGTTGTTGACGGCGCCCATTGATCATGTTGCGGATTTGTTTCGGAAGTGGCCTGATGGGAAGAAGAAGAAGAAGGGGTAGTGGTTACATTGGCGATGGGGTTATAGATCAGGTACTGTCGTGGCTGGTGTTGGATCTACTTGCAGTCGAACAGTTCTACCAACTGGCCAGTGACAACTATGCCCTTTGAACAGTCTACACAAGAGTACAACTTCCAGAAAAGACATGACCATTATGATTACCTACTATCTTTTTCAACGGATATAAAAGAAAGCCTTATTCTCGCCCCTTATCCCTCAACAGCCACCGCCGTCGATCCCGTCACGCCCAACCTCTGCCCTGACCCATACCGCGGCAAGCGTGGACGCAATCTCCCCAGTCGATTTCCAGTTTCGACAGCAGACTGCTGCGCTTCATCATCAGTCGACGAAGATCTTCGGCGCTTCCACGCCTTACGGAACTGGTACTGTTCCTCATCTTGCTGTCGATGTCGCATAGACAAGAACCCTTCATGGGCTTCCTTTTCCTCACTGAGAGCCTGTACCTAAAAGGACAAACAAAATTAGTACCAGCAATCACTTTTGTCTTGATCATAATTTTCCCAAGTCGCGGACGTTATACCGAAATCAACTGCATGATACAATAGATTGTCCTAACCAAAACCACAAAAGGAAACCACAAAAAGAAACACATACATAAGATAACCAAACCTCCTGCTCAGAACTCCAAGCCTTCTGACACCTCCCCAACTGCCTCTGCGCACGCACAAGCTCAACCTCCTGCTCCTCCGTCCACCTCGCCCCACTACGAACAATACTCGCCCACCCAACCGCGCGAACAATCCGGGCCCGGCTTCGGCGCGCCTGATTGGAAGACTCCGCCTGGCACTCGGAGCTTGAATCCGAGTCTGCGGGTATGGTATTGTCCGTGATGGATGTCGCTGATTGGGGAGTGTCGTTGTGCTCGGGTGCGTCGCTCTTCACCGCTATCTGCACAACGTCACGATGCATGACTGATTGATTCCAGTTTGCTTCGGGGCCTGGGCCTGGGCTTAGGGGGTGATTCTTTTCGTTGAGGATTTCCTGGATTTGTAGTTCTGGGGCTTTGCCTTTTAGACTTGTTCTTCGGCGCCAGGGGAGGGAGAGTGGTGGTAGGGCTCGATGGACGATTGTTAGGACGGACATGGTTGGGACCATTTGCCTTGACTCTTGACTCTTTTGGAAGAATGAAGAAAGAAGAAAGAAGAAAGGAGAAAGGGGGAAAAGAGTCGTAGTATAGGACTTGACTTATTACTTTGAAGAACTTCCGAGTTCTATGTCTCCTCCTCACCCCTGCCTTATAAATGTCCGGTTCGCTTCAGGCGGTACTTCGGATCCATAGCCAGGCTTGACGCCCAAGGACGAAAACGCGTGCAGGGACAATCTCGCACGGAAGTCGGGGATGCGAGGCTCCCCGGCTTCTGCTTGGCTGGCCACGCGAGAGTATTCAATCGTGCAGGAGGCGTGGGTTTGTCTTGGTTGGCCTAGATGCCGGAGGACTGCATACACTTGCAGGCCCTGGTCGGGACTTCAATGAATATACGTAATTCTTGTTTGTGCTTGTGTATCTTTGACGGTTCGAGGGGAGATGGTCGTACGGGTGTTTCAGTATTAGCTTCGTCAAGGGAGAAATATGAATGTTTTCTTTAGAATTGTAGGAGTAGTGAATAGTTATACGGAGCTGGACTGGATTCCTGGTTGATCCCGACTCTTGCGTCTGACGCATCGAATTGCCACTCGATCAGATATTCGGAGGAATAAGGGATCGTAGTGCAGGGGACCTCTGTGGTTGGCTGGATGCCCAGGGTGTTCGCAGTTGAAACACAAGGATTCCCTTCCGGGATTTGGTACTTTCGAGTCGGGGCTCTGGAATAAGAAGTCTTGTTCATGTCAAACTAACGAGCCCAGCCCTATACTCCTCCTCGGCAGCCTAATACTGCACACAAGCCTGACCAGAACCGTAAGGGAATCAGAAGAAATAGACATATTAAAACAAAGCCCATGCCAAATGCTGATAGGATATCCAAATGCAAAGAAAAAAAGAATGGGCTAAAAAGAAATGCTGTATGCTGAGACGTTTATCGCCATGTATCCACAGAAGTCCCCCGGTTGGCCTTGGCCTTTCGTTCCTCTCGGATCTGCTCGCCAATAATGATGCTAATGAGTCTCCGATGTAAATAAGCTTCTGTCCAATCGATCTTCCCACTGCCACCATATTGGACATCAGCCCGAGAAAGCTCCTGCGCAAAGCGATCAATGATGGCAAATTGAATCTCGGTGATGGGGACCCCGTGATGACCATCAGACGTCCATATCCAATCACCAATAATGGCTGCCCGCCCTGGGGAGTCGCGGTATTCAAACTGCTCAGGGTGTCGCTTGGCAATTCGGTAGATGCGCCGAAGCGCGGCGTAATGCTCGTTGGAGAAGTATCCGAAGAGGGCAAGTGGTCTGGGCCCACGAGGCACTCCAGCCTGATCATTCACTGGCTCCGCATCGTTGGTTTCTGAGAGGTCATGGGAGACATTCCGCTCAGAAACCGACTGCTCCTCTACGGAGCGGTCTCGAGACACGCTTCTCTCCTGAATTGGCTCTTCCTCCTCCGTTGAAGGAAGGGGATCTTGCTGCATCTCGGGAGACATAGACTGTTGCCAATGATGCGCAAGTGATTGGCTCGCTTCCTTTGATCGTGGTTCATCTTCAAGATGACCGTGAAGCTCCTTTGCAGATTCAATATCGTCCAATTCTCCTTCGTCTTCAAAGTCAGATGGCTCTTCCGGAACAGTACTGACACTTGAGCTGCGCTCACGCGTGGGGGCTTTCAGCCATTGCGGGGTGAAACTGGTTATTTTGTGGAACCATGATGACCCTGGCTCCTTATGGGGCTGACGAGGCACTGGAGTGGAGGCGGACTCCCGGTTGGCTGACTCCGGTCGACTGTGCCCACCAGAAGCGTAACTGTGGTCGGGCTCTTCTTCGAATGTTTCTTCCACAAACGGGCTTCTTTGCATTTGCTTTGGGGATCTCATCCCACCTAGCTTGGCAAACTGTGGGCTGGCGACCTTTGGACTGGTAACGTTTGCGCCGGAAGTATCAGGGCTGGACTGGGAAAGAGGCTGCAGACGAACACGCGCTGGAGTACGCGACACCGGCCCTTTCAGCATCGAATTGTTGGCCGATGAGCGCTGGCTCGTAGATGGGCGGCTTAACACACTCCGAGGCGTACTCGTTCCATTGAAATACCGTGCGCGATTTGGTGTGTCCTCTTCCGCGAGCAAAGCAGACAAATCCACTTTTTGTTCCCGGAGCTCGCGAACTTTGGACGGTCCGAACTGTGCCACATACTCAGGCTCTGAAGCAACATAAGGAGAAGAGCTCAGGGCATCTCCATCTGTGGAACGTGCAGAATAATTGCCCAGAGTAGCGCTCGGCTGTGGGGGTGACTGGATGTCGTCTTCCTCACGATGTTGTGAGACATGGCTGTGATCATTGGCCTCGAGCTGCCATATGTCATCATAGCCATCGTCCGCATCCTCATCCTCCAAGGTGGCGGGCACAGGCTCGGTCGTATCGGCTTGAGCCACATATGGCGTCTGCTCTGGCCCATGCTCATGCCCGTCCTCATAGAAGTCTTCGGCAGATGCAATCTCCCTTTCAGGTTCAGCGTGATCATCACGGTGATGTCCCATCTGATTATAATCCGCGGGCTCGTTTTCATCACTATCAATGTAGACAACGGATCGCGAATGCGAAGCCATCTGCGCCTCACGGCTAACGGCTTCACGATCTAGCTGCCACTGTGCCTCCTGTTCCTTCTGATGTGACATCGGACTTTGCTGTTCCAGATGATTGGGCCTAGAACGCGACAGTTGGGGATAGTCTTCTTCCTCTCCCATATCGTCCCTGAAGGGCTGATTCTGGTTCTCCTCCAAATCCTCGTCAATGAATTCATCATCATGAGCTTTTGCTTGGTCTCGTTGTTCGGCTTGGAAGCGTGCCCTTTCAAGCCGAAATGCTTCGCGCTCTGCTTCCACGGCCGCGGCCTGTTCTTGTTCGGCTTCGATGCGTTTTCTCTCCAGACGAGAAGCTTCGCGCTCTGCTGCCCTAGCCGCGGCTTCCTCTTGTTCGGCTTCGAGGCGTTTCCTCTCACGACGAGATGCTTCACGCTCTGCTGCCCGAGCCGCGGCTTCTTCTTCTTCGGCTTCGATGCGCTTCCTCTCCAGGCGAGATGCTTCACGCTCCGCTGCCCGAGCCGCGGCCTCTTCTTCTTCAGCTTCGAGGCGTTTCCTCTCACGACGGGATGCTTCATGCTCCGCTGCCCGCTCCGCTGCCAGAACCGCGGCCTCTTCTTCTTCAGCTTCGAGGCGTTTCCTCTCAAGACGAGAAGCTTCCCGCTCCGCTGCCAGAGCCGCGGCCTCTTCTTCTTCAGCGACCATCCGCCGCATAGCAAGCTCCTGACCTAGCCCCATAGCAGCTCGTAATTCTCGCTGCGTGTCACGGTCGAACGTGCTAAAAAGTCTCTCCAGGCGACGTCGTTTGCGACCGGCATTTGTATTGCCTGACCATTCGTCTTCTTGTGGTCGGAAAGGACCCTGCAGGGCGAGGCCAAGACGAACAAGCTTAGCCAGACTCGTAAAGGTCCTTTTCTTGGGGTGAATTGGTGACTTGATAGAGGACGATGCGGCAGGAAGCTCAGGGTATTCGATTTCATTCACATAGTTCACAGATTGTATCGCAGGTGAATTTTCAATGTGACTATCTGGAACATGAATGCTAGGTTTTCCGTATGATCCAGGACCCAGACCTGTTGTGACCGGGCTGGATGATTTTTGAGCACGGGAATCGCTTCGAAGGTCTTCTATAGTCCCCGGAAGCTTGCGTTTCAGCCGTTCTCCGACTTCCTTTGGCTTTGAACTGCCGTTGGTCATGGCGCTGGAGCCAAATCCATGCTGCTTGGCTGACGGAAGTGTATCGAGGGAAATCATAGTGAACCCTTCACTTTCCATGATAGTATCGAATTCTTCGTGGTCATCATCGTCAGCTTCAACATCGTGGCCCTCGGCATGTTGAGTATCGGTCTCCGTATTCAGACTCGCGCCAGGTTGTCGGGCTTGGTTTTCTTCCTCGGCCAGCGAGGAAGTTGGGGTTGGAGTCGGATATGTGCGTGATTGTGGGCTAGTCCCGTTGTGAGAAGCTCTCGATGACAAGATTGATCTTGATCTCTCTCGCGTAGGTGATGGCATCTTAGAAGGAGTAGAGTGAATGTTTTCGTCCAAAAAGTGATGTTCAGTAGCTCCAATCACGGGTGTGTCTAAGCTGGTTCGGCCGTATTCAGGGCGAGCATTGTTGACCTTCTCTGTGATGGGCTCTGTTGGATCACGAAGGTCCGCAATGGACATTTCAGAGTTTCCCCAGGAGTCGCTATCTTCAGAGCCCCCATCTCCTACGAGATCAAGCGGACTAGCGTGTGCATTGCTCCCAGCAAAAGAGTCTGTTGGGCTAAACTGTTCTCGTTCTGGGCTCCGGTCACTGGTGATTGGGTCCCCTGGGCTGAATTGGTCGCGCCCCATGCCAGCCTCACTTGCCGTAGTGTCCATAGGACTATATTGGGGTTGATGTAGACCAGTTTCGCTGAACCTGGCGTCCATCGGACTTGAATGTTGTGTTGGGCGGACATCACTGTTGGGAACGATATCCATCGGACTAAAGGGTTGGCCATATTCCACGGTCGGCGTTTCTTGGTCTTCCAACAGTTCGAAATCCTGTTGTCTGGGTATGGGCGTGCCGCGCTGTCGGCCTCTCCTGCCTGGCTGCGAGTTGACAGTTCGTGGCCCAGGAGTATGTCCCGGTCCAGGTGTATGTCCCGGCCCAGGCGTATTGCCCGGGCCCCCAGGAAACGGGGACATATCCATGTCCGACTTCCGTGGACGCCCTCGCCGCTTCACTGGTGTCTTCTCTTTCAATGGGCTCCGCTCATCCTTTAATGGTACCATCACTGTCGTCGTCGAGGGTTTTAATCGCTTGCGCGACGGGCTACCCCGGTTCTCATCCTCGTCCTGTGTTGCCTCGAGCGTGAGTCGAATGCGCCATGGGCTCACATTTCCCTCCTGCTGTAGTTTCTCCGGAGAGAGCGATCTCTGCCGACCACCATTAAGTTTCATTGTCGGCGATCCAGGAAGTATCACATCGTTGAATTGAATTGAATGTGCGCTTTTCGCGGGACTGAGACTGACGCGCGATCGCGGTCGCGGTCGCTTGGCCGGAGTTCGTGCTTTGCCAACCATAGGAGACATCCAGCTTTGGCGCCCGGCAAAAGGTTTAATCGGTGATGAGATCAAATATTCGGCATCGCCTGGGGGACCCAGGATATCGGGGGAGGAGCTCTGGTTGCGCGACGAGGTGGACATGGTGAACTCATGTGGTGGAATCTCGGGAGGTACGCGTACCGCCTAAGGGGTGAGCGCACTCTGAGGAATGCGATGAGACCCCAAAAAGGACAGCCAGCCCTTGTAGTTATTCGACAATCTTCTGATAGAGAAATTAAGAGAGAAAACGCGGGGCAAGCATAAACAAGTCTCCCAATGCGGTACGAAAGAGCGGAGTGCTCGTGGTTATGTAAGCGGTTTTCCACGGACTGCTCTAATTCGCCAAGATTCTGGGACGAGGTCCAACTTTCTCTTTGTTCATACATTTGTTTACTGGTCGTCGGAGATATTTGCACCGACTTGAAGCTGAGACTTTCGCTTTGAGTTTGGGTTGTATCCTCGGTTTGCTATCGACTCGGCTCTACAGGTCTGCCACAGCGTCCATAGTGGGCATTTGCGTCAGTCACAAGCTTCGACAACTACGGGGTAGACGCATACAATCCATGACCATCTGCACGTCTTCCCGGTGAAACGTCGTTCTATCCGAGAAACCTAAGATACTCGGATGGGTCCACTTTCAGTCTCGGATGGCCAATTGAGAGCAAAGGAGAATGCAGCATGGTTGCACGAGAAACAAGAGGTGAAGACGAGAAATGGTTGTCTCCATTGGACAATTCTGGTGAGCGTCGAAGACAGGACAAGGTAGAATACGCGTATAGTTCCGAAGCACAATCACAATCCACCCCCTGAGCTCCGTACTATCTTCATAGTCGGGTATGCCAGAGCTACCCGACTTGAGTAGCACTCATACAAGATTTGCCGGTTCTATGCGGCACTCATTGCGACTCCTTGATGTTCCTGATTTCTGAAGAGTGGATTGTCATGTCAGTAGCAAATCCTTCAATCATTTTCAGCGATTGGCCGTTACATACCGGCGTGTACTGCCCGCCATCCTTCCTCAAGACGCTCGTCTTTCCACTCAAATGAGAGACCATCAGGCACTGATGCCCCATGGATGTTCCAAATTATCCGAGACGCTCGGTTGTCTGGATAGACTTCGAAGCGTATCTTATAGTACGAAGGATCTGCGACATCATATCTTCCTGCTTTCTGAATTTCGTCAAAGGACAAGCTCCACTCGAACACATGGTCATGGTGGTGACGAAGATTGTAACTCTGAGTCTGTCGGCCTTGGAAATATATCATGAGGCTGCTCTCCGAAGTCGGGTTCAAAGCAATCTCCAGCATAAAATCATACTTCTCGTTGAAGTACTTGCCGATGTAGCACTCAAGCGGCACTAGTGATGCTCCTTGGACTCGCTCTTCGGCCAACTTATCATGAACTTTATTGAATCGGTCAAGCCGTCGTCTTCTGCCTTCCTCTGCCAGCTTCGTATAATCTGTGGGATTTGCAAAGCCAAACAGGCCCTCGACTAGACTTCGCGCGATCCAATCAGCAGCATCGCTAACCGCACTGGTGTTCATGAGGACTACCACAGCCGACTGAGTCTCTGGAAAGATAGCAAGGAAAGAGGAGTAACCTGGGCCTCCACCTTGGTGGTAGACCATGAGCCGAGACTGATTCCCAGCTCCAAGGACAGGCTGTTCAGATATTTCCCAGAGTTTCGAATTACCACCAAGAAGTCCGACAACACCAGGGAGCTGAGCTCTCGCCCAACCAAATCCGTAAGACCTTTCCAAAAGTGATGGGTTCTCCATTGCAACATGATTGCTCAGGATCTGCGGAATCTGTTTCAAAACTGCGTTGACGGATCCCTCGATGTTCTGACTAGCCGCTAACGTTGCTTTAGCCAATCTAAGAAGATCATTGACTGTCGAGTATGCCGCGCGAGAGGCTTCAAATGCTGATCCCCCAAAGCTTGGCTGGAATCCCAATGGGTACGCCTCCCCATTACTGAGCGAATAATGCGGGTCAGCCATATTATCGTTCCCTTCAAATAACGGGCGTAGCGTGGTCGAATTCATCCCAAGCGGCTGAAACAATTCTTCATGAAGATATTGATGAATTGGCTGCCCAGATATACGCTCTATGACGTGCGCAGCGAGTGCATAGGCCCACACACACATGTGCCAGCTCTCGCGATACGGTAGCGGGCGAGGGATGCTGGCGACGGTTTTCAACAACGCCTTCAGCGAAGACGAAATAGTGTTGTTGCCACCATCAGATAACAGATTCACAACCTCCCCGTCTAACCCACAGCGATGGGCAAGGATATCGGCTATTGTGGCTCTGTGCGTCCAGTCAACACAGGATCTGTCGACCTCAGGTATGATAGAACGCAATGATGTTGTCCACTGAAGCTTTCCGTCATCCACTAGCTTCCCAATCCCAGCAGCAACCAGGGACATAGTGAGGTGTCCGATTCCGTACTGGGTGTCTGCGTCTGGATGTGCCGACCTGGATTTATCACGGAATCCAAAGTTTTCGGTCCACAGAGTTTCGCCATGGTGAAGAACTCCCACAGAAACGCCGGGGACGCCTTGGATGGTGCATATTTGCTCAATGCTTGAGCTCAACTGTTGCAGTCGGTCAATGATGGGTGAGGCAGACCTTATTGATGTCAGCAAGTGGTGTCACCTGGGCATGGCCGCATGAGAGAGAGAGAGAGAGAGAGAGGTTGTTAAGGGAATGAACTCAACAGATGGTATTTCATTTTGGCCTTATCCCCTCAGTCGCAGTTTCCTCGAAGTTTGCGATCCCAAGTTAGAAGGGTTTCAAGTGGAAGTAACAACAAACATGGTTGCAACTGCCTCCGGAGATATACCAAGTACCTCATACTACCTACATCATTGGGCACGGGCCTTTTCAGCCTCATTCACAGCTGGCGTCAACTTTGCCATACTGTCAGTGAGACTATGACGAAGCATAGCATACATGCAGAATACTACGTCATTTCCTGTAGAGATCACCGTTCCCTTTGTTGGATATCACTATCCCAATCTCTACATTGTGAGCTGCGCATCGTGGATGCTCTCTAGTAGGTAGCCGGTCAATACCTATGTTGTAACTTGTAGCAGCCAAGTCTGCGGATTCCATGTACTAAGTATGACCGTGATACTTACCTCCACAGAAACATGATACGGGAGTTGTATGTAAACCCATCAGGTGTGATCGCCAGATTCTAGGTAGAGAGTGTCAAAAGTAATGTGGTTGTTGCCTCACAGCCTGAGGCGTCCAGCTGTAAGCCTAAGGCATTTGTAAGCCTGAGGCACATATACCTGCCTGAGGTGTCGTCACAGTTGTCTAACCCGCTGTGGCCTGCCGTACCCGGCTTTGTACCGACTCTCCCCTTTTGACCGGCTAATAAGCATCGACAAAGAAACCAAGCACTCTACGTACTCCACCGGAGTTTTGCCATTCTATCGCCTAAGCTCAACGTAACATATCTTCCGGTGCCGTCAGTGGCATAACGTTCTCGCTTAACTGGAGCGCCTCCAAGTTACATCAAGGATAGGGGGCTCGGATCGTTCCCCTCAATTCCCCATTGCCTTTACTTTGTCCAATGGGTTGACGTGCACGCCAATCACAACTGCATTGGGACAAATATCCTCATCTCAAGCGAAGCTTTACCCCGGCTTCCGTGCCTGCGCCCCCGCCCCCTAGCGTCAAAGCCATGCGGAGGTAGTTTAGCGCGAATTTGGGGAAATTGGGGAACGCGTATTGCCTAACTCCGAACGGAGCTCTTGCATATTATAATGCCTATGCCCCTTTGTCCTACAAGGATATCCTCCCGTCTTCTCCTGGTGTTCTGTATATTGTTCCTCTCAGTCACATCTCTTCTGGGAATCAACATGCATCTTAAATCTTACGTGACCGCCGCTCTATACGGGCTGCCCGCCCTGGCAAGTGCGGCACCACCGCCTCCACCCTCGCACCCTGCGCCTCCCGCGCCGCCTGCGATGGGAAGTGGTCCCGGCGCTGATGCCGCCCACACGAAGACCTACACGATCAAGGCGGAGAACATCACCGCGAAGCTGATTCCGCACGGCGCGCGACTCACCTCCTTGCTAGTCCCAGACCGCAATGGAAACGTCCAGGATGTCGTCGTCGGCTACGACGACCCGAAGGAGTATCTGCATGACAGTCAGACGATTCGCTCCTTCTTCGGCCCGGTCGTCGGTCGCTACGCAAACCGTATCAAGAACGGCACGTTCACCATCGACGGCAATGACTACCACGTTCCCGAGAATGAGAACGGCGGCGCCGACACACTCCACGGAGGTGTTGTCGGATACGACATGCGCAACTGGACCGTCACCGCGCACAGCGAGTCCTCCGTCACCTTCACTCTCTTCGACGAAGGCTTCCAGGACTTCCCCGGCGACGTCGTCTCCCACGCGACATTCAGCGTGTCCACCGAAAAGAGCCCCCAAAACCCCAAAGGTCTTCCGCAGCTAACCACCAAGCTGGTCTCTCTTTCCCTGACCGAGAAAACACCCATCATGCTCGCAAACCACATCTTCTGGAACCTGAACGCCTTCAGAGAACCCACCGTGCTCAAGGACACAAGTCTCCAACTCCCCCTCTCGCACCGCTTCATCGGCGGCGACAGCATCCTCATCCCCAACGGCACAATCCACGACGTCAAAACCGCCTACGGCGGCGCATTGGATTTCACAAGCCCCAAGCTCATCGGCAAGGACATCGAAAAGACTGCCGGGCTATGCGGTGCCGGCTGCACAGGCTACGACACCTGCTTCCTCGTCGACAGACCCCCGACCAGCGCACCAAACTCCTTCGATACCGTCCTGCACGCTGAGTCTAGCACGACCGGTATCAGCCTCGATGTCGCGACTAACCAGGCTGCCGTGCAGATTTACACTTGCGATGGACAGGACGGCACAATCGCTACCAAGGAGTCGCAAGCTAAGCGCAATAAGGCGGAGACTGGACATGCTGGCGCCAGTGTTGTTAACCAGTATGGTTGCTTTGTTATTGAGACTGAGGATTGGATTGATGGCATCAATAACCCCGAATGGGGTCGCGTTCCCTACCAGGTCTTTGGACCCGAGGATGGGCCTGCTGTCAACTGGGCTACCTACCAGTTTGGTACTGTCTAGACCTGATTGTCGGATTCTATACTTCTATTAGTACAGGGTGCTTCTTGCATCGAAATAATAATAGCTGTGCGGACTTGAGAGAGTCACGTGCAAAGATTTCTATGGGTTATCTTGCCTTCAATGTGTATACGGCCCTGAATCACCCAACCGGGCTGGAAGTAACACGTGAAGCGTGTACCTCTATAGTACCTTTCTAAATAAAGTATCAACAAAATATTCTGTCCAGTTGTCAGTATCCACTTGTGGGTGCCGAGTTCCAGTTGCGTGTTTGGCGACTTCCCACCAACTGGCGAACCTTCAGCCAACTGGCAAGGCTATATCAGGAGGGAATATGACAAGGGTCGAAGCTGTGAACATAATACTTTCAACGTAGTTAATACAGAAAGCAGTATCTATAACTTCGCCAAAAGATTAGCCACATTATCCCCACTCCCCTTAACAATCTCCTCCTCCCAATAGTTTGGATTGAACGTAATCCGATTCAATGGGTTCAACCGATGAGCACGGTTGTATAGATCCTCATAGACACGGCCATCATAGCGACCCAGCGCACTTTAAATAAGTTAGTCATGCCCATATACCATTCACATATAGAGCAAGTAATCACTCACCTATCCAACAAATAGTCAGGAATCATCCACGAGTCAACCAGCTTAACGGCATGCGGTCGAATCCGCGCCATGAGATCTTGAACTCGACTCGGTAGGGAGTCCAAGTCTCCTTGGGAGACTGCGTTGCAGCGGAAGACTTGGAAGTTGTGTTAGTTTGCTGCTAATTATGGGTGGGAGTGCCACGGGGAGCGTACATTCATAGCCTTCGTTCTCCACGGTGTACAATGCGAACAGGCGGTACAAGTCCAATAGGACGGTCTTGGTGGGTGCCGAGAGGGTCTTGTCAATGGTAATGGCTTCGAAGAAGGTTGTGACTAGGATTGATTGGGATTGCGCTGGTTATGTGTTAGCATAAGGTGTTCTCAAGTTAATTTCCGTCTGTGGCTTACCCTTGCTAAGTTTGTGAAGCTGGATGAGGAGACTGTTCCAGTTCTGTTTCTTGATGACTCTTTGTTCGTATGCCTCATACGCCTGATGATGCTTAGTTTCAGGCTGTGATATAATGAGAATCGTTTGCCACATACCATTGTAGTAGCCCTTCGCTCAAAGCTCTTCACAATATCCAGGTCACTGTTTAGAACATTGAATGTCTGCTTCCCTGAGCCTGAACGCTTGTTGCGAACAAACTCCTTGAACCGGGCATCAGTCTCATCTGCACCGGGGCTGTCAACAGAGTTCACAGCAGCAGTCATCTTCTTGATCAGGTACGCCGCAACCTGCTGCGTGAGCATCCAATTGTCACCCTCCACGGTTGGCTTGGAGAGGTAGTCGTTGTTAAGTTGAATCAAACCACTTCCGCCGCCGAACCCATGGCCGCCCATAGCACGACGGCACGTCTCGATCCCATCTGCGGCGAGCATAGTACACAGACTTTTCAGTCCGGAGGACATGCTATGCATGTGGGCCAAGGATTGGAAGTTCCCCTTGTCGATGTCCTGTCTTGCGTTCTGATACACTGCGCGCATAGCAAGGCCTGTATAGTGAAGTGCGAAGGTCGTTGCAAGCAAAGGAAGAATTCGAATTTGAACAGTTGGGTAGTCTAACACGGACATTTCCGGTCCGTTTTTGTCCCCATCGCGGTCTTGGAATTGGCGTCGGACGGTAGAGTAGCGCACCGCAACGGTAACCGCTCGCGCAAGGACGAGTCTGGCGTGGTGGACGATGTTTGCCCGGACATAGGTCAGTGAGCCATAGACCAGAGCCGGTTGCGCTGGCTTGGTGTAGGCCCCTGTGTTGACATCCACACTCGAGTATCGGGATAGCATAGCAGAATGCGGGATCCTAGGGTATCGTTAGCAACTTCAAGCCTTGCGCCCTATGAGCGAGAAACGTACCGGAAGTTGTCAAACAGCATATACGCATTGTCCATTGTGATATACCCATACTTGGGGCCAATGTCTCCCACGACAACTCCGTTCAATGGTTGATGGGTCTTCATATCTCGCACCTGCACGATGAACGGATGAGGACCATGAGAAACATACTTCTCCGGTGCCCCAGGGACCGGAAGAAGCAATTGGGCGACAACAATTGTGTGATTCGCAATCCGGCCCAAACTGCCATTCCACCATTTACTCGCCGTCAAAGTCGGACTATGCAGCACAAACTCTTTAGTGCGGTTATCCCAGCGTGCTTCGAGCTCCAAGCCACGCACGTTGCTGCCATGTCCTAATTCTGTCTGCGCATATGCTCCGATGATCTTCCAAGACTCGATCAGAGGCAACCAGTATGCGCGCTGTTCATCGTTGGCCTGTTCGCGAATTGTCGTGACGAACATTTCCATGTGCAAATAGTAGGGCGAGACATCGTCAATCAGGTACTCGGCCATCTTGTAATCGTCATAGTTCCAATTGTGCTTGTCAGCCAGGCGGCGCACAAGCTTTCGCGCGCGCAAGACCTAGCTTGAATCTATCCGGTCTTGATAGGTTTTGTTGCTTGTCTTTTTTGAAGAGCGGCTCTTGTTGTAATATGGGCAGGATACGCGATTGTCGCTCAAGGAATCCATCGGAAGCTAATAAGTGCTGTCCAAGCTCTTCGGTGGAAACATTGGACTGTTCGCGCTCGCGGGCTAGGGTTGTCGGCCCATCTGGCTGGCTTGGACGAAGATTATCTGTGAAATCAGGCATATTTGATAATTGGACTTTGCACAGGGGAAGTTATTTCTTGTTGATCGACGCATCCTTTAGCTCTTCATAAATTACTGACCCTCGCTCAGTTACCTAGGCTCAATCACTTTCGCTCTGGAAATCACCGAGTCCCGAATGCCGGCACCACTCCGCGGGGGACATCGAGAACGCGGGGAAGTAGCCGAATAAAATCAAACAAGGCGATCGATTATTGGCTGGTCAATTGAGCGGAGCAATTCCGAAGTGTACTCGCAATTAATATGCCCGGAGGTGCTGAGCATAAGACAGTAAATTGTCCCAGGTCGAGAAAGCCATAGTCATCTATCTCAACTTCAAAATGGGAGACCGCACTTCGCTCATACCTCCACATGTTGGAGACAATGTCCTCCCCAACGTTCCCTTTTTCCACAGACTACTGCGCTATGCGCAACGCAGGCCATCTCCTCTGGTAGTTCGGGACCTAAATGCCGGCGTTGAGAAGACATACCATGATCTTCTTTCGGATGTTCTGTCCCTCCGCAAGGTCCTGGAAGCCACACTCAGCCCTGAAGTCCGACGCGATTTGATGGCAGACAGAGAGGTGTACATCGGGTTGCTTGCGCCGGGAGGGTATGAATATACCGTCGGCTTCGTTGCGATCCTTGCTATCGGTGCAGCAGTCGTACCTATGGGTAGGTTCCAGCCATATCAATGGAAAGGACAAGTCTAACGAACAGCAGCTGCCGCAATCCCCGCAGAAGAAGCCTCGTACTTCCTTGCAAAAGCGCGATGTGCGGGTCTGGTAGCCAGTACAACCAGCGAGCAAACCGCCCAGTCTGTGATACGTTTCATGGAAGAGCAGAAGGGCGTCCGCATCCCTTGTGTATCTCCAATTGCGTCCCACTTTAGCCCCACCCTTATTCCAGCAGATGAGATGGCCATCTCGTCTGGCCTAGTCCCTGACATGAACGGGGCAGCACTAGTCATCTTCACTTCTGGTACGACAGGGCCTCCCAAGGGCGCTGTCCAGCGTCGCAGTTATATCTCCGGCAACGGGGAGGCGGATGCGGATCATTACAGAATCACAGATCAGGACACAGTCCTTCATATCCTTCCAGTGCACCATGCCTCTGGCGTGGGACTGACGTTCCTGCCGTTCCTAGCGGCAGGCGCAAGCATCGAGTTCAGAAGCGGTAGCTTCGATACTGCTTGGACGTGGGAACGCTGGCGGAGAGATGGTCTGACCTTTTTCTCGGGCGTTCCCACCATTTATATGCGTATGATGCGCTACTACGAAGAAAACATTGCCAACCAGCCTCCTGAGGTGCGGGATCAATATATTGCTGGTGCACGCAGGATTAGGGTAATGCTTTGTGGTACTTCTGCACTTCCTGGGCCTGTGCAAGAGTTTTGGCATCAGTTGAGGAACAAGCCAATTCTCACTCGATATGGTGCAACAGAGTTCGGCGCAGTTATCAAGACCGATCTTGGTTCTGATGGAACACCGCAGAACAGCGTTGGTCGTCTTGCTGAGGCAGTTACCCTCAAGCTGACGGATGAAGGGGAAATATTATTGAAGTGCCCTTACATGTTTTCCAAGTAAGTCCTATTTGCTTGCTCGACCTCTACTGTCTTTTGACCAATGGCGTCTCCCAGATACCTCTTCGATGAAAAAGCAACGGCAGATGCACACGATGCCGACGGATTTTTCAAAACAGGCGACATTGCTCGCCGCGAAGGAGAATACTATTTCATCCTAGGCCGTGCCTCGATTGATATTATCAAATCAGGCGGATACAAGATCTCCGCACTGGACATAGAGCGTGAGATCATGGGTCTGGATTATGTCTCCGAAGTGATGGTCGTCGGTGTTGAGGATGAGGAGTTTGGTCAGCGAGTTGCTGCTACGATCAGTCTCAAAAGAGATCAGAACACAACTCGTAAGAGCCTCACACTCTCGGAGCTGCGGGAAGACTTGCGAAGTAAGATGGCTGGATACAAGATGCCGACCATCCTTCGTGTGGTCGATGGTGAACTTCCCAAGTCGGGGACAGGAAAGGTGCAGAAGAAGATACTGGGGCCGCGGTTCTTTCCGCCGAACTATGCCCAACTGCCTGAAGTGCAAGTGTGGAGCAAACAGAAGAAGGCCAAATTATAGAATCAGAGATATTAAAGCCCTAAGCCCTAAGTCTAGACATTGGCAATTTATTGCTCTCTCACTAGCACCTGCTGCATTGAATCGTGCCTGCCTAAAACGTATGTAAACACTCCTGGGAAGGCGTTGACTCGGTGAGATCCCCCAGGAAGGTACGAACGACATCTAGTCTCTCAAGACTTGGCGTATCTACACGTTCATATAGTCACATGCAGGTATCACTTGAATAACTAGGTATAGCCCGAGTAGTAGAAATAACCCCCTCAAATCTTAGCCTTAGCAGGCGCCGATACCACCCGAGCATGAACATAACTAATCTTCTGGAACTTTTTAACAGCATCTCCCCAAAGCTCTTGACGAAGCAAAGCGTAAACACTGAAACAGTTAGCATGGTGCATTACTCACCGAGATTTCAACCCAAATCAGCACTCACCCCATCTTTGCTTTAGGCGCCCACTTCGCCCCAAGTTCCAACGCAACCTTCAACATCTCCTCCGGCTCCGCAACAGCGTCCACAATTCCGTCCTCCAGTGCCTGAGGCCCAGTCCACCTATGCGCCTCAAGCAGCATTTTGCGCGCAATCTCCGGCCGCAATTTGAGCCGAGGCAGCGAGCCAATACCGTCGAAGTGCAGGCCCAGGTTCACGGGTGGCATGGAGATGAAGCCGCGGCGGGAGTTCATGACTCGGTAGTCGTGGGCTAGCGCAAATGGACAGGCTCCGCCAAACGTGTGTCCGGTTATCAAGGCAATTGTTGGGAAGGGGAAGTCGAGGATTGTATGGATGAGCTGGAGGTAAGTTGTTAGCTTGGGTATATGTGCTGCTAGCGTCTCTATTATGTGAAAGCTGGTCGTGGCAATGCGCTTACAGGGTAGAAGCCATCTGAATTGGCGAATGGGTTGCTGTCTGCTTCATCCAGCTCGAGTCCCTAGGTAGGCGTATCTTTGTTAGTGCTTCTGGTCATGGCTACTCGGGTTCTGGGTTTGGTTACAGTGCACCAGAATTTGGCATCGTTGCCTCGCGTAATTACTGCGCCTTCTGAGTCGGGACCCAGGATCTTCTCTACCGTTCGGTAGGCCCGAATCATCTCCTGGCAGTACTGAGAGTTCAACCGGTTCTCTGGCGCCTTCTGCATGGTTAGGACGAATACATTTCCGTGCCTCTCGAGGGACAAGTTATGGAAGGTTGGGATTTCGGCCATGGTGCCAATTGTATCAGTGTGGTGTGAATGCTGAGTGGATATTGATCTGAAATGGTATGTTCAAGCTGTAAGCCAACTCGTTCATTATCATTCAACTGAGCTCTGTCGATCCCCCGATTCCCCGCATTTTCGCGTCCCCACCGTCCACGTTTGAGGTTGCCGAAATCACCGAGTGCCGAATCCATGAGACAATTGGAAGAGGAGAGACCCGCAAATATTTGCCAGTGGCGTGTATGATTTTACGCTCTCCGTGGGGTGTTCTCGTGGAGCCTCAGCGCCTAGGTGTACATAGTCATGGATTCCAAGGTCTACCAGGCAACTTCGCCATTCCATTCCAAATCCTTGAACAGCCAATCCCCCATTCCCTGGTATTGATTGTGAAAGAAATCGCCCGGGACGTCCTGCGACATATCTCCCATAGCAAAGCCGGCATTTGGCTCTAGGATCGTCGTAAGTGGCCGGTACTCATCCGAAGGAATGGCATCCGGGGCCCGGGACTCGGTCCAACTCTCTATAGCCTCTAGACTCCCGGCCGCTTGAGAGTGGCCTCTGTCATCGTGCCCCGCGGCTTGACCGAGGTTCATGAGACTGGACCAAGCCCAAGAAAGATCCGGACCAAATCCTTCGAAGAATGGTTGGTGTTCTCTGGGAAGTGCCATTGATAACAGTGCATCTACTGTCGCTGTGCTCTGCTGCTTTTCATCAATACTTTTCAAAGCTCTGAGGCTTCCTTTTGCAGATGACCAGCGCTTTGCGAGCTCCTCCAAAGCCAAATAGATTGTTTCCAAATTGCCTGCTATTTTCTCCCGATGTGCTGGTATATTGTTGCACGAGAGGAGCCCAATCCCTGCAGCCAGAAGGTGAAAGGTAAACACTGGGGCCAGGAACCTAATCTCGTCTCGAGCTAGGAAGTCTTCGAATATCCCGGCCACAAATGAAGAGGCTAAAAGCACTGCTGCGGACGAGGACTGTCCCGGGTTGGGTCGACACATGATTGCCAGGCAGGTGAAGTACGGGATGTGAACCTGACGTGCTTCGAAGTTGTATTGGGCCAGTGTTCGTTTCGGCGGTGATGTGTCATCTGACGTACGATCGCGAAACAAGCGGAGTGGATATGGAAGCTCTCGCGTCCAACGATACAAGCGATTCTCGATATCCTGTCGAGCCTGACGTGTGAGCGTTTTTCGGCGACAGTACTCAGTGAGATGGCCCAGGATAGAACTAATCTCGACGTATGCGACGAACAGAGTGGCATCCGAGCTTGAATCTTGGAAATCCTCGAGGCACGGTGGTGCAACCTCGCAGTCATCCATATCGGCTGCCAGGGGCCGACCTTGTCCGGCAGAAACACAACAGTCTCTGGCCTGCTGATGTTAGTCCTGCTCCATACCAATGAGGAGGCTCATTGGCAACTTACATATAAAGACCACCAGAGCCTGCGTCTTATAGTGGCATCTCTCATATTCGCGGGCTCCTTGTGCAATCCAATCTGATGGGCCAAGCCTACTCCTACATATCGCCAGAATCCACTTGTATTGGTGGAAACGTGCTCGGGGCCTTCCGGGGTATACCATTGCAAGATGCACACCGCTGCGACAACTGTCAATGGATTCCTTTCGTATCCGCACCAAAACAAAGCTTTTGCGCGACGATAGAACTGATGCAAAGATGCATATGCAGTCACCGCCGGCGCTGAGGTGACTCGGCTCGCAGCAACAAAGATAGATTGGAGGAGTAAGATCGACGGCTTCTGGGGACCACTTTCTTCCAGCCAGCTCCGCTCAACTATCGGCATCCATGGCGAGCATCGTTCCATGAATGTGTTGATCAATCCCTCTCGGATAGCCCTTGGTGGCAGGTCAAATGCACCTTGCAATCTGAGTAATTGAATGTCATCCTCAGTTGGCCCGTCCGCGTCTCCTGTCGGGTATGATCTAGCCTGATCTTCGTTGATTGCTACCGAATCGTCAAAGTAGCGGGACCGTGCCATAAAGCTCAAGGCTGAAGCCGCTGAGTATGGGTTTGAAGATGGAGAGATTGCTGCTGCATGATCTCTAGCGCCAGCTCCATCTTGGCTCGAGTTACGGCGCCGGTTCCGGTCCTGGTCACGATCCGTGCCTACTAAAGAGGATCCGGTAGTTTCGGTAGGGCTGATGTTGTTCGTCGCCTCATCCCAGGTCACCTGCCTCTTTCTGACCACTTCTGTGTTGGTGGCAATGGAGTCATGATTGCTTTGAGCTCTTTTTCTCTTGCGCTCCCGTCGCCTGTATAACAGCTAAACAATAATCCTTCTCTGTCGTAACATGTCCATTTCACTTACGAGCAGGGCCATTCATGCCGTTCGCAGTTGACGCATACATCAGGGTTGTCATTGAAGATACAGCGAACCTTAAGAGGTTAGTATGTCTTGGCTTGTGCGGTTCTCTCCCCTCGTACCTTTCTTTTATTGCAAGCGACACATGCCGTCGGTGCACGCAAAGGTGGGGGGGTAAAATCGGCCATATTTATTCGCGTCCTATTGACTGCCGGTATATGCCGGACATCCTGCGAGGAAATGTTGGGGATAATCCGGGGGAGCTCGTTCCCCGCGGCGGAGTCGGTGCCGAATTGCCGAAAGGTCCGACTCAATCCTTCATGAGAGATATTGTAAGATTGACTGTGAAAAATGAATGCGAGATTACTCGGAAAATCAATGGGGTATCTATTGAAATTGTACATAGTTCTCATGCCCAACCTGCCAACGTCCAACTCGACCGATCGCCGCCAGATCTCAAACCCGATCGACGATCTGGAACATGGTCCATGTCTCGAGTGGCCCCGGCAAGTCCATACTGTAGAAACTTCTCTCGTTCAATCTCTACCATACCACGAATCTTCAAACTAGTTGTCAGACTCGCACCAGCCCATGGGCCAAGCGATTCAACTTCACGCAAGACTCCTTGGATAGGAACTGGAATGTCTTTGTTTTGTCGACGGAGTTTTTGTTCCACAAAGTCAATCTCTGGTACTTCCTTGGAAGGATCAGCTGGTTTCTCGTCGGTGGATGGCGCTTCTTCGTTGCTTTTAGGAGGTTCGGGTTCGGTTGAAGGTTTGCGAGTTGAAAGCCTCAGCTCCTCCAATCTCTGTCGCTGTCGCTCGAGTGCTTTGCCTCGAACCGGACTCCATCCATGACGGTCTATCAAGAGTGAAACTTCCTTGAGGACCCTCCGTCGTAGCCCAGGAATTCGAGCGCCGCCGCCCACAAAGACAATACGGGACATGCATGTGCCTCGTGTGTCGGGAAACAGTGAGAGAAGTGTGTTGTAGACAAGTAGAGGCAAGGTTTTTTCTTCGTCATCCAGCTCATGTTCTGCAATATCCGGTGCGAACAGCACCTTATCGACAGACTCGGCGAGTCGCGAAAAAGGCACGTCTGTATATTCTTGGCAAGGATTTGCTGGCGATGGAATTGACAAGGTCTGGTCGTTTTCGTCCGCCGCTGTATCATCTTCGCTTCGGGATTTGCACCAAGCAAACCGACTGACCACTTCTTCACAGTATGAAAAACCGACAGAGATCTTGTCCGTAACCTTCGCGTCATGATCACCGTCGGAAGCCAGCCCAGTGAGAAGCAGCCCCATTTCCTGCATCAGATGCTTCATAGACCGTGTCGTTCTCTTCGTAGTTATCTCTCGGTATTCATATATCGCCGTTGCAGTAGTCTCGGCCCAGCCAATGTCAACTACCAAAGCCGACCGTAATCCAGCTGCCGTTGCTGACATGGCTGCGCTCGACAAAAGTGTAATACTCGGAAAGCGCCAGCGACTGAAGAGCGTCGACAGTAGCGATGACAGCAACGGATGTGGCATGAGAGAGGGAAGGACAAGAACGAGGCGAGATGTGCCTGCATCTGTCAACAAAAATTGGTTGTATGTCTCCCGAAACGCGCGCTCGATCTTGTCCTCAACCAGGCCTAGATCGATCTCTCGCGAATCCGACCGCCATAGTTCGTACGCTCGTGTCCACTCCTCGACATCGACAGGTTGTGGTAGCCGTCCGTCTCCGATGCTGCCCTGGATCCATCCTCGATAATCCCCTGCTCTCCTCGACTGTTCGGGTCCAAAGCCGACCACACACGTTGGGGCGCTGTGTCCTTCAAATCCGGCGCGTAGCCATCGCGCACCTATCTCGAATATGATCGCATCGTCTTCGTTTCGAAAGGAGGAGCCCGGTGACGTGCTGCTGGGGTAGGTTCCGGATCGTGCTTGTGGTGTATGAGGGGACGCAGGTCGTGCTGCTTGGCTATTGCGCAGGCTGGGTGTTGTTGAAGTGCGTTTGCTGGCACCCATCGAGGGTGCTTCACTGGCCATACTGCGTGGTGCTTGATTGGACTCGGGCGCGTTGCTCTCCTTACTGGGAGCAACAAGAGTCTCGGGTCGCGACAAAATATTATTTTCACCGGCACACCAGTTGGAGTTTCAACGCCATCGGATTGAAGTCAAACACCAAAAGATGATTGACCGACAAGTCTGTACATGTGATCTATACTGCGTGAGGCTGTGGGCTTCATTGGGGGAGGAGCTCGGTCCTGGTTGCCACGGATCTACATCGGGCCGTCTTTATTTACATCGATGTTCTTGTCAACACTCAACAACCTCCTCTCTCGCCGCAAACAGCTACCGATACATCTTTAAAACTACAGGGGACCGTATCTGCTCTTTTGATATCTTTATTGTATTGTTTGAGCTTGTCCAGGTGCAGTCGGCTATGGGTATTCCGGGGTAAGTGCGACTTTCTCGATTTTGCGGCCCCCGCTACAGATATATATCGCAAGGGGTCATCCATGCAAGCGCCGGTTATCGACGATTGCATGAGGCGCCGAGACTAGATCGTTCCCATGCTGTTCGATCTAATAGACTAACTTTCCATAGACTCATCAATGCCATTGGCCCTGGAGAGCGTATCTCTCTGGCCAAATTGGCGGTGACGCACCTGGAGCGGACAGCGAGGCCGATCCGCATTGCGGTTGACATCTCGATCTGGCTGTTTCAAGTTCAAGCAGGTCGCGGAGGCAGAAATCCAGAGCTACGCACTTTATTTTATCGATTATTGAAGTTACTTGCATTGCCAGTACACCCACTCTTCGTTTATGATGGACCGCAAAAGCCTGCTTTCAAGCGAGGGAAGGCAGTGTCAGGCCACAGCTACGGCAATGCCCCGATCATTAGGCGCTCCAAGGACCTGATTGAGCGATTCAGATTTCCCTGGCATGAAGCCCCCGGGGAGGCAGAAGCCGAATGTGCACGATTGCAGCAGGCAGGCATCGTGGACGCTGTCATGAGTAACGATGTCGATGCATTGATGTTTGGGTCATCTTTGACTATTATGAACTTCTCGAAAGAGAGTGGAAGTAACAGCTCCTCTGCAACTCATGTCACCTGCTATGCGATGGGCCAGGATGGACATCCCTCCAACATACCCCTTGACCGACCGGGGATGATTCTATTCGCAATGCTCAGTGGAGGAGACTATCTACCCTCTGGAGTGCCAAAATGTGGCAGTAAGATTGCCGCGGAGATTGCCAAGGCTGGATTTGGCGAAGACCTTCTGCAGGCGCTGGCGTCTGAATCGGATCTGGATACGGGATTGAACGAATGGAGAGACAGACTCCAGTTTGAACTTGATGAGAACGAGAGCGGCTATTTTGCAAAGAAACATAAAGCAGTCCGCATTCCAGACTCATTCCCCGATCGAACTATTCTCGAGTATTATGCGAAGCCCAAAGTTTCCAGCGATGAAGACATGAGCATTTTGCGGAGTCGCCTCAGAGAGGCCTGGGATCGAGATATCGATCCATTGGCCATCCGAACATTTGCTGCAGATCATTTTGAATGGAACTATCGGTCTGGGGCGAGGAAAGTTATCAAACTGCTAGCCGAGCCTCTCATTTCTTACAGACTACGTCTTCAGCGACCAGTTCTAGGCGTATCTCCAGGTTTTTCTTTTGTACCCGATTGTGGTCCTACTCTGCAAAAAATTTATCGAAGCCGATCAAGCTTCGGCACAGACGGAATGACAGAGCTCCAGATGGATATGCTCCCGGCGGATGTCGTTGGGTTAGATATCCTCGCCGAAGAGCCAAACCCACCACTTCCATCCCAGGAGATCATTTCATCTCAGATCACCTCATCTCAGATCACCTCAATCGAGGGCGAGGAAGAGGATGACCCAGAGGTAGCTGCTGAATCCGCTCCTCCGACGCCATCAAAGTCTCGGGTCACAAAACGATTTGATCCTTTCTCCATCGAGAAGGTCTGGGTTTTTGAGACAGTCGCAAGACTGGGGGCTCCTGAAGTCGTCAAACGTTGGGAGAAAGAGCAGGCTGAGAAAGCCGAAAAAGCCGCACAAGCTGCAGCCAAGAAGAAGACCGGCACTCGACGCGCCCCTCCCAAGAAGAAAGGACCGATTGACGCTGGAATGAAACGGGGGAGTATCTTGAAATACGGAACTCTTACGAAAGAAAGGTCTGAATTATCGCCAACCAAACAGGCACACTTGTTGGAAGCTGCGACTTCAAAGCCATTTACCAAGAATCCCCTCTCACGGCTGGGTCCTGGCTCTGGCCCTGCTTCTCCAATAGTCGTGGACCAGGAAGACGACCCTTTCTCCTCTCCGAGTATGTATACTCGGCAAAGATCATCGCCTATGATGCACTACGTTCCTCACGTCGATGATCTTCTTGACGCATTTTCTTCGATGTGCAGCTTATCTCCATCCGCCAATATCAAGCGTCATCCAATGGCAGATCAAACCCGCGTCAGATCGAGGCGCACGGCTCTGGGCACCGGGGATCTTGAAGTTGAAGCATCGGAGGTTCTGGGCATGGATTCCCACTCTTCCCCGTCTAGGCTGGCAAGAAGACCACGAGGGCTCAAGATCAGCTACTCAGTATCTGATTCGTATGACTCCGAGGCATACATGGAGGAATTCTCAACGAGCCGATTAGTAACTCTGCCCTCTCCGTCCAGAAAGTCAGCGTCAAAAGCAAAGAAAGTCCCTAAGGTGCAGTATGAGGACAAATCCGAGATCGAACACATCGAAATGGCCATCGAGTCCCTGAGCCTCTCATCGAAAATCCCCAAGAGCCGGCATGAAGACGCTGTCCCTTGCCCATCACGTCTACCCTCACCGAAGAAGGCACTTCAAGCACCCAAAGTTCGAACTCGTCACACTAAAGTCGCGAGTGTCAAACCAGCCAAGCCTTGCAGCAAAGCCGAGCTCCAACCAGAGCATGTGGCACCATTGGCCACAAAGATATGCGATGGGAACGACAGGGAGCAGGCGAAGGGGTCTCCTGCGAAGTCTCCGCAGAAGACGAAAAGCACAACCTCAAAGCCCCAAACTTCGGGCTATTTGGAAAACATCGTACTGCATGATGGTACTTGGTCCATCGAGCCGTCACCAGTGGAGCAACATCCATCCGAAATCTTAACTGCCGATGGTCAGCACAGGCGGGCCCCAACTGGCAAGAAGAAACGGATCGCCCGTGTCAGCATTCTGGATCTTATTTAATGCCCTCCTATACCCTTGCATACATCTTTTTTTTGGCGAATCGGAGCCTGGCGTTCAGCGTAATTTGGCTCTTTCGTTGAACAGAAGCATTTGTGGCGACAGAGCAGCTACAATTTCTTGGATAAACATGTCAACGACTTTTCTTGTCAAAACTCAGGCAAGCTGGAGTCTCATGGATTGCTAGCTGCCAGGTACATACATGTCTGTAGTAATATCTATGAGCAAAAAGTCTTTGTGTGTATGTGAAACCGTACAAGACCCACGTCCAGAGAGTAAGAGAGTAACTTTGCAGAACACAGAATTAGAAGGAAAGGTGAAGAGAAGAGAATATCCAAGAAAACGACGAGAGTCCGTCCGCGGTGTCTAACCATGAATACGAACGTTGATGCGACGCAATGTCCGAAAAGTACATAGAGAAGTGAAAGAAAGGCCTGTTCAAAGATGCACCAGAATATAGTATTAGAAGAGGGAACAAGCAATGCTGTCCAGGCGCCAACAAATCAAAAGTGTGGTATCTAGCCAAAGACCTTGAGGAAACCCCAGAGGCCGATTCCACTCAGAACAGGGATAGTCAAGTTGTCGTCCCAACCCCACATATCAATGAACTCACTGCCGGCAGCAACAACGCCAGAGACGAAGCTCATAACACCGAGAGCCACAGGGCCGGTAACAACCGCCGAGTCACTGGGCGCCCAGCCAAGAAGACCACGAACGCAGTTCGGGAGCAGATTCAAACGACCCGTAAACATGAATGCATCCTCGGGATCATTGGGGAAGGGCCCAACGACAGGCACGAACCACCCCCAGAAAGCAGCGGCGGTAACGACACCAACGAGCCAGGCGGCCACGGTGCCAGCCAAGCTCTTTCCCGGCCGCAGACGCGGGGTGTAGCGGCCGTACAAACGGCCGAAAGTTGAGGCAGCGGTGTCACACCAGCTAAGGAGTAGCACGCTCATGACACCGACGTCCTTGGGGAAGAAACGGAGGGCGACATATGCGCCAAGCAGATACCAGATGACGCCGTTGTAGCCGGTGACTTCTGTTTCGCGCATGAGGGCACCCATGCAGCGAATGTAGAACTTGTTGAATTTCTCGAATCGGTGACGAATCAAGTCCGTTGCTGCAATGGGCACAAGAGCGGTAAATAGTACCGGGGTAATCTGCAGGGTTTGAACGCCTTTGGTATAGAGCGATAGAGTCAAGAATCCGATCGACACGTGGAGGAGCTTGCGGGGGATTTCATGGCGGTGGATGAAGCTGCGGTAGCGCGCGTGTAGAGGGATGAGTCCAATGGGTGATGGCGACCGGGACAGATCAGGTAGTGCATCGGGGATGCTTAGTGGGGATAGATGGCCGCTTGAGGCTGTGCCGTTTACTGAACGGGGCGGCGAGGCGGGTATCTTGGGGTTTGATCGGCGGTTGCGCGCTGTGCGTGTTGTAGGGGACCTCGAAGCTCGCGTGCGTGCTGAGCTGGATCCTTCATCTGGAGAATCTGGATGACGCTGGCGACGTGCTGCAGACCGTGTTAATGGTACGGCATATCCGTCTTGTGACTCTGACCGGTCTGATATCGACGGGGTCGGAGATATCACGCGAGGTGTCTCAGGTACAGCATTTGGCGAGGACATGTTGGGTGTCCTGAGGGTGAAGAATGGCAGTGATGGAGTGCGAATGACACCAGATAGTGGTCGTGTGCAGGTATCGGCGCTGTCGCAAGCGAATGTGCGACGGGGTATCAACAGACTTTCTAACGAAGCAATGATGGGCGATTTGGTAGCACGTCAAGGCGCCTGTTGGAATTATTATAGATGAGCAATTTGGTAACACAAGGCAGGGACCCTATGCATGATGCGGACACCAAAACACTTGTGGTATCAGATCGAAGTGAGGCTGACGGACTGGTAAAAGCAGATCGCGATCTCCGTTCCCGACACAGCCGTGGTCACGTGCTGCGTATCTAATCGATAACGGATTTTTATTTTTTTATCTTTTCTTTGCGACGACACTTGAAGCGATTTGACGACTGGATTGCTGTGTGGGAATATACAAATGCCTCCTAAGTCATCCTCACGAGCGTGGGACGCTCTCACGCCTCCCTTATCAGAATGGACCCTCGATGCTGTGGGCTCAATGGGCTTTACGCGCATGACTCCAGTCCAGGCCTCGGCCATACCTCTGTTTATGCAGCATAAGGATGTGGTGGTGGAGGCTGTCACTGGAAGTGGAAAGACCTTGTCATTCTTGATACCGATAGTTGAAAAGCTGCTTCGCCTTGATCAGCCTCTCAAGAAGCATCATGTGGGAGCGATTGTCATTTCTCCGACGAGGTGGGTAATGCGCAATTGCATGTCTGCGGAGATTATGCTAACGTTCATTGACCAGAGAATTGGCCATGCAAATCCATCAAGTTCTTCTCTCGCTATTGGAATTCCACCCTGCCTCGGCCGCAGCTATCAAGCCCGCTGAAGAGGGCGTCCCTCGCCCGAAATCCTCCGCGTCGACATTGAAGGTCGTTCCGCAGCTCCTTCTGGGTGGCTCAACAACTCCTGCTGAAGATTTGAAATCATTCCTTAAGAATTCGCCCAATGTGTTGGTCGGTACGCCTGGAAGATTGTTGGAGCTACTTTCTTCACCACATGTTCACTGCCCCCAGGCGTCTTTTGAAATGCTTGTCCTGGACGAGGCCGACAGACTTCTGGATCTTGGATTCAAAGATGACCTACAAAAGATTTTGCGCCGGCTGCCCAAGCAGCGAAGGACGGGATTGTTTAGTGCTAGTATCAGCGAGGCTGTTGATCAGATCGTACGCCTGGGTCTACGGAATCCAGTCAAAATCGCTGTCAAGGTCAAAGGAGGAGCTGGTATTGAGGAAAAGCGCACTCCAGCAAGGTTCGTTCTATTACCCAATTATTGCCACAAGCGCCCCAATCTGACCCCAGAACAGTCTGCAAATGACATACTTGACAACACCTCCGCTTCACAAATACGCTATCTTGAAGCACATTCTTTCCTCCGTCCAACCCACACCGCAAAAGACCATTTTCTTTGTATCAACATGTTCCAGCGTCGACTACCTCGCCATGATATTACCGATAATCCTAGGAGATGACTTCCTACTAGTTCCTCTACATGGAAAACACCAAGCCAACGTCCGCCAAAAGAACTTCATCCGCTTCACTACATCCACCGCACCCTCCATCCTCCTCACCACCGATGTCGCCGCTCGCGGTCTCGACATTCCCTCCGTGGACTTGGTAGTCCAGATCGACCCACCATCCGACCCCAAAACCTTCATTCACAGATGCGGTCGTTCTGGCCGTGCCGGCCGCCGAGGTCTCAGCATCGTGCTCATCCACCCCGGTCGGGAGGAGGACTACGTATCGTTCCTTGAGATCCGCAAAACACCAGTCGCGCCATACCACCTACCAGAGTTCACCGACGAGCAGGCCACAGCCGCCACCGACAAAATCCGCAAAGCCGTGTTGAAAGACCGTGCCATGCACGACAAGGGCCAGAAGGCATTCGTCAGCTGGCTGCGCAGCTACAGCAAGCACCAAGCAAGCAGTATTTTCCGAGTTGCAGATCTCGACTGGGAAGCTCTTGGCAAAGCATGGGGGCTCCTCAAACTGCCCAAGATGCCTGAACTACGCTCCTTTGAAGGAGACAAGACGCTAGGCGTCACTCTTGACTGGCCCAACTACACTTATAAGGACAAACAACAAGAAAAGCGTCGCAAGGAGGCTATGGCTGAGGCTGCCAATGCGCAGACTACGGATCAGGGGTCGACCAAGCGACGGGCTCCTGAGAGTGTGGCTTGGAGTCAAAAGACGGAAGAACGGGAGCAGAGACTCAAGAAGAGGGAGTTCAAGAAGGCACGGAAGGAGAAAGAGAGATGGGAACAAATGCCGGAGGATCAGAAGCAGAAAGCTCTTGAAACACAGCGCATGCTGGAGGAAGTTCGTGCTAAGAATGAGCGGCAGCGGTTGCTGAGGGAGGCTGCCAAGGTGGAGGGCGCCAAGGTGGAGGGCGCCAAGGTGGAAGGCGCCGCAGGAGGCGATGAGTTCCAGGGTTTCGATTAGGCTTAACCATCCATACCTACATGTTAGTCGCTCAGAGTTATGCACATAATATACCCTCGGAGGATGATATATGTAATATGATGCAGAGAGTAAACTCAAGAGAGCTCAGTCCAGATTAGGAAGGTAAATTCTTGATGGTTGTGGGTCGCTGCCTATTGTAGTGGGAAGGTGTGACCTCCCTCGACAGTCTGGCTTCCCTTGTTCACTTACTACTCTAGTAGGTATCAGCAATACACTCCTACACCCCTCTGATTTTATTATTATCATTGTCATACGCTGACCAGGCGGTTGGCCGCCTCGCCCCTGTGGGCAAGCAGTCCCTCAGTTCGAATCCAGCTCTTATGTACACCTCTCGGATTTTACTGTTCGACCGCAAGCTCCCAGTCTCTTTGATCCTTAGGTTAACCTGATGCTATGCTAGGTGGTATCTGCCAAATCGACCCGTTTGCCTCAAGAGCGCACAGCCTTCGAGCGTTGACCGACGGGACGCACGGCTCTCCCCTGTTTTAAACGAAGAGTTCGATCACGATGACGGCATCAACTAATTGGAAGAGATAGATGCAGACATTGCATGCCCTCAACGCCTGAAGAGCCCAAGACGCAGTCCGCAAACGACGGCTCGTCGGGTGTTAGGGCATGCAATGCCTGCACCAATCTCTTCCAGATAGCTGATATCTTCATCGTGGTCGATCTCTTCGTTTGGTTGAGGGGAGATGCGGGATGGCCGGTCGAAACGCAAGGAGGTTGATGGGAACATCCTCGGTAACTGGCATCAGGGCGTTCACGGTGGTGAAGTGATCTCATCTCGCAATAGATTTGAGAGGGATCTTGTTCGAGTTGCCCCCAGACGTCGTTACAGGAACGATGCGAATACCTGGTGATACTCCTAACAGGATCCTTGATTCGAATGATTATCTAGAACCCATACGTCCATTTGCCCAGAAGGTCCAGAAAGCCTCCATCTGTACGATGGCAATAACACGACTCGTTTCCTTGCGGTCATGATCGACCCCGGCAAGCACTCCTATTTTGTGGTCAACCTAAACAACACCGAGTATGACTACCAAACCGCCCATGAATGCGAGACACCAGTACCGGTCTATATTCTCCGCTTATCGAAAAGCAAACCCATGATCTTCCGAAACCCAGTGTTGGATGGACACATCGCGGAGACCCTTCGAGTCATGCACAATAACCATGGCCAGGACCCCTTACCTTTGTTGGACTTTGACAATTACTGCGACAAGAATACTTATTACGGCAATCCACGGAGCCTCCAACGTTGACGGCCTCGGTCTGGAAGCTGTCTGCGATGAAAGAATCTTGTTGTCCCTCTATCCACGACCAACCCGACTCTGCCAAAACCATCACGTTGTTCCAGTCTTCCCAGCCACTCAAACATGTATTAGACATAACCAATATGATGTTCATATTAGCACGCTTAGGCCTCCGGGCCTTCTATAAAGGGTGCCAAAGGTGATTAGGCATAGCGTTGAATGTCGGGATTGGGACCGAAAGCATGGAACATACCTAAAGACGATTCCTTCTGCAGCGGTTGCAAGCTTGCAGCCTGCATTGGCGACATTCAAAGATGTATTCTGGCAGATAATGGGAACATTCTTCACACGGATGGGGCCCTCGTACAAATCTCCATCGGTCATGTCCGCACTCGTGGTTGTCTCGAAGCTCCTGAACTCTTCTTGCAACTAAAGCATCATGAACTTGAATATGAGCTCCGTCAATCTCTGGTGCAACCGGATGACCTTCGTCTCGATCAACGATTTGGTATGCACGCGCAAGAAGACGATGTTCATTCCATTGTTCGCATCCGCAATTCTTCCACCGCTCCCCACAATTGTAACAGAATTGGGCACCACAGCGGCAGCTATTATCTTCGTCAGAAAGCAGGGTAGTCAGAGGGAAAAAGGGGCACAGACGTCATATGATTGCAACCATGTTCAAGTTCCACTAGTCGCCAGCACGAATAACAGCGCTGCCATCCATTTTCTCGTGCGGCTTCTAACAGTTGCTGCATAGCAGAGTCATTTGGACAATCGCCCGTATGTGCTCGCCCTTTGCAATTTGTACAAGTCGTGTGCCGGCACTCCGGGCATGTGGCTACTTCACCAACGATATGGGATTGCTCAATGAAGGCAGAACACCGAGTGGAGTAGCAGTACGTTCTGTTTGGCGTTTCGAACTCAATCTTCTTTTTCTCGTACAGCTGGACGAGATCGGATTTGAGAAATATGCGAGCCGTGCTCAAACTGATTGGTTGGCGGCAGCACCTTGGAGGGAATAGCGATTCGTCTGTTATTGAAGCTTTGAAAAGAGATTCCAGACAAGTACGACAATACTCGTGTCGACAGGGGGCCCGCGCTACGTTGAAGAACTCTGTATTTTCTCCACAAGCGACACATTGAGTCATTCGGGGTCGTGCTTGATGAGGTCGTCGAGCTGCCCAAGCAGATGATTCAGCATGGTCAGCTTCACTGCCAGCCGTGTCTCCATGGTCCCAGTCGAAGAATCCTTTCACGCCGGACACATACAAAGCCTCGAGCTTTTTCAGAGTCTCATCATCTAAACCCGCTGTTTGTGGCTCGGGATCATTGGGCGAGACAAGACGTTCACCATCCACCCATTGACGCGCAACAAGACGATCTTTGAATGCGATCTCTTCTTGCTCTTGGGTTTCAGCTAGGACGCGCCCATCCGCTTGAACCGCGGCTGCAAAACTCATGGCCATTCGCCTATCCTTGAGAGTATGTGAGACTGCTTCCAGCTGCTCTTTTTGTAGCTGGAAAGCCAACTCCGCGTCTGTGGGACCCCGGGATTTGCCTTTGAAGGTTTCCGAACAAGAGCAGGCGTCTTCGAGTTGTAGATGGACGATCAGCTCAGCTGTAAGCTGATCCATATCTAAAATACAAGCCATCAAGACAATTGGGATGGATTGGGGGAGGGAATTTTAGTATGAAGCGCTGGATGTTATTGAGAAGCAATGTTGAGCAATAAGGTGTCAATGGGGGCTACGAGAGATAAAGAAGATGATGAAAAGGCAGACAAGAGGACGGACGAAGGAGAGAAGAACTATCTAGGCGATAAGGAGCCTATGGATGCGGGGGAGCACAGCTTGCATGACCTACGGCATGACCAAACAGATGTAGTTATCCGTCGCCTACTGTGTTATTGCGGCCGAAACACTCACTTAGCAGAATCCTCTCGCTCTGATTGGTTGTTCGCGAAGAAGCCCTGAGACAAATTCACCGCTTGCTTATTACGGATACTCCGTTCATTTACCCTAACGCTTTCCCCTAAACAGGAACATAGAATAGGCGGTAGCTGAGCGCCGCAGTTATCTTCCCAAGGCCTTTGGGCACCGGGATACCTCGTATGAAAGGGAATGACTGCTAGTGCTGGCACCCGGCATAATGACTACCCACCACCTTCAGGTGCAGACTGCAGTATATGACAAAGTCCAAATGTTCACCGCAAGTTGCGTCGTCCCGTCGTGTCGTTGGTAAGTTCCAGCTGCACTGCGCACTAGTCATCATGCGGGCTGAAGGCTAGCCATTCCGTCGGATGCGCTGAAATACCGTCTGGATACAATTCACGAGACCTTCTGCATGATCGTAGAAATTGTAGGTTATGGAACCTTCCCTGACCATTTTGAAATTTGCGCTGGCCTTCGAGCCTCTCTCGGGTCTCTTTATCCTCGAGACAGGGCAAGGGAATGGCATCTTTCTCGATAGGCGCGAAGAATCGAGAGGGCGCTGCTACCTGATCCCTGTCAAGGTCGAAGCACTGGCTGGGTGCGCAGTACATAGATGCACGTACTACATCTTTTGTTTGCAAGACCTATCAGTGGACGCGATTTACCAGAACTTGTGGGATTTGTGGATACCTAAGTGATCAATTTGAACCCATAGAACCAATCATGTTCTACATTTTATTCGGCTACAGTAGAAGACCTTAAATCTTATTAGAACTATGTAAAGTGGAGGCCTGATCTGTGTTCAGTATCCACAAAGCTTAAGCAACTTTATCTCCCACCGGGCCACCAATCTCCGGAACATCAACCGCCAATCTTGCCCCACTTTCTGAAGTCGCCAAACAAGTCGCTGTCATGATTTGAGATTTCCACTATCTGTTGCTTCTTCGGGAGTACACGGGAAGTCAAGAGCTCTCCACGCCGTGCTACAGTTGAAGGTGCAACGCGCGTGTGGAACAAATGCATTGAGCATCCTTCATTCATCGGACCAGCAAGTTATTCTGACCTTCATATCGACCCAGATTCTTACTGCGTCAAACCACGAGGGGGACTTGCGGAGTCCCGGCGACGTTTCTGGATATCGCGGCGGGTGCCAATGGCACGAGGGGGACTTGCGGAGTCCCGGCGGCTATATCGGTACAACCCATCGCAGTGGAGTGTTATTGACCGGTCCCTGATTCAAAGCATGATCCCCTACATGGAAGAAACAGCGCCTGATAGAGACAGCGGGGGGATTTGTCGGCGTCTCATATGTGGTAGACGCTCTTCGTCGGTCGCATCCTTGACCTTGCGAATCGTCTCCAGCTGATGTCTTCGGGAGCTTGCAAACACACCCAGTTCTAGTCTGTCGGCTGAATCACCCCGGTGTTGGATTCTATTGGACCACAGAAGGATATTCGACCCTCCATATGCCTTGGTTATCAACGAGGTGACTTAGGAAGATCGTCTCTTCATAGTTGCTGAGGAACCCATACACGCAGTCTAGCTTCTGCATGTACTTGATTGGCTGGGCGAGTATTTTCTTGAGTCGGTAGCATCATCGTCCATCGAGCTTATCGTCCAGGAAGCCACGGGCCACGATACCTAGCCAGCGACACGGCCTTCAAAACGCGATTCTCATCCTTGATCCTTCAATACCACATCAGGCGTGCCGGTGAAAGCAGACCGTCTGCATTTGAAATCCGCGAAGCGTATCCCCTTTGATTGCGATGTGAGGATAGAGTACAGCACATCGCCGAAGTATTTGTGGAACCGGCGCTGGCAGCACTGCTTACGACATTTCCGTAAGTACGTGTCTGAAGACCCAGGCTAAGGACTTCATTGCGCCAGATATGGTTCTGGTGTGTGGTCTGCACATCATTAAAAAATCCAGCCATGGCTGAAGGGCACCAACGAACGCAATATTACGTTGGGCGCTTGATATCGTATGGTATAGGCTGGGTTCGAGCTTCGGCACGACGGCACCGGGGACTCGGCTAGCTTCTTCGGGACAATATGAAGCGGGGGTCGATTCATTTCGAGAGGTCTGTTTTTTCTTGACAATGAAGGCTATAGCAACATCATGAGTGAGCAGGCTATACAAAACAAAGATAACCGGGAGTGCTTACGGAGTAATGAGTGAGCAGTGGGAGCTCAGCTTGAAGGCTAAGAGCAGGGAGAGAGTGAACACGATGCAGGAGGTCGGTATCTGTCAGTTAAGACATATCATTGTGGGAAGTGGGAGAGAGAGAAAGAGTTAATTCACTACAGCAGGCGGGGTGCCTGTTTAAGTAGTTAGCTACCTAAAGTGAAGCCTGATGATCAAGGCCCCCGAGCATGTGATATCATATGACAACACTGATGTTGACCAGGTAGGAAGGAGCGCCTATCTCGGCACGAAACCGGGTGGAACATGGCTCTAACGAAAAACCTCACCGGTTGAAACATGAATGAAACCAACATCACTGTGAAATAAGTGATTACGGTGGAGGTAGCTAGTTAGTGGTCACTTCACGTCAATATTTCTCTGAGATCAACACCGAACTTCGGCCCTGTTTGTCCCTATCGTCGAATCGGTCCTCCTATCTACACAATATGACTTCTAGAGCTCCAGTAGAAACCCCCCTCGATTTCTAGATAGGAATCACAATACCCAAATATGAATGAAACGTTCACTTACATAACACTTTTTACCGAGAGGAACATCGCTAACCTTTCATAACTGCCATTTCTCCGGGTGAGAACGCCAGTCCCTCTCGTCGAGTGGGTTTGCCAGCATGTACGCGACATAACGGGTGTCTGACCATTGAAGTTCATCAAGGATTGGCCATGATCTTCGAAACCCCGAAATGCGACTGAACTCATTTTCCACGTAGAATCCTTGACGTACACATTGCCAGTGGACTGGTCATAGATGATCTTCGAGATTCTAGACTCCTGTGGTTTCACACCGCAACGCAGCATGTCTCTGTCAATCGTATTAGCGTTTAGTCTGTCTGCCAGCTTGGATTCTTGGATTTCCGCAAACTGACTCAAAGGCAGTACGAAATTTGGCACGGATATCCGCTCGGACAAGGGGACCCAAGCTCCAGAAGGATTTCACTGTAAAAGGTTCACCAGGCACCTTTTCCCATACGAGGTATTTGACATAGCCACCAGGAACGAGATCATGTTCCCCTTGAGTTTTTTCGTAGTAACCAAGAAATCGTGGAACAGAGCTACAGTATTGACTCATCAATACCTTATACGCCTCTAGTTCACCACACACCTCTGGAGGTTGGATTTGTTGGGTTAGTGTAGCCAGGTCAGCGTCCTCCGTCCCAGTGATAGGAATCTGATAATATATTCGCATAGAAGCTACCTGTGTCGGGTTCTCCTTTAGGTGGCACAAAAAATTTGCCAACTGTCATAGGAGACCCAACGCCCATGTCGACCTCTGGCTGTGAGGGATGAACAGCACTCTCCGATAGCTTCTCCGTGATGATCAACGAGCGGCCAATCACTGAAGGGGAAGCCCCAGGCGGAGGGCGCAGAGGGAGAACGGCAGCCGTGGAGGAAGAGACAGGCTGAGCAGACGGCTGTTGCAGGGGTTCAAAGTCACAAAAGGTAGTGATCTTAGTCCCTACCAGGCGGCGGATGTATCGGGCATCGAAGTCAGTCGGTCTCGAAGGAAGTGCCATGATGATTCTTGTGAGGTACCTCTAGCAATATGGGACAAGCCGGTACATAACGGCGACGACACAGCACCTAGCGTGCGCAAAAACCCTGCATCCATCCCACAGGTCGGGGAAGGACGGGCAGCTGACGGGGCCTCACCCCACATCTTTCTTAAGAACGAGTTGCTCTCTATGGACGCACTTATTTGTACATAATACCATAGCTTAGCACGTCCCCATACCCCATGGGAGGTCACGGAGACGGGAGCTACGCTCTCGTCTCCCCAGGACGTTAAATATAACAACAACAACAACAACAACAATCTAGCAATATGGGAACAAAGTTGAAAGGTAGGACAGGTATACTTGAAAGTACGGGCAGTTTTAGCCGACGAGTCCACCGAGGACGCAGAAGGGAAAGGAAAGAGCATCGAATAGCTACACCGTAGTCCGTACAGAGCGCAGTGCCAAGCTTTATACAAGGTGGGGCGACTTACGGGGGCTAGTCCCGATTAGGTATAGAAGAGCGTTTCAACAAACAACCACGACTTAGTACTCCGGTAGCTTAGGGAGATACGGTCACAGCAAGTCATTACAGTATTGGCTAGCCAGACAGTATCTTGATAATGAATTGGTTTCTCGTGAGTGCAAAAGCAATAATACAGGATAACCTGTGTGTAGCGAGAGGCAATAGCTAAATACCGAGGAGCCAATGAGCCGCAGTACAACTTTCATAGTACTCTAGTACCCCGTATACGGTACCCAGTGGCGGTAGGAAAGCGTGAGCTGAGGTCCCTGTCGTGTGACTCTCAGACTCTAGGGTTAAGAACTTAATATGGGTGACTGGCCAGTAGACTCGATTTTACGTGCTGGCAGCTGGAGCCTGGGCGTACATGTGTACAAAGTATTAGGCTATCGCCGTGATATCCGAAGCGCTAGGTGAAAAGACCACGATTCTCCCTCCAAAATTCATGCACGGCACGCACAATCGTGCTCTTTTACCCCGACTTATTCCGTATGAATTCGGTGATTATGAATGTGAACTTGTGAATTGCACACAATGGTCTAGCCGTTTCGAGTTTCTCTGCGCGTTACTATTTGTTGTGCGTGTTTCTATTGCCCTTCGTCGAGTATCCTGCCTTCGTCGATACTTCAACTGTTAGTTGCTTTTGCTCCGCTACCCTCTAAATTGCCAGCACGAATTAGCGTCCTCTTTGCAGCCCTCCAAGCCGTCTGCATTGCTTTCCCTTGCACTTAGCCTATTCCAGGTTTTCGCTTACCTATCTGCTACTATTATGCTCGAGAACAGATATATGTGCCCATATTCCGTCGCGCCGACCTATCGTATTCGGTAAACGAGTCGGCCATGTACACGAGTCACGACCCGACCACCCCCAAATTTCAAACACATAGTAAATACGATAGGTATATTATCTCAACAACCAACGAGTCTATTTTATCACCTTGTTTCAGGATAGCCATTGATAAGAATAATTAGCGTTCTGTGTCAATTCTAAAGAAATCAAAAGGCTATTGTGATGATAATAAAATGGAATTACCATTCCATAGGTAGGTACAGGGCTATGGAAACCTGCCCGCTGAATATATAGAACGCACAAGCATCCATGAAGTCTTGAACCTATTTTCCACAAGCTCCGTAGGTACCTATACATAGGGAGGTGATAGCTACCTAGTACCTATGAATGAATTATGAAGGACGCGAGTTATGCTATAGAAACCTTTAAGTCTATAACTATAGACAACCGTTGTTTGTGTTTACTGAATACCGTTCGTAACCCTTAAATACCAAATGGCCGGCCTGTCCGACCCGTACTATTGTAAATACATGTATTGGTACCTTCAGCTCCCTTGCTTTGCTACTGAATAATGAGGTGTTGGTCCACACCGCCCGAATAGAAAACATTCTGCCCTCTTGCACCTTCCGAATTTCAAAAGTTATATGTTTGCCCCAGTGTGAGCCCAGGCAACGGCTCCTTCCTATTCACCATCTGATCGCGTAGGAGCTTTGTTTACTTTTACCCTCCTTTTGTTTCCCCCTCTTCTCTTCTTCTCTCTCCTCTCCATCAGACACTATCTTTTATTCCAGAACTTCAAAGCTTTCAAAGCCTTTCAAAGCCTTTTGGAATCCTCGCCAGAGTCTCCTGATCGACTCTACTCGCTACCCTTCAACCTTCTTTCCATAGTTCCTCATTCAATATCGCCTCCTTCTCGCACTGATCTCCGACACCCACCTCCTTTCCCGATCTTGAGTTATCGCCAAGATGAGACTACGGTCTGAGAAAGTCACACGCCCCGATTCCTGGCAACCGCGCCCACGTCGGACGAGGAGTGCATCGGCGCAGGAGAAGAATGTTTTCGAGAGTGCTCCAGAGGCACAGCCGGCCTCGGAGACTCAGCCCGCGACGCAGCGCAAACCTGCTCCAAAGCGGAAGCCGGCCAAGAAAACTAGCCGGAAGAAGGTAAGTTTGGAATCCACATGTCGTAGCCATTCATGATTAACGCGTGCTTCTATCAGAGTGGCGCAAAGGGCAAGAAGGAGGCCGCTCCCGCCGCCGAGCCCAACACCCAGACCGAATCCCACGCTGGCACTCAACCTGATTCCATCACTGTACTTCCATCTATCGAGGAATCTGAGTCCCGTAGGTTGCCCCCTCCCATCCCAAAACACGTGGTTCGAAATCGCATCACCAAACGTCCCTCGAGGGCTTTCCCATGGAGCGCTGTGCCAATAATCAAGGACGAAATGAGCCGTCGCATTCGCAAAGCTTTGGGTGGCACCCCATCGCCAGCTCCATCGCTTCCAAAGACACCCGTAATGCATTATGCCTGGCCCCCTTTACCCAAAGGACAGCTCTATGACAAGCTCAGTCGCATCCCCTGGTCACTTCCGTGGACACCTCCCTCTCCCTGGAGAAACTTCCCCCGCATAATTCGTCCCCGTCCCCAGCCTACCACGCTGGAGGATGTTGAATCCCCAGATGAATCCGCGCTGACCAGCACGGAAGAGCCGACTTCTAGGAAACGCAGCCGAGTGTCGGAAGACGATGATCCTGCCGCAAAACGCCACAAACTAGTACTTCAAACCCCAAACAATATGGGAAACCGTCCCCGCGGCACCCCTCGCAGGACATATGCGGACCGCGCCCGCCGACGCGAAGCCGAAAGGAACGGACGAATCGATCGCACCATCTACCGTACTCCGCAGCTCCTCGCTCAGCAGGGGGAAGATGCTCGGTCTGTCTACTCAACCCCTATCGCCCAACGTCCAAATGCAGCACCCGCTACTGACCACAACAACGTCGATTCGGCCGCCACACTGCCTTCCGCCTTGCCGCCAAACCAAGCCCAAGCTGGATGGAGTCGGTGGATCTTTGATTCAGTTACTCGACTCTGGCGACGAGGAAACGTGTCTCAAGCGACAGAGAGCGCAGCCGGCAAGTACCCTACACTTTATGACGTACCATTCTAGTTGCTGACATTGTATCCTCAGTTGGTGAACCTCAGCCTGCAGTTGACAACGATCCTTCCACACGAACGCCATCCTCCGCCCCCCCTTCCTCTGCAGGGTCTCGCAGCCAATTCTTTACCCCGCGCTCTCATATCGACCAATCTTCACCCGGCAGTGCGCGTACTTCTCGTGCCACTCAGCGCAAAAAATACACTTACGACCTAGATCCCCGTGGCTTTGACCCAGCATTGCTTGCGCGTATGCGTGCCGGGAGCTCAAACCCACCACAAAAGCCAGTTCCAGCTCAGCCAGAGAAAGTTCAAGAAGTTCAAGCGCTTGAAGACGGTGCCCCGAAGAAACGCAAGCGACAACCATCTCCGGATGTCATCCCGCATCCTCCAGGATGTAGTTATGGGTTCGACCCAGATTACTTCATTTATGATGAGGACGACGAGGATGACTCTACGGTAGGAGACCAAGCTGGTCAAGATAACAAGGACACACGCGCTACAGTCTCCGATGCATCTGAGGATCTGAGTGGACAACATGTCCCCAAGCGTGTGCGTTTCTCCAAGATTCTTCCGCACAAGTCAGACGACAAGGTCTTCCCAGAAAATTTCAATCACCAAGGACATTTCCAAGTCCCCGAATCGGACTCTCCCTCTGCAAGCTCCGATGATTCCCCTCAAAATACCTCCAAGAAGGACGAGTGGTTCCCCGCCGAACCTCATATTCCCCGCGAATTCCGCGGCACAATCTATGAACCCATGTCTAGAAAGTCGCAGTTGTACATTCAGGCACGGGACTATGCCAAAAAGCATGTAGAGCGATACATGCCAAAGACCCCAAGCCGCCTTCGCACGGCTCTGCAAGCAAGTCCTCAGGACCAGGAGGCGCTTCAAAAGGCGCAGAACGCTCTCCGTCGACGCAGGATTGGCCCAAACCGACGTCTGCCCGGGACCCTCACGTGGCAAGTGGTCCCAAGTGTGCAGCGTGATTTCGCCATGGGGAAAGCGTGCCCAAGTGTGGATTTTAGATACACCAAGTGGCCGGAGCCCGAAGATTGGGTTTCACGTCTTGGGTTTGACAAAGACCTCTGGGTCTATGTGGGAATGGATCAGAAATTATGTGAGAAGATGAAAGGACACATGGAAGAAACCCATAAAGAGTTTATGCGACTTCTTGCGAAAAGACGCGCTCTCCGGCGACGCCGCCGCGACATCCAGAAACGTCGCCGGGACTCCGCAAGTCCCCCTCGTGCCATTGAAGGCACCCGGTAAATCTGCTACTTGTGTCCCTCGTGTTGGGCGTTCAGGTAGACGCCCGGTTGCTGTCCAAATGCCTGATTGGTCAGGCGGTCGACCCTTTTTCTTTTGGCAAGAGTGTCATTTTGGATACTTCGAAAGATTTTACTTGTGCTATCCCACGCTCTTCGACCTGGCAAATGTTAATTGGAACTAGCGAGAGCTATTGTTCCGTGCATTGGTCTGTTGTGGAGTGGTAGATATTTGAACCCAGTTGAATAATGTGACAACAGATAAAGTGTATGTTATTCTATCTTGCAGCTATTCTATCCATGTATTGTACGGAGTATGTCATATCGGCTTCAATGCAGGCGTAGACTAATAGCTCGTCATACTTCCTTTGCCAATTCATGGTGAGAACCGCTATTTGATGACTATGTGCCTATTCATGCTAATGCCGAGGGACTTCGAATGGAGCCTTAATGAGTCCATTAGTTCATAAGAAACAGGTATATCTGACCTTTCTAATCAATCTTGAAGTGGTCATGGTTTGTCACACCCAGGGAGCCATCGCAAAATGTTGGGCTTTCAGCGCCTCAAGTATACTTGGCAAAATGTCAGAACCTCAGGCTGTCGACACGGGACAAACCTTGCCCTTGGTTCTTTCTGAACATGAAGACCATTGTGAAAAAGAAAAGATGCTATTTGTACAGATGCTCTGCAGATAAAAAAGAAAATAGAGACACGGACCAACAACCCCTCGCTAGCTCCTAGATAGATGATACAAGGTAACACGCTGATGCTTTTCAAAGCCAGCCAATCACCGCAGAGGGAATGGTGAAAAGAGACCAGAGACCACATATTGAAAGCTTTCCCTTCATAGGGCTACCTCTCCCTTCCAAGCAGCGTCAGATAATCCCAATGTTTCCATCAGGTGTTGCCACCGAGGGCCTCCGCGCTCCTTCCTGCGGACATACTGGAGTAGCTTCTGGCGCTTGTGAACGAGTAGTTGGAGGTTACGCTTGTTGTGCTTGTCCTTATTGGCAGTCTCGAGGTGTCGGGAGAGGTTCATGATTTTGACAGTCAGAATCGCGGCTTGCACCTCCGCAGAACCAGTATCTGGTCCAATGCGTGGTGCGCGCTCTGGATGAACAGGCCCAGATGGGTGAGTTACACCCGGCGGCTTTGGTGGAAGAGTAGAGTCTGTATAGTGTCGTCCAAATGTTTCAATGCACTTGGTGATGTTGAGGCGCACGCGGTCCTTCGTGTTGCCGTTGTTCAGGTTAACAATTCTGCTGATCGCTTCTTGGGCATTTTTGTGCTGTTGGTTGTGCTTTTCCATTCTCTCTCGTTCAGCTTGGGGATCGGCTATGTTTCGATCGGGGTTTTGAAGCGGTTCGGCCAAGTCCTTCGCAAAGGCGAGGGCGGCATCCAGCTCGTTCGACTTCAAGTAATAGTTTAGATCATCGGCCAAAGACGATGAAATGTTCGAATCGGTTTGGATTGCTGTCATCTCTAGGATAAACGGTGTGGGTTGACTCTTGACTGGGTCTCCGAGCGAGGACTCGCGTTCCTCTGCAAGGACCTTTTGGCGAGAGACATTCGCTGCCTTGCGCTGGCGCGCCTGTGCCATCAGAAAAGGGTCATGTTTCCTCCGCTCTCCAGCCTTGCTAGATGCGGCTCTGACGGAAGTGTTGATCGAATTGGACAACGGGGTGTATCCTGAACGAAGTGTTGGTTAGCGTGACTTAACGATCCATGCTGCTGGATTTGATTGCCGTACCAGTCAATGCCTTCAGAGAGGGCTGGATTGAGATGCGCGGAGGCATGGTGGGCGTTACTAGTGAGTGGACAGCTTCTATTGTAATAACTCAACTCTTTTCTATCGACCTTTCATCGGGAAATCTTGCGGCCGGAGGTTAAGTTACGCTAGTCTCAATCGAGGGTGTTTATGCCCCAGGCAGAAAGGATCACGTGAAAATTGACCCGCTCCGAGGTCACGGGTCCGGTGCCAAGATAATTTACATAATCATAGGTATTCTCCAGCCCTAGCCCTAGCGCACGCAAGCGAAATTCTCCCGAATCGCGACAGTGCAACAATTTCGCGGCTTGGCTTTGACCTTTTTCTCTCCATCACCACGACAAGAGCCAGACGATTGATCCTCCAACACATCAATCCATCAATCGCCCGACATGGCCCCTTCCCAGCTCCCCCCGGTTTTCAACCCTACCGCGCAGGACATTGAGATGCTCCTTGCCGCTCAGTGCCACCTTGGTTCCAAGAACCTCCAGGTGCACATGGAGCCTTACCTCTGGAAGCTCCGCGCCGACGGTGTCAACGTCCTGAACATCGGCAAGACCTGGTATGCGCAAATGCAAAATTACTCCTAACAGCGTACTGGTGTCTAATTCGTGCTTGACTGGAATAGGGAGAAGATCGTCCTGGCCGCCCGTATCATCGCCGCCATTGACAACCCCGCCGATGTCTGTGTTATCTCCGCTCGTCCCTACGGCCAGCGTGCTGTCCTGAAGTTCGCTTCCCACACCGGTGCCACCGCCATCGCCGGTCGTTTCACCCCCGGTAACTTCACCAACTACATCACCCGCTCTTTCAAGGAGCCCCGTCTCATCATTGTGACCGATCCCCGCACTGATGCCCAGGCCATCAAGGAGGCCTCCTACGTCAACATCCCCGTCATTGCCCTTTGCGACACTGACTCTCCCACCGACTTCGTCGATGTTGCCATCCCCACTAACAACAAGGGTCGTCACGCCATCGGTCTCGTCTGGTGGATGCTTGCCCGTGAGGTCCTCCGTCTCCGCGGTACTCTCGCTACCCGCGAGACCGAGTGGGACACCGTTGTCGATCTCTACTTCTACCGCGACCCCGAGGCCGAGGAGAACAAGGAGATTGCTGATGAGACCAAGGTCCCCGGTGCTGAGGAGATTGGCGCTGGTGCCGTCGAGTCTGGTTTCGCCGGTGAGAACTGGGATGCTTCCGCTCCTGGCGCTGGTAACCCCGGCACTGCCTTCGCTGCTGCCTCTGCTGCCACTGCTGCTGGTACCACCAGCTGGGATGCCGAGGGTGCCGACTGGGCTGCCAGCTCTGCTCCCGCTACCACCGAGTGGGCTGAGGCTCAGCCCGCCGCTGGTGAGGCCAAGTGGTAAATTGCTTCGCGTTGATGAGGATAGTCGTTGAGAGGGGGGAAGTTTAAAAAAATGTCTGGCGATCCGGGATGATTGTGATGATTCTCTGAGTTCTCCGAGACCCAGGAATCGAAGAAAATGCTCTTGTCTTCTTTTCATACACCTACTCCATTCACAGCAATGGATACCAATCTCCCGCAAATTCCCTTGACATGTCTATCCTAGTCTTTGTGTGCAATTCTCCAAAACCCCAAAACTGAAAAACAGCAGAAGAAAACGAACTTTCACCGGGAACCCTTGAATTCTTTTGCCTCAGTGGTCTCATTTTACCAGCACATTTTTTTTACTTTCATGGTTTGCATCGGGGAGGAATTGTCATGCCAATCATTGACTGGCGCTTATGAGGGAAAGAGATCCAGTTGCTTTTTTTTACGAAGCTTCTGGGGGAAAGCCCTGTGCTGTCAATTCACAAGGTGGACTTAATCGTTACCTTGGTTTCTCCCTGTGTGTTTGCTAGTAATCTGAAAAGGTTGTGCTTGGTATCATCTCCAGTTGGCACGTAGTGTAAGGTAGACTGTAGAATGTAGATGTGATTGTGGTAACTCTTGTCTACCTATGCTGCCATGCATACTGCGGGTGTAGGGTAGGTAGTATGCAGTACACAAGCAATGTTGTCTCATCCTGTCTACCAGAGACCAGGCCCAGGTTCTTCTGCTTGATAGAACAAGTAAACCATGGGCCGGCTGCATCGCGGAGTACAATATACGATCTAGGCGGGGTACCTTATCATAGGCACAATTAAGTATACAAAGTGGCCGCGAGCATTTGCAAACATATCTGCATTCTTTCGCAGGTACCTAGCATCGGTCTCAAATCTGTCTAGATGACTTATTCGAAGATGTGTAGCATTCAGCATTGACCCCGAGGTACCATACATGGGTATAAAAGGAAGACAGAGTAGCAAGTTAGCAACAAATATACATTCAAAGAATAACACAGGAGGCCCCCTCCGACTGGCCACCCTTCTCAGTCGCTGTCATCGCTGCCAATCTAGCGAGGTCTTCGAATGTCTCTGCAAGCAGCTCGCCCGTAACAGCCGAACATTCAGCATACCTATCACACCGAAGCTCCTGGGCAATACGATAACCCTAGATGATCCAGTCAGGTACCCCCAGATATGATTCTCCTTCAGTTCACTTACCTCCTGCGGGTAGATAATGCCGTCGCCTTCTCTTCGTAAGTCCCTTTTCAGACCCAGCATCATGACCGGCAGTCGCTCGCCGTGGCCATACTGAAAGTACCGAGTGATGTCGTTTCGCCACTGGAGAAGCATTGAGATTCAGCATAAACTAACAACTGCCCCGAAGGTATAACTTATATGGACTTACGTCTCTTAGACCTGCGAGCGTATCTCGGTTGGAGATATCAAAGGCGATAACAGCCAGATCAGGCCGGAGAGTAGACCAATGCTGGTTTGGATTAGATGTATCGTAAAGTTCTAATGTAAATGTTTTCTTCGAGAATCGGATGTCGTAAATGAAGGGCTGATCACTATCTCGCAATACTTCGAGACTGTTTGGGCCAATTTGAGGTTGCCCTGATGGAGACTGTCTCCCATTCTTGAGTCGACTGGATGATGTTAGTATACTCCCATACAGGCTTGTGCGCATAGATCGTTCAAGGCTTAGAGATGGCAGGCTCTCACCTGAACGCCGCGATTGAAGAATGGATTGCAGGGACGAGGCGTGTGTACTCACGCTAGAAATGTTGACTTTCCGCACCCTGCATCTCCCAGCAGAAGTAATGAAACTGTTGAATCTTTTTCTGGGGGAGAAGTTGTTTCGGCCATTGTAGAATTGCTGTCGAAGGGTTCCATGTGCCGCTCTTCTTAACTAACTGTTGGACCACTGGCGCGCATCCTTCGGTTGGTGTATTCCAGATGCTCTCCAGGTACTTGGATCTGGTATAAATGCAAGATGATCTATGTGATGTATGGGAATAGGTATGTCCCACGTTCTCTGAACGCTATGAGGACGGGTCTGTTCAAGGTAGAGGTGAGGTAGAGTGATAATGGAGGTTCTGTGCTTGGCGGATGAGATAGACACGGCTGTCGATATATTGTTTCTACAACCCCACGTTGTGCCATTTGGATTTACTAAAACCACTAGAATCGACTAGCAGACTATTTAAATGGTCTTTATGGTATTAATTGGGTCCCAAATGCTCCTGGATACATCGATATACATTAAATACATGCAGAACATGGGATCGAGATTTGGTAATTACACAGCAATACAGAAGGCAATACGTAAAATACACCAGACCCTCTTCCGCGGACTTTTTTTCAATTTCTATTTTCTCCAGGGCCAACGTCCACATCGAGTCCAGACGCACCCTCCGTTGCATAACTGGTATGTGGAAAGCGCCAGCAAGGCTCTTTCCATTGAGTTGCAACATACAGGCCATCAGGCATACAGGACACATGTGCCAGCCTCGCGCCCCAACATCCCAAAATATGGCAAACACCGACAACAAGATGCAACTCGACTACTCGGCATGGAGTAACTCCAGCCTCATTGCGCGCATTACCGAACTGGAGCGCCAGCTTCACTCTCGGACCACCGAGTTCACAGCGCCAGCGGAAACCCCGTCACAGGAGGCAAACAAGCCATCTGCGCCCATCTCTACCGACGTCCACGAACCCGCGATCCCGCCCCCCGAGCCCTGCAATAATCCTAAAAAGCGGCCACACTCTCCTCCCGAAGATATTACCACGGCGCCTGCGCCCTCGCGGTTTATCAAAGCCGCAAAGCCTCCCAGACTTGATCGCGATTTTGACCCCTCCAAGTACTCGACGCGGTATATTGCGCTCAAGTTCGCATACTTGGGCCAAGCGTACAATGGACTCGAGCATACCAATGGCAACACCACACCTCTGCCCACAGTTGAGGAGATTCTGTGGAAGGCATTGCGGCGCACTCGGCTCATCTTCCCTGAGACAACCTCGGACATGGAACCGACCGAGAACGGGGTGAGGGTGCCGATGCGCCCCTATCACCTGTACTGGGATGGATGCGAGTACTCCAAAGCAGGACGTACGGATAAGGGCGTGAGCGCTTTTGGGCAAGTCATTGGGTTGAGAGTCCGCAGTAACCGCCCCAAGCCCAAGCCCCCTGTTGAGGGCCAGGATGCAATGAATATTGATTCGGGAGCTACTGAAAAGGAATGGGATGATGTTGCAGATGAGTTGAACTACATCGCCGTTCTAAACAGGGTACTCCCGGAAGACATCCGAGTTCTCGCATGGTGTCCCAACCCGCCGCCTGGTTTCGATGCACGTTTCTCCTGCCGTGAGCGGCGATACAGGTACTTCTTCACCAATCCCGCGTTCTCTCCAACCCCTGGACCTGCCGGATTCGAGAATCGGGCACAAAATGGCAAAGGACCGCGTGCTGAGTTCCGTGAGGGCTGGCTCGATATCGAGGCTATGCGCGAAGCAGCCAAATATTTCGAGGGCACACATGATTTCCGGAACTTCTGCAAGCTGGATACCAACAAACAGATTGATAACTTTGAGCGTATCATCCATCACTCCAGTATCGAGGCCGTCAATCCCAAGGTTAACCCCTTGGGTTATGTTGGCCGAGCTGGCTTCCAGGCCAAAGAAGGCGTGATCCCCGAGCCGGATACGACAACTCCCGACACGGTCTCTCAAAGCATTCCTCAGGTCTACTCATTCAACCTCCACGGTTCCGCCTTTTTGTGGCACCAGGTACGACACATGGTTGCAATCCTGTTCTTGGTGGGGCAGGGATATGAGTCCCCATCGATTGTCCCCGAATTGCTGGACATTTCCAAGAACCCGCGCAAGCCGACCTATGCAATGGCCGATGATGCTCCGCTGGTTCTTGAGGACTGCATCTTCCCCGAACCAGGCTCTGGCAGTCGCCTTGATTCCTTGAACTGGGTTTATGCTGGTGACAGCATGGAAAGCTCTAGGGCAAGTGCCAAGGGCGATAGCAAATTTGGCCTGCGCGGTACAGTTGAACGGCTGTGGACGGTCTGGAGGCAACGCAAGATAGATGAGATCCTAGCGGGTGCCATGCTAGACTTGATTGTCAGTCAGGGCAATCAAAACGTTGACAACATGGACGACCAGAAGGTGAAACCTGGTTTCTCTAAGAAATCATACAGAGGTGCCAAAGTCTGGCAAGGTGGAAATGAGGCCGTTGTCGGTGGAAAATATGTCCCTGTTGACCAGAAACCAAAGATGGACACGGTGGAAGTCCAAAATGCAAGAGGACTCGTGATAAAGCAGCGAAGACTGGCAAAGGGCGAAGCTGCGAAGGCGGCAGAGGAATGAATGCCCATGTACTTACTCGCTGATACAGCACCGCACCTTTGGTTCAGACTAGTACATGCTTTATGCACAGAAAATGTCCTCGTGTAAGGGTTTTAGTGCTGTAATATATCAATCATGACTTCGAATCGTAGAGACATCGCCGCGACCCTCTCCAAACTTGCTCCAAAATCTCTCGTTTGGGCAACATGTTCTACTCGCAATATTAGCTTAATGCGTAGACTGCTGACGGTACGAACATACCGGGAAGACCACCAAGGCATCAGGTTCCCCTTCGACAATGACGGCCAAGTAGAAGCGGACTTCGAAGCCCTTGAAAGCCTCGTGGATCACAATGTCCTGGATTTGTGTCGTAGGAATAAATCTTGTTGCAGCAGTAGAAAGATACGTTGAAGACAATGTCGAAGTCTGAATTCCGAACCCTCGAATAACCAAGAGCGATTCCTCTGCGGAATAATCAGCCATGCACAGATCTAATCATGGCGACTCGCCATTTGACCTACCAGTATATCCTCTTCTGAAGACACAGTAGATCACCAATGTGCTAACAACGACAATTGCTAGCGGATTATATGAGTCCACCAGGCGACACAGTTTGGATCCGAGCGGACTTGACCATACGGCTGACCAGCGTACCACCCTGCCATCCTCCTGAAATAAGAAGATTCGAAGGCGTGTGATACTGAGAGCAATCACACAGAGGAAGACAATTGAGCGCAGCAGTATTTGAAGCCCGAATAAGACCTTGGCTGGAGAACTCGATCGTTGGGGGGCATTCGATACTGTGAAGGAGACAGTCGTCGGAGAGGGACGTTGGACTTTGAGGCGGCCTGGCATTTTCAGGTGGGAATTAGGCAGGGGTGGAATTCAGGCAAGATTAGCTGACAGCTTGCATTGCAGCTCGTCTATTCAGTGGTAGAAGTACCGAGGAATCTAAACGGACTTAACACAGGTTGACAGGAGAGCTTGCGATGAACAAACAAGCTAGTCTAATTAAGGCTTAGTGTACCCCACTGGCCGTGCATAACGTCACGTGCTCTTGAGCTTCTCCGTTTAGATTACATCTGGGCAGTTGGGCACTCACACAACATCACCTTCTCTCCCTATACAGCCATGGCCGATCGATCCAGAAGCAGATCCCCCCGCAGAAGGGATGACGGTGACAGAGAACGCCCCAAAAAGACCGGAGGCTTTCGGTGGAAGGACAAAAGTCGCACCGATGATTCCCGCGGCGATGACCGTAGATTAGAACGAGGATACCGAGAGCGACCACGATCACCACGACGCGACCGAGATGGAGACCGGTATGGAGATAGACCCAGAAATGGCGACCGCGACCGGGACCAACCACGACGTGACCCTCGAGATGCGCCGCGGGAAGATCGGGAAAAGGAAAAGAAAGTGAAAAAGGAAAAGAAGCCGGTCGCTCCGCAGTCTTCAGAGCCTATGATTGTGGTTCATGTCAACGACCGTCTGGGAACCAAAGCCGCGATCCCTTGCCTTGCGTCAGACCCGATCAGTATGTCTCCCTCGCTCTGTTGTTGGTATCCGCCAGTACTAACATACTACGCAGAGCTATTCAAAGCCCAAGTGGCAGCTCGCATCGGCCGCGAACCTCACGAGATTCTCCTCAAACGCCAGGGTGAGCGTCCTTTCAAGGATCAGCTTACACTAGAGGATTATGGAGTGAGCAATGGAGTTCAACTTGACCTGTGAGCCTCAGACACCCCCTTCCGCGAGCAAGACTGGAACTAACTCTATACCAGGGAAGTTGGAACGGGCGAATGACTGATTTGCCGGAGCAAGATTGCATCGGCGGGACGGTTATGCCAAACTCTTGTATGGGTTTCTTAGTACACAATATGGGGGGACCGGAGTCGGGGAGTTACCTGAACATGAACATGTCTTCTTTCCTTGTTTTGATTTTTTCACACAGAAACTGGTGATTTGAGCAAAGTCATGTATATCTACGGGGGGTGTGCAAGCAAATGGAAGATCTGAAGCTCTGAGCAGTAACTTGCTGACCATTTTGTCACTGTCGCCCTGCCCGACGCCATTTCCGAACGTTTTATGCGGGGCCCTGCGTCGTCACGACATACGCTTAACCTAAAGCGGCTTATGTGACACCTGAGGCATCCACGACAAGTCCACTCCACCAAAAGAGGCTTTTTTTTTCCCGTCGCGGGACTCGCAGCTTCGGTTTTTTCTATATGTCTTTGTCCCTCGAAGTCTCGATTCTCGCTCCGCCATGAGGTAGCAGTTGTCTTCTTCAATTTCAAGTGTTCTCCTTATATTCTCCTTACTGCATTTCTACCGATCCCTCGACGACTCACCGATCAAGATCGCCCCAGATTTTCCTTCCCCATCCGCTCAATCTATCCAATCCTGATTTCCTTCACCGGACCGAGCGCCTTTCTCCTCGATCTTTCCTCCTTCAACGCTGGCCTCCGGTATACCCACAAAACAAAACACCATGGTTCGCAATCTTGTCGTCATCGGAGGCAACTCCCACCCTCAGTTGACTCAGAGCATTTGCGGCGTGCTCGGCATCCCCCCGCGGAGGTTCTGCTCTCCAAGTTCGCGGTGGGCGAGACCCGGGTCGAAATCCAAGAGTCCGTCCGTGAAAAGGATGTTTACATCATTCAATCTGGTGGTGGAAAAGTCAACGACCACTTGCTAGAGCTTCTCATCACCATCTCCGCATGCAAGACTGCCTCGGCCCGACGAGTCACAGCCGTCCTCCCTCTTTTCCCTTACTCTCGTCAAAGTGATATACCTTACGATAAGGCTGGCGCTCCTCTTGTCAAGGCCGCCGTGGGGGGTCGACCCAACAATGGATACACATTCGAGAGCACTCCTCCGACACCGGGCCCCGGAAAGCCCGAGGGTCTGGGCTTGATGAATGGAATTGAGAACCTTCAGAGGGGGCCTTGCCAAGGCTCAGATTGAGGACAGCACTGGTAGCCCTGTGAAGCGGCGGGGTAATGGTCTGCCCCGCAGTGACACAACGGAATCCCTCAAGTCTGTCAACGGAGCCGACGAGCCAGCGAGTAGCACATCCGCCAAGATCAGTTCCTTCCAGCCACGTCCTGGGTACAAGCAGTGGGTTGCCCAGGCCGGCACCCTGGTGGCGGATTTGCTTACCTGCGCCGGCGCCGATCACATCATCACCATGGATTTGCACGATCCGCAGTACCAAGGATTCTTTGATATCCCGGTCGACAACCTTTACGGCCGACCCCTTCTCAAGAGCTATATCCAGCGCAACATTCCCAATTACAAGCAGGCTGTAATTGTCAGTCCCGATGCCGGCGGCGCCAAGCGCGCTACTGCCATTGCAGACCAAATGGGCATGGAGTTTGCCCTGATCCACAAGGTAGGTTTTTCGCAGTCCTTGCACAGTCTCGTATATAAGTCTCACAGTTTTGCAGGAACGCCGTCCTACCAAAATTACCGACCGCCAGAATGCCACCATGATGCTGGTTGGCGATGTCCGAGATCGGATAACCATTCTGATTGACGATCTGGCGGACACCTCTAATACGATTACTCGCGCCGCCAAGTTGCTGAAGAAGGAGGGCGCATCCCAAGTATACGCCCTGGTCACCCACGGAATCTTGAGTGGCGACGCTATCGAGCGCATCAACGCTAGCGCCCTCGACAAAGTCGTTGTCACCAACAGCGTGGACCAGGTTGAGCACCTGCGCCGATGCCCCAAGCTCGAGGTCTTGGAAGTCGGCCACGTTTTCGGCGAGGTGAGTCATATCCATTCATTTCCTTCCACATTGCAATCGCATACTGACTCATATCCTTCCAGGCCATCCGTCGTGTGCACCACGGTGAGAGCATCAGTGTGCTCTTCCAGTATGACTGATTGCTGTCAGACGTCTATATCCTAAAATTTCACGTTTTCTTTTCCAATCTCAACCTCAATTCCCCCTGTCATAGACCCAGGCTCGCAGTAGACTTGGTACTCTGGAAAATCTGCTTTCTGTCGCTTGCTCTCCTTTGGCTTTGGCTGGCTCTTTGTTCACCTCTATTTCGAATTTCTTGTCATATTATATCTGCCACACCCTTTGCCGTCTGCACATATGAGCACTGAATGTTCAATTGAATTTTTTTCTGCATGTAATCGCCTGGACTAGACGTTCAATCTGGCTGATCTATGTACTCTAGTTACCAACATGCAATGACATTAATGGTCTCTTACCTACAGAGTTGTCTTTACTGGTCGCCTCTACGATCAGCTGAAGTATGTACGCAGACTATAGTTGCTACTGCTTGTCGGAGGTAGCCTTGTACTAAATGGGAAATGTGATAGAGCCGAAATGAAATAGGACCTGGACCTTCCGATCCAGGAAAAAGAGGTTAGATGCGCTCACGTTAAAGATAGAACTGGGTACTCGATACAAAGAGAAGTGGCTGGCAACCAATGCAAAATGCCAACCAGGAAGATTGGTAGGTACAAGATGGTAGAGAAACACAATATCGTAGATTGTCCAGAGCGAGCTCAGAAAACGGATATGAAATTTCCAATCCTGTCCTTCTGATTCTGGGCAATGCATTCCGCAATCCAGGTGACGTTTCGAATTTCCTAAACGACGTTAGTTTCTTTCCTTGAACACTGAGAAGATCGGATCGCGTAGGCTTACCTGCTCCTTGAGTTTCATCCAAGCATACACCACCGCAGGAGTGAATTGACGGGTGAAGACCAGCTTTGACATATCCATCTCCTTTTGGTAGAAAAGATCTTCCAGACTCTTTCCATCTCCAGGACCACCGCCCATACCACCGAGTCCCCCACCACCCTGGCTCAGACCCACTGCATCGAAGAATGCTTTGTAGTCGGCCACAGCGCTTACGGCCAAGGCCACACCCTCGACATCCTCGGCACGGGACAGCATCAAGCTTCCTTCCGGATAGAGCTGGCCAAACTCCGGATACAACTTCCTTCGCTCCTGCTTGGACAGCTCGGTGCCGAAAGAGTTGAGAGTGATGTTGATAGCGCGGCGGTCCGCCTCGAATTGCAGGATCTGCGCCATGACGTCCTGCGTTGGTGTCCCGCTGAAGTCTGGGTGAGTGTTGACGAAATTGTAGAAGTCCTCCAAGTAGTTCTTGTAGAGGGTATTGCGAACGATCTCGATGTTCAGCTCGTCTAGGTCCTGGTGGCTGAGACTCTCCTTGAAGTAAGCAGCCAGTGGGGTCTCGATCAATACTGAGTTGTACAGTTCTTCGATGTTCGTCGCAACACATAGCACAGGAAGTGTCTCGAACCATCCCAGCGGGTGACATCGCTCCAGGAGTTCCCTCGTGTCTCGTTCATGGAGTGTGCCGGTGATCAACAGGGCGATGTTGTCGATCATGTATCCGTATGTCATGTATTCGAGGAACTTGGCAGTGGAGCCAGTTGATTGTGCGATCAAGTACTTGAATTCAGAGACTAGTTTATCTGTCATGCGGCCCGCGAGGTCGGAGGTGGAGGGGTTGGGGGGAAGAGACGAAAGGAAATCGCCGTATGAGGGGGCGAGCTGAAGCTTGACATCTGTATGACAAGTTGTCAGGTTTGAGTACAAGAACATGGGCTGTAAAGTAGTTCATAGCATCAATAGATCGTACCGTCAATTGTCTCGCATTGAGTGAGGTTGGAATAGTTCTGGCCGCTCAATAGGCTGTTGCGATAGCCGCGAACAATGCCCTCGACATATCTAGGGAAGTCAGCGATAAGTCATCAGAACAATAGAACGTCAACGCACCCGCCGTTGATATTAAAGAATAAGCCCTCCATGGTTAAAATGTGAATGGAACGATTGGAGAGGCACAGCTGTAGCTCTATTCGACCTGTCGGGGCGCAGGTGCTTAGTCATCCACAGCCACACAGTAGTCAAGCCACTTGTGGCACCCGCTTTTCAACTTTTTTTCTTCGTGCAAATTTAGATTCAATTCCTCCAACGACACCGGAGGCCGACGCCCTACACCCAATTTTTTTAAGTATTCTTTTTCCGTTCGGTCCATCGTTCGCTATTATCAGATCATACCCTCTTCTTAATTTTTCACCATAAACGCCGGGGCCGCGCACCATGACGCTCTTCATCCTCACTGAGACCAGCGCGGGTTATGCCCTGCTGAAGGCCAAGGACAAGAAGCTCCTCAAGCGTGATGATATCGCTGAGGAGGCTTCGACTGCGGAGGGTGTCTCCAACCTGTACGTCAATTGCCTTCTGCAAATCCTGCCAGACAAAATTTTGAGTGGGAAATGAATCCACCCGCTGAGCGGGCGCAAAAATTCATTATCGGCGACAGTCTCGCTAACAAAGTCCCTAGTCTCAAATTGAAGAGCTTTAAGAAGTTCGACAGTGCTGCCGCAGCTCTGGAGGAGGCTGCCTCCATTATGGAGGGCAAGGTCACCCCCCGCCTGGCCTCGCTTCTCGACGGCGTCAAGGACGAGAAGAAGGTTTCCCTGGCCGTTGCCGATGTCAAGCTTGGTATGTGGCTCTTGAGTACTGTTTTCCAGAAGCATACTGACTCTAGTTGTGAATAGGCAATGCCATCAGCAAGCTCCCCGGTCTTGACATCCAATTGATCGCTGATTCCAGCTGCAACGACATCTTCCGTGCCATCCGTGAGCACCTCACCACTCTCATTCCCGGTCTGGCCCCCAGTGACATGTCTACCATGTCCCTTGGTCTGTCCCACTCTCTCGCTCGTCACAAGCTCAAGTTCTCCCCCGATAAGATCGACACTATGATCGTCCAGGCCATTGGCCTTCTCGATGATCTTGACAAGGAGCTGAACACCTACGCCATGCGTGTCAAGGAATGGTACGGATGGCACTTCCCCGAGCTGGCTAAGATCCTCAACGACAACATTGCCTACGCCAAGCTCGTTCTGAAGATGGGTATGCGCTCCAACTGGGAGTCCGCTGATCTTGCTGAGATTCTTCCCGAGGAGATCGAGGGTGCTGTCAAGGCCGCTGCCGATCGTTCCATGGGTACTGAGATCAGCCCCGAGGATTTGGAGAACATCCAGGCTCTCGCTGAGCAGGTTGTTGGATTCTACGAGTACCGCTCTCAACTCGCCAGCTACTTGACTTCCCGCATGAATGCCATCGCACCCAACCTCACTGCCCTTGTCGGTGATCTCGTTGGTGCCCGTCTTATCGCTCACGCCGGCAGCCTTACCAGCCTGTCCAAGAGCCCCGCCAGTACCATCCAGATTCTGGGTGCCGAGAAGGCCCTTTTCCGTGCCCTCAAGACCAAGCACGACACTCCTAAGTACGGTTTGCTCTACCACGCCTCTTTGATCGGTCAGGCCACCGGCCGCAACAAGGGCAAGATGGCCCGTATCCTCGCCGCCAAAGCCTCTCTGGGTATCCGTGTCGACTCTCTCGCCGAGTGGGCTGACGATGTCACTGAGGAGGAGAAGGCTGCTCTCGGTACAGAGGCCCGCTTCAACCTTGAGCGTAAGCTTGCTGGTATGGAGGGCAAGCCTATCAAGCCCCGCGGTGTTGCAATTGCCCCCAACGGTGCTGCCCAGCCCGAGAAGTTCGACCTGAAGGAGGCCCGCAAGTACAACCCTGATGCCGATGCTCTGGCTTCCGAGGAGCCTGCTGCTGCCAAGAAGGACAAGAAGCAGAAGAAGCTTGTTGAGGAGGTTGAGGATGAGGAGATGGCCGATGCCGACTCCGACGAGGACTCTGACGCTTCCGAGGATGAGGCACCCAAGAAGAAGACGAAGAAGAGCGATATCGAGGAAATGGCTGCCAAGGCCGGTCTCAGTGTGAAGCGATATGAGCGAAAGCTCGAGCGTGGCGAGATCACTTTCGATGCAGCAGGCAACCCTACTTCAATTAGCAAGAAGGACCTGAAGAAGTCCAAGAAGGATGCCAAGAAGGCCAGCAAAGACGATGGAAAGAAGCGCAAGCGCTCCGAAGATGATGACGAGAAGAAGAAGAAGAAGTCCAAGGGAGAGTAAGCGCATGTTTTCAAAAGTTTCTGCAATGTGACCGGATGGCTTTCCTGGGATCTGTATGATATCACACTTTTTTTTGTTTCTGTTTCTGTTTTTTTTTTTGTTGCAATGCCTGTCGCTCGCATATTTTGAGCATTTCGAGGTTGATCTACCGGTCTTTTACTGGCGCAGAAGGTGCTCGTTAGGAACAAGGCAGTACAGTTTTAGCTGGAATAATCTGTTCATATCTTAATACCTAATTGTAATTCTTTAGACGTAGCCCACGACCTGCAGGCTGCGGTTATAACAAGCTTCTTGGTTGCATATTCGTGGCATGCTTCCTGCCTCCCGAGTCCCACCTCCACCTGAACCTAGTATCCGCTTCCGCCCATAGAAAACCTTTCTCTCTTCTCTTACCTCATTTCCGACACCTCGTTGAATCAAGATCATTTCCAATAGCACCAAACTCATCTCTTATCACATCTGGATCTAGCCGCATTGCCTCTTACCACTCCGAGACAACTACACAGTAGTGCCTAGTTCACCTTTCAAGGGTCCATCTGCCGGCCGATATAGACACCGCCCCTTTCTGCCGGCAGTTCAAACAATTTTCCTTCCCTCCCTCGTATCACTTGACTTTCTCCAGTCTATCTTACCACATACGACAGACACAATGAGGGTAAGAGTTATGGAACCTGAAGCTTCGAACTACTGTTAACGGAGTTTATCAGATCATTGACCCCCAAACCGCCGTTTTGACCAATGTCGAGGTCCTGGCGTACCTCACGTCCAATCCGCCCCGCCGATCACCGAACCCTCCGCCAAATTCGAAGAACTGGGTTCCAAGTCCTGATCTTAGAGACCATAATACAGTTGTCAAAGAAGTAAGCCAGTCTCAATAGCCTTGGTGCTCTAGCTATTTGGGACGTGGTGTACTGCAGCTACACCACGAACCCAGGTTGAAGCGGAGTCGATCAGACCCATGCTCCGAGACCAGATACAAGAGACCAAAAGCATGGAAGGACCCTCAACTAACGTCTGCACCAGATTCACAACTATGCAAGCCGTCTCTCTCCCCACCTCCTACGATACCCCCGTTACACAGCTCGCCCCTCCTCGTCTCAATCGATATCACAATCGCAAGCCGCAATGACCGGCACGCTGCGAACCACAAGTACTACAGATACAGAGCCAAATGCCTCTGCTTCCCCGTCCCCGAGCTTATCCACAGAACTGACTCCAATGGACGTTGCTCTCCGAGACCTGATCGTCAAGCTAAAGCCGTACAAGCTGACGAAAGCCGAGGTTGTTATGCTCCTCAATCTCGGAGTGGGAATCTGCAGCGAGTCTAGTGCTGATGCCGGCGATGGGGCAAATGGACACGATGAAATGGAAGTTGATGGAGAAGGGGAGGGTGCTGGTGAAGAGGGCGAGACCGATTACACTGCGGTGGTGCTGATGGACGCTGTCGTCGAAGAGCGGGAGCTCAGACTGAGCGACGAAGACGTGGCCGCTATTCTCGCCATCATCAAGGAAACCCTCACAGCAGATTACGAGAACGTTAAAGGGTGAGGATGTCGAGGTCCGGCAGTACAGGCACATGATATCGCGAAATCAAGCAAGATACCAATTTGTTTCACGTAACGAATACTCGAGACGATTCCTTCCATTCTTGCGATAGATATACAAAGATCTGAAGTGTACTTTGCCCCTACTTAATATAGACATGAGATATATGGACGCAATGATGAAGAGTTACTGGGATCTAAAGTGCCTCTTTCTCGTTTGAATCCATGCCCTCGCGGCTGCAGAGCCTGGCTGCCAATGAAAGTGGGAAATATATATCAATAGTAAGACTGTAAGCACAGCAATTCATGCCACCCACGGCATTGGCAACATCATTATTGTGATACCTTCAGTCTTTATCGATGCATACTGTGCAGTTAGCAGGTGTGGCTTCATTAGGGTAACGTCCCACCTGAGCGGGTCGGACTTGGAACCCCAGCATCACGTGCCATATGTGAGGGCAATGGCACGTGACTTTTACCGAAACAGCACTAAGTAGGTTAGCAAACGATGGACGAGTGAAAGAAGCAATCAAACTGTTATTCAAACAGGACACAATGACCAAGGAGAAAGCCTTACAAGGCTAACCACCCTTGAGTGAATGAGTGTTTCTCACTGAGCATGGTGTGCAGTTTGCTTGTATTCCACTACCCGATTAGGAGCTCCTGCTTGACACCTGAGGCATTCAAGTTCCGCCAACTCGCACCTCTTGCACTTCCTCCTGCATCCTCTCTATCTCATCCGCCATCCTTTTCTCTCCCGCAATCTCATCTTCATTTTTCCCTTTACTCTCCCACCCTCGATACTGTATGATCTGGCTCACATATCATTGATCTGCTTTATCGATATCCCCCCGTTTATTGCGCCAGTGACTCTTAAAAATCTGTCTTTGGACCTCCAGATCAAATGATCGCGTCTCCTAGATGACCTTCCCTCCCCCACACCCTTCCGCCCAATCGTCGATTGCTTCTGGCACCGATAAATCTTCTTCGACCAGGACTGATATTGGTGCCTGGGGTCGGTCCGTGTCGCAGTCCGGCGCACGTCGTGGGTTGACTCCACTCGCGACTAACATATCCTCTGCCGCTCCTCCCACGGCCTCCCGGGGCTTGGACGCAGGCCTTGGAGTTTCAACACCATCGTCCTTTTCTGCCGTATTGAGCTCTGCCAGGGGTGGTATCACCGGTGGAAGTCCCAAACCCACATCTTCACCGTTTGGCTCATTGCAATCTGGCTCGCAACAGCACGCAACAAACATCTCGTCTCCTAAGTTCCGATCTCACACCCCTTCCATAGGGTCCCATTTGGCCTCGTCTACAGGCTCCGTTCCGGGTGGAGGAGGTACTGGGGGAGGAGGTGGCGGGCCGGGATCTTCCAGAGGCGTCTTCTCGCCGCTCTCGTCCGGAACAACCGTGAATTCTCCCACAGGCTTCGCGTCTGACAAGTCGGGATCCGCAGCCGCTCACTCGAGCCAGTCTTCGCTTACAAAGATCTCCATCGCACAAGTGTTCTTGCTGCTAGATTCCATCACAGAGAAAGAAGGCAAAGAGAAGTGGGAAACAAAAGCTGCTCAAATACATAAGGTTTGTGGTGTTGCCCTTAATATTGGTCTGCACGATTCTAACAATTGCAGCTCGTAACATCGAACGGAATGGAGGTCTTTTCTAAATACTTTCGCCGCCTCCTAACCGGCAATGCACCACAAATATTCCCTGGTGTGAACAAGCCCGTCGAGAATGCGGGCAACTACCCTCTCCTTGTCCAGGAGCTACAGAAAGTGTCCTCAGACATGGAGCAGTCCCAGAAGATCGCCGAAACAGTAGATACTTCTGAAGGAGATATCTTCCGTGACTTTGACCTTTCCACTTTCTTGGACCATTTCCGACTGGATCCAATTGTCAAGGTAGCACTGGCTTTGGCATTTAAGCTGACCAGCAAGTCGGATCTCCGCGCTAAAGGTATGTAGCTGCCTCATTGTGTCCGGATTACCCCTCTAACAATGATATCTTGTCTAGCTGATGCTATTCTCTCCCAATCCGTTGGCCCCTTCCTGCAGAGCTTGGCAAACCCAACCGAAGTGACCAAGGACTACCACAACTCTTTCCTCGGAATGACCATCGAGCGATTCATTCTATTCCCTCCCCGCAATTTTACCGACGATGTCAAGGCGAAGTTGGTATATGCAGCCAATCTCCGATACCAGAAGCTCGGCTCAGATATGCCATTCGAAGTCTCCTCTGCTCTCCAGATGTTCAACTTTGTCAGCCCACAATACACCCTTGTGCGGCAGCTTCATGCAAAGGGACCCCGCGCAACTGCAAGCATTGAGACCATCAGCGAGGTGATCAACGCAGACCCCAAAAATTGGAGCGAAGAACATATGGCAAGCGCCCTTCTATTCATGGTTCTATCGCAATATTGGGAACAATTCTCGCTCGAGGCATTCCTGAGAGCCTTCGCCGATAGGCCAATCAATTGGCCGCTGGTGTTCCGGAACTTCGATCGCGAGGGCCTCCGAGTGGATCCAAAGCAATTCACCAAATTGTACAATGTTCTTGCCGCCATGTCGGCCGATGACCCTTCTTTGGATGTCCAGAAGCTTTGGGCCGGAGATTGGGAGCACCGTGACACCCAGATGTCATTCCTGACAGCTTTTGTGGCCTCCCGAATTGATCCATCGCAGATCAACAACCTTCGCGCAACCTTCCCTGCCGATTTCTTTGATGATGCCCCTGAAATCGTCAAATTGCAAGGCGAGCGAGCAGTGAAGTCCCCTCTTCGGTCCATGGACGCCATGAAATCAATCTTCGACCTTGCCTTATTCTCACAAGCTTCGTGGGCTGCAGCTGAGAGCCAGCTCCTCATCAAAGCGGTTGTTCAATACGACCTGCCGGTTTTCCTCTGTTCCGCTCTTGCAATTCCGCAACCGTGGTCAAGTGTTCAACAGAGCTTTGTGCTGCGCACATTCATTGTTTTCATCTCCAAGCAGGAAGATGGATATCAGCTCGCTCTCCATGGCGCTTGGCGGCAAGACCGACAGTGGGTATCAGAGCAGCTCTTTACCACTTTCACACAGGATCCCACATCCACTGCAGTGATTTATGAGCATGCCGCTGCATACGGGTGGCTTGATTATCTCCTTGGTTTTACCAACGGACTTGCCCTTGATCTCGCTTGCTACTCCCACCGTAAGAGTACTTTCGACCTCGAACAGTGGGTGCAGAATGCTGCACAGAAGGGTGCAATTGATATGGGTGGTCTGCTGTCGAAGTTCCTTCGAATCAAGGCGGAAGATGAACTGCACGTCCAACGGAAGGAGCAATCTGCTCACCAAATGGTCAGCCTCGCAGTAAAGACTGTTTATACACTCTTGTCCGTGTTGGAAGAATATGTCGGAGACCGTGAAAACCTCACACCTGTACAGCGCATCTGCATCCAGACCTATCCTCGTCTAATCAACTATGGCGAAGGATTCGACGATATCATTGATGCCAATGGCGAGAACGGCAACACGTTGCCTGACTCCATCGACAAGCAAATGCAAGAGCTCTTTGGTAAAATGTACCACGAGGAGTTGTCGCTGCGTGAGATGCTGGAATTAATGCGCAAGTACAAGTCTTCGCGGGACCCCACCGAACAAGATTTGTTCGCCTGCATGGTGCATGGTCTCATCGACGAATATCATTGCTACCATGAGTATCCGCTCGAGGCTTTGACTAAGACTGCGGTCATGTTCGGCGGCATCATCAACTTCCGTCTTGTTGACGGCATCACGCTGAAGGTCGGTCTCGGCATGATCATCGAGGCCGTTCGAGAACACGAACCTCACGATCCGATGTACAAATTCGGCGTCGAGGCGATTGAGCAGCTCATCAACCGTCTTCCCGAATGGGGAGGTTTCTGCCACCTGCTTCTCCAAATCCCGTCTCTGCAAGGCACCCCCATCTACCAAAAGGCCGAGGAGGTAATTCGTGACCACAAAAATAAGGTTGGCGAAGCCGAGGCGGGTCCCTTTGATGGCCTTGCTGCTGTGCCTGTGACTAACGGCAACGCTGTTGAATCTCCCGTTGCTGACGGCTCCGTTCGCAAGTTCCGTGCTGTGCAACTCGACCCTCCTCTTCGATCCGAGCTCTACGAAGACCCGGACGAAGATATCCAAGACAAGATACTTTTCGTTCTCAACAATGTTTCCGAGCAAAACATTGACGAGAAGCTCGAAGATCTGCGAGAAGTGCTGCGCGACCAACACCATCAGTGGTTCGCCGCATACTTGGTGGAGGAACGCGCCAAGCTGCAGCCTAACTTCCAGCAGCTTTACCTTGACCTTCTTGGCCGCATTGGCGACAAGATCCTTTGGGCCGAGGTTTTGCGGGAGACCTATGTTAGCGTCGCCAAGCTGATCAACTCGGAGAACACCCTTAGTTCATCGACTGACCGCGGTCACCTGAAGAACCTTGGCGCTTGGCTAGGTTCACTTACTATTGCCAAAGACAAGCCTATCAAGCACAAGAACATTTACTTCAAAGGTCTGCTTCTCGAAGGCTATGATACTCAACGCCTCATGGTCACGATTCCATTCACTTGCAAGGTCCTTGTCCAGGCTACCAAATCCACAGTCTTCAAGCCACCCAACCCTTGGCTGATGGATATTTTGGGCCTGCTGTTGGAGCTTTACCATTTCGCTGAATTGAAGCTCAACCTCAAGTTCGAGATTGAGGTTCTGTGTAAAGATCTCGACCTTGACCACAAGACAATTGAGCCCTCGGTTGTTATTCGGGATCGTGCTGCACATGCCGAAGAACTGCTGCCAACTGCCAACGTCCCAGAGGGACTCGGCGAGCCGTTTGAGGACTTGTCCCCCAACCCGATCACCCAAGCTATCCGGAATGAGAGATTGTCTCCGGCCGCCATCATGTCCACCCTGCCAAGTCTTGACAAGATCCTCGTCTTACCCTCATCGGCGAGCAGCATGGTTGATCCCACCATACTCAAACAGATTGTGCACACTGCTGTCGAGCGCGCTATTGCGGAGATCATCACCCCTGTCGTTGAGCGCTCTGTGACCATTGCATCTATTTCGACTGTTCAACTTGTCTCAAAAGACTTTGCCATGGAGCCTGACGAGGAACGCGTTCGCCATGCTGCTGGTATCATGGTGAGACAGCTCGCCGGTAGCCTGGCACTTGTCACCTGCAAGGAGCCTCTGAAGGTTAGCATGACCAACTACATCCGAATGATTCAGCAAGACTACTCCGAGCAACCTATGCCCGAGGGTTTGATTCTGATGTGCGTGAACGACAATCTTGATGCTGCTTGCGGCATTGTTGAGAAAGCTGCGGAAGAGAAGTCTCTACCTGAGATTGAGAAGGTGATCGAGCCACAACTAGAGGCTCGTCGCCGCCACCAGGCCAGCCGCTCTAACGACCCGTTCATTGACCCTTCAATGAACCGTTGGGGTCTGTTCATTCCAGAGCCGTACAGGCAGGCCCCCGGTGGTCTCAACAAAGAGCAACTTGCAATCTACGAAGAGTTTGCCCGCCAATCCCGTGGACCGGCCCCATCCACTGACTCGTCGGCGGGCCGTCAACTTCCAGATGTGCTTGGGGAATCCTATCCTGCTATTCCTAATCTCTCCACCCCGGCCGAACAGCCAGCCATTCCTCACAGAACCCCCCAGGCCCAGCCTGCTGTATCTCAATTGCCCCCTGTCCAGACCAACGGGTTCCTTGATGCCCAAAGTCCTCGGGAAAGAGTGGAAAGCCTCGTTTCCGACCTTCAGCAATCTGCTCGCAGCGCTCCTGAAGAGCACGTCAAGGACCTTGGCAGAGACAGTGTGGTGCTTCAAGAGTACAATCAGGCTCTGCGCAGTATTCTCAACTCGACCAACGGAGAGGAGCTGGCAAGACTGACCTCATTTAAGGTCTGCACTGTGCTGTATTCCCAGCAGCATGGTTCTCTCGAGATTGAAGTTCTCGTGCATCTTCTTGCCAAATTGTGCGATATGTCCAGCCTCATTGCTCGGTACACGTGGGCCCTGCTTTCCGAAGTTGATGATGAGCACATGTTTAATGTGCCAGTCACTGTTGCCCTCATTGACGCAGGCCTACTGGATATTCGCAGAGTGGATACCAACCTGACCCGCCTCATCCTGTCAAGGAATGTGCCCGCTTTGGAGTTGCTGGGCAATCTGATGGATCGCGTTCTCTTTAGCGAAGAACCCTCGGCCCTTCGATCAGACTTCTCCGGCAGCCTGGACGCCATGAACCAATGGCTTGTTGAGGATCCAAATATTGCCCCCGGAGTCGAGATTCTGCGAAAGTTGCGCGAGTCTGGTATTCCCGAATTTGTCAACTCTCTTCTCAGCGACCAAGCCCGATCCAAGCGAGACCAGATGGAGTATATCTTCAGCGAGTGGATCGGTATCTACAAGGCTCCCGGTGCCACTGACCGCACCTTCCACTCTTTCCTCCAGGATCTCCATAATCGTCAAGTGATGAGCAGCCAGGAGGATTCCGCATTGTTCTTCCGTCTCGGCATCGACATCTCCGTCGCCATGTTTGAGCATGAGTCTCAGAATCCCAATGGCGGCAGCATTGATGAAGCTTTCCTCTACATCGATGCCCTCGCTAAGCTCGTGATCCTTCTAGTTAGATTCCAGGGTGAGAGTGCTGGCGCCGTCAAAGCCAGCAAGGCTAGCTACTTCAACTCCATTCTGTCTCTCTTGGTCCTGGTCCTCAATCACCACCAGGTCATGAGAGGTGAGGCTTTCAACCAACGTGTGTTTTTCCGCCTCTTCTCTAGCATTCTCTGCGAGTACTCGATGAACGGGCTCCAGCGCACAGAGCAACATCAGGGCATGATTTTCGCCTTGGCCAACAAGTTCCTGTCTTTCCAACCGCGTTACGTGCCTGGGTTTGTGTACGGCTGGCTTTGCTTGGTTTCTCACCGCGTGTTTATGTCCGATATGCTCAACATGCCTGATCGTGCCGGATGGGCGCCTTACTGTGAAATCATGCAGGCATTGCTGTCCTACATGGGTGAGCAACTGAAGGCCGCCAACATTACATACGTTGCCAAAGATCTTTACAAGGGCGTTCTGCGTATCTTGTTGATCCTGCACCACGATTTCCCCGAGTTTGTTGCTGAGAATCATTTCCAATTCTGCAATGTCATCCCGGCCCATTGCGCTCAGCTCCGCAATCTTGTTCTGAGTGCCTATCCTTCGTCGTTCCAGAAACTTCCTGATCCCTTCCGCGAGGGCTTGAAGGTCGAGCGCATCGAGGAAATGCGTGAAATCCCTAAGATTGCCGGTGATATCGTTGCTCCTTTGCAGAATGCCAATATCAAGGACATCGTCGACAGCGCGCTCCAAACCGAGAGCATCTCCGAGACCGCCGTTCAGCAGCTTTGCGACGCGATTCTCACTCCCGAGGCTAAGGACACTGGTCTGTTCTTCGTCCCGGTCAATGTTGATGTCGTCCTGGTGAATGCGCTCGTTCTGTACATCGGTCAGCAAGCCGCAGTGCAGCATGCCTCCAAGGGCAACACCCGCAGCGCCTTTGAGAACTCGATTCACGCCACTCTCCTAGACAAGATCACCCAGGCCCTGCGACCTGAAAGTCGCTACTATTTCATCAGTGCCATGGCCAACCAGCTTCGTTACCCCAACAGCCACACCTACTTCTTCAGCTTCACAATTCTCCGTATCTTCGGTGTGGACTACAATGAGCAGGATGACACGGATGTCCGCCAGCAGATCATTCGTGTTTTGTTAGAGCGACTGATCGTCCATCGCCCGCATCCATGGGGCCTGATCATCACCCTGCAGGAGCTCCTCCAAAACCGGGCCTACGCATTCTTCCGCCTTCCCTTCATCCAGGCGGCCCCTGAGGTCAGTTTCCCCAAGCCTTGTTCTTGAGTCCCACAATACTAACATTTATACCACAGATTGGACGTCTCTTCGATGCCCTTCTCACACACATCCAGCAGCAGAGCCCTCGGCCTATCACCTAAACATCTCTCTACTTCTCTCTTCCTTCACTTCCATCTCTCAAGTTCTTCTGGGTAACTCGGGTGGTACAGGAGTACTTCATTTTGCATGTAATTTTCCACGGGGTCTCCACAATTGCTTTTTATCTTTCGCTTTCATGTTACGGGGGCTCGGGGGGATGGCCTGCATATTTATTTGTTCTCTTTCTTACGATTTCCGCATGACTTGAGGTTTCATGATATTATCGCGTCTCATGCTATCCGCGGCCTGTAATGATAAGACCGTAAAAGCTGGAGTTGACGGTGCTTTGCTTATCTGCATCGGTGGGAATGCTAATTCTATTATTCTTATGATCATTGGTAACTGTAGCTTTTACTGTTGAGGATATGCGTACTTTCTGGTTCTCTTTGGTCTTTTAAATCGAAGAACATAGTTGAATGTGACGACCGTCTGATAATGAGACCTCGGTCGATAGCTCGATAGTGCCCACGCAGCATATCCAGACCGCAAGACCGCAACTTCATTCTGCCACTCCCCCACCCCCTAGAATGGCAGACGAAGATTATACAGACGACGAGTCAGAATATGGCCCATCTTCGGCCAGGGCTGTCATCACGGTGAGTAGAATCATCCATGTCCCTCGCCTGCAACTGACACCAGCCAGGACGCGCTCTTCGCGCCGTTCCGCGCGCTGGTATCCAAGTCCGCCCTACGGCTATACCTGAACACGCTGCTGTTCATGGGCGCCGCAGCGCTATTGATAGGCATATCCGCTGTCGCTTATGGAATCTTCTATTTCAAATTCATTCCCACAGTCGGGCTGCAGCGCGAAGTCCATTTACAATTCGGGTGAGCCCCAACTTTGTCCTGCGACAACATTCCCCGCAAATCAAACAACCAGGTCAACTAATGAAATCTCGCGCAATAGCGATAGCGACCACCCCTGGGGCATAGCACACTTCGACTCGGAGTTCGTGCCCTTCCAGGCATACGACGTCTCGGTGACGCTGGAGTTGCCGCGTACGCCCGAGAATCTCGATGCTGGTAACTTCATGCTCGACCTTACCCTCTTCTCCTCCCGTCCTGCATCGTCCCTCGTCCCTGGTCCGAACAATGAACCCATCTCGCACTCCCGTCGACCTGCTATCATGACGTATGCCTCGCCGCTGGTGGACGTTGCCCGTAGAGCTGCGCGCATGCCGCTTTATGTCGTTAGTTGGTACCGGGAGTCGGAGACACTGGTGGTGCCGATGATGGAACATCTTGAGTTTGCAAAGGGAACGAAGAATCTGCCGCAGGGCTTGCAGCTGGAGATTCAAAGTGATCGGAGGATGCAGATCTATTCTGCTAAGGTGGATATCCGTGCTAGGCTTACGGGGCTTAGGTAGGTCTTTTTGTGGAGACGGAAGGGAGAATTGCTAGGCATGGCTAACGGCTGTATAGATGGGTTATGTACCACTGGAAGATCACATCGTTTGTGGTGTTCAGCTCTTTGTTCTGGTCTGTATCCATGCTCTCTGCTAGCCTGACGTGGCTAGCGATGACTTGGATTCTGGAGTCTATGCCCAAGGAGGTGATTAAGGAAGAATCGGAAGATGTTATCAAAGAGGAGTCTGAGGATGGGGATAGTGAGGAGTCTCCCGAGGTAAAGAAGGAGGAGTCGGAAACCCGATTGCTTTCTAGCTATCCGGCTGAAGGCGATGGAGCCTCAGGCTCTGGTATAGAAAAAGCGGAAGATCGTGGAGTGCAAAAACGGCGGAGTCATTCAAGGGAAGCAGAATGGTGAATAGGCTACGATGCTACGAGCCTACGAGCCTACGATGTTGTCTTAGTTAGAGATGTGGATCATCCCGAGCGATTGCGAAACCAAAGCGGGGGAAACTTCTTCCCCTCCATTCTTCACCTCAACCACTTCACTTCCCCAAATGCATATCTTGGTTAGTCTATGGTCTATAGATCTTCTAGGGAATTTCAAAAGCTCATACCATATATAGGTCACCAACGACGACGGTCCGCCGTCAAATCAGTCCTCGCCGTACGTGCATTCCCTCGTTCAATCGCTTCAGGCCGCCGGGCACACCGTCTCGGTCATTCTTCCGCACCAGCAGCGATCATGGATTGGTAAAGCGCACATTGTCGGCGCATCCGTTAAGCCTACCTACTTCCGACCCGGTACTCTCCACCAAGAAGATGGAACCATTCACCACCTACCCCGAGGTAGTGACGGGGAGCCCGACGACGAAGGCGACGAATGGGTCTTGATCGACTCAACACCCGCGAGCTGTGTCCAGATCGGCCTATATCACTACTTCCAGGAGCGAGGTCCTGTTGATGTCATCATCTCCGGTCCGAATTATGGTCGCAATACAACTGCTCTGTTCGCCTTGTCGAGTGGAACCATTGGCGCAGCGATGGAAGGTGCCTGCTGTGGAAAGCGCTCAATTGCTCTATCTTATGCATTCAGCTCTCGGAATCATGATCCTGTAATCATTGCAGAAGCCTCGGCCCATTCGGTAAAGTTAATTGAGCATCTATGCGCGAACTGGGACGACAACGTGCACCTCTATAGCGTGAATGTTCCTCTGGAACCAGGCGTTAGCGAGAACAAGATCATGTATACCGATATGCTGCAGAATACTTGGACCGGGAGTTGCTTCCAGGCTGTAGAACCCCGATCTGCAGATGATCCCGATTTGCAAGAACAGCAGCTGCGCGATGCGGGTGAAGTGGCAGGAGAGAAGCCCGACCAGACGGTTGGCAACAGTGATAAGTCCTCTCGTGGACCCCGGATTCAACACAAGCACTTCAAGTGGGCACCGAGCTTCCGCGATGTATTCCAGAGCGTGGAGGAGAGTGCGCCGGGCAACGATGGCTGGACCGTCAAGGAGCAAATGACTAGGTTTGTGCATTGCCCCTTTGACCACGAATGTCGGCTAACTCGGACAGTGTTACGCCTCTCAAGGCCAACTTTATGCATGCCCCCGGTATTTCGGGGGAGATTAAGCTGTGAGTGCAATGTTTAGCGTGAATGAATGCATGATATGGAGGGTTCAGTCCGATACAACATGTTGCATGGAATTGGAAGACTGTCTTAGCCATTAGATATCATGTCCCCTACCCCTTTTGATATGCTTTTTTCTTCATAAGACGTGCTTCTGATAAACGGAGATCTTGTAGATCGGCGACTCAGCCGTCACTGTACTCCCTCATCGACTGCGATGATCCCTACGTGCAACAAATGGTTGAGCGGGCATTGACTCGTCGCCTGGGAAGTGCCTCCAAGCGAGTGTCCTCTGTGTCCGAACTACCGGACTCGTCATCGCCGCTTTTCCAGTACCGCGAATATGAGCGCCTCGACTTCGAACATATCATGTCCCACTTCTCAACGTCGCTGTCGAGCGCATACATCATCCGAAAAGCTTTGATCCGAAAGCACTATCTCTCGAATACAGTGGCCAATTGGATCTCAAAGCACCCAGATAGCATCCTGCGAAAGCACTTCAAGCCCGCATTCGACTTCGAGCTCGACTACGCCGAGTTCCTCGACGATGCCCTACTGGAAGCATACGAACTCAACGACAGCCTAGCCAAGAACGCCGAACGCCCCGACTCCGAAAAGGAATGGTGGATCCTCAAGCCCGGCATGAGTGATCGCGGACAAGGAATCCGCATTTTCAACAGCGAAGACCAGCTCCGCGAGATCTTCGAAGAATGGGAAGAAGACTCAGACGACGAAAGCGGGTCCGAGAAAGAAGAAGACGACGAAGCCGAAGGCGGCGCCAGTCTAGACACAGGGATCGTCACCTCACAGCTCCGCCACTTCCTCGCACAGCCCTACATCGACCCACCCCTCCTCCTCCCATCATCCTCAAACCGCAAATTCCACATCCGCACCTACGTCCTCGCTTCCGGCTCCCTCAAAGTCCACGTCTTCAAGGAGATGCTCGCCCTCTTCGCCGCAAAGCCCTACTGCGCACCGCACGAAGAAGACGACGTCGCTGATCTCGCTCGCCACCTGACTAACACCTGTTTCCAGGAGGGCGGCAGCTCGAACGAAGGCAGCGTGCGTCGCTTCTGGGACCTTGACCACCACGTCCCCGGTCTCAGTGCGGATTGGAAGGAGAAGATCTTTGATCAGATCTGCGCGGTGACCGGTGAGGTCTTCGAAGCTGCGGCCCGGGGGATGATGATTCATTTCCAGACTCTGCCTAATGCCTTTGAGCTGTTTGGTGTTGATTTCCTTGTTGATAGTAATGGTGATACGTGGCTTCTGGAGCTCAATGCTTACCCGGATTTCGCGCAGACGGGCGAGCAGCTGAAGGAGGTTGTTGTTGGGCGCTTGTTTGAGGAGGTGGTTGATGTTGCTGTTAAGCCGTTCTTTGGGTTGGGTGATGGCGTTGGGACTGGGGATATGAAACTGGTTGCTGATATTGATCTTGGAAGGCATGCTTAGAGCTGGGGTTATAGATCTATGATATACCATTTTTCATGTACGAAAATAAAAAGTTCTGATTTTGACTACTCATCTCCTCCCAGTGGTATCATGTAACTCATACTATACAAAGCCGCCTTCAATCCATTGACTCAATCATTCTTCCAGAAAATGCGCCCCTCAAATAAACGCCTTGCCGTCCGGAAGACCGTAGCAGAAGTCAAACCCCCATCCGCATCGAAATTAGCACCAACCAGCAGATTCCCACTAGCATGTCCAATCGTAACCCCAGCCCTATCAACCGGATCCCTATCCACAACCCCAGCAACCGTACTCATTGGCACCCTCGCAGCAGCCGCAAGAGCCAAAGCAACCGTAATCGGCACCGCCTTATGCGGCTGGCCAACCGAAAGAGCTCTTGCCAGCAAATCCACATCCCCAGCCGTCTGTTTCCGCTCAATATCCCTCTTATCAGTAGTAGAAGGCGCAGCAACTATACAAATCTTTGGCACACTCCCAGGCACCTCCTCCCTCTCCTTAGCAATACCCATCTTCACCCCCGCCTGCCTTCGAATCGAGTCCAACCGCACCAGCAAATCCGGATGAGCGGTGATCTCCTCCGGAGTCATATTCCCCTGCACACCAAGATCGTCCGCCTGCACAAAAACACACGGATTCCCGACGTCGATACAGGTAACTCTCGTCCCATCAAACGTGTCCGTGACATTCCCCGTCGGCAGTAACTTCCCCGTAACCGACCCAGCAGGATCAATGAAATCCAGCTGGACACGAGCTGCAGTGCCAGAAACGCCGTCTATAGCGAAGTCGCCTGTAGAAGCTGCTTCGCCGTCGACGACAGGGAAAGAAGAATGGATGATTTTTCCTGTGTTGGTATTGTGGATGCGGACCGAGGCTGAATCCTGGTTTGAGTGTACAGGGACCAGCTGCGCGTCGACAGCAAAGGGTCCGACTGCAGAGCTCATGTTTCCACAGTTACTGGAGTAGTCGACGTCGGTGTTTTTGATGCCGAGCGAGATGAAGGTGTAGTCGACGTCGGCTGAGGGGTGTGTTGATGGGCCGACTACGCATACCTTGGAGAGGCTGGAGAGGCCGCCGCCTAGGCCGTCGAGTTGCCGGCCGTAGGGGTCTGGACTGCCGATTACGCTGCGGAATATGGGGGCCCAGTGGTTTTTGTCTTTGGGGAGGTCTGATTGTTTGAAGATGACGGCGCGGGAGGTGCCGCCGCGGTAGTATGCTGCTGGGAGGGAGTTTTGTTTTTTTGTTTGGATTTGTCGGCTACATGGTGGTAATTGAGTCAATTTTGGCCGGTTTGGTAGGCGAGGTAATGTATGTTTGAACATGTTGGGTTTGTTGGCGATCCTGGTGTTGGGGGTCGGGATATGGTCCATATAACCGGTCGGGGTCACTCCGATGGCCGGTTAGCTTGTGTCGGTCGGTCCGTTCCGCTGAGCCGTCGGGTCCCGATGGAGTATGGAGTAGAGTACGCAGTACGTGTCTTATTATTGGATCTTGGGCTTAGGATGTAGGAAAGAAGTCAGATATATGCCAGTATGTTCGAAAAGAAGCTGTATCTGTCCCTTGATCAACGATCTTTTGCGATCGCTTTCAACCATATCGTTGCTTCGCTAAAGCCTGCAAGAAACTCATAGTCTCCTGCTCCTTCTGACGATATGCCTGAGCTCGTTCTTCACGCTCCGCCGTACGCGCGCGAAGAATCTCCTCCCTCCGAATTTCCCGATCGTTCTTCTTCCGCTGATCCTTCTCCTTCTCTCGTTTCAGAGCAGCGAAATCGTCCCCGCCCATCAAATCTTCCTCCGGTGCTGCTTCAGGCGAGCCACCACGCATAGAGTCCGCAAACGCACGGTTACTCGCAGCGACTTCTCGGCGCTTCTCGAGCTGTCTCTCTCGTGTGCCCGCCTCGGCCCGCGGCGCAACCTCATCTTCGAGCTGGCGCAGTGCGGATTTATGCGTGCGGATTTCGGCACGGTACTGGTCGCGCGATGCACCGCGAGCGGCTATAGCATCTTCAATGGCGGTTTCTCCAATGGGGTCAGTTATCTTGGCCATGTTTGGAAAGAAAAGAAAACGAAAGATAGAACGTACCTCTTTTGAGCTCAAGATCTTGCATATTCGGAATCGTAGGTCCTAGGTGTGAACCACCTCTCGCTGAGCCTTGCGGAAGACTCGGCCCATACTCATCATCATCCTCGTCGTCCTCGCCTAATGGCGGATCCCGCGATGCTTCCCTGGTCTCTCGCTCTCCCCGTCTATAATCAGGCGATCCACGATCACCACCGGGGCCAACTAACGGCTCTTCTTGTGCGTTCTGGCGTGCCTTATTAAGTGTAGCGGGATCATACCATCCCTCCGCAAGCTCTCCACGGTTCCTGCGATGTCAGCAACCATCGCCGTAAAAGCCAAGGAGGCACCCCTCAGCACCTACCATTTTTGTATAAAGCTCTTCCACCGCCCTTTAACTTCTTCTTCGCTCATATCTTCGATGTATTTCTGTTTCTGGATATCCAGATACATGCCGAACATGGGCTCATAAGCCTTCAAGTCGCGCCCCGATAGCTCGCGCGCTTGGTAAGGGAGTACGACTGGTTTCGCTGGTGCCACTGGAACATCTCTGTGTCGTCGCTCGTGGCGATCGTGATCCTTGTCTCGATGTCTGTGGTGTCGGTCTGATTTGTGTCTGTCTGATCGGTGCGGAGAGCGCGAGCGCGAGCTCTCTCGCGGCCGGTGGCGGTGGGAATGGCTGTGGCGGCTGCGGTGTTCGCGGTGATGACGGTGACTTGAAGTCGGTGCGGAGAGGGATGTCTCCCGGTGCGAGGAGCGAGTTGGTGAGGGCATTCTGGCTGTTTGGTCGTAAGGTCCGTGGAGAAAAGATGGAATTGTCTTCGAAGTTCGGGGTCGATAAGGCTGATCGGCTTATCGGTTCCGCCTTGTGAGTCCCCGAAGTGTTTCCACTTGATTCCACTTCGAACTCCACAGCACTGTGTACATTCTCAAAAATCCTAATTACGAGGTTATGGTGGAGTGGCTGAAGAAGTCTATTGAAATGTAATCTGCTACATCATGGCAAACACCTAGAGACAAAAACATGCAGTTTGATAAATACATCTAAGCGAAGAGGTATACAACGTCCAATAATCCAGCATCACCAATTGAATTTAACTGGCAGGAGCACTCTGCTCCTGGCTCGTGGTAGCAACCGCATCAACAGCAGGAGTAGCAGGGGCACTCGACTGTGAGTTGGACTTGGATCGGTTGGCTGCGGCCATCTGCCATGCCGGGATGGAGGCAGACCGACCGAGCTGCGAGAGAGGGTTGGGGCTCTGAGTTGCGGGCGCGGTCACTGGGGCAGGGGCCTGAGTAGGTTCCTGTTCAGCAGGAGTCACCGTTGCAGCGAGGCTGTTGGTGGCGGCAGCGGGGGTAGCGGGGGCGGGGGTCTCTTCCGAAGCCGGGCGAGGGGTACTGGCAATGGGGGTCGCTCCGACAGTGCGGCCGACAACGGGGGGAGCTCCGCTACCACCAAGTCGGTTGCCTAACAAAGTCTTCAAGCTCTTGAGCTCAGTTCCGAGCTCCTTCAATCGGTTCTCATTTCCTTCCCGGGCACCTTCGAGGGCCTTGGGGATGGCATCCTTCAGTGACTTCACCTCGTCGCTGATGCGGCGAGTCTCATCGTCCCTGCGCCGTGATGAGTTCTTGAGATCAGCAACAAGGTTCTCTACCTCCTTGAGAGCCCCGTCCAAGCGCTCGGTGCGGGCTTCCTCGGCGGTCTTCAGTGCGGCGGTATCGGTCGATAGTTGTTCGATCAAAGTAAACGCACGGGAGAACTGCTCATCAATGTTTTGCTTATCTTGCTCCAGCTGGGGAGGGGTCGGCGGAGCGATCAAAGGTGCGATGTAACGCTGTATCGAATGATCAGTGCTATACTGGTTGGGGATGAACGGGACCAAGTACCTTCGTGACGGTATACAACCCATATCCAACTCCACCAACTACTGTTGCCATAATGAACCAGTCACGCCAATCTCTCTTGGGTGGTCTGTTGGATTGGTTAGCCTTTGATTTCATGCAGTGCTCGATATATGTACGTACTCAGGAGGCGGCTGCCATTGATTATATGGAGGGTAGCCATACCCAGGAGGTCCTGGAGGCGGTGGTGGTTGCCGGTAAGGTACTGGCTGTGAGGAGTAGCTAGGTGATGAGGATGATGCAGCTGTAGCGGCGGCCGCGGCAGCTGGGTCCTCTCCCACTCGCGATAAGGCGATGTCCACCTCCTCCTGTGTCAGGTTCTTGGATTGGAGAAACGAGACCCTCTTTTCAATAGGAGACGATGCAACCGATGGGTCCTGGAGGACTAGATAAAGTCAGCGATTATCACACAGCGAGCTATGCCCTCAATGTTCTTACAGGTAACCTGATGATATGAGTTAGCAGTAGCTCCGAAAGCGGAATATCAGAGATGAATGTTCAGAGACAACTTACAGCTGAGGCAATCAGCTCCTCGCGTGGAGCCATAATGATTGATGCCGACTGGTATGGAGTAATGAGGTGCAAGGAAGATGGTTTAGGGAGAGATGCGACGCCCGCATCGGCAATCGCCATTTGGACCTCGGAACCGCGCCCACGCCAAGACTTTCCCCAGACCGGGCGTCTCGTGATTATCGGCCAAACTGTTTTTCCATTTATTTCACACCGCCTACCGCATTCGAAGCAGCAGGCATTTGTTTACATTTGCTTTGTTCAAATCCCCTCGTGCCTGCCAAACAACATACCCCTCCTCGGATTTGGCCGCGCAACACACTTGGACATTACATTCTTGTCAATACATAGACTCATTTTATTTACAGCCTTTGTCAAAAGAACGGAATCCTCTATCGCCGCCTTCGCGGCTTGTCTATCACCATGTCGCAAGATACTGGGCTGTTCAGTATCAAGCGCCCCCGAGAAGTATAGGCACCCTTCTTTGCAGTCCAATGCATGTCCCTAACTGTTATTATGCGATAGACTCTCGGGAGTGTGCAAAACTTCTCCGCTATTCCTCAACCACAATCGGCGCTGAAGCGCGCAAGCTCTATCGGGTTCCAAAACGCCCCGTACAGCTCTCAACATCACCGAACCTCCCTGCTGGGCTCAACTGGTCGCCCACAACAGCCGAACTTTACGCGCATGTCGATTGGTGGACCATACGGTGCTGATGCCGGCCTTTCATCCGTTCGCCGATCTGTGTCGAGCAACATGTTCGCGGGGGGTAGTGCTAGTCGGCAGAGCTACGCGCCGGGCTCTCTCTCCTCCAATCCCGCACCTCCCAATCCACAACGCAGGAGTAGTGTGTTCTCGCGTCCGTCTACTGGAGGAGGGCCGATGGGACATCAGTCATTCTTCACTCAGGTCCCCACCGTAGCTGGTGTTCCCAGAGATCCGCGCCCTCTCAGAGACCGCTCTTTCCAGGCGCGAATTGGCCAAGAACTCTTGGAATATTTGACAATTCATGGATTTGAGTTGGAAATGAAGCATTCTTTGGGACAAAACACCCTTCGCTCGCCCACTCAGAAGGATTTCAACTACATCTTCCAGTGGCTCTATCACCGGATTGATCCGGGCTACAAGTTCCAAAAAGCGATGGACGCTGAAGTACCGCCAATTTTGAAGCAGCTACGATACCCATATGAGAAAGGCATCACAAAGTCGCAGATCGCAGCGGTCGGCGGCCAGAATTGGTCGACCTTCCTTGGGATGCTGCATTGGTTGATGCAGTTAGCACAGATGATGGATCGATATCAGACTGGCGAATATGACGATGCATGCGCTGAGGCGGGTGTTGATGTCTCTGGCGATCGCATCATTTTCCGCTTCCTCACTCAAGCCTACCACGATTGGCTGCAGGGTGGAGAAGATGAGGACGATGACACTGCAGAAAAGCGTTTGATCCCTCACGTGGAAAATATGTCCCGAGAGTTTGCCCAGGGCAACGAGCGGTATATGCAGGAAATGGAGGCGCTAGAAGCAGAGAATCGGGCTCTCCGTGACCAGATTGAAGAAGTGGAAAAGAGTGCCCCGGACATTGCCAAGCTGGATAAGCACTTCCGCATCTTGGAAGATGACAAGAGGAAGTTCGAGGACTACAATCAGAACGTCAAAGGGAAAATTGAAAAATACGAGACTCGTATCAAATTCCTCGATGCAGAGATCCAGAAAACCGATGCCGATCTCCAGGCTACTGAATCCGAGCGGTCTGAACTCCAGGCAAGTGTTGATCGGCAGGGTATCACTATCCAGGATATCGACCGTATGAACTCGGAGCGAGAACGTCTGCAGAAGAGTCTTGAAGATACCATGGCTCGTCTTGAAGAGGCCCATGCCCGTGTTATGGAGAAGGAAGCGGAGGCCAGCCAGAAGCTGGAAGATCTAGAACAGATCGTGAAAGCCTACAATACTCTGGGTTACCAGACCAGCTTGATTCCTGCGGCGGCGGAAAACGCCAAGGGCCAAGACTATGAGCTTACTCTCAATATCAACGAGAACAATTTCTCTGCTAGTCAGATCGGCGGTCCTCAAAGTCGTATTTCTCCGGAGGGGGATCGTCTACTGGCGGAACCTTTCACGGGCTACCACCCCGCGCACTTGCTCAACCTGGACCTTCGGGGCTCCGTCCGAAACAGCCTGCAGTCACTCCGGAAAGAAATCAACGAACGACGGAAGCGAGGGATCGATGACGATCTTGAGCGTCGCAATCTCCTTGACAACATCAAGGAGGCAATGGATGAGAAGCGAAGCGAGGTCGAGGCCTTGGAACATCGCCGCCGGGCAGCAGAAGAAGAGTTCGAAAGGACCAAGGAAATCACCACTACTCAGAAACTGGCCTCCGACGCTCAAATTGAGAAGATGGAGAAGGAATTGGCCAAAATGCGCGCTACGCTCAGCGATAGTGTACAATTGGTGGAGCAGCGCGAGATGAATACCAACATTGAGTACGAACAATTAACGCTTCGAGCAAATGCTCTTCGGGAGGAGCTGCACACCAATGTTGAGACGATGCTCAACGATGTGATCCGCTTCAAAGTACATGTTCAGAAGGGCCTTGAGGACTACGAGAGCTTCGTGGTTGACGAAGTGGAGCAGGAGCTTGGGGGCGAAGAAGGTCCTGAAGAGGAGCTCTGAGGTTAATGTGCTTTCACGATTTGACGATTATTTTGGAGTCTATCGGTTTGATTGAGGTGTTGATTTCATGTACAATACCCCCACCGGATTAATTAAGGCTTGTCTGGCAAGGACGCGCAATGCACATATTATTTTGTTTAGAGGCATGTTCTGCGATCTTGGCGTACTTCGTTGCTCGACTTTAACCGGAAAGTGGTGAAAGAGTGGACTGATCGGCAGGATGGACATTGGAGAAATTAGGGTTGAAAGCTGTCATTTGTTCGTTTTATATGGACCCGTTTCTGCCTGAAACAACGCCCTCGCGTACCATAGCAGCATCAGTTTGATCGACGTGCCACCCACACGCTTCAGGTATTCTAGACCAACTCCTCTTCAGTTGATAGGGCTTCTTTCACCCATTGCCGAAAAGATCGTCCTTGGTTTAATCCTTTTGCCACGGGATTTGACCTGGCCCCTGCCGATCTATGTGGTCTCATACACAACGCATATTGTTTCGGCAACGTTTGACGGGACCCATTATTTTGACCTCGATGGAATGACGAAACCGAAGGAGTATATAACTAAAGAGGAATTTCCTCTTCTCTGGGGCTTCTTTCGATCAGCAGTGCTGAGCACCTCCATTCGTTCTTTTAAAACAGCTTCAGGTCTTCCTTACATTGCCACTTCTACTGTGTAGCATTCATTCATTGCCAAATCCTGTCTTCCTCATTAAGATCAAATCTCAACAATTCATCATGAAGTTCACTACTGCCTTCGGCGTTGCTGCCCTATTCATGGCTCCATCTGCTGTTGCCTGGAAGCTTCCTGTGAGTAAATGCAGTATCAAGCCTCGGTTCAATTCGTTTTCGCTGACAGTATTCCTCCAGCATGGTCACAAGCTTGATGCTCCCACTCCAACTCAGCTGCCGTCGCCTTCGGGCCCGGCACTCACTCCCACGGGGACCCCAAGTGCATCCCCAAGTGCGTCTCCTAGTGCATCCCCCAGTGGGTTCCCAAGCGGTCTTCCAGGCGGTTTCCCGCCCGGGTTCCCTCCCGGATTCCCTCATGGCCCTGGTGAACATGGTCATGGAGAACACGGTCATGGTGAGCACGGCCATGGTGAACACGGCCATGGTGAACACGGCCATGGTGAACACGGCCCTGGTGAACACGGCCCTGGTGGTCTTGATCATGGCGGTCCTGGCCAATGGGGTCCTGGTCCATGGGGTCCTGGTCATGGCGGTCCCGGTCATGAAGGCCCTGGTCATGGCGGTCCCGGTCACGGTGGTCCTGGCCACGGCGGTCCTGGCCATGGTCCCAAGCCCACTGTCACCAGTGACATGCCTTCCGGGTTCCCAGGGTCCACTGGCACCCCATCTGGAATCCCTGAGTCTACCGGTGCCCCGTCTGGATTCCCAAGCGGCTACGCTGGCGGCAGTTCTGCTAGCGCGACTGTTACTCCCACTGCAACCTCGACTCCTTCTGCTGGCGCTGGAGGGAGCGGCTTCCCCCGCATTCACGCCCGTCAGGTCCGCCCTATGCTGTTTTAGTTCATATGTGGGCGTTTCGCAGATTGGCTCGCTGTGGCATGTGAGATAGATCAGAAGTTAGAACTGTGCTTCCCATGGCTGCTGGATCAGCCATGGAGATAAGACATTTTGATGTTAGGAACTCTTCCTTTTCAGTTATAGCGTAGAGTAGTGAGCTTGTATCCGTAGACAGCATGAGCCTGACACAGCAAGATGTCAATAAGGTGTGGAGTTGGTTTCATCTTGGATTGTCTGTGGTCGGTCTGCTCCCAGTCGCAATGGGGGACAGTAAGCCTGGATAAGAATTGTAAATAGCCCGCATCAATGAAATCTTTTCCTCCAACACGAACTCTTCCAATGCCAGTTCGGAGGTGCAATGGTGAAGGAGTAAACTCCGCATTCTGTGACCTCCAATTGGCCATAGCTCGATGCTGACTCAGCCCAGATCTCCCGATCTCAAATTCCAAAATTCTCGCATTCTCGTGTTTTGTCCGATAACATTGCCGTTGTCACAGTGTTTCCTTCACTGACACGGGCGAATCTCGTGGACACTACGACATGCACCTGTGACTCGACATGTATCACGTCAATCCCGTATCTATCGAGATCGCGAACCCTATACACCCGCCTTCGAGGCTTGCGGTACCATGAGCAGGTGCTTGCACCCCGGCCGCATCCTGCCATTCGGTCGCAGGCCAGCTTCGCGCCTTCCTTTCCTTCCTTATCGATCTGTCGCTCCTTTTTCTCGGCCAACATGGAGTCAATTCACAGAGAAAAGTCGTCGCGATCAACGAAATGTCAATTACCCTGACGAAATCATCTTTCTACGCCAATACAATGTGATCAACCACCCTCGGCTCACGCACGACCAGAAAAGGAACATCGCCGCGTGGATTCCGTTATTGAGGGAGTATCTTCAACGAGAAGTTGCCAAACCTGCAGGCCAGGCAGGGCGGCTTCGTCCACTCCGCGAATCCCAAGATGAACTTGACCGGACCCACGCTCTTATGGGGTGTCTTTGGGATGCCAGAGTGCACTTTGAATATGAACTCATTGCGCATCTGGGATTTGAGTTGAAAGAGTGGACTAATGTGGAGGCTCTACTAAACAGTTTGATTGACACCTATGAATTGCTCGTGCCTCACATGCCTCCGAAGCATCCTTTACATGGGCTGGATTGGGACAAACCGTTTCGCGTACGACGGCATCATGAACCAGAATCCGACCTGGAGTCTCCTCTTGCCTCACAGGTCTCCCTTAGCAAGCTTAGCGGAGCAACACGACCGAACTCTGCCTGGAAATGGACACGTTTGAAGCCTGTCCCGTCAGACAGCGTTTCCCTTGATACACTGACGGTAGAGCCTGCACCGAGGTTCTTTGGGGAAAGAATACTGGCCGAAGTGCTTGCAAGTCTGGGCTCCCTAGTTCTACATGCCTCACAAGCGACGCCAAATGATTATAAAATTGCAATGTCCTGTGTGTTCAGGATTCTTGCACGTCTGCACCATGCAGGAATGATATCTGATCGAGTGTATCAATATCCGCCTCCAGATGCTAGTCAGAGTGTGTTCCGCCCGCCAGGACTCCATCTCTTGTCCAACTCCATCATGAGCGTTTTATCCGACGCGGCCTGGCATGAACATCAAGCGGCTGTGGCTGCCGCGGCTGCCGATGCAGGAGAGACATCACCTTTCATTCCCTATACGCCGGGCATCCGAGAGCTGGGCCCCGAGATTTGGTTGGAGCTCATTCTATGGTGTTGTGTCGAGCATGGGTTCTGCAAAACAGGCTCACTTCTTGTGAAACAAATGAACTTGCAGAAAGAGTGGAAAACGCAGAGTTGGGCGCCTCTCATCAAGAACCTCGATATAGTCAAACAAACCAACATCAACGCCGAGCAATCTTGGCGCCAGCCCGGTCAAGATGAACAACCGCGGACGTTCAAACGTCAGAACAAAAATCCATTCAATGGGCTTGGACACCGGGTCATCAGCGCTGAGGTGATTGCCTCGCTGCGGAGTAGCTTGACAAACAGGGCCTATGTTGGAATGGGGGACCGCGGATATCTTCCCATGGACCTGGTCAACTTGTCAACCCCTCTCACCAAGATTTTGGAGCATCCTTCCTCCAGCCGTGACCTCCTACCAACAAACAGGAATGCCAATTGGCAGATCGTACGGGTGCTGAACTCAGGTTGTATAAGACCATCATCTGACCCTGTTACCTTTGAGGCACTCCTGAGGTCTTACAGCAATGTTGTACCTCCGTGGGAAGGAGACGAGCTCAAACAAGCACAAGAGCTGGATGGCAAAACGCGGGCGCAATTCTACGATGAAAGCGCTGCCTTCACTGGATTGATAGAGTACAACCTCAATTATTATGCTCGGGACAAACAAAGCGGACGCCTTTTTCACGAGTATGGTTGGCTCCAGAACATTGCCGATGCGAGCAAGGCACGGCACATTCAGGCATTCTTCACAAAGTTGACGGAGGCCAGCGAGGAAGAAGTTCCCTCGCTCTTTGATTTTCAGTCATTTGAACCCCACAGCGTCTCTCAGTCGTCTATCCCGCAGCTATCATATGCCACCTTTGCCAACATACTTGATGTGGCAACTACAACCCATGCTTTCGATTTTGGCAAGCAACTACTTCTACACGATGACATTGATGGCCCTGCCATCCCTCTAAGCGCATATGGCAACCAGGCCTTGGCGCCGTCAATACTCCGATTTGCAGCTGCCACCAATAACTATGCGCTTGGCGACAGTGTGGTATCTGCCCTCGAGATACCTCTTACTGTCAACACCATCAAATCCTTGATCAATTTCAGCATCGCCCGAAACGATTGGAGACGTGTGGTGATCATGCTCGACTTTATCACCGAGAACCGAGCTAAGTCGTGGGGGTACACCAACATCAGCGCGTTGGCGAGTGCAATCATTCGGCTCGACGCCACCGTTCGGCGCAAGACTGCCGCAGGTACATTGACTCAGGCAGATACCAGCAATCTCAAGTCTGCCATAGACATTCTGCTGCGTATCTTCCGCGGCGAGTGGAATGCTAGCAACACTCGTGAGAAAGTCAGGGTCTTCCAGCTTCGGGCACTGTCTCGTATGCATCGTGTGCTCTCCCTCATCCCGGGTCCTCTACAAACTGTACTCAAAGACGTAGAGCCACCCAAGGAGATCACAGGACATCACAAGGCCACCTTCATCCCTCCAGTTGCCTTCCACGACATATTTGCTGCCGTCGTGGAAACGCAGGGCGCGATCGCCGGCAAGCAATTCTGGGATAAAGTCTGCGTCGACTGGATCCCGCCCAACCGCATGCTCCAAGCTCCAGGCGGTGTTGCCCGGCTGCTTTTCAGCAACGAGCGAACCCACAGCAACGGCAGCCCAGGATGGGATGCGAAATACGTCGCTCATGTCCGAAAAAAGGCCACGGTAGCAGACCTCAATACCATCCGCATTCTCGCGCGTACCGCCGTCCGGGAATATGCCGAGGAAGTAGAAAATTCCACACGCCCAGCCAGCGATCGCAGTCGCGCTAAGATACCCCAACCCAATACCCCCTCCGCCTCCTCCAGCCTCTCTTCCTCTTCCTCCTCATCATCATTCACCTACAACCCCGACATCCCATACAAACCCTCCATCTCCAAAGCAGAATACCGCTACCAAAGAACGAAGGGCAAGCCACCCCAGACAGAATTGGAGTCTATCCTGGACTTCTGTCTCGAGACTTTCCTCAAATTCAATCTGCCGGAAGACCAGCTCGATATCGAAATCCCAGGCCACATGCGTCGCATGCAGAACAGAGGTGTCTTTACTTCCCCTCTGCGTGGTCCTGTCAGACAGCGCATCAAGTACAACGCCGAAGATCCCTGGATGCACTCTTCCTGGTCGGAGAAGTTGACGCATTCTATGCCGCCGCCAGACAATCACAGGTCATAAGGTTAAGGCCATCTCGAGACAGTGAGCTGTCTTTCATGTATTTTTAATCTCAAGTAAAAACTATTTACAGATGTATATACCATTTTCTTTTCGTTTCCTCCCGTCTAACTATCAGGTTAAATGTCCTTGTTGCATTCTGCGGTAGTTCCATGTACCGCAGTGGCCCACTGTCCGCCGCCCACAGATGGTTGCCATCGCGGCTCTTCTCGACCGTCCCAAGGCTTTACTAAAAGGTGAAGAGAGGGTACATGAAAAATTAAAAAGTAAACGCAAAGACTTGATGACATAGAGCTCTCAAACATAAGTAGCATCATTCTAGCCGGTCTCTAGATTGAAGAACGCAACGTTCGTGACCGTCCGCAGATCTGCGACCTGCCTAGTGCTTCCCACCACGCATCATCTTGGAGAGGTTCTCGAAGGCAGTGCGACGGTTATCCACGATCCCATTGAATGTGTCTACTGGTCCAATACTGCCAATTACAATCTGATCTTTGCCCTCGGCCAGTCCCTGATAAACCTGCTGCGTGAATGCGTCCAAGGGCATTCCCAACTGGCGGCCCGCATCCTCGCCCATGTAATCGTGCAATTCCGCTATAGCCAAGGGGGGTCAGCACTGAAAATATCAACATTATAAGCGCCAGGGCTTTTGCCTTACTCTGGACCGGTGGAGGGGAAATCTCGACCACTTTGGTGTTCGAGTGCCTCAGCTGCTCCCGCAAGCAGAGTGTAAAGACATTCAAGGCGGCCTTGGATGCTGAATACGCCGGAAGCGTGGCGGCAGGCACGATGGCCAAATTCGACCCGGTACTGAAATACATCCCATTAGCTCCCCCGCGGATTGGCGACCGCAGGCGTTCTTACAAGATGAAACTAGTTGGGTTCGGGTTCTTCTGAAGATATGGCAGAAGGGCATGGGTGAAAGAGACGAAGCTGGAAAAGTTGATCTTCACTTCCTCGTGGAAGGCCGTCAGATCAAACTTGTCGAGATCTGCCAGATCGTACGGGTTTTGCACCCCGGCATTAAACACAATGGAATCAATATCCGGCGATTCCTTCATCACCCTGGTATTTCCATCACTTAGTATGTGGAAAAAGCTCACGGGTGAGGTCGGGAAAAGAAGTACCTTGTGACGAAATCTGGAATCCTGTCCAACTCTCCTATGTCGAATTGCTCGCCTTTCGCTTGTGCAGGCCCGAAAGTCTGGACGAATTCATCCAGACGGTCCTGTCGCCGACCCACGGCGGTGACCTTGGCCCCCGACTCAATTAGACGGGTCGCGAGGGCTTTGCCGATTCCAGATGTCGCGCCGATAACCAAGAAATGCTTGTATGGGAACGCCATTCTCTTTCTAATGGGGGTATTAAGGAATTACGAGCCTGCGGTGGGTCGCTGCACTGTGACCGTTTATATGAACCTCTTAGCGTCTTATACCGCAGCCACTAGAGGCTTATATCCATAAGCCACCGCGGGGTTCGGCCTTACGGTCTTATCTTTCTTGCCCCCGAGAAAGTCCAGACTCCAGACTCCAGACCGACATCAGCAAATAGCGATTAGCGGTTACTCTGTGGCGCTATGGCCGTTGCCGAAGTGGAGAATGTGGGGACAAGGCTCTGGGCTATGTAGATTCTACTGTGTGTACACCATCCACATTTACGGTGTGTCCACCATCCACATTAACTAAACAAAGAGTAGCCAAACCTGAACTTCCTCTTCGATCTGATCCCAAGACAGAGGTTCTGGATGTGGTTGGATGCGGGGATTCCCTCTGGCCAGTGTTGAACGGATCTCGGCATGTGTGAGTGATCAAGTGTACTAGTGTAGGTATTCAAAGGTTGAAAGGGTTGTAGGGGTAAAGGAATATAGCCGGGAAGAAAAGCCTTCGCCAATGTACTATGAAAGCTTCAGCTTGATTAGTGGGCGCCTTACTTGGTTGGGAGATACACCAGAACCTAGAACGAGCTTAGTCGTGGTGTAATAGAAGATGTATACAAATTGTTGGATCATTTGTTCTCTGTTCGGGCTGTTAAGACTTTAACGGATACATGATGCACCAGAAAGCTTTTTGGGGGATATTCGCATGGAGTTTTAACGGGCAGGAGGAAGATATTGGTAGATTAAGAATGACGGACGTAGGAGATGGGGGGTCAATAAGATACAGCTAGGAGGAACTCTGACCTGGGAAGGGCTGTAGAGTATGCGGCGATAGTGGTAGATGGGGTGGGAGAGCAGAGGACAGGAGTGGTTAAGTTAGCTAAGGTAGGTAGAATGATAGGTAGTATGAGGATGGATGTTCCGTCCCGGTATAAGTTATTACGCAACAGCCCTTCCAGGAACTCGTCACAGCTCCCAATTCTCATTCTCACTAGAATGGGGGAAAAAAGACTTCATGAACTGCCCACTGATAGGATCATAGGGGAAATACTCATCCTGCGCCTCGGCAGTCATCGAAGTCATCATATCCGCCGTCGTCAGATCCGGATAAGTATAGTGGTCTTCACCGGGTACCTCAGGAACAGGCGCAGACATATGTTCCAAATACGAGCCCCAGAAATCATTAGCCTGGGAACCTCCGAGCTGTTCAGGCTGCTTCTCTGAGCCGACGGTAGTTGTCGGCTCGGGGTGGTACGGGTAAGAAGGCATGTCGCTGACGTCGTATTTCATGCCCTGGGCGAGCTTACGGAGACCGAGGTCGCAAAGCTGCCAGGCGCGACGGGAGGCGATGCTGCGTTCGGACATTGCGAAGAACCAGCGGGTTGCTTTTTTCGCTAATCTGACGAAGTTCGTTTCTTCGTCTGGCATGTGGACGGTGCCAAAGGAGAGTTCGAGGAGGACGACGGTTGCTGCCTGCATTAGGTAGTGGAGGATGCACCACCACGGAGTGATCTGGTATAGTTGTAGGGCGTCGGGTTCGTCGGGGATGAGATCTAGCATGCGGCATGCCGACTCGAGGGTTATTACTGCCATTTCGTGGCTGAAAGATGGGGTTGGGCCCTTTTGGCGGGCGTCGCGTCGGCAGAGACAGGGACGGCCGAGGGTGATTCGTGCGCTGTAATAATGTAGCGCTAGGGTCAGTTTGCAGCGTAGAACCTCGGGCGTGTCGTCCCTTTTGTCTGTGAAGTCGAGTCCGCTGGGGAGGCTGGCTCGCCACATCTCGATTCGGGATCTGAGTTCGCCGATGCGGTTCTCGATGTGGGCCCATGGGACCATTACACAGTCTACTGAGTAGACTTTGTTGACGATTTCTTGGGCGACGACTGTTAGGTCGCAATAGTATAGATAGCAGAGGCCGTAGTTGACTGGCAGGCTTTTGATCCATGTGGTATCCCGTGCTCGAGTGTGATGTGCCGCCTCCTTGCCGTTTGCCGGGTTGAGCGGCATTTGTCGGATGCAGGCACTTGCCATTACGTTGTTGATTCTTTCATCTCGAAGGGTCGCATCTGTAAGTACTTCGACCGCACCTGGCTCTTGCAGCTGGTCTTCGTCGAATGGGATTGGGAAAGGCGAAGTGCACACTCCGTCCTGGATACACGTTGACCGGCCAGTCATTATCCCGAGCATGTGCTCAAAGTTATAGAGACACCACCAAACCCGGTAACGGGCTTCTTTTGAAAGATCAGGCGTGGTTGGACTGCTGCTCTTCATGTTGATTCCAAGTGTGATTGCAGAACGGACGGCTAAAGCCGAAATTCTCCATGCCCTATGAAGGCGTTAGATCTGGTTCAGCACGGATAGGGAGAAAAAGATCGTTAGACTTACCGATTTATTTGATCGGCAGAAAGAAGATAGAAGGCAATCAAAGCCTCCACTTGAACTTGTTGAAGATCAGGGTGGCTGAACAGAACGTCGCCGTTCATACTGAGAATCCTAGCTCGGGTCAGGTATACCAAATGGTCCTTCTCGTTCCCGCGCCATGGTGCTTCGATGAGATGGCTATGTTTGGCCCCGATTGCGAAAATCATGTTCAGAATGGCAAGCCACTTGTCTCCTGGTTGAGCGGCACTGTCAAAGAATGTCCGATACTGTGCGGTGAAGAGAGGTTTGTTGATTATGGGGAAGAACGGATGTACCGTGACCAGATAAGTCTCATACATCTGATCCGCCAGCTCCCGAGGAGGCATGGAATACAACTGTACCGGTCCAGGTACAGATATATCCAAGTCATCGAGATGGTAATTGACCGCATGGAGAGATAATGCATCGTCGAATCTCGAGTTTTGGCCAGGCTCCAAGGTCCCCGGGAGACCTTGGGCTCGTTGGCCTGCCTCCCTCTGCAGCCGTTGCATCCACGTTATTTCTGAGTTCTTTCCCATATAGCCGGTCGCTCTGGTATGTTCTGATCGATTGAGATCCTCTTCGACTCGATCGATCGCATCAAGAGACCCAATAGAGGAAGGCGAGGAGGGCTCGTCGTTTTCCGGGATATCATCCTGAGGAGTCGCCGATTGAGACTGGGTGGTATGTGACGAATAACCCGCTTCCGTACCATGCTGTAGTTGATTATTAGTTGTAGTCCGATATCCCAGCAGGAGAAACATACCTTGTCCAGCAAGCTCCTGATCCGCTCAGCGGCACGATTCTCTACCGTACTACCCAGCTCTTTCAACATGTTCTCGTATTCCTGCACTTTCTCTGATAGGTCCTCAACTTGTCTATAAGTAAACAAAAGGTTGTCAGCATGTTGGTTCGTAATGCGAGTCGGGCCGGGTTCGAGTAAGAGATGCATGCAAGATATCCGATATACCTACTTTTTCGTTTTCTCTCGCCATCCCTGGGGATACTTGCACGCAACTCTCAGCTCACGACACTGGCGACAGACCGGAGTATCGCCACTGCATTTCGTTTTGCGTTGCCTGCAGGATTCACAAGCGCGAGGCACCCGTCGATTGTAACGCGGGGCAACTCCGGCCCGTTGACGAGGGATGGCGACCTTGGCTTGTGATGCAAGATCCTTATTCGAGAGAGGCGGGTTTGAGCTAGCACTGCTGGCGCCTATCGTTAATGTCCATTCTGTGCCAGAAGGAGGGAGGTTTCTGTCGAAGGCGAGGTCTGTTTCTGATGGCTGAGCGGGGACTTCAACTTGAGAAGGGCCGTCGTTGTGGCTCGGCTGGAGGGGGGTTTCCGTGTTCGTCATCGTCGCGAAGGGCTTCTATATGTGACCGACTGTGCTCTGGTAGTGCCGTCCAATGACCGATATCGAAACTGCGGTCCTGCGACAATCTGCGCTTCGGTATCGGCTTCGGTACAGGATTGTGACCAGTGGTCGAGTCGGACTCGCATAGGGAAGGCTATGAAGTGGTATAGGAACTTTGTCGGAGGAAGGGACATGTGAGATCCATCGATAGAATGGCCTGCAAAAGATAGATGTTATCTAACGCAAGTGTACTGTAGAAAAGAATTGATGTCGACCAACCAACTGAACGCTAAGTGGCGGAATTCGTAACCAGGTGAGGGATAGGCCGCCCGCCTTCCTATTTAGGTCTAGAGCAATGGGTCCGGCGGCTCATTTTTCCTGGGAGTTCTCAGAGTGTTCTATCGAAAAATTGTACACAGTAGATGTGAGAAATACGCATGCTCGTGGGAATCAATGAATTGATGGGAAGAAACGCTAGTTATTTTGACACTTTTGGGTGCAACCATTCCTCCAGCCATGGGATTTTCCCAATCCTACCCATCCAGGGTAACCAAACCAGAAACCATATGTATATATACAAGAAAAAATAGGCATTAGCGAAAAAATGGTAAGGGGTGCGCCGGGAAGCCAATGGACATGTACAGGCAAGGTGATATAGAGGTAAAGCGCACAAGGCGGGTCACAGCCCTGCCAAGAGTGGAGAGAAAGATGAAGGAGAAAGACATGAGTGGAGCTGAAGTCGAGGAGGATAATTTAGAATTCGCCAAACATCTCGTCAAGTTCATCGACTTCGACCATCTCAGGGTTTTGCAGCTCTTTCCAGGAGTCGAAGAAGGGCTCCGATTTCGCGGAGACGGGCCGAGGGGTCAGAGTGAGCCTCTCATGTGACTCAGTCAAGTCAGACATCTTCAAATCGACATTGGGGAGACCGCTGTTCAACATGTCGAGCGAGCGCTTGAGAGTTGAAACGGGGGCGGCATCCGGATCCTCGGGAAGACTGATCTGCGGGGCGAGAGTGCCAGCATGCTCGTCATCAACACCGGCATCGATCATAGCACTCGTGCCAGACGAGACAGACGATGCGATGGAGCTAAGAGAGGGCGAGGGCGAGGTACCAAAAAGCGCGCTCGCGGCGGCCTCGTCGAGATCTTGAGCCATTTGGTCGGCAGGCATGTGAGAGAAGTAGTCACTATACTCTTCCTCGGACATACCATCACCCTGCATAGACGGAGACATGGAATCGCCATCCACAGGTGATTCAGACATGCGCATGTCGCGGTCTCCCAAGGCACTCAGGCTCTCGGAAAGGATGGACTGGCTACGACTTGACTCGCTGGCTTTTTCCTCTGATGCACGCTCACGCACGGCACTGGCGGTTTGTGTGAATTCCTTCTCATCACCCTCCAGGGGCGGAGAAGCCGCACGGTTCGAGTGCATGAGACGCGACAGATTACTAGCATCGGGGAAGTGGTCGGAAGTACCACGGTGGTTGGCAGTGCTGTTCATATTCCCCTGCTCCTCGAAGTCAGGAGAAGACAAGTCCACTTCAGGACTGGGGCTACGTTCCCGCACGATGGCGTCTTCCTCATCCTCAAGGCTTGATACACTAGGCGTGATACGCTTGTTATTCACGGCCGAGGCTGTATCATCATTCTCAGGGATAGGTTGGTGAGGGAACGTAGTAAGATAGTAGTACACTTTGCGGGGGTGAATTAAGATAAGCTCCTTGGCGATAGGGCACGGCGCGAGGGCCGTCCAAGAACGCTTCATATAGGCGGCCAACCGCGAAGAGAGGAGCGCGGCAGGATTGGCGGAACTAAAGTAATTGTGGTTAGTGATTGGACCTAAAAGCAGACCTGCGGTGATAACATACTTGGCAACGTTCGCATTCAATGCGACCAGAACCGCGGCGAGTTCTTTAACGAGATGAGGGCGATTGCCCGTCTTTTCCAGTTGATTGATCACAGCGACCACAATATCGTCGTTAATCCCTTCTGTATCGATTTTAGGAGCAGTTACACCGTCCATAGGTGATGGTGGTGGTGTAATCTCATAAAGTCCACGTCGACCCGCGCGCGCGATAATCTTGGGATCGGATGGCTCGGGTGATAACGAAGTCGAACCATGCGATCTTTTGACCTTTTTTAAAGGGTGTAGCTCATCGTTGTGTGTTTTTGAGATGGAAGGCGAGCGACGGGAGGAATTGGGGAGTTGAATGCCCAAGGATGGAAGAGATAGTGACTTGCGACGGGTGTTGTACGGCATTGTGAGGGAATGAAAGAGCGAGATAGGACAAAGCAGGTCAAAGGAGAGTAAGACAACAAGATTGTGAAGATATAATAGCAAATAAAGGTGATAAATGGCAAATATAATAATAAACAGAGTAATAAGAATAATAAAACAGACTCTAGGATATGGGGAGTTCAGCAGAAAGGGGGATGAGGAGGATAAACGGGGGGATCATCAAGATGCGACAGGAAGATGTTTGGATGGCAAATTACCAACGGGGGCGGCGGCCTAAGGAATCTGCGGAAAGAAAAAAAAGTGGAAATTGGAGAAAAAAAGAAGAAAATAATGAAAATCTAGTGGTAATATACGGTATGGTAATTTTTGACTCTGAATCTGGCAGCCTCCCGTCCGAATCGCCTTGGCGCTGATTGGTTCGCGGGAGGCGTTGTTTTCATTTTCCTTTTTTTATGTTTCTTTCAGAATGTAGAAAATACAACACGGGGAATGAGAAGCCCTACTATGTAGTACTCAGCTTGTAGTTGTTTATCTTTTCTCTCTCTGAATTGCGTGTCGAAACCGAGTACTAACTATACTCGTGAGTCTCAATAATAGTACTTTTTCACCGCCATGTTAAAGCCACAGCAACACAACATGCAACCATAGACCAAAAGTGAATACATCCTAAGCGGTGGAGGTCAACCCATTCCTGTTCAAGCCTTAGTATGAAAATCCCATAGTTCGGTTTAGTGCATACCGGACCAATAGGTGAGTGGAGTCAGCCATGTGTTCTACGAGCCCACTAGGTCCAATTTTGTGCTCCCAGCAAACTTTAGCGTCTTCAAGGCTCCAGTTGTCGCTTGCTATCCCGTCTACAATATGGGTACATATCGGATTCGGCAATACAGCTCGATTCCATGAATAAAATAAGACATACCGACCAACTGATTGGTAACCGGTGGATGACCGCGGGGCCGGCACAACTTGTACAACTTGGGGCCTGTCAAGCCGCATATGCTGCATGCTTTGATTATGCATACGATCTGTCATCTGTTGGTTGCTAGGGGACCAGTCGACACACCGCTGTTGATAGATCGAATTATATCGGCGATAGCTAGTAACTGAGCATAGACTTCTCCAACCTTGAAAATGACCATCCCACTTCAACACACATCAAAACCAGTTTGACCGGGAGGGGGGGGAAAAGTGCCAGGCTTAACCCGAGCCCTCCGGTCGGAAACACCGAGACCCAAATGAGCTTCCTAGCGCGACCGTTGTTACAAAGAGAAAAGATAAAAGAAAGGAAAAACAAATTGAACGACCACTTAAAGTCCGAGGCCCACTTCAAGGTGGATCCTGAGGATCCAATCAACGGCTCACTGGTCAATCAGAGGCGATACATCGTATTGTACATGGCGCTAGTAAGAGATGCTCACATTAGCGTCTCGGGGAGAAAAGGAACAGCGTTCGCCACTGACGATGCCGAGCTGAAACACTTCTTGGTTCTCTCTCGTACGCACTATGTAGATGTATCGCCTTCCATTTTCAGCCCTGATAAACACTCTTCATGATCTATCCACTTTCGGCAGATTCAAATGAACTCAGATAACAGATCCTGTCAATGTCGTCAACTGTCTACTATCAGACTGTGAGGATAGATGTGGCCAAAGGAATAATGACAGCTCCTATCTTGCTACGTACTCATGATGACATCCTTCCCCTCCCAGCCATTCGGATATCCCATCCACCCCTCTTGACTTTCCGTGATACTGTGCACATATGATGATGATCAATAATAGTTGGCCGATCAGAAAGATTAGGTAGGTCCCATTGTACATCGTGCATGATAATGGAGTCTGAAATCATAGCTCCATATCTCCTCATTTGGAGACTTGGCCACCCAGCAAGGGATTGACATATTAGCCCCCGGGTACAAGCATTGCTGCAATGCAGGTCTCGGTTGCAATTGAGGGGAAGATCATTCCTTGAATTATTTATGCGACCTAAACTGTCTCTGTACTCCGTGCCTGCAACACATACAACATTGTAGGTACGGAGTAAAATCCCCGTTCTCATGACATCGTCCACTCCAGTCCAGATGTTCGGGACGGTCAACCATGGAATTTGCTGGCCAATCACCGGCCTCGGGGAATAAGCATATCTGGTCGCATCCAAGGCTCGGGATCACATCTTAAAGCTACGCATATAGAAACCGCACAGGGATAAATTGAACAAAGTGTCGTGTCTGCAATCATGAAACCTACAGACTGTACTCCGTACCTACCGTATGCAGGTGCGCGGAAATTCCCCGCATCTCCACAACAGCAGGAACGACCATGTACGGAGTACTGCGTACATGATGTTCACTTCGTGGCGTGCTCTGTATGTAAACATGACTATGATTCATCATGTCCAGAAAATCGCCCGATCGAGTATATGTTGATTCTATGGCTCTAAACAAATCAACGTTGCCAGGCTCATACTGTAGGTTCATACTTGGAACCTGCACTCTGAACGGGAAATTCTAGATCTATCAACAGAAGCACGCACCCTCTGTGGCGACCTATGTACGCCATCAATACCCAAACCTTGGAACTCTTCCTTGCCTAAATACAATATCTCGCCTCCAGTCACCCAGCCTTACATCTAAGAAAACCTTCTCGGATCACCAGCAAACAAAGAAAAAAGATGACTAACTGCATATCCAAGACAACGTTGAATAACCCCTGCAAGAGATCTGCAATGTGCATGTAAATCATGGATGGAGATTGGTAGCAGAGCCCCTTTTTCCATGCAGGCCATCGTCGTGATTATCGTTGGCCAATACCACCTGGGGAAAACACTTCCAGTCCACTACTAAGACTACCATGTCCGTACTAGCCTCATAGATGTGTATCTTCCTGCGTAGGACAATGTAGTCCGATAGGATACTAGCATGGCGCTGGTTTAGTTCCATGGATCTCATTCCAGTGTAGCCTTTTATCCTTATCCAGAACATATCTTGGAGCATATCTTGGTTTCTTGGAACCCACGTCGAGATTCTGGAACATCGGGAACTCGTTTAAAGGAGGGGAAGTGGAGCCATGACATATCACCTATTTGGTGATCGTTGCATGAAGTTAGGTATGGCATCCATGTTTCCCCCGCAACTTATATACTGTCATAGATATTGATGCCAGTCACATGCTTGTAGGTCGATGATAACTGGGGGCGGAGGCCATATCAGAAGGATAATGGAATATACCCGACTAGTTTGGGCTTGATACGTCTAGGTAGCTGATACATAGAAGTTATCTCGATGTACCTACACAGTACAATCTAGGTATGTACCTACATAGCAGAATGGAAAGAGCCGAGATGGACATGCCCGCAAGATAGCAGCCTAGGTTCTATCTCTGCATTTGTTCCTAGTTGTCTACCTAGGTAAACATAGCGCGACAATGTAGGTATGCAGCGTTACCTAGATTTATCAACCCTAATACGTTCATCGTTGCCTTATATCCGTAATCCAGCTCTATGTAGCACTCTATGCCATATATCATACACACCTCCAAGTTGAAAGTTATACACAGCAGGGAACTGACCACCCAGATTCGAGAATCAAGACTTCACCTTCTCCTCCAGCTTCGGCCTCAACACATAACGCCAAGTAGTCCCCAAATGCCACCTCTTCTCCTCGACAATCTCCAACCCACTCTCCCTGACAATCTCCCCAATATCCCTATTCCACCAACACCCATGGCGATCCGCATGAGCCGGCGCCAGATTATCCAAAATGCGATTAACCCACTCATACCTCGACCTCCCATGCTCCAGTAACAGAATCCTCCCCTTCCCGGGCTCCGTAACAGTCCCCAAATGCCTCAAAGTCCCAACCGGATCCGGCATCGAACAGAGCCCCATAGTCTGCACAACAGTATCGTAGTACCTCTCCGACCTCGGGGTAACCTCACCCCGCGCACTACCAGGCGACTCGACAGACCCCGCATCACAAGCCTCAAACACCACCCCCTTAAACTCAGGATACAGTTTCGCGAACTTCTCCTTCGTAATCGTCACCATCTGCGGACTCAGATCAACAAACGTCACAGACCGACATCCCACAACACCAGGTCGTCCGTCGACGTCTAATGCGCGCCGCTCGCCGAGCTCGTAGTATGGCAGATTGCGACCTGTGCCGCAGCTGACTTCTAGGACGTCGCCGCGCGCCCGTGAGATTAGATCCCGTCGCTTGGAGCCTAGGCCCATTGCTTTTTCGGAGAGGGCGACGTCTGCGTCGAAGGTTGCGGCGGTCTTGTTGTAGCGGTCTGAGACGTCGGTGGGGACGTTGAGGGTTTTGGCTTTGTGGACTTCGCGTTTGTAGGATGCGTACAGGTAGCCGCAGTACATGCTTATTGTTAGGGCGGAAACACCGAGGAAGGTGAGGGCTCTGGGGGGTATGCCATGGCTTGGTTTTGGGGGTGAGGCGGGCGGGATTGAGGAGGATGAGGGAGATAGGGGGGTTGGTCGGTTTTGTTGGCGTTGGCGAGGGAGAGTCTGTTGTCTCGTTTTCGGGACTGCTGGCTTAGGGCTGGAGTAGGTGTTAGTTGGGCTGGTTGGTTCGATTGGAGGGTTTTGAAGGGCAGACCTCGGTTTTGGGGGTCGAGGTGTTTTGCTTGATGCGTTGCGGCATGCGGTGACGGGCCACTTGGCGACGAATGGCACTCTGCGCAATTGATGCGTATTCATTATGATGGTTCTAGCAGATTGAACTGCCAATTGCCTTGGAGCTGTTATCGCGCGCGGTGTAGGGTTTGACGCGGAGGAGATCGCATGCGCGATAAGGTGGGCCCCGTGATAGGAACAAGGATATCGTTTAGTATGGACAGGGGTGACACCACAGGTAAGACCATGCAGATATCAAGTGATTCAAGTGATCAAGTCGTACACAGTATGTAGATTCGGGTGCGCATTCCGTATTGGGGCAGATATAAGATCCCCAGACTCCGTCGGAAGAAAAGTCGGCAGCCAGGTCCGATGTGGATTGCCGTTATCGGCTAACAATTGGAGAAAGAACTGAGAAGAATCTGCTTTGTAGGGATTTTAACTGTTCTCCATCTCGCACACTCAAATATCCCACAATGGCATTGCCATCCAATATCCTAATTGTTGGAGGGGGTGTCTTCGGTTGTAAGTGTCACCAACCTATCCCGGATCCCATCTATACTTCCCGACATGCCTACAACTATATATACATCACCCGACATCCCCTTCAAACATACCAACACCCTACTAACCCCCCCACCAGTATCAACGGCACTCTCCCTCTCCAAGCGCCACCCAACCTCCACAATAACAATCATAGAATCCTCACCAACAATTCCAAATCCGCACGGCTCCTCCGTCGACACCTCCCGCATCGTGCGAGCCGACTACGCAAACAAAGCGTACTCCAAACTCGCCGCGGAAGCTATCGACCTCTGGCGCACCACAGACTGGGGCCGCAATGGCCGCTACACGCAAAATGGCCTGCTACTAGTATACCCATCGGACAGCGCGAGCGCAAAAGAATACGCACACAAAAGCTACGCCAACGTGCGCGCGATCGAAGGCGACAACGTCACCTTCCTGCCAACACAGACGGACGTCCTCTCCGTCGTGCCGGCCTACGGCTCAACGCTCGATGTCGCGGGTGGCTATGTGAACTGGGGATCCGGATGGTCGGATGCTGCGGCGACGTTGCGCTATGCGAAAGAGCGCCTTGATGCCGAGGGGAAGGTGAAGTTCCGGAGTGGCAATGTCGAGCGTGTGCTATATGCGGCTGCGGCTGGGAGTGGGAAGTCGAAGGTGACTGGTGTTGTGCTGGCGGATGGGTCGGTTGTTGAGGCGGATTTGGTTGTGTTGGCGACTGGGGCTTGGTCATCGAGACTGGTTGATTTGCGGGGGAGGGCGGTTGCGACGGGGCAGGCGATTGCGTATATGCGGATTTCGGATGAGGAGCAGAGGGAATTGGAGAATTTGCCGACGATTTTGAACTTCGCGACGGGGATCTTCGTTATCCCGCCGCGGGGAAATTTGCTGAAGATTGCGCGCCATGCGTTTGGGTATCGGAATCCAGTTGTCGTGCCGGTTCCTGGGGACGGGGATCGGACGGAGACGATGGAGGTTAGTCTGCCTGAGCAGGGCGTTCCTGTGCCGCTTGAGGGACAGGAGGCTTTCCGGGTGGCGCTGAGGCAGCTTTTGCCGCGATTTGCGGAGAGGGAGTTCGTTGATACGCGGGTTTGTTGGTATACTGATACGTGAGTCGATCTATTTTGGTCACTGCTTGCGATTTGCTGGTGATGCTAACCAGTTCGATAGGCCCCAGGGTGACTTCATTGTTTCTTACCATCCTGACCATGAGGGTCTGTTCCTTGCTACTGGTGGTAGTGGCCATGCTTACAAGTTCTTCCCTGTCATTGGAGACAAGATCGTCGATGCGCTGGAGGGAACACTTGACCCTGAGCTAAGTGAGATGTGGACATGGTCCAAGGCTCCCGTGTCGGATGGGGAGGACTTTGACGGCGATGGCAGTCGGTCTGGGGAGAGAAGAGCGATTCTGAAAGACGAGTTGGCGAAGACGAAGAAGGCTTTGCGCAGCAGTGTCCTATAGATGATGTATCCAGGATATTAGATGTACATAGACGTGGACATGTATAAAAATCGATACTGAGAGTCAAGTTTCATGATTAGCAGGGCATCTACGAGCTCCAATCATTCACAGTGCTACAAGTCATTACGAGGGAAAACATTTCACTTGTAAGCAATTGATTGGTTTGACTACTCGAAAGTAGCAACAAGGCAAGCTAGCCAATGAATCAACCTACTCGACGTGAGTAAAAAAAATACCAAGGTCTAACCAGACTCCCTTGGGTCACCATGATTTTTTTTGGCGTGTGGAATAAGAAAAACCCTCCACATCTGTACCGAAGAAAGATAACGATTAAGAGCGACCGACGCATAGCCGCCTCACTGCGGCGCGACAGTCCAATTGTGTGTAAAACGGGAGAAACCGAGGATCAACCAGAATCGCTAAGAACGCCCAACTATGCTTGCATGAAAAGAGTCGTAAAAACCAAAGGAAAAGCAAAGGTGCAGACAGACCAAACTCTGCTGTGACCCTTGAAAAGAGGAGATGTTAATACATGGTTGAATGCGTAAGCGAATGACCACCTGGAACTCCTTAAACCTTGCGGAAATCTGAGGATATGTTAGTAGAGGTCTCGTGACAGTAGGACGGACAAGGCAGCATACCGGAGAGCACAGGATAGATCAATTCAAAAGCCTGGTATATCTCTTCGCGGACTTTAGCACCAGTCAGGACAATCTTGCCACTGACGAAGATCAGAAGAACGATCTTGGGCTTCATCATGCGATAGATCAAACCAGGGAACAATTCAGGCTCGTAGGAGCTGAAATTGTGGTGGCGAGAAGCCAAACCCTCCAAACGGATGGGGAACTTGATGTCGCAAGAACCGACGATGTTCTGGATCTTGAAGTCGGTGAACTTGGCATTGAAGCCAAGCTTCTGGATGATACGAGCGTACTTGCGAGAAGCCAGCTTGGAGTCATCCTCCGACTTGGCACCGGTAACGACCATCTTGCCAGAGGCGAAGATCAGAGCAGTAGTCTTAGGCTCGCGAATACGCATGATCACGGCAGCGAAACGCTAGGAGAATAACCGAGTTCAGCCACACTGTTCCCTCTGATACATATGCCCGACCAGGGGGGATGTGGGGTTGATAGATACCTTTGGGTTGTACTCGGCGTTGCGTGCGTGCAATGCGATCGTCTTGAGATCCAGACGACAGTCAAGGTTGACGGTGGCAACGATATTCCTTTTGGGGTAACTAGTTCAGCCATTCTGGTCTCCCAGAAGAACGTCCAGAGTATACTCACTGCAAGGTAGGGACAATGCCACTGCTTCCAGTAGTAGCACCAGGGGTCGCGGCCGGGGTAGCGGGAGAAGCGGGAGTCACCCCGGTGCCGCTAACGGGATTTCCTCCAGCCTGCAGACCACCTTGGGCCATACCATCCGACACAGAAACCGGAGGGGTCAGGTCGCCTGCGCCACCAGGGAACGACAAGGATGAGGTAGCAGTGAAGGCACGAGCCTGCTGCGCGTTGGAGGGATGGGTGGTAAGGGAATCCATTGTCATGGAAGTCCTGATTGCAACCGTAGGTATGTGGTATGCGAAGTTCCGAGATGAAAGATAATGGAAACTATCGAAATTCACGTCAGTTCGATGCCACACGGATGGAGAGTGAGGGAGGGGAGAAGAGCCAAGAGCGAAGAGCGAAGTGCAAATAAACAAAACAGTGGGCGGTGTAGGTGATCAAGTCCCGAGGGGAAGGTGCGATGGAAGAGCTCTTACCTGGGAGATGAACAACTCAATGTATCCCCCTACGAGGTTTTCGCACTTAACTTCTCGACCGACCAGGCAAGAGAATAGTATAGGCAACGAAACCCAGCAGACGACTGAACGAATCAAGAGAAAAAATCACACTCAAGTGTTTTTTCTTCGAGATGCTTCACGGCGAGATTAAAGCAGGACGTGAAGGGATGACAACTTTTTTTTTGTTCCTTTCGAAATGTGTGCTTTTGGTAAATGGGATTGTCTATCTGCGGAAATCTGGAAAAAAAAGAGAGAGAGTGGGTGAAGTGACGTGAAAGTCAGACTTCTATATGGTGTTAATGTCTTAATAGACAAAAACCCTTGTTCCCCTGAAATAAGAGGGTTCTTCCCGGAGGTTAATCAAAGATCTGGGTGAAGTAGATCTGATTAGTAAGAGAAAGCCAGCAGATAAGATGAGGCTTGGGGAGGAGAGCGGAGGGAAGAAGAATTTCCGAAATAAGATCCGCCAAGACCGAGACAGAATTCCAGGCATAAATTGGGGGGAGGTTGGGTCTTTATATAGTGCTGAGTCACGGCCCGGTCAGGGGAGGCTGGGCCGCTGGTGGCGGTTAAAGCAGCAAGACTTGTTTCCCTTCAACCTTGGATCCATCGCCCGCTAGCGGCTCTAGAAAACTCCACTCTAAGCCAATCACAGTGACTCTCATGCTATAGTGGTTTTCATTCGTCCAGCATACTCCGCTCGTGTGTCAATGTTGGTCCCTGAGTGGCTGAAACACCCTTGCTTTATCCTCCGCGGCGCCATGGTTGCAGGCGTTGGTTTGCCAGTCCGCGGTCCTCCTGCAGCTGATAGTCCATCCGTCCCACGCCAGTCCAATCATCGTCATTGACTATCCTCGGTCACTCCATGTACGACGCGCTATCCTCTTGCCGCTTTAACGGATGGCAACTGAACAAAAATTCTCAAAAATTTGCCTTGTTTCTTCCCCCTACCTCTCTGACCTCACCACACTGAGAGAAACTCATCACCATAACCTGACGTCGATAGTTAACTGACTTATCACTGATTATTCCTTCACGGGTTATGCTGAATACGATCTTAGTTATTTTTTGTTACTCAACGACAAACGCACTCTGCCAGGAATTTCCATCAGGACAGGTGGCCGTTTCGATTCTGCCTTGTCAGAGGCGGTGGCGCCCACCCTTTGATCCACCGCCAAGACTGGACGAATCTCATGGCATGCAAACCGGCGATGATCGGGCATGATTTTAGCTTCGGATGTAATATTTGGGATCTACCGGCTGTGGTTCTTGGAGTTTATGTTGGGAATTTTTGAAGGTCAGGTCACATCGTGGTATTATCGATCCATTTTCTAAGGGATTCTGGTATGCTTGGTATGGTACAGTATGTATGTTGAATACCATACCCCGAAGCAGCGCAATGGTCACATTCCGGAATAGACAGTAATGTCATGTAATGCGGGAGACTGCATTGCCGTTGGGTATGTCCAGATTGGGGTTTGACATCCTTGAAGCAGTATGACTTCGACTTCTTAAGGTTGTTTTCTGGAAGATATCTGCAGTCGACATGTACTACACAGAATGTACGGAGTAGAAACTGGAGTGAAATGATGTCAGAACTAGACAAAGCCCTAGTTCATAGTCACAATGAAGCCATGTTATGCATGTGACCAGTCAAGATATCCTGGACTGGACCGAACATGTGGATCTGACAGGATTTACGGAGAAGGCAGTCTACATCCATCCAGGTTATTATGCAGCACTGCGCAGAGTGCGCTCTGTGTAGATCTCGGCCAAGACGGGCACATTTGCCTGAGGCCTCAAAGTTGTAATCGCCGACTTCGCTATTGGCCAAGAGCTAAGCCGAGGGTAGGCGGTTTTTCGGCGTTTCACCAAGTTCCGCCACAAGACTCTGGGGACATTTAGGGTCTGCTCGAACACTCTCCTCCGCGTTCAACCTTTAGACTTGGCCATTGTAAAATTCTGGCCCCTCTTCGGACCTCAGAAACCCATTGCGATGGCGTCTAAGAATGCCGTCTTGCCTCTATTGAGGCGTGAACTCCGATCGTCTTCCCGAATCTCACGAACTACTGCTTCCGTCATTGCTACCCCATCCCGACACTCTGCCAGCACCTTCACAACCTCCGGGCGACGTTTATCTCCGCGATCAGCGTTATTCACCACACCGACTCAAACACGAGCCTTTTCGCAATCGCTGTCAAGGCGCTTCACCGACGAGAATGGCGATTTCGATCCCCGCACCATAGAGCGGGAGTCCGATGACGTGGATGTATGCATTGTTGGCGGTGGTACGTGTTGGGCGTTGCATCGATTTTTCCCATCTTTACCCCCAAAGAGCAACACTAAGTTTTAATCTACAACAGGTCCTGCTGGTCTCGCCGCCGCGATTCGCTTGAAGCAACTTGCCAACGAAGCAGGCAACGAGGAGTTCCGAGTCATCCTACTAGAGAAAGCTGGTGAATTGGGCGCCCACATTGTCTCAGGAAACGTTTTGCAGCCAACCGCTCTTAATGAGCTACTTCCGGATTGGTTGGCTGAGGACAACCCCTCCCGCTTTGAGGGTGCGACTCCTGCCAAGGGCGACAAGATGCGCTTCTTGACCAAGAATGGATCATACCCCCTCCCCACGCCGCCGCAGATGCACAACGCGGGTAACTACATTGTTAGTCTGAATGAGCTAACTAAGTGGTTGGGAGAACGTGCGGAAGAGGTTGGTGTGGAGGTTTACCCTGGGTTCGCGGCTAGCGAGATGGTCTACAGCTCAGATGGCGCAGTCAAGGGCGTTGCCACCAATGACCTGGGGCTGGGCCGGGATGGCAAGGCCAAGGATACTTTCGAGAGGGGTATGGAGTTTCATGCGCGTGTCACGCTCCTCGCCGAGGGCTGCCACGGCAGCTTGACCAAGCAGGTGTGCAAGAAATACGATCTTCGACGAGACAGCCAGCCTCAGACATACGGTCTCGGAATTAAGGAGATTTGGGAAATCCAGCCCGAGAAGTTCCGTTCTGGCGAGATCACCCACTCGATGGGATACCCCCTTCCCAAGGATACGTACGGTGGCGCCTGGATGTACCACTTCGGTGACAACATGGTGAGTATTGGTCTGGTGGTGGGACTGGACTACCCAAACCCGTGGCTCTCGCCCTACGGTGAGTTCCAGAAGATGAAACACCACCCCATGTTCAAGGAGGTTCTCGAGGGCGGCAAGTGTATTTCCTACGGTGCCCGAGCCTTGAACGAAGGCGGTTTCCAATCGATTCCCAAGTGCGCATTCCCCGGCGGTGCTTTGATTGGTGATACTGCTGGTTTCTTGAACGTCCCTAAGATCAAGGGTACCCATACCGCAATGAAATCCGGCATGCTAGCCGCCGAGGCTGCCTTCTCGGCGCTTCAGAGCAACAACCAGGGAACTGTCTTCTTGTTTGACTACGAGAAGTCCCTGCGGGACTCCTCCATCTGGAAGGAGCTCAAGGAGGTACGCAACATCCGGCCTTCCTTCAACACCCCACTGGGCTTCTTCGGTGGACTGCTCTACTCCGGTATCGAGGCCTACCTATTTAAGGGTCGCGTACCCTGGACCCTCAACCACCACGGCACCGACGCGGCAGCTACCAAGCCTGCTTCTTCGTACCCCAAGATCGAATATCCCAAGCCCGACGGAGAGATCAGTTTCGATATTTTGACCAGTGTGAGCCGCACTGGCACCAACCACGAGGAAGACCAGCCCGTTCACCTGCAAGTGGAAGACTGGGATAAGCACACAGACCTCGCATGGCCTGCGTACAAGGGTGTGGAAAACCGATTCTGCCCAGCAGGCGTCTATGAATATGTGGAGGACCCCAGCAAGAAGCATGGAGTCCGGTTCCAGATCAATGCGCAAAAGTAAGTGCATACTTCGATTTCCCGTGTTTCTGAATATACTAACGTTTCCATCAGCTGCATTCACTGCAAGACTTGTGATATCAAGGTGCCAACGCAAGACATCAACTGGCAGACGCCTCAAGGTGGAGAGGGACCCAAGTACGTGATGACGTGATATGGTCACCAGTTGAATACAAGACATTCAGGAGTTTCGAGGATCAAGTGGAATCGTTGGATATCAACAGGATCATTTGATATCGTACGGTGTAAATTGGATATAGACCGGGGGACAAAAAGATGTACATAACTCACCATAATCTATCGGTTTCCTCTGTCGGGGGATATTTTACACCACTGTTTTCATAAGAGAACTTGTATACTCACATAGAGGATCAGGCGTATCCCTTGACAAGCCAGCATGTAGGTATGAATTCAGTGTTTAAAGCGAGTACCACTGGACCACAACAAAAACCAAGGTCCCTGTTTATGGCCCTGGGGAGGACCTATTCTAGTCGATTCTAGTCTGACAAGTTATTATGTACACAGAGGCCAATGGTGCTAGGCCATCTACTGAGCCACAATGATGCATTGACCCGCCGAGGAGCAGCATCTGATAGAAGTCATAGGTGGATAATCTTGCAAATATTCATCTGTATCAAAGTACCCATCAGACGTTTGGACTTTCAAAATCCGGATCCAATGCATCCCTCAGCACACCAACTCCACGGTGGAGGATCTTACGGAAAATCATACCACGGTCCATCAAGGGGTTTCCCCCTTCGCCGTAGATGAAATCCTCTACCTCCTTTTCAATCCATATACCGTATTGGGAAAAACCAACATTCAGACCGATCTCCTTGTCCCTAGGACCGAGCATGTCTGGATCGGGCAACCTCGAATACAATTTGCACATGATTCAAAGCTAAAATATTGCACAAAACCGAATCTGCCATGTATTAGAATGATATCGTCAAAGGAAAAGAGTCGGGGACTCATACCCTTTGCAGAGACCGGTGTCCAGGTCTACGATCGCTTTGCAGCGATCAATCTTTCCGAAACGGGCTGCGTAGGCGTGCAGCACCTCATCAGTAGTTTCCGGAAGGAATCCTCGGATGTAAACATTCCTAATGCCCTCACGATTCTCCAGACACTTAGCAAGCGTCAGCTCAGACGGGTTAGTCCACATGGCAGGCACCGCGCGTGGAATAGCAGGGTCTTGTTGGGTCAGTGCCTCAAGATCTTGCACGACGTATCCATTATGGGTTTTCATCATTTGGAGGGGAAGGGGCATGTGGCAGAGCTGTGGAGGAACCATGCCTTCATAGGGGTAATTAGACATGGCACTGCCATCGATGCCATGGGACAGGTTCGAAGGATAATACTGGACTTGAGCGTTATCCTCTCCATTTGCTTCCTTGTTGTCCTCAGGCACATCCCATGCGGGCTGCTTAGTCCCATGCTGCATGTCGTAATTGGCCATATAAGGCCATGATGAGTACGCGCCAGTAACCATGGGACTAGGCCAAACACCAGTTGGGAGGTATGAGTATTGTCCCGTCTGATCGGCTTGGCCCAAAGCAGAGTTGGGAAGAAAAGACGGTACGGTCGGAACACCGTTGAACACGGTCGAATTGGAAACTAGGATAAATGGACTGTTGTATGCACGGTTGGCATTCGACCAATCCAAGCTAGAGTTCATCTGAATGGGCGTGGCGCCCTTGGGCTTGGGGCGGTGACTTTGCATAGTAAACCCTCTGTACATATTAGTCAGGCCTGCCCTAGTACAGCCACGGGGGTTTTCATTGATGGGGTGTTGGTACCTGGAGTCATACGGGGCGCGAGGTTCGTTTTGGTGGTAGCGTCTAGGCTGAGAGCCAGAGCTCGCTAGTTGGGATGGATTTGGAATCATCTTTCAGGCCTGAGGAAATGTTAGCAAGATCTCCTTCCACCGGTGAGAGAGTAATAAATGAAAGAGTAACAAGGAATCCCAATGGCAGGAGAATGGGGTGAGTAACTTACCCTTTTGGTAGAAACCTCGAGATGCAAGGTGTGTGGAAGTTGCGTGAACTGAGAATAATCGTGAGCCCAGAGCACGAAGACAGAAGTGTGAACTGGATATGATCAATGGCATTAATTGGAGCAGGGCAAGGCCCTGAGAAAGGGATCGTGAAGGGTGCGATGGGAGAATGAGGGAGGCAGAAGATGATGAGGGCTATTCTCAGACACAAGGGAACGAGGAAGGTGCTAGTAGGGGAAGTACAACAGAGTAGATGGGACGAAAGACTGGGAAGGAAGTAGTGGAAGGAACGTACGAAAAGTGGATCGTGGAGAATACCTAGACCGTGGATACGAAGAGTGAGATCGAAAGGAAGGCAAGGACGATGGTGAAAAGGATGAAGAAAAGGAAAGAGAAGGGAACGAAGAAGAAAAGAGCAAAAAGAACGAAGCCAGACGAACGTCACGGGGATTGCTGGGGTGAACCAGGCTCGGAAGAGCATAAGTGAATACAAGTCACGGGCAGTGGCGTAATGTCGGTGGTTATCGTTCTTCTATCATCAAGGAAGCCACGTGCTAAGAGACCCTTGGCGTAGGGCTGATGCATCTCGTTGTTAGGGCTGTTGCTCCACGGGCAAAGGACAAGACAGAGGCGACAAAGGTTAACCCTCCGCAAAGAATGGTATGAACATCCCAAACTTTCATACTAGACTGCCATGTCGGCATATTGAATATTGATATATGCAATATGCATGTGCCATTGGAGCCTTCTATCTGGGGACGGAGGACGAGATATGGGTGAAGGTATGAGGAAATGATAGAACGGAAAGTCTTGTCTGAATCAGGGCAAGTAGAACTTATTGGGATTTCTCTTGCAGCCACTTATAGACCACCGAGAAATCCTTTCCGCGGTGTCCGTCTTCCACGGCCTTGTAGACTTCACGAGCATGGGTGCCGAGGACAAGAGGAGTGTCAGATTGTTCCGCGGCAGCAATAGCCAGGCGTAGATCCTTGTGCATCAAGCTGACCCCAAATCCGCCCTCATAGCCGCGAGACGCGGGTGACGTCTCAACAACACCGGGAACAGGGTTGTTGACCTCAGACGGCCAGCAACGACCGGTAGACGAGTTGATCATGTCCGCCAATGCCTTAGGGTCGAGTCCCCAGCGGACACCCAAGTTCATAGCCTCGGCAGTAGCGATGTTGTTCAGTGCCAAGATGTAGTTGTTTGCCAGTTTGCCGGACACACCAGCACCGGGTTCACCGAGATGCCAGAACTTCTTGCCCATCAAAGCAAGAACGCCGCGGATGCGCTCAAGCAGCTCGCTTGATTGCGAAGAAGCGCCAAACATGAATGACAACGTCCCTGCCCTGGCACCAACCACGCCCCCGGATACAGGGGCGTCCACAAAGTGGCCGGTTTGTGTGGTGTGGATTGCATTCGCGATATCCTTGGATGTAACTGGGTCAATGGTTGATGTATCAATAAACAGACGCTCCTGCTCGAGCTGGGGTAACGGGCCATTTTTGAGAATGGATTGGTACACATCGATGACATGTTGAGATTCCGGAAGGCTCGTCACCATCACCGCCTATACGAGACTGGTTGTCAGACCCCGGAAAAGCACAGACATATGGAACATAATCCACACGGGGATGCCGCTAGCCGGACCAGAGACCCGCATCTAACCACGGTCCACGTACCGATTTTTCGGCGACTTCGCGCGCACTTGCAGCAATCTCGACTTGGCCTTCATGGGCGCCTGCACCGTTGCTTCGAGCGGCCTCCTGAGCCTCAGCGGCAAACCGTTTCATGGCCTCTTCGTTTACATCCCGGATGATCAAGGTGTCGGATACGGGAATCTTGGCGCGCAGGTTTTTGGCCATATTGTACCCTTCAGGGGCAGTCAGCCAATGCAAACGCAATACAAAGGCTCCACTCCACTCCACAATGCATTGTGATATAGCCGAGGCCATTGCTCCTTCCTGCAGAATTCAAAACTTACCCATTTGTCCCAACCCAACAAAACCCCACGTTGCGTCCCGGTGCATAGTCGTGGAGAAAGCTCGGGTAGACGGCCAGCGTCGGAGATCCACCGCGGACGTATGGAGGCGAGTCACCCTCCGCGGGAGGCACATCGCTGTTCGGAGACTCATTGTCTAGTTCAATGTGCAGACCAATGACAAATTCTTGTGATGAGGAGTGAAGAAGAACACGGGTACTAGTTGCTGTTCGTGGTGTCAACACTGCCAGGAATAGGATCCAAGGGTGATAGAGCAATGTTAGATCCAAGGGGCTTGAACCGGGGGGAAGGTCTACTATTTGTATGATGCTAAGCAAAGCAAATGACCGCGGCTTTCCGAGACTCCAGTGGGGCTTCAGGGTGATTATTGCCACGGACTTTGCGTCTCATCGGGGCTGAAATGCGGGGAAGACCGGGACAAGTTGACAACCCTTGGGGAAGAGCATCACGTGTGGGGTTTACTCCACATGGGGCCCTGATTGGTGTGTTATGTGGGGCCCGGAACGAACCTTGCATATTGCCAAGGTTATGTAGATGTAGTTTGGAGGGTCACGTAGGGTATCTGGGTGCAAGCCATGTCACCGTGTACAAGACAACTTGACAAGGTGGACGTAGAAGGAATAGGGCACAAGGGCCAAGGCGACAAGGATGGGTTGGTGAGTCTCACATCGTGAAGTGAGCTTGAAAGGGGAGAAGCAAGGGGAGAAAAAAGTGGGAATGACTGCCTTTATAGAAACTGAGCTATGGTTACGCGGGAACAGGTTACGGTAACTCGGATAGGTTACTCTGAACAGGTTCGTATGAATCGTTGCCTGATATACGAAGTATGGACTCGAATGGTCGACAGGTGGACAGTGGAGGTATCATCCGACCCAACAGGCATTCATGAGTCATGATAAGGCAACCATGGTCTGGATTCTCAAGCTCCAACCTTCTTGGGATATGAAAATGTAGATAGATAAGGAAGGAACAACCTTGGAACCTTGGAACACATATAGGCAGAAATCAACACGAGCCTCATTGGGAAGTAACAGTCGCGCTTTCCTAATCCGCTCCCTGCCTCTTCCTCTTCGTCTTCCTCTTCGTCTTCCTCTTCCCTCACAACGTCTCCCTTTCACCTTCACAGCACCAGTGGACTTCTGCGGGGTTTGACCCAGCATCTCCTCCGGGTTTCTTTCATCTTGTGCTAAAACCATCCATTGTTCTCTTATTTCATCAGTGATGGTTGATCCGGCTTTTGTTCTTCGGCCTTCGGGCCATCTCACACCTCCTCTGTCACCACGCAAAAGGCGCCGCTACTTGCGAGATTCCGAAGATTCCGAAGGCGAGATGAGCCTGCAGCAATACATGCATTCGACTGAGTATTATCGATCGGTCAGCCTCGAAAGCCCACAGCCACTTCCCGTGAAAATGGAGCCTGCCCCTGCTCTGGAACAAGAAATAAGTCCACTTTACCCAGAGGTCCTAGCCATCATGCGCCGCCACAATCTGAATGTCAACACAACCTTCGAATGTGGGAAGATGAGCAAGCCAAATACTCGGGTCGGAGTTGCTTAGAGAAACAGAGAATTCCATTGAACCTCTTCTCTGTTTCTCTAAGCAACTCCGACCCGAGTATAGCTTGTACCTCCGCAGCATTCGATGGTAGCCCAGGAGAACGATGTCCTAACATCGTTCGGCTCGCTCCAAAAGGGCGATTATTGCCTCAAGAACGGCCGTACCACTTACGTTACTTCGGGCATCTGCAATGGCGCCAAAGCGTACTGTCACTGGGGGCCCAGTACAGTAAGCGAGGAATTCATCGTCACGAGCCAGGAATCTAACTTGGATCGCAACAAGCGAGCGAGACTTTTGCCGGGAGGGAGACTCTGGAGCCTTCATTCTGGACAGATCTGGGACTGTGACTGGGTTGCTCTGGGGAGGATTGGAGCATTACGGCGAAGATGTTGGGCTGGTTTCTAGCATGTCGGAAGTCTTGGAGGCCATCAAAGAGAAGATTGGCGGTCGTGTCTCCGTGGATCTTCCACAGTGATGTTCCATCCTTTATTTTCCTCTGCGTTATTTTTCTCTGCTTGCTTTGCTCTTCTTTCTCGTTGTTCTCTCCTCTACTTTTCTTTATTCTTCTTCTTGCTTGACCACTGTCTATGTGGTTATCACCCACGTTATTGCCAGGTAGCTACATTTTTTCCAGCGCTCTAGTCAAAATGATTCTTATGACAATCTTCGTCTACATTACTTCCTATACTTTCATCTGCTTTTCCTAAGAGGAGGCCGTTGCTGGGCCCCAAGTGCAGTTCGAACTTCGCCATCGCCCAAGAAAAACTCAGGTAGGCCTTCCAGATACACCAAATCGCTGTTTGGTATATCGCCTTCCACCTCTCCTTCTCTTGTTTCGATGGCGCGGGGCTGATTGCGGCGAGAGCAACCATTTCAGAGAGGGAGCGATGTTGGCGCATCGTCGTATCTGTCCTGATCTTCCCCCATAATTCCACCGCCTCCAAATCGCGCTGGAAACTTCGCAGTGTAGGCCAGATGTGCACTGCGGTTAAATCCACTCCGTGCATCGGGCAATGATGTCGGCCTGGGTCCGTCCAATGGAGCTGGGAACCAGTGAGGACGCGGCCATATAAGAATCTCCAGCATTGGTCGCCGGCCTTAGCAATGTCGAAATCGCGCCGGAGGGCGCTCCAAAGTTGTGATATCGTAATCTTTTTACCGGTCGCATTCTTGTAGTGTTCGACCGCCTTTGCTGCAAGGTTGCCAAAGTCGATCGAGGCTAGTTTCCGTGCCATGAGCAGTCGGTAGGCAGTCGTGAAGCGTATCAAGCGGGGGTCGAGTCCTTCCACATGGAAGCCCACTCTCGGCTGGGCGGTCGGTGCCATCGTGACCGTTCGGTATCAGCGTTCAGGGCATCCAGCCAGTCTTGCGGAAGTGCGGCAATAAGGGCTCGGGTTGTCCCCCTCGTCGTGTGCTTCTCGGTGCTAGTAATATGAGACGGTATAATCGGCTCGCCCAGTCCCGCATCCCATATGTCCCAAATGACCCTCGCCCCTGAGTCCCACAGAGTATTTCCATAGACCATCGCCCTAGATCCCCATCTCCGGGCTCCACTGCTACCCCTCCCTGTCGTTCCAATCCGAGGGTGATACCAAAAGAAGGTATCCAGGACATCTGCTGCGTTCTCCGGGTCCTTCACCGTGACAAACCCTTCCCATCTTGTGCCGCATAAGTGTCTCCACCTCCCTGTAATTGCCGAGAGCTCTCCGGGGAGATCTGAGCTGTGGCCGAGCCACTGTCATGTGATAACTATAGTCTGAGACTCTGAGGACTCAGGAAACTGAGATAACGTGTTACGTCTGAGGCCACGCGTGTTAGCACCCACAGAAAAATGCGGTAAAAAGAATCCAAAAGAATCCAAAAGAATCCATCATTCTACATTCTCTCGACAGACTCGACAACCAACGCAATTATCAAAAATCGGGCGACGACGTCCTCTAGTCTTAGTCTCTAGATGTCGGCACAGCTGGCATCGGTTCTAGTCGAAGTAGTGTCTCCTGTCCCGCACGGGACCAATTGGAAGGCTATTTTCCTCACCATCCTTACCTCATAGTTTGCTGACTTTGTCACCGTACAACATACAAGACAAGACCCAACCCCGGCCTGCGCCGGCGAGAGACAAATCACTCAAGTGACACTTTAAAATGTACCTGTAAGTGTTATCTTATAACTAGTCACCTACAAAAGGTGAACAGGATATGTGTATAGTACCTTTCGAAATAAAATATCAACAACAATCTTCTGTCCAGTTGTGAGTACTACCCACTTATGGGTGCCGAGTTACAGGCGCATGTTTAGCGAGCTTCCCGTCAACTGGCAAATCTTCTGTCAACTGGCAAGTCTTCCGCCAACTGGCAAGTCTTCCACCAACTGGCAAGTCTTCCACCAACTAGCAAGTCTTCCACCAACTGGCAAGCCTATCTCTACGAATTGTCCCATCAAGTGCTGGACCCCGATGCAAGCGCGCCTCATCCCAGATAAGCTCGTTGACCTGATGGCGGGACTTGTCGTGTGATGTAATGTTGCGGAAGACCTCTATGTTGAGGGGGTTGGCGGATAGGGAAACACGATCAAATCGAAGAGACACTGTATGGATGAATTGCTTGCATGTCAGACGCAAGGACTTTATGTTGGCATTGGATAGGTGTGACTCAATGCAGCCTCAGAGCTCCAGGGGGAGCGCGGAGGGGCTGGTATAAGCCATACTGTGATTGCTGTGCATTAGTGAAGCATCTATACGAGGTATCCCGGCACCCAATGGTCTTGGGTTTAACTGCGGCGCTCAGCTTCGCCTATTATGGGGAGGCGTTAGGTTAAGGATGTGACGGTGGACAGGGACAAGTCATGTGAGCCAGTGGGAAATCAGGAAGGGAAGGAGCAGGGATCGCGGGGAAGTGTATTTATTGTTTACCTCCTGTTCTTCTTCTTCTTACTCTCAGACTTGTTACTTTGTGCACAGTACAGCAAAGGATTGATCTCCTTGATTTTTTTCCCTTTTAAGCTCTCGACAGTAACAAAGGATGAGCCCGTGATAGGCAAGCTATCCTTCCTCTCTCATTGATTGTTCGTGATTTGCAACTATAGTAGGGCTTCATCAGGACCAACCAATGAGACAGGAAGGAGAATGCCAAGTGAGAATTTCGGCCATGATAGGCGACGCTTCGTCGCGACAACAACAATCAGAAGAGGGCCCTGGCCTCTGGGTCAACACGATCAACGCTTTGCGAATTGTGCCACATAGGGTTCGAGTGCGCATGACGTCATGCCGATCGGTGCCGCTTTGTCCACCATTCGGAACCTTGGAGTTGGAAGTCGGAAGTTGGAAGACTCATGTACCCCACACGGGCCGCAAAAGCTTAGTTTATTGATGCATAGACCCACAATACAGGTACTACAGTAGTAGTACTACTAGTACTAGTACTACCGGTAGGGAACAATGGTTGTACGTCGCTACATGAAGAAGACAGACACAAAATTGTAGTGGTATTGGAAGAGTATCCATTGTATTATTCATTGTTGACAAGGAAGGCGCTGCTGGACATAGTTTTGGATGGGTAGTTGCTGAATTCAGAAGGAACGCGCACAGAACTGCTAGTATAACTAAATCCCACCTCTCGGCTTTCCCTTCGCTCTTCTTCTCTTCCAACCCTTGTCTTGAGACTTCTGCCTTCAGCGCAAACATTATCGATAAAGGTTTTCGACAAAAGTTGAAAATGCTTTCCTAGGTTCGGTGAAATGATTTGCTTGTTCGCCATGGCCATGTGCCTGGCTATATATTCGAAGTACGTCTGCCCGAGTCCCATCCAAAGATTCTTCTGAATCTCCTCCTCTCGAAAGACCTCTCCAAAGGTTTCTCCAAACCCCGCACCAAAAGCGATTGAAAGATAACTAGGAAGTCGTCACTAACCTGGACAGCCCCAGCTCCATTCCTAGCCCCGAGGCCCCCGAGCCTCGACCAGATCCCAGTGCCGCAGCCTTGGCGGCCGAATCGCATAAAGCAAAGGCTCTGGCAGTCAGCATTCAGGAGTTGGAAGAGCAGCTCCGCAGGGCGGCGAGGCGAGCGTCTCGGTTTGAGGATGCCTGGATGAAAGCCCAGGCACGCCAGGAAGCTGATTTCCAGGCGAAGCTTGCTGTTTTCAGACTGAGAGTCAATGAGTGTGGCGTAGGACAGCTCTTTTCCAAGGCCGCCCTTGATTGGCGACGCAAGTACGAGGACCTGAGCATACTATACCAGCTGGCCCAAGAAAATCCGGCCCACGAGATGAAGGGACGCCCCCGCTGGGCTCCAGTTAAGTTGGACGGAGTTGTGAAGCAGGGTCATGTTCGGCCTGGCAAAAACCTACCACCAGTGCTCAGGCGGCGGTTTTGAATGATTGGTGGCGGAAACAATTTGCCAGTCTCGAGGCCCGGGCGCGTCAGGCTACTGAAGCCAAGGACGCGGAGATCAACCATTCCAATGGCCAGGTGAGCTAAGCTGCCACAGTGCTCAAACACGCATCGTAAGCAACTTGACAGCACCCGGGCTCAATTGTACATGCTGGCCCAACAGCATGGGAGGATTGAGTCTGGGAACAAGAGGCCATGGCCCATGGGGGAGAAATGTATGACGTCCCGGAGAAGACGGAGAAGCAGCAGGACCGCAGCGAGAAATGGGTCGATTACCTTATGACATAATGAATCGCCTCGCTGAACTGGGGCGGGGGTTATGATGTTATCATCAAAAACCGACAAGAGGGGTGGGGTTGGGGGTGGGGAGGGGGAATCAGATGCCGAAGATGATGACCAGCCTCAGACCAGGAGATGGAGTTCGAGCATCAGTCCACCGCGGACGGCGGGGCAGCCCGGGCTGACGGCAACGAGCCGGATGAGGCCGAGGAGACTGAGGAGCAGAAGGCTCCCAGCCCGGGCAGCTACGGATAACATCACCACCGCCATGAGTGGGCCAGTGGCTTTGGAATCAAAGACTCGGGTTCGACATATCTGTGCCTTTCTGCTTACCCACCCTTATTCGGTGTGGGTGCGCCACAGACGACGGGCCAACCCCTTTCCAACCATTTCCAATGTCTAGTTAAGTACCTCTTCACTACTTATAATCAGGCCATATACAAGGTACATGGCGGGCGCCAGGTATACATACATCGAAGGCACATCTAAAAATCACTACCTACGTTCAATCGCATAACTAATTCATGTGTACCTGTCGATGTAGACCTGGCCAGTTTCCATGTACCTTTCACATAACCATGCCATATAAAAGGTACATAGTTAGGAGTTTTGGAAATTGGAAGTTGGTTAGAAAGTGGGTGGGAAGCTCAAAGGCACCTGTTTAGCCAAGACCTGTTCCTGGTCGTTCCGGCATCCCGGCCGTTCCGGTAGCAATTTTTCTTCATCACACCAAATCTCCTACTATTTTCAAACGCCTACCATGCCGCCAATCCGTGGTAAAAAAGCCCAGAAATCAGTTGAGCAGGAAGGCAGGATTCTGCTAGCAATTAAGGCTATTAAAGATGGCCGGATTACTTCCGTTGCTGCTGCTGCTCGTTCTTTCGAGATCCCGCGGTCTACGCTACAAGACCGGATGAAAGGGGCTTCTAGTTGGTCTGACATGAGGGCTGCAGGCCATAAATTCACCCATCTCGAAGAGGAATCAATCCAGGATTGGTTAACCTCTATGAATGATAGAGGTGCTACTCTTACGATCACTATGTTGAAAGATATGGCCAATTTACTACTTGAAACCCGTGGAGATCATCCCCCGCAGACTGTTGGCAAGAATTGGCCGACACAGTACATAAAACGACATCCCGAGCTTTCTAGTCGATTCTCTCGCAGACATGGCTCCAAACGTGCCTTGCTAGAAGATCCAAATACCATTCTTGAGTGGTTCAAGCTTGTCGAAAAATCGATTGCTCAGTATGGTATCACTTCGGAAGATATCTACAACTTTGACGAATCAGGATTTGCCATAGGAGTTAGTGCAACATCAAAGGACATTACACAGTCATTCTATACGGGCCGAAGGGGTGTTTTGCCTGGACATGGCGATTGGGTGACTGTCATTGAAACAATCTGCGCCTCCGGGCGAGCGCTCCCACCATACGTTATCTTCAAAGGCAAAAGCTTTATGGAACGATGGTTTGACGACCTTCCAAAACATTGGATTCTTAACGTTAGTCCAAACAGCTGGATGAGCAATGAAATGGGCGTTGACTGGCTCCAAAAACACTTCATTCCGCATGTGAAAAGTCAGACGAAAGGGAAACATTGTCTTTTGGTCCTTGGCCACGATAGTCATCTCACCGCAACATTCGACAAGATTTGCCAGGAAAACAACATTATACCAATATGTATGCCTTCGCATGCCTCTCATCTCTTACAGCCTCTTGATGTTGGTTGTTTTGCTATGTTGAAGTGCTCTTACGGAAGGCGGGTCGCGGAATACATCCGATTGGGCATCGATTTAATTGACTTCCTCGAGGTCTTTCCAGCGGCTCGTAATGATTCATTCAAACAGTCTATTGTTCAAAGTGCCTTCGGAGCTACTGGTTTAGTACCATTAGACCCCGATCGGGTGCTATCAAAGCTGAACATTCCCCTCCAATGTCCGCCTCTACCGGATCGACCAGTGTCACAAGGTTCAACATCACTCATCAGGTAGCAATATCTCTAAGACTCTACCGGTATATCTCAGAGACTCAGAGGACGGGGCAGCTAGAAAACGCAAATCTATGTTCGATTCCGGTCTGAGTTCAGCTACTGATAAGATCTCTTCGCCTACAGACCGTGACAGCTAGTTCATGAGCGTATCTTGATGCGGGATGAAATCAAGCGTTTACGGGGGGAATCAAGAATTTTTAGATTTAAGAAAACAAAGAAGCAAATGCCAAACAAAGGCAATTTAACTGATTTTAACAGAGCTTCTGGATCCCATCACTAGTCTACTACATCAATAAAATGCGACGCGCTAGCCCTGTCACGTGCGACCTTCCCATTGAGTAGACCTCGCTTAAAGACGTCTCAACTTCATTCTGATTCATAATACTAATTTGTTACTTAGGTCCGAGCCATTGCTGTTTACATCAATGCAAGTCCTCAGCGCCTGGAGTCGTTCTTCAGCTTGCAACCGAACGGACAAGGCTAGTTCCAATCCAGGATGTTGCCACTCGATGGAACTCCACATTCGTGATGCTCGCACGCGCAAAGGGGCTTCAGCAGGCCCTGGATGCTTACTGCTCCCAATACGATCAAGGGCACTTTGCATTAAGCGAACAATCGGAATCTGATCCCTCTGCAAGCAATTATTGCAACAACCTGCCCTTCGTCTGAGACAAGCAGGCAGTAGACCTGCCGACAGTTTGGATCCGTTTTTGAATTTCCAGGTTTCCAATTGTCTTTGGAGGTGCATTTTTAGCAATGCCCCATGCTCTGAGGCGCTTTCTTCTTGTAATTTTGTACAAAGCTGTTGTATTGTTGCTCCATTGGTAAAAAATGCGATGATCTCATCCTTGTGAGACTCAATATCAATTATTTGACGAGGCATGATGGTGTAGAAACAGATAATAGTTAAAAAATGGTAATTTATAAAATGGTAAACGTTTGAAACGGCGGTGAGAAAAGCGGTGTAATATGCAGAGAAGCAATGTAGTAAAAATCGAAAGGGCCTACTGGGCACTGGCTCATGCCGTACGAAACAGGGTATTTTACCACTAGACCACAACAAAAACCAAGGTTCCTGTTTATAGCCTAGGGTGGCTTGTATCCCATTCTGACAGGATCACCTAAAACGGTTTAGCTCCAGTAGTTATAAACTTAGTACCTCTAAACCCAATCTTTACATTACCCGATCTGTCGTCACAACTCGACATCTCTTCCCTTTCACTCACACCTCCACCTTTCCTAAATTTATCCAGCTCGTCAAGATGCCCAAGCTGTTCGGAACCCTGCCCACTCGTGCCCGTCAACGGGCCGTATTACTTGACCAAGCCCGCAGCAAAGCCACAGAGATTCTCAACGACATTTACGAGCGAGTGGAGCGGTACGATGACGCACTTATCCCCACTCAATCATAAGCCTCTTTAAACATCAAATGCGGAACCCTCTTGCTCGACGACGATGAAAAATCAGAGGAGGCAAAGGAAAATTGCTCATCGCCCTTTTTCGAACCCCGGGGCGCCTCTTGGGTTCCCGATCTCAACATCACAGATGATGACATGCGCCAGAGTTTCCAAACATTCAACGATAACTGGGATACCTTTCTGCCAAGTCCTCTCTTGCGGGAACTGGAGTCCCAGGCAATCCATCTTTGTTCCTGGCTAGAGCACATGTTTTCTTATTTCACGCGTGAGGGTAGCCAGACCAACGTTGCCTCGCTATCCAAGTGGAGCAGCAGGTTTGTGATCCAGCTCCTTCGCGACGCTATATACTAACCCCCCTCGTTATTGTAAAGCGGCAGGCTGTTCCCCGAGATCTTTGCCGAAAGGTTCTACCTTCCCGTTTTCCCTATCAAAGGTTATACTACGTACATTGGGTATGTGTCGGAAAAGCAGCTCGCATCTACTAAGAAAACAGCCCCGCATACCCTCATTAATATTGCGGTCGGCGAAGAGCCTAGTGAAGACCTTTTCAAAGCAGAGGTTGTGGTCATTGCTGCAGCCATGATCTCACGCCTCGAGGGCGATGAGTGCAAGGCCTACAGCGTCATCCCCGTGAGGAATCATCATGAAGCGCCGTATTGTCTCTAACGCTGACATCTCCAATTTCTCTAGATAATGCTAGTCACAGCAATGGGTGGAATGCGAGCACGTGTGATCCAAGCGCACCTCAGCGGGCGATCCCTTGTCCTGAGCAAATCAAAGGTCTTTGATTTTGGGACAAAGCAGATGGCAACAGCCAACATCGACACTCTACTAGGCCTGATGGGCTCTGACCAAGTCGGAGATCCAGCAGACATCAACTACATCCTGAAGGCCGAAGTACCACAAGTCGTGACCAAGGTTTCGGACCATAAGAAATTAAAAGTATTCGCAAAATCTTTGACCTTGCATCCGAATCTCCAACAGCTCCACGGGAAGCCAAAAAAAGCCTACAAAACGGGATGATATCCCGCTGGATTGGCGTAAGTAGTATCAAAAAGTCTTCTTGACAAGGGAGACGCATGATGGCTCGGTTATTCCATGCTGTTAGCCGGGGGACAGACGCGGTGGGGAATTATGTCTGTATCTACTTCGTTCATGACTAGCAAAGGAAAAATATTCGCCTGGGTTCAAGTGAGCTTGCAAAATAGGATCAAGTAGAACAAATTCGGAGTTCATTTCGCAGATCGTTTCTGATTCATTCATCCTACAACTGACGGGATGAGATACAAGCGTTCTTTATTACAAGAATATCTCATCTATCCCAATAACGTGCGGACTAAACATCCGAAATGGCTGAACTTGCGATCTGGCCGGCGGCAGCAATGATTATACCAAACTCTGCCATCTCATTCGACATTGTAGTGCGAAATGGACCGAAAGTTTTCATAACCAGAAATCCACCAGCGTTGGCGCCATTCCTGAGATGATTTTGGTACTCTTGCACAAAAGGTACGAACGTTAGGAAGAGCGCATCTCGGTTCTGCGGGATTAGAAGAAAGCTAGAGTAGGGGTTGCAAACATCAGTGCATCGTTCAGATACAGCGATCTTGTCTTGATAGACGATCACTTTTCAACTCACTGGTCATTGAAACAAGCCCCTGCTCTCCCTGATGAACTTGACCATGCAGCAACTTGACAAGCCTCTTGCATGATAATCGGGTCACTGTCCTTTCCACGTGATCGCTTTTTAGCTTCGAGAATCGCGAAGACCCGCTGATTCTGCTTTGATCGTAGCGCCCCGTCCGTGAATGCATTGAACCTCGTTGCTTGTAGCTGGCAGGAAAAGTGGATCCTGTTGAAGACCCATTCGAGCTCAGAGCCAATAACATGAGTGAGTGTCGAGCGAGTGTCTGCAGCAGGATGACTGCTGCTGCGTTGACAGTCGCTTCATCCTCAGCTGCGGGGAGATTTGTCGTAGATCCAGCGGCCATTCGGGACGCGTCAGAAACACCACCCACATTTGTGGTTTGCTCTTGGAGTCTTTTGACAGCTGCAAAAGCCCCTGGCCATGTCGGGTCATTTTCATTGATGCGGTCAATGCTGGTAGAGGCCTGGATGAGCTGCAGGTAACGGCTCCATTCGATTGAGCCGCCCAGCGCATCGGAGGCAGCTGTAAGAACAGCCGGGCTGAACCCGTACTGCTGACACCGGAGTCTGAACATCGGCGGAGCTCTCATTGGAACTGAATACGAACGAAGCATTGCGTATTGAGAGTGTGACGCTTCCGAAGCTGACGCAATCCATTTGGGGGGGGGGGGGGAATGGTATGTATGGTAGCATGCTTCAACTCGGCTTTGCGTCCAACAAGCTGCAGCCATTCGTCGTATGTTTTTGGGATTTTGAACCCTTCAATCTTGCCACTCTGGAAAGCACTTGGCCCTCTCTTTGATTGACTTGTGGGTTGGGCCATCATGCGTATGGGGTGTGTGAGTGAAAAAAAGCCTCTGAGCCATCTTCGCAATACATTATATACGCGAGAGTGCCTGATGCAAGTGAAGCGGACTAGAAGTGGAAACAGCCTACATAACAGGAAGGAACGGCAAGAAGGGAAGGAGCAGGTGAGGAAAAGTTTTGTTGATTGTTTACCTCCTGCTCTTCTCTTTCTTTTTCTTTTTGCAGCGCACGACAGGATTGACAAAGAATCTCTCCAACAGGCCGTGCTAGACCAACCTCTGACCGTCTCAGAGGACCGAACAATCCTCCTTTTCGCAGATGGTAGTGGGTATAAAGGTATGGTCGGTGCATCGGCCGTTGCCCCGCGTGAGAGTATCTTCGAACGGCGCCACCTTGGAACAACCGACGAATCCACAGTATACGTGGCCGAGCTCAACGGCATTGAGATGGCGACTCGAGGTTCGTCAACTAACAACATCGCAGGTTCACAAGGCTTGTCATCTTCTCCGACTGTCAGGCCGCCATCCAGATTCCAGGCGGTGCAAAACCTGGGTCCTGGAGCGATCATCGGGCCAATTGGCAATATGTGCTATGTAGCAGCATTTACGACCACGTACGGGCCCTTTGAGCGCCACAAGTGCATCAGCAAAAAACGCCCACGTCCGATAAGATTCCCATTGAGATCCGTTGGATCCCTGTCCACGTGGGCGTTCCTGGCAATGAGACCGCTGACGTTGAAGCAAAGCTAGCGCCTAGCGGCAATGGGAAATCCAGGGCACGGCATGATGCAGTGCCCAGTAGGCCCTTTCGATTTTTATGTACTATGTAATTATATGCCCTTCCCTAGCACTGAGTTCGGCGACTGCTGTAGACAAGTACTTGAGTAGGTATCTTTCCGTCTAGTTCAATGCCTTGATACGCGTGCTTCTGCGAGGACTAAGAGTAAGAGTTGTAGCAACCCATACTGATCCAGGGTCCACCATTTCGAACTCTCCGGCCTTGTCATCTTGCAGGGGGAATGTGTCTCTTTGCTTAAGGCGCTACCAGAATCCGTTCGCTCCATTGAACTTAGTATGCTGCACTTTCTTTGGGGAGACTGGTATAGCATGCTAGAAAAAATCAAGCAAATGGTATCGGAGCGCTCGCTGTGGGGAAATTGGGATACAGGATCAAGACCCAAAATTACCATCGGCGTGACTGAGAGTGAAGGGGTTGTCATGTACATGAGCCCTACATTTGGATACGGTGTATGGATCGAAAAGGAGGTAGAGGATTTCATCTACAGTGAAGGAGAAAATCCCTTTTACGAGCACCTTCCCTGTCACATCCAGATTGGAATGAGTGTGCTGAGGAATGCATTGGACCCCGATTTTGAACGCCCACACGACCGATTCTTATTTTCAGACCGATGAATTTTGTAAGGAAGATTATGAACCCAATCAATACTGATTTGAACGTGTGCATAAGGGTCTATTGTCGGCTCAATTTGACAATGAGTCTTCTTACAATGACGGGAGCCCTAGATTGAATGGTATGGGAATTAATTACCACTAGACCACATCAAAAACCAAGGTTCCTGTTTATGGCCTAGGGAGGCCTTATCCCAGTGTATCCCAGTCTGACAAATGGTTCAAGGCTATTAGGCTAATATCTAAAACCTCACTGGACGTAGACGGACTTTGAGTCGACCGCACAGCAATTGATGCGGTTGGCGAGCGGCGACCCACTTCCTGTCGCTGTTGGTTCTGCGGACTGTTGGCGAGGGAATAGGGCTGATTGTTGTCCATAGGGCATAGGCATGACAGTGCCCATCATCTTCAACATCTTTCTGTTCCTGCAAGAGAACATAGCAATGCTTACTAACGAACAAAACATTGCAATGGACGATCCTGTGGGGGCTAATCCCTTCTGGGTATAGTCTTGGCTGAGGCTCACCGATTGGACACTGAGCATCACTGGGCAATGCATCAGTCATTCTGCACGTGACTGAGCTGAGCATGATCATCTGAGTAACTCCATGCTAAACTGCTAAATAGTGAGCTAACCTCTACTTCTCTAGTAGTTAACTAAATACTAGCTAGTTATAGATATTAAACATGTAGTAACATACATGTACTCCGTAGGTACTTCGTACGTTTCCGCAATCTAACCCCAGACCCGACGGGAGCCGTGGCCGGGAACCGTGGAATGACAGTGGAGAGTTCACGAGGGACATGCCTTACTTACCACAGTACGTACTTCTATTGTTACTTGTTAGGTCATACTCTACTAACGGGCGCTTAGATCTATATTAATGATTTAATTTCAATTTTCCATTCTATACCTATTTTTTGCCTCTAATCACATATCACTGCGTACATGGTGGAACCACGTGGATCGCTGAGATAAAGTGAGGCGGCCAAAGTCTCCAATTGTCCACCGCCAGACTGCAAGCGCCGGTACTTTCTCTTTTCTTCCCCTCTTATTTCTCTCTCTCTTTTTCTTCTCATCATTTGTATTTGTTTTGCTTCTCTCATCTCTATTAGGTTCAACTTTCCCCGACAACCGAGCCCGTTGGTCAGGTTACACGGTTTCCTGCAGCGACTCACCTTTTCACAACTTCCCTCTGCGTTCCCTCTGAGCATCTTAATCTCTTCCATACTGGAAATCTACTTTGACGGATCTCTCTCTTCCTCTCTTTACTACCCCGGAAACATCTCGCTCATCTCAAATCAGCCATGACTGAGGTGTCCTCCACCCGTCTCTATCTTGGGAACCTTCCCCGCAACGGTACGCTGGCACCTGACTGTCCCTCTTCCCTGCGCCCTGGAGACTATACAACACCATGCACGATCTGGTCGGCCCGTCAGCGCGCACACTCCCTTGTGCTCTGATGCCCGTGTACTCTTGGAAGCTACCCTCCTCGGCCCATCCTCCGAGGGAGCAAAAATAGGAGCTTAAGCTCCCCACACGGACCAGCTTCTGCCTCCGATGGCCATCGAACCAATGCTTCTTGGATACCCCCAAAGGAACAATGCACTAACCTGCTTTGCCTTTCCCCTTTGCAGTGACTAAGAGCGACATCGAAGAACACTTTAGCAGCCATGGCTCCGGCAAGATTACCGAGATCAAGCTGATGAACGGTTTCGGCTTCATCGAGTATGACGACCAGCTGGATGCGAGAGATATCGTGCCCGGTAAGAGCATCCAATCATTGCCTATCTGTTTGCTTGTCGGCCTGCTAACGTTGTTGTGGTGTAGCCTTCCGTATGTCCCCATGACTCGTACCTCGATGACATCCCGCTTAACCATACCCCAGACGGCAGTGATTTCAAAGGTGAGCGGCTCACAGTACAGTTCGCGCGTGGTCCTCGCCGCAAGGATCTTCCTGGACCGTCAGATCGAAATGCTCTCCCTCGCCCGCGTCGCACCATTTTCCGAATGCAGATCTCAGGTCTCCCAGAAACAAGTTGGCAGGTTAGCACACCCTCTTCATTCCTCCCTGGGGTTCCTGGCATATATCCCTCACACTCGCGTGTCACTCAATGCACACATGCTTCCAGTCCGTTGTCCTCAAGGCTGTTGGTTGAGCCAAGGCTTTCGGAGTACTAAAATTCTAGCGCTCGTCTCTCGGTGGCTGAGAATTGTATATATGCCTTTCCCTCTGACCTCGAGATTTGAGGGTGTCCAAGAATCTTTGCATACTAAACATTTTATTGTCCGCCCATGGAAATTTTCCTGGGACTTATGGATGCCGACATACGAGAGCCATTTTGGATACCTCCTCGGACTGGACATGGACCTCTTACCTTTCCTCACTCCACATGAACTTGCCGGATACCTTACTATTCCTGGACCTGGACTCACCACGCGTTGAATAGGATCTGAAAGATTTCGCTCGCCAGTCTGGACTGGACGTGGTTTACTCCGAGACTGGCCGTGAGCAGGGCAGAGGGTGGGTGAATTATTTATATTCCGCGCGAGACGCTCCCAATCCATTAACATTTGATCAAGGTTTGTTGAATTTGAGACCGCCAATGACTTGAAGACTGCCGTGGAGAAATTGGACCAGCGCGAGTTCAAGGGCTCTGTTGTTTCCTGCGTTCCCGATGTAAGCGCCCAACCTGGCTCGGACCCGAGGAACCACCCCGTCTCACCAATTCCCAGATCCAAAGCTTTGAGGAACGTCCCGTCCGCGACCCATATCGGTCTCGTTCCCCACCTCGTCGCCCGTACCCTGGTCCCATGGATGATTACGACCGCCGGATCCCTCCCCCTCGTGGCTATAGCCCCCGGGAGCACTACCGTGAGCGATCTCCGGTCCCTCTCCGCCGCGACCCCTACTATCCGGATGGCTATGGTCGCCGGACCCCTCCTCGCCCTCGGATTGACGATTACCCACCTCCACGTCGTCCCTACGAGGACCCTTACGAGGCCCGCCCTCCCCCACCTCCCCGCCACTATGATGATCCCTACCTGGCTGCCCGGGGCTATCGTCCTCGCTCTCCGCCGAGAGTCCCTTACGACCGCCCTCGCTACTGGTAGATGGCACTGGGTCTTTGATTGGATTTGCTGCATATTCTTCCGTTTTATATCATTACTTTAACATCTTGCAAATACCCACGCCCAAATAGTCAAACCTGATCTATCATGCTTGTGTTATGTTAGCTTGAAGTAATTTTTATTTACTCTGTTAGTCTTGCGGTACTGAATATGGGGTTTCCAGGGGCTCGTAGGTAAGCTTGTTAGGTGGATACAAACAAAACTAGTATCGTATTTGACCGGAAGGCTTTCTATAGCCGTCGAATTTGGGGAGCTGTGGTTATCGTTGTTGGCCTTCGAGATACCCATCCTGGACTTAGCCAGTAAATCCCCCACTGAATTTCCCCGGGCCCCGGCGTCATGATCTGCACCCGTGCCCCGCCAAGAAAAAAAGAAAAAAACACACCGAGACTCTCTTCGATCCTGACATTGCGCCAGCATATTTACGCCTCAACCAAATCCTTGCAACCCTACAGTCCAAGAATAAATCACAATGGCCAACCGACAACAAATAGCCCTCCCATCCCGCCCCTCAATCCTCGACAGCGTCCGCCTCCGCAACATCGAGCTCCCCCTCCCCTCCGCCCCGGAAGCCTGGCACCGCGACGGCAAATCCCAACCCTGCACCGCAACCCTCAAACTCTCCTACTCCGATATAACAACGGCCGCCGAAACCGACAACGTCGCCCTAACCCTAGACTATGGCAAGCTCTTCCGCCGGCTAGAATCCGATGTCCGCAACATGGGCGAGAACACCTCATCCCCGAGACACCCGCTCCAGCGCCTCATCAGTCTCGAGGGCACGCAACGCCACGAAATGCACTCCACCGGGCTGGGGCAGGACCCGCGCGTGATAGCCGGTGTTGTCGCGAATGCCGGGTTGGGGTTGCTGGAGACGACGGCTGCGGGCGTTGCGTCGAAGAATATCTCTGCTGCGTATGGGGAGTGTGAGGTTGAGCTGCATTTGCCCAAGGCGTTGCTGCGGGCCGATCAGGGGTTGAGGTATCGGGCGGTTGTTGCTTTGGGTCCTGATGAGGGGAGGGGCGAGGAGACGCGGCAGTTGGTTGTTTTGGAGGAGGAGTTCCACATTGAGGGAATTAGGTGCTATGCTATTTTGGGGGTCAATCCTCATGAAAGGCTTGAGAAACAGGCTGTTGTTGTTGGGCTTACATTCCGCGGGCCTGGGCAGTTGGGTTGGGGGTCGAAGGTTGTTGAGACTTATCAGGCTGTTACCAGGGCTGTTGCTGAGGTATGTGTAGATTTTGGAGTATACGTGTACTACTGAAACGTTTTCGTTGCTAACTTGTTTTTTGATATTGTAGAAGGTTGACCAGACTGAGTTCAAGTCTGTGGAATCGCTGGCTACTTTTGTTGCTCGCATTGTGACGGTTGAGTTTGGCAATGAGTGTGTTACGGTCAAGGTGGAGAAACCGAGTGCTCTTGCTTTTGTTCAGATGTCTGGTGTGGAGATCACTCGCGCGAAAGCGTTTTTCGAGAGTCATTAGTGACTGCGTAAGTATTTGAGTGTTGTGCAGGGGGCTGCGGTACACAGATCGGCGCTCATATGCAAGTCGGACCCTTGATGATTCAGGCTGTGTAAGGCTGTTTCAGACGAGTCTGTGGACTCTGGCGTTATACAAAGGAGAATCATCTATAGAAGTCTGAAAAAGATGCAGACAATGTTCTAAGAATGTGAAAAGAACAAAGGAATCCAATCAATAGAAGAGGCTGCGATGTCAGCCTGACACGTGAAAGCCACATTAGGTTTAGTGGCTTTGTCCCCGGATCTGCACCTAAATTCTCACATTTCGACCTTTCGACCTTCGCTTTGTTCCCTGTTTTTCACTTCCTGTGGAAGAAACACTTTTCATCTCCCATTGACCAAATCTCCCTCTATGTACCCATCTGAGTCTTTGTCCTCGCTCGCTCTGATTTCTCTTACTGGCTCCCTGGCCACCCCGGATTCATCCCTTCTGAATCTCGATTCGCCTGATCTTAACATTCTCGATCTGTCGCACGCTGCGCTTCCCTTTCCCACCTTGGCCTTCGATTCCTCGGCCAGCGAGGTGACTTGGCTAGGGGTCCCAGGTCCGTCCTGAAGAAGGGCGGACGGTAAACCGCTTAAGAGATCTAAGGTCTATCGCAGACTACTTCGGGCACAGCAAACTGTGCTTTGAAGCAATAAATCTCTCAAGTCGAAGTAAGTCTTCATATGATTCTTCTGCGTTTCCTTCCGTTTTCTACAATTTTGAGTTATTTTTACGTTTCACCTCGGTATAGTTAGTGGGGACGCGAAAACCCTCACTTACCCCTCCATCTATTCGCTTTTTTTTCAGTCCAGTACTGAGGTGATTGATGCTAACCTTTTTACCTATGTGAACAGCGACTACTAGATAGGTATCTCGAATACCTACCTACCGTTCTTTACAGCCGCGCGAGGCCAATTGTCCAGCTTGCGGTTATCACCGGCTCTTTCACACGGACTGATCCGACTGTTTTGCTCCAATCGCGCAACTACTACAGTTGAGAAAACGAACATACAATGCCTTCTGTGAATGCCGAAGACCTGTCGGTCGGGGATGTCTTTGCTCCGCAGGCCGACAGCGAACAGTCCGTCATCGACATCCCGACCAATCACCGTGCCTCCAAGGCACACGAGGGCACTATGCCGCCCCCAAAGCAGCAAGTCAATGGACCGAATGGGCTCGCGAACCAGAAATTCAACGCCGATATGTGGAAGCGTCCGCGACGCAAGGTCAAGAAGAAGAATCAAGTGGCGCCGGCTTGCGCAACCGTTCGCGGCTTCACCCCTCTGGCGTCCGGCGACGAGGAATCGGACTTCTCCACTACAAGCTCTCGTGCTGCCTCTCGTCCTCCTACCGCGCGTGATGGGGCTAGTCCGCTGGCTCAGGCATCCACCGGCCATGGTATCAGCGCATTGAAGCTTCAACTCAGCACTTTGAATTTGCCCGACGACCCGGCCGCTACCAATGGACTTGTTTCCCAGACTCCCAGTGTTGCCAGTGTTTACTCCGACAGCGACCAGACAGAGATCTTGACCAGCTATGAAGTCCCATTGGATCAGGACTTTGTTAGCTCCGAAGCAGTGCACTCAGCGGCGCTGGACGACCCTGACCGAGTCCCAAGCGTCGAGGAAGAGCTGCGGAACCAAGTGTGCCGGAAGATGACGGCGGAAGACTTCGTGCCTATCCTCTGTCTGGGCAAGGGATCCTTCGGAACAGTATTGTTGGTGCGCCACACACTCACCGGCAAACTGTATGCCCAGAAACAATTCCGAAAGGCCACCCTCACCGTCCACAAGAAACTAGTCGAGCAAACCAAGACCGAGCGCACGATCTTGGAGAGTGTCAACCGCCACCCATTCGTCGTCAAGCTATTCTACGCCTTCCAAGACCACGCAAAGCTCTACCTAATCCTAGAGTACGCCCAAGGCGGCGAACTCTTCCACCACCTCGCCATGGAACGAATGTTCGAAGAAGACGCCGCAGCCTTCTACATGGCGGAGATGGTTCTCGCCCTGGAACACCTCCACCAAACCGTCGGCGTACTCTACCGCGACTTAAAACCCGAGAACTGCCTCCTCGATGCCGAAGGCCACCTCCTCCTGACAGATTTCGGCCTCAGCAAGATCGCCGTCAGCGACGACGACCGCTGCAATTCCCTCCTCGGCACAATCGAGTACATGGCCCCCGAAGTAATCCAAGGCAAGCCCTACGGCAAAGCCTGCGACTGGTGGTCCCTCGGCGCCCTAGGCTTCGACCTTCTAACCGGCTCGCCCCCCTTCCGCGCCAACAACCACGCCAAGCTCCAAGAAAAAATCGTGAAGCAGAAAATCGCTCTCCCCTACTTCCTCGGACCAGACGCTAAAGACCTCCTCACCCGTCTCCTCCGCAAAGAACCCTCCAAACGCCTCGGCTACCATCCCCAGAAGGATCTGCAGATCATCAAGAATCACCGCTTCTTCCGCAAGATTGACTGGACCGCCCTTGAGCGCCGCGAAGTCGCCCCGCCTATTCAGCCTATTGTTACCGACCCAGCGCTTGCTGAGAACTTCTCGGTGGATTTCACTAATCTCCCGCTTAGTCCGATTACCGCTCATGGGCTGGAGGATTATTATGGGCGTGGAAAGGTTTGCCCGGCTAAGAGTGCGGAGTTTGGTGATGATGATCATTTGCCGGGGAGTAATCCGTTCGGTGGATTCAGTTATGTTGCTTCGAGTAGCTTGCTGGATCAGGGTTTGGGGATTATGAATGCTGATTGTGATTCGAGTTGAACTGGCATTGCGAGGATGAATGGTGAATGTACAGATCGGAAGATCGGAAGAAGATCGTTCATACATGTATCCAAGGCGTTCTGGTATGGTTGCATCGCATTCATTGTGGCCTCCGATGGGGGGAAAAGCAGCTTTGATTTCTTGTTCTTCGTGTTTTTCAAGCATAGTCCGTTGTCAACTGTGTACAGTGACACTTTTTCGCATCGCGCATATGCTGGAGGCCCTACTATTTCTATCCTTACGCCTGCTCATCGAAAACTGCAATCAACTGAGATTGAATTGAAAGTTGAAATTCTCTATGACATTAGAAACTCATAATCATTCATTCCTCTACTATCCTCGAAAGAGAACACGTGATAGTTAGAGGGAAGACCAGAAATAGTAAACACAAGCAAACGAGAACCGCAATTCTCCATAGCTGTGTCAGACCCGACTTTTCTATTTCTCTGAAATCAGAATATCCATTTCAAATCTCGCCCTCTTCACTTCCCCCATCATCATCCTCTACCGCCCCGGCAGGACGTTCAACAGGATGACCATGATCCTTCTCTGAGACTTCGCCTTCCTCGGCGCTCGACTCTGATTTCGGGATATGCGATGCCGACCCCGGTGCCGGCTCATTATCCGTCACGGCCCGGGAGTGCGGTTGATGTGTATTGTGTGACGACGCAGCTGCAGGAATGCGCGGACGCGACGAGGGAAGTGTTTTCAAGCCCGTTGTTGAGATGTTTTCTGGGGAGGGGGTGACGGTGCGCTGGCGCTTTGGTGAAGGTTCTTGGTTACCGTTTGATGCTGGTTTTGGCGAAGAGGGGGGTTGGGGACGTGATTCGGGTTCGCGGGAGCGTTTGCGACCGTTTGTGTGTGGTTCTTGGGTGGTGAGAGATGATGAGGGAGTGGGCGGGATTGAATGTTGTGGGCGTGGTTTTGTGGGGTCTGTGTCGAAGAGGCGAGTTGGGTCATTTGGGTTGGAGGTTGTTTCTGATATGGCGAAGTCCGGGTAGCCTTTGCTGAGGTTTTGCTGGACGCGCTCGTAGATTTTGACGATGAAGGTGCAGGCGCGGATGAGGTCGTCTAGACGGACGTCGATTTGCTCCCACCAGGGACGACCTTCTGCGTCGTCTGGGAAGGCGACTTTGCAGTGGCGGGCAGCGGCGTAGAGGGCCGCGGCGGCGATGACGCGGGGCGGGAATTGGAGGCAGAGGACTGTGTAGGTGGAGTCGTTGAGGAAGGAGTAGCTGGAATGGCGGAGGTGTCTGTTGTCGGTGACGCCTAGGAAGACGGAGTAGTCCCAGAGAATGCGGTAGGGGGATTCGACCTGCAGGTCGAAGCAGAGGTATTCCAACATGACACTCTCGTTTTGCAGGATCAGATCGCGCCATTTCCAGTAGTCCTTGGATTGCTCGTCGACGATCAGGTTTGGCTGCTTCATGGCGACGCGGCAGCAGGCGATGACGAAGTCTTTCATGCGGCGCATGGCTTCGTCTACCTTGAACGCGACGAATAGCGCCACTGCTGCTATCACCTTCGGGTGCATCAGGTCCGACCCTTTCTCCTGATATTGGCCCATTAATGAATACCGCATGAGGAACCGATGCATGTATACTGTGGCGGTCATCGAGGTCTGCGGTGGCATCTTCAGCATCACACTGACTTGCCAGATGAACTCGACTGCCCGGTGTCGGATGTAGTCCTCTTTCCCACGTTCGATCTTATCGATGCGCGACGGGGTGCGCTCGAACTCTTCTTCTGTGAATAACCATTTTTGTTGCTCTGCTTCCAACACCGGGTTTGGCAGGCCGGGGACTCGTCGCTTTGGCATTGGAGATGCCATTGCCGCGCGCGCGATGTATCCAAGATGGGGTAAAAGCGAGGAAGGTTTCTTTGTAGGTTGGAAAGCGGTATGGGAGCACGTCCGGCGCGCCTGGTGAGAGATAGCACGTCGGAGTGGCTAACAATGGTCGTGGTCGTTCCAGTCGTCACTGCGTCAGGCCCTATCAAGCATGGTGGAGCTTTCTATCGCATCGCGGGATGACGGTGCACTCAGGAGACAGGGAAATCGGACGTGAACAATATTGCGTCAATAGAGCTTTACGCACATTTAGACTTATGCCGGCAACTTGAACTTGGCAGGATGAGAGAAAGAGGATCTTCCACATCGTCAAGCCGATCCCCGGCCTTGAATGGGAAGCTTTTGGTCGGGATAATGTTTTTCCAGATAATTCATCCGGCATCAATACCTAGAACTAGATCACAATGTAACTAACAATATATTGCCAGATAACTAGTTAGGGGCTTTATAGCAATTCAGACATGTTGATATCCAATTGGCCGCACCATGATTGACCACGCAGTATTTCCGACTCCGTCCCTAGCTCCACGTGTTTTCTCTAACTTTTTCCGCTCCCCCCTCACCCAAGTGACCATACGCTAAGGCATTTCCCATCTATGATTGCAAGGAGTGTTTTTCGCAGCCGACACTTGAGCAACACAAGCAGCTTCCGTCGCCTGCGCAGTCCCATTCGCCATCCCGCTCAAAAGATTCTCCCTGTGCATATCACGCTACCTCTCAACCCTTCAACCCAGTTTTCGACAAACATGGCTTCACCGCGTGATCCCTCTAAACGAACTCCCGAAATCGAGAGCTGGATGAACGGTGCCGACAAGCTCGAGAGACTTCTCGACAGAGACAAGTTCAAAGCATGGGGTTTCGTGATCTATCGATGCACGTATCGGAGTGACTCCGAGTGGGAGGAATTCATAGTGCGGATCCACAAGCGCGTCGAAGAATACCTTGGGTATTACAATGGTCTAGATCTCGTCGGTAGCTTTGCTCCAACGGTCTTGGAAGATCGCTCTTTCGAGGGTGCGACGGTTATCTCTCTACGTGAGAAATTCAATGAATGGGCTGTGACCGCGATAAAGGAGGAACAGGGAATTGATCCCAGTCACCTGTGGCATTTGAAGAACGGCAGGTACCGCTTTTTCATAATGGTTGACCAAGAAGCCTTGGATTCGGTCCTGAGCACGCCAGAAGACGATATACATGAAGGATTCGTTCGTTTGGTTAATGCTGAATGGAAACCCGAGGAGTTAGATGAGGAAGAGCTAGCGGAACGCGGGGGACCTGGTCCAGAAGAGGAGCCACTAGAAGGGTGTACAGAGGAGGATGTTGGCTGGATGAAAGTATGCTGGGGTCATTCACAGATGCCTGGATATTTGCAGCTGGACGGCTCCTTTGATTGGGATATGTATTATTCGCGTCCACCTGTGATTCAGTCTCTTAGTTGAGAGACATGGAGCATATGAAAGCCTGAGTTCACTCCCACAATTGTAAGAAACTCCAAGAAACTTGTATAGATCAGTAAATTGTAGGTGTCTTCACATCGACTTGTGCCAAGAAGAAGTTGAAAAGGCTAGAATCACGTGAAGATGTCGTGAGGAGCGTCCCATTCCAAGCTCCTACGTTTGAGGTAGACAATTGGCCCTGGGTCACAACACCCATTGCATCCTGAATATTGGTCCAGTCTGGATCATCCCATGATCCGTTCCACAAGAAACAACTCCCGTCCTATACATGCTTCCCCTGGGATTCCATTGATTTGTAAATGTTCATGGAGGTCGATATCAGGACCTCCTATGATGTCCTAACTATCCAGGATTCCAGGCAGGACTAGAAAAAAGCCCTACAATTTTAATTATGCTATTCTACAGACTACCTACCGTCTTCGCTCGCGTCATAATGTTCCTAACTTTCGGCGTAATACAGTATGTTATGTACGCTTAACATTCCACGTTGTTCAATTGAGTATTAATATGTGATTGTACTGAACTACTCCCTAAAAAATTGGTATCTTGTATGTTTTAGGACCGAGGTCCATCCTGGCGCCACGCTGATAGATGCAATACACAAAGAAGGCCCAGACATTCACTCCTCCTCACTGACCTCACTCTCATCGTCACTGGGAACATATTGCCTGGTGGGTTGAATATACTGGTTTCGAGCCTCCTCTTCACGAGCACTTTGCTCAAAAGCGGCCTCCATCTCTGCCGCCAAAGCATCGTCGTCCTCCACTTCATCTTCTGTCACGGCTGTCTCTGTAGTCGCTGCCAAAGTAGCTGGGACCATATTGGTAGCCGGAGAGGGCAGACTAAACTCTCCTATGCCTTCGTCTCCCTCGTCATCTGCTGGGGTATTATTGGACGAGAAGTAGGCTGGGTTGACGAGGAATGAGCGCGACGGGGGTGGAGAACCCATGTCAATAATGAGATCTCCATCAACAATGATGTTGGAGCCTGGAGATTGTCCGGTTTGTTGTGAGCCCGTCCCTGCATCAGATGGGGACGAGCGAGTATCCTCTTGCTCCCGTGGCTCCTGATGTCTGACCGGCTCGCTTGGCTTCGCAGGCGGTTGTGCTTTGGCTGGTTGTCTGGCTGGCTGTTTCTTCTGTCGCAGTGGGTTTGCCTGGGGTTTGGGGCGGGAGGCGGGTTTCGGCGTGGGTTTGGCAGTCGGTATCAAGGGTGTGTTGGCCCTGCTTGTGGTAGGTTCCGGGGTGCTGTGGCCGGAGATTGGCTTGTCACCTTGCGGCCGATTTTTGGGGAGGAAGTGTCGGTAGTCGTAAGGATTGCTCGCGTCGGCCGGGCCCTCATCCTCACTGGCGCTCCCCGTGTGACGGTCTTCGCCCGAGGTGGCTGGTTCATCCTCTTCCTTTATCTGCAGTTGTTCATATTGCTCGCGAACTTGTTTCTCCGTCTTCCCTGGCGCCGACCGTAAATTAAAGTTGAAGGTTGTCGAGACTGGTTCCAGAACAAAGACTTTCCGCTCCGGGTCAAAGATCAGAACGAGGCTTCGTTCGCCCGAGCGCCCTTCGCTGCCTTTGTAGGAATAGACCAATGAGTGATCGGCATTCGGGGCCTTATCAGTAACCTCGAGGTCGTAAAGGTCAGTCTCGGTCGATCGCGAGTGCGAGATAGTGGAGCGTTGTTGTGAGGTGGCGGACTTGGATTTGTGGTTGTAGTTGATGTTAATGAGTCGGCTTGTGTCGGAGTTCTGCAGCCTCTCGCCCAGCACAATTGGGTATTCGGCCTGCTTTGTCGGGTCGATCATGGCAGACAATGTGGGGGCTGCCATGTTTGCGCTCTCTCTCGACAGTGAAGATACCAGTGGCACGCTGCGACCCAGGAAATAAAGTGGTTTGTTCTGTTGCACAATGCAAAGAGAGAGGGAGAGAGGAAGAGAGAAAGAGTGGGAGAGTGGGAGACAAGGAAAGTAGGTCAGATGTCCCAAAGTCGGGGAAGATTAAGGTGGAGAAGAGCGGACTCAGAACATGACCCGTACCATGACCCAGTTCTCCCCACCTTTACCGGGAACCCGTTGGAACTTCGAATTGACGAAAGTAGTCAATTCCGCCGATTGGTGATTACTGCTCTTTGTTTCTATTTCGCATACAAAGATGATACTACAAGGTCTGTACTACATTTTACGCAGGCCTTGGGGATCCGACTTCGGCTCAATGAGACAGTGCACACATGTACATATTAGCCCAAATTACAAAGATCAAAAGGGTTGACATTGAATACACAAAAGCAAGGCAATTCCATTAAACGATAATTACCAGCCGAGGCATGAACATAGAAGCGGCTCACAGGAATACAATGCAGTAAGACAAGGCAGGAGAGGTATCCAGATCAAAACAAAGGGCGTGAGGCATTAGAGGAAAACAGAAAAGGAATGGCGACCTGTCAGCTCTTACAGCCACCTTCTGAGACTGTACCACCGAGGTTGACTGGATCCAAAACACTGATTCCAATGTGGAGGAATCTTCGAGTGGTTTATTTCATCTTCTCCTTGAGCTTGGTGAACAAGCCACTCAAGCGGTTCTTCTTCTTCTTGTCTCCATTAGTAGAAGCGCCTTCAGTGGTGGGGGACGACTTTTTGGAAGGCTGTTCTGCAGGCTTGGGGGTCGAGGTTGAAGGCGCCTGAGCAGACTCAGCTCCAGTCGTCACAGTGGGTCCATCAGGTTCCGCAGTGGCAGTATCGGGTTTTAGAGGCACCTCACGGCCAGTTGTTAGATCCTGCCCGCTGGATTCGGTATTCTTCAATGCCGAAGACGGGGTGGCAGCAGCAACACCACCACTCTGGCGGCCTGGGGCAGGGGTCGAGGTCGGGGACACATCGGCCGAATCCACGCCGCTAGGAACGGCGAGGCGAGGTGCAACTGCCTGGGTAGCTGCAGTGACGGTAGGCGCCGGGGTACCCGCCGACTCCTCGACCTGGACCTTCTTCTGAAGTTCCGCCTCCAGAGCCTTTTTCTCCTCGACTGCTGCCGCGCTTGCAGCAGCTTCCGGGTCCTGGTTGGCCTCAGCCAACGATTCCTTCACTACCTGCGGGACATCCTCGACGGGCTTATCGCCGTCAGGCTGCTTGCCCTTGGGCTCGAGCGGCACACCAGCAGCCAGTGCCGCGGTGGTTGAGTTGGGACCGGCGGATTGAATGTTATATTCGGGATCGGCCAGCGCTGCCTGTTGGGCCGGACCTCCGATGGGAAGACTGGATTCAGGAATCATGCTGTTCGTGATTGGAGGAATAGCGAAGGTGGAATTGTTGGCGTTAGCTCCGGGGTTCTCGTTACCAGCGCCAAGAGGAAGAGTTTGGCCTTTCTCATAAGATTCCTTGTCCAAGTTGACGGTCGAGTCTACGGTGTTGGTGTGAAGTGTGTTGGGATGAGGAACCTTCTCGCCCGGCTTCAGGGTGACGGGGTTGCCATAACCCCCCGAAGCTGGGATCGGATCCACGGAAAAACTTTGTTCGGACTCCTGTCCCGGGGTATCAGGGAAGGTACCGGGAAGATTCCCGTTGAGCTCCTTGGGTACATTAGCAGCCAGAGCTGCAGTAGTAGAATCAGGGGTGACGCCAGACATGGTGGGGGCGATGTTGGTGGAGCGATCGCCAGTGACAGTCTGGATCTCTTCAGGTAACAACACGTTGTTGATGTTGTTGTGGCCGTCGTCTTCTTGTCGCACGTTGGTATCTGTAGTCCAAATGCCGTCGACAACAAACTTTTGTGGAATTTCCGTCAGCAACGAAACAGGGTAACCTTGGAACATGGGAAGGTGCGCCTTTTAAATGGGGGGAAATGCGGGCACAGATGACGTCAGCTCGGGGGCGGTTGCTTAAGGCTCACCGCCATCCAAAATCTACGCCCAGGAAAGACCCAGCCCCAAGGCAAAAGGGAACGTGACTGAGAAGGGGGAAAAACACCGAGACAAAATCCCTGAGAAGATAGCCTTACCTTGTAGTGAACCTTTTCTGAGGAAGGAAGAGTCACTTCCTTCACGAAGATGTCGCCCACCCGGTCCAGTTTCACCGTCTTACCCCAATCGTCGAAAGTGCCTGTAACGAACACCTCGCTCGCGTTATAAGGCCTGCGTGTTACCGTCTCAGCATTGTACCACAGGGGGTTCTCGAGAATCGCAATTTTGACTCGACTTACCATTTGAATGTAAAAGTTCCCATTTCTAAGGAAGAATCTCTGTACAAGGAGAAAATTGGGAGAGAAATTGGTTGGGTAAAAAGATAGGGAAAAGGCGCGAACTTAGTGAATTGGCACTAAAGCAGTGGGGGTGTGACACAGACCAGTACCTGACCCTGGGAGCCCTGGAGGAACTAGTTCGATATCAGTTGGTTATCTAGCTTTTTTCTTCAATCTTCCAAGGTTTACTGGTTGAGTATCATCTCTGGGAAGGGGCTGGGAAACCATGGCTCCCTCGGGTCTACCGGGTCTATGCGCTAGCAGCCAGCTCTAGACTTACATGACGTGAGCTTTGACTTCAAGGTACTTTATAGGGAAGGATCGAGGGTTTACTAGTTATTATTGTAAAGGACTAGCTGGCTTAGCTTCAATAGTTATTTCTATCTACAACTTCAATCGTAACCGCGTAGGTACCTCAATGCAATTAGGTAGTTTGTAAAAATCTACAGTTTTCAATTTCAATGTTCCCCACTCAGGTGACATCGAAACCGGCGAGTCCATGACATACAGCATTCACATGGAGATAAGCCCTGAAGAAAAGAAATTTCGCCACTCGAGTGGCGAAGATGCAATGATCATCTATTTTGTTTCTAGAAGACATCTGGAACATTGGTCCTTGTTCGAACCTACCTGGGCCATCTCATTGGCGTTGCTTGTTACCATGTACTGCGGACTAATAGGAATGACGTCGATCATTCTGAACCCTACCTATTACTCTGTAGCCTGAGGTGTAGACTGTATACGGCGTACAATGAAGGTGAATAACTTCCATGATCGACGAAGCTCAGACCAGCTCTAGTGTCCTACCCCTCATTCTTCCAATAATTGCTTGAATCATTCCTTTTCCCCCTTTTATATCTTCTTTATATTGAACATCTTTAAGACCGACTTAAAACTGACTTCCCGACTTCCCGTGGATCTCCCAGCTTCCCCCGCTCTTTTTCTTTCTGTACAGCTTCCCGGAGTCAGCTTCCATTTTGTGACAAAGACACAGGTAATGTCCCAGTTCCAGCTGTTTCAGTTGGATATTCTTTTTCTTTTCTTCTTCACATTCCATTTTTCTTCCCGAGACAATTAAAGAAAGGAAAGAAAAAAAAAGAGACCAAAGACAGGTCATGCAGCATCCCTACAATTAGACTTCAACCGATCCCCACTACTGCCTTGAATTCCTCCATGACTCTTTCTACCCCTCCGTCTCTTCTTAATTCTTCAATCTTTCCTCTTCCACCCCATATGCTCAATTTAACTACACCTACCAATCCATCCATCTCTAACCGTCAACAATCATTAGATAGTATCTCTGTCTCCCGGTTGCCCCACTTCCATCCCACTCAGCTTCAGTGCCGGAGTCGCGGCCTCTCCGGCCTTCAATCCAACGCCATCATGGCACAGAATTCTACTTCTCCCCCCGTGACTCCTCCCCGTGAGACCAAAGCCAGCAATAAAGCGTCTGGCATCCCAAAAATTTCCGAGGACGAGGAGTTCGAGGTGACGTCACCGATGGACATGACTTTCCGACAGACCAATTCGGGCGCTATGCCACCGGGCAGCGCCTTGTTTGGAGGCAGTGGATTCGCCGAGGGAGCATCACGAGCATCACAAGACGGAAGATTGTTTAGTCGGAGTCCCTTCCAAGGGCCTTCTGGGGGGGAGGACGACGAGGAAGGAGAGATGGCCCCTCTCCCGGAGCTATCCGCACAGCAAGGCTTCCCCAGCAATTATGCGCTAGGCCGTCGAACCTCCGTCTCAGCGGAATCGTTAAATCCTTCCGAGGCCGGGTCAGAGGGCTGGTCGCCCCCTCACCACCCCAAGACCGACGAGCAGGTCTCCCGGCTCAAGAGCGCAGTCAGCAGCAATTTCCTCTTCTCCCATCTCGATGACGATCAATTCTTGACCGTGCTCAACGCTCTTGTTGAGAAGCCCATCCCGGCGAAGGATATCAAGGTCATCTCCCAAGGTGATGCGGGTGATTACTTCTATATCGTGGAGAAAGGGAACTTCGATATCTATATCCACCCCTCTGGTGCGGTGCAGCCTGGTCCCGATGGATTGGGCAACAAGGTTGCCTCCACTGGACCTGGAGGCTCCTTCGGTGAGCTCGCTCTGATGTATAATGCCCCGCGTGCCGCGACAGTCATCTCCACCGAGGCTAAAAGCACTCTGTGGGCCCTCGACCGCATCACCTTCCGACGCATCCTGATGGACTCGGCATTCCAGCGCCGTCGCATGTACGAGGCTTTCCTGGAGGAAGTCCCGCTCCTGTCTTCTTTGAAACCGTATGAGCGCTCGAAGATCGCCGATGCCCTGGACACCATCAAGTACCCGGCCAATTCCACCATCATCCACGAAGGCGACCCTGGAGACGCTTTCTATCTGTTGGAATCGGGCGAAGCTGAAGCCACCAAAAATGGTGTCTCGGGGGCTGTCAAGAACTACCACCGCGGTGACTACTTTGGCGAGCTTGCTCTGTTGGACGACAAGCCGCGCCAGGCTAGTATCACCACCAAGACCGAGGTGAAGGTCGCGCGGTTGGGCCGTGACGGATTCAAGCGGCTTCTCGGACCGGTGGAGGGCATGATGAGACGGGCCGAGTATGAACTGGATGCGCAGAGATCCCCTGTCTCCAAACCGGTGTGATGTGATATGAATTTTTCCCTAGGCTGAAGGGGCAACTAGACTCCTCATTGGCGAGATTCAGATTGTCTGATCAATCGTCATCTTGAGTTCCTATACTCATCATCTGTTATCCCTATAACCGAATAACCATCTTTTCTTGTTTATTACTTCGTCCCCAGCAACCCTTCCACTCTTTACGACTCTCTCACTGTATCTACAACTCCTGTCTCTTTTATGCGTGTCGTCTGTGGCAAGGACCTATTCTCGTCCTTAGTCAATGTCTTTGGTCATTGTGTTATGCACTTGATTGGTCCCTTCAGTACTATATGTAGGAACCAGCAGAATGACTAGGATTGTCTCATTTCCATACTGGTTTCCAATATGTCTATCAAAGTCGCGTAGGGGCCCGCCCACTACGATGATATGTAGCATCCTCTATTTGACTGCCCGACTGCCCGGGGAACCGATGCCTCTACGCCCTCTAAAGGCACCAACACCCGCCCCATCTCACCTCGGGACGACCAAATCACTCCTCAAAACCCATTTCTCCCCACCAGTGACCTCAGCCCCCTCATGCAGCATACAATGATCCCCATGCCGATGCAACAAAGCCATCCCCACTTCCGGCGCAACAGCTATCGGCTCCGGGTTCCGGTTTTCGCGCGTGGGTTCAGGGTAGAAGATCGTTTCGCCGCCCGTACAGGAGCTCAGATAAACCAATAGAGTCCAAGTTGTGCGCGCCGGCGTCGCTTTCGAGCGTGAGTTCGGCGGCGGTAGAGTCACATTGTTTGCATCGTCATCTTTTGCAATTGTTAGTTCCGCTGCTGATTGGCATTGAAGCCATTTCCGGAATCGTGCTGGAAAAGGGAACCCAAATCCTTACAATGCTGTCCAAAAAACTGCCCGGCTGAGTAACGATAAATCCGAATATTGGGGTTCAATCCCAATGGCTGTCCGCCCCAGAGTTGACGTGCTTGTTCCGTGACAGCAGGTGGGATACCGCTGTCCTCGTCGTCCTCTGCGTCTGGTTTGTACTCGTGTTCGCCGAGGGTCGTGACGAGGTGTTTCAGTGCCGTCGTGTTCCATAGCATCTCGGCGAAGCGCGCATCGTCGATCTGGAAGCGGTCGTTGACGCGCAGGGCTTCGTCTTTCTTGGGCTTTCCCGGTGTTGTTGTTAGGGGGAGGGAGGCGAGGAAGGAGGCGTAGGTTTTGCAGAGGGCGGATGGGAGGAAGTTGCGGATCAGGTAGATTTGGGAGGTGAGGAGGGGGGTCAGGGTGAGGTCTGTGGTGGGGAGGAGCGGACGGAGAGGAGGCCAGTTTGGAGTTTGGGGTTTTGGGACTTGTTGGGGTGTTTTGGTGATTGGCTTTTTGGATTTGGAGGGCATTTTTGGTTGTGGCCTTGATGAACAGTATGTAGATGGGAGTGTCTATGTTATTAGTAGTATGTACGTAGTAGGTGAGTGTAGGTACGAGGTAGGAAGATCGGGGGTTGTTTTTTCTTTATCGATAAGACGATCCGATCCTCGTGCAGGAGCTTAATCCGGATCTTTTGTTTTTCCCCACAGGAAATGTCTCCCTTGCATGTGTCCTTCATATAAGGGATTGTTATTGTTTAGGAAGAATACTGCATTCAAATATATGCATAGTATATGGCAGACAGTTTCCCCTCATCTCGGGCAAGAATTCCAATCCCATCTTCTAGTGGAGATAAGCCACCGAATATCACGGAGAGGGGGGTTGGCTCCACTAAGCTTACGATAGACTACTCCGTTAACTACTGCGTAAACCGAGGTATACCAGTGATGTTATAAGGCCTTCAAGAGAGTAATTAGAGGTCAATGGGCCTAGTACATCCAAGTAACAAGCATAGATCTAGACTCCCCTCTATCTACCAACAAAATCGGTGAGCAGCCAGTCCCATAAGTGGATCGAGTCGGAGAGAATATGGATTTGGGCGGGGCGGGAAAGAAAATTCGTCCCGGAGAGGATCGTCGGCGCTTTTCTTTCCAGGCGGAAACTCTCTTGGACCCCTCCTCGACTCAATTCCAGTGAAACAATCCAACATAGTACTCAGAAGAAGGTGACGAAAGATCCCCAAACCTCCAAGCCAGGAAAGAGGAAAAATATGAACTAGTCAGCGGTGACTACGGCCACCTGCAGCGACCAACTCGGCCATCGCTCACCGCCCGGCCCAAAGTTGAGAACTTCCTTCTGATTGGAACTTCACCTTTCTCTCTTCCCAGCACCAGCCTGTCATGTCGTCGCAGACCATGACTGCGCCAGCCGTGGGCCATCGACCGCCTGATCCAGGCCCCGATAGCCCTATGTACGACTATGGCTGCTCACCAAAGGCCACACCCCTTCCAATCCTCGAGACGACTCCGCAATCCGCGCCATGCAGAATAATTCTGCCCCGTCACCTTCAGATGGGATGCACGCCCCGGACGTCGCAATCAAGACCGAACGCTCAGACAGTCGTGACTTTTCAGCGCAAAACCAACAAGATGCAAATACTCAAAATGCTGCAAGCGCACTCCTAGCTCAACTGCTAGGAAATCAACCTGCGCCGAACTCTACCCCTACCACGATACAACCTTCACAACAGGGCGAGAACCAGGATATGCACATGGACACCAAAATGGACGAATCACTTTCCCGGCCTTTCGACATGGCCGCTCAGAACCCCACGCCCATCGACCCAAGCTTACAGCAAGGTCCGGCCTCAATATCTCGCGAGATTCAGGACTTGCTGAACGGGAAGGCGCTAGGTGACGAGCTCATGGGTGCGAACTCCGCCCAGGATATGAGCAACACGGGATTTAATTCGGCCGATGCCATGGGAAGCTTGTCCGATCCCGTGAATCCGAAATTGAATACGGACCAGCCCTCTCTCCTCCCGGCCTTGGATTTTTCTTCCGCCCCGAAAAATGCGTTGGAAGCGCTCCAGCAAAACGAGCTACTCACAGCTGCCTTTCTTTCACAAAATGCCGACCTGTCAGCGTTTGGCTACCCCGATGGGGCGGCGTCAATTGCTGGATCGGAACCCAAGATCCAAGCATTCGCCAAGTTGGAGTTTGATGATGGTCATTTTTATGTTAATACCTACTCATTCATCCTAGGGCGAGACGTGCGCGCTGCCCGCGCCGCCCATCACCGAGAGTTCCAGTACCGGCAGGCCGTGCGAAGCTCCCGAGCGAAGAGTTCAAGTGGAGGAAATACATCCCATACACCGAATCGCATGAAGCGGGAGGAAAGTGCGGCGATGATGGGTAGTGTTGTCAGTGATCGTGGAGGTATCATGGGCTTTGATCCCGATGTGCCTCCACATCTTCCGAACAATCTGAACATGAGCCGACGATCATCGAAATCTTCCTTTGATGATGCCGTCATGCCCCTGCATGCAAACCCGGCTCAGCTACAATCGACCACCGATTACAATGCCCTCGCAATGCAATCTTTGCAGGAAGGAAATGGAGACGCAAAGCCTGTTGACGCACTTGCTTTGCTCCCATCTCCCGACTCTTGTCCCACAATTCCCATTCATCCCCCAACGACGGTCGACGGCAGTGCCGCAGGACATCGAGGGATCTCCCGGAGGCATGTCCGGATCTCATACAACTTTGATCGCAACTTGTTCGAGATGGAAGTAATGGGTCGCAACGGAGCTTTCATCGGAGCTGACTGGCTATCACCAGGGCAAGTCCGCCCGTTACACAGTGGCGACTATATCCAAATTGGAGGCGTGCGCATTCGCTTCTTGCTACCAGACGTCCCCATTGGAGAAACAGGAGCCGACCGGGAAGAGAAGTTAGCGGAGGAGAAGGAGGCCGAAGAGGAGAAAGAAAAAGACGCTCGTCCCTCAATCGAGGTCGAGGAGGAGATTGATGAATCTGAGAGAAATGGAAGTGAGAGTGGCGAGAGCAGGGAACCGTCGAAGAAACTCATTCTCAAGACAAAGGATCCCAGATCATCACAGGCAATGGATTCCATCGAGCCTGGCGATGATAGTTCCCAGCCGGCCCGGCGACGCGGACCTGGACGTCCTCCCAAGGATGGCATCATGTCCAAACGGGAGCGAGCTGAGCTTGCCCGGGAGCAGAAGAATGCCGCCAAGCGCGAGGCCAATGGAGGGGTCACACCACCGCCTCTCAAGGTGCCCAAAGCTGGGAAGACCGTTGCCAAGGAATCCGTCGTACCAGAGTCACCGACGAATAACGCGAACAGACCAGCCGAGAAGCGGAAGTACACCAAGAGGAAGAAACCCGATGGCACACTCATGGATTCCCCTCTCCCCTCGACAGAAGGTGGCCAGATGTCAGCAGAGGCACCACAAGAATATGTCAAACCACCTCCAGTCAAGAAGCGCAAGCCATCACGGTCGCCTTCACCTAATTATCCTCCGGAGAGTGCATATTCGCCTGAGGATCTGGCGAAGCCCCCGTACAACTACGCCGTTCTCATCTTCGATGCTCTGACCGAAGCTGAAACGCCAATGACACTGAAGCAGATCTACCGTGCGCTGAAACTGAAGTATCCGTACTTCCGCTTCAAGTGCGAGACTGAGGGGTGGACGTCTAGTGTACGGCATAACTTGAATGGCAACGGTCATCTGTTCATGCACGCCGAACGAGACGGCAAGGGATGGTCCTGGCAGCTTATTCCTGGTGCGTCGGTTGAGAAGGAAAAGAAACGGCGCCCTTCGCCGCCGCCTCAACCTTCCCACCCTCCTACGCCTGCTCCTCAGCAGTATATGCCTCAGATGTCCCACTCTTATGCGCCCCCTCAGGGCCCGCCGCCTGTGCCAAACCCACCACAGCATTTCCAATTCCCTTCTATTCCGCCTGCACCTTTCCCGGCCTCTGTTACGGTGGGAGGACCTCCACCACAGTCTAATATCTACCAACAACCTCCACCTAAGGCCCATGTTCCCACACCAACCGCTCCCCCTGCTCCTCCCGTGCAGGCTCCTGCTCCTCCTCCTCCTGCTCCTGCTCCGGCCCAGCCTCCGGTATCGACACCGGCAGCAGCACCAGCAGCACCAGCACCTGCGCCGGCGCCTACTTCTGCCCCAGTGTCTGCTCCGATTCCGTCTCCCGCACCAACGCCTGCAGCAACACCTGCATCAACGCCTGCGCCGGTGGTTGCACCCCCACCTGCATCCGCACCTGCGCCAGCTCCAACACCGGCGGCAGCACCGGTCCCGGCACCGGCACCAGCACCACCTGTCCCTGCATCTTTCCCTATCCCAAGCCAACTCCGCAACAACCTTCCAGCTGCATTTGCGGCGACCGTCCCATCAACCTACACTTCACCCTACGCATCCGCACCTACTCCGCAGGCCAATCAGCAGCAACAGCTGCAGACCCCGATGCCTCCCCATCGGCCACCTCCGCAACATTCTCCCTACGCACAACAAAAACCACCCTCCTCCCAACCCCCACACACCAACCAGCAGCCACGGCCTTACCCTCCTCCATCTGGCGGGGTTCAATTCCAACACCAGAATCAGCCGCCGGCGCAGTCCCAGCCGCGGCAGCTGTCACATACCCCCCAGCAACACCATCCGCTACCCCACCAACACCAGCCGCAGCATCAGCAACAGCAACAGCACCACCAACCATCTGGCCTTCCGGCGCAATCTCACCATCAACAACAGCAGCATCCTGTTCAGCAAAGTCCTGCCCCAGGACCACCACCCGAGTCCTCGTTCAATGACCGAGCAAACAAGGCCATCGATGACTTCGAGGCTGTGCTGATGGAAGACTACGAAGACAAGAACTACATCCGGGAGGTTCTTCGGAGTGCGCGTGCACGCGTGTTGGGCGATGCAAAGGAAAGCTCATTCCCAGGCGGCGAACCAAAGGACGAAGCCGTTATCATGGACGTGCTCCGCAACCTAGTCGGCAGTCTGAAGGAAGAGTAAGCCTTGCAATCCTGGTAGGGAACACAAGTTCCCTTTTTGACGACTTATCGAGTAAACGAGTCTTATGGTTTTGTTTCTGTTATTTTTTTTTGGCTATCTTCCTTTTTCTCTTCCCCTTTATTCCATCTGCCATTTTCCTCCCTCTTTTGCGACATGTCTGGGTCTTTGGTGATCCTAATGATATCCCTCTGTTTTTTTGTTATTTTGGGGGGCTGACAGGCGTCTTGCATACGTCTATCCCTATTCCGATTTCCCCAAATGTTTCCCTTTCTTTTTATATCTCTTCTGGGCTTATAACTAGCCAGTGGGCGAGGTAATACCTCCCATCATGGAATTGGTTATATCTTCGTTTCGATCTGGACTTGATGTATTTCCTCTGATAAAAAAAGTCGTAAAAGCTCAGCATGATAGAAATTACCAATTACATTTACGGGACTGTGGCTTTTTCCCTAGGTACTAGGTACATACATGTAGTAGCTGGGACTTCATGGTTGGTTAACTAAGAAGGGTATGAAGGTGTACACAGTAAATGAATTCTCGATGTGATCATTTGAAGTATCCATAATAATCCTTTATTGTCCCGGATATCACATCAAGTCGCCCTTTTAGCACAGTGGTAGTGCGCATCACTCGTAATGATGAGGTCCTCGGTTCAAACCCGAGAGGGGGCACTTCTTTTTTCCTTTTGTCTTTTTCTCCTGGGCACGTGAATGCACGTGATAGTTGTGTACTCACATTATTTTGATTTTGATGTCGAGTCAATTCATGTATCATACATATATTCTCTTTTTGTGACATTGGATAACTACCTACCTAGCACCTAGTAGTACATAGGCCTCGGGAGTGAGGAGGTGGCAATTAGGGCAGGGGAGTTGAAGACTTAGTGGTCGACACGTGAAAGATATATAGATCCATCTATTAGGGCCGGAACCGTGGGTGGCCTTAGAATACAGAGAGCTACCTACCTAGGTTATACACAATACCTAGTATATGGTTTTATTTCTCATTCATAACTCATGTTCATGCCCGGGCAAAGGCAAATAGCAACCAAGTGACGATCATCTCGATAGTAAGACGGGATGAAGTTGGCCCTTCTGTCCTGGGATGGGTAGGGACCCAGAATAGCCAGGCTGGTCATAATAAGCGAGTATATATGAGCAACAAAATAAACGAGACGGCCAGCCCTTGCCCCGATGGGAAGGACACATCTTGTACATCAGGGTCTATGTAATTATAGTGTACAGAAGCGAGGAGGGTCGGACAGTATTAAGCAATATTTTAGGTGTAATAGTCAAGAACCGACGAAGAAAGTAACATGGAAATGGAAACTGCATGGATGCAAGAACCAGGAAGCAAGAGTTGGATCATAGGAAACGGGGCATATTCATTCGTTGCTTGTTCGAATATCTCATGACCGTGTTGGTTTCTTCTGCTTGGTTCCAAGTTTCCCCCTTTCCTTGCTAGCCCTGGCTATGCATGTGCTGTAGGACAAAGCTCCAGTCCAACAGGATAACACGAACATATCATCAACACAGAACAAGGGGCAAAGGGAACACAGAATCAAGACCCGGCACGGCGTGACCAGCACCAACCGCGCTTGTGGAAAACTCTCGGACCGAAGATTCGTCTCGAAGCCAAGTGAAGCCAAGACAGCAGCTTGTCAACCGGCGGGCGAAAGAAAGCCAATCTAGCACTAGTACAAAGGGTACTTGACATCCTGGACTCCGCGGCGGATCACATCTTCAATGCGCCAGCGGGGAGGAGTGATATTGTCCGAGCGCTTGAGGCGCCAGTCCTTCTCCATCTCGGGGGGAGGTGCTGGCTGCTCGGCGGCAGGCAGTGCGCCGCCTGCAATACCGGTGGAGAACTTCAACTGGAGGACGTTGCCGATCTCATCACAAGCAGTCAACACACGGTCAAGGTCGTCCTTGGTGTGGGCAGCGGAGACACAGAAGCGAGCACGGGACGAAACCAGCGGAGTAGCCGGATAACCAACAACCACGACGGAGATCTTGCGTCGGAGCATCTCGTGCGAGAATGCAGGCATTTTGGCCGGGTTGAATAGGAGAACCGGGATGATTGGCGAATCATCGTGGCCGTACACTATAAAGCCAAGTCGCTTCAATCCCAGACGGAGGTATCGAGAATTGAAAGCCAAACGCTGCAATCGCTCTTCGCCCTGACCGGGAACGAGCTCACCGTTGATGATGCGGAGAGCGGAAGAAATCTGGGACAGCACAGCAGGAGCGGGAGACTCTCCGTAGAAGACACCGGGGTTGGCGGCACGGAGTTGATCGATCATCACCTTATCAGCCGCAATGTAGCCACCATTGGCACCGAAGGACTTTGTAAGGGTGCCCATCAGGATGTCCACTTCGGAAGTGTCGATGCTGAAGTAGTCACAAACACCGCGCCCCTTAGGACCAATGGCACCAATGGAATGGGCCTCATCGACAAACAGATTGAACTTGTAACGGCGCTTCAACTGCACAAGACCAGGCAGGTTGCACATAGAACCCTCCATCGAGTAGAGACCCTCGACCACGACCAGGATCTTCTTCCAGGGGCGGTGGGTGCGGGGCTGTCCTTGAGAGATAGCTTCGCGAAGTCTCAATTCCAAGTCCTTCATGTCATTGTGCTTGAACATGGAGATGGAGGCACCGGAGAGACGCGCACCGAATCGGATGGAGGCGTGGTTCAGTTCATCGGAGATCAAGAGACAACCCTTCGAGACCAATGCGGGGAAGATGGTTGCGTTGGTGCCAAAGCCCATGGAGAAAACCATGGAATCCTCTTTGCCGACGAACCTGGCGATCAACTCCTCGACCTCAACGTGAAGATCTTGAGTGCCAGACTCCGCCCGGGTACTAGGCGCTGTGATTCCGTACTTCTTGATGGTTTCTTCCGCAAGGTCAGCACAGGGGCCCTCGGACTGAGCGAAACCCAGGTAATTGTACGAGCTCAGATTCAGGGTATCGGTAGTGGTGCCGGTCAGATAGAAGTGCTGGTTGTGATCATCCGTGGCCCGATCGATGAGAGTGATGGTTCGGCCAGGAACACCGGTGACGGGGCGCTCGAAGCAGTCGTTGATACGCAACTTCAGACGACGCACATAGAAGTTGTCGAAGTCATTGTTGAGAGCGCCGTAGCCATTGCGAGGCTTGAGGTGGCGGTAGTTCTCCTCGCGGAACCGCTTGCCAAAGAAATCACGGACATGACCGAAAGCAATTAAGATTAAATAACTGATATAAGTGGTGAGAAGGTAATAATACGGCGGCTCGTCCATCACCGGCTCCGGGAAGACACCACCAGGGTGCCGACTGGAGTATCGGTGGCTGGGATGACCGATCGGTCCAAACTGGGCATGCTGTTTAGCCAAGCGACGAGCTTCCTCCGGAGACGGAGGTTGGAAGAGAGTTGTAGACATCTCGTCCATGTTCTGATTATCCGCAGTGGCTGTTGATAGAGAGATCGTCGGTAAGGACAGTGAGGCCGAACTTATCGGCGGAGAAGAAGCGTTAGGTTGGAGGTTCCCAGACTGTACAATATCGGGTTTAGACTTTGGCGAGCCCGAGAATAATTGAGACAGACGATTGGACTTGACCGTGGGGGCCTTGATGGAGATACCGCCCTTTCCCGAAGGTGAAAAGGACGGTGGGTTTGTAGAGGTGTCGTTGGAGGAGTTGCTGCTGAATCGACGAGGCATCGCAGAAGGAAACAGCGCAAGGTTTCGGATCAAGTCTTTCTCTCTTTCCCGTCCGGATCGAAGGGCGCGTCGGGTTGAACGCGTCCGGATCGACGATTGAGGGAGGCACTACCGAGGGAGGAGGTAGGTACGGTTCGATGTACCGTGGGCTGAGTCTTTTATCAAAAGTCGATGCTCTTCGGCGGAGTTGATAGCCACAGGCGATGTGTTCGATCTGGAATCCGCAGCCAATTAGTTTATCGTTCTGGACCAGGTACCAGTGGAACTCTCTGAGCAATGGCTTGTTCCCAACACAACCGGAGCCGGGAACTGCAAGTCACTCATGAGTATCACAGATCGATACGTACCGCTTGATATGATCGAAGTAAGCGGGATCCGAATACTCCGGGGGGTGGCTTGGAAAATTGTGTGCACGTGGAATGAGGGGGCAAGAATCACGAAGGGGCGAAGAGCCCTACGTTCTAATGACGAGGGAATCAACTCCGCGTTGCACCGCACGAACAGGAAATGATGAAGTACAAAATGAGTCTGGTTGGAAAAGAAGGAGAGTCTGAGAAGGTAAATGAGACCTCCGTGTTTCTCAGCTAGAACGGATCATGCAATGGCCTCCTGGTATTGACCAGAGATACGAGTGCAATACAGATGGTAAGTGTGTGTGAGTGGCTGGCTATATTACCAATAAAGTATTATTACTAGTGTGATACCAATTGTATTTTTCAAACGCACTAAAATTCGGGCCCGAGGACCCTCAAAAGCTCAGGCCGATTCCACCGGGTCCAGTCCCGAGAGATTTGCCCCTGAAGTTTTGGATGTTTGCTTCGATCGACACAATTTTATGTCTACGGATGTCACACCAAAACAGGGGAATTATCCATTGGTGATCTTGTGCAACTTAAGAGACTTCCCGGATTTTCCCCCGGTCCACAATTATGGAGATGTCGGCTTCTGTCACATCCAAATGTGACATGAAGTCGACGATGAAAACCTTGAATGGAGAATGAAAACGGGCTGTATGCCTCAGGCATATACCAAGATACGTCAACTAACACAGGATCTGGCTCGTTCTTTACCTCGTTAAATGGTCTACTCTACCTTGAATAGATGAGAAGGCTATTTAGGGTTAGAACCGGCATCCGCCTGTTGAAGGTCACATCTTGTCATCTTGTACAGCACCCGGGTATATACTCTCATTGAGATAGGATAAGACAGACGAAAAAGGTGAACAGCTTCATAAGATGCAAAGAATCTATCCTTTATATCACCCGATGCTTCTTTAAGCTCAGCGTGAGTGAATGTACTACTGCGTAGACCTAGACTCAGATACCTCCGAAGTTCCATGGATCTCTCCGTCAGGCCCAGGGGCTCAATCGGACTCGAATTTACTCGAAGAAGATACCAAGGAACTAGATCGGAAGAGGAATGGTTTTGAGTGTCAAAATTCCATGCATATCGGTGATCTTCGGCAGTTTTAACCTTCAAATAAGGACACACTCTCGTATATATCACTACGAAGTACTCTCCACCTACCCGCTGAATTCTCGCTCTTCCCCCGTAACCGCGGAGATCGGCAACCAGTACCCGATCATTCCCGCCCCGCCATCCCTGGGGGAGAATTGTGTGACTCGCTTTTACTTGAGACTTGTCAAGCTTGGACCCCTGTACTATCAAGCATTGCATCAAGGATTGTTGAGACGCCTATCGCCACTTTGTCTGAGCTTATAGTGGGACGTTGAACAGACTTCAATCATAGTCCGCAGAGACTATAGTCTATTCCTTGGTCCTTCAATTGACCCTTCTTGCGGCTTTGACAATGCCTCACATCGACGAAAGTATCGACCCAGAGGCGAAGGAGCTCTGGCGGCCCTCCGCTCCTGAAACGACCCTGATCTATGATTTTATGACCAAAGTGAACAAGAAATATGCCCTATCCTTGAGTGATTACAATGCTCTGTGGAAATGGAGTGTCTCTGAGCCAGCCCAATTCTGGGAGGAAATCTGGCATTACACCAAAATCAATTCCCACCAGCCATACAAGCAGGTGAGTAATATTCTATTCGGCATTGAAGCGCAGATTTGCCAGACACCAAGAAACATCCGATTTTAACATGAAAATAGGTCCTTGGCACAAAAGATGTGCTGTTTCCTAGACCTTCGTTCTTCGAAGGCAGCACACTGAACTTCGCCGAGAATCTTCTCTACCCCGCGACTTCGCCGGATGAAGATTCGATAGCAGTGATTGGCGCCACTGAAGTCACCCGCGAGTCCATTTCATGGAAAGACCTGCGAGAGAGAGTTCGACTGTGCGCAAACGCCCTGAAAGAAGCAGGCCTGAAGACCGATGACCGTGTGGCCGGTTTTGTGGGCAACCATGCTAACACTGTTGTGGCGATGCTGGCCGCAGCCTCAATCGGTGCCTACTGGACCGGTGTTTCTCCTGACACTGGTGTGCACGCAGTATTGGAGCGGTTGAAGCAGATTCAACCTAAGGTTCTCTTCGCAGACAACGGCTCCTTCTACAATGGCAAGGTGCATAGCTCACATGCCAAGGTGTCCGAGATTGTCTCTGAATTGCCGGACCTTGAGCTTTTGGTGTCCCTTCCCACCATCCGAGAACTTGAGGTCGACATCGACTCTCTTCGACCTGCAAATGGAAAGGCGAAGGCCTACCGTGACTTTATCGCCGAGGTCAAGGACTCTCAGGCGCCACTGGAATTTGCAAGCTTAAGCCCAGAGCACCCTGTCTATATCCTGTACTCATCCGGTACAACGGGAGCTCCCAAGCCTATAGTACACGGGTCTTTGGGCACATTGCTACAACACAAGAAAGAACATCTTCTTCATTGCGACATTCGACCAGGTGATCGTTTGTTCTACTTCACAACGACGACCTGGATGATGTGGCACTGGCTGGTATCGGGCCTAGCCAGTGGAGCAACAATCGTCTTGTACGATGGCTCACCCTTCCGACCTTTCGATCTCGAAGGTGGTAAGGGAGAGATGGCAATGCCGCGATTGATTGATGAACTGCAGATTACGCATTTCGGCACATCTGCCAAATATCTTTCACTCCTTGAACAAGCCGCTTTGAACCCGCGCAAGCACGTCAACAGACCAGTGTCCCTGAAGACCCTCAGAGCCATCTTTAGCACTGGGTCTCCACTGGCACCCTCAACGTTCGAATACGTCTATTCCTCGATTCATGAAGACATCATACTTGGTTCCATCACCGGTGGCACTGACATTCTCTCTCTCTTCGCCTCCGGTTGCCCTATTCTTCCAGTCTACAAGGGAGAAATCCAATGTCGGTCTTTGGGCATGGACGTCTCAGTGTTCGACTACGCTGGCAAGGACATCAGTGAAACAGGCGAACCCGGCGATCTTGTCTGCGTTACACCCTTCCCAGCCCAACCAGTCATGTTTTGGCCTCCGGGACCAACAGGCCTTGAGAAGTACCGAAAGAGCTACTTTGACGTGTTCGGTCCCACAGTCTGGCACCACGGTGACTACGTGCGCTTGAACCCTCAGACCGGAGGCGTGGTCATGCTCGGCCGCAGCGATGGCGTACTCAAGCCCTCCGGAGTGCGATTTGGAAGTGCCGAGATCTACAATATTCTTCTCAAGCATTTCGCCGAGGAAGTCGAAGATTCACTTTGTATTGGTCGGAGAAGAGACGGAATTGACACGGATGAGACGGTGGTTCTGTTTGTCAAGCTTGCTGGCAATGAGACTTCTATGCCGCCGGATCTTGCAACTCGCATTCAGGCCACTATTCGGAAGGAGCTGAGTCCACGTCATGTCCCTGGCATTATTGATGCTTGCCCTGAGATTCCTATCACTTCCAATGGCAAGAAGGTCGAGAATGCCGTCAAGCAGATCCTGTGTGGGCTCAACATCAAGATTGGTGCGAGTGTTGCCAACGCGGGATGTCTTGATTGGTACAGGAATTGGGCTTCGGAGCACCCTTAGCTGTATTTTAATCTTCTAGTGGATAGATAAAATGGAAGATACATATCCATTACTTCCTCTAAATTACATCCAAGGGCTTCACTTCCATGGATTTGCACGGACATTCGAGGCATTCAGAAGTTTAGGTCATGGTGAGTGGTCCTCGGAGAACTCAAGGCTGCATCCAGACGCGAACAAAGACAGGACATTACATATGAGACGGCCTTCTCGAATCCCGTGATATTCCCAATAATAAAATTCCCCTGACAATATGTATTTCTGTTTCGTAAAGGTACTTGGTTGCGTTCTGAGTGAAAAGCCGATTAGCTAAGCATTTTTCGGATCAACCTAGGACCATTACGATTCTTCGCCGACTATCAGACCAGGCTACATCATCTCCTCCGGAAACATTCGGTGCACCAATAAATCCTGATTTTTAATCAGGCTGTTACATTTGTACAGAATCAAACATCATGCGCCGCACAGCATTGCGGGCCGTGGAGTCTGTGAAGCCACTGACACGAGCTCCTCGCGCCGTGTCAAGAAGCTTCTCTACCGTCAATGAGTCGGCTAAGGTAAGAAACACTGTATTCTGCAATGCAGCGTACAATCATCTAACGGTCCGTCTGATTTTCACAGGACCCTGCCGAGTTAGAACAAATCACCACACTCCCCAATGGAGTTCGCGTTGCTACAGAATCATTACCGGGTCCCTTCTCTGGTGTCGGTGTCTACGTCGATGCCGGATCCCGTTACGAAGATGCTAGCCTCCGCGGAGTCAGCCATATTATGGACCGCCTAGCATTCAAGTCCACCAAGGCGCGCAGCGGCGACGAAATGCTTGAGGTTCTCGAATCCCTCGGCGGCAACATCCAGTGCGCTTCATCTAGGGAGTCACTGATGTACCAATCTGCCAGTTTCAATTCGGCCGTTCCTACCACAATTGGGCTGCTCGCAGAGACTATTCGTGACCCCCTCATCACCGAAGAGGAGGTTCTCCAACAGCTTGCCACGGCAGAGTATGAGATCGGCGAGATCTGGGCGAAGCCGGAACTCATTCTGCCAGAGTTGGTGCACATGACCGCATACCGGGACAACACCCTTGGAAACCCACTGTTGTGCCCGGAGGAACGATTAGGTGAAATCAATAAGGCAGTTGTGGAGCGTTACAGGGAGCTATTTTACAACCCAGACCGGATGGTGGTTGCATTTGCCGGAGTTCCTCATGCGGAGGCTGTTCGGCTCACAGAGCAGTACTTTGGCGACATGAAGCCCAAAGATCTCGGCAAGACCAAGGGCCCTGTACTTTCGGGCAGTGGGGTCGAAACCACATTGTCTGATGACCCAGAGGCCGCTCACGAAGGCCAGGTGCCGACCGTCCCCTCGTTCACACCCTCATCAACAATCAGCAGCCCGGCTGCTACCCCCAAAACACAATCGTCGCTCTTGTCGAAGCTTCCTTTCCTTAAGAATCTCTCTGCCAAGGGTCATTCCCCGGTCGAGCCTCTCCCCTCCTCCTTGCTCAATCCATCCACTCTAGACCTTCGCCAACCTGCTCACTACACGGGTGGCTTCACTGCCCTCCCCCCGATTCCTCCTCCAGCAAGCCCCATGCTTCCCCGCCTGAGCCACATCCACCTTGCATTCGAGGCTCTCCCCATCTCCTCGCCCGATATCTACGCTCTCGCTACCCTCCAGACACTCCTCGGTGGCGGTGGTTCATTCTCGGCTGGTGGTCCCGGCAAGGGTATGTACTCGCGACTCTACACTAACGTGTTGAACCAACACGGTTGGGTCGAGAGCTGCATTGCTTTCAACCACAGCTACACGGATAGCGGAATCTTCGGAATTTCTTCATCTTGCAGCCCGACCCGGGTAGCAGAGATGCTCGAGGTTATGTGCCGTGAACTGCAGTCCCTGACCTTGGACACCGGCTACAGCGCATTGCAAGCGCAGGAAGTCAACCGTGCGAAGAACCAGCTTCGTTCATCGCTGCTCATGAACCTGGAATCTCGGATGGTTGAGCTTGAGGATCTTGGACGCCAGGTGCAAGTCCATGGCCGCAAGGTCAGTGTCCGGGAGATGTGCGAGCAGATCGAGCGCCTTACCGTTGAGGATCTCCGTCGTGTTGCTCGCCAGGTCTTCGGTGGCCAGGTCCACAATAAGGGCCAGGGCACTGGTAAGCCTACGGTTGTGCTGCAGGAGGGTGAGCTGGAAGGCTACAAGCTCCGGTCTTTCCCCTGGGAGGAGATGCAAGAACGCATTTCCCGGTGGCAGCTTGGTCGGAGGTAAATAGATTGTGCTGTGGCTCTGGGTCGGCGTGAACGTGTCGGAACTGAAGGTCATAGAGGGTTGCATCTAAGAGGATGATCTGTAATTATAGACCATGGCCAATTTCGACTTTGTAGAATACACCTCTCTTTCAATACACATTTCTTTTTCAATAGGCTTATACCGGTAGATCTGTCTTTACTCCGTATTCATCTCATCTCAAACAGATGACATCGTTGCCGGTGGGTCCAAGCTCCCTCGCCGCTTTTCGGCAAAAAAGTCGGAGCGAAACAACTGAGCAACCTCCCATCATCCAACCCATCACCTTTAACTAAATACCCTTCCTTATCCCCATCTATAACCGCCAAAATGGTCAAGCTCACTGAGGTCGAAGACGAGCACTTCTCCGAGAAGCCCACTGCCACCAAGAACGACGCCCTCCTGGTCGGCTCCGACGACGAGGACGACTACTCAGACACCGGTTAGTATCGAACCCCGGACATCCACATCCCAACGGACCACACATCGCGCCGTCAATTGCACGAATATCTGCTTCAATGCCATATACCGTGCTCCATCCCGTTCATCCCTTTTCACTGTCGTCATCCTCGCGGTCACTGCAACACGCGAACCCGAGAACTGGACACACTGCACTTACGAAGAACCACGTATCTGACAAAGGCCATTGGTGAAAACAGAATCCGAGATTTCCGATGATGAGGATGTCGAGATTGAGGAGACTCTTTACGAGCGTATCACCGCCCTGAAAGACATGATTCCTCCCTCTGCCCGCCGCAACCTCTCAAACACCGTCTCCTCTCTCACAAACCTTACCAAGGCTACCCTGTCCTTCAGCGGGAAGTCTTTGTGGGTTATCAGCACCAGTGCTTTCTTGCTCGGTGTGCCATTCGCTCTGGCCTATGCCGAGGAGGAGCAGTACATCCAGATGGAGCGCGAGCAGGGAATGATTAAGGGAGCTAACGAGGTATGTTCTTGTCTTTTTTTCTTTTTTCTCTTGTTCTCGGTTCTATTGGGCTGTAATTGGGCTGTAACACGTCCGCTGGAATCCTGATTCGTGTTGCATATTGCCACCGTGTACACTGCCTCGGGTATTCGCTCGGGAGGACATTACTTGTTCACAGATCCATCATCGCTATTTTCCACTGAGGCCTTTTTCTTGTGTGCTATTTACTGATTATGACTCCTTGCAGATGCTCACCCCCGGCGTCGAAGGCGAGAAGGCGGCTCAGCCCACTCTGTAAATTAATACCACATCGGAAAGCACAAAGATCGCAAAGAATCCGGCGACTCGATTGTCAACTGCGAGACTCGATGTATTGGAAACAGCACGGCTGAAGCATATATCGACTGGGCTGTGCCAGTCACCAATCTTTGGCCAGATCTCAACAGGACGTCACTGACAGACACGGAAAAACAATTGGTCTTTGCCAGTTCCCAGTCTGGTCTTGACTCGTTTGGATGTCTTTTATATCTCTTGTGTTTCTTCTTTTCACCCACTTTTTTTCCCTATCTCCCCGCATCTTTCATGCTTTCTGACATTCTGGCTCCGGCAGCTTATGCATGCATGTATTTGTACAACCCAATCATTTCTTCCTGTTTCTCTATACACCTTCTTCCTTTCTCTGCTCTTCATGTCATGTCTAAGTAATGAAAAGGATGGTTTGATTGTCTTTTCGGCTGTAGTCCTAGCCATCTTGGGCCAGTAACTACGCAGTACTTGATAGCTGGTAGCTGAAAGTAACTCGGGTATTCAAAGTATGAAAGGGGTATCATTGTGAAAGCTGCAAGCATGGATATGCGAAGATCAATGCTGGAGGCTCCGTGGATTGCCGTAATAACGATTCTTGTCATAGTGATTGTCAAACAAAGGGAGGGGGTCCTGGCCATGGTCATTGTGCAGCTTCCGAAGAGTCTCTGCGATTACTGCATCCAGCGGTCTTTGTCGATGGATCGTGGGTTTTCTTTTCGATGATAAGCGGAGGACATAGACCGGTACCAGTGACTTGCATTCGTGAGCGGTTTGGTAGTCATAGTTGGCATTGTTAAGGTCGACAACAAAATAGGAATGCTTGTCGGGGTGAATCGTGATTGCAAGCAAACGAGTCGTGTTATTCCTGTGGCGCGCACAGAGGCTATTCTGCACCTCCAAGGCATATGGACGTATCGATTCTAGATAATTGTTCGGATCAAGAATCCTATTTGAGGTATCACCCAGTATTCGCATCGTTCCGGTGACATCGTCTTCAGGCAACTCGAACAAGACTTCTTGAATTTGATCCAGGATGCGGTTGCGGAACTGTTGAATTGAGTCGTCCATGGATGGTAAAAGGTGTGTGGCAATGAATGGGCGTGACCTCCCCGTGATATACGATTTCGGATTTAGGTCCCAAACCCAGGAGTTAAGAATTAAGCCCGAGCCCGAGTACGCATACTACACACGTATATATAGCATATAAAAATTAGCCAGCCTCACCACTACACCATCCACCGTTAAGCAAAACCAAAACCAAAACTAAAACCACCATCCACAATGCAATTCATAACCCTCGAAGAGCACTACATCTCCCCGGCCGTCCGCGCCTTAGCACCCTCCGACCCCTTCGCCGCCTTCCCAACCCCAACCATCCAAAAGCTCGAATCCCTCTCAAACGAAAGACTCGACGACATGGACGCTGGCAACGTCGCCATCCAGGTCCTCTCCCACGTACCAGGAACCTATAGCCCGGCGGTATGCACAAAGACGAACAACAGGCTCGCATCCGCGATAGCAAGGAACCCCTCACGGTTCGCTGGCTTCGCACTGCTACCGATGGGTGATCCGGAAGCCGCAGCAGCAGAGCTGGAGCGGTGCGTGGCGGAGCACGGGTTTATGGGCGCTCTTTTGGATAACCACATCGAGGGGCGATTCTACGACGGGGTGGAGTTCCGGTGTGTTTTCGGGAAGGCACAGGAGCTAGGTGTGCCGTTGTATATCCATCCTGCGTGGGCGACTGAGGAGATGGTGGAGCATTATAAGGGCAATTATGGGCAGGAGGTCGCTGTGGCAATGAGTGCTTATGGGTGGGGGTGGCATTCTGAGACGGCGGTCCATATGCTGCGGCTTTATGCGAGTGGGTTGTTTGATGAGTTTCCGAAGTTGAAGATTGTGCTGGGACATATGGGTGAGATGTTGCCGTTTCAGCTGGAGAGAATTATTAGGGTTGCTGGGCGGTGGGGGTTGAAAAGGGGGTTTGCAGAGGTTTGGGATGAGAACCTTTGGATTACGACTAGTGGCATGTTTGATCTTGCGCCTTTGGCTTGTTTGTTGAGGACGACGAGGATTGAAAGGGTGCTTTATTCTGTTGATTATCCGTTTTCGGATAATCGGACGGGAGAGAAGTTCTTTGAAAGGGTGAAGGAGAGTGGATTGATAAGCGGGGAGGATTTGGAGAAATTTGCGCATGGAAATGCGGAAGCTTTGCTAGGCGTTGCTGTTAGGAAGTAGGGTACGGAATAAGTTGAAGCGCAGGAGTTAGGAATGTATAGGTTCGTGTAGTTATAGATCAGGTACTTCTTGCTAGTTACTTAATTATTGCTACTAAGATCAGTGCAATCTCATGAGGTTATCCAAATCCATCGGATTAACCGCAATTAACACTCATAACCAAATTGAGTTGCGCCTTTTTGAATAGAGCTGGAGAAGGAGCGGAGATAGGAGATAGCGGAGGGGGAGCAGGACATAGAAGGCGGTAAGTAGTGATAGAATACCGGCCGGATTAACTCTATACCGGCTACCTATCTCGATTCTGCTACCGCCTACAATGACCCGGTCGAATGACAGTATAACGGTAAATGATGACTTCGCAATGGAGCCTCCCCCAAGATTGCAAGTGTTTCTCACAGTGTTCTTGCCATCGGTGCTTTGTATGAAACCATTGCATACATTTGTAGCAGAATTCCATGTCGTACTTCCTCACTACAAGTTGGGAAGCTTTATCGCGGCGGACGCATTCATGGATATGTCTACTCCGGCTGGATTTCGCCAGCCTGCACAAGTTAGCATATGGAAAGATTATCATTGTTGAGCGGGGATTAATGTTCTTCCACGCTTCCCTCTGGGCCGTCACCAATCCACCAGCGCGAGGTTCATAGATGAACTCCATCCCAGACACCAGACAAGAGAAACAGTAACAACAAGCCCATTCATCCATGGATAGACTAAAACCGACAGACTATTAGCATAGCCCAAACCATATAAACAGCAAAGTAAATAAAACATACCTCTTTCTCTCTTGCAGACTTAAGATTGATATGAAAGTCCCGCCAAAGCCTATCAACCTCCCCAGCAGCAGTCATACTATCCAGAACATCATTAGCATTCCTCGTCCTCCGCTTGATGCTCAGATTATTCCGGCGCAGGATCTCATCGTCATCCATATGTCCCGTTCGCTCAAGGTAATCAATGACCCATTCGTTGAGATGATAGCGCCAGTGCGTGAGCGTGTGAGCGAGTGCTGCTCGCGCCTTGCATTGGCTGGAAGAAAAGGATTTGTTAGAAGAAGAGCGACGCGGGAAATGAAAATTAAAGAGAAAGGGAAAACCTACCTCCCCAAGAAAAACATGTAATTCTCTGGCGGAAGAACATGACCATCCCGATCACGGTCTTCTCCATCGACATTGCCAGCTGATTCCTTGTTTTGATCGCCGTCGCTATCGCTATCGTCACTGTCATTCTCATCTTCCAACGGCTCCAGAGTCTGCAGCGAATACGCCTTCCCGCGCAGCCTCATATCACTAGAAGCCGGGTGTTTAGAGCGTCTGCATGCAGCGCATGGAATATCCTCTTCCGTCGTGAAGGGATAGATATCCATATGTGGTCTGGCCTGGAGGGCGTAGATGAAGGCGGGCGTCCAGACAGAGGAGATTAGCTGGGAGCCGGCGCGACCTTTGACTTCGTCTTCTAGTTTCATGAATGCCATTTCGTACATGGCGTCGGAGCGGGGGAAGGCGGGATTCAGCTTGTTCTGGACCATCCACCCGATGACGTCGCGGAAGTATTCTTTTGGCTGTTTGTATGCGTGGCGGGTGAACTCGAAGGGGATTTCTTCTGTTGGAACGCCGAGGTCGTTCGTTTCGTCTTCGAGGACGAAGTCATCCTCGTAGCGATCGAGGTCTTCGTTGGGATCGACGGCTGATTCTACGTCGCTGTCTTCGTTGCGATTGTGCCAGAAACTTGGGGTATTGGGTTTAGCATTCGGTTGCGCGATCTCCTGCACGTCGGAGTCGTATTCGCTTTCGTCTTCTTCTTCCTCTTCATCTTCCTCTTCCGCTTGGTCTTCCTCTTTTAAGCCGGCTCGTCGGCGCCGCAGGGCTTCTAGGTGCTTCATTCTTCTGTCTCGGGCAGATTCGGCAAGTCGGCCGCGAGTGCGACTTTTCTTGACGACTATGCGCGAGTGATCAGTATTGTCAAACGAGCCTAGCATGCTGATATTTCCATACCTGAGTCCTGGAGGTCCTCCAAATCCTCCTCGATATCGAGTCTGGCTTGTTGAGATATTTGACGTGGCGTATGCGGAGTTTGGGGAGCTTCTTTCTCCTGTCCACGTCGGAGCCTTTTTATAGGCGAGGAAGGCAACGGACCCTCCGAGTCATCATCGTCGTCATCGTTATTAAGGACTGCTGCTGATCTTGCAGCCCTGCGCCTCCTAGCAGTCGAAGGAGCCACTGCCTCATCATCATCGTCATCGTCATCGTCATCACTGAGTACTACGGGTGTGCTGGAGGAATCGCCACCGGGGGTAGGCCTGCTTCGCTTGACAGCTGAAGAGGCTATCGGTTCATCCGAATCGCTAGAGACAATCGGCGAGCTTGCGGCCTTTCGTTTCAATGTTTTGCGCGGTGGATCCACCTTCGGATCCAATGCATTTGTGTTCTCAATATCCTTTTTTGAGGACCGTGATGATCGCCGCGGTTTCTTCAAATACAATTCCTTCGGGTCCGGAAGATCATCTACCTCTTCGAGGTTATCTGGTGGCACTGAGGGAACCTTCGAACGTTTCTTCGCGGGTGATGTCTCCGTTTTGCTTTTGCGAAGCTTCGGGGAACGATATGAGCCCAGACTTGGGTCGTCGTATTTAAGTCTAGCGTAGCTATTACTCTGATCAGGGCTTGCATCGCCCGCAGGTGGAGTTGCTGAGGGCGCAAAGGCGAGTCGCGTCTGCTTTTTCGTCGATTTGCGGGGTGGCATTGCAAGGTAGAATGGAATCAGCGCTTTGGTTGAATCAGTGGGAACAGTGGTGGTTCATATAGTTGGGGTGTCCCATTATAATCTAGAAGAAAAAGAAATATGTTCAAAGAAGATTGGAGCTTGGGTCTGTTCGAGCTGTGGAACTGCCCGCGCAGCTGCGCTCACGCGCGGAAATCACGAGAGCACGTGATGGATATAGTACACAGTAAGTGAAAGGTTGTGCTTTGGGATTTGTATTTGTGTCTTTGGGAAATAGATCTCTCAGGAATGGGATTGTTAGTGTATGAAAAATCTGTTCGAGCAGCTTGTGCTTTTATCAGGAGCATAGTTCATCAGCTGGGATCTTTAACTTGGGCATACATTTACCTGAGCTGCTGCTTTGGGGATTCTCAGCCTCAGGCTCGCTGAGTAGATTTCAGTCTGGGCCCTAGTTCACGTGATGGAAAGCCATCTATTGGTCCAGTCTAGACCTACCGACATCGTCAACATGTTCTTTCTCACCACCTTCCCTCTACCTGACTTCGCTACCTCTCTCAAGACTCATTCCCAGCTCTTTTCTCCCCCTTCTGACTTCATCATATCGATACCAATGATTCCACTTGTTCCAGCGAGTCGCTTGAACCATTAAGCGGCATCGGCATCGGATGATCCCGATGATGGTCTAACCCGTCGTTGATGAAAGTGGCATAGAGTAGGAGTAATTGTCACATGCCTTATAATCTTTGATCTACATCTTCAATCTGATCCGACTCAGCTCTATCTACTTGAAAATGGCATTATATCTCGTCTATTCAATTCTTGCCTCCGTTAATATCATGATCCCCCTCACCATTTACCCCATTGGTGGACTAGACTTTCTCCTAACACCCTTGTCACACCGGCTTACCGATTCGTGGAATCTCACTTCATCACCCCGGAATCGACCTCCACAACTATTCCCGATCCCCGGACCGCCACTTCCCCACGTCCGACATGTCCATGTTAGGTTAACTCAAACCTATGAGAGCATTGAACAGGAGAAACCACACTGCCATGTGATGCTGACTCCGGACACCCCACCACTCAGCAATCATGGAGACAATGCTGTTCTTCATTAACATGCCGAACGTTGCTCGGATGTCCGAAGCTTGTTGTTTTGGGAATGATCCGATCTACCCCGTAGCGTTTTCTCCTTCAAAGGTTTAGGCTGGGCAGGGATCCAGCAAGAGTTCCTATATAGTCGCCTTCTCCGCACATTCGAATACCTCCCCCGGAATGTAGCTGATCTTCGATCATTGCAATAACCCGAGGGCCACTGGTTATCTGTCATTGCCCGCTTCGTGATCGAAGAAGTGTAGCGCTATCAATCTGGACTCAATTAGAAGCCTCCAACCTCAGAGAGGTTGACCCCTTCCTTCACCATGATATTCTCTATGACCCGCAAAAGAGCGTACAATTGGTTAGTACCCAGCCCTCCATTACAACAATCCTACACTAACCCAAGTCTCTAGGTACATCTCTCTCGTAGCAGCATCATGTATGGTCCTCTACGGATACGATGCATCAGTCTTCAATTCCGTCCAGGGATCCAAAAACTGGCTATCATGGATGAACAACCCCGACGCAGCGACAATTGGTTCAATTAACACAGCATATACAGTCGGCGCCATCTTCGGCGGGTTTTTCCTGGGCGGGCCGTGTGCAGACTACCTAGGCCGCAAGTATGGAATGGGCATTGGGTGCGTGTTGGTCATGATTGCGACTTTTATGCAGACCTTCTCTCCTCACCATAATCTCGCTTGCTTCCTGGCAGGTAGATGTATCATTGGTATTGGCCAGGGTGTTGCGTTGAGTGAGTTCATACACGTTTGATCCAATGTCGATACATGAACTAATCGAGTTCACCACGCAGCTGCTGGTCCCATTTACATTGGTGAACTGGCTCCGCCCGAAATCCGCGGGAAGATCATGACCTTCTGGCAGATGTTTTACTCCGTTGGATCATTTATCTGCTTCTGGATCAATTTTGCTTGCACCAAGAATGTTCCCCAGCTGGGCGAGTGGGATTGGAAGCTGGTTGTTATTTTCCAGCTCATGGTTCCTACACTGATTCTTGCTCTCTTGCCTACCATCCCCGGCAGTCCCCGTTGGTCGGTCCCCCAGTCCACCAGTCGATTCCCGTAAGCCCTAACCAACGCTGAACATTATTAGGTTCATCAAGAAAAACAACAACATCGAGAAAGCCCGCGAAGCTCTACTGAAAGTCCGTGATACCGTTGAAGAAGTCGAGCAAGAGCTACTGGAGATCCGTGAAGCAATCGAATACGAAAAGGAAGCAATCTCCAGCAACTACTCTGCTCTCTGGAAAGACAAGTCTCTGCGCAAGCGCATGGGCCTAGCCCTGGTTATCAACGCCGGACAACAGATTACCGGACAAGGCTCGCTCAACTCTTACTCCACCAAGATCTACCAGAAAGTGTTTACCAGCGACAGCCAGATTGCGCTAATCAACGCTCTAAACGCCACATTCGGGATTCTGTTTACCCTGAACGCGGTCTGGATCATCGACCGGTTCGGACGGAAGTTCCTTCTGGTCGTCGGTGGTATCGGTATGGGTCTCTGTATGATTATTGTCTCGGCCGTTGAGACAGAGACACCTTCACTAGCCAACGGGTCCAAGTCTGAACCTGTGGGAATATCGATCGTGTTCTTGTTATTCTTGTTCATTTTCTTCTGTCGGTTTCCCCCTCTATCGTCTAGGCTCTTATGAAGGGACTAACATATTCTCCTAGATAAACCATCCTGGGGCGCAACAGTATGGATCTGGACATCTGAGATCTTCTCAATGAATGTGCGCGCCCAGGCCGTGGGCATGGCATCGCAGACACAGAACGTGGCCAACGCCATCGTCCAGCAATTCTTCCCTATCTTCCTCGACAACGAGGGATTCTACGCTTTTTACATGTTCGCCGGTATCAACTTCTTGCTTGCAATTTTCGTTTGGTTCTTTATTCCGGAGACTAAGCAGGTCCCTCTTGAGGAGATCGATACATTGTTCGGCGGTGCCAACCACGTTGCGCAGGGACAGGAGGTGCTGGCGCAGCAGAAGGGCGCTCGGCTGGAGTGGGAAGGGGATGAGAAGCCTAGTGCTGTTGTCGAGGATGTTGGGAAGTAGATTATGGTATTTATGTTACTTGGACTTCATGTATGACTTGGGTGTATTATCTGTCGACTACCTAACTATCTCGAAATGAAATACTGCGTAGGACAGACTTGGCAAAGTGAATGAGAGGTACCTTTTTTATCTGCATAGTACCTGCATCGCATCCAAAAGGCACTCAAAATTCAAATCGCCGAAGGATAACCTCAAGTCCCGAATAATAACCGTAAAACCCCGGAAGGATTTCATCATGGAGTCAACAAAGGGAACCTCTGTCCGAGACCATGGAAATGTCGAGATAGACTTAAATGTACCACATGCCAAGAGCCAGTCGGTTCGAGGTGCCTGTAATGGGAAGCAGTCTCTCGGCCCGGGGCTCCTTGGGCTTGGGATTTGTCGTTGGCACCTCTACGCCACTCTGAGGACCAGCGGTAATAGGGATATCCTCATGGTGACGAGCACGAACGGAGATCAAGTGCGCATAGTAGATAGCAGGATGGACTGAGACAGAGGTGGTCGAACGAATGTACTGGTAGCAGTGGTCGTTGATCATGCCCTCAAGGTCATTGGGCTTGAGGTCCATCTCATCCAGCAGAACATGGTAATAAACCGGGCGCGCAGTTCCCTGCAGAGCAATGTGCGTGTAAAGCAAGAACTCCCAGTCGTGTGGGCTAGTCACATCCCGATCAACGAGGGTGCCCGGCAGTGGACCGCCGTGGGGGTCACAATTTGCACGAACATTGGGGTTAGGGAATGCCCGAAGATGATGGCGCTTGTTGGCGACAATCACACACATCTTGCCCTTCCAGGCCTGCAGCCCACATGCATGTGCAATAGCGTTTTTGATCGAAGGGACCTCCTCCCTAAGGACTTTCCGGTATTCAGACGCCGACACGCCATCGCGGAAGTAATAAACACATTCCGGAGGCTTCCCCTCGCCAACGGTGGCCTTCCATTCAGCAATCATCGGTTTAAGAATGTCTTCCACTACCTTGGGGTAGATAACTTCGACACGAAAGTCGTTGACCTCGCATCCACCCATGTAGCGAGTTGCACTCACGTTGGCCGAGACTGACATGGCTGCCAAGGATGGCGTCCACACACCCAGCGTCGGATGAGTGACATCTGCTCCGATGACCATGGACTTGGGAGGCAGAGCGGAGCCCTTTGACTTGGGGATAGCGCGAGCAGTGACTCCACCAAGCTTTGCATTCACCTTCATCAGAACATTTGCGTGGTATTGGGGCCTGTTGTCAATGCAGTGTTGAGACTGGAGCACCTGCGAAGGGCAACCGAACCGGCAGTCCGAAGATCTCTTGAGGCGGAGATAGACCCAGGAGTCCTTGTTGGGCACGATCCAAACCATGAGCTGTGGCTCCCGCTGGAACTTCAGTGAGATCCCCTCATAGAGATTTTTGACACACTTGCCAACATCTTCGCTCATTGCCTTGACCAGGGGATATTCGTCCACCTCCCCACCCATCTGCCTGTAAATCTTGATGAAATGTTCAACCCACAGGAGGACCTGGTCATGGGTGATACCTTTGCGGTGACCGGCAAAGTATCCGACACCCCAAGCCTCGAGGGCCTTTTCATTCGGCTTGTAGAACTTCTTACCACGAAGATCCCACTTACCGGTGTGCCTTGGGTTGTGTTTGGCGTTGCCCCCAAACTGAATTTCAGGGCTCGGCAGCAGGCGGGCCTTGGTCTTGATCATTTTCTCACTGATTTCCATGCCGTAGTGTTTCAACATATCGTCGTTCTTGTGCTGGAGAAGTTCCTTTGACTGGCATATATTGGCCAGTCGCTTTTGTGGCTTGGTAGCGCACCACTGAATCATCTGCGCCGTTTGCATGTCGTCGAGCTTCCAGCGGTATCTTTGGAGGCCTTTGATGACCAGGAACTCGGCAGGGTAATAACAATTCTCCTTTTCCATCTCGACCATAAGCATGTTGGGGTACTCCAGGCGGACGTTGTAACGTTTCATAAAGTATTCCTCAATGTTCATGTTCTTCGTGATTCCGGTGACCTTGTCCGTATAATTGATGGTCTTGTCCCTGGGTCTGCAATGCATCAAGCCCTTGACGATAAAGGATTTGTAATCGTAAGGGCAACCTTCGTAGTTGGGCGTCACTCGAAGACCCTGGATCCTCTTGCTTGCCTTGGCGAAGTGTGGCGATTCCTTCAAGCCTCCCCACTTGTCGCGTGTGCTCTGAAGAGCCCGGACCATAGCCTCCTTGTCATTCCAGTTACCAAAGTGCATCATGATGCCCATGAGAGTGATGCGAGAAAAGAAGACGCAGTGGGCGACATCAACGTTGAGAATCAGTCCTCCCTGGTGTGAAAGGTCAGTCTATTGAACTTGCTGTTTAACCAAGGATCGAAACTTACAGGAGTTGGCCTGATAGCTTGATAAATGCCTCGGTAAACAGAAGCACCTCTGTTAGAAAGTGGCTGGAAAAACTCCTGTTTCAGCATCATGTCGTCCAGCTTGTCAAAGAAGAATGCTCGCTTGATCGCAGCATGCTTCTTGGTGGGCGTTTCACGAAGCAAGTGATCAAGAAAGCCTGCCATGATTAGTATGCTGGAAAGTAGAATATAGGAAACTAGCGAGAAAGTGAAACGACTTACTGAGCGATTCGATCACCGACTCATCGAGATCATGGCGGCCTCGCAGCCAAGAGGCAATCACGCGCAGGTCGACCTTTTTCCTTAGAACGAGCGACATTCTGAAGCCAGGCCACCGCCCGTGCTTCTCCACATCCTTGGGTTTACGACCGTGACCTGAGTGGAGGTCTCGGGTAGAATTACGCTTGATGTCGAGGACCTCATGCCAGTCAGAAAACATTTCTGTCGACCTGCCATGAAGAATATTAGAAAATTGTCAGAGGTAGGTCTGAATGGGTGATCTCCTTACCAGCAGATCTGTCCACCATCCCAGATTGCATTAGGTAATTTTGTCTTTCGGACCTGACTGTTCCAGGCCTTCCTGAGGATCCGTCTATCCGTTTCGATTGTTTCTCCTTGAACAACATTTACCTGGATATCGGTAGATGATTAGCAAAAGGGAATGAAGGCATGGCATTAAAACAAAAGAAAGAAACATCGTGCCTACCTCGTACTGGTAAACTGCCCTTCTTGGAAAAGTAGTGATCGGGTACGCATTCATCATGACCTCGATCTCCCTGCCGGCGGTGTTGTAGCCCTTACGGTGCTGGACTCGAGTCTCGCCTTTGATCTCCTAAAGAAAATGATTAGTACCTTGATAACGGCACACGGAAACTTGGTTATCTTGTTTATGCACGTACTTTGCCCGTCTTTTCTCTGAATCGATGCCATGGAATGTCGATGTTCATGCATTCATCCCAGTGGATCGTCATGTAATCCCCACTTTTCACAACCTTATCGTTGTCCATCCTGTGTTGTTCCGAGGTGGCCACTCTAATGCCTTCTTGGATGAGACGTTCATGATTGGCCTTTTCCCCGTCTGTCCAGTGTTCTGGAACTTCGGGGGGGGTTGGAGCGCGGCGGACGGGTGAAGAATCACCGTCGGAGCCAGGACCATGCAGAGGCGTTCTCTCGCCGGTCTCGGGGTCAATACGGGTTCGGCGCATCCAAGCAGTCAATTCTGCTTCTTCCTTGCGCCTGGCTTCTTCCGCTAAATGGGCCCTGTAGTCACGTAGCTCCCTAACTTGGCGTTCGCTCAGAGGCATTGCCCGTTCAGAGGACGAGGACGAAGAAGAGCTACCCATTGAGCCAGAAGGAACATATCGGGGCTCATAGCGAGACAGACGCTTGTCTTCCTCATCCGAGGTATTGGATGGCTTTGGAGGAGCCATGTTGGTAAAAGAAAAAGCTCAGAAGTGTCGGTAAAAGGAATCTGTTTCATCACTTGTCAGCATCAGTGTACCAAACTTTTTGGTCTGGAGTGCAGTTGATGGCGTTTCAGATGCCAGAAATGAGGTTCGTGCAAGAATCATAAGGTTCAGTGCTGTAGATTAGAAGAGTGAAGAAGGTGAAGGGAGGGAGGAAAGAACAATAAGTGATTCCGTTTAAGCGGGAAGGCAAGTTGATATAAACCAGAAGCGAGAGAAAGGAATGCAGAGATAAAAGGCAGTGGCATGGATGGGGACTGTTCATTACTTACCGAGCAGGCTTGAGCAAACCTAAGAAGACACCAGAGTTATGAGAAACTCCAGGATCGAAGTAGTAGTAGAGGGTGAAGAAGGAAGAAGGAAAAGAGAAGAAGAGAGGGGAGGAGGGATGTTCTATAGTTTGACTTTGGGACCCGTGAGAGGAAGTCACAGGCAGATGTTACTTCCGAATTAGGAAATGTCAGGTAACAAACATGGCAGGTACTCGGAGGCTGAAGCCTCAAGAACAATGTGGCTGGATGTCTTTCATCATATGAGGCTTCCTACTTGCTGCCTGGATGCATCGCAATTTCCGTCTCAGGTAACAGCTAAAAATCCTATTGAAAACTCAATCAATCAAAGTTCTATTACCCTATCGAAGCCTAACTATCACAGCTATGCGCTTCTTTCCGGATGAAGCAAGAACTTCCCGTACGCCTGATCATGCTCTATGAAACGTGAGGCGGGCTCTCAAAGAGTGGGAGCAGCCTATTACACATAAGCCAAACAGACGGGAAAATCCACAAAACCCAAGGTACAAACGAGAAGCCATAGCCGTAAGGCAGGCACAAAAAGAATGCGTGCACCGTCCACCTCCCCAAGTCTCCTCTCTTCCCGCATCCCATGTTAGCTCCTCCATGTCAAGCTGGCCTGTTCCTGTGGATCAGACCCTGTTCTCCGTCATCCTCACTCCAGCCTCGATTGCTGATTATCGTATTGAACAGATGTTCACTCGCACCTTACCCACTCTATAATCTCCAACCGCAACCTAGATTAGTGGTGAGTGTTTAAGCTGAACACTTCCTACTCACCTGCTTCGCAATCTATGCTCGTCTCTAAGCACTTCACGGCTGGATGTTCTCCTCAAATGGAAAGATGTAAACTGAACAAAAGAAATGATAAAACATGGTCACGTGGACCAGGGTCTCGCTTCAGCCTTCAACACCATTCCCACCCTCTTCCCCACAGCCGCCCAGTCTTGTCGGTTAGTGCTTGCATCTTCATTCTTCATTTCTTCCCTTGGTCCAAGGGAGTACAATGGACAATGGACCTGGGACTGCACTCCTAATGGGCGCCATCCTTCTTCCGTCACACAGTCACACTGTATTTGACTTTGGCCTGATTTGGCCTAGGGGCCTGAAATTTTGGCCAGGCCACTGACCGCCTTTTACACCGCACTGTACAATGTAATGTAAATTATAATCATATGCTTGTAAAATTGAAGCTTTTGTCCCATACAAATGCATGCATCTCCAGTTTCGAAGGTGGTTTACTCTCCATGTGTGAGACTGAAGCCTTTTTGTCCCATACAAATGCATACATATCCAATTAGAGGGTGGTTTACTCGTCATGTGTGAAAATGAAGCCTTTTTGTCCCATACAAATGCATGTATCTCCATTTTTGAAGGTGGTTTACCAGCGCTCTCTCTCCGGCACGGAATAATGCACAGGTAAACCTCGATGCTTTAATAGCTAATGAAACCTTTACAAGCTAATCCCTTACAGTATTTTATTTTAATTCCAACCATAGGTTAATTCTAAATTCACCCAGACAAACCGACCATGCATCTTCCCGTAACTAGAGATGTATGCGTTTGTATGGGACAAAAAGGCTTCATTTCGCACATGGAGAGTAAACCACCTTTGAACTTGGAGATGTATGCATTTGTATGGGACAAAAAGGCTTCATTTTGCACATCATACATGGAGAGTAAACCACCTTTGAACTTGGAGATGTATGCGTTTGTATGGAATAAAAAGGCTTCATTTTTATGGCTGGACAGCGAGCTAGCAAAAGTACCTCGTAATTCAGACAGCCCTATTTTTCTGCCCGTCGTAATTCAGGCTCCTAGGCCAAAACCTCAGGCTCCTAGGCAAAATCAGGCCAAAGTCAGGCCAAAGTCAGGCATTAAGGCATCAAGATTAGTCAGAAACGGCATTTTGGCCCCTGGCGTTTATACAGCGGCGTAGGATCCATTTCGAGCCGAGGAGGGACTGCTTGCCCACAGGGGCGAGGCGGTTATCCGCCTAGACAGTTGTAAGAGAAATAATAATGTATTCGTGCCGACCCCTAAGATAATTTATGCCTCAGTTATCTCATTGCTTACAACATAATAGTAATACATTCATAAAAAGCCACAATAGGGCTACCGTGTGCGCCGAGGCCTCCCGAGCAATAACAAGAACAAGAGATAAAATAAACAACAACTCCATACCAAAGACCTTTGGTAGAACGCCGGGACAAAAACCTGCCACGCGAAGGGAAAGGCTAACCGCCGTAATGGCGAACCTAGGTCAGGGTGGGAACAGGCATTTCGCCGAAGATGGTGTACATTTCTGGCATGTCGGGGCTCAGAGTGTCTTCGCAAGCTTGCATAATTTCAAAATCAATCATGGTGACTGAACGTGTTTCCGGGTGGTAGAGAATATTATGCTTGCCAGTATCAACGGACAAAACTGAGAAGCTTCTGAGTATACGAACAGCTTTAAAGACTTCGGAGCGGATATGTTCCTTCTCAAGCCCAGAAATAGTATCCCAAAGTTCGTTAAGAGTCTTGCCCGGTACTTTTGTCATTATAAGTATATTTCCCTTCGGAAACAGTGAAGAGCAAGAGATGGTCCCGTGGCTTAGCATCATTGCAAAAAAGCGATAGCCTTGAGGTCTTTTCGCGTAAATATTTTCGTAAGTCATGGCTTCGTGTGCGTAGCTTTGGTAGTATGAGGGAGACCAGCATTTGGCTATTGCTGGCTGGCCATCCCAGGTGACTTCGTAAACAGCTTTGTGCTTTGATCCATGAATCAGGCGTTTGCAGTTGCCCAATGTCGTCGCAATGCGGTTATCAGCCCCAAAAAGAATACTCTGGGATCCTATATCTTCGTCTGGGGTGTTTTGTTTTGCTGCAATCTGATTTCCGAAGGGGGACGGGCGGGTCGATGCTTGACAGAACACATCCGCTGAAATGGACAATTGCTCAGCGATAAAGTCTGGGGGCTCGATGAACGTTGGATCTTGAGAAGCAAATAAAGCCATAGCCGCAACACATCGTCGGATAGATGGGTTCGTAGACTTCTCGCTGATGGGCATCGACATTTCAAATCTGAACGTGGCAACCCTGCGGACAAACACAGTGCTTCGATATGTTGACAAAAATCCGAATCTGAGGTTGGAAGACCGCATGTACGATATGAGTTGACCGAGATGTGGTTGCAGAGGTATCAAGACAGGAAACCCTCTGCGGATGGGATGATTTTCCAGCAAGAGAGTCCAAAAAGTTTCTAATTCACCGACCAGAAGAGCCGTCGAGTCCAGCAGGGAAAGCATCACGACATCTGGAACTTTTTCAGCATCGTGAGGAGGCAAAGCCTGGTAATCTCCGAACTTCATGTTTGAAAGGTGTGTCACGGAGAGTGCTTTCATGACAGCGTCACAAACGTGTTTAGAGAAACGGCCAGTTAATCCCAATTCACTAGCAGTACGGTACTCATCGACCTCATCTGTCAAGGAAACCAGCTGACTCAAGTCGAGGGAAGCACAAGCCCGGATAACATCTGATTCGAAATTCTCCCACTCGTGAAAAAACCGGGCTGAGACATTTTCGTTGGACCTCGAGGGACGTGTGGTGCCTCCTAACTTGTTAAGGGGGGGGGGAGGGGTCGTGATATCAGCTCCAGTGCAGACTCCATTCGTTCCTTTAGAATGTGGAGAAGAAGGTTGAAGAGCCGGTGTGGAGTCTGGAGAAGATGAAAGACATGAATTGTGGTGAAGGATTGATTGGTTGGTAGAGAAAGGTAGCTTTCGCGCTAATTTGATTGGTTGGTAGCCTACCGGCTAAGCGAACTATATAACTACCGGGCGGAAAGTGTATCGTACTCCGACTCCCCCGCAAAAAGAGAAGCGCGTCAACTTGGCTATCCCGAAAGGTCCTTCTTCCGTTGCTGCTGGGCCGGTCCACCGCCAAGGAGGTCGTACCACCTGTGACGGCTGCCCCTGTGAAGGATTTTGCCGGTCAACAGGGCATGACAGCCCCAATCGAGAGCACGGACGCCGAGAATAAGGACAACGGCAAGGGGAAGGAGAGGGACCCTGGCGACAACACGATGGCTGAATGGGCCATCAACCAACGCCAACGAGGACAGCGGGCTGGCAAGCTCTTCGGCCCCTCAGGGAATGTCGGCCAGCAGCAAGAAACAGACCGCTTGGTATGAGCAACTTGAGAGTGCACTCTCCCAAGCTGCGGACGACTTCTTGATGGCGGCGCACGACGATGGCCATCTCACGGATCACTCACATAAGAGGACCAGAGAGGATCGTCATGCGAGGATGTTGCCTTCCCTGGCTGACTTCCGCTTTGACGAGCTGGCGGTGATGGCACAGTACCAGCTGGTCTTCGACGATTTCAACAAAGCGCACGAACAGCTTCAGACCCACCACTACTGGGGCGCCGAGTTTTGTTCTGGCTGCCTGGTGTAAGCTAGGCAGGAAATTGTGCCCGGAACTTCTGCAATGCGGACGGTCAAGAAGCATCTTAGCGAGGCAATCCTTAATTCAGATTGAATCAATACCTAGCCGTCAACGAACTGGCACAGTGTACTTAGTTCCCTTTTGGCTCCTCGTCGATCATCGCCTTGTTGAAGGCAGAGCAATCCGTGATCAGATCGATTACGGATCTCTCCAACAGTGCCCGGGAAGTCGTCGAGAAAGGCCCCGGCAGTTAGTGACAGGCTCTCGTTTTCTCTTTTTTGTTTTCTCTTTTTTGTTTTGTTTTGTTGTTTTTTTCTTTCTTGAATGCTTCTCCACAGGACAGGGAGCTGGAATAATCATGAAGTCTCACAATATTCACTCTTGAAAGATTCCGTCGTCACTATATACTTAGAGCATAGGTGGCATTAGGTGCTGGGAGAAGTCCCGTTCAAGCTAGCCCTTGAACTCGGCCTAAGTGTAGGTTGCGAAGGGGTCCCTTCCTGCCTGGCCATGCGTATGCGTGATAAGTCTTTGGGCGGTGTCATTGACAAGCTTACGGTTTACCAGTGGTGTGGATAATCTTCGGCCCAGTAGGAGTGGCAGATTTTGCGACTGCGGAGGCCCTTAGGTCGGCAAAGTACTGATCTTGATCCCTGGTCCATTTCCGACTCCGAGCGGTATTGTCGCGATGGTGCCGTTGTTCTTGACAGGTCACACATGAAACACGCCAGTTTTGTAGTGCGTCGATATATCTATTCTATTGTGATGGTAGTGTAGCTCCTGTGAAAGATCCCCGCAATTAGAAAGTTCCACGTAGAGCCCCATTCATTTCCACGCACCTTGCCCGCCAATCAGAATGACCGCCTGCCGTCATCACGCCTATCTCCATCTTCCATCGCCATCGCATCGATTGTCTCCCTTTAGGAGTCTCAAGCTGTCTCAAACCACCCTTCTATGCACCTCTAACGTCATAGGTCTTGCATCTTCTCAACAGCATCAAGACTATGGGCTGAGCCGAGCCCAAGCGTCGAATCTGCCTTCATCACCGCCGGGCGCCTGTCCACAAGATGACCACCAAAGCCAACGCCCATACCAACTTCACAGTTTTCATTCGCCTACCATTCCCTAGGGGGGCCTTTGTTGACCCACCACCTGCAAGTATCTCCTTGGAGCCGTCTGGACAGTTTACTAACAAAAGTAGGTGGTATGGAACGCGTCCAAGGACCAAGCACTATGGGATATTCTCTCGCGGCCATCGAAAGGAGACATAGACTGTAAGAACCCAATGGAACTCGGCCACATTCTTTGACATCACTAACATATTGCAGGGAAAGCCCTGTAAATGACTTGCGCAACCCTATCTCTAACTTGAGGGGTTCTAACATGCATCATCTAGGGCAGAGGACTTTGATGTTACTTTGCAGTTCCTCCTTCAGCAAGCAGCATGGCTCTATGACCGTCAGTTGTCACAGGTCCGGGCTCAGATGCGCAAGGTTGGCACTGCACAGTCGCACTCTCCTTCTCCACTTCCAGGGTCTGTTTCTGGAAGTGCAGCCTTAGGCGGACAGCCACAGAGAGAAACTCCAGGTATACCGTATACTGCATAGGTTTCTTAATATGATTTGAAGCTCATGTCTAACAGGATCTCACGCGCCATCAAGACACGTATCTCAGCAAAAGGATATCCCCCAGCGAGGTATGAACCTATGCACTACCTGGATAGAAGTCTCGATATAGCTGATGGTCTGATTGTATCTGACATTGATTTCAGCCCCCGAAATCCGAGGTACGAGCCTTACTACAACAACGACCACTAACCAAACCCGTGGCCCTCGGGATCCTGCACGCACTGTCACACCGACAGCCAATGACAGAGAACCACGGTGGGATTCTTTCGGTTGTCGGCCTTCCGCTATCAGACGGGAACAGCCACCGGTCGCATCCTTGCCCCGATCACCCACGCTCGATGGAGAATTATCATCTAGTTTGTCTGAAGACTCTGAGTCCGACGATGAAGTCCCAGGCAGACACGCACCCCTGTTCAAACGGTTTGGTAAATTTTCTATCCAACGTTCTGGTCTACGAGATGACGAGGACGATGAAGATGATACCCCAGCATTCCTTCCCCTTTCCCGGGAGCCCGACCATACTTACCAGGAGCGACCGGCCCAGGAGCTCAGCGCTACTCTTCGGTTAGACGCCGAGCGAGCAGCAGCGCAACGACGACGTCCCGAACAGCGGCCCGGCCCCCGGATGCCAGTAACTACGGAGTCATCTGGCAGCTCTATGAGCTCCAATGGGCCTGTCAGTCTATCCGGCAGTAACCGCCGGATCAGCCAGGCTCCACAGATGATGATGAGCCCCCAGCGAGCTCTTGAGTCACGTCAAAACTCGCGCAAGTCTACTGCCTCCGGTCGTGAAACTAGCGATGGTACCCCCAGCATGGGGAGCAGCTTCAGTGACCTTGACGGTATGTACCCGAGCCTGCAATTTTGGATTTCAACTGATCAAATGGTCAGATGCAAGCGTTACGCAATCAGCCCTGGAAGAGGCGCTTCTCAGCAACATGCAGCATGGCGGAATGGCGAGTCGGATGAGCACCATTAGCCAAGCGTTGCGCAGTCGATATCTGCAGTGATTTCCATAGCCCGTCTTCTACTGCAATCTCTTGGAATCGGCGTTCGGGATTGTATGATGTACGCAGTAGCTGCGGGGACACCCCGCATATGGCATTCACGTGACGGGTAGCGGACTCGGAGACTCCTGAGTCCTCGGTGATGGCAGTGGCCATTGATCAATCTTCATGTCTTCAGTTTGTACGTCCAATTCGTCCCAATTTCCCAAATATTTCAAGTTTCCACATCTCATCTTCATCGGTCCAGCGGGAGCGCTAGTGCCGATCAGCATTCGGTCACTCGGTGTTAACAATAACTCCACATGGAGGGGTAGTTCGACCACATTTAAAATCGCAGCTGCGCAGCAACTGTCGTTGACCCCAAGTGGAATATTGCATATCCGTGAGAAGCCGAGTCAATCGTCTGAATCGTGAGCAGCTGATCAATCAGCGTTAACGAACAAAGAAAAAAAAACCCCCGTTGACCCCACTAAAGCGGGCGCGGGGCGGCATCCTCGGTATCTTATCATACTCATCCTAAGACATCAGAAAGCCTCCCACTTCACAACTGCTCCAATGTTCCTCTACCTCGCAAAGCGCTCTCATCACACACAATGACCCCGTTAGTCGGCGAAATGTCGCCGGCGGCAGCAGAATCAGTCTACTTCAACGAGTACCCCCCACCCAAGGCACTACCGAAGCATGAAGCGCTCGCGCGCGCATTTATCGAGCTACACGTGGAGGCAAACCGGCGCGTAGTGCTCGTCACTTCTGGCGGCACAACCGTACCACTAGAAGCGCAAACCGTGCGCTTCATCGACAACTTCTCAGCCGGAACTCGCGGCGCCACCTCAGCCGAATACTTCCTCGAGCAAGGGTACGCCGTGATCTTCCTCCACCGACAATACAGTCTCCTGCCATACTCGCGGCACTACAGCCACTCGACCAACTGCTTCCTCGATTTCATGGACGAGGCCCCGCCCTCGGCCGACTCCTCCAACCCGGGCGATGGACCGATCATGGTGCGCGACGAGTACCAGGACCAGATGCGCAGCGTGCTGCGAAAGTACCGCTACGCGAAGCAGAACAACCGACTCTTGCTTCTTCCTTTCACGACTGTCTCCGAGTACATGTTCGAGCTGCGATCATTGGCGAAGTTGATGCGACCATTGAATGAGAATGCGCTCTTTTATCTTGCTGCAGCCGTCAGCGATTTCTTCATCCCGCGCAGTCGTATGGCCGAGCATAAGATCCAATCTTCCGAGCTCCCTCCGCATATGCAGGGTAGCGCGGTCGATCCGGATGAAATCTACACCGGCGAGAACGAGGAACAGCCATCGAATCGCAAGAAGCTCGTCGTCAACCTTGACCCCGTGCCTAAGTTCCTGCACCAGTTGGTGGACGGCTGGGCTCCAGAGGGTAGTATGGTTGTATCGTTCAAGCTGGAGACGGATCCGTCGTTGCTTGTCTACAAGGCGCGCACAGCGCTACAGCGGTATTCGCATCACCTGGTTATTGGAAACTTGCTCTCGACGCGCAAGTGGGAGGTTGTATTTATTACGCCGGATGAGCCGCATGAGCGCTGGATCCGGGTGCCCAAGTCCCGGCGCAGCAAGAGTATCTCTGGAGTGGAGGATCAGGTTGGGTTGGCTGAGGCTATGAAGGGGAAGTCCCCGTCAGTGGAGCAGTTGGAGGCTGAACAGGCTGCTGAAGGCCAGCGGGATGGAATCGAGATTGAGAGTCTGATTATTCCGGAGTTGGTGAAGTTGCACATGAAGATGGTTGAGAAGAAGAAGAAGAAGCCCGCGGAGTGATCCCGGGGCTGTACAAAGCAATTGAATAGAAAGGGTCATGATGGTTATACTAATGGTACTCACCATGGCTATTTTGTTTGGGTTCAATGGCAAGCTGACGTCGACGGAGACCTTGCACAATCATTGTTGGAATAAACATGTCCCGTCTGCCCACCGCCTAGATACAAGGCACGTGACCAAAGGCGGTGGGGATTATTCTGCCGGGAAGTGAAAATATTTGGATGTCCTGAGGTTTTCAATGTATGAATCCATGGCCATAAGAAGCCTATGATCTATATATTCCCGGTCTGAGTACCCTAGCTTGAAGGCTGATAATTTGAAATACGTTGTTCCAAGTCAGAACAGAAAAGTGCTGCCAAGTCTCCGCTATTTATGCCTCCAGTCCGTTTTTAGCCACAGTGTAATCTCTCAATTCCTTGGGCAGCGTTAGAACTTCTTGGCACTTTCAATCTTCACTAAAGACCACCTTGGGCACCCCGAAGCCTTATAATCTATCCTTGTTGTGCTTAATACCGCTTAGGCTTTATTCCAAGAACATTGTGTGTTTACAGCCTCGGTGACACAGTTCCCCCCAATTGCCTGGCCGACGATCAACAACACGCCTCATCGCGCGACTCTCCCTCTTACAACCCGCCCCTGATCCGCGAAAAACATTCGGCTTTTCCCATTACACTTGGACAAATAAATGGGCGATTGACCTTGGACCTGAATTACCCCCCACTCATTCAATGTTCACATCTTGTCTGGCATCATGACCGTCCAGGCGAGGAGGCACTCCGCAGCCTACAAAGCGCCATCACCCTATAATTCACGAGATACAGATATCGAAAAACAACCCACGATCGGTCGTCATACATACCACCACCGAAGCGATAATCCTGATTCCGATGACGAGTCGCTGGACGATAACAACGTCGCGGTATCCTACCCCCCGCCCATCGTAGCGGGCGGCAGTCTTCGCCGCCCCCAAACGGGGCTTGGCTTTCGCGTGCCCCAACGGATCATGCGATGGCTCTGTTTCGCTCTTTTCCTTGCACTCGTGCTCTTCATATTCACCCTCTTCCGCTTCACCATCTCCAGCTCCGTCTCGCAAGTCGCGGTCGATCTGCCCAAGGTCGGCGTCAGTGCCCCGAAGCCGCCACAATGGGAGAGCTTTCCCTTCCTCAGTCGGTATGAGGGCGGTATCACTTCCTTGGTCTCGCGTGCTGAGAATGTCCCGGAGTACCCCGGAGACGGCTCAGAGGATATGGCTATGCAGACGGAACGAGTGGACGAACAGAAGGAGCAGGAGCAGAATGCCGACAAGGTGGCCAAGGTGGCCAAGAGGGGCTTGAAACCGAATATGTTGAGCAATGTGTTCAATCCTTATCCCGACTACAATTCCCCGGAATACATTGCCAGATTCGGCGAGAAACGCGAGTGCTTCCTCAATGTCGAGAACACGCTTCGGGTTCCGTCGATCCAGAGCTATCCTGGAATTCCAAAGGGCTTCCCAGACCCGGTGATAGGCTCGAACACGATGTTAGGTATTCGGGATGACATGTGCTTTGATCGATTTGGTCGATTGGGCCCGTACGGGCTGGGATACGGAGCTAAAAAGGGAGGCATTGGCGCCGGCATGGAGGGCCATCGTGATGGCGCCGACCGTGTTTGGGAGGATGTCCCACCGGTGGACTTCCGACAGGTAGACTGGGCCGCTGCGCAACACCGGTGCCACGCGGCTAATCGCCATCGCTTCAATGAGCTGCCCGAGCCGCGTCTGAATCGCTTTGTCTCTATGCCTGTGGGAACTCCTAAGATTGAAATCCCACCGGCTGCCGAAGATACCCGCCAGGAACCGCCCAAGGTTGGATCTGAGCGTTTGCCGCGTACTGCGGTGGTGATCCGTACGTGGCACGACTTCAACTATACCCCTGAAGACATTATGTATATGCGCTCCATCGTTACGGAGCTCTCGCTGATGTCCGGTGGTGAGTATACCGTCCACTTCCTGGTTCACGTCAAGGACACCAACCTGCAGATCTGGTCCGATGATGAGACATACCAGCGTGTCCTCAATGATGCCCTGCCAGAGGAGTTCCGCGGCATGGCAACCCTGTGGTCCGAGCCGCAGATGTCCATTATGTATCCCGGATTGGAGGAGACCTTGACTCGCGGCTTGCCAATTCACGGTGTCTATCGCAGCACGTACATGCCCATGCAGTACTTCGCTTTCCAGCACCCCGAGTACGACTACTTCTGGAATTGGGAGATGGATGCGCGTTATACAGGCCACTGGTACCACTTCTTCGAAAAAGTCGGCCAGTGGGCGAAACAACAGCCGCGCAAGGGCCTGTGGGAACGCAACGCTCGCTTCTACGTTCCTTCCGTCCACGGCTCGTGGGAGGATTTCCGACAGATGGTCCGTGTGCAGACCGAAGTCGGCACCAACTCCGTCAACAACATGTGGAGTGCTATTAAGGATGAAGCGGACGGCAAGACGCGGAGCGTATTGCACCAGCAGGGAGACAAGTCTATCTGGGGTCCCGAGCGCCCCGACGAACAAGACATCTTCGAAGTCGAGGGCGAGGGTATTCCACCGACCAGCATGGACAAGGACCAGTACCAATGGGGCGTGGGTGAGGAAGCGGACCTAGTCGTCTTCAACCCACTCTACGACCCAGAGGGCACCACTTGGCTGCTGCGGGACGATGTGACCGGCTATAACAAGGAGAAGGGCTTCCCGCCGCGCCGCACGGCAATCATCACCGCGTCGCGCATCTCTCGCAAACTGCTTACCACCATGCATCGCGAATGCAGCCTCAAGCGCCACAGTATGTTCTCGGAGATGTGGCCCGCCACCACCGCGCTGCACCACGGATTCAAGGCGGTCTTCGTCCCGCACGCCGTCTACGTCGATCGCCGCTGGCCGACGCGTTATCTGGAATCAGTGTTCAATGCCGGCCGCAATGGTGCCTCTGGCGGTGCGCGCACGTCTATCTTCGGCGACGGTGAACACAACTTCCGCGGCACGACCTGGTTCTACTCGGCAGGCTTCTCGCCGAACATCTGGCGCCGCTGGCTGGGTCTCCGGGTTGACAATGATGGAGGCGAGCAGCAGGAGCTTGCTGGCGAGGGTCGCATGTGTCTTCCTCCTATGCTGTTGCATCCGGTCAAGGAAGTAAATATGGTTATTGATGATGGAGTGCAGGCACAGGACATGTAAGAGTGATAGCGTATATACCGGTTTCTCGCAACTGCTGCAACGAGACCAACTCATTTGAGTGATCTCTTTTCTACTATTTTTTTTACCTGCCATCTCCAGCATATGTGCGCTTTCGGGTTGCCGATCTTCAGATCTATTTGACTTGCATTGGTCTTAAAGCCCCCTTCACAATGTATAATGTCTCCCCTGTATCCTACTTTCCCGGATGAACCTCCCGTTCGCACCTTTCGAATTCCGTGTCTCAATTTTGCGCGAAAAGGCGTTTTCAAGGGATTGTCAGCGTTGTCTACTTCGTCACTGGAGGTTTGACTAGATCGTGCCATGCATTCTGTCTGGCTGACTTTGTATGGTATCATTGGTATGGTAGTTCATAAATGCTTCACCTTCATCCTTCACATATTAGTTCTAGTACTATACATTAATTCTTTAACCATGCAATATGCAAATGCAGAACGCAAACCCTGAACGCCAGTCCCAATCCCAATCCCAATCCCAAGAACAAAACTCCAAAAATCTAAACAGACCTAGCCCCTTCCTCCCTCTTAATCCCCATCCCAACCTCCTTCGGAGTCTTCATACTCCCCTCCGACAGTCCCCTCTCAATCCCACGCCCCCTGGGAGCCACAAACCCCGTAACCACAAAACAAATACTACAACAATAAACCCCCTGCTCATCAACCCCAAACTCAAGACAAGTCCTGCAAACCCGATGTCCACAAGTCGTCAACAGAACCTCAACACTCTCCCCATCCTGCACACACGTATGACAGAAATGTGTCGGGAAGCGCACGGCCGGCACGCGTTGCATGCGTCGCTCGATCTCAGATGCGAGTTCCTTGCCTTTTTCCACGCGTGCGCGGAGGAGGATCGCCCTCTCGCGGACGGCGGCTGTTGTTAGGCAGCGGCGTTTGCTTTTGCGTTTGCTGCTGCTCTTGCTTGTGGTGGTAGATTTGCTTTTACTAGCAGAGGTGGATTTGGATTTGCAGACGCAGTCGATTCCACAAGGCTTTCGCAGCGTCGGAGTGCTTTCGAGAAATATCAATGGCCGGAACCATTCGGAGAGAGGTTTGTTCTCCATGCATTGCTTTTCGAGGGTCCAGCGGCGGCGGATTTGGCGGTTTAGAAGCGCTGTGTAGAATACCGTTAGGGCTTGCCATACGCGGAATTCAGATATAGGGTCTAGTGGCGTCGGTTGGTGGGTTTCGACGCTCATTTTAACAGGTTTTGGGGTGACTGAGGACCGAATATGGTAGTAGGTGATGTCACAGCCCTAAGTTGCGGTGATTTTTGAGATTTCGATTCGAGAGGAAATCCGACCTGGAGGAACTGCAGTGTGGTTTTTATATTCCATTCTCGAAGATCAAAGCTGTTGTTTTTATAGAGCTTCGTTTAGAATTTTCCTTCAGGGCGTGGCGTGGCGTCGCGTGGGGAACCGTTGAAGAACTGCTCGGGGCTCGGGCTCCTCGGGTCCGGGGTTCCCAGAGTTTGAAGATTGGCCGGGCCGGGAACCAAACTTTAGGCTCTTCGGCCCCAGTTTTTTTTTCGGCTCGTTTAAGGGTCTAGTCCAGTTCTATTCGACGGCGGATTCTTTTTCCATGGAAATTGTTCGGTTCGCATTCAATTCTAGAGGCGGTAATGGCTTCCGATGTTCTTGGCATCAGCCCATCCCGTGGTTAATCCGATGAACGGTTCTGATCCAGGTCGGTCGCTTCCAGATGCCTTCCGTTCGCTTAGGAGTCGTAAGTCTTGCCATACATAAATCGGCTTGTCGGCTTCCTTATGATGGCCATCTATTGGGGTTTCATTCGGCCGGATGGCAATAGCATCAAAAACATCTCGAGAACCTTCCTTCGTAGTCTTCTAGCCGATCTTGGCGCGAGGGGATGGTAGTTATAATGTCCTGGTCTTTTGCAATTGCCGAGATATCCAGACAGAGGAGATCCAGATTTGTAGTCGAGGCGATGAGAATCATTGGGGTGTATAACGGAGATCAAACTGCCAAGGCCAGCATACTTCCAGTAACCATCAAGACTAGACCGATGGTCTCTGACCTCAAGTGGCCTGTCAGACTGGTGATATTCAAAACAAAGTTGCCAATCGGCTGATCTCTGTATGCTCATGGACCGTCCATGTCCAGATGGGTATCTTCTCTAACAAAGGAACAAGAAGCCACCGTCCTCGTTTCTCCCTCAAGCTCAACACACGTCCAAGACAGAACTGAAACCCCCTGGAAATGGAAGGTATACAGAACCTCATGACCAGAATCCAAGTCAAAAGCCTTGGCAGAGACCACATACTCCCCAAGAACAGACTCCCCTTCTCTCATTTCATGACGTAACGGGCCCAACTCCCAAGACTGCGTAACCCGACCAGCCGACAGCGTACCCGTCAACCCAGAAGACCAGATGGTAATCCAAGCAGAGGCAGTCTCGCTGACCGTCTCCGCTAAGCGCATGATAAACCGAACTTTCTCTTGACGTTGCTCTCCAGCCGATGTCTGTACACATACATATTCTCTGTCATACGCCGGGCTAGTTGCGTACCGCGGATGAAAGGATAGTGTCCCGGTTGACTCTTCCCCTCCAGCACTTGATATCTGCTTCCAAGACCCATGCAGGGCCCGAAAGACCGCAGACGCAGCGCCCTGCTGCGCTGTCTCGTGGCCGGCGGTAAGAGCGTCGCGCAATGCATCCAGCGTCCTCCCAACCGCATCGTTCTTAGCCAGTAGGCTACCTTGTCCTCCGGGACTGTGCACACCACCATAGACATACCGCGCGGGAACAGCAGGCCCGTACCGAGCATCTGCATCCAGCGACAATCGAGTGATCCCAAGGTCGTCCGCAAACGACTCCATCAATCCGACATAGTCGCCCATAGGAAACTGGCCGCGTGCGAGATTTGGGTCTGCGAGCCTGACCTCGCGGAGAGCCTGCTTCTGCTTTGTTTCACTAACAGCACAAGGCCCAGACCATAGTTTCCCGAGATATCTAGCTTGCATCTCCATAACACCCCAATACGGACCACGATAGAACCCCACGAACCCGAGATCCACAATCTCCGAGCGCACGGTACATCCTTGATCAAGGATCAACGGGGAAAAGGGATCGGTCTCGGAATATTCAAGTGTATCTAGTACTTCATCTGGTAAAAATGATAATGATCTATACGGCGTGAAACCAGTCGCCATAACGATCGCCGCCACGTTGTCTATCGTCTTGCACCCGTCAGACCCGTCGCATAGCACAGAAGCTAGTCCGGTATCACGGTTAGAATGCACAGAGGTCACCCGGCCCATGGATGTCTGGATCATTCCGGAGCGGATGAACTCGGCGTAATCGTCGCCTATGGCGACCCATGGCTGTTTCGCGCTAGACAAGGAAGGGGAATATCGGTGTGCGTGTTGCTCGTATTCGTCTCCTAGTATTGAATGGAAGTAGCTGTTTGTCTTGGTTGCCTTTTCTGGCGGAATTGGGCCCAGGGCGTATTCTATCGGGCCGGCGGGTCTGCGACATAGATCGTACATGGCCAAGTCCAGGGGTATGAAGGCTGGGGTTCCTGAAGATTCATGGGGGAGGTAGGTTGGGAGAGCCCAGAAGGGTCTGGAGTGTATATGGTCCACTTTTATATCCTTGGCACTGGGGATTCTGTTTGTGGAGAGTATGGATGAAGACTGGTGGAGAGCAACGGCAGTGGCGGCCTCGACGCCTGACATGCTACCGCCGATGACGACGATTCTGGCTGTCACGTCTCGGTCTTGGACAGGAAGTAAATTCTCTCGCTCATGACAGAGAGAAGAACTGTGGATGACTGGGCCGGGAAATTCTCCTAGTCCTGGTATATCCGGAGTATACTTCTGAGCAAAGTACCCGGAAGCGACGACAACCATGTCGAAATCCTCAGATTCCTCCTCATGTAGTGCACCATCTCCCGACTGCATTTCTTGCACACTGAATATAATCGTGAGCCGGATCCCAACTCGGGCATACTGGAATAGTAACGTCAACATACCTCTCCCTCTCCCTAATCCACCGCACACCCCACTTCACATCATCCCCCTCAATCCTCCTCACAGTCCCAACAACTTTACACCCAAATCTTAGCACCTCGACCGGGATGTACCGCTGTGCATACGCATCTAGGTACGCCGCAACCTGCTCTGCGCGAGGAAAAGTCGGAACCTCGGCATCAGGAATGACCGACTCCCAGTCAAGATCGGAGAAAGCAACCGTGAAGCGGCTAAGATTCGTCCGCATTCGAGGGTCGAGTGTCACCCGTGGATCATCAGCCCTATTAGGAGATGTTCGCCACAGACCGCCGACTCCGCGCTGGGTGTCGAATATGATTGGAGAGAATGTGCCGCGAGGGAAAATATGGAGGAGGGTTTTGGCTGTTACAAGGCCTGAAGGGCCGGCACCTGGGGGTGTTATTGATGTCATGTATGCCGGGGCAGGGTTGGGGATTATTTGGTAGGGTTACTGGACGTACCGATTATAGCTACTTTCTTGGGTGGCATTGGTGAATGTTCAGGTGGTGGTCACTTGTAAGGCTGGGATAGTCTCATAGGGCAGAATAGTGTGTGAGAACGGGTAAGGTGATTGGATTAGAGAGTTGTAGTTAGTTAATTTACAACGATGTTAGTTATGCGGGTTGTTCTCTTTGTGCTGATTTACCCCGCTCATTTAGTGCTGTCAAGACATCTCGGCTCTCCTTCTGTTTTGATAGCAGGCGTTCTTGGCTTGGATAGAGCGCTGTGATAGGCAGTTCTCATATATTAAGGAACAAGGTTCTTAAGCGATATCGTCTTGAAGCCGATACCAGGACGCTGAGGTCCTTCTAGAATAGTTGTTGCATTAACAGGCTTGATACTCCACAGATGATTCGACGCTCCCTCGTGTCGACCCATGGGTCTATCGTATGTTCCACGCTCCACTACGTACCGTTACCACTTCCAACTTACAATACACTCTCACACAACTCTCTCATAAGTCGTAATTCATAATTCATTTCTTTTGATATCAATACATCTGCTCCCCTATTAATCTCCTCCAGCGATCTAACGAAGCGTGTGGTGCCCTGATCTAATCTGGGCATAACTCGCATATCATGACGTGCAATGCCAAGCATAACCAGGGGTCCATGTCGATGAATCGCCCCAGGACAACCCGCTTGATTAAAGTTGTATTGTAATGTAATGGGCCTGTTCTCCCCGGAAAGGTGCCACGATTGACTTTTTTGCGTATTTGAGGGGCGCTCTCGGATGTGGCGTTAAGTGAGAGGTGAAGGTTGCACTGAGAGAAAAAGTTGAGGCTTGAGGGGGAAAGGTTTGCAGACTTCGATGAATACGTCTCTCTCATTCACATTTTTGTGTTCGGGTTTGATGGGTATGAGGTCGGATAGCGGCCAATTCAAGAAACTCGCTGCAGCCATTCGGTGACTTGGACTTCTGGGGAGTGAAGATTCGGCTTGTATGCCTCGTCGCATTCTTGCTCTGTCTGTAGAGTATGGACGTTTCGCTGTGTGAGGGGGCTCTTGTACTGGTTCTTCTTGCGGAGGAGTTCTTTCTCTGCCAGTGAGGAAGGTAGGAGCTTAGAGAGTGTGCCGCGGATTCGTTGGATCCCACTTGGGACAGGGCGGTGGACTTGAGGAGGACCGAATGGGTCGTCTGATTTCCAAGGGTCTTCTGAGACCTCTGAGGTTTCTTGCTTCTTTCGTGGAGAAAGCGTGCGTGAGAGTGTTCTCGACATTCTGTGGAGGTCGAGGGAGATCGCAGTGTCTGGGGTGGGTTATGTGGAAGGTAGAGGTGCGAGAAGGCGATGGTAGAAATGGAGGAGCCAGTGTCCTTTTAAAATGTGGTCAATCTCTCCACGTTGTCGTAACCATCGCTCTCCACCTACCTATTCATTTCCGCTGGACCCGCGTTGCCGTGATATCCGGCCCTTATTGGGTGACCCCGTTATTTCCATGGATTAACACGCAGTAGTTCGGTATACTTCCCCCACATACCCTTCATTACCCCCACGGGTCCATGCTCGCCAAGCAAATCAGATTAGGCTGATTGCCTCGCAAGGTCCACCGTCCACCATTTGGAAAGTCGAATGTCTATGCGCAGCGAAATGGGCGCTGTGTTGGAATTTGGGGAGGTGTGTTGGTGCGCTTGGCACAATTATTCCGGTGAAGCCGACTACGTCATGTCGGGATGGGGGATACGGGCAAAGATAGCCGCCATACTTGACTTTGATCCTATTGGCTTTTATTGCCAGGCAGAAAATTACTTGTGCAGGGAAACATACCTGGGCGAGTTTGAATTGGATACTGATCCTGGATATGTGAATATCCCTGGATTGGCTATGCGAGCTCAACTTAAAGCTCCCGAGCTATGGAGTCTCCTGGTAAGCATTATGACACCACCAAGAAGCTCCCGTGATGCCTCTAAAGTCTACCAAGGCAGCACTTTCATGGTGTGTTCAATTCTCGCAGTCGCGTCTGCCTTTGCACCGCGGAAAGGCAACAACTTCCCAATAATGCTAGGCCTGTATTTACATGCGATGGGAATCAAGCGACACGTGATTAGCTTCCTCGCTGGCTTGGGGATAAACTCTTAATTCAGCCTACACCTAACAACACATCAAAGTAACAGAAGGAAGGCAAAGACAGCCAAAAAGAAAACATCAAGGATCAATCGTAAAACGAAGAACCATCCCTCTCGTCCTGAGCAGGCGTCACTGGAGAGATGAACTTTTTCGACTCTTCCTTCTTCAAAGAGCCCAGCAAAAGTCTTCCGACACCGGCGCAAGTAAGGGCTTTGTCGAAAGATATTCACGCGAACCCTCAGCCACAGCCTATCATCTTCGAAAGTTCGAAGAGCCCAAAGTCTTCGTCAAGTTTGGCTCTTATGTCACGATAGCAGAAGCGCAGAGTCTTTGGCCAGGCCTGTGACCCGTTGTCGCTAAGTCAAAGGCCAAATCCTGTGGGCGATCCGTAAGGCGTGCTCGGAAGCTGACCCTTCATTTTACCCTCTCGGTGATTACAATCAATTGGTTTATCTTCTCAAATAAATCATTTGTCCGGTATGGCTTATGGATAATATCGTCCATCCCGGCGTCCAACATTTCAGTTTGTTGGGCTGCTCTGGCATTTGCTGTCACACCTAGAACAGGAACATGCGCCATGTGTTTCTCAGAATCCCTGATTGCCTTCGTCGCCGAAATCCCATCCATAACAGGCATTTCTTGGTCCATGAGGACGCAGTCAAAATCCTCGTGTTGCAAAGCATCTAAGGCTTCGCGGCCATTTATTGCTTCTGTGACATGGAACCCCAAGGATTGCAGCTTGCGGATGAGGATTTGTCGGTTGATGTCGTTGTCTTCGACCACGAGAATACGCCGAATTCTCTCCCGATCGGATCGTGGGCTGATTGGTTTAGTGTGCTTGATCTGGCCACCCCCAAGATTCGGCTTGGTAACCCCTGGACTGGCAGGGACAGACTCTTTATCGCAGTCACCATGCAGGCTTTGGTGGGTGTGGTTGTTCGCGGCAGTTCCAGCAGACCCTGTCCGGCGGGCTATGTCTGACGTATGCTTTACCCTTTCATCACTAGGAGCGCCCGGTGCTACCTCTTCAATGCGAGTTACAACGGGACTGTCTGAAATTTCAGGTGACCTTGTCCGTTGAGTGACTCCCGTCGCCTCGTTGCTCAACGCTTGAATACCACTGCATAGCTCATCAATTTCGAGTCCGTGGGACGTAGACTGTCCATCATTGAATGGCGGAACCTCTCGACGGACTTTGAAGAAGAACCCAAACGTGCTTCCTTGCCCTTCTTTAGAGCTTACGCCGATCTCTCCCCCGTGTAGATGGCAGAGCTTCCGGCTGACAGTGAGGCCAAGACCAGAACCGCCGTAGGTGCTCTCTGTTCTGGGCGTTGCTTGATGAAAACGTTCAAAGAGTCGCTTCTGAGCCTCATCGCTAATGCCGATCCCAGTATCCTTCACTGCTACCATCACGTATGCAACTTGGCCATTTCCCCACTCGGGTTTGTTGGTTGCATCCAAGCGCATTGCAGCTTCACTGGAGTCAAAGAAGACGACATTGGGAGGATAGGATGGCGGTCGATCTGTAGAGGCGCCCATGGAGACCCTGATTCCTCTTTTGCCGTTTGCTTTGGAAGTAAACTTGATTGCATTGGAAACCAGGTTTATGAGAACCTGGCTCACCCGGTCGAGGTCGGCCATTACCCATTCAATCCCATTTTCAGCATAGGAATTATCGAGCTTGTATTCAAATTCAATATCTTGTTTCCGAAGCTCAGGGCGAAATATGGACAATGATTTTGCCAGGTGCCGTTTTGGTTCGGCTCTTCGCGGCGACAAGGTCAACATTGATGCGTCCAGCTTCGAGAACGTAAGGACATCGTCGACAATCCTCTTTTGATGTGCAATGCAGAGGCTTATTGTCCTTGCTGCTTGCGCAATGTCTGCCAAAGGTATTCCACTACCTTCTTTGTCCTTCACTGTTTGAAATATATCCTCGGTGCAATGCAGGATAGCAGAAAGGGGGTTTCGGACTTCATGACTGATCATGTCGATAAACCGTTCCTGTTGCTGCTTTCGTTCTTGTGCCTCGTGCGCAATTTCCATCTGTTGCAGTTCGGCAGTCTTCTCCAAGGTGATATCCGCGATGGTGCAGATAAATCCAACATCGTCACCCAAATTAAGGCGCTGAAGATCTGTGTTTTCCAGTGGAGCCAACATCAATCCACGCCACAAAGATTTTTGATTGCGAATGCGATATTCGATGCGCAGCGCATGCTTGGACTTCAATGCTTCAAAATATGCCGTAGCCACTCGGTCATAGTCTTCTGGGTGAATAGATTGCGACCAGCATTGAAACGATTTAGCGTTGTGACAAGCCATCAATTCTCGGAAACGTCGGTTCACCAATATTGACTCGTCTCGATGGTTGAGAATGGCAATGCCGATCGGCAAGATGTCAGCGAGCTCCTGCGCACCGGCCATGTTCACACTGTCAAAGGTTGCATGAGGGCTCAGTCGTCTTCGAATGATCAAATGGTGCAGAGTGAACGTATTATCCGTATAGCGCGCGCTGATGCGGTAAAGGGAAGATGGACATCATTATGCAAATTATTGAAGAAAATGAACGGTTATGGGCATGGCTGGCAACTAACCGTACGATCATATAACCAGCCAGCGCAAGAAGCCACCAAGCGGTGCTCAGCTACGTCACAGCTTACCGCGTAACACGGTATTGGATAAGCCGTAGGTGAATATCGTCATCCATATTGCCGCGAGTCGCGACCCTTAGTCAGCGTACCATTCCTGTAAGGTCAATACTCAATAGAGATGAGTTGAACTTTCCCATGGAGGGCAAGTCGGAAGTGGAACCAAATAAAAGGGAGAGAAGCTGGGAGAAATCACAGATAAACTGATAAAACCATTGGCTCTCGTTCGTCGCCCCACATTTGGGCAAAGTCTAAAATGATCTTCGATAGCACCACTTGAGAACCCCAAATTTGAGATTTCAACGGTCTGTTGGTTGATTACAGCACTGCGTAATATCTACATCTAATCAATTGATCCATCAAATCGTAGACATTGATCGTCTATATCTTCATCAATGAATATGCAACATGACTCAATAAGTGAACCGGAAACTGGGATGATCATCCCCAGCATTCTCCAACTCCTCTCTCGCCCACTGATACCGATAATCCCTCTTCCCCTGTTCCCGCAACCGATTCTCCCGCCACAAATAACAGAAGAAGATGGTACAAGCAAGACCTCCGATCCAGATCATCCCAAGACTAACCCCAAATCCAGTGGGATACGTCGGCGCCTCCGAAGTAAAGTAGATATTGCTAGCGACGAGTCCACCACAGTTACCAACGCCAATCTGCATCGCCGACGCAACAGACTGCTTATAGTGTCCACCCATATTGTTGCTTACCCAGCCCAGCAGGATCGGCTGCGCCATGAACCCTCCGGCCATGACTGCGTACACGGCGAAGTAACGCACGCCCACGGCAACCGATTCCTGGCAGATGAGGATCACGTAGCCGATTGTGGCGATGAGACAGCCGAGTATGGTGAAGCCGAAGCGGTGGCGGATTCGGTCGCTGATGAAGGCCGTGGTGAGGGAAACCACCGTTGAAACGAGGTAGACGGGGATACTCATGACTTGGGCGCGGACCTCCGTCCAGCCGAGCTGTTTGAGGATCGTTGGGGTGAAGAAGGAGGTAGCGTAGCCTGTGTTGACGATTCCGAAGTACATAAGGGCGCTGATGGTGTTAGCTGAGAGTTAGCGGGTCGTTGGACCTAGAGTCGATACGTACCCAATGTAGATCTTGATGTCGAGGAACGTGCGCTTCATTGCAGGCTTGTCGAAGCGGTTCATCTGCGCCGCGCCCCGGTCTTCGGATAGACGTCGGAGCAGCAGTGTGCGCTCGTCGTCGGTCAGGAAAGTCGCCGTTTCGGGCCAGTCGACGATAAGGAACTTGGCCGCCACGCCAGCGATTACCGTCACCAGACCTTCGAGGATGAAGAGCCAGCGCCAGCTGCGGTAACCGCCTACGCCATCCATCTTTCCAATGCCATAGGCAAGAAGCTGCAAAACATTGCGTTAGCCGAGGATCGACTCGTCGCTCAAGAGATACATACTCCGCTGACTGCACCGGCCAGAATGCTCGCACTGAAGAACAGATTGAACCGCCATTGTAACTCGTGGCGCTTATAATACATCGCAATCAAGTAGATGCAGCCTGTATGGAAACCCCATATTAGCGCTTGCGATCTCATATCAGGGGAAAGAAATACCAACCCGGCATCAACCCAGCCTCAAAGATCCCCAGCAAGAAGCGACAAGCGACGAGACCGCCAAAGCTTGTCGTCAGACCTTGACATGTCGTAATAATGCCTAAACCAGCAAAGTCAGTACAAATCCCATACTCCTTCAGGCTTCAACACAATGCTGCAACTCACCCCAGCAAAAGATAATAATGCTCAGCCACAAAGAAGGCGACATCTTCTTCAGAAATAAATTGCTCGGCACTTCGAACAAGATATAAGGAATAAAGAAAATGAACAGAGCAATATTATAATCATGTCCCACCATCCCCAAATCCTCCTCCAACCCCTGCAACCTCGCATTGCCAATGTTAATGCGATCCAAAAAGGCGAGCAGAAACAAGAACGTCAAAATAGGTACGACGTGCAGGTCAACTTTCCACAGAAGTCGTTTTTCCGCTGCCCGATCGATATCCGGTAACAAGACGGTGGATTTGAGGTCCTCGACCGTCTCCTCGTGCACCTTCTCCGGATCCATTGTGTGAGACATGTTTCCAGATAGACGATCTGGCTGAGTGGCTGTCACATTCGACGGGGACACATCCTTTTAAACATCCCTGCTCCTTTTTCTCCTCTCTTGAATCGCCGAGACATGTGGGACTGGGAAATCCGGGGCCCCGCGTTGATCACGTGGCGGTGAATTTCCGCTGTTTGTCGTGATAGAGAGCGGCGACTCAGTTCCGCATCTGCGCGGCCAAGAGTGTACAAGATTCTTGTCTAGGTTTAGCTAGAGATACTGGGTTTGGGGGCTTGGTGGCGCGGGAATGTCTATCAATCGCATTGCAGGATCGAGAACTAGTTTGGATGAATATCAGGATGGTCGGTTTCCCGGCCGAGAGTGGGAATTTTCCTGACCTTTTAGCGTCACGGCAACTTGAATGAGATCTCAACTTATGGTGAGCCAAGCCGATCATCTCTACGATGGCGGAACGCGATCACGGAATTATGCCGCAACGAGATATCTGCCCCAGTATGGTCATGACTCAACCCTCACATTGGAATAACGCAGCTCTGGGCATCTAGCCGAATATTGCGAGATTGTAAATACCGATAACGCAATTCGTGCCTATATCCACTATCCAACGGCGCTGCTAACATTAAGCCCCTCACGATCCCACATTCTTACGAATAGCCGGCTCCAAAGGGAACGTCTGTTCATTCTCCGCAACGTCCTTATAGACCGTATCCCAGCGATGCTGGAGCTGCTGCGGTGTCTCCCATGCATTCTCAGGATCGCGCAGCCACAGTCTCAACAGATGGCGTCTGACGCAGCTGTCAGCATTCTCATGATCGAGACGGCACAAAAGTGGAAAAAAGAACCTACTCTTGCCCAGGCCCGTCTGTGAAACCATTCCGCGCATGAAAGATACTAAGGTTATTCACATACTGCACATCGCCTTTTTGGAAGTCCAATGCGGCACTGTGCTCCTCAGCCAAGAAGTGCAGAGCATCTAGCGCCTCGGCCTGTGCCTCGCTGATCGGAGGAATATCCTTGGAACGGGGCTGCGCCAGGAACCCAGTGAAATAGCGTCTCGCGTACTGGATCAGGACCCGCTCGGGGGTAGTCTCTGTGGCGGGTTGGTGGTATAGCAGTGGGCGGAGGGTGTAAGGTCTAGTTGGGTTATTGAAGCTGAGTGATGTTAGTTTTTCCTTTCTCTTCTTTTCTACGTGTAAGTACCGTCTTTGACTGGTGTGACTCTTACCCATCAACCGGCCAGTCCTCGGACAGAGTATGGATGAGATCGGGTCTTGACTTGGCCAATATGTTATACACATTCCAGCTGCTGGAGAGGTAACTTTCTCCACCTGAGGCAGCTCGGTTCAAACACAGAAGGGAGATGATGTCGCCCGCGTCGGTGTGGAAGACCTGCTTGTCGGCTGTGTTTGAAGGCGCGCCAATCCTTTCTTTCTCGGGAGTGCTGGTGAGATCTTTGATATGGGAGATCACAGGTGAAGTGCCGTTTGCCAGGCGGGTGTCTTGCTGGCGACCGCGGATGTTCCCGATGTGGGAGGATACACCGGCGTAGATGATGACATTGTCTTCGCGAGAGTATTCGTCTATGTGCAGACCTCGGAGGACAACGAAACCTCGGCCGGTGTGGATCTCCTTTGATAGATCGCGGAGAGTTGGACGGAGGGTGGGGAGAGGGAATGTGGACTGGTTGATATGGCCCAGGGGAAGGTTTAGGGCTGTTGGAGATCAGCGACGCGGTTGCAAGAAGACTGTGGTCATTCACTGGACATATCATACCCTTGAAGCTCTTCAAGGCTGCGTCGATCTCATCCAGCTGGGTATGGCTCAACTGGTATATCCAGTCGTCTTGTTTCTCGATGTCCTTTCCTTCCCAGACTAGTGGTGAGACTAGTTCCTGTGGGAAGCCGGTGGGTAAACTTGATTGCAGAGTCTCAGTCTCTTTGCGACGACGGGTACGCTCCCTGTACTTTTCGTACTCAGGATGATACTGAATATCAGGCTGGGTGGGCACCGTGATAGTCTGGACGGCGGACATGTTGATTATCCAGGGGAGGGGAGTTACGGTTAGTTGCTGAGCGGCAGATTACAGGCTGGAATCACGACTTAAATACCATGAGATGTTACCTTTACATCTTCAGAGGCCTCGATGGCGCGACGGTGTACTGCTATCCAACAAATCAGCGGTGGTCACGACATCAACCCCGCTCAGTGCGAGATCACCAACACGCATTGAACACCAACGAGCACAAGGAAATGCTTGCTTTTGCAGCCACCCAATTGCTGGCTATTATCACACCATCGGCCTTGATTCGGTGTGATAGCCACGTCGATTGCTTTCGGCCCTCCCGTGAGACGTTGCATAATGGAGTCTCTTCGATGTCAAGAACTTTTGACAGGTACGCCAAGTGAAGAGAATGTATCGATTGAAAGCATTTATTCGGAACTACCAAATGCTAGTTTTCAATAGGCGCCCATTCAGCGTCAAAGCGATCCCTTCAAGCGTCAATTCCGATCTGCTTTTAGAGACCAATTCATTCGCTATCACTGTCCAACGACACGACACAATCAAGCGATACCTATCCACCCAGATCCCACGACAGGAGCATGAAGGCAAGGCATCTGCCATGATTTTCCCCGAGCCGTTGAGTACAAGATCTCGGAAATAGCAATGCATGACTGCCATGGTACATGATCGCTATGTCCGTTACATATCTCAACAACCTCGTATTCGTGCACCATTCAACCTAACAATCATTCTTCACGAATTCGGGGTTTGCTAGGATCTGCATCGAGACCACGTCTCCAACGCCGATACCCTTCCGACCGCGCGAGACCACGTCTCCAACCGGACCTCACGACCCATACGGCACCCTCCCTCCAGGCCGATAAGCCAATGAGAGGCTTGACCCGATCTCGATGACAACTTTTCCGAAGTTGTTTAAGAAGGAGAATTTGTATACCGGGCAGCCGTACGACATTTTGGATGACAAAGTGAGAATCATTGGGAACACAGCATGGAATTGTCCTGGGGCAATCCCCAGATGGAAGCAGGTGTTCAACAGGAGTCTCCCTTTGTCATCCAAAATGTCATACGGCTGCCCGGTATACATACAAATTCTCCTTCTTAAACAACTTTGGAAAAGTTGTCATCGAGATCGGGTCAAGCCTCTCATTGGCTTATCGGCCTGGAGGGAGGGTGTCGTATGGGTCGTGAGGTCCGGTTGGAGACGTGGTCTCACGCGGTCGGAGGGGTATCGGCGTTCGCCGAGGAATCTCAGCTTTCACTGGTATTCCTTCATGGTCTCGTCGAAGGGTTCCATCTTCGATTCCATAGTCCTGGGGCTCTTCCTTCTCCACGGTGGTCGCTCTACCTCCTCTTTTGAGTTTGAGGCTTACTGGATACGCCTCAGAGCGTGGGTTGATGTCGGTTTTCAGCAAGTAGTTGTCGCTGTATTCCGGCATTACCTCTGGATCCCCGTGCTGAAGAAGGGCAACAAATTGGAGGGGTATCGGCCTAGTGATAGGTCCGGTGTTAATGCCACCCTCCCGAAGAACCTTCTTCATCCCGCGAAGATATGTATGATGGACACGTCTGAACATCTGTTCAGTCCATCCTTCGAACCACTCCTGGAACACATAGAGGAGTTCGGCGTCATACAGGCCCAAAATGCATAGACCTTTGGTCTGTTCGACCATGTAGGTATTCAGATGCAATTACTTGGACATTGCAGTGACCTTGACACCCCACCATTTGGGTCCTTGGGACTGATGTGTGTCGGGTCGATTTTCATAGGAGAATCCTGGACAAGTTGTTCCCTGGTCATATCGGCACATGGGGAAACAATGTCCTCTTCGATCGGTTCGTCGTTCGGAGACACCGGATCGGGGTTCTCTCGCGTTGTTTGCATTTTTGTTGTGATGCGTTGTTGACGCGTTTGACTGACTCCACCGGACGTACAATCAAACTGTAGGTACGATAGGTCTTCCGCCGGACAGTCCTAGGTACCTGTTCTTAGCACAGTTCACAGCCACAAGACCTCCACCGGACGGTAACTTGATGCTATGGGGAAACTGTCTCTTCTGCTTAGCCAATCTGTGATTCTCTGCGAATCACTGATCAGTGTTGGCAGGTCTACTGCCTGCTTGTCTCATACGAAGGGCAGGTTGTTGCAATTGCTTTCACAGGGATCGGATTCCGATTGCTATGGTGTTTCTTGGTTGTTCTTCTCTGTCTAAGTCACCTCAGGCCTGACTGCTGACTAAGATACATCACGTGGCCATAGTACAAACAACAGTTACGTACGGAGTACTCCCATTACCTACCCCGGTCAATCCCATAATAGTCCCATGGTAGTTGGCAAGGCTTAGCCGATAAGCTGTCCCGCGACAGAGGCTCGGCGCTCGCGGCTCTTCACTGACATATGATCCTGAGATCTTTTTCTCTTAATTAAGATGAGTCCTCGGTCTCGTCGAGACAGGCAAAAAGCCACGGCCTACCAGGGCCACCACTATGGACACACTTGAAAGAAACACCATTAATACATGTCTAAGCAATAGATCCTGGGGCCGCGCCCGCTGGCCTGCCCTTGGGTATCTGTCTAGCCAAACCATTCTCACCATCACCATGATTTGATTCGTCGGATGTCGTTCACCTCTTTGCTCAGCACAGACTCTAGACCGGCCAGACTCCTGCATGAGTCTGACGCGCTAGCTATTCCTGTCGACTATTTCCTCCGTAGACCATAAAACGCCCAATCTGACTATGTTGTTTTGTTCCAGGACACGCTAGGCTAGAAGCAGAACCCCACCAGGGCCCGGCAGGCGCTCCTCACGCGCATCTGCCAGATAGTCTATTACGAGGGAGAATCCCCAAGGGCTGAGTGGTTACAGCAGGAATAGCGTGTAGATAAAAGACCAATGACCACGTGATGGAGTCAGCCCAGTCTGGAATCTATGTATTCAGCCCTACTCGGCCAAAGAAGCAAAGATATGCAGTCCAAAGTTCAAGATATCTGCTCATTTGTTCGTGATCTTATCCCTCTCTCTGTCCGTGCCCAATGCGAGATGCTGGGATTTTACAAGTACTTATACAGATCTCCGAGGGTGTTTCCGAGGCAGAGAAGCAATTTTGGAGTGGCGACACCCGAGGAAGAAAAGAAAACAAATGAGGCTAATAGCATAGCGTAGAGAGGCAAAAGAGCCATTTGAAGAACAAAAGTAGCAGACCAGTTGCAGAACCCTTTCCCTGCAAAGATCAATGTCATGTGTGGCCAAAGAACTCCCCGCCATCGTCATCATCAATCCATCATTTGCAGATGTCCGGTTATTCTCCTTCACCCAGCTACACGTCCCGATTCGGATTTGCATTATAGACCTTTAATCGCGGTTGGTTTTGCGGAGGGCATCGGCAAGCCACTCCAGACCCTCGTACAGACCGTCACCGGTGGTGGCGCAAGTGGATTGGATGAACTAGACCCATCGTTAGGAAAACCGTAGATAAGGAGATTGAGGAGTATCCAGAATATCACTTACCCAAGCACGACGGGTAAGGCTCTGCAGACCAAGCTGCTGCGTGATCTCGGCGGGGCTCATAGCGTTCTAGATAAAAGCGGGGGTCAGCATTCACATCCCATCCAACCAGTTCCTCTGTATCAGATTCGATTTCCTTACCGGCAGATCCTGCTTGTTGGCAAACACCAGGAGGAGAGCATCGCGGAGCTCGTCCTCGTTCAACATACGCTGCAACTCCTCACGGGCCTCGACGATACGATCCCGATCGTTGCTGTCAACCACGAAGATGATACCCTGGGTGTTCTGGAAGTAGTGGCGCCACAGAGGACGAATTTTATCCTGACCACCGACATCCCACACGGTGAACTGAATGTTCTTGTATTCGACAGTCTCGACGTTGAATCCTGCACACCAACGTCAGTTTCCCAGAACGGGGGGGTTGTCGATGCGAATGCGCATTTATACCGTGTCGCCGGTGGAAAGGAGGTCGAACTAACCAATTGTGGGGATGGTGGTGACGATTTCACCGAGCTTGAGCTTGTACAGAATGGTGGTCTTACCGGCGGCGTCGAGACCGACCATCAGGATGCGCATTTCCTTGCGCCCCCATAGTCTGTCAAACAGCCGCGAGAAAGTGATACCCATATTGTCGGTAGCGAGATGACCCTCGAAATCCTGGGGATAGGAGTGGATAAGTCAGAAAGTTATATCAAGGGATATGGTTGAAAGGGGAGAAAGCGGAGGGGTTGGAAAACGTGTTGTGGACTTGTCGGTCAGAAGTCAGGGGAGAGGGGGGTGGAATAAGTTTCCGGGCAACCAGTTCAAATATTCATAAATATAAACCACTTACCGGCAGAAAATGGTACAAAGTTGAGGATGTAGAAGTTGGAGATGGTCAGGGGAATATAGAGAGAAAGAGAGTCGAAGGGGAAATTTGGATTGTTTCTTTTTGTTTTGAATACGCAGAAATACGCTGGCCGATGGCGGTGGGCGTAGGATTCGTCACCCGGTTTACTTGGAGCAAACTGTTGAGGTTAAGAGAGGATATGAAGGAGGAAGACAGAGATATATCTACAGATGGAGAGTTGAATGGAATGACAAGTTAATAATAGTTCTGCCTATGAGTATGACTATCTAAGTGTACACATGTAGTGATGAGAGATGGGCGAGAAAGAGGACACGGTGTTGACCCCGTAAATGAAATACGGATCACGTGTTACCTCGAGACCATACGTCGGCCATGAAGATCCACGAAGAATCTTCTGATAGGCTACAACTCCCCTTATCTGGACTCAGAGGAATTCTGGAATTCCCACTCTTTGGTGTCCACTTTTCAGCGTCGCCGTGATATCTTCTGGCGAGACTCTCGAAAGAACGTCCTGACCATGGACCGATAGATTGTCTTCCCCTCCACAGTGTCACTGGCGTATCCGAATACCGTCAACAGCAAGACGGACAGAACAAAGATCACCGCAAAGCTGACCCAATAATCCGTCTTAGTGTACCCGTTCTTCACACCGATGAGCTCCGTGGAGAAATATGCACTCATCAAACTGACGGGCAAGAACAAAATGGTCGCCTTGGCTAGCAGGATGGTGATGCGAGTGAGCTTCTCAACAGCCTGCGAGTCTTTGAGCGCAATCAAGTTGAAATTCTATACTACTCAGCAGATGACTCAAAAGCCGGAGTGGGAAAAGAAAAATGCTCACCAAGAATGTCAAGGACTCCTTCTCATTGAGACAATTCTCGATCTCGCTCAGACAATACAGATTAATGCGATCCGCCAACCGTTCGAACCGCGCCACAGCACTCGAGCTCAGCTGCACCCCGACCGATTTCTCGGTATTGGGGTGGCTGGAATTGCCCACGAGACTGGACTGCCGTATATCCACGAACTCCGCATCGCCATAGGTGGCTCCGTCCGGGATTGTGGCTGGATGGGCCGAGCGGGCTTCATCGCGGAGCATGCGTTGGCGTTGCAATAATCGTTGCATAATAAGCTCGTAGCTCTGATACAACCGTTTGAGAACTGCGAGTCGCCGGCCCAGCCAGTGCAATTCATTCACCAAATCCACTATGGGACGGTCGAGCATTTGGCCTCTCTGTGTGGAGTCAGTCATGAAACCGGATTAAATCAATGAGACGAGCTATCAGACCCACCAGTTCCTCCAGAGCAACGCCGTACTTGTGCTCCCGCTTTGCGATTAACCCATAGCTCGACACCCAGTCATCAAAGATATAATAGAACAGCAGACTAGGTCCATCCTCCTGCTTGATATTGGCTTGGTCTGGTCCAAAATCATTGAAATGTCGCACGCGGATGGTGATGAGTGACTCGCTTTCGGACATGGCATAGTGCTGTCTCGACACGCCGGAGAAAATGAAACGCATGTTCCTGCGCACAATGTCGAGGACTGGCTTTGCTTCCTCCATTGACACTCCATCCCTTCGGCCTGCGAACGGATTCTCTTGGATTGAAATTACCGTGCCTGCAATTCAGTCAGCAGCTACACATGGAATTCTCAAACCGGGCCTGTTGATGTGCTCATACCATCATCGCACTGGATCAGCCAGGTCCAAAGCCGCTTTCCATCTGGAAGATCTTTGCCATTTGGCTGTGATAGTGTGGGAATGACAAATAACGTATTATAGCCGATACACGTGTCTGATGAAGATTTCAGTGTTCATGCTCGCTGAAGTCGAGGTGTGACAGACTTACATCGAGGCCCATGGTCCACAGAGGAGAAGTGCCAGATTTGGTCGACAATTTGTGCGAAGGTGAGATTCTTGAATGAAGCCGACTCGCCTGGTCTATCTAAATCGGAAAGTTGCTTGAGTGCATTCTCCGGATCGTCAACGTCGTGGTGGAACGAAGGCGCAACACTAGATGAACGTGAGGACCGTTTCTTCGGTGCGGGTGCAGGTTCTGGTTCCGGATCGGGTTGCACTGGCTCTGTGCACATCATCCCTTGTAGTCTTTCAGACACTCCAAAATGTGCAGTAATAGCCTAGGTAAGGTCAACCATTGCCGTTACATACCGATGGAGGGAATATCCGCACCTTTATGCTTTCCTTCTGCTCCTCTGGTGCCCAGATGTTACTGTAGCTGTGTGAGTTCACTCCTATTGGGACTATGTACATCGGGGGAAGTAGCTCTTACATCCACCGTGTACCGAGGCACTTGGCTCTCTGTACCCCGTCAGACCTTGATCACAACATCATTCAGGCTTGAACCAACATACCGGCTTCCTTAACAAGGATTTCATTTCGTATGTAGTCAAATCAGACGCACACCACGCATCTTCATTCCCAAAGTCCAGCACAAAATTCTGCGTCAGAGGGTCCTGCAGACGGCGTATAGCTATGTGAAACTGAGTTTCATCATCAATATCCTTGAACTTCTTCACAAGCGAGCCATCCTCATCAAGACTAGCATAGTAATCCTGCGCCATAGTAGAATCGCGCGAAGTTATTGTTTCAGACATGGTGAAAGTACGCCAGTCGCCGACTTCGAGAAACGGACTCGTAAATAAGTCCTAGGTATTAGTCGCAAACTCGATACTATGCAATAAACAATCACAAGACGAGCAGTCGAGTCAGGAGGATTATATTCGCGTTCGGCAGAAAGTCATGCAAACGAACTTGCAAGGCTCAAGCATGGAATCTCCCCCATATCATGGACAAATAAGGAAGGAAATAGCCCAAGTGTGAATGACCCGGAAATTGCACTAAAATAACTAAAAGATATGGACAAAAACCCCGCTAAGACCAGTCATCTGAGGCTGACGCTGGTCACGTTTAAGCGCGATCACCTGCAGCCCAGACGTCGGCTTTTCTTTCTGTCGAGAACTCCTACAATAGTCTGCCTTTTGCTATTCCCTCACTACATCATAGGTACTACATACCTACTTTGCCAAAGATTGTACTATGGATCATCGGTCATTTGGATTTTGGAATATACCTATCGGAGTCAGATGGTGTCTATGATGAGGCGGAATTCCGAGTAGGGATCCATTCCGAGTAAGTGTGAAGAACGTGACATGATACTTATTCCAGATAGCTGATAGCCCTCGCCATACAGCAAATACATCATCATCAGACGGTTGAGCTCGTTCAGGACGAAATGAGGTAGCGGTAGCCTGTCAGTACTCAATGATCTCGGATTGGTTTTGTTTTGCTGCCTTCCAACGCTGTGTCTCGTCTATGGTAGCTTTAGTCAACCCCAACATTATCTAAAACGCTATTGCTTTGATTAAACTCCCGCAATCTCGAGACAGTCCATTCAACGGAGAGCAAATTATGGCCATTAACATTAGTTGAATCTTCGAGTTAGGGGCGATCGTTTTGTTGTTGCTGCCTCAGGCCATAGTAGGCTGAGTCAGGGAGGACTGTGGCCTTAGGCATCTGAAAAATCTAGGGCACCGCTTATCCAAAAGTAGACTAGCGCCAGCCCATACCCACAAGCGGAGAAATTCACGGCCCCTCGACAATTTCTTTCTCTCAAGCATTCAGCGCAGAGCCATACCATAAGAATTTCAACTTCTTTTGGAAGACTGTAGCAATCATGTCGAAGATCACAGTCGGTACGTTCCATCCAGATCATCACCGTTATGATCCAAACACTAACTGCTCTTCCCTTTGACAGCCGGAGTGCGCCAGAATGTCGAGAACCTTCTCAACTACTCTCTCAATGAGAAGAAGCGCAAGTTCAACGAGACCGTCGAGCTCCAGATCGGCTTGAAGAACTACGATCCCCAGCGTGACAAGCGTTTCTCCGGCACCATCAAGCTGCCCACCGTCCCCCGCCCCAACATGGCCATCTGTATCCTTGGTGACCAGCACGATCTTGACCGTGCCAAGCACCACGGCATCGATGCCATGTCCGTTGACGACCTCAAGAAGCTCAACAAGAACAAGAAGCTCATCAAGAAGCTTGCTCGCAAGTACGATGCCTTCCTTGCCTCCGAGGGTCTGATCAAGCAGATTCCCCGTCTGCTCGGTCCCGGTCTGTCCAAGGGTATGTCTTTCTCTTTATTTTCTACTGTGGATTCCCATCCATACACCGAGTCAATACTCTAAGCGCAATGCTGACTTTCTTTCCCTTTACAGCCGGCAAGTTCCCCACTCCCGTCTCCCACGCTGAGGACATGGCCGCCAAGGTCACTGATGTCAAGTCCACCATCAAGTTCCAGCTTAAGAAGGTTCTGTGCCTCGGTGTTGCTGTCGGCAACGTCGAGATGGACAAGGAGGCCCTTGTTGCCAACCTGATGCTCGCCATCAACTACCTTGTCTCCCTCCTCAAGAAGGGCTGGCAGAACGTTGGCAGTCTTGTCATCAAGGCTTCCATGTCTCCTCCCCACCGTGTCTACTAGATTATCTGTCGCTTAATTGCGCCGGACTTTTCTAGTTTGGGTCTGAGAACTGGGTTCACGTTATAGTCTTACGACTGAAAAAAATATGAAGCTCATGATCGGTCTCGAGTTTTTCTGTCCTGTAGATTGTAGTAAACAGTAAAGCTCACAGGATGTTGTACATGATATTCCTCGTATGAAAACCTAAGATATATTGCTACGGTACAAAGACAACGGATCTGAAGATTATTCCATGCCAGCCATCAACTCGGTTTTATCCAAAATCATGCCCCGCATGCCAATGAACTCACGAAGACTCTCCCACTCCTCACCAACCTCCTCACCTCGCATATAAGGATCTTTGAACCCCCACGCGACCGCCACTCTATCCATAGCAGCCCGCTCTTCCTCGCGCAACCATCGCTGCCGCAGGGGAATGCCCGGGATCCAGACCACACGCTCCATCTGATCATTAGCCGTAGTAATGGCCAAGATACCCATGGAGGAAGTACCGCCAACATAGGCCAGCGTAGCAGCGAACGCAATTCCAGTAGCCACGTTAGGGTCCATGGTGTTCTGGAATGTTGCGGCCCACGATGCCAGGGCATAGCACGCAGCCGGGGCAGCTGCCAGCCCAGCTAGGGGAACACCGGCTTTCTTGAAGATCTTCGCCCGGTGGAAGGCCGGGGCGCAGAAGGTGTTGTCGATAATAGCTAGCACGAGCGGGAGGTTCTTCTGCTCAATGGCGACGTTAAGAGCCATGTTGGCCAAGTCCGCGGGAACGGCGCTGTTAATGCTCTTGGGGTTGGGCTTGAGTAGTTTCACTGGGGAGCTATTCTCCTCTGGGACGGGTTTGTTGGCGTAGAGATAGAAGATCTCGGGGAAGTGCTCTGCTCTTCGGAGCAGAGTCAGAGTTTCGATGCAGGAGGTCAAGGCTTCGGGCGAAATAAAGACCTTTTCATCTTTGATGATTTCAATCACAATTTGTGAGATTGCATCCGCCAGCCGTGCATCCGGGTGTTGTGAGGTCTGTGGTTGTTGGCCCTTGCTCGATGCAGCGCTTTGCTTCTCCAAGTCCAGTAGGGACGAGATCGCGTTGCCCTCGCCTTTCTGAATTCCCTCGTTTTGATCGCGTGTTTGTGAAATCAGAGACTCAGCAACCCGCTGACATCTTTGTAGCAATTCCACGACTACCTGGTTGGAGGCGACGGTGTCCGATTGATGCAGGACAGATGCATCCCGCGCAATTTCTTTGATGGCGACCTCGGGACTTGTCTTGGTAGCTGCAGCCGAAACATAGCGACGGGGAATCGTAACAGAAGACCCAACTGTCAATCTATCAGTTCGTTTTGTGGGCTGTGAGCGGAAATTCGAGGCTGGAGTTTGACTGGCGCGGGCAATGGGTAGGCGTGCGATAGGGAGCGCACGAGGTGTTGAAGTTGAGAATTGGCATAATTGACAGATAGGCCCTTGCGACCGGGCGCCCTTTTGGGCTGCTAGAGTAACTCGTTTCATGGCTGTGGTGACGAGTGACGTTGTGAGGTTCTTTTTTTCGATCGGACTAGGCGGAGACTTCGCCCCGACGCTGTCCACTTCCCCGTACGCCCTGACGTCTTCTTACATCTCTGCCTAACCACTCCATTTTCATAACTAGGGAACACACCTTCCCATCTTGGTCTTCTTCTGAATTATATGCAGCCTATTATTTGATACTCCTATTGTTCGACTTCTTACCATGCCACCACCTCCTCCACCCCCGCCGCCGCCGGGAGGTTTGGGCGGTCCTCCCCCGCCGCCCCCTCCAGGTGGCCTTCCAAAAGCTCCAGCAGGGGCAGCCAAAGGCCGGGTAGGTAGATTGGTGTCTGGACTTGATTGTCGTGGAAGCCCTGTCTTTCAAGGAACATCCCAGCTGACCTTTGAATAGAGCGCTCTTCTTTCCGATATTCACAAGGGCGCTAAGCTGAAGAAGGCTGTTACCAATGATCGATCAGCACCTATAATCGCCGGTTCAGGAGGCGTCTCAGCAACGCCTCCCATCGGAGGTGCGCCGCCCGTTCCTGGTGCGAGGCCGCCTCCGAGTGGGCTTGCGCCGCCTGTGCCCTCAGGCCCAGCTGCGAATCGATTAAGAAGCAACAGTGAAGGAGTCTCTGGAACAGATGCGACAGCTGGTGCAACGGCACCTCAACTAGGAGGCTTATTTGCCGGTGGAATGCCCAAGCTACGCAGTCGTGGAGGGGTGGATACTGGTGCCTCTCGAGAGTCGCCCTACATGTCTGATTCCGAAGCTGCGCGTCGACCACCTGCTCCAGCACCCAAGCCTCCATCGGCTCCCAGGCCTCCCGCAGCCAAGCCGCCTCCCCTTCCTCCCACAACTGACTCGCCGCCCATACCACCCGTCAACTCATTGGTAGCTGGCCTGAAAAAGCCTCCTCCACGACCTGCCCCACGACCTTCAGCCACGGTCCCGGCGCCAGCTGCAAAGGCGCCAGAGGCACCACCTCCACGTGCACCCCCTCCACCTCCCGCACCGGGCAAGCTTCCGCCTCCACCTGCATCGAGGAAGCCGTCCGGAGCTCCGCCACCTCCCCCACCAGCCCCCGCGGCTCGGGCACCTCCTCCCCCGCCGGCTGCTTCCAGATCTACACCGCCCCCTCCTCCATCAGTAGCACCGCCATCAATTGCGGCCCAGGCTGCTCGTTCCGCTCTGGGACAGCACACACTCTCACCTTCGGCCCCTCCACCGCCACCCCCAACAGCTGCCCCCGGTGCTCCACCACCACCGCCTCCAACTTCAGCTCCTGCAGCTCCTCCGAGTGAACCACCATCCCGACCATCCCCTGTCCCCTCGCGCCCTGTATCCCATGAGCCATTTACAGCGCTGGACCCCAGCGCGTACACCCTTTCTAACGGTGGATCACCTTCACCGAGTTCACGAAGCCCTTCAGGACATGGTCCAGTCCGAATAGAAGATCCGCGATTCAAGTTCCAAGGCGATGGGCTGCTCCCTAAACCACGGCAGTTTGTCGGCGGAGACCGCAGATACCGTGCTGGTCGGGGTAGCAGTGTTCCATTGGATCTGAGTGCGTTGCGAGGATAGCGGAGTGCATGGGTAATTGCGGGCGATCTCGTGCACACGTAGTGAATTGTTATACATGGACTCTTTCATACCGGGGATATTCCTGTAGCATAATAAACAGTAGTGTAACCTGCGCTACAAATTGTGTCTATCTAGCCTATAAAATACCGTAACTTGCCTTCATCAGCACAAGGCGAGGATGCGGGTGTATCTTCAACCCATGGAAGCTAAGCTCCCGCACGTGATCTAATCGGGGTTGCCAATCGACCATCGGGGAAAACAACCATGAAGTCCAAGCCATTCATAGTCACCAATTCCTCTGCTCTCTGTCGGAATCAACTACTCGAACGTTTCCAGTCATCCTTTTTCAACATCGAGAAATTATTGCGATACCCACTCGAGACTTCTCCACAGCGCAGACCTGCTCCGCGGCATTGCTATCGTCCACGTCGAACCCATCCTGGACTTCAAAGAGCTTCTACAAATCGAATGACCCGTCGGTGAGCTCGAGATTCTCTAGCCACCTGTCATAGCTGCGCTACAGAAACCTGCAATCAATCCGACTTTTTACCTCGGCGCGGGCGTTTGTGCAAAGTGACGGACGCAAAAGTGAACGAGGACCTACGAGTCTCTTCTCCGCCCACGCAATTCAAGGCGTACACCAAGCCAAAAGAGAGAAGACCTCATTGATTACGACTCAGCGGTGCATATACAATTCACCGTAATTCGAAGATACCCTTGCACATTTCAACGCCGCTCTCTTACCCGCCATGTCTCTCCACGAATACATCAACAGTGAGTCTCCAGTAGCTGATGCGCTTATATATACCAGCTTCCACACAGGCCGGGTGCTAACGAAGTCTTCCCGGATAGAGAAGGTTCTGATCCTTACAGTTGACGGCCGCACCCTCATTGGCGATCTTCTATCCACCGACCAAATGACTAACCTCGTTCTCTCCGACACCGTTGAGCGCATCATCCGCACACCAGATGACGACGAGCCCTCAACCGAGATTCAGCATGGACTGTACCTGATCCGTGGTGACAACGTGGTCATCTGCGGCGAAATAGATCAGAAGATGGATGCAGACATCGACTGGAGCAAGGTGAAGGGCGAGGTAATCGGGGACACGAAGAATGCATGAGCGAGTCCTCTGGACTATTTCCAATTGTCAATTTACTCGGGCGTTTGGGGGGAGGAAAGCATTTGCATGCGACATAATAATGATCTAGCAAGACGATGAATCGGGGGTGGTTTGCCAGCGTTGCGTGGGCCCTTGACTATCGAATCTGCCGTTGTGGACTTGGCCTTGTGGACCCATCGAATGATGTTTGAATAGCGATCCGCGGTGATGTTGATAATTTCTCTCGCAGACCCCGGCGATATCCTACGGGCCATGGTTTGCTCTATCTGTGATGCACTCAAGGTCAACCATGTATGATGTATCGGATGGACTTCGCGTCTGTACGTGTGGGTCCATGAACTCGGGATTCTTGCCCTCGCACTCTACAATGACCCTGTGGGGCAAAGAGCACAGACGATGTTGGAGTATTTGCAGGGGCCTGTGTATTCGCCTCATCTTCCAAGCCTTTGAAGGATGAGATGAGGGGGGCCTTACGTTCTCCGTCATTGAGGAATGTGACCTTCACTTGAGCAGAGTCGGTTTAGGACATATCAATCACCGTATTACTACCAATTTACTACCAATGTCTACCCATTACCCATTTCCCCTCGTTACATTCTGGAGACAAAATGTGTCGTGTGCCGTTTGCGGGCCTCCCGTCTTGCCTCCCGTGCAAACGCCAAGACGGGTGAGTTCAAAGAAAGATAAATAAACAATCTAGGTATGGAGTAGTTAGGGTTGACGATGAAAAGGCCACCGATTGTGCGTGGCTTTTGGAGGGAGTCACTGGTCTTCTCACGGTTCTCACCTAGCACTTCGGGCATCACGACGATAGCCCGGTAAATTAGGATTAGTTAGCGTGTCTTCCATAAACACGTGTACACAGACTCCGTACGTGGGCCCATGGCTACAGGCTACATGCTCCGTACCGGCGTACTCATGTACTCCGTACGCCCAGCACGTAAATTGAGTCTATTGGCCAGTCGCCCATCTTAACCCTAAAGTCACACAAGTGACACAACAGAGACCTCGGCTCACCCTTCGTCCCTTCCCTACTGCTCCTCTCTTTATCTTACACACTTATTGCTTGGCGTTACCTAGCGAGGCACCCATGTCATACTCATGGGGCTCGCATGTCACGTGACCTTGATATACGGAGGAATACGACAGAATTATGTGGTCCACCAATCACATCCCGAGAATCTATATCATCTGTGTACTTAGGGGTCGCAGAAGAATAACGCTCAGCAAACCGAGTCCGGCGGGCGCTAAAGCCCCCTGGACTACGACTACTTACCGTATTTGAAAAGTTGTACTATGGCTCCTTAGTATTTAGCTATCGCCTCTCGCTACACACAGATTATCCTGTATTCATTGCTTTTGCACTCACGAGAGAACCAACTCCTTATGAAGATACTGCCTGAGTAGCCAATACTGCAATAGCTTGCTGTGACAGTATCTGCCTAAGCTACGGAGTAATAGTACGTCATAGTTATATGATTGTTTGTTGAAAGTTGAAAGTTGAAACGGTCTTCTATACCTAATCGGGACTAGCTCCCGTAAGTCGCCCCACTCTATAACTAGTATAAAGCTTGGCGCTGCGCTCACGCAGTTGTTCGGTGCTCTTTCCTTTCCCTTCTACATCCTCCCACCCGAGTTGAACTCGTTGGCTAAAGCTGCCCGTACGTTCAAGTTAACCTATTTTACCGTCGTTCCCATAATGCTAGAGGTACCTGCTCACAAGAATCATCATGGTACTCCCTTCGAGACCGAGTGTCTTCGATGCTCGATACCTCCGCCGCCTGGTAGGGACTAAGGTCACTACCTTTTATGACCTCGACCCCCTGAAACAGCCGCCTGCTGCCTCTTCCTCTGCATCTGATAACTCTCCATTCACGGCCCCCCCTCCTGGCGGCTCCCCCCCAGCGGCCTCGCCCCCTCCGGCCTCGCTCGCTACTGACCCCCTCGCCCCAGCCTCGCCCACTACGGGCTCGCTTACTACGGCCTCTCCCACTACGGCCCCTACCCTTTCTTTCTCTGACTCGCCCCCTCCAGAAACTGGCCGCTCGTGGATTATTACGGAAAAGCTCTCGGAGAGGGCTGATCATCTCTCACAGGACGAGGTTGACATGAGCGCTGGGTCTCCTCAGACAGTTGGCAAATTTCTGTGCCACTCAGAGGAGGACCCGACGCTGGTAGCATTCATGCGAATATATTATCAGATTCCTATCACTGGGACGGAGGATGCTGATCTGGCTACACTAGCCCAACAAATCCAACCTCCAGAGGTATGTGGTGAACTTGAGGCATATAAGGCATTGATGAGTCAATCCTGTAGCTCTGTTCCACGTTTCCTTGGTTACAGCGAAAGAAAGCAAGAGGAGCATGAACTCGTTCCTGGTGGCTATGTCAAATACCTCGTATGGGAAAAGGTGCCTGGGGATTCTCTTACAAAGGAATTTTTCTGGAGCTTGGATCCCCCTGTCCGAGCGGATATCCGTGCCAAATTTCGGGCTGCCTATGAGTCAGTTTAGGGAAACCCAAGATGGCGGACAGACAAAACGCTAACACGATTAACAGAGAGGTGCTGCGTTGCGGTGTACAACCACAGGAGTCTAGAACCTCGAAGATAATCTATGATCAGTCCACTGGCAATGTGTACGTTCAGGATCCTACATGGGAATATTCACTAATAAGTTCAGTCGCATTTCGGGGTTTCGAACATCATGGCCAATCCTTGATGAACTTCAATGGTCAGACACCCGTTATGTCGCGTACATGCTGGCTAAGCGACCCGACGAGAGGGACTGGAGTTCTCACCCGGAGAAATGGGAGTTATGAAACCACCACCTCTAGGTTGTAGATCAGAAGGCTTTCTTGCTGAAACCTCAAAGGCCTTGCTGCGTGGCGGATCTGCTCGAGTATCAAATATCAAGCGACGAGGAAGACCGTCTATGGGCTGCTTTTTGCTTTACCACGGCGTCCACGCGTGCGCAAAACTGCGAGTCTTGAGAGGGAGATTATCCTGCTAGTTATTCTGGAGGAGCACATCCTGTTACCTGTATTCTACCAGACCATTTTTTGTCATGCCATGTCATTCGGCCTGTAATCAGGGCCAATGTGGTGTCGGTCTTAGAATACATAGCTTGGACGTATGGATAAAGAATCATTCAATCCCGCGTCCCGGGACTTTAAGAGCTGCCACTTGCACGGACCTCCTTGGCAGAAGGCACCACAATTCCGGTTGGAAGAGACATGGCGCCAAGACTTGAACAATGGCGAACCTAATGATATGATACACGACTCAAAACATACTATGTAATGTGTAAATTTGAGTCTGTAGGGGCAATTGAGCATTAGGCCGAGATACTACATACTGATGAAACTACTGATTAGATATTTTTCGAGATACACGGCTCTACTCCGTATGAACACGATAGCAACATGGAGCCGCTAACCCTGAAACGGCCAACCCCTGAGTAATTCGTTGTTCGAGGATACGGAGTAGTATGATGAAAGTACAGAGCTAGTAGTTACATCGACAGATGTAATGTTATTTCAACTACCCAACCCTGTACTCCGTACGTCAGTTTAGATCTGGGCGAACCATCCTGGTATTCGATCGCATGCCTACATGCCCCTGGCCTTGGCGTGAGGAGGCTGGCTACGGCTGACAGTGAGTGTACTCCGTACATGGAAAAGAGAGATAGATATAGTTAGGTATTGGAAAATAACGTTAACTATTTGTTTTTGAACGGTACATACATATATTTACATGAGTTGTACAGAGTACGTACAAGTTGAAATTTAATCTGGAGCGGGATGGGCAGGAAGTACCAACGTTCCCCCTCAGACCTCCTGCCATTCTTAGCACTTTCCCTTCTTGTCCTTCTTCACTCTCCCCCTCCCAACTACTACTTCTTACCCTCTTTTTCCTCTCTAGATCGCTGGTCGATCTGCAATTCCTACCTACCGTCTCTTTCCCCTGTCAACTCGCCCCCTTTATCTGCGCAGCCCTTCATGTGTCCGATAGTATCACTACAACACAACGAGCGAATACCGGGACATTTCCCATAATTCTCCCGGGCTGACAGCCCTCGTGAACAATTGTTCACGCCTTTCTTCCATAAGCTCGATCCGATAAACCATCCGAAATCTTCACCCCCCACCCCCCGCGTCGGCCATGTGGCTCTATCGGGGCGCGCAGTCCGCAGTCTTCTACTATGCCACCTGCACCCCCTGCGCCGAAAATCTCGATCGACACAAACGCAGGAAAGATGCCGCCAGGGCGCAGCGCGAAAAGGAGAAAGAGCGCACCGACAACGAAGTCATCACCGACCAGCCCCGTCCATTTCCGCAACCAACCCCTTTCAGCACAAATGTAGGCTGGCGGGAGGAAATCTCCCTAGGCCCTGGACCCCCAGCCCGTCGAGGAGGCCGCAATATGCAAAGAACGGACAGCTGGAAAACGGACCAGGGCTCGCTGTTGAAGAAGGATAAGAGTGGCGGCTTGATGCATCCGCTCGGCGAGAAGTGGAAGTCCATGCGCTACCAGCGGGAAGATGAGCCGCTCTGGGGACAGCAGGAAGTGCGCGGCTCCTCTATTGGTTTCTCCGGACGTGGCCGTGCAGACCCCAACGAGACGTCCAAGTACTACATCCCCCGCGTGCCGCCTGTCAACGACCTCCACCCGCCCATTGTCAGTGGGCCGACTAGTCGTGCCGATACCAGGTGGATGCTCCAACCACCCCCGAGTGCCCGAGTCATGGCCGGTAAAGAAGACGTCGTTTCGCCGACTAACAATAGTCTCTGCGGATTTGGCAGGGAGTACTCATCCCGGGCCACTAAGAGTGTAGCTCGGGACAGAGAGGCCGACAAGGTCAACAGTGAGACTCGTGATGGTGCCAACGATGAAGCCCCGAACCAGGGACCTCGTCGGCCATCGCTGGCCATCCTCGGCCGCGATTCCGATGACCTAGACCCGGTGCACTCTCGAACCGACTCCATGTGCTCCTCCATCGACTCCCCGCGCCTCTCTTGGAAGTACCCCGAGACTCCGGGCTCGCGGCCACAATCAAAAGCTACAAATGATAGTGGCAAGTTCTACCGTCCACATGTCTCGAAGACCCTCTCCGCCGCGAATCAGGACAACAAGAAGATCCACATGCTGCACCTAGAGATCAACGACGATAACCGCGACGATATCGGACTAGGTCAATTGCAGCCCATCCGCCCGTGGCGTTGGAGCATGGACATCTAAGGGTTTTTGAAACTTGAACTCGCAAAATTCTTCAACACTCACCCTCGAAAACATCCTATCTCCTCCATTTCACCCCGCTTCCACAGATTTCACTATCCCGGCGTTTGAAGCATCAAGACCAGCGAGCATTTGCTTTTTGTCTTCTTTTTTTTGCCTTTTCTTCTCATTTGATTCTCTGCACTGTTTCCGCATTTGCCTCGATCCCTCAGAGCAACCCAAGAACCTAGCATGCTCTCGCTGTCGGGACCTCGGCCCCCAAACGGGCATTGTACCTGGCCGGCCCAGTATACGAAAGCGAAAAATGCCTGCGTCCAAAATGTCCTCACGTTGCTTCGCGCAAATGAAGCAGGACGGACGAGTTTCCTTCATGACAGCTTCTTTCCAGCTCATACCTATCATTCATATGGCCCCGTTTCCTTGTTGTATCTTGTTTTTCTAACCTTTTTGTCCACACTTCGTGTCGTGAGACTTTGTTCTTCGCATACTTTCCTTCCAACATTAGATATTGATTTCTTGTACCATAATCACTCTCCCTCCCTTTGGGTTACCAGTACATACCGTTCAAAGACCAATGGTTATCTTTCCCCCTTGAAGTCTGTTATCGTGCATGGTCGGGGATCTCGTCTTGGTTACGGCTTGAACCTATTGTAGGCAATACATGTAGATTTGGTCCAGGCTTGATACATGTGTTAGACATTGTTTAATTGTGCGGAGGTATCTACTACACAGTATACCTTAGCTGCTACGTAAGCACATCCTTACAAGATAGCTACCTATAAAGCAGGCATACATATTCAATACACATGGCATCAAGCAAGGAATTGATTCAACTTGTCGTGATAAATGCAGTTCGAAATGCGTATCAAAAACATCGTATGCAGAGAAACACGTCTTTTTCATCTCGACGGACAAAAACAACTAAACAGGAAAATCCTCGAAAGGCAAGTAGATTGGTAGATCTCGCTGGCGTTTCAGAAATGAAAATGAAAATCCAAATGCACATGCACATGCCCAATCCCGATCACGCATAGCCTCGGTAAATTGGTCGAGGGGCTTGTGTTGATGCCCGGAGCCTGCGGAGCAAGAGACAACGCGCGGTTTGTTGAAATCCAATCATTTTCTCGTCGTGTCGGTTTTGTTAGACGGATGCAAGTGCCAGGAGATTCATAGAGAAGGGAAATCGTGGGTCTGGTTTAATTCCTTTCTTCCCTAGTAGACCTTCTTCTTCTCGTCCATGCTCAATTGGCCGGGGCCCATGTTGACCAGAAGGACCAGACCGCCGCTGTAATAATTATTAGCGTTGAACGAAAGCCAAGGCTGTTTGGATGGGAAGCTTACACAATAGACAAGATCTGGAAGAAGTCGTACTTGGCGAAGTCCTTGTGGGGGTGGTGGGGATGCAGCTAGACGACACCGTTAGTAACCAAAGACAAGATCATTCCGAGGTCAAGACATACCGTCCAGAAGTTGTTCACAAACACATTGAACAGACTCAACAGCACCACAAGGATAATAGCGCTCCACTTGGCCTTGAAACCAACAATGACCATAACGCAGGCGACAAGACCAAACAAGCTAACCAAAATGCGCCAGAAAGTCCACTCGCCAGAGAAGACGAATCCAATGAACAGGAAGATCAACAACACACGACCAGCGAACTGGACGTACATCTTGCGATCCTTCTCATCAAGCTGAGGCAGACCGGCGGGAACGAATCTCTTGCGCACCCACGAGTCAGAAAGAACCATCAACAGCCCACCAACGACACTCAGATTGCGCAGGAAGAAGTTCAAGTCGAAGATGAGTCCGTATCCGAGACCCTGTGTGATAACGACGCCCAGCAGTCCTGCGACGGCGTACTCGGTGCGCTTGCGGGTAATGACGAAAGTCGAACAAACAATCATGGCAATAACATTGATAATCAGGAACAGGTGTGTAAATCCCCACGGAACTAGAGGCACGAACAAGCGCGTTAGAGACCGATGTAGACACAGTGTGGAACCCTTGGATCCCCCAAGGCGCGCGGATCAGGGTCCAAAAGCGAGGGGAGACATACTCTTTCGGAAATCGCGGAGGTAGAGGAGCTGGTCGCTCCATTGTGTGATGATTCGTAAGGAGTCTTCGAGGAAGGTGACTACGATCAGGAAGCGGCCAATGGCGGGAAGATAGCTGTAAAACGGGTGGTGTTAGCGTATGCTTCAAATCCCTTGTTTCGAGTGTTTCCGCGACTTGGTTCACAGCATGTAAACAATGTCAAGTCGGTCATAATATGGAGAATAGAAGTCCAAACGTACGGCTTCACTGGGTCGGCCAAGGTGTCTAGCCAGTCTTCAATCTTGCTTGTCTGCTCGCGGATGGCATCCAACGGACTGGGGTCGTTGGTGGCATTTGCGCTACCGGGCCCGCCAAATGGGTTCTGGTGGCCGAGGTTGTAACCCGCGGTGCCACGGATTTGGGCCATGGCGGGAGAAATGAACAAAAAAGAGGAGAGAAAGAGAAAGATTGAGGTAAAGTAAGTTGGGGAGAGAAAATGTCCAAAGGAAGTCCGAAGGAGTAAATACCAAGGGAGTTTGTATACAAAGCAACCTTCAGGCCACGATGACCGGAACTCACCGCTAAACCCGTTTAGGAATAGTGACGACACTGACTATATCTCCCATCGCTATGCGCGATGGATTTGTCTACATTCTTCATTGACATTGCCATTATTTTGGGATATTTTGATTGAACTCGAAATCAAGAATAGGCGAATATGGCTTCTTTTCAATACAGATTCGGCCAACTAGTGCCACAAGAAGAAAAAACAAAGAACATAAACACAGCATCGAATGCAGACCAGCAATTCTGCTTTTGTTTCAATGCAGTCCTTCGTGCACAACTTGCAAGGGGAGTCTGCCAGATTCGCTCCTAATGCGTTGTGGCAATCTCCCAGGGCCATAAATTGAGGGGAGGGAGAGTGCTTGAATGATGAGATACCCCCAGAACGCCAAAAAAAAAGACAAGATAGAAGAATCCAAGATAGGGTAATAGATACAGTTCAAGAGTAAGATGGAACATGAAGAGTCTTGAATGACCAAGAAGAGAGAGCTCAGGCAGCCCAGTCAGAGTCCAGAGGGTGACCCTTCTCGCGCGACCGCAAGATGTCTGGCAGATAGGTCGGGGTCACTGTCACGCGTGGCTCAACAGGAAGAGGAGCCGCAGGAGTGGACTGGTTCTCGGAGGCACTGGTCTCGCTGACACTCTCGTCAGTCTTGCCACCCTTCTTCTTGGGCTGCTTCTTCGAGACAGTGGTCCATTCATCATCTCCCTTGCTAGCTCCCAGGAGGCGCATCTGCTCCTCCTCCGAAGGAAGGTTCTGAGCCCACTTAGTAGGAGCAGGGGCCTCGAAGGTGTCCAGAAGATCCGAGGCGGCGGAAGTGGCAGGGGCGGCTGCGACGGCGGCAGCGGAGCGAGATCCACCATTGACCACGGGGGTCTTCGCCGCAGAGGTTTCCTTCCAGGCATTGGCGGCGGGCGGGGTGTGCCGAGCAGCCTCGCGACGCTCAGCCTCGCGGGCGGTGTGCAGCTGCTTCTCCAGGAGCCTCTTGCGCTCGATCTCAGCTTCCTGAACCTGTTGCTTGCGGGCCTCGTTCTTGAGACGCTGCTGACGCTGCTTCTTGGTCTCCACCTCCTTGAAGGTCTGGGCCTTCTGCTTCTTGGGCTGACTCTCAACGTTGCCAGTAACGCGAAGCACAGATGCAGCCGGGGCGGGGGCCTCCAGCATATCGGAGATGTATCCGGCGGAGGGGACGGTGGCGTTCACGGAGGGAGAGGCGGCGGGGGACAGATCATCGTCAGCCTCGGCACCAGTGGTGGAGGAGGCACGAGTGTCGCTGGCCGAGAGCTGAGCAGCCTTCTTCTTGTTCTTCTTCTGGCTCTTGGTAGGGGCAGGCTGAGCAGGGGCATTGGTCTTGAGGCCGGCCATGCGACGGGCCATCTCCTTGCGATCAATCTCCTCGTCGGGCTTTTCATCCTCGGTGGTGGCAGGCGAGACAACGGTCTTCACCTCAGACTTCTTGGCAGCAGTTGGCTCGGGGGCAGGCTTAGACTTGCGCTTCGATTTCTTAGGTGCTACTGTGGCTTCGGTCTTCTCCACCGCAGATCTAATCACGTTGGCCTTGGGTGTTGTGCCGTTGCCATTGGTGTAGTACCAGCCGAGGCTGCCGGCCACGACGAGCAGGATTGCCCAGCTGATGTAGGGGTTCATGTTCGCGGAGCTATGCACTCATCAGTCAGTACCGTCAACGATGTCAGGATGGTGGCAAGCCTGCAACTTACTATCCGAACGAGGCCTATGTTAGGCGGATGATGGGTATTGGATGAGGGTTGGATGAGGGGAACGACGGAATACAGTCGCCGGATGATGGGGCAGGACAACCGCGCACGCGCACTTTTGAAATGACACGCGCAATGGGACAGACGATTGCGCTCAGCTAGGACAGTCGTATGCCGATGCCACAGATATCAGGTAGAAAATCACCAGCTAAAGCGGAAGAGCTGATCGACACTATGTGACCCGGGACGGAGGAGCAATGGATTGTGTGACCGAAGCTATTTTGGAGGAGGGGAGGTCGAGAGGAGATCGATGTAACCGAAGGGCGCTTCGACAGCGCGGGCAATTGGAATTAGGAGAGAGCAGCAGGAGCAAAAGCGCAATGGCGCAAAAGAACGTGAAAGATAAACAAAGAAGAAAAAGAAGAAGAGTAGAAGATGGGAAAGGAGGGAGGAAAGCGAGGAGTAGAGGAAAGGGCAACCGTGGCAGATCCACCGGTACCGTAACGGTAATGACGGGTAATGATAAAGGTCGCCGGCTTAAGAGTCAAATGCATTGTGTATTGTCTTGAGTTCTGGGCATAGTGTGACTTCTCTTACTCCTTTACTCTTTGTTGATCTCACCACTTTTAACGAATCTACGATGATACATGTACTACTGGGTATAAAAGAAGTACAGGTTGCTGGCCGGTTGGAGATCCGAGCGACTATTCGTACTTCGACGTACCACCTGTCATCGTACATGTCCCGAGGTCGGCCTCAGGTCTACATAGCTTGTTGCAAGTGCTTTGACCAAGGAATAATAGTCCCAGGAGACGAGACACGGATGTAAACAAGAAGAACAGGCCACGTCTCCGCTGTCTCTCTCTCTTTCTCCGCTTTCTATGGAACTGATCTATATCTACTAGCGCCTCCTTGGTCGCAAAGGACCTCCTGAGCATTTTGTTATTGGATCAATCACTTTATCCGGAACCCGGGAAGCTTGGACATTGCCGATCCGGCAGGGGATCTCTCCTTCTACCCCCTTGCAGGCGCCCTCACGCCCGCCACGAGGCACGGAATGGCCAACCCGGTTGGTGGTGCAAGTCTTGCATTTGATGTGTGGTCGGAGTTGAATCTCGGCCAACCACCAGTCTAGGACCTGTAGTATGCAGCGACACTCGGGAACCGGGATTGGTTCTAGCAGCTCCTTGAATTGCTCTCTCAATATGCACGACATATGTCGGAATTGTGGAATCTACCAGTCTAATAATACATGTGGGATCGTGTCCTCTTCCCTGTTATCTTCTTCATCTTCAAGATTGTCTTCCTTTTGCTATTTCCCAAAAGACTATTGATGTCGTAGAGATTAACACTGACCTCCGTCAGATTTCATGTCCGATCACGTGTGTCGCGACAGCAACTGCTCTATCATGCAGTTTGCATACCTAAAGTTGGAGAGGCAAGAGGTTGTTCCCCACGAGCTTTCGCCCTCAATCCCCAGGTTCGTCGTCAAGTTTGCGGAGACAGGACCCAAAATGATGAAGTAAACTCAGTCAATATGCACCTAGAGATGGCAGGTATGACCATCTACACCGTGCGGGCCGTCGTCTCCCCGAGCGGCGCACGCGTTGGCGGAGATCCGGGACCTGTGGCGGACATGACAGCCAAGAGTATCGGCACTGACGCCGAAGGCCTACGCTTTTATCTCAGCGTGCAAGCTAAGCGACATTGCCAGGCGGTCAAGCTAGCTACAGCTTTGAATGTCGCAGATACTATCAATGTTGCCGTGCAGGTCTTTAGAGCGAGGGCTTCGAAGGACACGTGCAGATGTGCTTACGGCTTGGTGGTCCGACTCGTTTCCTGCAACATTAACTATTTGTCTTGGATCAATGGCTCGGAACATATGTTCCGGCGCACGAAGGGCGGGGAGCCGTAAGGATGACATTATAGAAGTCCAATTATGTAGAATGTTGTTAGTGAATTTTCTGAGAATTTGTCCCTGGCAGGACCATTTGTGTGCTCCAACCGGCCTAAGACCACCGAGAGTTGTCTACTGTGCAGTGGTACGGTGGGGCGCCATGAGGCTCGGGTGGATGGCCTCCGGGGGCGGGTTGGCGTTACTCACGCACCCCCGGGGACCGGGGGCCGTCGGTCACCGGGACGGCCGGACCTCCAGCCTCAGCCTGGACTAGTCTGCACTGCCGACTACAGGGGTTTCTATTTCCTATGGTAATTTTATGCTGCGTAGGCATACACAGTGAAGCGAAAGTCATTGCTAACTCACAGTCTGTTGCATGTAGACGTAGAACCGAGGCGCACAATATCACAGCTGTTCAGTAGGGCTTGTTTGATAGGTGCAGCACCAACATAGTATCTTTGTAGACTCGTATGCTCCATCGCTTAGACCCGGAAGCGACTAAATATGCCAACGTAGCTAACTAAAGAAAGAGCCCAATGCGATCTGCTCACGGGAATAACTGACGGAGAACCCCGCAGCCGATAACATTGATAAGCTCCCACTTCTGCCCTTCGTCAAGTTCCTCAAAACAATAACATTCATCATGGGAAAGAAGATAATAATCGACACAGATCCGGTATGTCTGCTCTTTATAATCCCCCTGGCTACGGAACTAACCCAAAAATAGGGCATTGACGACATCCTCGCCCTTTTGCTGGCCTTGTCCGCCAGCCCGGAGGAGGTCGAGGTTCTGCTCATCTCATTGACATTCGGTAACATTGAAGTGAAGAAGTAAAGGTCCCAGCTTATTATTCTGGTGAAGTTCTCCTGTCTGACCTGATATCCAGCTGTCTCCGCAATGCCGTGTCAATGTTCCACATCATCGAGCGGGAGATGCAGTGGCGCCGCGAGAACGGCCGGCCCGAGGGCTTCGGCGCCCTGCGCGCTCATCGCCCCATCTTGGCTGTCGGTGCCGAAGACCCTCTGGAAGACCAGAAGCTCCTCGCCGATTACTTCCGTATGTTATCTATTACTTTGCGGCTGTCAAGGTACTCTTGCTGACGTTATTGCAGATGGAACGGACGGACTTGGTGGTATCCATGAATCGGTATGTGGAGTAATATACGGAAGAAGCATTCATGCGATCTATATACTAACCGGAATCAAAAATAGCACCCGCACCTCACCGCTACAAAGGCCTGGGATCACCTTTTCACCCCAACTGCAGATTCCGAGGGAATTGAGCCTGTTGCGGACTGCACAAGTCTCGACGACCACGAATTCATACCGTCAAAGCTTCCCGCCTACCAGGAGATCCTCCGTGCTCTCCGTGACAATGAGCCAGACTCCGTGACTTTGGTTGCAGTGGGCCCGCTCACTAATTTGGCCTTAGCTGCGGCAGAAGATCCCGAGACATTCCTCCGCGTGAAAGAGGTGGTCGTCATGGGCGGTGCTATCAACACGCCAGGAAATGTGAGCCAAAGCTCTACGCGTGTTGAGCAGGATCCCGCTGACTTTGCTTATAGGTAACACCGATGGGCGAATTCAACGCCTATGCCGACGCAGTGGCAGCCGCACGCGTCTTTGCACTCACCTCGCCGAACCCGCACACTACAGTCCCGCCTACAAAGGGCGACCGCCTCCCACCGTACCCCAAAAACCTGAGCCGGCAACTGACTTTGCGCCTTTTCCCACTGGACATCACTCTCCGCCATAATATCTCGCGCGGCCAGTTCCGGAAGGCAATCACACCTCTTCTAGAGGGCGGTTCTCCGCTCGCCGAGTGGGTCGATGCCTTCATGGGGCACACATTCAGGACCCTGGAGCGTCTGCACCCTGGTCATGTTGGAGACGACGCAGAGCTTAGTTTGCACGATCCCGTCTGTGTTTGGTACGCCATCACCTCCGATGACCCAAAGTGGGTTTACTCGGCGAAATCACCCGAGGATATTCGCATCGACACCCTGGGCCAGTGGACTCGCGGTATGTGTGTCGTTGACCGTCGGAACCGTCACCGCATCGAAGGAGATGATGAGAGCGCCAGTGACCATGGTCTATGGCTGAGTGGCCGTGCCGGTAATCGCATCTGGCGGATGGATGGATCCCCGGCAGAGGAGACCTTCGGTGCAGTCATTATCGATAGGCTCTTCAAGTAGATATTTTGAGGAAAGTATAGATGGCAAGTATAGATGCACATAGCTGTTGATCTCTAGAGAGGTTATAGACTATGCATTTCCTGTTCTTTCTGTTCGGGAGACCAGACAATATCCACTGCCATTTCAACATTATCTGCTGGCATAGATCTTAACTATATTTGGTGCTCAAATGCCATTGCTGTATGAGGTTCCTGCCAACAGACTTAAACAGAATGAGACAGCAATGCCACAAAAGAGGTTTCGGGCATGCCATTCGCGCGCCTCGGTCCGTACCCCTGTCATATTCAGCCAAGCGCGATCCGCTATATCGCCGAACGGAGCGAAATGACGATTAGCTTTGTTTCTAAACTGCTCCCTTCTAGAGTGATTGGGTACTGCGCAGAGATCCTCGTCCACTGGAATGTACGAACTACGCGAGGTGCTCACTTAGGCCACCCGAGACGTTCAGCAGAACTTGTCATAGTTTAATGTGAAACCCTCAAGAAAGAACCAAAAAGGTTGACTTAGTTGCCCGTATGAACTTGTTCTCTACTCAATCATCTCCCTGAATCCATCACTCAATCTACAATGACCCGACACCTGAGCTTATTAAAGGGAGGTGCGCGTTTCATCCAAAGCCCTCCCCAAGAATGTGGAATGTCATATCCCAAGGATCAGCCCTGGCATTTACCAGTATAGTGCTATCAAACTCGCGGACATGCAACACTGTGCAATCCAGGAGGCTTTCCCTAGACAGCTCGAGGACGGAAAGCTACCAGCCCCAGATCATCGAAGCTATCAAGCAATGTCTATATAAGACGGGTCGGCCCAGGGATGAAACCATCAGAGCTAGTGGTCCTACCTTGAACCCAAGTATCAGCAATCAAAGCCGACCTTCCTAAGCTTATCAGTATCTCTTGTATTCTTCTTCACAAAGTCTCCACCCTCCATCGCCATGCATCTTACATCCCTCCTCGCGATTGGCATCGCTGCCCTAGGCAGCACCGCCGCAGCAATGCCCCGTCTTTCTGGACCATATCACGGCCACCGCATCCCCGTGCATGTCCCTACCAATGCTACTACTGCGCACAATGCTACCACGACGGGCACACGTGGGCGAGCTCCTCTATCGACGGGATTGGCTAAGAATAGCACCCGGAACCATGGTATGAACCATGTGAATGTCAACCACTGCCATGAGTTGTGTTCTTTACAGTCTCAAACTTGCTCGCTTGCGGTGCCGGATGATGACGCGTTCTGGTGAGTTTTGCGTTTTTTGCCTTCGATATGCGATTGTGTTAATCTGGTCTTTAGTTGGAGTATTTACCTGAGATGCACGGAGAAATGCCACCCTGAGAACTTTTAGGCGGCATGCAATTTGATGCAAGCAAAGCTTGGAAAGGATGTAACGGGAAAAGAGAGAATCGATGGTTATGTATGGATGTATGGAACATGTGATACGATTGAAGAATTTTGTATTTGTTAGCAATGAAATGAGTGGAGTTCGGGTTTGGACAGTGGAAAAAGAGAGTATTCTAGCCAATGGCTCTGCGTAGGTGAATATCAGCCATGAAAACAACCGCAGTATAGAGTTAATCTCGCGTATCTCCAGTGGACGTAGAGTCGGAGAAGACTGTCCTTCAGATGATGCACGTGCTGGGCTGCCCTCTCGAGATGATCTCCTGTGCCCCGGCCCAGGACCCCAAGTGAGGCAAAAAGTATGGAGTACATTAGGTCTAGCCTATTCGTTCACTATGACACAAGTACTCAGTACCTCTCAATAAGCTCGCCGGGCCCCACCGCTAGTCCAGCAAATGCCCGTCGTCCCCTGAGGCACGAGTCCCCGCCCAACCAATCAGAGCCGGCCATTGCGGCTCGTGGGCGTCCTCAAGCACGCGACACTTTCTATACTACACCCAGTGTACGTTCGCGGTTATATAGTCTGGACCCCTTGCTGTGCAACTTGACATCTAACGACACCATTACACCCGAATTCCCCTCTCTTTTCACCATGTCACAACTCCCAACCCCAGCCATGTCGGGCAAATTTACCATCAACGATAAGTTCGATGGAGTAGATTCATTGACTTTACCTCCCGCTGCACTAAGTCCCGATAGTGCAAGCCGAAGTTCCTCTACATCAGATCCATCTCATATCCCGGCATCTCCAACTTCCCCAGAGCTCTCTGGCCGCCAGGCGAGTTACACCGCACGGTCGGGTGCATCACTCAAACGTCCTCTCGATGACTTGAACTTGCCTCCACCTCCAACACGGGCTCGCAAGATTATTCAGATGAAGCCAAAGCCTCCAACATCGAAATCCCTCAGAGCAAGGAACACCAAGAGCTCACCCCAGAGTTCGGAGGAGCCTACACCCAGCCCCACATCTACTTCAAAGAGAAAGCAGCCCAGTGCGACCAGTGCTGCTGGACGCAAGAATGCCCGCAAGACTGCACACAGTCTAATCGAGCGCCGTAGGCGGTCCAAGATGAACGAGGAATTTTCAACATTAAAGGATATGATACCCGCATGTACTGGACAGGAAATGCACAAGCTGGCTATTCTCCAGGTACGTTCTCCACTTACATTTCCTACGGTTCCACATGTACTAATACCCTCGACAGGCAAGCATTGACTACGTCAATTACCTCGAGAAATGCATCCGCGATATGAAGACAGCAGGCCCAAGTCAGATACCCGCCGCACCACCGTCACCGACATCCCCCGAATTCATCGCGGAAACGGGCACCGAGCCCATGCAGCGGGATCCCTCTTCTACTTACTCTTACTCCTCCTCTGCATCACCGGAGCTGTACGCTCCACCCGCTCAGTTCTCTGATACATCGCCGTCATTCTCCCCGCGCACTCAAGTTCCCTCGGCTCAGACAATACCCGGTTTGCCGTCTATTCTCCCTAGTCCAGCGCTAGGGCCCATGTGGGCCTCTCACGAGAAGATGCATGAGCTTCAGGGCGTAGATCATGAGGCCTCGACTGCTTTGCTTATGTTGACGCAGGATAGGAGAGGGACTGCTGATTCGATCAGTGAATACTTTCCTGGGGGCACTGATTTGACGAGTATGCGGGTTACCCCGGGTGAGCGTCCTGAGACACAAAGAAGGAAGGGCATGAGTGTTCGTGATCTTCTTATCTCGTGATTGTATAGTGATTGTTTTCTTTGTATATCTCTAGCCAACATCTTGTTCATGATCGCTCGATGATCGCAGCCACCATGTTGGTATCTGTATTTGATTCGACTGGTCTAGTCCGAGAAGAGCATGCCTTTAAAATCAATGGCTACAACTGATATTCTCACGGAATCTTGCGTGGGACCTTCTCCGGGCACAGAGTCCCCAACATACAGATTGGGGCATTTAGAAGGCTAACATTGGAATTTGAGTTGTCTAGATAGGGTGTAATTAGGTTACCTAACCAATCACATCCTCTTATAGCTCAGCTGGAAGAGCGCAAGACTGTAATTGCTTAGTTCTTCAGAACTTGTCATCTTGAGGTCCCTGGTTCGATCCCGGGTGAGAGGAATTTTTTTATATTTATTTTGTTCACAACGAACCCAGAAACCACGACCTTGACTTTTCATTAGCTAGCCAAATATTTATTTGTCGTCATGTTTTACCCCTTAAAACGCGAATGTCTTCTTTATTGCCAGAAGAAACAGGCGTTCGGCGACATTTTATGACCCGATGGGATCGGCAGTTGGTAACAACCGAGCTCCGAACGACCGCCACCGAGCGTCCTTGTCCTCGTTCTGCCTTGCAAATATTCAAGCAAAAGCCACGAGGATCAGATAGGAGAATATCCCCATCACTCTGTATCAATAATATTTCTCAATCTTCCAGAACAACCGTGGCTGTGTTGGGGCCCCATGGACAGCCCACGCCGGTACAACGTAGAGCGATCATGCCTACGCTGCCACGCGCACAAAATCAAGTGTGACAAAGCCTCACCATGCGGCAGATGTACACGAAACAATGCAGTCTGCCAGTACCCCGGCCCAAGCCGAGTCAAACGCCAACCACCGAAGAAGAGTATGACGGACGTGGCAGCGCGCTTAGAGCAACTTGAACGATCGATCGCGGCGATGGTCAATGAACGGCCGACCGGTCCATCCCAGGGCCCAAGACGATCTTCATCATCATTAAACCACCCAGCTGCAGCGGACTGCCCGGCGCATCGAGGGTTCCTAGGCAAAGACGGCCGATACATCAACGAGCCTCTTCTTTCGCGGGTTTTGGAAAAAGAACAGGATCTGCAATCTGCGATTGGATCGCCCAGTGATGCGAGTAGTCCGCGCCGACCGCCGGTCTTGAGGGCAGAGGGTTTCATTGTAAATCCACTCTTGACTCAGGTCGATATCTTGGAGCTGTGTCCGAGCCGCTGGCAGGCTACGGTACTATGGCAAGCATTTCTCAGTCGGGTAGACGCGTTGATCAAGGTCATCCATGTGCCGTCGACACAGTCGAAGATCTTTGCTGCGATTAATCGACCCGAGGAGGCGTGTGCGGATGTACGTGCTCTGTTGTTTGCTATCTGCTTTGCTGCTACTACGACCTTGGTTGCGGGTGATATTCGGAACGAGAACCTGCATGCGGATTTAAGGCGGTATCAGCAGGGAATGGAGATATCTCTGTATCAGTCTGAGTTTCTGGATGCTCCGACGCTTACTTCGCTGCAAGCGGTGGTGATTTACCAAGTATGAATATGTCCTATCCTTGAGCATACTTGGTCTCCTGTGGGGAAGCCTTGCTAACCAAAGTACGTATATTTCTTCCAGCGATGCTTGAGATACAGCAACAGCGGTCGATCTGGCTGGACGTTACAGGGGGTAACCATCCGAGCAGCGCAATCAATCGGCCTCCACCGCGATGGGAAACATTTTAAACTCCCAGAAATAGAATGCGAGATGCGCCGACGGATCTGGTGGCACATTCAATCCATCGACTGCCGAGTAGCAGAAGACCATGGACTCAGCGTTCCGGAAAACGACTTCAGCGACACAGAGATGCCACTAAACATCGACGACCAGAACCTATCAGAAACGAACGTCACAATCGTCCCCGCTGTATCGCAGAACAGATGGACGGAAATGACCTTCTCTCTGATAATAATGGAAATCGGCAGACGAGGCTCGGCCCTACACAAGAGCCTAGCCGGAGCCACAGATCCAGAGCAGCTAATCGCCGAATTCAAAGGAACAATAGAAGAGAAGTACCTACGACACAGCGACACAAACATCCCAATCCAGCGATTAGGCCTCCTCCTAGGCCGGGTCCTCCTCGCAAAATTCGAAGTGTGCATTCGACAGAGATTATTACAAAAGCAAGGGCCGTCGACCTCCTCTCTAGACCACAATCCTGCCCAAGAGATACTCGCACTCGCCTGCCACGCCATGGAATTAGCGCTGGAGGCGATCAATGACGAGCTCCTGCACGGCTACCGCTGGTTAACGGCCGCTTTCACCCAGTATCACCTCCTAACCTTCATCCTGTGGAACTTGTGTGTATACCCCACCGGCCCGCACGTTGAGCGGGCCTGGCGCTGCCTCGATATGCAGTTTGCTTTGACTGAAGATCCTTCCTGGCCGGACCCCGGGCCGAAGTGGCCGATGATCGTGCTGTTGCGGGATAAGGCAAGGAGTATTCGACAGGCGCATTGTTCTGAGAGTAGTGGAGTTGGGAATGATAATGGTTCTGAGTTTGTTGATGGGCTTGGGAATGGGGGGTTGCGGGCTGAGGCTGTCTTTGATATTGAGGGTTGGGAGCTGGACTTTTCTGATTGGAATAGTTTGGCTCAGACCTTTCCGCTTATGGGTTGATAGTGGGTTGTCTGATGAGGTTCAACGTATTATACGTAGTCCGCGGACTACGTGGTGTGGATATTGAGGTGGGTTTTCCTTGCATATACTCGCTTTGTATGTACATAAGGCTGCTTGTTCCTTTCGGGACTGGGACTGGATATCTGCTGTTTGAAGCACTTGATTACTGAGGTGCACCCATCACCTCAGCAGTCCACACATGTCATCACTATCAGCGCATCTATTCTTCACTGACCCAGTTTTCCCTTCACATAATCTACCACCGCCCGAACGAGAGGCCAGCGTGTATCGTTATGCTCTCTCCAGGCAAGCCGCTGCAGCGGGATGGTCGGGCCGACATATACCAGATTCGGGTGTTCAATTGCCAAAGGCCAGATATCCTCGAGACGTGCTGTTTGAGATGAGAGCAGGGAGTAGAGGTCGCCCCAGATAAGGCTTCCGAGGATGCGCATCTGGCCACTGTAGCCTGGCGACTCGTCGGGTCGTTCAATCCCTTCTACCGGGTCGAAGGAGCCGTCGACGGCGAGGAGAAACCCAGTGAAGTCGCCGGGGTTGAGTAAGGATGTTGCGGGACCGTATGAGTCGGTGGTGTACGAGGCAAAGGAGGCGGCGTCAACGACGAGGAAAACCCCGTCCTCGATGTCTGACCAGTCGCCACTCTCGCTGGCATTCGTCAAGCTGTTGAAGTGTCTTATTTCGGCTGGTTAGCTTCTATTTGCAGCACAATGAACGGTGAGTACACCTACTGCTTGGCTGCCACGATATCGCCCTCGGCAATATTCAGCTCTTTCCCATCCAACCAATGGAGTTTCAGATGTTCCTTGATAGCACCGCTTCCTGTTTGGCCTTTACCCCAGTCGGAGACGTGTGCTTCCAGCTTACGAACGAAGTTATCCCATTCGGAGTCCGTCTGTCCGTATGTCAATCGATACACGACAAACCCGTATTTCACCTCTGCCTTCTCTTCAGCCCTTTCCTGTCTTTCCTCAATTCCCGTCTCCGTCCCCTCCTCCACACCCGATTCAATCCTTGACGCAAAGCTAGAAATCCAAGGTTCACATGGAACAGGCTCAATCGGCGCACCGCGCATCTCTCTCCTCAATTGATCCTGAGCGTGAACCTGGGACATCGAAGTTTGGTAATAAGACTCTCCCTCGGAATCCGCAGACGTATTCCCCTCAAGCACATTCCGATAAAGAAATTCCCGGGTAACCAATTTAAGCCGTCGATGATATGCCTTGGCGCGCGTATCAAGATCCGCCGCATGCAGATCCGACCCTGTTCGCCGAAGAGTGTATCCCTTGTAATCATTCATGGGGATGCAGATAGTAAAGTCCGCGCAAGCGGCAGTCTCTGCAAGAACCTGAAGCGAGTTCGTGATCTGCCATTGCAAAGCGTCTGGCCTATTTCCACCATCTGTCGGTCGGTGTTGGCGCAATGTCTGCATCAATGGAGCTCTCAGGGCGTTGACATGGACGATAACCCATCTGTGGGCGCGCTCGGTCATCATCTCGAAGTGCGCAGTCATGTATATGGTCCAGAGACCTGCGATACTTACGAGCGGTTCATTCTTCGCCGCTCGGCTTTCGTTCAGGACAGTATCGAGCAATGCCCAGATATCGTAGATGTGGTTGAACGTGTCCCGGAGATGTAAGCGGACTTCTCGCGCGTTCAGATACTGAAACACGCCAAGCACGGAAGAGAGATGTTGACACGCGGCGTCGAAATTATTCCGCTGGTCGAGCCCCTTTTCTTGCCATAGCTGCTCGCTCAGTGGGATTATCCCTGAGAATAGACGGGACTTGAGGAACTGGAGGTTTTTCCCGATCTGGCAGAGACGCGTGAAGTCTTCGTCGGAGCCAATGCGGCCCATGACGCGGTTAATTATGGATTCCCCATAGGTGCCAGGGGGGAAGTTCTGCTGTTGGTCGAAGAGAGAAATTTCCTCCGCTTTGAGATATTCAACGGTGGGTTGCTTGCCATTTGGAAGTGCGCTTCCGAATGCAAATTGAACGAAGTTCACGATTATTTGAGGCTCAAGAAGGCGATCGACTGAATCGGCGGTTGATTAGCATCCACTTTTTTCTTTTCTGAAGATGTGGCCCTTGTGGGGAATTGGGGACTGCGAACCGACTGGTAGTGTCTGTGCCTGGCAGTGAGGGTTGGTGAGTACATTGCCAGCAGCCTCAAGATGTGAGTACATCGCGAAATAATGAGAAAAATTGAGATGAACTTGGGGGAATTGGGAATCATAAGCCTGGGAGCCAAGAGCTTAGCGCGAGCTCAATGGAGTTTGGCTCCAGTTGGCTGCCTAGGCTGCCTGGAGAACTAGGCTTCGTCTCGAAATCTAGGCTGTAGCCTGTGAGTTATCGTGATTAGATCAATTAGGTATTATCATTATCTGCCTGGAGCAAAATAAGAAACGCCAACAGGATGCACAATGCAATGTTTCATACAGCCGCAGACGACTGAGACGAGCTCGACGCAGCCCTAAGCTTCTCCTCCAAAATCAACCGCTGACAGAAAGGACTTCTCTCCCTTATCCAAGGCCCCCAGCGCAACAAAGCAAAAGGAATAGGAACACAAGCCAGACCAATAAACGCCAGGAGCGAAGTAGCCCACGAAACGCCCAGAGAAGTATATAGCGGATCGGCAGCGAGCGGAAAGACCGCACCAGCAATGCTCCGAATAATAACCGAGGCTGCCATGGCGCTAGCAGAGTAGATCTTGTATGCGTCCGTCACATATGTGAGAAGTGAAATGAAGATGATCTGAAACCCGAACCCAAAGAAGACACCGGATATCGCCGGTACCGCCCAATGGATGTTGGACTTTGCTGACCAGGCAAGCCAGAACATGCTCACTGTGAGACACGGTCCGGCGAGACAGGATAGTGGTAGTCGGTGGAGTTCGGGGTTGGAGGTCCAGTCTTTACCGAGCTTTTTGGCTTTTTCATACATCATGTCGTAGTAGAGGGTGACGATGCCGGAGGATGCGGCGCCGATGCCAACTTGAGCGGATTAGCTTCTGTTTGCAAAGAGCAGGGATAAACGTACTTGGAATGAGGGTGAGTGATGTTTGCTCAACGCTGAAGCCGTAGACACCTAGAGGTATGGTTAGTACTGTGACCATTGAACGCCGTAACAGCAAGACTTTACCTCCAAAGATGATGGGATAAGCCTGGAAATAGAAGAACACCAGACTATACGCAAAGGCGATATAAACTGCCGTTGAAGAAATGATGGGCTCAAAGATGAGCATGGTGATAGGGCGAGTGAGAATCTCCATGGTGGTGAATCTCGAGTCCAAGTTCAGCTCCTGGCGCGAGAAGTACCGATTGAGCCCCGTTTCTTTTCTTAATTTAGCAGCTCGTTCTTTCAACAGCACGGGAGCAAATGTCTCTGTTTGCCACAGCTATTAGTCAATGCAACTGGTCCATAGCCCACGGCAATAATCGTACCAGACATGAAAAGCAGAGCCAACCAGGTAGTACCCGTCAGGATCAGGTCAATTCGGAACGTCCAGCGCCAGCCATATTTAATCGAGCACCCGGATATAATGGGGCCTAGGATGGGCCCAAAGCTGCAAGCCTGCAAATCGAGTTAGTGTCTGCCATATAGCATGATAACTCAGATCCAACTTACTGACATGTACATCGCCATGGCCCGGCCGCGGTTCCGCAGATCAGAGAATAAGTCTGCATAGACACCACTAACCACAGTCTGGGGAGCGGCACCCGTAAGACCGCAGATTGCCCGAAAGACAAGCAGAGAGGCCCAGTTTGGCGCTAGGGCACAGCCAAGCGTGGCGAGAACGAACAGCGTGAATGAGGAGAGTAGGACGGGCTTCCGTCCAATTGTCTCGCTCAATGGACTAAAGAGTAGGGGTCCAACTACGTAGCCGACGAGGAAGACGGCTGTTGGTAGCACTTTTTGCTGGTCTCCGGTCTGGTGGAATTCCTGCATGATACTGGGGACTGCGTTGCTGGGCAGTGCGGTGGATATACCGCTATTAAGGACGACGAACAGCGCCACGATGGCGTTGTAGAACTTTTTGTTCTAGTGACTCCGTCAGTCTGAGATTCTATGGGCTTCAAGAAGATGTGCATACAAAGGACCAATTTGGTGGATTCTCCGGGGATCCTTCGGGAAACTCGACAAGGAGTTGATCCGGAGATAGTTCAACAAGTTGGTAATTTGCACCTGTTTTGACATTTGACTCGGCGACCTCGGCTCTTATTGAGTCGCTGGATCTTTTATCAAAATTCTCATCCTTGCCTGGAATCTGTTAGAACAGACCGAACATTCGAATTAAGCTTGATCTCACCGGAAGAAAGAATGGCGGCTATCTGAGCCGTTAAAGAAGGCTTCGTTTCTGTTGCCATAATGAATTGAACAAATGGAGACAACTTAGTCCAAAGGAAGCCAATTGGAAAGATATGTTGTGATGTTGATCCTAGACCCCTACTAGGCGAGGACCGAAGCACTATATAAGTCAACTAAAGCTTTTCCGACATCCATAGAAACCGGCGGATAAGAAGGGATCATTGAGTCACCAATGCACCATGGTCCATGGCTAGAACCTGCTGATCCTGCATACTGTCTCTGTTTATCACCCGTGAATAGATGACAGGCCAATGACGGGGTGGTATACTTCACCTCTGGACCGGCGCCGATACGGGACCGGGTTTTAGGGCAATCCACCCACGGCGCCGGCTAGGACCCGGGCCTGGATGTCTGCGTTGCATGCGCGATTTGGTTGCTCTGAGTGGAATTTGACTGGTAATTGCAATCATTGTGACTAAATTGTTGTCATGTGAATGTAGAAAACTTGTTGTGTTACGCGTTGCGGCCCGATTTGTTGCTCGTTGCATCAAGTATCAGGGGGCCTCGAGCCTAGATCGTGGTTTCCATGCAGCGTACTAACACAGCGATGCTTCGGTATTCTAGAATTCCATTGATATATACTGTGTATTGGGCAGATTAAATTGACTGTGGCACCGATGGCATCATGGGCAAAAAATCGAAGATATCGTTCTGGCCCTCTTCGAAGAGGCCGAATGAATCTGCAATGGAGTTCGACACCGTCCAGTTCGGCGCTTCCATCGTATCCGGCAGCCGAGATGCGAGCGATCTGGCCGCTGCAGAGGGATCACTAGGCGTTGAGTCCAGGTTTGAATCTCTGTCAGCCTGGATGGTCGGGCCAGTTCGGTAACGGAGATCGTCCAGGGGATCCACTCCTGATGGAGCCGGAGCCGGGCCGTTGACCATGGAGTTATCAGCTGCTACGAATGGTGGCCCTTCGCTTTGGTTAGACATGAAGGGTACGTCTGTGTTATGGTTGCTCTGTGGACGCTGGCTGGCAATTAGAGCGCGTGCGTAGTTCACGAAGATGGACACGGTTCGATGGATATCGGGATAAGGCGGTTGTTTTAAGAAATCGCAGATCTTCTCTGCTCTTTCTAGTAGAAGTGCTTGGTTGATTAGGTTTGGACGCCACCGTGCGATCCGGAGAGCAAAGGTGGCTAACACGTGTTAGTGGAAGTTATGCAAGTTTCTAGTGATCCACTTACTGACGAAAGCAATTGTGAGAGCTGGGTATGTTGGCGCCCACGGCAACTGACAGCGATAGGATGGCTCTTTGATCAAGAAGTCTAATTGATCCATAATGGTTGCCACAAGGGACTGCCACAGGTTCATGACGCTCCGATCGAGAATCTCAGAGCTTGAATCAGGTTGGGTTGGTTGTAATTTTTGGATTCTCGCCAGTGAAGCACAGAGAACAAAAATCCTGGCGTAATGAAGCATAAGCTTGAGACTGCTGCGCTGGAAGGCCCCGATATGGAAACCGTTGTCTTCGTTTTTAACATGTCAGAGACGACATTTCTCGCATACCTGAGACGGCAGGATTTGTCAACTTACTTCCATGGATCTCGTCCCATGTCGTCCACCAATTTTGTACTCTCTTCATGATAGCCGGCAGCTCGGTAGACATGATATCGTCAATAGTAGTAGCGTTGTCAATGATTACACGGAAATTTCCTGACACAGGTTAGCAATTTGGCAGACCACGAGAGTAAGCCAACCATACCTCGAAGTTGATGAAGCTCAATGATGCACACAGTGCGCATATCGCAAGGCAGCGAGAGAGGATAGTCAAGGAATTTGCGCAGCTTTACAACGTCGACCTCGGCAATGCGTGATTTGCGCCCTGTGCCAGATGCAACGTCCAGTTCTAATGTGAAACTGATCAACCAAGTTCGTGTCTGCCATACCAGCTCCCGTTCAGCCATGGAAGCCGAGAGCGAGCTTCGGGGCACATTTTCCTGGGATAACAGAGTATCCAAGGATTTCTCCAAACCGGAGTCCAAAGCCGTGCGAAGAATGAGAGCAATGGAGAACCAAGTCTTCTCGGAGTACGCAGCAAGAAGAATCATTCCTTGTACAGTCTCCAGTTTGGTGGGCCGCTCGAAGAAACTGTCTTCCGCCAGGCGTTGTGCCTCGTCTTGTAACACCCGCTGCATATGCGTGTCCCCGCGCAAATCCGTCACTGCGCGGCTAGCTAGATAAATAATTACTGTGAAGCAGAACAGTGACCTTGAACGGATAGAGTCGAATGTATCTCTTATTGGATCGAAAAGAGGGAGAAAGTTCTTCGACCCACCAGTAAACCTGTATCAAGATATAAGAATCCATTCTGATGCTGCATCGCATTCCATCCAGCAATTAGTTTGACCGACTTACCTCTCATACATCACACGCGCAAGCTCTTCACTGACGATTCCTCTAGCAATGACATCTCCTCTAGGATCGCCCTTGGCAGAGTTTTCCATGAATATCTGGGCGACGTTAATTCGAAAACATCCTGATAACTGGCAAAGGTTACTCACATCGTTCGTGCCTAGCAAGTTCACAGACATGGAGTGCACCGCCGATGCTGGCGCAATCATCTCATTGGGGCTCAGCTGCTGGGACTCGGGTCCATTCTGATCAGAAGTATAAGACCGCTGCAGCGTGCTCAAGCCGGTAGAATCTGGCAAAGAGTCAATTGAGGTATCGAAACCACCATCTTGGACGGTGGCAGGTGAGAACCCCTGCTCTCTGGACGCCGGAGTATGATATCCAGTAATTGAACCCAGTGGTGAGGCATTATTTCGGCTTCTATTGGAATGTTAGCCCAGTGTTCTATGTGTTCAGTTCTATGAAAATGTTACCTTGCTGGCGTTGTTGATTTCCGCCGGCGGTCACTTCGTCGTCGGTCATCAATGGGATCTAGAATACAATCTCGCCCAGTAGATCGACAGCGAAAGCAAGGAACTTGACTTCGCGCATCGCATCGCATCTTCTGTCTCCTGCACCATCGACATGCCTTGAAGAAGCGAATCGGGACATTCTCCGCTCGGTAGATGATCTCCGATCCTCTTCCGGTCATTATCGCGGGTGCGTCAGGGGATCTTAAAACAAGAATATCAATCAATCCCAGTCAAGCACCAGAAGCCGAAGCAAGAGCTATGCCGGCTATATCTGTAGTCTGTGGCTTAGCTTAGTCCTTGTCAACTGCCTACGGGCTACTGGGCATGTGTTCGTCCGGGCATCAGAAAGTCCGGTCACGTGTACCGGTCGGATCGGCCTGTTTAGGAAGGTAGATTCGCAACTTTGCCAAAAGCCAAGACTTTGTCCCTAATCTACTCGAGTAGGCAGCTTTCCTACTTTATGTATTGAAGAGCCCGACTTCCCCATTTCAACCATTCAATCTACATACTCCCGTCATTGTAAGAAGACTAATTGGGCCGACGATGGACCCTTACGCACATGTTTGAATCAGTATTCATTGGGGTCATGATTTTCCTTACCAACGATAAACTTCAACAGTTAAGAATCGGTTGTGTGGATGTTCAAAACCGGGGTCCAATGTATTCCTCAGCACACCAACTCCAAGTTGGATTTCCCAGGGACGATGCTCCCCAATGGGATTTTCCCCTTCACCGTAGATGAAATCCTCTACCTCCTTTTCAATCCACACACCGTATCCATATGTACTAGGGGTCACGTCCACGAGTGGGTGTTCTGCCATGCCGATGGTAATTTTGGGTCTTGATCCAGCATCCCGGTCTCCCCATAGCGTGCCCTCCGATACCATTTCCTTGATTTCTTCCAGCATGCTAAACCAGTCTTCATCGTCAAAACGGAAGTGCAGCATACTAAGTTCAATGGAGCGAACGGATTTTGGTAGCGTCTTGAGGAAAGAGACACAATCCTCCTGTGAGATAACAAAGCCGGAGAGTTCAAATGGCGCAGTTTCGACCATTGTTCCACGGGAACAATGTCCCGTAATGGGAGCAGAGGATATCCGCCGTTATCGTTGAGAAATTCATCAAATGGGGTATGCAGCCTGAACTCTTCCATGTCTTTTGCTTCACCAAGTGCCCGGCGCAGACGCCCACCAAGCAGGGATCGCCAGCATGCTTCGAGGTCTTCATCATAGAGACCACCGGCAAGCAAGGCAATATCCAGACGGCGGAAGCCCGGCTTCTTAAGCACGGTAGCGAAATGGTCGTACTCTTCGCAGGGCTCGTCGAAGATTCTGCAGTTGATCCCCGTGAGGATACCGTTAGAAGTCATCACCAGCTCAGAAACAGAGTTGGGTTCATTGGCGAGGACACGCATTGCTGTGCGGAACCCGCGGTACCGATCTCTAAGCTCTGGATATTGATTCCACGAATATGCTGCAGCGGGCCACCTCACGGTTCTAGCGTACAGCCAACCACGAGGAATGGGGTAATTGAAACCTTTCGGGAAAGCCCGAATCATAGGGGTCTGGTAAAGGGGGCTGATGAGGTGACCGTGGGCTGAAGGTGTGATGGTAACTCTCTTGAGGGCAGGAAACTGTTTAATGCCGAACGTGAACGCTTCCAAATCACTCTGACTGGCAAGAACATCCTCCTGTTGACGCAGCAACTGCTGATAATATTGCCAGCGCTCCCCCAGCCAAGGCTGAGCCAGAACCTGTTCTCTGCGAGCGATATGGTCAGGCCTGTCCACATTGTGATCTTCCCGCCATTGCATAACGAAAAGGTTTTCCTCACAAGCGTTTCTGAACCATTTAGGACACGCATGTTCCTCTTCATACCCATGGCGCTCTGTCATCTCCTTTGTGTATCGAGTAGGGTGTTTACCGTATATCCCAGCCCATTCGTAGGGATTATCGTCATTCTCCTCGTCCGAGAGCAATTCATGTGGATGTACCTCATCAAATTGAGTTCGTCGTGGTGGACCCCGACGCAAGCGCGCCTCATCCCAGATAATCTCGTTGACCTGATAACGGTACTTGTCGTGTGATGCAATGTTGCGGAAGACCTCTATGTTGAGAGGGTTGGCGGATAAAAAAACACGATTGAACCGAAGAAACACTATATTGCTGAGTTGCTTGCATGTCAGGCGCAAAGATTTGATGTCGGCATTGGATAGATGTGACTCAATGCAGCCCCAGAGCTCCAGGGGGAGCGCGGGGGCATAAGCCATGATTTCGGGCCAACCAAATGCCGGTGTACAGGTTGGGCACACTGAGGCGATCCTTCGGCAGCCCCTTTGCAGGTGTTGTTTTATTCAGTTCCCAAAGGGGCGTCTGGTTTTGCTTCTGTTGATAGGAAATCATGTAGTGGCATGGGGAAAATAGGAAGAAGAAACTGATCCATGAAACTATGGAGAGTAGGCTGTATTTAAGCCTGCATAAACAGAGAGGACAAACAATGGATGAGAGCCTCAGGCTGCAAACTCAAAGGCACAAAGACATCCAAAGACATTCTCTGTATGTCAACAGCTTCTATCTTTCCATCTCCGCCGCTTCATAGACTAGTCCTTGATAGTGCTTATGACATAGCCATGTGCTTACATATCAAACCATCTAAAACCCTATGAACACGTTCTACTGTCGTACTCCTGGGGACAGCCCAGATTCGACAGCCTTGATCTGAAGTGCTAAGAACTTCGAGTATACCCGACACAACGCGAGGTTTCCACCGAAGTACCAGAAGCCCGGGTGACCACTCGGGCGCCACATCTGAAGGGAACGATTAGTACGAATATCACAAGAGAATAACCGAAAGAAAGATAACTGGATGAGGTCTTACACCCTGAAGCTCTCCTTCTGCATCCAAGTCCCAGACATCAGAGCACCTATCTGCAACCTTGTCACCCAAGACTTTCCGGACCGTCGTGCGCATGCTATCGTATCCAGTAGCCAAGACAACGACATCTGCCGGCAGAGAGTCGCCGTTCGCCAAGAGCAGCTCACGATCAGTGAAGCCATTGATGCCGCCAGGGTTATGGATGACCTTTATTTTCCCGTCGATGATGAGCTTGCTGCATCCAACGTCGATATAGTAACCGCCGCCTCGGGTGAAGTATGCACGGGCAATACCGCCCCCATCGGGGCCGAAGTCAAGTTCGAACCCAGCCCGACGTAGCCCATCTAGAGTATCCTTCTCGGCTTCTGCGATTTTCTTCGTCATGTGTACGCTCAGGGCAAGTTGAACGGGCCATGGCAGACTCTCGCCAACGATATCACATTCTTCGGTCGGGGGACTAAAGGTCGGTATTAATATAGGGGCAATCAAGTAATGGAAAAGTATTTGTGAACATACCCTCCATCCTCGTGCAGTCCCTTGTGCATCATAAAGACGCCCTTCTCAGCCGTTATAACATAGGTTCCGCTGCGCTGCAGCATAGTGACATCTGCACCATTCTCGTAATAATTCTGAGCAATATCGTGGCCGCTATTACCAGTTCCAACGACAACAACCTTCTTCCCACGCATGTCATGTTCTGATGCATCGCGATGCTGACTGCCGTGGTATACTGTTCCCTGAAACGCCTCTTGGCCGGGGAATGAAGGGACACGCGCCTCCCCAGAGTGTCCAGTACACCAGACTAAATGACGAGGTCGTATGGTGCGCTGGGACCCATCGCCGCGGGCGAGAACAACCACCCACTGTCCTGCAGCTTCGTCATATTCCGCTGACAAAATCGAAGTTTGCATCCAAACATTCAACTCCATGAGGTTGGCATATGCTTCGAACCAGTCACCCAGCTTGTCTTTCGGTGTGAACTGCGGCCAATTTTGCGGGAACGGCAGATAAGCCATATGCGTGTACTCAGCTGGATCGTGCGTGACAAGTGTCTATACAGTAGAAGTCAGTGTTGAGCTCCATAGTATGGGGTAAACTGCCTCGGTATGACTTACGCGGTACCGATTTCGCCAGTTGTCACCAACACGTTCATTCTTGTCGACAATCAAGCACGAAACGCCGAGGCTCTGCAAACGCGCACCCATATTCAATCCAGCTTGACCTGTCCATCAAAGTCAGTATCACTAGCACGAGTATCCGTATAGACGCAGCTAGTGCCTTACCTGCCCCAATAACCAAAGTGACGGGCTCCTCATTTAGGAACTCCTTTTGTCTGTTCCTCCGCTCGATCCATGTACCCCCCGCCAGACCACCGGGCATTGACTCGGTTGTGCCCGCAGCCCGACGCTTTCCGAGTGGCTCCTGAGCCGAGCTTAATTCTTGCAACGAGGTGTACACAGAATAAGCCTTCCAAACGCCGTCCTCCGCCGGAGTAAGCCGCAACATTCCGGTTCCAGTGCCGACAGCAGTCTCAAAGAAAAACATCGAGGACACCCAGTTCAGCTCATCAACAACCTGCTCTAGGCGTGGCTGAAACTTGCCCGTATCCTGGAGCCGGAATTTGGACAGTCGTGCCTTGGTTTGCTGCTTGCCCAGGAAGTTCTGAATATCGGCGGCTGTGTGAAGGGTGCGCATGTCCCAGTCCAGCGCAAGCATGTCGCGCCACCATGACTCGTCGTGAAATAGCTCGTTGATATTTAACGATTCTGGGCGGGAGAGCTGGGTTTCAAGGCTTGAGAGCCATTGTTGGGCAATTGTTTGCGGGTCGGAGGGTGCGACAACAGGCGTTTTGGGTAGTTGGATGATGTGTGGGTTTCCACCCGTCAGTGTTGTTGCCATCTTCAGAAAACCTCGATAGATTTTCTCGCTGTGATAGTACTATAATTTAGTAGACAAGATAGAGATCTCTTCGGGCCTCGTCCTGCCCTTATACAAGGCTCTTGCAACCCCTTTATCCCCTCCACTGCCCCCATCATGCTGATTCAGCCTGTCAGCAGGTAACTGGGCCGAGTTTCACGGTGTGTTTCCGTGCGGGCGAGGGGCAGTCGGAGAACGTGGAGTAGCTCAACGTCAGTCACCCCGGGCAGTTCCCCGAGGTCGTGGGGGAGCTCGGAGGAATGTCCACCGAATTTACCATTGAGGCAAGTTGGCCGAGCCAGCCCAAAAAGGAAACTATGACAATCCGTTCTAGAAACCTGCTATCCTACTCTACTCGACGATATGTTCAGTTTGCACATATAGAGGTATACACTGGAATGCCTGGATAATAGATTGAACGATACTTTACTGCATGTTTATCATATGAATTGTCATTTGTACGAACTCAACTCACCATTCACACTAGAAGACATCACCTACCTATACCGATACCTCAACTAAAGAACCCCGAATACAAGTAAATACCGCACTCACCTTCGAGGCGAGACTTACCCATATACTTGCTGCCAGGAACACTGGGGTCTAGACTCACCTCTACTCATACGGAAACCAAGACTCATGCTTGAGGGTAATAAGATAAGCCCCCTCAAGAACAAGGTCGGGCTTAACATCAAGCATGAACTTCCAAAGAGCCTGAAGATCATCACGATCACGCTGCTTCTCCCTGTGATACACAACACGAAGCTTGAACACATCAAGCGAATTGGGTTTCTGAACCCACATCTCACGGACCGGGGAGGCAGCAATCGGCAACGTACGCTCGGTATTACCATGGCACTCAAAGCTCTTGGAGAACTCTCGCCACTGCGGGCGCCACATTTCGAATGTCTTCGTCCACTCCGGGTCAATGCCGCTGTCTGCAAGACAGGCGCACATGCTCCACACCAGGTGTGTGGCACTGATATACTTCTCAAGATAACCAAACAGACCGGGCATCACTCCATTGTCACGGCTAAGCTGGAAGCGGAACTGGTTAAGGCCTTTCACAACGGGTACGGGGTCGGGGAAGAGAGAGAGGAGGTTACCTGGGGGAGATCCGGTACGCCACTTGCGACGGTGGACTTCATCCTCGGGTTCGTAGATCACGGCCTGCTCGATGGGGAAGCGTTCAAAGGAACCGCCGTCAATAGGGAAACGCTTCTGGCTGCTGTTGCTATCGTTGTCTCGAGGCGTCATGGTGCGTTGGATGGGGTAAACTATGTTAGAGTTAGGTCTTGAAAGGGCTGGTCCGATTGTTACCTGGTTGGGCAACAGAGTGTTGTAGACGGAAGTAGGATGAGAAGAGTAGTGATAATTCTGTGTTCGAGGCAGATGAAGGTGATTATATAGTCTCGGGGGAGGATGCAGTTAGCCTCCGATTTAGGTTCAGCCTCAAAGAGGTCTTTGTTGTCTTTGAGTCCAACATAAAGCGGATGCAGGCCTTTGCAGTATGATGTCTTTTACAGGGCGCTTGTTCCTCTTTGTCTACACGGTAGGTACCGATTATTGGATTATTTTCCAATGAGCACAATCTCTTTGTGGCTTGAATCCGCAGCCCGGTGCGGATTGTAGATGCGACGACGATGAAGTGGGTGCAGACCTTGCGAGGGTGTGATGGGAGGGAGGTTCAAGTCTTTCTAGTCACCGCTTCTTTCTACCAGGTAAGACTGCCATGAAGGGATGGTGTAGCTTCGTACTCTTTCATTCTATCATCTCCCTAAATCGCCTCGAGAAGACTACAGCCCGATATATTAATCCTTGCCTGCCGAGACCGTATTCAATTGGAAGGATCGCACCGGGCTGTGATCGTCCAGTCGGATATATATCTGTAGCCAACCTTGAAAGATTTCGAAAAAGCAGTTCTGGGACTTGAGATTCCATTGCGGTCATCCACACCATACCTAGGATATGCTGCTCCCACTATCCTGTAATCCTCGTAAAAAAAAAAATAACCTGCGCTCACGAATTATTCCTAGGTTGACAGCTAAATCCAAGGGGAGGAAGGAAAGGTGGAGAAGGAAGGGAAGGTGGAGAAGCAAAAAATCGACACCTGTGAGATTCGAACTCACGCTCCCGAAGGAACTGCCTCACAATTGATGTATAGCAGGGCAGCGCGTTAGACCACTCCGCCAAAGTGCCTTGTTATTATTTTGCCACCCATTCCTGGAAATATACCCCACAATCTGAGTGACATCTACAATGTTCCTGGGCCCTGTCCTCCAAGTCATGGAACTGGGATCCCTTTCACAACCTTTAAATAAGTCCCGAGGACAGATTTCGAGGCCAATACGTCGTAATACGTCGTAAGGGCACGTTTGGTAGTCCAAAAGTGTCCTAAAGACAATTTCCAAAGGAATGGGCAATGACACCGAGCGTTGGCCATCTGACTTGCAGTGACTCTTAAGGATGTAGAGTGGAAGGGAACCACGACTATGAGAAGTGAATTTAAAGTATGTGTGGTTGGAGATGTTCCGTGTTTCATAGTAGACGCCTCGTGCTTGTGGTTATGTGCAGGTCCGATACAGGCCCAACTGGAAGCACTTCTACTTCCATCTCTCGAACATCTACCGGGACTGCTTCAAGTCCTCAGTGCCGATAAAGCGGCTCTGTCACGATGAGAATAGACATTTGGATCACATGTACTTTTACTACCTCTCTGATACTCAATGGCAATTAACATACGTACAATTAAGAATTTTGAAGTAATTGTTCGAAGTAATTATGGAACAAGAACGAATCGAATGTGCACCGGAAAAAGCCGCACGTCTTCACACGCCACCAACGCTGCCGAGGTATCAAAAACATACACTTGAAGTTCTGAAGCAAAAGAAGTACCAATCACCGGGTCCGTCGGGCCATGAAGTAGGTGAGCAGGTTTAGAGATCCTTCACGAGGAGGCTGGGTGATCTTTTGCACTCGCTCAGTCCCGAAAGTGATGTTCAAGAATGTGCAGAGCTCAGTAGCATTCTTCCTGACACCGGGGCGCGGATGCCCGAGTTGCTTCATCGCCACAGCACCGACGCGAGCCAGAAGGTCATCATCAATGTCAATTTCAGGACGTGAAAGTGATTGCTGAATAGTACTCAGGCCCATGATGATGGAACGGTATGTCTCGTCATTCTCTTCATCGTCTCCAATATCTAGTGCCTCCAGGACGCCAGCAATAGCCGTTTGAGGCAGTGTCAAGAACACGAGTTTATCCGCGATTTCCTCTAAACCACTCACAAAGTGTGAAGTGGACTCGTAGTGGCGGCGAGCTCGGATGATAGCTGCCATAGCGCGAGTGTCATAGGGGTGGAAATGCTCGCGGGTCCGCAGGAGCATGGAACGGATGGTCGACAAGACCTGGGTCTTCACGTCATGGTCCTTGCGGTTGTTAGGCGTCGCCTCGAGTTCTCCCAACAGAGCTTCCAACATGGCATTGTAGTCCTGGATTGGCGATGCAATGTCATCGCCGTGGTATGAAATGAGTGCTTGAAGCTTCCGATATCCCGAAGGCTCCATGGTTCGCGATAAAATACGGCTCAGACCTCTGCGGATCATTTCCTTAGCATTGACTGGGTCCTTTGAACGCGGGCTAGGACTGCGGTGACGGTCGACCCATTTTCGGGTATTCCTTGGGGAGTCTCTAGACATTGTTGATTGAGACAATGTTGACTGCGATAAAGTCGATTGAGACATTGATTGAGACAACAATTCTAACGATCTCTGCCTGGCTTCCGGCGAACGTGGTGTCGGTTCATTTGCGGTGACTTCTTCAAGTGCACTCGGCTTAGCTGCGGACCACGGGACTGCAGGCAAATCAACAGTCTTGGCCAAGTGCGGAGTCGCATTCTCGTTGTTGCCAAGGTGGCCGTTCGGAACCATATGAGTCTCTTGAGAAAGTGCGGCTTCGATATCCATTCTATTAGAAGCTGCTGGCTGGGTACGACCCCTCGTGGGTGAGGGACTCGGTTGAAGCGGCGTTCTACGTGTTGGAGACGGAGTCCGGACTGCAAAGTTAAGAGCCGGTTCCTGATTAGGCGCCAAGTCAATAGGCTTTCTGATCGAAGCGGTCATTGGGGCTGGAATATCTTCAGAGACGGCCTGGACATCTGCTGCGCCATGCTCTGGTTGGTCAGGGCGAAGACCGAATTTCGAAGGGGAGGGCTTTCCAATCGAAGCAGCATAGTCAGGAGCGTCGGTTCCGACCGCAGTTGGTGTCGTCGGATCTTCGTAGATGACCATTGACTCAGGTTGCGATTTTAGAGTAGATAATTCGGGACCAGGACCGAAGCCCAAATCCGAATGACCAGGAGTGGGAGATCCTGAACCGCGAGACACTGGATCTTCTCGTTCGGAAATGTAAGGCGGGGGAATAGCTTCCTCCAGTACCATTGGTTCCGGTTCTTCAACAGGAACCGAGTCAGCGTGAGGACCATGTGGCGCTGAGGACAAGAGAGACTGCGATGGATTTAGTGGCGGACTTTCCAGCGAGATAGATGTCGGGAAATGTTGATCTGATGGGCTTAAATGATGCCCATGACGAGGAGTTCTAGCAGACGGCTGATTTGTTAGACTGTCGCTGGAATCGCTGCGAGCGCGACTGGCAGCCATAAGATCATTGTGGGACTTGGACTTGGACAAATCGAGCTTTTTCGGCCTGCCAGTAGTTGTAGCAGCCTGTGTGGACTCATGCGGGCGAGTGCGAGGCGCTGTTAAGGGGGCCTTGGAGTTGGGTGTTGATGGTTTGGACCTTACAGACCTAGGAGGAGTTGTCCCTTGTCTCGTAGATTGTGTACTAGTAGTCTGGTTTCGCGACTCGGGCCGACGAGCGTAGGGGTCTGCGGTTGCAGGACGACTCAATTCAGCCCGTCGAGGTTTCATGCCAGGTCTCATGGGCGCAGATGATAGAGACGAGAGAGGAGCTCCAGTGGGTACGCTTCGAGTCGATGGCTTCACCTCAGCAAAGGCCGGCTGGGCTGACTCTGGCCGGGAAGGATTCGCAGCCTTCTTCCGAGCAGCGATGGCTTCTTGTAAAGCAGTACGAGACTTAGCAGGGCTCTTGGCGGGCAATGCAGGTGCGCCCTTCGATTTGGGGTTGGGGTTTGAGGAATCCTTATCCAGCAGGGTCCGCGATTTCGCATCGAGTGTGTCCGCTATCACATTGGCTCTTTCTGGCCACACGCCATAGAACGTCCAGAACGTACTTCGGGTAGACTCACGCACCCCCGGGTTGGCATCCCCTAAACATTTTGTAATCGATTTCTCAATGAGTTCAAGGCCGCCACCATGTTCAACTGCACTTTTGTGGTGGGCCTGTCGAATTATCAAAGATTTCAGCCATCCCGAGGCAAACAGGCGAACTCCAACGTTTTTATCCTGTGTTGCGAAACAGACATGCTGCAGAAGACGATTGCTGAACGAGACATTCTTGATGACCACATCGACAGCGGCATTGCCGTGTTGGGCAGCGATCTTTTTCAGAGCTGAGCACAGCTTCAGCAAATTCTGCATAATGATCTCAACCATCGGGTCAATCTTGGGACCGCATCTCCGAGCAATATCTTGGATCAAAAGACTTCCGTTGCTCGACATTGTGGTCCGTAGAGAGTTGACGACTTTGAAGATCCCATCAAGAAGTGTCTTGACTGCATTAAGATAGGTTTGCGAGAAGTCTTGGGGCGCATTTCCTCGTGTCAATCTTCGGAAAAGGATCACGTTCTTTTCGCGTTTGGACCAGTTATCCTCGGATTCTTTTCCATCGAACCAGGGTAGCATATCGCGCACAAGATCATCGATATCCCTCGCTGAGGCAACATCATACGGTTCCAAGCCATCTTCGTATGGTAATTCTTGCTGGGGAGCTTGTTTCGGAGCCGGTGTGTGATGGTAACTTTGTGGTTCTGCGGACACCGAGGAGGCTACAGGTCGCTCGCGGTGAGCTCTCGAAGCCGGGCGGCTCTTGACAGGCTCCAGTTCTGTGGAAATGTTAGAATGTATGCCAAAAAATACATTGTATGCAAAAGGAAGCCCAAGATACTGACCATCATCATGCTGTTCCGCGGCATGTGAACGGGAGGACATCACTGATACCGAGCGCTCAGCGCGAGAGATTGGGCGCGTAGAGGATGTAGCCTCGGGTTCAGCGGATCCTAGACCAATACCTGAAAGGACGGCGTTGGCAATAGATTTTCTCACACCACGTGCAGCCATCTGCTTTTGCAAATCGGATTTCGCTCTTGCGGGGCCGTTTCTAAGTTTATTAGCATGCGATGGATACGAAGGAAATTTAGAGTCCCTCACTTAAACAGCTCGATCACTACCAACTTGGCCGTATCTCGAACGGCACTGTCGGCGTCCTCTAAGCACGCGACTAGAGAAGGAACATATTGGCGGATCAACAGACCGTGGTTCTTCGTCATCTGCAGGTCCAGGTCAGTAGCTGCGGTAGGCCTTGCAGAGTGCATAAACATACATTTGCCAACCAAAGCATGCTCATCTCTTTGGCCCGATGGTTTTTGCCAACCAGCGCAACTTCCAACACATGGTATTCAACTTCGCTGCCTGCAAATGGCCAGAGATCGGTGAATATTGAAGCTGCCTGGGCCCTTACACGTTCTTTCTGGTCATTCAGACGTTCTAACAAGATTGGATACAGAGTTTGAGCTTGGTGAACAATCCATTGCTGCTGGTCTTGGATGGCAAGGCGCTTCAGAAGGTGGCCTAATGTGGAGAACCCCGCACCAAGAACGGAGTAATGTTGTGAGCCGATGGCAAGGCGCAATGTTTCGAAAATAGGGCGAATTGCTCCTTCTGGAACATTCTTTTGTTTGATATCAGACTTAACACTTGAGAGATAGGCGAGCTTCGAATCGACGGACAGGTTGGGGTTCTTGAAAGCCCCCAGGAGTTCTGCTGCCTTCGCCTCCATTGTGACTACCGAGAGATTGGTATCAACTCAGAATAGACACCGAAGGGAATGGACAGAGAGAGGAGAATTTTGGGACTGGAAATTCCGAGCAATCGAGGCGCGACAACAACTATGGCAGATAGGAGGATAGCGGATAGACTGGGATTCGGATTTGTCACTAGTCAGGAAGGAAGTTAGTGGGATGACTCTGTAGGCGCACAAGACTGATAGCTTGTTATGAACAGAGCGATGGACAGATTTTCAGAGTGAGGCTGTAACACAGATTTGTGCAGACAACGGGGACAAACAGATCACGTCGAACTAGTATCAATCGCAAAAAGGTGCGGATGTGGGGATCAGGCAAGCGAAGGCTTTCAATGTCCATAGCGAAGCAGAACGGAGTTATATCAACGTACCAAATCCGAATAGGAAGATGCGTTGGTGAAGATAGTTGGATCGCAACAAGAGCGCAAAGTCACTTGAGGTGGGATGTTGAAAAGCGGACGGGAGAGAAAACAAGGGGCGATAAGCGCGTGATGATAAGCGCAGGGATAAGAGGGGATGTCCGACAACGACGTAGGGAGATTTATTGCGTAAGGGGTTGTACTGCGTATGTGTGAGACCCTTGGATTATTCTGGAAGTAGCGATGGACGCTCTTTCCTCTGAGGTTTTTGTTTACAGTTACTGTAGAAGTTGGTCAACCATGGTCGTGCCTGAAGATGAGCCCGACTTTTGTTGTTTATTAACTTTCGCTCGTCGCAATGGGCAACCAATAGCGTCATATTGACATTGCATAATTTCCATGTCAATAATTGTTCACACAGCATATGCACATGTGATTTGAGATATACAAATGGAAGAGAAACAATGGAAATACGAAGCACTATCTGCTTGGGAAGAATCAAAACAACTATGTTCACACGTGAGATGCAAAGCCGAGGTGGTACATTGCAGGCTGTACACAGTATGATGCACATTGACAAGCAGCATGCAGAATATTCCGATATCCAATACTAGTATAATGCTTCTGGCGTCGTTCGCATCTAGGTTATTCTGGTCCATAAAATCGATCTCAATCTAATCAGATACATCATAGTGCCCTACGACCCCACGAGATCGCCAAAGTGGAGCATAGCGCTTGGTCTTAAAGATCATTATCGCTCGACAGGATGCCTTGAGCTGGCATATACACCGAATTTTAGACCGAGCGAAATGGCTTTCCCTTTCCGCTTTAGTGCTCACCCCTTGCCGCCTTTTGCTCACTGAGTAAAACTGAGCACGTTCCTGAGTATTACATAATCATTAAACTTGCTCACTGAGCATCGCCTGATCATTACATAAGCCGGATGAACTCGCTCACTGAGCGAGACCTGAGCACTCTGATTTGCTCGCTGAGGGGCCTGCTCCCCCTCACTGAGCGTGACCTGAGTCCTTCGTATTGGACTTCGTTCGCACGGATTGAGATTTAGTCTCTTTTGTTTTCACAGGAGGATTGGCCCAATCAGCACCTGGAAAGAAAGTGGGAGGCCTATCTCGATTGGTAATACCATTTTCGCTTAGCCAGGCTTGGTACGATAGGTCCTGGTGTCTCGCCGCGTCACGAATCCAGATATCCAGAGACATCTTTTGTTTTTTCTTGAGCCTTTCCATCAGTTTGCCCCTGAAAATGAAGCTCTCTCCATCTTCAAGCATTTTTTTGTGTCTCTCCTGTATTTGATCCCACAGAATTCCCACAAGTATAGTAGGAAATACATGAATGGCTTTCCCCTTTTTGGTCATTCGCGGCTTCCATTTTCGGTGGGGATTTGGTGTCAGAGTCACAACACTGACTACTTTCCTAATATTGGGGAAGCCGTACAGCCACTGACCATTTTCTTGAATGTCTAAAATCGTTTTGTGTTTTCCAGATATCAGTAAAAGACCCGTAATCTCATCTTTTGTGTGTGCTTTTGATGTCCCGAACTCATGTTTTGAATGACCGGGTGGCCCGTAACGGTAAATTGTCCGTGATTTATCTCCGAAGCATTTGCATAGAGAATATGCTACGGCAACACCGCCCTCGTCAGCCATTTCGGGTGATGTGTTTGGAGCGGTCTGGGTTGACGGGCTGCCAGAATAACCCTTCCAGTTTTGATTGTAAAAGCCCAGTCTTTCGGTTTCCGGTGAAGATGAATCACCTGGTGTTTGACGGCACTCTTCATTTTTCTCTCCCTCACGATCGCCCGGGGTGGATTCTGGATACTGTGGTTTACTCTGGGGATCCACTGACTTGCTAGTCTCGTCGATACCAAGCTCCTTTTCAAGCTTAGCAATCTTCTTCTTTTGAGCATGTGAGAGATCTCCCTCTTCGACCTTTTTAAGTTCTTCTAATTGCTCCCTTTTTTTATCGAGCTTCGCTTGCTGGTCTTGCTTTGCTTTTGTATCTCGAAGTGGCCTGCCTCCCTCTGCTGTCGAGATTCCATCCTTTGATGTATCGATAGGACCGGAATCCATGTTTTTCGCGGATTTAGGAGTCCTTGAATTGAAACAGCAAACTCGGGCCTACTTATAGATGAAAGGCGGAGAGATTGTCGTGTCGGTCGCAATAAGAGTGAAAACGGTACCAATGAATTTGGTCGCCATCAATTTTCTATATCTGCTGCTTGTGTCTTTGTAGAAAAAGACTTGAGACTCTCAGTAATTTTCTTTACGGATGGGCTACTCTCACGCCCCTCAAATCGGGTCTGGGATAGTGAAGAGAAGCCTTAATGCATTTTCAGAGCCAACCTAAATCTTTAGTCTTAAAGACCCCTCACGTAAAACTTCTGAAGGCATAACTCAGTTTTTTTCATACCATCTGCGGTACTTATAGAATTCGACAACATCCACGCTTCTATCACTCAGCCGAATCCGATGGAGCAAATCATCTCCTATCCCACTCAAACGCACGTCTTTGTTATACAGAAATATTCATATTTGGTGTACGCAAACCTGAGCCGGTATGTTGACAGACTTTACAGAAGTAGGTTTACGACAGCCAATAATAGTCTTTCTATCTCCCGCCGTGAAGCTCCATCTTATAAGGTAACACCCGGAAAGAGATGAGATATGGGTGAGCCATCATTCAATCCAAGCAGATTTGTAATAAATCTGAAAGTTTTCACCGAAGTGAAGGCGCTGAGAACAGAAAACGAAGGTGAAGAAAGCTACGATGGGGACCTTCACCGAAACTTGGATACTGATCACGGAGGATACGGTTGGAAGAGGAGCACCGTCATTTGCGGGATTCTAACGCAACCCTCTCAAAATCCAACAAGCTGCTACATCAAGCTTGCGCCGATCGCGAGCTGCTTCTGTGGGATCGTCAGCAAGTGTTCGACCTAGTGCAACGTGGCATTTTGAATGTCCTTCAGAGTAGTGACAGACAGCCGTTCCATGTCAGTGAGCTGCAGTGAACGAGAGGCTGACAAATCAGTGTGGAAAATGCTTTGACAGAGTGATGGATAGAAAAGAACATCAGGGCTGCAACGTCACAGTTGGATACCGTGCTTCGTTTGTATCCTGAGATCTAGAACCTCATTGTAGACTGATCCGGTGTGCGGAATCGGTTGATGAAGCGTCTCATAACCCGCCGGTAGAAAATGAAGGGTCCGAGCCGGGTCCTTTCTTCGGCTGCCTCGGTGGGGACTCAGTCCCTCGTCTCTCTTGGTAAGGATACCCCATGTCTTTTCAAAGGCATCACCCCGGTTCTGCAGACCGTCTCCGTGATGGAAGCTGATGCTGACCACTGCAGGCGATACAAATCTAACTTGACCGAGAACAACCACACAATGACCAAAACGACTGACGAACACCAACGGGTAGTGAAGGAGTTCAGACTCTCATCTGGAAAGTTGTGGGACAAAATACGGTCCTCTCCGGAGCCGCAGTTCTTCGCAACCTTGAAGATAGGCATCTAACCTCACGTTGTGCGCTGTGAATTCAGTAGACATCAAAGTCTGGTCGACAAACGCATTGCGGGCTTCACGACCCTTCTTGAGGCGAAGTTCAGCAAGGTCGAGGAAAGAATCCACCGGCTCGACCACGATTTACAGAACGCCAACAACAAATTTGACGTTGTCAACCACAAAGTGGACCGAGCTGCCAAGAATGTTCATCTTGGCGACTACTACATCTATGCGCGCTAGTCGCCTTAAAGGTTGATAACGCGCATTTCGGACAGGCGTTGTCGGTGCAGGCTTATCAGAATTTTTGCCATGGTTGATATCAGTTGTGTAGTAGAAGAGGAAAACTGGTATCGGTACTCAAACGATTTCCTGTGGGAGTCGAGTGCCTTTTGGATCTTTGAGAATCGACAGGCCTATACAGTAAGTAACAGGCGATCTTCCGACGAGGATGTCAGTCCACCATGCGATCTCATTACTTACTTCTTTTGTTCCCTAGGATGGCACCCGAGCCAATTCACAAGCCAACTCGCGGTGCCAATTCGCGACGAAACAGCGTCAACGTCAATCCCTGAACGTTATTGATTACCCGGGTCACTTCATTGCATCCTCTTGCAGTTGTCTGTGGCGGCATTGTCTTTGTGTTGGGTATCTTGCGCCTCGGCTTCATTGTCGATTGCATTCCTCTGCCCGCCATCACGGCCTTCATGACTGGCTCCGCCATCAGCATTTGCGCGGGGCAGGTTTCGACCATGCTGGATGAGACTGACAAACCCAGTATCCGCAGGCCTACCTATAGGTCATCATTAATACCCTCATACTTTTGATGACCACCGTTGGTCCGCACTGGACTAGATGAGCCGAGTCCAATAAATCCGTTCCTCAGATGGAAAATGATGTGACTCAGAACGTCCTGAAATCAGATAGCTATCTGATGATGCTTCAGATATGGCATTGAGGGTGAAGGCGATCGCGAGTATATTGGACCCGAGACCCTTATGGGCCAGTTCGACAAGCAGGGCGCATGTCGAAAGGGAACCTATAGTACGGCATTGCCTACTCAAAATGTGGGTGTCAGATCCTCCGCATCGACGACTTGGTTCTCAGCTTCGAGAGGATGAAAGAATGGAAGGAGTGAAACAGTCCAGATACGGCAAACAAGATACTCCGCCCAGATATCCTACCTCGAAAGATTTGGTGCGCCAAACAAGCAAAGCAGCGCGTCGGGTTGGCGACTGGGATTTTTGACCCTGTCCACGGAGGCCACAGCGATTAATTAAGACGACCGTGACAGTCGGCGCGAAACAGACACCAAGCGCATGGACCGCCGATACTCCCCCTCGGACCCCCAAGTCCAGCCAAGCTTCCACCCGCATTGCCCAACACCACCGACCCGAGCAAGATCCTCGCATTCTTCCTCTAGAATTGGGCTTTCCGCTGGGACATGGAAAAGATCGAACAGGACGTCCTGCGCTCCCAACGCCGCCGCCGTCTTGTTTAAGCTGCTCTGATCCAGGGTACACCCACCGTCTGGGACGGAAAGCAAAGACCTTGAGGGCACACCGGACCACCCATCCTACCGTCAGCGACGCGGTGGCTCGCACGTGCGGGATAGGATTCCCCGGGGTCGTCGCAAACGACCGGCGGTTGAGATAGAATATGCATTTTCTAGACACACCAACGTGTACTCCGTACCTATGTTCGAGATCAATCGTAAGTATGGGTAGGATGTCAGACAGCGAGTTACAAGTGCAACGAGATTTGACAGAGACGGTGTGTCAGAGAAGTTCAAGGCATGATTCTGCAGAAAATACACCCAAGTCAACATAAATACCACAATCTACTTCCGAACATTATCCACAGTAACAGCACTAGGCTTCTCATCCCCTTCCCACTCCAGTTGAGCCCCCTTCTGCTGCGCCAGAATCTCCTGACCCTGCGCAACGTGGTTGGCACCGCCAAACAATGTATCGATCTCCTCAAGAGGAACCTGCTTAGTCCCCGGAATAAAGAAGCAAACGAAAATTGCAAGCAAGAAGTTGATACCGGCGAATATGTAAAAAGCGTAGAATCCCTCGTCACGTTCTGCGTCTGCGATGCCATGCCCACGGCCTGGGCACGCACGTTCATTGAGAAGATCTCAGATGTCCAGATCCATACTGTTGCGCCCCAGGATGGTTTGTCTGGGATATTATGTTAGCAATGCCCTTTGTGGGAGTCCAGAGGATAGGTGGGGAAACCCTACAGAAGAAAATGAACAAAACGAAATAATGCGCAAAAGGAAAGGTAAGGCGGAGCCAATTTCGATTGAACAAGTTAAGAAAGATTTTCTGGTCTAGCATATTGTTTTTTGAACTCTGAATCACGTCTCAACAGACTGAAGGGGTCGTCGTATTCGATGAGCTCCCCGCTTTTGAGCAGAGCCACTCGGTCATATCGATCAATAAATCGGTGTCTATGCACAACAGCAATGATTGTCTGCTTGGTGAATTCGGCGTCAATTACTCTTTGCATTGTTGACTCTGTTTCCCAGTCGACACTATGACGCACAAACATCAGTGTGATGATTTTACCCAAATGGTTATCAGGCTGAAAGAAGAAATCGTACCTGCTGGTTGCCTCATCTAGAATTAGAATGGGGCTCTGAATGTTCAATGCTCTGGCCAATGCCAGTAGCTGTTTTTCGCCGGCAGACCAATCAGACACTATCATAGGCATGTCAAGACCACCGCCAGCGCTGACCCTTTTCCACAGTCCAACTTTTCTAATGGCAGATTCAATATTTTCATCAGAGAATTTTCCATGAAAATCCAGATTGAATCTCAATTTGCCGGGCACAAAGAACGGCTCCTGAGGTATAACGTTCAATCGTATGCGAATATCGTTTGGTTCGAGCGAGGCTAGATTTTTCCCATCTATCAAGACATGACCATTTTGATTTCGACCATTCGGAGAAGCGTCATGATTAGGGTCGTTTTCCCACTCCCTGACGGCCCGCAAATTGCAATTCTCTTCCCCGGGTCGATATCCATGGACAAATCTTTTAGAACTGGAGGGCCATTGGGGCTGATTCCGAATGTGAATTCAAGGCCTCCAATTGAAAAAAAAGGAATTTGCGTGCGGAGGTTTGCCTGACTTACTGGTAAAAGACCGAGACATCTTTCAGAGAAACTCTGCCCTCAGATAGCCACTCATCGACTGGAGACGAATGTGGCGATTGAATGTTTGCCTCCGATGGCGTATTCTTCTGGAAAGCCTGCACTCGAGAAACGGCCCCAATCGAAGTTTCAAGTTGAGTCCAAGACTGAATCGTGCGTACCAAAGATTGATTTAATGTCAAGATCAGGTTCAACGCTACACCCATGACACCACCGCTGAACTTATCTCTGAAAGAGGTTGTTATGGCGAGTAGTATGACTGCCATGGCAGCTACCACTAAGCTCAGCACAAGGTTCAGCCATTCCTGTATACAAAGAAGGGTGTAGAAGGGCTTTTGGGAGTCATTGAGTTGCCTCTGGCAGTTTGCTAGGAACGCTTTCTGCCACCCAAATGCCTTGATTGTGACAACTCCTTTTAGTGTCTCTGTAAAGGTAGTATATAGAGGCGCCTTTGCTTCAATATCAAGTAATCGCATTTGACGAGAAGTCCGGAGGTAGTATGATTGGATTAAAAAAAAAGCGAGGATGAGAACTGGGAAGAAAGCTGCCATATACTTTCCGACTGCGCAAAAGATAACGAGATTTATGATGGTTTGAGAGCCGTCTGTTATAGAAGTCAGGCATGATGCATATTACTTGAAGGAGAAGTCGGTTGATGATGAGGAACTTTGTAGTGCTTACTCGCTACCGTATTAACTACCCAGGCAGGGAGTTTCATGTCGATTAGGTCAATATCTTGGCTGAATCTGTTTGTAATGGACCCACTGTCAGTCACTTGAAAAAAGCTGAAAGGTGCTTCGAGTGTAGCTCTCAATAAATCTGCATGTAAGCCGAATGCTGTTTCGTTTATGATATTGATGAAAAGTAGGCTTGGTTCTGATTAGTCAAGTAGAAAGCAACGTTGTGTCAACACGAAGCTTACTAGCAGCCAAGTACGAAGCAACTGATGCTCAAAACAGTGAAAGCGGTGTATATCCCGAGATAGAAGCCAACCTTGGCATTCGGCGCTTTCGCATTTGAATCGGACCACCATCGAATCCAAATAGCTAAGCAACAAACGTTCCAGGCCTTTGAATGAAGCGAACAGCGAGTAATACTCCGACTTACTAGAAAATTTGCTGAGAAAGGTCGAAACGATGAAAGATGCGATGAAAAGACATGCGACCAAAGTGCCTGCGCTCCGAACATAATATGCGTACACTTGCCAAGAGCCATCGCGTCGCGAGAAATCAGGCTTTTTCGTATCATTTTTATCTTGGACCTGGATTTCTTGAGTTGTACCACCACAAATCTCTTTTCGGTCGTCGATTATTTGACCTGTACCGCATTGCTCAGTCTCCGGTTCCATAAGAGATTTCACAGCGATTTCAGAATTGGCAATCAGAATTTCTTGCGAAGTCCCACTATCAACAACGTTGCCATCATTGAGAACAATCACTTCATCGGCAAATGGAAGCAGCGTTCCTGTAACATGTTAGTTTCTTAGGAACCCATTTTTGAGAGGGCGCATACGATTATGCGTAGCGAGGATCACGGTTTTCCCACTTTCCCGGAAGTACCCGTCCCGAGCAAAGAGCGTTGAAGAGATGTGGCCGATACACCTAGAGTCCAAGCCGCTAAATGGGTCATCTAGGAGAATGATGGGTAGTCTCGAGTAGATCGCTCTCGCAAGAGCCTTTGAAGACCAAGAATTATTAGTAGTCGTTACATGTCAAATATAAGCTTTAGTAACTTACCACACGTTGCTTTTGGCCTCCACTTAGAGAGACCCCATCACTTCCGGCCACATACATGCTTCCCCCAGGCATGGCTTTCAGGTCATCTTCCAAACCAGAAGCAGACACACAAAACTCGTACCACTTGGGATCAAGCTCCCCCCCCGGTGATATTGTGTTCAATCGTATTGTTGACAAGCCAAGGCGTCTGCTGACAGTAAGCAACATTCGATATTGGTGTATTACTTGACCCGCTAAGAACACTTTCCCCCAAAATGCCCGCAATGAGTGCAGATTTTCCAGAGCCAACTGGACCGACGACCACTGTTATTCCTCTTTTTATATCTAACGTGAGGTTTTTGAGCACAGGTTCGGTATCAACAGACCATGATATATTGACATCCTTGAATGATATCACACCAGCCCCAGTCTTCGACTGAATTTCGCCACTAGTCAATTCCATGGCCCTTTGCTGACTTGCCACAATCATATCTTTGGTTACCAACCGAGGATTTTTATAGTTGTCGGTTGGGATGGCCAAGTATACCTCGATTCTCTCAAAACATCCCTTCGACTCGAACAGTGCGGGAACTGCTTGGACAAACGCTAACAGGGGCGCTGTTAACAATGAAATAAGAGAGAGTGAGGTGAACGCTTGAGAAGCTAAGAGTGATTGATCGTTTCGGGCAACAGAGATGATGGCATAAGCCGCAAATGTCGCGTACGGAGCAAAATCGCTTGGAATATTGGCTCCAGACAGTAAGCTTCTCTCCTTCACAGGAATTCGAAATGCTTACATAACACCACTGTCCAGACAAGAAGCCTGCGAAAACGGGAAGATGTTTTCAATTCTGCCTCTCGCAACTTTGTAACCAGGCCAAAAAGCGGTTCTTTAAGACCCAGCATCTTCACAGCTTTCATATTCCCCAAGAACGCTGAAGTCACCGCAAGTCTGATTTGAATTCGTTCAACCCAGGCTTTCTGCGCCGGTGCTGTTCGAGTTGACACTGGACCAGCTCCAGAAGCACAAGCTAAGACCAAGTCAGTCCCATTGGTGGTAACCATATGAATATATCAAGATAGGAATATGAATACCCACCAAAACAGATACAAGCAGGCACAAGGCATGCCAGGAAAATTTGACGCTCTAAGAGAAATAGAGCGACGGCAACTTCAATGATTGATGCCCAGGTTTCATGTAGTGATTTGAGACTTTCCACTATACGTTCCACATCGGTGCCCATCAATGTCAGGGCTGACGTATCTTTTACATCACTACCATGTAGTTCGGTCGTGTGGTAATATATAATCGATATCAACCCAGCTCGTGCCATTGTCGCCAAGCGATAAGTGAGACGCCAATAGATGGCGGTGGATATCTGGAATTTATGTTAAGCAAGGAACAAACACGCTTGCCGCACGCACATACCGCCATTCCCGGATAGACCAGCAGATAAGCCCCTATCAGTGCTCATCCATACTCTTTGGTCTCAGCCGTTGAGTCTGATAGGCCACTTTCAAAGTAGTTTATGGTCGATGTGATCAAGAACGGTTGACAGAATTTGAATGCACTAAGAGCAAGACGTGGGATCACTGCATTCAGGGCAGTCCGAGAATATGCCCGAAACACGGCTTTGATAAGTCGAAACTCTGATCTTGAGCTTGCCCAAGCGATTTCGAGCTTCTCGAGTGCCACATCACTTTGCAGATCTTGATCGAGTTCAGGAATTTCATTAAGCGATAGGATTGACCCAGAGGAATAGACTTCGACCCCAGAAACCGATGCTTTCTTCTCTGGTTACATGCTGATATGTAGCTCTAAGCAATCTGAACTTCGTGCTAGATTCCAAAAGAAAAGCAAGAACAGTCAGAATGTATATGCCGGTCAAAAGCCCTCTGCATAAATTGATTGAAGGGATCAACCATAGTGAGCGGAGCCGCGGTATGGTAAGCACAACCAGGCCCGAAAAGTAGATGGCTAGGAGAACCGAAGGTTCAACTGAGCGCTGGTCTTCCAAGAAAGAAAGGAGCACCGCAGCGGCTGAAGCGAAAATTTCCAATGTATCCGCTGTTATGCTAAGTTTTGTTTGTATTACAGACGACTGGTGACGGGAAACTGTATAGATCACATGTAGCGTGAAGAGGATAGCCAGCAATATCTTTCATGAGAGCCTCGTGGTCAGAAACGATCTTAGAAAAAGATTATGACAAAACTCACAAACTTGCGTATCGCCAGCTGAAAAGTTGAGACTTTGACCGAGGCTCTACGAAGAGTTTCTAGACGAGCAGGAAGTATCAACAGGAAGAGAGCTGAAGGCAGAACAGTGAAGAATGCGTCCTCAAAAAGTAAAGTAAAATCAAAGCGACGACAATCAGGGCTGACCCGAGGGCCGAGCTGGTTGTCGCTGTTTATGCAGAATGTTTGACTGGCCATCATGGAGGACCTATGTTGTTACAGAATGATAATAATATGTGAGTCTCGAAAGATTTTCTTATTGCCTTAAGTGCGTTCCTGAAAATGAACGTGCTTCGGAAAAGCATTCTTACCGAGACAATGTGACATTGACTTGTGTTTCAAAAAGTAAGCAAGACAACGTAATCGGTAAGCGAGTGGGCCATGTAAGCGAGTGGGCCACCCCAAAACATATAGTAAATGCGATTTTCTTCAACCTTGGATTTCAATAACCATGTTTTCAATTCATCTCCTTTCTTGTCGATAGCTATTGATAAGACTTATTAGCACAATGTATCAGTTTTAAGAAAGCACAAGGCTACATTATTGTAATGTCAAAAATTACTGAAAATTACGTTGTAAAAAGCTAGAAACATATATATCTCAATCACCAAGTCATATATGCTTCTAAAACTTTGTAAAGAGGCTATATATCATCTAATAAGCATTAAGCTATAAGTAAAACATCATCTTGACCACCGTTGTTGAGATATCATATTGTAATTTATCGCATTCACTATATGTTTTGGGGTGGCCCACTGGCTTACCGATTACGTTATGCTTTTATCCAATCAATTCCGGGGAACTTGACCTGGGAAACCGACCCCCGACCAGCGGTTTGCCTTGTTCGAGTGGATGACGTGATATTTTTGTTATCAGTAGCCAATCAAAAAGAAGGGTCATTGCGTGTTTGGGAAAGGGTTACCGCCCCCAGCGCTGAATATTGTGCATGTGCATTAGTGAGATTATGTAAGGATCGCCTGGTTTATTTTCCTAGTCTAGTTAGCAACTGCGTCTAATAGTACAATATTACATAACCTGCTAGCCGAAGTAAAACCTCGCTTGCTGACAAGTGGCCGGGCATTACTGCCTGAGTATACTAGCTGCAAACCCTGCAAACCAGCCAGGATAGACAAATCAAAGAGTCACCAAACTCGTGTAGAATTCTTCCTCCTCGAAGGGGTTCTATACAGCCCATCTCATCCACGAGGGTTCGATTCACCCCCAGTCTAAGATGCTCTTTCCCTCGTCGCTCGTTCTTTTCGAGGTACTCGTGAGTAGTACCCTCGCAGCAATTCAACTTCCTCTACTAGCGCATGAAGACCAATCGCAAAAAACGCCCCTTAATGAGGTATTCGACCAAAAGGTGAAATGGGCCCGCGAACACTTTGACATCCCAGGCTTGGCGGTTGCAGTGGTTCGAGATGATGTTTTTTGCAAAGTAGGTTATGTTTCTCAACTGCTTGGTTTAGCTGTACCATATTTTATCTCCGTACTAATCTAAGGGAAAGGGCTACGGCGTTTCGGATATCCATATGTCGAAGCCAGTAACTGAGCATACGCTGTTCTTCACTGGGAGCACGACAAAGGCCTTCACATCTGCGGCTATATCTCTTCTAGTCGAAGATGATGGCAATCACCCCGAGATACGATGGGACACACCGGTCCATACTATTCTTCCCGCCGATTTTGTTCTCAATGACCCTTGGTCTACGGCTCACACAACGATCGCTGATATACTTTCTCATCGCTCTGGTCTACCACGCCATGATTGGGTTTGGTTGGCCAACATCACTCTCCAAGAGGTGGTGCAATCGATGAGGCATCTTCCTCTCACAGCTGAACCGCGGACAAAATGGCAATATTGTAACCTCATGTACAGTGCAGCAGCGCATCTGATTGAGATTGTGACAAACCAATCTTTACACACATTTCTAACAAAGAACATTTGGCAACCTCTCAACATGTCGGAGACGTATCTTTCTTTCTCTGAGGCACAAGACACGCATCGCGACATCTCTCAAGGCTACTATGTTGACTCGAATGGTAAAATTGCCTCAACCAACCAGGTATTCTCAGATACCATTCGGGGGGCAGGCAACGTACTATCTTCTGTAGCAGACTACGCTAAATGGGTTTCAGCTATTTTGAATCGAAAACCGCCGCTTTCGAAAACAAGTTACGCTACCCTTTTAGGTGGGCACTCAATCATATCGCCCAATCCAATTGAGCCATTCGGATCCCCTTTACTGTATGGTCTAGGGTGGATGTCGCAAACATATAAAGGCGAGCTGCTGGTCTTCCATGAAGGGGCACAGTTTGGGTACGGAGCATGTGTTATACTCTTGCCCCGTCGAAAACTCGGACTCGTGGTTCTAGGTAACAACATGATTGGTATCAACGCAGCGGCGAATCTACTTGCATTTCACCTTATTGATGAAGAATTGGGAATCCCTAAGAATGATCGGTTTGACTGGGTTACAAGGTATTCAAAGACCTTCAGTTCTTCAATAAATGAGCGAAATGTTACATTGCTCTCCCTAAAGTTCATTGCTAATGCGTAATGGATTATTCACAGCGGTGATAAAATCATCAATGACACCAACCTTCCCGATAACATTATATCGGAGCTCTATCCTATGACCCCTAATCCTCCGTTGCCAAACCCTCTCAACATATCCGCTTATGAAGGAACATACACGCATACAGCCTATCCAGACCTCAGGGTATCTAGCAGCTGCTCGGAACGCGAGACAGCCATTCAGGGGCTGCAGCGGAAATTACCTGACCTCTGCGTCTCGATTGTGAAATATAACCTGTATTCCCAGTATCTCATTAACGACCTATTCCATGTCTCTGGAATGTTCTGGGTCCAAATTGCCACGCGCTGGGGAGTTACCAATGCGACGCGGGTGGAATTCCGGGTTGATTCCAAGGGGATGGTAAGTTGGCTGGGAATCGAGATTGAACCATTGATGGCGGTCCATGGGGAGAAAATCTGGTGGAAACACTCATGAATATATGGGGTTTTAAATATATTTTTGCTGTCAGATCATGAGGAGCTCAAACGCAAGCTTTGTTGAGTCCTGATTGAATAATTCACATTTTCGTCTCATTAAATTTTGTCGAAATTTTCACATAATCATCCAAGAATATGGATAAGCTAGACTATGAACTTAAGTGGCAAGGGGTAATATCGTATTATTTTTAAATGCATGAACATCACGGATTGGCCAAATTCAATTATATATAGTATAGCGAAGAACTTTTTGGCTCTAGAGATTGTCCAAAAAAATGAAAGGAAAAGAAAAATTAAATTTTTGCTACTTCTTTTGTCGGCTTTACAGTATTGTTTTTCCTAGCTGTGTTTCAAATTAATGGAGCTATAATGCTATAATGCCCTGGAGTTATAAGACGCGAACTCTCTTGCATGAGCAAAAGCACCACTAGGTAACCGAGGAGACTTTGGAAGTCTAGACAGCAGACACTGATCTCTCAGATGAACACATTGCCACCTGCCAGTTTCATCTTCAAAATAAGTCAGATCGCGCATGTCTGCGAGGCCACACACAGCGTCAGGAGCAACCAACCGTAAGCAAGTCACACCCCGTAAGCAAGTCAACACCCCGTAAGCAAGTCAACACCCCGTAAGCAAGTCAACACCCCGTAAGCAAGTCAACACCCCGTAAGCAAGTCACACCCCATAAGCAAGTCACACCCCATAGACAGTACCACAAATATCATTCGTTCTGGTCATTGAACTTTAAAGGTTTCTTTGCATTACAACATCTTGGCAAAAGCGTTTTCCATCCAAAGAGCAAATAAAGTTCATTTTGAGCAAAGGTATTGAGTTTCTTTTGTCTGTTCATTTGTTCACACTATCAAGCTCATGTTCAAATTGCAGTAGTGACGACTTGTCTACATCTGGTTGAGGCATGGCAACAATGATGCCTCACGATTGGGCCTTGAATGGTATAGAAGGGACCTCTGTACATCAGCAAATTGCCGCATCTCTCAATATCAGTCAAACGGAGATCGAGGATGTGTACCAGTGTACACCTTTGCAAGAAGGTTGATAACACTTTCAACCGTGGGTTCCGCAGCTTACGTGAAGCGGATAGTGCTCTGTCTGCGATCCGACATTGACCTGCCAAAGTTTCGTTCTGCCGTTCAAGATGTAGTCTGGGCGACATCTATTCTACGCACTCGTATAGTACAGTGCGCCGACATCGGCTTCGTTCAAGTTGTGCTAAACGAATCAATCCAATGGTCTTCAGAAAATGGCACCCTTGAAGAATTTCTCGGAAAAAGACAGGCGGAAAGATGGGGTATTGGGGATCCCTTGCTACGGCATTCCTTGATTGTTGACAGCCAAGCCAAAGCTCGCTGGTTCGTTTGGACCATCCACCACGCCATATATGACGGTTGGTCATTCCCTATAATGGCTGAGCATGTGAGCAAGAGGTACAATGACGAGCCTATCGAGCCAACGATTCAATACAATGATTTTGTCCGGCACATCTTGCAAAGTGATAGCGACCAGCATGGGGCGTACTGGCGTTAGTCGCTTGCAGGCAATTGGTATACCCAATTCCCTTTGCTGCCAAACCAATCCTACATGCCGAACGTGGGCTCGACATTCGAACAGTATTGTCGTCCGTTGCAAAAGGTGCAAGGTATCACGAGAACAACAATACTACATGCTGCATGGGCAATCATTCTTCGACAATTCCACAACATGGAAGATGCAATATTCGGAACTATCCTTTCAGGCCGGAACGAGCCTATTCAAGGAATCAGGGATCTGATTGGCCCCACTGTCGCCACCGTGCCAGTACGTGTCAAATTCGATGTTGGCGACACTGTGCAAGAGTATCTAGAGAAATTGCAGAATGATAGCGAAGAGAGAAAGTCGTTTGGTCAATGTGGTCTACATGCAATTTCTAAACTAAGCGATGATGCGAAGCGGGCTTGCAGCTTCCAAACCCTTTTTGTGGTGCAGCCAGGAGAGGAGAGCCATGCTGTTAGAAACGGCGTCGGGGCTTGGCAACGCGTCGAAGCCGACATCGGCCGTTCATCCTACGCACTGACTATCCAGTGCTTTCTCAACAGGACGGGGACGAGGGTCGTGGCTGCTTTCGACTCTTCGGTTTTAGAGACTTGGAGGGTGCAAAGGTTGATTCAGCAGCTTTGTTTTGTAGTGGAGCAACTGTCGCGATCGGATGGGTCTCAACTTGTGTCAGATTTCATCGGCGTGGTTGCCGCGGACGATCTTCAGAAGATCTGGAAGTGGAACGCAGCGGTACCAGCCCCAGTCGAGACGCGCATATACGATTTTATCTCGGAAAATGCGCGAAACCAACCCCTGGCCCCAGCCATTTGTGCATGGGATGGAGAGTTGACGTATGCACAATTAGACAGCTTGTCGACCCAGCTTGCGGATCGACTTGTCAGCTCGGGTGTGAGACAGGAAGTTTTGGTTCCATTGTGCTTTGAAAAGTCCATGTGGATGGCTGTAGCCATGCTGGGTGTCATGAAATCTGGCGGCGCCTTTGTCCCTCTCGATGTTTCGCAGGCTGCGGATCGCGCCAGACTCATCCTTGAGGAGATTGAACCTACCGTCGTCGTCGTATCTAAAAGAAACCAGCATCTCGTCCACCAGCTGGGCTATCATACTGGACGGGTCTGACATGGCAAGCTTGTGCAAACAACACCACGCCTATTCGACTAATGCCCATCTTCATCCGGCAGCATATGTAATTTTCACGTCCGGCAGCACGGGAAAGCCTAAAGGTGTCATTATCGAGCATCAGGCGGCAAGCACAAGCATTCTTGCTCATGGAGCCAAACTGGGCCTCAGTCGGACCTCGAGATTCCTTCAGTTTGCCTCCCACTCGTTCGATGCCAGTATCATGGAGATTCTGACGACTCTCGTATACTGCGGATGCGTCTGTGTGCCTTCAGATACATCTCGGCTCCAAGAGCTAACAGAAATCATCCACGAAATGCGAGTCAATACCTTATTCCTCACACCTTCCGTGGCTCGAATTCTGCAACCAGACCAACTTCCTTCACTTGAGATCCTTGCAATAGGAGGTGAGATTGTTTCATCTACCGATACACGACGGTGGAGAAATTTATCAAGGCTTCTTGAAGTCTATGGGCCAACAGAGTGCGCAATTCTAAGTGTGATGCAGCCCTTGACGGGGGATGTGCCACCACAGACAATTGGACGGGCGGTTGGCTCAGTTGCGTGGGTGGTAGATCCGGACAACCATGAAAGCCTCGTGCCGGTCGGAGCAGTTGGCGAGCTAATAATTGAGGGCCATATATTAGCCCGTGGGTACCTCAAAGATCCAGCCCGAACACAAGCATCGTTCGTGGATGATCCACCTTGGTTGCTGCGGGGCAGCCATGAGCAACCGGGCCGCCACGGTCGCCTGTATAAGACGGGAGACCTTGTGCGTTACAACATGGACGGTACGCTTGTCTATCTTGGCCGCAAAGATACTCAGGTCAAGATCCGCGGGCAGCGGGTCGAGCTAGGTGAGGTGGAGCACCAGATACAACGGCTCTTGAACACCTCCGAATTGGAGTATTCGGCGGTAAAGCAAGAAGAAGCTTCAGTTTCTGAGATTCTCGTCGCTGCAGAGGTAATCACGCCCAAGGGTAGTCGGCAACCTACGCTGGTGGGCTTTGTTTATCCCGGAAAGAGTGCCTTCAATAAAGGGGATTCTCAATCACAGAAGCGCTGCGCTGCAGCAGTGCAAAGCATGGTGGCCGATCTCAGCGAGAGACTTGCAAGTGTGCTGCCATCTCACATGGTCCCGAGCGCGTATATACCTCTGGAACACATGCCAATGATGGCAACAGGGAAGACAGACCGCCGTCGTTTGCGTGAAATTGCTTGCAGTTTTACTCGGCTAGATTTGGCATCACTGAGTATGCCAATTACACGGACCAAGCGGTTGCCGGAGACCGATGCAGAACGCACATTACAGCAAATATGGGCCCAGACTTTGAATCTCAGCAGAGACTTCGGTATAGATGAGAGCTTTTTCAGTCTAGGTGGCGACTCCATCTCTGCCATGCAAGTATCTGTCGCAGCACGCTGGTATGACCTACTTTTTTCGGCCAACGACATGATATTGAATAACACTGTTTCGAAACTTGCCCATGCGTTGCAAACTCCTACATTGGAAAGGGGCGATTCCCCGGCTGCTCGGGAGGCTGGTCCCAGTAACTTTGGCAGTGATTTCTGTTTATCGCCAATTCAGCAATTTCATTTTCAAACTCGATCTCCGGGGCCTGACCTTATGGACGTTCCTTTTTACATCCGCTTCACGAAGTCCGTTCCGACCCAGACAATTAAAGATACTCTTCATGCAGTAGTTGAAAGACACCCCATGTTGCGAGCACGTTTTCATCACGACGTTACAGGCTCGTGGTCACAGTATATCTGCCAGAAAGCAGAAGACTCGCTTTTATTTCATCACTTCATCGAGTCCAGCGAGTCCCAGAAAATTGAAGCAATAACTGGTTGTCGTGAAACGATCGATATCGAGCATGGGCCCTCTTTCGTGGCAATTCTTTTCACAGACCTTGATCAACAGACGCTCTTCCTTTCGGCTCATCACCTAGTCATCGACTTTGTATCATGGAGAGTTATTTTTCAAGACATGGAGGATTTCATCACTTTACGGGGCTTTGGCCTTTCCACGTCTTCTTCATACCAGGAATGGTGCAATTTCCAGACGGATTACGCCTCCACACACTTGGTACCGGATAATGCTCTTCATTATGAGCCAGACTACTCTGATGTTACTTATTGGGGCCTAGCGGACGAACCTGGCCCTGAGACTTATACGCACAGGCGCTTTTCTCTCAACAAATCTATCAGCACAACTTTACTCACCTTTAAGAGCGAAACTGTTCAATTTCGGCCCCACGAGCTTTTGATGGCTGCGTTGGGCTTTTCGTTCAGACGGACTTTCCCAGATCGAAACCTTCCGCCAATTTTCACCGAAGGGCATGGCCGTGACGCGTGGACCGAATCTTTTGATCTTTCTCAGACAGTAGGCTGGTTCACCACAATGTTTCCAGTGCAGGTCGCTCCGGAGGAAGGCGAAGACTTTTTCGACTATATTCTTCAAACCAAAGAATGTCTACAGAACATCCCTCGTCGGGGTTGGTCCTATTTTGCGTCGAAGTTTTTGAATGAGAAAGGCCGACAGGCGTTTCAAAACGACCCCATCGAGATCAATTTCAACTTTCTAGGGCATTTTCAACAGCTCGAACGGCAGTCATCCTTAATGGAAGCGATTTCTCTCCCTGCTGGTTGCAAACTAGAAACTATGGGCCCAATGAAGACCGTCGGGTTGTTTGATGTCACCATCATTATTGATAGAGGAGAGATTGAAGTAGATTTCAAGTACAACACGCGCGCCAAACATCAGGACAAAATAGAAGCGTGGATCGCCGCTTATAAGACTGTATTGCTGGAGTTTGTGAGCACGGTTAATGACATAAGACCCAGCTAGGTTTCTTCCAAACAAGGCCCCTATATAGTGATATACAGCAGTGACTTCTCTTTTTCTATTGATTTGAGTCCATTTAATTTTATCAAATCGGATATTACTCACTGTGCATTTTAGCGGCTTCGCTTGATTCTGGATTTTCATCAAGGCGAAGTTCAACGTTAAAGCATGCAGGGTAATTGTAAAATTTTACCCAAGGGAACTAGTCTAAACTTTGGTTTGAGAGGCCTGGTCACCATGATACTCTGACGCCTCGAAATTCGATATACCAAATAGAGTATTGCTATTTATGAGGTGGTAGTCAGATATATGAAGAAAACCGTGGAAGAGCCCCAACCGTACCTCCTACGCAACAAAGACCCGTCTGATTCGCAGGGGTCCTGTCAATCCTGGGCTTGTGGATCGTGCCCGGACCTTTGCAAATCCTTGCAATTTATAGTGGCGTTTCATTAGTATTTGCACCCCAATACTTCCACCATTGACCGTTTTATTCACCGCCTGCCTATTTATACTGATATACACTCCATACGCGCTCTGCGCGTAATTCTAGAAGTTACTAATCCCCTTTTCTCTGCTTTTACCTCTCTATTTAGCAGATACTATATTACATGGTGGTGCAAGATCGCCGAAGACGTACGTCGACAATTGGGCCCATGGAAGGAGGTGAAAACGAGACCGGCGCTAGATGAGACAGCGGAGAAGCTCACAGAGGTGACGGCCGGGGCGTTGGATAGGCACACTCCCGACCTGCGACCAACACCATACTCGAAACGCTGGTTTACCCCAGCCTTTAAGATACAGCAGATCGAGGTCAATCAACTACGCCGGACGTGACAAGGAAGCTGTGCGGAGCTCGGGCGACACGACGCCCGTACAATGACCCTCTTTCAAGAGATGCAACACAAACGACGATCTTGGACCCGAACTATCGAGAAGGTGAAGGTGTTAGGGGTGACTGTTTACAGGGCAGAAGACCTGTCAACTAGGTAAGAAGAAATAAAGATGTGAAGAAGAAGAAGACTTGATCAGATTCGACAGTAGAACAGAGACTGATTCTTGGAGAGCTCAAATGGCCCTCTCCAAGCCGAAGTATTTAACAACAAACAAACAGATAACTCCATGTCAAACACAATGACACGGAAGAGGGAATTCCCTCATACAATTTGATAATCCCTCATAGACAATCTGACAATCTTCCAAATGACACGATGGTCAACCGAAGATCGGCTGTGATAAACAAAGACAATGCGGGGTCCGGCCCCTAGGCTGACGAGAGCCCGATGATCGGCAGGATTCAGATCCATGATCCTCCGGAGTCATAACCGAGATCGGAGTCCACGTTTCCGATGATGTGTGGGGCTGGGCGCTCAGCGCTAAGTAATGTGGGAGTCCCAATAGGGGAACCCCGTGACAGAAGGCGTCACATTGGAAAGCATTCCTAGACGAAGCCGGGGAAGGGAAGCTCTGGAAAGTAGCTACCTACATGAAACCAAGAGAAGCCTGGGGTTGTGTACCGACCTTACACGTCGGCACCAACGAGCTCATAGATAATGAGGACAAAGCGCAGGCCTTCCTAGACGCTTTCTTCCCGCAGCCGGACGAACCTTACGGGGACTTGCCCGCCAGGCACCTCTAGCACTTCCGTGGCAACCTATCACTGAGCTTGAGATTCAACGATCTCTCAAAGCCGCAAAAGGATCCACCGCACCTGGTGAAGACGGCCTGCCGGCGCTAGTCTGGAAACAGCTGTGGAGACACCTCAAGGTCTACATCACAGGGATCTTTGCCGCATCCATTAAATTAGGATACCACCCGAATCGATGGCGGAGCGCGAAGATTGTGGTGCTACGGAAACCCAAGAAACCGGATTACTCGGTCCCTGGGGCCTACCGCCCGATCTCACTCCTTAACACGCTAGGAAAACTGCTTGAAGCGGTGATGGCGCGACGACTGTCGTATCTCTCCGAAAAACACGGTCTGCTACCGGACACCCAGTTTGGAGGGCGACCAGGCAGAACCACCGAACAGGCGCTTTTGGTCCTCTCCAATGCGATTGACCGGGCGTGGTACAAACACAAAGTGGTGACGCTAGTGGCATTCGACCTGAAAGGTGTCTTCAACGGAGTCAACAAAGTGAGCCTAGACGCCTGCCTGCGGGCAAGGAGAATCCCAACCGTGGCTAGAAGATGGATTGCGAGCTTCATGAGCGACCGCCACGCTAGCATAGGATTTGACGACTTCCGCACCAACGCCACGCCACTAGCGAACGCAGGACTAGCACAGGGCTCGCCTCTCTCCCCTATCCTGTTCACTGTCAACTCCCACGGCGGCGCATCCGCCTTTATCGATGACTACTTCCGCTGGCGAGTAGGACGCTCAGCCGAAGAGAACCTAGCCAAGATGCAATCAGAAGATATTCCCCGTATTGAAGCATGGGCCCGTCGAACTGGGTCTTGCTTCGCAGCCGAAAAGACAGAACTGATTCACATCACCAGGAAGAGAAGCGAACAGCTCCAGGGTCAAGTGGTTATGAACGGGAAGACAGTCGAACCGTCGCCCACGGCTAAGCTACTGGGGGTGGTCGACCACGAGCTGCGCTGGAAAGAACACGTCCAACAAGCCATCAAACGCGCAATAAAGGTCAGCATTGCTTTGTGTGGGCTGCGGCATCTACGCCCAGAACAGATGCGACAGCTATACCAAGCCTGCGTTACGCCGGTCATGGACCACGCGTCGACGGTCTGGCACGATCCTTTGCGAGACAAGACTCACTTGCGACACCTCAACACAGTCCAGCGAACCGCGTTGATCTGTATCCTTTCGGCTTTCAGAACGGTGGCCACTTCCACCCTGGAAGTAGAAACACACGTTCTGCCAACCCACCTCCGCCTCCGCCTCCGAGCGCAGAACACCATCGCAAGCCTACACACTCTGCCGCGCGATCATCCTATTTGGGATACACTATAGCAAGCCCAGAAACGTAGGAAAAATATCGGATCGTACGCTCGTTTCCCACTGGCGGAAGCCCTAAAGACTATGAACCTAGAAATATTAGACGAAGTAGAGACGATCAACCCACGACCGCTACCGCCGTGGCGAACAGAGTCCTTCACGGAGATTGGGATCGGGTCAGGCCGAGAGACGGCAAGAGAACGGGCCGAGACCGTAGGGTCCACATCCGCCATCGTGGTCTACCCTGATGCCTCGGGGCGTGAGGGCCACCTAGGCGCCGCTGCCGTAGCACTCGACAATAAGCTACAGGCTATCGAATCCCAACAGGTCCAAGTGGGACCGATGGACCGGTGGTCGGTTCACGTAGCAGAGCTGATAGGCATTTTCTACGCTGTTAGTACAGTGTTCAAGATCAGCCATCAGCGCCCAAGAGCGGAACATGATGGAACAACCACGGCAACGATCCTCTGCGACAGCAGATCAGCGTTACAAGCAATCCAGAACCCAGGTAACAAATCAGGACAGCGCATTATCCACGCGATCCTGCGGGCAGCCGCAGAGATTCAAGCAAAGGGAACCGCGCTTCGTCTCCAATGGATACCTGGACACTTCGACAACCCAGGGAACGACGCAGCAGATCGGCTAGCCAAAGAAGCGGCAAGCCTGGGCAAAACACACCCCTTCCGCCCTTTGCTGACAAGGAAGAGGGCGCTCATCAGAGACACCATCCACGCTCAGTGGGGTCGAGAATGGAATGCTTCTACCAAAGGCGGTCACTTGCGGAAAATCGATAGCACGCTGCCGGCAACCTACACCAGGAAGCTGTATGGGAACTTGCCCAGGGGCCGGGCGTACCTGCTGACACAGCTACGCACGGGCCATAACTGGTTATCCACCTATGCCAGGGCCTTCGGCTTCCGCGACAATGATCAGTGCGTGTGCGGCGCGCAAGATACAGTCACCCACGTGCTGGTGGACTGCCCAAACTTGAGGGAAATTCGACGGAAGTTAAGAAGTGAGGCTGGGGACGCGTTTAACAGCGTATCAAGTCTGCTGGGAGGCTCAACTGACGGTAAGAGAGGTAAACCAGACACCGTGTCGCGGGCTAGGACGGTCAAGGCCGTGCTAGACTTCGCTGAGGCGTCACAACGATTCAAAAGTCGCGCGCCATGAGGGCAGCCTAACAACGTGAGCGGCAATTAGGCCACAATAGGCCTTGACGAGGCTCTAAGTTCGTTTGCAGGAAGTGGGACATCAAACATGTACATACACGGATATATATAGTTGCTGTAGCCTGTATATCGCTTCGGCAGTTGGATCCCAGGTCACGTGATGTATATAGATCTATAGCAGTGGCTGCCTGTTAGGCAGACACTCCACTAGGCAACAGGGAGATGAGCAGCTGCAACTACAAATAGCTGGACCTCTCGCTGTAGATTAATTATCACACTTGTACCTCAATCCAGGGTTCAATTTCGGCGAGGGGTCAGGGTAAATGAAATCATCCATCCATCCATCGACTGTATCTGGCCTTTGGATTCACATATTGTATGTGATCATATCGATCCTAGTTGGGAAGATGAGCCGGTTCTTGATATGTATGGTCATACTCGTACGCCTTCACCAGACGGGGAATTTCCTAGTTCAGCCACAAATTCCCCGCCAAACTCGGATCAACGGTTCTCAAAAATTGAGAATAAACTTGCACTGATATTCGAAGATACCGAAAGTATTGATTCGCATCTTCGTACGATTCAAAAGCGCACACAGCGTGCGATCGAAGGTGGGAAGCAGGCTATCCAAGATCTAGCGCTTGCACGATCAACGATCAGGAAAATGCAAAGCCACAAAATTCCTATCAAAAAATCAAAGCGTATTATAAAGGGAGCTTCCAAGTCTCCTTTATCATCAATTGCAGGCAATTCGAGGGTTGTTCGCCGCTGTACAAAGGAATCAATGATGGATATACAGAAAGAGAGTGGCGACGCACGGATTCGAGACTACTGGCATCGGGCTAATCAGGCTCTTAAGGAAAAAAAAGAGGCACAGGGAGGAAGAGATTATATTGATGTAAATGATCCGCTATTTAAATTTGTAGATATTGATGGTTTAGTTGGGGAAAAATAGGCTTGAAATTCAATAAATGCAGTTTTTGTGAATAGGCCTTGGCTCACCCGCAGCCTGGGGACAGGCTGCGGGTCGAGAGCTTAGTCACGATTAATGGGGGCCCAAATGGGCCCCAAACAGTACAAACATGCCGAGAATTCAGATGCCAAGCAAAGTTGAACCCCCTTTTTGAGATTTGTCAAATACCCTCCGTTTTACCACCGTTTTTAACCCTTATCCCTAAGGTAATATTTTATTGGTTTAGATAATTTAGAATCAATGGCTAGTTATCTCTCTATATCACGTTTAAAAACGCGAAAAAACGCGTTGATTTAGAAATTTTAAAAATTACAGAGGTAAGCCAGAAAGTGATGGTACTCTTGCATGAATCCTAAATATATATGCAATATCAAAACATCAATACCAACACTTTCCGCAATATCTCGACCTCCACTAGTCAGATTTTGTTCAAAATTGAAATTAAACTAGTATATTTACTATGAATCCAAATTTCAATTTGAACTTTATGCGACCAGTGGAAGGTCATAATACAGCGATTACAAAGGCCGATTTGTCAGCGCCGAGATGGGCTTTAATGGGGGCCTCATGGGCCCCCACTAATGGGCCGTGGGCCAGGAATTCGGGCCCAACCCGGCCCATTGCGGAGGTCTAGGTACGGCCGAGGCTCAATTAGGATTTCGAGGTCGGTCAGATCTGAGTTCAGGTATCCATGGGTTAGCACATGACCACCCACGGGGCACAACGCTTAATTGGAGAAAGATTTCTGTTTTAAACGCAAGTCTATTGCCAGCGCCAAGAAAACATCAAACATTAGTCTGGGGGCCAGGCAGATCCTGATTTAGAGATAGCCCGGTTTGCGTTGCATCAGAGATACAACAACAGAGTCATATCGAGATGACAGATTGTATCTGTCACGAGCTATGATATCCTGAGGCACTAAACTCATGTGATCGAGAAGGTGGGTTGCTTGTTGTGCCTGAGGCACTAAGATCATGAGCATAAGAAGCTCATCTCAGATAGTTGCTTGCCTCTTTTTTTCTTTCCTTCCTCACGTTTAGTTTTTTGAATATCAGCACTCTTTCCATCAAGATTTGGCTCGTCACATAAAACTAAACGTCATCTCAATCAATCCTCATTGAAGCAGCACTGCACAGGCCATCATTGTGATTGGTCTCAGTCCGTCTTCACCTGTGACCCACGTTCCTTGGCATCGTACAGCCAAGACTTCCGAACCCGAACCCGATGATTCACCGAACCGAAACCCCACAGTTGCCGATTGTGTTGACGAATCAGAATGGCCCATCTTGAAGCTGGCAAGAAGCGCAGCAAACCGCAGGGAGTGACCAACCCCGATGATGAGCTCAGACCGCAGGGAGTGACTAACTCCCCTGATGAACCCGAAGCCCCCGTGAATCCCCCAACTACTCCTGATCCTCCCTACGACGATGGTGATGACACTGGCGGTGAAGTCGGACCCAGGATTGCGTTCGACGGAACCCGTTTGATCAGCTGCCAGCTGGACCCGCCGACGGTTACCAAAAAGCTCTTGAAAGCCGATCTCAATGATCGTTACGACAGATTGATCACGGTCTACAAGGAGCTGGAGGAAAAGTTTCACGAACTCGAAGGGCTCAACTCTGAGCTCGAGGACAAGGTCCGCGACCAGAGTGAAATCATTAATGAGAGAGACGAGGCGATGGCTCGCTACCACAGAGCAGCCGAACAACGAAATAAGGCACGGACTGCTCTTGAAACCTCCCAGGCAGCTGAAGCCGAAGCGGTCTCTCGAGCAGCCGCAGCTACGGCCGAAAGGGATGCTGCTGTTACCAAACAGACTGAGATGGCTCTCAAGTTCTTTGACCTTCAAAACAGCACACCGGTTGTGGAGGCGACTCAATCTAAGAAAACAACACGTCTTCCCGACGCGCCTATGCTTAGTGATGGCATTGATGTCCGCGAATCCTGGAAGACCGGCATTAAGAGAAGACTCGCTGGAAATCCTGACCATTTCCCCGATGCCAATGCTCGCATTCAATACGTGCAGAGCCGTGCCGAAGGACAAGCCTTCCGTCATATGGCTCCCCGTCTGGACGAAGACTCATCCGATCCATATAAGGATTACGAAGACATCCTTGCCCATATGAAGACTGTCTTCTCCAACCCAAACCACGTGGCAGAGGCACGAGCCAAGTACCAGCGTCTTACTATGAAGCCTAGGTACCAATTTACGACCTTCCTCGCTGACTTCATGGAGCTAGCAAATGAAGCGAGGATTCACGAGGAAGACAGAAAACAAGATCTCTACGAGAAGCTGCCGCCGATACTGCGAAATCAGATGTTGGGTGATTTCTGCGAGGACGAAGTCAGTTTTGAGACTTTCAAGGCTCGATGCATCCGGCGTGCTCATGCCATCTCTCAAGGCCAGTTGAACAAAGCGGGAACTGGCAAAGGACGGTCCTATGCTGGAAGGGCCACCGCCTCTACTTCATCACCTGGAGCTGCATCGTCGTTATCAAATTCGAAGGTCAAGACAGAGAACTCTGCAACACCGACCCACGTCCCATTGTCTACTACGGAACGTGCACTTCTTATGAAAGAAGGCAGATGCTTCGACTGTAGAGAGCCAGGCCACATGACGCGTGACTGTCCCAAGAAGTCATCGTCGAAGACCACTGCCGCGCCTGCTGTTGCTGCAGCTCAATCCGCTATCGATTTGACAGCTCTCGAAGACCCCGCTGTTGACAATTCGGGAAAAGCCCGTGCCTAGGCCAAGTCTCCCTCCTAGGCGGATTGAAGGTATCACTCTTTGCGCTGAATTTACAGAAATTACTCGGAACTCCCCACGATAGTCTAGTTTTTAACACGCAACTTATGTTGAATGGACGTTCCTTTTCTATCTCAGCACTTGGTGATACTGGAGCAGACGGATCAATTTTTCTCAACTCATCATTAGTAGAATTGCTCGGACAACATGGCCTTAGGACCCAGCGACTTGGCAGAGAATGCCCCGTGAACGGTTTTGATGGAAGGCCCTCGACCCATCATCCATGCGGTGATCCTGACTATGGGAATCGATGGCCATATCCAACGGCAAAAACCAATGCTGGTAGCGGACCTCGGGAAGCACGATATGATCATTGGAAGACTATGGTTTGCAGAGCATGACGTTCTGCCAGACTGCCGTCGCCGCCGACTGATTTGGCCCCACGAAGTGTCCCTGTTTGAAGAGGTGGCTAGTAAAATAGCACTTCCAACACCTATCACAATCCTGAAGAATCCCCGAAACGTCACTCACCAGATGGATGCTGATCGTCGCGACAAAATCCTAGAGCAGAGCATTGATCCCTATCTGGATCGGAATGGAAGGCGTTTCCCATCCTCACGTCATCATCAAAAGGGATCATGGCAGGCAAAGGCTATTGACCAAATGCGACGAAACCTCGACGGTACATGCCCTTCGCCACCATTGGATTCCCCAGAATTGTCCGGTGCATTTGACATCAATATGATTAGTGCTAGCGGTTACCAGAGACTCGAAACGAGGTCCCTCTCGGATCCAAAAACAGAAGTCTTTGCAACGTCTCTGAGTGAGATCGATAAGATCCTGCAAGTAAAGATCAGCAGCATATCTGATGACCCGGAGAGGGATGAGATCCTTCATGTGTTAACCGCTGAATATCATGATTTGACCGACGTCTTCCTGAAAAGAAAATCAGATGAGCTTCCACCGCACAGAAAATGAGTCGATCATGACATCATCTTGGAAGCAGAAGCTCAGTCTGGTTATTGCCCTCTTTACAAACTGTCCACAGAGGAGCTCCAGAAAGCGAAGAAATACATTCTGACGAACCTCGATAAAGGGTTTATTGTCCCCAGCTCAGCACCATATGCCTCGCCGATCCTGATGGCTAGGAAGCCAGGAGGCGGACTACGCTTCTGCGTCGACTATCCGAGACTGAATGCGCTTACTAAGAAGAACTGCTATCCGTTACCTCTGATTGATGAGGTACTACAACGGACAAGCAAGGCAGAATTGTTCACAAAGGTGGACATACAACAAGGTTTCCACCGTATCCGCATGGCACCTGATGCAGAAGACCTGACGACATTTCGGACCCGATATGGATCTTTCAAGTACAAAGTTCTGCCTTTCGGTCTAACCAATGGACCCGCTACGTTCCAGCGATTTATGAACGACGTTCTCAGAGAATGCATGGATGAATACGCGATCGCCTTTGTGGACGATGTCTTGATCTATAGCGAGAACGAAGAGGACCATCGCCGACATGTCAGGGAAGTTCTTCTTCGACTCCGGGCAGCTGGATTACAAGTGGGTATCAAGAAGTGAGAATTTTCAGTCCAACACACAAAGTTCCTAGGCTTCATCATCAGCACTGATGGTATAGCTGTGGACCCCGAGAAGATCCGGATCATTGAAGAATGGACGCCTCCTTGTACGGTAAAGGGCATCCAGTCATTTCTCGGCTTTCGCAATTTTTACCGAAGGTTTATACGGTACTACAGCAAGATATCCAAACCACTGCACCGTCTAACCCGGAAAGACAACCCGTGGGACTGAGACAGCAAGTGTGAAGAGGCTTTTCAGGAACTGAAGAAGGCGCTCCTCTCAGCACCAATCCTACGACATTACGATCGTCAGCGCCTTACTCAAGTAGAAACTGACGCATCTGATGGAGTGCTGGGTGCAGTACTTACGCAGTACTACGAAGAGGACGATTTCTGGCATCCCGTTGCCTTTTATTCAAAGGGCATGCAGCAAGCGGAGTTGCACTACGAAGTCCGAGACAAGGAACTCCTCGCAATAGTCCGTGCTTTGCAAGAATGGAGGCCAGAGTTGCTTAGCCTAGCGCAGACAGAGCGTTTTGGTATCTTGACGGATCATCAATCATTGGAGTATTTCATGAAGAACCGACAGCTGAATCAGCGGCAAATGCGATGGAGCGAGTTCCTCTCCCAGTTTCACTTCATGATCAAATATCGCCCAGGAAAGAAGAACATTATTGCAGACGTCTTATCACGAAAGGACGCTCCATGTCTGGATGATAGCCGACAGGCTGTTCTACTCCCGGAGCCCTGTTTCGAAAGCCCTGGAAGAGATCCCGGTGCCGACCCCGTTCAGATATCCCCTCTTTCTAGCGATATGACAGATGACGGACCTGATGGGTCCAGCACCGTTGACGGGTCAAGCAAGCCAATCGCAACGACCCGAGTCTCAACGAGTTCCGAGAAATGGCTGGCGCAGGCAGCCCAAGCTGGTCGGTAAACAACGACGGTTTATTACTCTACCGTGATAAGCTAGAAGTGCCTGACCAAGATGATATCCGTGCTCGACTCCTCGACGAGATGCATCGTCAGCCATTGGTGGCTCACCCGGGTGTTGAGAAGCTGAAGAAATTAGTTTCTGCCCGGTATCATTGGCCTGGATGGGCTACTGATGTAAAGCGATACGTCGACAACTGTCTGACATGCAAGAGAAACAAGGCGTGGAGAGACAAGACCCCAGGTTTACTCCATCCGATAGAGAATCCCGAGTCGGCCATGGGAGCATCTCACTATGGATTTCCGGTCATTTCCGAAGGACAAAAATGGGTTTGACGCTGTACTCGTGATCGTCTGTCGACTCACTAAGAGACCAATCTCCATACCTTGTCACAAAGACACGAACGCGAAGAAAATGGCCCGTCTGTTCATTAACAACGTCGTTAGGATCACAGGGATTCCGGTATCGATCATATCAGATCGAGGAGGGCAGTTCATCTCAGAGTTCTGGACTGAATTCTGCCGAATTCTTGGAATTGAGAGAAGACTATCAACAGCACATCACCCCGAGACAGATGGTCAAGACGGATCCCATTTATCTCAGTCGTACATCGACATTGGGAAAGAAACCTGTCCTGATGGCCTGTCACGCATCGGTGGTGTTGGTCTCCTGGCATCGCGGCTCGGCTCCGATCAGCAACCACATCCCAATCTGCATTTACCGCAGACCCTTCTCTGGCGGCGATGCTGCTTGGACTCATACGCCAACTGGATTGGACAGCAGCAACCTCCTGTTACGATCCGGAGCCGGGGACGGGGTGGAGATGAGGATAAGTTGGCAGGAACAGGGATAATCAGACTTGCGGCCGGATCGCGGACCGATACAGGGTCGCCGAGGAAGGTGCGCAGGCTATGGCGGGAACAGAGAAGACAAGGTCTAGAGGCAAGACAAGACAAGATGCGAGACTAGGACTAGGTAGCGAAAGGAAGTGAATTGTTGCGTGAAGAGAGAATCTATCTACAAAGAGGATGCGTCCTTATATAGCTTCTCCTTTCACGCACCGAGGACCGAGGCCATGGCAAAAGGACCTTACGAGAAACATCGAGCAATGAGTATAAGTGGAATCTAGAAGTCGCGATCACTACTGCGTGGCGGGATGCAAGCGCCAAGCAATGGTCTTGGCGACTCCGGAATGTTCGGCGGGGAAGCTTCATGACAGAATGGCATGAAGGTAATCCCGATTCCTGTTGCGTGATGCACGGGTAGAGTGTGCAGAACGACGTCTGTCTCTTGTAGACCGTACCAATCGGCAATTGCCTTCGCCTTCATGTCAATGAATGAGCGTCGCTTCACGGCACATTTGGGAGGACCGCTCGTGCCCGACGTGAAAATGGTTAGTCCAGGCCCGCTGTAGTCAAGGTAGTGATCGGAAGAGACGACAATGTCGGTATGGGGAATCAGCAGTTTGCAGATCTCTGGCCGGATGCTCATTGAGATGAAGTTGGGATTGCGGGTTGCATGGACTTTCTTGGCTAGGCTTTGTCCGAAGTCGGCATATCTCGAGGCACAAAGAATCGCGACCGATTGGCAGGTGTCTGCGAAGTAGAGGGCTTCCTCTAATGGGGCTGATGTGGCTTGAAGCAAAGTTAGTGATGCATCTTGGATTCGATAAGGGAGCTCTTACATATTGGCACAAGAACTGCACCCAGTCCCACCGTTGCTAAGAAGGCTGTAGCAAACTCGTAGCCTCCGGGTGCAAGCAGGTTTATGGAGACTTTTTCTCCTCGAAGCAGGCTAGACTTGCAGCTGACGTCTAGGCTTCGGAAGATTGCATTGCGCAGATGAAGTACATCAGACAAAAGTTGACCGTAGGTTGCTTTGTGTCCGTACGTAACATCGTTGATTGCGAGGGAAGTGCGGTTACCTGCAAGATATAAGAGACGATTGAAGACAGGGAAGTTGGGAAGAATGTTGTCGCCAACGTGTTTTGGGGGCTGGGTTGGACGACGTTGGACTGGAAGCCTTGCTTCAGTCGATGTGACCTCCATGCCGTTGGGTGTGTTGATGGAATGGCACTCGCTGGTTACGGACGCATCAACCACAAGTGTCTATTGAACCTAATAACAACTCATCCTGAGGGGCGGATGCTCCAGCTTTTGTTAAGATCTACAATCTAAACGAGATCATGAAGGAGTGGTACAAATGTAGATTGTACTGAGCTATGAGAGCTGTAGAAGGAAGAAAGTGCGGAGCTATGATGTGGTGGGAAAAAGGACAGCATCATGTGACAGTGGGAGAACTCAAACAGGAGGACGTTCTTCCGTCTACTTTTTGAGACAAGAGCTGCCCATCCAGAAGGTACATCTTCACTACCAAAAGGGTATCTGAACCGAGAGTACTGTTACGAAAGTGCTCCGAACGACGGTGACCATGACGAACTTGACGATGAACCGGATCTTTTTATCGCAGGGCACTGAAGCCTGCTCAGGACGAGAGGGATGGTTCTTCCTTACGGCTGATACTTGATGTTTTCCTTTTGGTTATCTTTGCCTTGTTTCTGTTACTTTGATGTGTTGTTTGGTGTCGACCAGGGGACGGTCGATTTCTTGAGGGGGGTGGTATGTAGTGGGGAGGTGTGACCTCCCCTTACAGGCATGCTTCCCCTGTCCACTCCCTTGGTTTTCACGTGAGCGTTCCTTACACCAGCAGTTTTGCGCTGGAGATATAGTCGCGAGGTAGCTTCAGTTAGCAATACACACTCCTACACATCTCTGATTTCTCTTCTTGTGCGCAAGCACCCAACCTCTTTGTTCCTCTGGTCTGATGCTATGCTAGGTGGTACTTGCTGAATCGACCCGTGTGCCTCAGAGCACACAGCCTTAGAGCGTTCCCCTCTTCAATATCTAGACCACTCTCTCCACGATGACTGTCGACTCATCATCCACAGCCTCAACTCGAGCAATAACACTCCCTCCAGCGTCTACCAGCTGATAAAACGTTGCCTCCTCCAGTTGATATCCTATTCCATCAGCCACAGCCTCACACCCTTCAAACTTGACCTCCCCGAACCCCACAAACGGCACCTGATCCTCCCCGGACGCAAAATCCTCCACCACCCACTCCGCATTCTGTCCCACTATCGTCGCAGTACTCTTCGGCGCTGTCACCGTCTTCGACGCAGTTTCTCCCGTACTTACATTCTCAATCATGCACACTCCCCGGTCCGGCGCCGTCATGTTCACCGACGCAACAAGTACGTCGCCCGGATTCACCGCGAACTCGTCGTAATACAGCGCAAAGTTCGGGTACCATTCGTACCATGCGTCCGTGTAGGGTTCTCCGTCAATGATATAGAAGTCCACTCCTGTCTGTAGGATCGCTGTCGTATATGTTGCCCCATCGATGCCGACCCATGCGGAGGCTGCTTGATAGGTGGTGGGAGTTGAGGAGGTAGGAGTTGGTGTTGGGACTGTGACGGTGGCTGAGACGTAAGTGTAGGTTGCATTTGGGGAAGGCGGGGTTTTTAACACTGCGCCCGCCCAGTTTGTGCTGCTATATGTTGATTGAGTGTTGGAGGTGAGCTTGAGGCGGCTGAGGGAGAAGGAGGAGTGTGGAATCTCTTGGAGAGGGTGGGAGGTGCGGTTGTGCTTCGCTCTTAGGGGTTGCCTGGCTCTTTTCTGGAGGTTGGAGGAGGATGATACAACAACACCTAGGGTTGTTCCTTGGTGCAGGAGGGAGGTGAGTAGGAGGAAAACGAGAATACTCTTCATCGTGGTATTTGTTGCGAGTGAGAAAGTGAGTGGACATAGAAGGAGGGACGTAGAAGGGGGATGGTCGTTTTTATAGACTCTTTACTTTTTGATTTCTTTTCATTTGGGTCCGAGACCTACTTCGAGTAAGATTGTACCACTATAGTAGCACAATCCCTAGGCCCACCTCTTCCATAACTTTTACCGTATTGTAATGCATCCATTGCGCTAGTATTATAGACTAGGAATTACGCTGCCCACCACGAGGTATTATAACGTTCGCCACCCAAAATGAAGATTAGAAACTACATTGTAAGTAGACTATGCAAGGAAGTCAAATATACACCCTAAATGCCGAGTCTAGTACAACTTCACCGGTGCAGACGACTCAGGCGACGAAGACATAAGCAATGTCGAAGAGGATGGTGTTGTTGTCGAAACATCGGAGGCATTTCCTACAAATACCTCCAACGCACCATTTGACGTTTTACAACCGCTGACATAGTTGACGGTCAATGCGCATCCATTGGAGAGAAAGGTGTGACCGCAGATACCGCAATCGCCGCCCGTCTCCTGGAAGATATGATCGTAGGCCCTACATTACGTCAGTAATTACCTGCTGGCAGTTATAGAAGAGTCAGTAGGGGACTCACGCGGCCATCTCGTCACCAGTCATTTCGCAGTCCTCACCCTCGACAAAGACACCGCAGCCGTAGCCGGCATTCTTGCCATCCGTGTAGCAGGTACCAGTGTTGTAATCCGAGTCCTTCGTTCTATTGCCAGAGTTAATCAGGTCTAAGGCCTTGAGACAAATCAACGTACCCGTATACAGTGGTCTCCGTAAGGAAAGCCTTCGCCATATCACAGAAACTGTGCAGGTTCGCAAAGGTGCTACATGTTACGCGTAGCCGACTGGTCACTGTGAGTTAGAATGTCCACGGGTTATACTTGCCTAGTTCCAACTGCGGATTCCAAGAGTATCTCGCAACCGTACCGTTGCTATGCCAAGCCTTACGTCGGGTTCGGGTCCTGCTGAGTATCTTGCAGAACGTGCCAGAAGTGCGCGCCAAGTAGGTCAATCACTAAGTGTTACCACTAGGTGAATCCCCTACCTGTAGGTTGGGTTGTCTTGAAGGTGAACTGTGAAGTGCAAAGTACTAAAGGTAGTAACCGAGTAACAATGTGCAATTGATCGCGAAGAACTAAATACATGATGCTGAAATGAGTGTCCTTATATATCCAGTCCTTCGTGTTGTGGTCTACAGTTGGGAATGACTCGGACTTGACCAATCCAGAATCTAACTACTGCCACCCACCTCCTTCATATCATTTATATTTCTTGACATTCCTGAAAGACATATCATGTCAGATACTCTTCAGTCACAGCCACCACCCACAAATGTGTTCAAGTTATCCTTTCCCCAGCCGAAAGTCCTACTGGTGACGATCGACCGTGAGAAACAACGAAATTCATTGCCCGCCGAGGCTCATTGGGAGGGTCATAGCTTATTCTCCTGGTTTGACGATGAACCCAGTTTGCTGGTGGCTATAGTCACTGGAGCCGGCGACAAAGCATTCTGTGCCGGCCAGGATTTGACCGAACAGGCTTCTTCTCGCCTGGGTCCCAAGACTCCGGCCCAAGTCGCAGTGATGAACCATCCGCCGTCAGGGTTCATGGGATTGAGCCAGCGCAGAGGTAGAAAACCAGTGATCGCCGCTGTAAATGGGTTTGCACTAGGGGGAGGCTTCGAGATCTGCTTGAATTGGTAGGTCCAGCATCGGGGCGATCGTGAGTGCTACGTGCTCGAGCTTATTCTTTCGTCTCTAGTGATATCGTAGTCGCCTCCCCCAAGGCTGTATTTGGACTTCCCGAGGTTGCAGTGGGACTATATGCTGCAGCCGGAGGACTGCCTAGGTTGATGCGGATTGTTGGTCTGCAACTCGCATCGGAGATTGCTATGACCGGCCGCAAATTGACAGCCCAAGAAGCCCTGGACTATCGGCTTATCAACCGAATTTCTCAGAGCCCACAATCGGTGGTTGATGAATGTCTCGTCCTAGCGAGCCAGATTACAAGTTTCTCTCCTGACGGTATCATCGTTACACGCCAGGGATTGCGCGAGGCATGGGACAATCCCAGCGTCGAGCACGCCACTGCACGAATTCGTCATGAATATGTGAACCGCCTGGTTGCGGGTGAGAATTTCAAGATTGGAGTTGAGGCTTTTGCCAACAAGACAAAGCCCAAATGGGGCCCTTCTCGTCTATGAGGTTGGCGTTTTCAATGTGTCTCGTTTGGTGATCCGCCGGGACAGCGAATGTATTCCAGAACGATTTTTACTGTGTAGGCAATCTAAGTCCTACAGTGTTAATAGAGATTTTGCCACATGTGCTAGGAACATAAAGATCCCCGCAGATATAGACCGTGTGGGGGAGCTCGGGCCGAGGGTCGTTGTAAACGACCTAGCTCCCTCTTGTAGGTTTATTCCTCATTTCTTTACATTCTTTATTAGCATCGAACATCCCTCGCTCTTTCTTTCCTAATAATCTGCCTCCTTTCTCTAGCTCAACAAAATGCAGCCTGTCATTGTCGGGGTTGCCGACATTAAGAATCGATCACTCGCCGTTGAAGATGCCAAGGAACCTGCTACCTTGATGTTGGAAGCCATCCAAGCCGCTATCAACGATGCATGCACCTCAGATGAGACTGCACAGATCCTCCGAGATCATATCGATAGTCTGAGCGTTGTACAGACTTGGACCTGGCCCTATCAAAATCTGCCGGGCTTGTTGTCTCAATGGCTCGGAGTGAATCCCAAACACCAAACATGTACCGAGCATGGGGGTAACCAACCTGCCAAGCTCCTCGATGAGGCTGCTCTGCGGATTACACGCGGCGAAGCAACTGTAGCGGTGATTACGGGGGGTGAAGCGCTTGCTTCTTGTGAGTGGAGATAGTTGATTGACTTGGGCCTCGTTGACGAGTGTATAGTGGCTTCATGTGTCAAGCATGGCAAGATGCCACCTCCGGGTTGGTCATCCCCGGCTCAAAATGTCACGGATGTTTTCTCTCCAACCAACAGAGAGCTGAGGAAGGGTATGTGTGCAACATGCAAATAGTGGACACTGTGAATGATGATTCTAAACCCGTTCCTAGATATCGCAGGGCTACATTCCGTGGGGTCACCAATCCATGTATATCCACTGTATGAGAATGGATTCCGGGCCCACCGTGAACAGTCACTCCAGGAAAATCATGACGAGTCGGCTGCCCTTTACGGCTACTTCAGTAAAGTCGCATCACAAAATCCATACGCCTGGAACTATGGCGTCGAGGCCGAGACCGCCACTTCGATTGGCACCATATCGAAGAGAAATCGCATGATCTGCTCACCATGTGTGTTTCGGACTTCCGGCATTTTTATCAGTAATTCATCGAAGCTGACGCATACTTATGACAGATCCTCTTTTGATGAATGCTTTCAACACTGTCAATCTGTCTGCAGCTTGCATCGTAACGACTACCGAGCTCGCTAGGCGACTTCAGATACCCGAGGACAAGTGGATCTACCCCCTCGGTGGTGCTGGTTCCAAGGAGCGTGAGAATTGTATGTTTACAAACATTATATTCCAAACCTAGCGAGACAACCTACTAACATGGACGTCTCCCAGTCTGGGAACGACCCAACTTCTTCCATAGTACGGCAATATCCAAGGCTTTGGACACATGTCTGAGCGTCAGCCAACTTACATCCAAGGAGATTGACCTCTATGATTTCTACTCGTATGAACCCTGGCCTGAGAACTGCGATTTCCAACTGACCTCCTTCCAGATGTTTCCCAATTGTGCCAAAACTGGCGTGCCATCACCTAGGCATTTCGATCAGAGAGCCCCAGAAGCCAATTACCCTGCTGGGTGGTCTCACCTCCTTCGGCGGTGCTGGTAACAACTACTCCATGCATGTACGAGCCCTACAACTTGCTCTAGCAACCAACTACTCACCTGAAATTCCAGGCTATCACTGAAATGACCCGCCGTCTACGCCAAGGCTCCAGTCGCAATGGACTTATCCTTGCCAACGGTGGTATTTTATCTTACCAGCATGCAATCTGCATGTCCTCCTCACCCCCAAAGGAGGGGACACCTTATCCCGATAGTGAAGTTCTAGGAAGAGGCGAATTAGGTCCGATTCCGCCAGTCGACTTTGAAGCAGAGGGGCCGGCAAAAATCGAGGTCAGTGGCAGTCGTCATCTGTCGCATTTTCCGAAAATATCCTGCCAGGAAAGCTAACTATGAACAGACTTATACCGTTGAATTCAAACGAGATGGGACTCCATTGCGAGCTTACATCGTAGGCAGGTTGACTTATACTAATCACCGATTCCTGGCAAATGAGGGCGACAAGTCGACTCTCCTACGCTTGGCTTCATCCCATGAGGAACCGATAGGGAAACTTGGTACTGTCATTGCTGATCCCTCGGGGGTAAAGGGCCAGAGAAGGAACTTGTTCTCGTTGCATAGCGCGTCCAGGCTGTAGTTGAATTGGAATGGCAATATTCATAATCGATGACAAACTTATGTCCGAAATGAGCTTCAGCAAGCAGTCCATCCGATTCTGTTACGGACTCATTTTGGGAATTCATTGTAGATAGAAGAGGTTAGATATTGCTCGTCTCTGGAGTCTACGGTGATGTCGTTTTTTCTTTACCTTCCTCTGGCTCCGACGCAAAATATCTATTCGGCTTCTTGAATTATTTCTCCAAAACACGACGTACACGACGTGGTCAAGTTGGGGAAGATCGACAATGACTCCAACTCGCCTCCGTGTTCCCCGCACTTCCCCTCTCCATCTCGAATGAACAAAATGAACTATATAACTTGTTAATGATTCAATGGTTTGGAAACCATTTGTATATTTCACTCTGTTAGGATGGCACTTCTGACCATAAGACGCTCCTCCAATGTGACACGGCTCATCTAACCTCATTCAGTTGGCGCGACCCCAATTGCTCAGGACTCTCCGACCAAGGGCGTATCGTCTTGGTTCACGATCATTATACGGGCGGGCGACCGAGTTTCTTCAAAATCATAACCCCGATCTATCCGAATCTCAGCGAATGGTGCGACAAGAAATTGCCAAGATATGTTCGGATTTTCCAGATAATTATTGGGCCAAGGTGGACGAGACGCACCAGTTTCCGACCGAACTGTATGAGGCGTTGGCATCCCAGGGCTGGCTGGGCATTTGCTTGCCACAACGATATGGAGGTTCTGAGCTGGGAATTTCAGAAGCCGCAGTGATGATGCAGACCATTGCAGAGTCCGGGGGAGGGATGACTGGTGCATCTTCTATCCATATGAACATCTTTGGTCTTGAGCCAGTTGCCAAGTTTGGGACCGACGAACAGAAAGAACGATGGCTCACTCCGCTCATTGCTGGTCGCCATAGGGCATGTTTTGGGGTCACGGAGCCCAATACGGGCTTGGATACGTTGCAGTTGCAGGCCACAGCGCGTCGATCTGGCACTGGCTACATATTATCCGGGCAAAAGATCTGGATTTCGACGGCGCAGAGAGCGGACAAGATTCTGATTCTCGTGCGTACGACACCACGCGACCGAGTGAAAAAGCCGTCCCAGGGTCTTTCCCTTTTCTACACTGATCTACAGGTTCCTCAGGTCCAAATCACCGAGATCCCCAAAATGGGCCGCGCGGCCGTGGATACCAACTCCCTGTTCTTCGATGATTGGCATGTCCCGGAGGTGGACCGGGTGGGACAAGAAGATGAAGGATTCAGGATGATTCTCCACGGGATGAATGCAGAGAGAATTCTGATCGGCGCAGAGGCACTCGGACTCGGCTTTGCAGCGCTGCGTCGTGCAGCCTTATATGCCAATGAGCGACAGGTATTTGGGCGACCGATCGGGCAGAATCAAGGGATCCAACATCCTCTGGCCGACAGCTGGATGAAACTGGAAGCAGCGCGTATGATGATCTATCAGGCGGCTCGGCTTTACGATCAAGGCTATACTGATGGTGAATATGCTAACGCTGGCAAATATCTGGCTGCCGAGGCTGCCTTCGAAGCCTGTGAGCGAGCCATTTGGCCCATGGAGGGATGGGATATGCGAAGGAATATCATGTCGAACGGTATCTTCGAGAGGTCTTCATTCCTCGCATTGCCCCGGTTAGTCGAGAGATGATTCTAAACTACGTAGGAGAGCGAGTGCTGGGTCTTCCCAGGTCTTACTGAATCGTATCTGCGCAATTCTGTATCTATAGTTCGAGCTAGAATGGAATTCTTCGGCGAACACCCATAAGTATCCCAGTTTATTTAGGCCACCAACCTAGGCCACCAAAGGTCAGCCTGGAGTAAAGTCAGTACCTAATGTCAGTAAGGTCAGTAAGGTCAGTAAGCAAACCAAGATTCGGTTAATTTCGGTCTTTCCGTCGGTTCTGCCTGAATATATCAACTCGGCTTCTTAAGCGGGGATGTCGATCGTCGAAATCCATCCAGTTCAGCTTCCACCTTAACTACATCGTCAAGCATTAGACACCTGTAAGGTACACTAATTAAAGCAGCCATGGCTGTCGGAAAGATGTCCAATGCATATATCGCTATACAGAATGCCACCCAAGTGATGAAATATCGCAGACTCTTCCCCTCACCTTCGAAATATCTCAACAATCGACTGCATTTTAATTGCAATCATACGGCTGCGCACCAAAATACTCCTTTGGAGGGAGTTCGCATTCTAGATCTCACGCGAGTCCTTGCAGTAGGTTGGTGGTTTCGATGTTAAGTGATCAACACTGATACACCCCAGGGTCCTTTCTGTACACAAATCCTAGCCGACTATGGGGCTGACGTTCTCAAAATTGAAAACCCGCGAGGAGGTGTATGTTGCCAAATATCCTCTTACACTCCCAGACTGGATCGGGCACTCACCCAAGCACAGGATGACACTCGCCTATGGAGGACAGGAGGAGAGGACCATCTATGGAAATCAACGGACGCAGATATGTCTGCATACTTTTGTGCGGTCAACCGGAATAAGAAGTCCATTACTTTGAATCTTAAAGAGGAGAAAGGACAAGAGATTCTGTTTCGGCTGGTCAAAAGCGCCGATGTTGTGTCAGTTGCCCTACTCACTGAAGCCACCACCTGTGCTAAACCTTGGGACGCAGTGTTGACAATTTTGTCCCGGGGAAGATGGATGAAATGGGAATTGGATATCAGAAGCTCCGAGAAGTCAATCCCTCGATCATACATGCCAGCGTTTCTGGTCTGTCCTCGACCATCGTCAATAATCTGCAGGTAGATCTTATCGCTAATTTGAGATAGGATACGGCGCTGGTGGCCCATATTTCCGCCGTGCAGGGTACGATGCCATAGCTGCTGCTGAGGCAGGCATGCTGCACATCACTGGTGAGCGCGATGGAGCCCCGACACGACCTGGTCTGGGTCTCACGGATATGAGTACCGGGCTCTATCTCCATGGGGCCATTCTCGCTGCCCTGTATGCTCGAAAGAATACAGGCCAAGGGCAAAAGATTGACGCATCTTTATTTGAGAGTCAGGTGTCTTTGCTCTCTAACGTCGCAATGTCGTGGTTGAATGCCGGTGAACATGCGCATCGTTGGGGCACGGAGCATCCAAGCATTGTCCCATACCAAGCCTTTAAAACTAAAGACGGCTATTTAGTGCTGGGAGCCACAAATAACCGGCAGTTTCAGATACTCTGTCAGTTGTTAGAGCACTTGGAATTGGCGAGAGACCCGCGCTTTGTTGATAACAGCTCCCGTGTCCTGAATCGGGCGGAACTGAAAGGGATATTGGAGCCGATAATCCGCGCAAAGCCAACCAAAGACTGGCTGGCTGTCTTGGAGGGCAGTGGAATGCCATATGGGCCCATTAACACGATAGAAGAAGTGTTCTCCCACCCACAAACTGCAGCCAGACATATGGTGCACACTCTTCCGCACGAACCATCAGTCTCAGGGCAGATCAAAGTCGTAGGTCTGTTTCTGACTAGATATGCCGCCGACATACCCATAAAGCCATATGCTAATTATCAAACAGGATTTCCGGTCAAATTTAGTGAGACTCAGCCTCGAATCCGACGAGCGCCGCCGAGTTTGGGGGCACATACCAACTCTACGCTCGAAGACATGGGGTATTCACCAAAGGAGATCGCGGCGATGCGGGAACAGGGCATTGTGTGATAGGCACCTGGCTTTAGGATGATCTAGCCCAAGTTCTTATGCAAAGAGGTCTCACGGTGTCGAGTGTTGAAAGTTGCATTAGCTCATGAAGATCTTGAAGATCTCTCGTCAGCTCAACCTTGGGTTGACATTTTCCATAGTCGGCCATACCAGCCCGGAATACTTGTGGACAGAGCTATATCAGTCATCATTGAAGAATGAATAGATTACATAGCATAGAGGTACGTGGCTGCCCAGGACCACCTGCAGCACTTGAAGCTGACCGATCGGCTTACAGGCAGGTGGGGAGTTGGGGAGTTGGACCAGTTAGTTAGGCACTTGCTATAGCTACGTAGTATGATCAGAGCAAACAACACTAAAATGGAACAGAATCCAACTTGAACCTCTGCAGTCTAACGTTGTGTCCGGAGTTGGCGGAGCTGAAGTGACCAAGTACATTCGGTGTGGCTAGCTGGCATGTACTTGGAGAGCTGACACCCTACGCACAACGAACCCCATACACCCCAATTCACGCTAACTGTCATGCAGCCCCAATCGAAATCTGGCAATATAACTGGATGATCCGCACGTCTGGGAGTTCGTAACTCTCCAAATGGTTGAGACGGTGGCTGCATCAATCCAATAGTAGAAATTCTGAAGTTGACCGCATCGAGGGGTGGTTGGCAACGAATATCAGACGTTGTCTTGGTCGCGAATAACTTCCGTCTCAAGGAAGGCTAACATGGGTTTGGGGAAATCGTTCGTCATTTGTGAAGACAACAACTTCGCCTTGGGAGGAGGCTTACATGCAATGTGACAGGACTGCATTCAATTTGAAAAACGTGCCTATGCTGTTCCCCTTGAACGCCGTGTTCTTGAAATCGTATAAAAAGCCCCTTCAATCCAGGACTTCTGACTGAACACCCCAGACTAGGTTCGAATGCACCTCTTCGGCCGACCGAGAAAACGATCTTCCAAACGAAGCATTGCTAGTATTGCTCCGACACTTCAGCCAGTCAGCAAGATGACATCCGAAGCTATCGAGTACCAGTATTATCAAATTAAAGCCCGATTCCCGGACACAGATTCCAGTCCCGACGATGGCATTAACCGCAGGGTTTTTGTCCGACAGGAAATCGATGAATGGAGCGGCAAGAAGTCGAACAAAAGGCAGGTTGACCTTTTCATCCTGGCTCTGGACAAGTTTCAGAAGTTGGATCCCAAAGAAAGACTCTCCTACTTTCAAGTCGCTGGTATGTGTCGATTGATTATCTATCATCTCACCAAGGTTGACTCCCATTTTAATAGGTATCCATGGACAACCCTTTGTACGATGGGATGATCCGAGCCCAGAGCCCATGAAGAGCGGCTACTGCTTTCACTCCCATGTGATATTCCCTATCTGGCACCGGCCGTATGTCCTTCTGTTTGAGGTTAGTGGACTGTGGTCTTTGATACGTTATGCGACATCTTCGGTGAAACTGTGAAAGTACTGATTCACCTCAGCAAGTCGTGTATGACATTATGATCCAGGAGGTCATCCCCCAATTCCCGGAGAATCATCAGGCCTCCTGGCGTCAACATGCCGAATCGTGGCGCCTGCCCTTCTGGGACTGGGCACGAAAGGGCCGTGTTCCCGACCTGGCCAAATACCCCACCATCACTGTTCCTAGGCCCGAGGGGGGCTCGATGCGAATTGACAATCCCTTGTTTCAGTTCCGCATGCCGACAGACAGGCCAATGCGGAGTGAGGGGGTGGGAACCGAGAATACATGGGAGAATGACTCTGAGCAGGAAGATTATAAGAACGTAAGCATACGCATTGGTACGACGGCGATAAAATGCTCACCTGAATAGTTTGGCAATGCGATAGGTACCAGCCGTTGGCCAGACGAAGAGGACCAAAACCCGACTAGCGAGGGTTGGCGACATGGTGTTGTCAACAATCGCAAAGTCGCCGATGCCTTTAATGCCCACGAGGGGTATAATGACAAGAATCATGGTCCTGCCGCTGAGATGGTTTATCGACTGCTCACTGTTCCTATGGACTACACCACATTTGCAAGCACTAATCCAACTTCGAAAGATCAGAATGTTGAGCAAGATCTGAACATTGAATATGTGAGTTTGTTTTGTCGCCCTGATAGATATGAGCATAAGATCTGACAGAGACTTTAGATTCACAACAACATGTAAGCATCGATAATATACTTGCCGTGAGATCTTCGCTATTGCTTTCAATACTGACTAAGTTGTCTCAAAGTCATGGTTGGACAGGCGATGCTGGACATATGGGAAATGTGCCAGTGGCCTCTTTTGACCCGCTGTTCTTCTTGCACCATTGGTCAGTATACTCCGCTTGGTCACTTCATGACCAAATCTGATTCACCACGCAGTAACATCGATCGGCTGTTTGCAATCTGGCAAGCTCTCAACCCCGACAAGTGGCTGACCAACATACCGGCCGACAATGCTACGATTCGTGATTCGTATGGTAAAGATCATGCGGTCAATGGAAACACCCCGCTTCAGCCATTCAGACGGGACGCCGAAGGAGATTACTGGACTCCCGATGGGGTCAGATTCACCCCCAACCTGGGATATGCCTATCCAGAGCTACCGCGGTGGGAAAGCAAATACCGACAGGAGGATGGAACACTCAACCAGGCTCTGTTCCAAGAGAATATCAACACCATCATCAATCGGTTGTATGGTGTGTCGCGTGATTTAGCCTTGGACCCTAAGACCCCACCGCCTAAGGGAGTTGAGGCAATTGACGGTGGACTCCGTGTCACAGACTTTGCCTTCAGCGTTCGATTTTTGAAGTGTGTTAGCCCTCACCAGCAATGTTTCTGTTCTTCCAATCACCTCTGATAGCTGACTGTCTTGGGTAATTCAGATACGCATTCGGAGGGCGGCCTTTCTGGGTCAAATTGTATCTCGCCCAAGAGGACGGCGTGCAAACTCCGCTCACAGACTTAATCGCCGAAGTCTACAACTTTAGCCAGAAGCCTGAGCTAGATGGTTTGTCAGTCTGTGGAAACTGCACGAAGGGACAAACGTTGCGCATTCAGTCGACTGCTTACATTCCAATCACCCCTGTCCTCTACAAGCTGGTTAGGAGTGGGCGGAAACTAACATCGTTGACGCGCGACGAGGTACTGGCGTATATTAGAAAGCGTGCTTACTGGCGTGTGTTCAAGGCAAGCAACCTCCGTCGCCGTCCTCCTTCCGTCGTGCGAAACATGCTGACAATTGCCAGCACGGGAAAGAAGTGCCTCGCTATGAGGTTGAGAAGCTGGAGTTAGAGATCATTGGAAGCACTAATGACACCAAGCATTTCGAAAACCCCGCGATACCCCCATCATTCGAAAATTTCCAGAAAGAGCCTACCATCTCCGGTGGTGCAGATGGAGCGCTTGATCCGGAGTTGAAGCAGCCCAAGATTGACCCACCGGCCCCTCGGTAAGTAACCAGCCTCATGAACGAGTGAAGACTGAACTGTCGTCACTAACTCTAATCAGACCCAAACGGCCAAGAGCAAATCTCCCACTTCATGGAAGTCTGCGCTTCCCGCAAACACTCAAAGCGGACAGTGTCATCCTCCTCGAATCATCCAGCGTGGATCCTGTGAAGCCCGACGTTGGCATAGACATGACCCAGATCTCGATTAAAGATGCAGCGAATGAGATTATCTTCCATATCTCTATTCGCCGTCGCCAAGGTCAAATCATATTCAACGCCAAAATCGGCGGGTCATGGGGTCAGGAGGAACGCATTAATATCGATGGTCGATTCGAAAGTGAGGACGGTGCAACGATCTTGATCCACGACCAGGGAGACGGCTTCGAAGTGTCTATTGACTGGGTTCACGCAATCTGGTTCGCTAAACGTGCCAAAGGAAGAACACCACAGTCAATTTCGTATGACCTTGGTGCCCAGGAGGGAACTTCTACCTTGTCGGAGGATTTGGAAGTGCGAACCTATCCTTCTATGAAGGCTTTGTTCCTCCAAAAGCATGCTCATGAGGAGGATCAGTAAGCCTCCTTTGCTAGGTATTCCCCAGCGGCAGGTTTTGAGCGCAACAGGTCTTGATGTGTTCTGGTAGCTTTCCATTGGTAATCATCTGGCGGTAAAGTGATGAGAACTTGAATCGTACAGATAGTTTTGACCCATCTGGGATCAAGACCGCAATACGCGCTTATTCCCATTTAGCAAATATTCGGCGGCAACATCATAAGCAGACCCAGGGGCAGTAATCTTGCCACTTCCCTTTGCGGCCTAGTAGGGAAAGGGCCTAGTGATTGAAAACATGAAGCAATAGACGATTTCGTACGCTTTCAGTACGCTTTCATTCACTGGAAAGGTTGTGTAGTTGAATAAATCTCCGCATCGATAGCAACAGGATACGGACCAGGCGTTATGGCAAGGGCGCAAGGCTAAGCCGCATCCCCTGTCCTTCCAAGGGGTTTTCAAAATATTCTATATTCAAAACATACCCTGACCTAGCGTGCTAGAAGAACTGATGTGTACTCCGGAGTTGGACCGTTGGTGAGTTGTATGCCCTGAACTGTCTTGGATATGGAGATGTTTACGATCAAGGAGTAGATTTCTTCCATTGGTCTGTCCTTCGGAACATTCTGATGCCGTTCCGCAAGAGGGAGTACTGATCACGTGACTTACCTTGGCAAGGAGCGGGCCCTTTTCAAACTGGATCTCGAAAAAGAATGTTGTTCTTCCCCTCCGAAGGTCTCCTTCCAAGTTCTCTAGGTCTTTGCACTTCTCGCAAGATTCGATTAATATGTTCAGCTTTCGTCCCTTGACTTATATCACATATTTGGCGCATGTCGCCTTTCTAGGAGGCAATGTGCAAACTCATGGTTCCCAGCTCAAGGACATTGTTTATAGGCGCCAGGTTCTTTACGTCGGCGGTGAATACATGAATATCACAGCAAGTTTTGATTTCCAACAGTTTCACGCGTATCTAAGATCACCGAACAGGAAATTGCAATCGACTCTACTTCCGTGGCTATGATAGGACACATTTATGTCGAGAAACTTTCCCCTGAGCCAACCCCGCCGAACTCACCACTTCCAATTATTTTCATGGCAGGCGCGGCTCAAACCGGCACCAACTTCCTTGATACTCCAGACGGACGGCCAGGATGGGCAACCTACTTTATCTCCAAAGGTCACACAGTCTACCTCTCAGACCAGGCCGCACGCGGTCGCTCTTTCTGGTTCCCCGGACAGGGAAATATTGGGTACATTGGCTCCCCTGATTCTGTCTCTGATCTTTTCACCGACGTAGCGCACAACGAGAATCCATGGCCACAGGCTAAGCTTCACACGCAATGGCCTGGCACTGGTCGCATTGGTGACTCAACTTTCGATGCTTTCTACAGGAGCCAGATGCAGTTCCAGACCGACCGCTTCATAAGCGAAGAACAAAATGCGCAGGCGTATTCAGCCCTCGTCGACCTCGTAGGCGACTGCTATATAATCAGCCACTCGCAGGCTGGTGCATATGGTAAGCTCAGCCAAATACTAGGACTCGGTGAAGTAATAACGCTCGACTAGGCTGGAGGGTGGGAGATATGCGCCCAGACCTAGTCAAGGGTATTGTACAGCTCGAGCCGTCTGGTCCACCGTTCACGCTCCGCCCGCCGTTTGGAAATAACCCGGCTTTCGCGTTTGGTCTCACGGACCTCGCAATCGGATACGAACCTTCTGCAGGCAAGAACGCCGAAGATATTCAGACAATCATCGAGCCAGCCTCGGACGTCAACCATGACGAGTGCATAATGCAGAAGTCCCCAGCCAAGCAGTTGATGAATCTGTCCAAGATCCCAGAACTTGTTGTTACAGGCGAAGCTTCCTTCCATGCGCCATACGATTACTGCACCGTCAAGTATCTGGAGCAAGCTGGCGTAGATGTTGAGTACGCGGATCTAGGCAAAGAGGGTATTCATGGCAACGGACACATGTTATTCATGGAAAAGAACAACCTTGAGATCGCAGACCGGGTGTACCAGTGGCTGAAAAAGCACTAATCACCAAATAATAACAGTGAATTTCCTGATTATCCACGGAGTTTGCACTGTTGATTGTAGGTCATTGGCAGCCAGGATCTTTGAAAATTTGCAAAGTGAACAATAGCAGGTCTTCATTGCCTTATGCGCAAAAAGCCTCGGTGGCGCCCAGGAAGAGAAACGGCACGGGAATTGATGTCGGACCAATGGCTAAGGGCGGCATAAACCTATGGATTTGGTATGGAATTGGACAGTTGGTGGTGTCCTGGCCCATGACACGCGCTCTAATGGAACTCATTAAACTTGGAAGACGTCGCAAACATGCGGGTGATGAAACCTCATTCACTGTCCCCGGTTTTAGATTGAGATGACCCTCTGTGGCTGTATGAGACCACGTATCCACCTTTTGGTCTGCTTTAAAAAAGAATTGACACCCGACGTTCCATTGGGTAGGTAGGGGAAAGTATATGTTCATCAGTAGGTCCATGTCGCCTAGAATATCTAGGTTCCACCCAGACCTAAACACTTACCTAGGTAGCGATACCCAGCTTTGATCTTGTTGACGGGCATGCGCTCTAGGAGGTGGGCCAGGTAGCAGCCGACCAACCCCAAACTTGGAGCCTGATGATGGATATTGCACGCCGTGATCATCATCGGTCTCAATGATTGCCCATCGGAGGTGCGTCAGTTTTGGCATACCATCATCAAGCCACATTGCCGTGGAGAGGAAGACAGACAACAACTATGCATGGCCGCAGTAAATTTAGCAGAACGCGATGGACTGCGGTTTCGATTGGCCGATATTACCTGTCCTATCAGATGGATACAGGTAAGGGCTCCCCAGAGGACCACCCTAAATTTCCACTGACCACAATAGGGGACGAATGACGCCGTCTATTCTGTAGCCAATGCCGCCGAAGAGATCCAGAAGTTTTCAAAATCACCAGATGCACAACTCATGATAGTCGATGGTGGTGCACATTCCCTGGGCGCTTCTAATCCGAAGGAGATCAATGCAGCTGTGATAGAGTTTGTAAACTCCCTTAATCCCCACCGGAACTTGGAAGTTCCGAGTAGGAGTCGTCCAAGCACTGTTTCAAATTCAAATCGATTCTTATAAGAAGCAAATGATAGAATATGAGGTGATGCTGACACGCCAGATCATTTCCTGAGCCCTCGGGGTCATCGAAAGGCCAGGCCACCACGAAGCAGGTCGTTGAAGAGGACTGATTGGAAACTGCAAGGTTCACTTAGTTCGACTCTTTTCATTCCTAATCATATAAGTCCCCTTGACTTTCCAAGGTAGCGCCAAGAGAACCTGGACCCATGTGAGACTCCGCTCGGCGGAAGATACTTGGCATTTTGGCGCCTGTCTTGGAAACAAAACTTTTAGAGCCCCTTACCACCACCCTAGAACAGACGAGAGTCTTTTGTGGTGATTCCAAGTGTATTCGTAGAATAGTACTACCTGATATCAGATTTTTGGAAAGGGAAGATTACCTCCCTGACCACTGTAGATAGAACGACTGCTGACCAGACACCGGTCGCCGGAGTCTAAGCGGAGAAGCTAAGAAATGTTTGGTGCTGCAACTCTTGCTGATTAATGTAGGATCTCTGAAGTCGTCGACATTATACACAGAACGAAAGATTGATTGTCCAAGTTTCGAGGCTACGTGTAGCCTTTTTCCAGTCTTATGTATTCTTCCCCTTATGAGATATGATATTGCCTACACCGGGAAGGCCGGGACCAGGCTGCGGGGTAAGGAGCGCCATTCAGACTTGGCATTACCACACTCGGCATGCTCGACTTTGGAAAGCCAAGAGGAACTCGACGCCAAGCTCTTGAGACTGGGCGGTGCAAAGCAAACCTGTGGGCATCCAAACCGAAGGCAGACAATTTCTGGTGCCAAGATTCTTGGAATAGAGAGTCGCGTCTCTGCCAAGTCGACTTCCATTGCTTCTTGAGGATACAATACGATGGGTTTCATTATATTATCTCTCTGTCCTTCTGGGGAGCCCACATTCATTTTGCTCTCCTGGTCTCAATGCACTCATTGTCCCCTCTCCATTTCCCTGTGTTATGCATATTCCCCGATGTCGGTCCCACCTGTGGGTGTGTCGGATGAGGCCTGTGATTCTTCCTGGGTTGTTGACCATCCTCTTTACCTGTCTCCTCGTGCCAAATGCGCTCGCAATTGACGTTAATCCTGATGATATAAGTGAGTCCATCTCAGACTCTGCCTCGGCACCCCAACTGACTTACGTCTACCTCTCCGACAGCCTCCCTCCGAGATGCCGCCAAGACCGTCGCATCCAACATGGTGCAGTTCTACAATGACCGCGACTCGAAAGATATTCCGGGAAAATTGGACGGTACATGGTGGGAGGGTGGTTCCATGTTTATGACCCTTATCCAGTACTGGTATCTAACTGGCGACGACCAGTTTAACGACGCCATCCAAGAAGGCATGTATTGGCAAAAGGGGGAAAACGACTTTTTCCCAAGCAACTACTCGCAGTATCTCGGCAACGACGATCAAGTGTTCTGGGGATTAGCGGCAATAACGGCAGCAGAACTGAATTTCCCAGAAAGAGACAACGAACCCTCGTGGGTTTCTCTAGCGGAGGGTGTCTTCAATAGTCAGATTCCTCGCTGGGACTTGACGAGTTGCGGTGGGGGTTTGCGGTGGCAGATCTGGCCCTACCAGAATGGATTTAAATTGAAGAATGCCATATCGAACGGGGGCTTATTCCAATTGTCAGCGCGTCTGGCGCTATATACAAAGAACGCGACCTATGCCGAGTGGGCTGAGAAGATTTGGGATTGGAGTGCGACCACGCCGCTATTGAGGAAAACCTGGGTTATCGCCGATACCACTAATGTGGATGCGAATTGTAAGGATCATGGTGATTTTCAATGGACTTACAACTACGCTACGTATATCTGCGGTGCAGGCTATATGCATAATTACGCATGTCTACCCTTCCTGTCCCAAAAGATGACCAGCCGAAACTAACGAGTTGTATAGACGAATGGTGAAGAAACCAAATGGCTTGAAGGCATGTCAGGATTGATCAAGACTTCTGATCAGTTCTTCCCTGACTCCGCTTCGAACCAAGTGATATCCGACATCACCTGTGAGCCAATCAAAAAGTGTGATCGCAACCAGAAAACCTTCAAGTCCTATTTCACTTCCTGGCTTGGATTCATGTCGCTGATAGTACCAACGAACGCCACAGCGGACATGATGGCCAGATTCAAGACTTCTGCTGTCGCTGCCGGTCAACAATGCTCCGGTGGAAGAGATGGGAAGCATTGTGGAATTCGATGGACAAAGAGGACGGAATGGGACGGTACTTCCGGCTTAGAGCAGGAGATGTCTGTTTTGGGTGTTCTTAACGCTGTAATGGTCCCATTCAAGGCTCAGGCTCCTTTCAATACTCATAATGGCGGGAATTCCCAAAGTCGCCCCCATGGGGAAAGCGATACCGAGGACACCCCTGGGCCTATCACTACAGGTGACAAGGTTGGCGCGGGAATTTTGACTGCGATGTTTGTTATATTCTGGGCCGGGGCTGTGTCCTGGATGGTCAAGGATAAGTAGATACACTTAGCTGTGATGATCTATAATATGTATATTGGCAAGGGAATACTCGAAGCCCGGCTGCATGCTGCACACGGGTCGATTCAGCAGATACCATCTAGCATAGCATCGGAGTTCAGGAAGACGTTGGAGCCTGCGCTCCAGAAGTGGTACCTATCGGAGAGGTGTAGAAGTGTGTTCCTTTCAGTATGGCTATCTGGCGCCTGTCTTCTCGACATGAGCTTGGCTCTTAAATTCAGTTGCTCCAGCCGCAATAATCACACTGGCATCAACATCCGGAGCATATTGCGCGACATTGGCCTTGAGCTGGTTTGTGAAAACGTTCTGTGCAACAGACACGACGACTCCATGCACTGGCGAGGTTTTCTGTGAAGATGACAACGGCGGCGCCGATTGGTATGTATATCTTCCAAGGGCGAGGCAGCCTGGGGTGTGGAGAATGCCGTCTGCAGACCACAGCCAACTCCTGCCCCGAGGATAACCTGATAACCAATCCATTTGGGGTACCCGGAGCTCATGCCTAGGATGAAGAAGAAACGGCATCCAATTGCTATGAGGATAATCGTCATATAGGCCCATTGCACGTAGTGGCCAAACACAGAGGTCAAGGCTCCAGTGCCAAACGAGAATATAACGTGGCTCAGAACAAGAGGAAGACTCATGACTCCGGACTTGATCGGGGTCCTTTGATGGCTTGGAACCAAATGGGAATCTGACGGAATAGTTAGAAAGTTAAATGTAAGAACCTAAAGATGCACATACGTAGTATAACATAACGAAGAACCTAGGCAGCGACAATACATGAGCCAAACAAGGACGAGCCCGAGATGTTGTCGTTGCAGAAAATCCTGACTGGGACCTCGGCAAGATCACCAGAGCCCCTGGACAAGCATGATCACAATCAGGATAACGAACGACAGCCCAAGTAGAGCGACGATTCGATCATTATCCCATGGATACTTAGGGCCACCCCTGTGATGAGGAAGTTCTTTCGAAATAAAATTCGATTCGCTTTGATCTAAAAACAACAAGGTTGGGGAAGAAAAGAAAAGAAGAAAGAAAACAAACAAGAGGTGAAAAGGACTACACGAAAAGATTGGTCATGTGATTCATCACATCACCCCCCTCAAAGATCCGTTCAGTCCCTTTGAACGGGTTTACCGTCATCGACATGCTCATCAGGGTACTCATCCTCTAAGGCGCATTGTTTCCAGTATTGCAGCCTTCTCGGAGGTCCCGGCTTCGCTGGATACTTGTCATGGAATGTTTCCAATTTTTGCGGTGCGTTGCATAGATTAGCAGCCGGGTACCAGGCTCTATCTTCGTCGTCGTAGCCTCTCCATTTCACTTTGTATTGCAGTTTTCCGTATCGCAAGCGTACGTCCAGTATCTCTTCCACTTCCCATTCGTCTTGCTCCCCAACCTTGACTGGAGGCGGTGGATCCTCTATCTGCCCGGTGAGTGGCTCGGATGTCTTTTTCCTGGCAAGTCGCAGTTTTTCGGGTGCAAACACCGGGTGTATGTCGAACCCTGCTGGTAGGCGTAACTCGAATGCGTGCCCGACCTTCTTGATAATCTCAAAGGGTCCCGCTGCCTTATCCGATAGATTTAGGCTCGGGCGGTTCTGTTTCAACCCTTTCAGAGAAAGGTACACGTAGTCTCCTTCATCGAAGTCAACTTCCCGTCTATGTTTGTCAGCTTGCACCTTCTGCCGAACCTGAGCTTTCGTCATCTGTTCCCGTGCTGAAGACCACGCTTCCTGCAGCTTCTGGGTGTAAGATCGGGCGTCTTGCTCTCCAGTCTCAGTACCAACGCGCTCTTCCCAATCGAACGACATCCTTGGCTCGTATCCTCTTTCGACGAAGAATGGAGACAGCCCGGTAGATGCTGATGGAACCGTCGCGGCTGCTAAGTCAATCAAAGGAAGTAAATCCGACCAATCATCTTGATGATAGTTAACGTATGGGCGTAATCTCTGTGCGATATACTGGTTTGTCACCTCGGTCTGCCCGTCTGTTTGAGGGTGTCGAGCCGTTGACAGCTTTCTCTTAATTCCCAGGATCCTGCAGAACTCCGACCAGAATGACGAGATGAACTGGGGACCCCTATCTGATACCACGGAGTCCGGGATTCCGGTCCAGCGAAGAATATGTGCGATAAACAACTGAGCAGTGTCTGCTGCGGTGACTTCCTTATGGCAAGGAAGTGTGATGGGACGTTTCGATAGTCTGCAGACCACGACCATAACGTTGTCGAATCCCTTTTTATCTTTTGGTAGCGAGCAAAAGTCGACGGTGATGTGTTGCCACGGACGATCAGGCGGCGGTAACGGCTGTAATAGTCCAGGGGTGCGATCTCTCCACACTTTCGTTCTTTTGCAGGTGTGACAGTTGTCGACGTACCGTTGTACGTCTTTTAACCAGCCTTGCCAGTAGTAACGGGTAGAGAGTAACCGCGCGGTTTTATCGATACCCGGATGGGCTGTGGATGGCTGCCGGTGCACGTCATCGAGGAGTCTTGCTCGAAGATCCCCTTCATCCGGAACGACCAGTTTTCCCTTATGTAGTAGTAGTCCTTCTCGTAATGACCACGCCTCTGTTTCTTCCGTTAACGCCTTTTCCCGGAATTCTTCCAGACTTTCGTGTGTTATGTTCGATTCCTTGATTCGCTGGACAAGGTCGTGCTCTGACTGTTCTGTTGGCTGCGCAGCAGGCTGTTCTCTCGGAGAGTCCACTGACGGCTGCGCAGTTGACTGTTCTCTCTGCCGGAGTTGCCGTCTGGTACTTACTGGGGCCAGAGAGGCCCATCTCTGTTCGGGTAGAAGCACTTGTTCTATCGGATCCGCTCGCTCTGAAAGGTCCTTCCTTGATAACGCATCCGCTAGTACGTTCTGCTTTCCGGGGCGATACTGGATCACGAAGTTGTATCCTTCCATTAGCTGGTTCCATCGGATCTGTCTTGCGTTTAGCTTTTTCTTGGTTCGGAACCACTGTAACGCTTGATGGTCCGTAAGGACATCGAAGGGCTGTCGCAAACTGATGAGTTCAGCTTCCCATTCCTGCAACGCTCGAACAATGGCTAGCAACTCCTTGTCGTGGATTTCGTAATTCTTTTCCGCAGGTTCCATAGTCTTTGAGAAGAACGCGATAGGATGCCAATGTTCGTCTCGTAACCGTTGCGTGAGAACTGCTCCTAACACCTCGTCGGACGCATCAGTCTCTATCCTGGTGGGTGCTTCTGGATCGTAATGGCCGAGGATCGGCGCATTAATCAGATGCTTCTTTAGCTCCTGAAAGGCGTTTTCGCATGTATTTGACCAGTTCCACAACGATTGCTTCTTCGTTAGCCCATATAGTGGTTTCGCTACACGGCTGTAGTTCGAAATGAATCGACGGTAGAAGTTGCAAAACCCCAGGAATGACTGGAGTCCCTTCACAGAAGTTGGCGACTTCCATTCTTTAATCGCCTCGATCTTCTCGGGATCTGGGCGAATGCCAGAAGTCCCTACGATAAATCCGAGGAACTTCGTTTCAGGTCGATGAAATTCACACTTGTGGATAGCCACTTGTAGCCCAGCCTTTCGTAGCTTCTGCAACACGGCTCTGACATGCTTCTCGTGGTCTTCTAAAGTCTCGCTGTAGATGAGGATATCATCAACGTAGGCTACCGCGTAGTCATCGAGACTTTCGCCTAACACGGAGTTCATAAAGCGTTGGAAAGTGGCCGGACCGTTCGTGAGTCCAAAGGGCATTACCCTGTACTTAAATGATCCATATCGCGAGCGGAACGTCGTCAAGTCTTCCGCCTCAGGATCCATCCTGATGCGGTGAAATCCTTGGCGGATATCGAGCTTTGTGAAGAACTTCGCACCTCCTAACCGGTGTAACATCTCATCAATCAGCGGCAGGGGATAGATATCCTTCTTTGTGATCGAGTTCAGCTTCCGGTAGTCCACGCAGAATCTTAGTCCTCCGCCAGGCTTCTTGGCCATTAGAATCGGCGATGCGAAGGGTGCGGTGCTCGGGGCTATGAAGCCTTTTTTCAGGTTTTCGTAGATGTATGACATTGCAGCCTCGAGGTGTTCGATGGGCATCTTGTACAGCGGGCAGTAGCCTAACGTTGCCTGTTCACTAAGTTCGATCTTGTGGTCGACCCCTTCCCGACACGGTGGCAGTGTGTCAGAGGCTGCTTTCGAGAAGACGTCGAGGTACTCATGATATTGCTTGGGTACCTGCTGTTTAACCTCCTGAGTGGCTTCCGGGGTGTTACGAACCCCACTAGCGTGGACTTGCCAGAAGACAGGAAGTCCAATCAACTTGGATACGTCATGCGGGAAAGATAACGTGACTGGCGAGGCACGCTCCAACAGCAGCTAAGGCAACCACCAGTCACGTGACGCATCATAGCCCTGGCTATGATACAACAGAGCTCAGGATATGATCGGACCATACCCTCAGATATGACCCGATCAGAGTTCAGGATATGAAGAACTTGATATAAGGACGCTCATTCACCGACATGTATTTAGTTCTTCGCGATCAATCATACATTGTTACTTGGTTACTACCTATTGGACCTTGCACTCTACGGTTCACCCTTAAGACAACCCAACCTACAAGTAGGGGAGCTCATCTTGTGGTAACACTTGGTGACTGACTTACTTGGCGCGCACTACTGGCACATCCTGCAAGATAATCAACAGGACCCGAGTCCGTGTAAGGCTTAGCACAGCAACGGTACGGTTGCGAGATACTCTTGGGATTCGAAGTGGAACTAGGCGAGTACAACCCGGAAGTGGCTCTACTCACAGCGACCAGCAGGCACCGCGTAACAACACGGTGGTGCCGGGCTAGGAAGCACTAACCTTGACGGCGATCGCCGTTCACCACCGCTGCCTCCAGCCCTTACACGCATGCCCGTGCCTTCCGTGCAAAGGGCAAAATCCGCTTGAACTAAGTTTCGCAGCCAGGGTCCACCAACCCCTCCAGATGGTCCTGTTGAACGTTGAACAGTGTGCTACTGATTGTCAAATTATGGAGTGGACCCATATAATCCAGCCAGCCCCTGCAATTCCTCTACCCCAGCCCTACGTTCATCATACTGGCAGTTCAACGATTGCCCTGACCCACTGAGCCCGCGTTAGCGCCGCCACGCCGGCCACATGTCCACTTGGCCCAGCGGTGCCTGGTTGAACAGGATCCCTTCCTGGGCGCAGGATAAGCTGGTTGAACGTTCTATGATACAATTTATCGACACCCTCGGGTCATGCTGGAGCCGGCAAAAAAGTGGATGATGTATATCGGTATCCGAACGCCAGATCTGGAGCACTGTAAAATCGATGATTATCACTTCCTCCAGGCCTCATTGGCGTATAACTACTTGATATGGACCTGTTGAACAATTCACCTGCCATGGTATGGTCGATCATGGAACGATCACATCGAATCGAGCCAACAACTCGACTTACCATGCCCCACCAAAACGTTACCATGCCTATAAGGAACACGGTGACACTTAACCTCTACATTCCAGGATGGAGGGCGTCGAGACAGTGCGCAGTCGCAAAGGTATGCAGAGATGCGAAGACAGCTAATCTTGATGTTTTTAATCTCCATGTCGCGTATAACCGGACTGAGTGGTCCATCGCAAAAAGCGCAGATTATAGAGCAGACGTTTTGAACTAAGAGCACTGCGGCGAGGCCGAATCTGAGAAGGGTTTACAGAGTTGAGCGGACGAAATGAGAATGGAGCAGGATATGGTGGATATCAGCCAATTATCTACTTCTTAATCAAATGAGTGACTCCCTCTCTATGGTAAGGATTTCATAAGCCATAGTACTTTACGTCATCTATCCATTTCGCATAAGCATCCCAAACCTCCAATAATCCTATCATTGTTCCCCATTACCAATAGCCTAACTTGTAGGTTGATTGCCGCCGTTCAAACACCGACGCACACATAGTACCCCAGCCACAGGGATGCACATGACGACCCAATGTACGGATTCCAGTTTCCAAACTGCGCCGCTGTAATGGAATACTGCTGTTCAATCGACCAACAGCTATCCCCACTAGCAACCAGATGCCACTTGGCACAATTGCTGACAGTATTCGGCATCGGGCCTACGTCCTTGGTTGCGACGCAATAGTAGTATCCCAACTGGAGATTGCTGCAACTGGAGCCGATGGCGGGATTCCACGCGTAAAACTGCGCCTGGGTCAGATACGTGTACTTCTCATTTACTATCGACCAGCAGCTGTCGCCGTCTCGGGCCTGGTAGTAGGTTGAGCAGTCGGCGACTATTCCGGCCTGCGTGGGAGAGGGGCCAGTTCCCGTTGTAGCGGTGGTAATTGATTTGGTAGTGGTAGTGGTAGCTTTGGTTGTTGCTGTGGTGGCCGGGGGGTGCCTATGGGCAGATGGCGTTAGTAGAGATGCTGGGAGGAGAAAGAGGTAACAGACCTGAAACGCCAACGCAGACCCAGTAACCTGCTTGGAGGTTGGCACAGCTTGATCCTACAGCAGGATTCCAGGCGTAGAAATTGCTCAAAGTTATGCCGTAATCGGCGGCGATCACAGCACACGTGTTGCCGGATTCAACGAAATAATAGCGGTCGCCTAGAATCTTATTAGCCTGTGCTTCAGATATATGTTGTATTGCGTGATTTGCAGGAGGAAATGCAATGATGTACAATTTGACGCGATTCCACTTTGCTGAGGAGAGTAGGCGGAGGTCGTGGTGGCTGTTGGCGCTGCTGTCGTGGTCCTTGAGGTTGTAGTGGTGGCCGTGGAACCGGAGACGCCAACACAGACGTAGTAGCCCGGTTGAAGTCCGGAACAGTCATTCTTGACAGCTCTAGTATATAAATGAACGATCAGTAGGGGTATTCAGCGGTATTGAAGGGATTCTACTCACGGGTTCCACGTGTAGAATTGATCCAATGTAAAGTTGCCATAGGAGGTCACAACCGCGTAGCAATAATCATCTTTCTGCACGTAATAAAATGCATTGCACGTGGATGCTATGCCAGGTTGTGTGGGAGATGGTCCCCCCGCTGACGTTGTAGTAGCTGCTGTTGTTGTGGTGGTGGTAGCAGTAGTGGTAGTTGTCTTGCTGGTAGTGGTGGTTGCTTTGGTGGTGGTGGTTTTGACCGCAGGGGCTTCTACGCAATAACTCCATCCAACATTTAAGGTACAGTCAGTAGTCGATAGAGAAGGGTTCTGTCACGATTTAGGTGTCAGATTTAGGCAAATATCGCAGGTCGTAAAGATGGAAGCTCTGTTGCTCACCCAGGAAACTAGCTGTGCTGTTGTGATACCATAAAAGCTTTCCAGAGCAGTGCAGGTATCAGTTGATGAGATGGAGTTTGCCCAATATGTGCAGCCGCTGGTCACGTTGGGATCCGTATCACCAGTGGCAAAATCTCCGTTGGAGAACCGCTTCCTGAGTGTAGCAGCATTGGCTAACCCCAATAGAGCCAGGGTAAAAGCCCGGGAGAGAATCATCGTAATAGGTGAGAAGGGTGTACTTGTGTACTTTGCGGATTAGATCAGGGATGATGTTTGCGATTGATAGCATACGCTACGAGTCACTTTATATACTCATATATACCTAATACCCCGAAAGCCGACCTACTGGGCTTTAGTCTGTAGATTGGTTCTATGTCGAGCCTAGACTGACGCCTTTGATGGTACGGTGCCGGTATACTTCAATTGAGGCTATTTCCCTAATTCATTGTTGACTTTTAGCAATTGTAGCCGACAATAGGATGTGTATTTTTCAAGGTTCGGTTTGGCGTAATGATTATGGTGTCAGGTATAGAGGGTTCTCATTTTGGCGCTTCTGGTGTTTGTGCTCCACCCTAGTCGGATCACACAAACCCCTGAATTCCTTCATGTCTAGATACACACTCATTCAGTCATTCACTCTTTTATCTTTTTGTATTGGATATTCGCATTCATATCCTCCCTATATTGGACAGCCTGTATTTCCGCTGTCCTCCGTATCTGTACAGCACTTCGTATCGCTGTCCCCTTTTTCATGCTTTCATTGCCTCATTTCTAGGCTGTTATTATGGTGCCTTTTTCCAGGCCCCCCAAAAGGTTGCATCGAACCAGGAATCACCCGGTTCCGCTGTCAGCACGTACACCCAACCACACCCGTCAGCCCTGCAAGGGGAGGGCGGGCCGCACCAGTCGGTCCACTCGATTAAACTAGCCGTCACTGTTCTACAAGCAATGGGCTGTTCGAGAACGCTCGGCTACTGCCTCGGCTAACAGTAGGCTGATTCCGTCACGGAATGGATCCTTTGCATATCTTGCTGCGAGATATACGGAACATGGTGGCGGAGGCTTGAATGGACTAGTGGGACAATATTTCACCTAAGCGTTGTACAAATACAGCATCCTTGGTATGAGCTAGTAACCTTCCCGCACTTGACAAATGCTTCCCACGAAATACATCAGTTCCGGTCCAGGTGTTCATAATTCGTCCTTGCAAAAGCTCAAGTCCACTCGAACACCATCTCCCTTTCCAAAATATAGACTATGGCTCAATTACTCGAATTGCCAAACGAACTGCTTCTTCTTATTGCCAGATATCTGCCCTACCAAAAAGATATCAACTCCTTTGTCCAAACAAACCGCCAGCTATACGTCCTCTTAAACGTTTTCCTATGCAAATTCAATATCCAGCACCATCAAAGCTCTGCCCTGACATGGGCAGCCAGCAATGGAAATGATCACTTAGCAAAAAGGATGCTTGAAGCTGGCGTCAGTATAGCATCATTTGATACCTCAGAAACCGCGAATCCGCTCTTACGCGCAGTTATAGCGGGCCATATTTCAACTCTTAAAGTGATGCTCTCAGAAAAACGGCCAGATCGAGTATCCTCACCTTTTCAGAAGCGGAGGGTTCTTCTATTTGCCATTCGATCTTCAGACAGAGAGGTTATAGACCTGATGATCGAGAACGACGCTCCTTTAAACCCCTTTCCAGATGATCGACGTGGAGATTCCACCCTGGGTATCGCAGCCCTTGGTCTGTGTGATCCTACTATATTTGCTCGCTTGCTACAGGCAGGCGCACGGACACATCGCGGCGAACAGCCAGATACATTCTCCATGGTTATGACCCCAGGACATCCAGGTCGATCGCAGATCGTTGAACTTTTGCTGGAGCAGAATTGCCAACCATCATCGGAGGAAGCTCTACGTCGTATTGTAAGACAAAACGACAAAACTATATTCCAGCTTTTTGTCGACCATGGCTTTGAGATAGATATCTACGGCCATGCAGCTCTATTCCAAGCCATTCTTGAGCGCGAGGATGAAATGGTGGAATTACTGCTTGAGAGTGGTGCAAACCCACATCTGCAATGCCAATATCCTGATGACGATTGTGTTTTTCACTATCGTAGCTCAATATGGTGCGCCATTAGGTTCCGCAACTGGAAAATGCTCGACCTCCTCCTTTCAAAGGGTGTCCATCCAGACCCGGCTGACCTCGCCTTTGCCATTGAACGTGATGAGAAGAAGGCTATTGCTTTACTATCCCAATTTTCTTATGAGAGTGTACCGGTCAAGATCACTTTACCTGACTTTATCAAGCATATGGAAGATGAAAGAGTGAAGACAGATCCTAACTTTGTGCCGAAGGACTGGTGGCCTAGACTCTCTTGACCTCATCACTTGAATCTTTACTATTCATGCATTATATGAGACTTACATCGGGCGATGACGCGCAACAACCCCTCGTACTTCCGTCTACAGTAAAGGGCCGCCAACCAAAGCGGATACCAGCAACAACTTTCTCGGCGAACCGTGCCTGGGTTTGGTTTTTTCTGTTGGCTGAAATAGGGGATGTTCTTCCAAAGCCATATGTAACCGGAATGTGAGGATTTGCGTGCCAAGTATGAGTCTCCGGTCCACCATGATGAGATTGAGTAGGGGCGGTTCCTTGGGAGAGATGCGTAAGAGAACAGAAGGATGGTAATTAAGTGAGGGCAAAGCTGACTCTTATATTGTGCGAATACCACTGGCTGCGTAATGAAGATGGAAGCAGTGCGAATATTCCGTAGTTGCTCCGATTACTCTTATGTCATTTGTACTCAGGGTTGGTCGATGTTCCTAGGAACAAGGTTCGTGAAAAGAATCCGTTTGTTGCTCTGTCTTTTTGAGCGAGGGATTGCGGTGTTTGCATGCCGAAATCAGCTGGCCTAGAAGGTCACCAAGCATGAGGTCTACTGTACCTGGGAACAGCAGAGGAGACGCAATGACTACTCGTGAGTTGCAGAGTGCCAACGTGCAAATGTGGTTGTTGGCTGGGTTAAAATCAAGACGGGAATCGCCTCCGTGGGCAACTGACATCGGCAATGGGAGCTAGTGCAATGTATTAACATGACGAGAAGATTATCTGAAACGACCGATGCCGTATCTTCCATATCTGATAGAACGCGAAGGTGTTGAAATTGAAAGGCGACTCTTCCGGGGTACATAAAATTCGATCTGGATACCCCCTGTCAGACTGGGCTTGGACATAAGCGGGGACACACCCCACGAAGTGGATTTGACTGGGTTTCTCTTCTCACACTCATTGTTCAGCGATGCGGAGCAGTTGCGATCTGACACTGGGCAAAGAGGAACTAAACAGAAGATGAACAATACCCACGACGATTTTAAGGGGTAAAAATGAACAGATAATTTCCGCGACTTGCTAGCCCTTGTATCCCGTTGCCCCAATGTGTGGCAATACCTTGATTTGTATCTATGGGGAAAGACCTGATTGTTGAAGTATCATCTAGTGACTTTGGAAGAAATGATGTTTGTGAGCTTGTCAGGTTGTATTGTCTGTCTAGAGCTATCTTGGATATGGAGATTTCTTCCATTTGTCTTCTCTGGAACATACTAGTGCCGTTCCGCAGTGGGGAGCAGGCCCGACCTCATGTCCTGTCTTGGCAAGGAGCGATCTCATTTCGAGACTCCCCCTCATGACTTTGCATCTTCAGTGGCTGTCTCGCCAGTGTGTGGCTCTCGTCGGCCGGTTGGAGTTTCACTTTGGGGTCGAGTGGTTTAGGGACCGGACTTGCATTTGCCATACCGAAATTGTGGGGCAGTTGGTCAATGTACTCGGATTGGCAAAGCTTTGAGTGTGTGTTTGGCTCTGTCGCACATGATTTGCATGCGCAGAGTAGTATATCGCTGCACCCATATCGACCATACTGAAACGGGTGGCGAGGGAGGCTGTTGCCGCTTTGATGTCCTTTAAATCTGGCCGAAATATAAAGGGGTGGGAAGCTAAAAGGCACGGATAGTGCAGTTTACGATCTATTTTGGTCCGCTGGCGATAATTTAGCGTATGTGAAATATTTGCTCGGAGGTCGTAAACCCCCGCAGATTGATCTCTAAATACCCAGGAGAAGTCTACTGTTGACTGCTACCCGCCTGGCCTAAATAGCGGATCAGAATAGAATTAGCCGCGGGTAAACTTGGCCGAACGTCCCCCGTGTGCATTTAGACTCTAGTAGCATAAGAAGGAGTCATTGCAGTTCAGAGTGCACTAAGTATGGCACTCCGATTGTATCTCAGTAAGCAGCGAGAGAATTATCTGAATAAATCAGACTAAAAGTTCGTTCACAAAACTGACACTGCCTAGGGCAGTTTAACCTCGTTAATCAACCACAGCCCTTATTAAGGTTTAAGAAGGAGCTCCACATCAAGACTACCAATTTCAGCCAATCAGACCTACGCTAGCTAAGGGCACTCTGGCCAAAGACAGAGTGTTCTGAAGCAAGATCACAATTTCTCCGTCTACTATAGTGTAGGGGTTCTTCTCCGCTGACCTAATATTTCGTTGGGTTCTTTCTTATTACCGTAGGCAGTCCGGCTTGATAAATCATATGCGATACAGGGGTATACCTTCCCTTGTCCTTTTCCAGTGCCCGAATCTCTCGCGCCGCTGAACTTCCGTCCATAACAGGCATTTCCTGATCCATGAGAATGCAGTCAATTGTCAAATGAATCGTGCTTCCACGCGTCAAGGGCTTCCTGCCCATTGTTGGCCGTGGTGACCTCAAATCCCAAGACTAACATGAATTGTGTAATTCCAGCCCTCCGCATTTTCCTACCAAAAATTATATTTTCCAGCTTCCTGGTCACATTCTTGACCAGAGAAGAAGCTAGCCATGCTTTTGTTCTGCTTTTATCTCTGTGTATTTTGTCAACTGAGGCGTGTTACCCATGCACCTTGGGCGGCTTCTATTAAAACAACCGTCTTCTAAAATCACATGGACCAAAGTGACTTCTGGAAAACGGCGGGTGTCAAATTGAGGGTGGAAACTTGAATGAGATCAGTTGGCCCATTCACCCAACAATGTAGTGGCAATTTTGAGCCAGTTTGTCCTTTGATTTTCAGCGTTGCTCAATAGTTAGAAGAATCATGGCCAGTAAATAAAGCACCACTTTTGCAGAGACACAATAAGCAAATTAAGTCTTGTGCCTGCCTCATTAGTAATCTCTCCTATAAGTCCCGCGACCATAACTACAGATCAAATCTGATCCACTATGAGAAGGCGGGCTTCGACATCAAAAGCCTTGGCAAAACGGACTATACTGACCCTGTAAGTCTCCGAACAGTCCTTTGCAGCAATCGCGCTTCCCGTTGCTGTCACAAAGCCCCTGAAAACCTCGTAGCACACGTCAAAGTAGTGGTCACCGTGGGCCTTCTATCAGGTTGAAGCCGTCCTCTCGTAGAAAGCGTGTACCACCAGATAAATCTTTTGATCAGAACAGTGTTGGGGCGGCAGATTCCTTCTCCACCTCATAGCTTTGTAGAGCCATCCCGCCTACATCAAGAAACCTTGTAAGTCAACAAACAGGGAAGCTGAAATAGCATTTCGCGGCCACTCACTCGATCCATAGGTCGACGTACTTCTGGTGAAGGACTTTGACCTTACCAGCACATTTATACCTGTTATGGAAGTCAGACTCTCGGAAGAGTTCTTGGCAGGACTCAGTGGATTTGCGTTGCGACCCGTGTCTTTCGCCCGCTGAATCGAGAGCCTGGAGAAACATTTCGATGTCTCAATATTGAAAAAGAGTGTAGAATGAGCTTGAGGACTCAGCGAGAGCAAAAGGAAAGCCGACTTGTTGTGATGGTGGTCTTTCTCCGGTTCTGATAACCTGATATTTTATGGAAATTCAACCAGTACTTATAGCTCATCTTTGGAACTGGTGTCCGATGTGTCCGATGGAATAGTCCTAACAACAGCCAGTCTTGTAGAGAAGGGAGCATATTCGCCCTTGTAATTATAACACCTAAGATATGTACCTCTTTGTACAGCAGGGACGGATGGTTGCGATCTGGTCAGTCACTATAGCTTGGCTCTGCACCATTTCACTCATTATGTCTTTTGCATGGATCTCCCCTGTAGGGGATCCTCCATGAATAGATAGCGAAGAACCGCCGATCCATCCATCGGTGGAAGCTTTCCGCCCCAGTAGAGGTTTATGAGCCTCAGGCATCCACATCCGGGAATAACCTCACATTGGTTATATCATAACAGGTATACATTAAATACTCCTATAGGATCGGTTAGGATTTAGTGTGCCTTTTCGATTTCGAAATCAGGCGGTAAGCGAGGTGCAGAATAAATTTCTACAGTATATTACGATTTAACTATCATAAAGACTTAGCAATGAACGGATTTAGAGAGGATTGACGGTATAATGCCTGGGCGAGCAGCAGGTGTGGATATAACAATCGCAGTGTTCCTCAACACCCTGAGTGGCAAGAGACTAGAACAAGAAGACACCTCTTCTTTACTGACGGCAATGCTGGTAGATCCCCGACATCTAGCTCTCAGTAGGTATGGCAGATACCTGCTTCACCAGCCCCAGTGTTCCTCGCTCCATGTTAGGCGCCATCCCATTCACAATATCCGCCTTGAAGCTGTTCAGGTCTAAAATCCGATTCATGCGGACCATCTTCATCATAACCTTGTCACACTGACTGCTACCCGAGAAAGTAGCAGCGGCGCCCCTAGCAGTGAACTTAGCACCCGACGCACTATCGAGGTCCGCCAAACACCCACTCTCCACCTTTTGAATAACCCTCGTGCAAAACTCCACTGACTTGTCCACTTCCGCTTTGGAGAGCTTTCCGCCTGAATCGACGGTTCCCTGGATAATCGGACGGAAATAGTCGAATGCCGCGTCGAAATTGTTCTCGTCCAGCCCATTCAGCACGGCCTTTTCTTTGCCGTGGATTTGCTCCATGGCGCTGCGCACCACGAGGAGGAAGCGTGTGTACGCTTCGGCTATTTTGGCCGAATGCCATCTGATTGCCTCTTCTTCCGTACAGTTCTCCCGCAGGCTGGCGCAGATAGTCACAGCGGCTGAGAGGCCGCCGGTCATGGCGAGGTGTACTCCTGAGGAGAACAGTGGGTCGATGAAGCATCCCGCGTCCCCAGCAATGCGTACGTGAGGATGCGCATATTCACTGGCATTATATGACCAATCCGCGGCTGACTTGATATCTGACGACTCCAGTTCAGCATTGCAAAGGAGCTTCGCGATTCCCGGCGTATCCTTGAGGCACGCCAGATAAAATTCCCTACCCGTGCTGGATCCGTATGTTTTCTTCTTCGCCACGACTTGCTCCTGCTTAATCGTGACCCCCACCG